ATTGGAGGCGGGTATTGAATCGACACTTACAACCGAGGATGCCACCACGGCCCCAAATCCGAGCCATAGCGCCCGCGAAGCTGTCGCCTCGGTTTGCGGCCATGGTTGTCTTGGTCACCTCCAGCGGCTGGGATGGTCAGTTAGGAACTTGATGATCATTGGAGTATATCATACCTGTCCCAATGATGTGACCTCGAACAAGTTCAATCCTGCACCCAACAATAGATTGCTGAATTTGACGGGCTTCTTCTCGAGCTGAGGGGCCGAGGCCGCGGACGGAGTTGTAGACATTCTGCGATGGGGGATGCGCTGAAAGGGGCCCTGACCAAGGGATGTAGGGGGCTTCGTGCGTTATTGAAGGGGGAAAAAGAAAAAGAAAAAGACCAAGAAAGTCTAGCAAGGATGGATTGCAGATAGAAAGGTTGGATGGAAGAAGGAGAAGGAGAGGAAGCCAGATGTCTTATAGGGCCGGGGAAACAAGCAGTAAGCTGGGGGACAGGTGGTACCTGGTGTACTTGTTGTACCTGGTACATCTGATCTCCAGAGTGTCCACTCATACCATTGGGTACTGGGTACCTCCCATACCAGTCCTCCGGGGTCAGACCCTCCGCGATTCGGCGCAAGGTGCTCCGTAGCTTTTGTTTCTAAGTCTTTTGTAGATCGGACTTGGAGTTTGATTACATTGTTTTTTTTAATTCTTTTGCATTTGAAGACTGACAGTGTACTCCTATCCTCCGATCCTCCTATACTGCTCTACTCCTCTACTCCTCTATTCCTGTACTGCTGTACTCCCTCCTCTGGCCAGATGTATGTGATCCCTAGCAAAAGGTGGAGACAATCGTTGAGCTGTCCCAACAATCCCGCATGTGCTCGATTCAACACAAGTAGCCGTCAGACCGTTTAATCGCTACGCTGTACCTCCAGTCCCGACAACGTTTGGCTCTTGACCGGTGTCTGAATCAGAGTGCAAGAATATTGTGAAGTGTTTTTATTCCGCCTTTTCATATCCACTAAAGTAGAGAAATAAACTACAGAGTGGAGACCAGAAATGATTTGACATGGAAGTTCTGTTACAAGGCCCGCTCGAACCGATCAAGTCCCTATCATACAACATGAAAATAACCCCAAGACTTTCTCGGTCAAACAAAGGAAATAATACAAATGTCTAACCCGGGTCCTCACGGGCCCCAAAAGGTGATATTAAAAGAAAATGGGAAAAGTCATGCGCTTAAAGCTTAGCACCGACCAACTTGGCGTAGGCCTCAGTGCTGAAGGACTTGGGGCGCTCAATGGGCATACCAAGAGCACGGTCGATGATCAGCTGGGGCAGGACACCAATGGCACGGGACACACCGAACAGGACGGTGTAGTAGTTAGCCTCGGTGAGACCGTAGTACTGGAGGAGGACACCGGAGTGGGCATCGACGTTGGGGTAGGGGTTCTTGGTCTTGCCGTGCTCGGTCAGAACGCCGGGAGCGATCTTGTAGACCTGGCTGACCAGCTTGAACAGAGGGTCATCGGGCAGCTTGCGGAGAGCAAACTCGCGCTGCGAGACGTAACGGGGGTCAGTCTTGCGCAGGACGGCGTGGCCGTAACCGGGGACGACCTGGCCAGCGTTAAGGGTGGCCCAGAGGTAGTCCTTGATGGACTGGTCACTGATATCGCTGCCGACGGACTGCTTCATCTTGGTGATCCAGTTCAGGACCTCCTGGTTAGCAAGACCGTGAAGGGGACCGGCAAGACCCTGGAGACCAGCGGAAAGGGAGAGCATGGGGGAGCTCAGAGCACTGCCAACCAAGTGAGTGGTGTGGGCGCTGACGTTACCACCCTCGTGATCGGAGTGAATGGTCAGGTACAGACGCATCAACTCAACAAAGTCCTTGTTGCCGCCGAAGCCAAGCTGGTTGGCCAAGTTGAAGGAGTAATCCTTGTCCTTCTGGACAGGGGCGACCTTGCCATCTTTGAAGACGTTGCGGTAGATGCGGGAGGCAATGGTGGGCAGCTTGGCGATGAGGTCCATGGAATCCTCGAAGGTGTAGGTCCAGTACTCCTTCTTGTTGACACCCTTGGCGTAGGCCTTGGCGAAGGCGGACTCGTGCTCAAGAGCAGTCACGGCCAGAGAGAACTGGGCCATGGGGTGGAGGGTGTTGGGGCAACGGTCGATGAGCTCCTCAACGAACTTGGGGACATCGGAACGGGCAGCCCACTCGGCGGACAGGGCGCGAACCTGCTGCTCGGAGGGGATCTCACCGGTCAACAGAAGCCAGAAGAGACCCTCGGGCAAGGGCTCCTCGCCACCGGGAGCCTTGGGCAGGAGCTTCTGGCACTCGGGAATCTAGAAAATAACCATGAGCGAACATGAAAATTGACCATCAAGTCGATGGAGACCTACAGTGTAGCCACGGAAACGGATACCCTCCTCGGAATCGAGAACGGAACCCTACAAGGAAAAAATGGAGGTTAGCTTCCTTCGCACCCAAGGGGCATTGAGATTTCTTTTTTTTTTCTTGACTTACCTCCCAGACGAGGGACTTAATGCCACGGGCACCACCGTAGGCCTGGTCGAGAGTGACCTCACCAATGACCTTGTTACCGTGCTCCCTATAACAATTGGATACCATGATCAGCTACTGCCTGAACTCGAATGAAAGGGCGCGTCACATACTTGCGGAGCTTCTTGACCTTCTCGATCTCGGCGGGCAGGTTGTCGGCGAAAGTGTCCTTGAGGGACTATATGATTATGCTCAATTAGCGTTCTATTCAAGCTTGATTGAAATTGGAAAGGGATGAGCGTCATACCTTGACCTTAGCGGAAGAGTAGCAGCGCATGCCATTGAAGGCAGCGGATTGCACCGGCTTCACGATGGAAGACCGGAGAGCGGTAGTACCGATTCTGAGGGAAGAAGCCATGTCGACTCAGACAGGATATATGAAATGGGTAAAATGGAGGAGATGGAGAAGTGGTCACAAAGCCTGGGGGAGAAAAAGAAAGAGAGGAAGGAATTCGGGGAGAAGCTCTTTTGCGCCTGGAATTTTCTCGGTTTTTTCCCATCTGGCCGTATTACAGCCGGTACGGATCGGTACGGTAACTGGGTCACTTTCGGGAGGCCATGGAAGCTCAGTCAGCCAAAGACAGCCATCCCCAGCCTGTGGGCACCGGGACACCCTTCTTGCAGGTACTGTGTACTGTACATGTAGGTATTTATTCTGTACTCCATACATGACCTAGGTTGTATTCTTACTCCCAACGGTACGGAAGAGCACGGGCTCGGGCTGCCGGCAGATCACCTGCGTTCGGATTCTTCGCGCACTCTATGTTGTATGTAACATCTTGCGAAACTCGGAGCTCATGTTAGGGTACTGGGGTGTCTTCTGATGTTGTCTAATTGGGCTGATTCCCAAGAATACACATAGTCAGAGTAGGAGCCACATATCCCACGATTTACTAGTTGTAGCGTAAGTTATGTACCGTATGCAAGTGTGAATAGGTCTAGTACTGTATATCTACATATAGGTATAATCCACTTATAATATTCCGTACGGAGAACGGAGTACTCCGTCCATCTCATCGAGTCGCCCACATTCTGCCCCAGTTCCAAGGTTCCAGCTTCCGTAACGGGGGAGTGGTATGTAAGTATGTACGGAGTACTGCAAATACAAGTCTATCCCTGAGTACATGTATCCACTGTAGCAGTGACGTCGGCAAGTCGCCATTTTCTTCCGTGCCGCCATCCGTCCGATAGGAGACCAATGAAACCAGCCTTTGGCACCAGAAGAGCTTATCAAATGCTGAGACTATGTCACTGTGGACTGATCTGTCGCTATGACCTCGAACAGGGAAACTCATTGCTGTATGGAGGACCCCGTATACTCACTACATCTGTACACAAACGGAGGCTTTCTCAATTGGTTCACCGAAGCCGGGAGCTTTAGGGCGGCAGCGAGGGGCAGAAAGGTGTTGGCACAACGGGGATGCCTAGGTATTCACGGGTCCCTCGGCTCAGGCATCAAGAGTTGTAAACAGAGGATACGTGGTATTGTTTTGATTTCTCATGTTTGATTGTTGTAACAGACATGTGGGATATGTTGTACAGATGGTCTGTACAAAGTATGTACCAGGATAGGGACTTCCTAGACCATGATTATTCCTCTCGACTATTAGGTAGGATGCAGGAAAAAAAGACTGCAAATGGAATAGCGTTAACGCCTCAATTGAGAAACCGGCAAACGAAGCTTGATTATTGAGGAAAGTAGGCAACTGAAATGTGAGAAAAGTCAAGTTGACCTCGCCTTGGATGACTGTTGTGAAGACTCCTCCAGGGCTGCCTATGTTGTACAGCATTATTTCCTCCTTGGGGAAGAAGAACCTTGGGACCATGAGGATCAAGTTCGTTTGCCTACAACGACCAAGGATGCAGGTCACAATCAGCACGTGACCCTTCCACGATAGGACTAGCGGCAGTCGCAGAGTCTGCCTCCCTTTTTCTCCTCCCGTTTGACGATCCTTCCACTCAACTTCATCTCCTCCAACTCAGCATCTCTTTTCTATCGATTTCATCAGTTTCTCGGTTTCAGTCCATCTTACTGACTGTGCTGGCCTCCTTTGGATCCCACTCGGAATCCGTAAACCCTTATCTGGTTTTTCTCTGGGATTTCACTACAAAAAGACGCTCTAGGCTGTACATCTCCCGTACTCCCCGTACTCTCGTACTCGGCGCCAGACGGCCTCTCTGGACACAATATCGCTAGGCTGTATTCCAGCTGTAGGCGGCTGTTTACTGGTCGACAGTGAATGCGCTCGTGGAGTCTGTAGTGAAGAATCGCCAGCGACCCTTTTAAACATATCTTCTTTCATACCGAGGGACTATCCATCGCATGGTCACGCAGTAGCCGGGACCTTTCGTTTACTTCCATCTGCATAAAGCCTTGGCTGAGACCTCGTTTCATTTTCTCTTTTGCAACTCTCCTTGCAAGTGGATTTCACGATAGTTTATCCAGCCATGTCTTCTGCAGTAGCTGAACTGGAGAGCCTGCTCCAATCTATGCTAGCTCTCAAGCCGCCTGGTGTATCTGGCTCAAAGATCGGCGGCATCACAAACTTGTGCAATGCCAACGTGCAGGTACGCTTGTCCTCTTTGGTCGATTGATTCGTCTCATTGGTCCCGGTGTGATCCATGATATGCTAACCCAACCTGCAGAATGAATCAGTTCTCATCCAGAAGATTTACACTCACTTCAAGAAAGCACCGGGCTCCCACAAGCTGGGTGTGCTCTATGTGGTAGACTCAGTAACTCGACAATGGGTAGAGGCTGCGCGGAAAGCCGGACAAGCTCCTGGAAGCGATGCACCTGATGGAACTTTCGCCGCTGGTGTCAAGCGTGTCACTGACCTCCTGCCTGTCTTGATGACAGATATCATTAACAATGCTCCCCAAGACCAAAAGGTACGCACTAGAACATACTTGTATTATCACGATAAACCTCATACCCCAGCATCATGGCCTTGGCGGGGGCCAAGCCTCTCTGGGGCGGCTTTTTGCCTTGCATATTGTATCATTGCCTTCATCTTATTCAATTTGAAGACTATTCACCCTGATAACTTCAGTTTGAACACATAACTCACATATCAATCTTGCAATATAGGACAAGATCAAGAAACTGGTCGACATTTGGGAACGTGGTGCAACTTTCCCCTCACCAATGCTCACATCGTTCAAGGATAAATTGAATGCTGCTCAGAGTAAGCTATCCGCCATGATGAAACCCTATTATACCAGTACTCACAATTTACCAGACGTGGAATCGAACACCCCCGAGGGGTCTCCTGCGCCAACTGCAAACCCGCTTGGAATTCCGCAACAGCCCGCCGCACCCGATACCTCGAGCATCCTGAAAGCTTTAGCCGACATGGCCAAGCAAAATACTGCTGCACCTTCTGCGGCCTCCGCTCCCGCACCGACCAACCCTCTAGGCGCTTTCAACTCATCCGCTGCACCTCCTTCTGCTGATCCGGCATCGCAAATGGCTGCTGCGATGAATGCATATGGCGCTGGCGGACCTGTCGCACCTTCTTTCCCAGGCATGCCCAGCATGGCTCAAAATCCTGCACTTCAGCCGCAGAGTCAGACCGGAACTCCAAATCCGATGGCCGCCGCTAACCCGTTGGCCGCGATGCTTCCTCAATCCACGCAGCCTGCCGGCCCCGACCAAAACGCAATGGCACAGCAGCTTCAGCTCCTCCAAATGCTCGCTTCTCAGGGTATACCTCAGGATCAGTGGGCAACTGCCTTGCAGCTCTTTACCATGACCAACAACGGCGGTATGGGCGGTATGCCCGGTATGCCTGGTATGCCTAGTGGACCCATGGCTGGATTCAATCCGATGCAAGGACAAAACGTTGGCAATTGGGGTCACTCGGATTCTCAGAACAAAGATGATCGTGGTCGGGAATACCCTCGCTCGCCGCCCACTGGATATCGTCGCCGTTCTCGCTCCCCGGGCTGGGATAGACGCCGTACTGCCTCGCCACCTCGTCGCCGTGAAAGCCCCGTCTATGGAGAATATCACGGTGAATCACCTGGTCGTCGTGGAGATCCTCGTGATGCGCGTGGCCGTCGTGGTGAGTATCGCCAGCGCAGCCCTGTTGGTGGTCGCGGTGGTAGACGGCGCTCGCCTTCGCCTGCTCGCAGCAAGGATCCCAACCTGCCTCCCCCTGGTCCCAAGTTCATTGAGTGGGACTATTCAATTGGTCAGGGTATGATCAAAGTCTTGAGCCGAACTCTGTTTGTTGGTGGTGTCACCTCCTCGGAGAGTCACTTGCGTCAGCTCTTTGGCCAGTTTGGAATCGTTCAAACCTGCATTGTCAACGTAGACAAGCGCCACGCTTTCATCAAGATGGTTAGCCGTGCCGATGCGATGCAGGCACGCGATGGAATGGAATCTTACCGCACCGGCGAAATGCAACTCAGGGTATGTCTTGTCTGATCTTCCATGGGTGAAATTCTTTATTTGCTGACTTGATAAAACAGACTCGATGGGGTGTCGGCTTCGGTCCTCGTGACTGCAGTGATTACCAGACTGGAGTCAGCATCATCCCGATTGAGCGATTGACTGAAGCTGATCGCAAGTGGATGCTTACCGCGGAGTATGGCGGAACTGGGGGACGTACAATTGAATCTGGAATGGTTGTCGAGGAGCCCGATATTGAGATCGGCGCAGGTGTCTCTTCTAAGGCCATCAGCCGTCGTATCGCCACTGACACTGGCGGTAAGCGGGGTCCCATTTCCACTCGCACGAATCCCAACCATGATACTCGCTTCGGTGCTCGCCGTCCTGATCGTGATGGATACGGTGGCGCGTCCCATATGGGTGGCCAGGGTGAACATGAAATTTCCAACATGAATAGTCAGGGAGCCGCCCCTGCAGTTCCGTCGTATGGGTTTAATTTCGCCAGCATGCCCATGTTGCCTCCCGGTTTCATGCTGGGTGGTGCTCAGGGTGGTATGCCTGGTGCTCAGCCTCCTTCGGGTGGCCAGGGTAACTGAAATCTTTTTTTTTTGCTTCCTCGTTTGTACGTGCATCTGATCCCAAGGGTCTTGCGCGTACCGCGCATGGTACAGGCGTTGGTGGATGGGACTATTGACTATTTTTTCCGAGGCATATGGTTTGGCGGAAGGAGGTTTCTGTGCTTCTATTGCTCTCTTCTTTATCTTTTGCACTTCTGCTCTTACCTTAATCTGTACATGAGGCCCATGGCGAATACATTTAGGTAACTCATGGATAGAAGATGGACCTCATGGGGTGATCTTTATCTGGAAATCAAAATACTTCAACAAAATGGCTTCGCTTGGATTTGTAGCAACTTCTCTCCGCGGTGAATCTAACTTTTCTTAGAAGATCGAGACACGCCCTACTCGCAATGACTTCTTTTGTTTTGAAATTGCTCGTGTCATATTTTTTACTACCTACATGTACCTGATAGGTGGTAGGCTAACCAAGAAACTATGTACCTAGTCGTAACTTTCTCATTATTGCGTTTTCATATTCACGTGTGCTAGAACGTTCAAGCAGTACGGTCCGGTAGAGCCTTTGACGCCTTGAAGGATTGCTCGAAATCGGCAATGATGTCGTCGATGTATTCCGTGCCAACCGAAATGCGAATTGCATCCTCAGTGACACCGGAGTCTCGACGCTCCTGGTCTGTGAGCTGCTCGTGAGTCGTGGACCACGGGTGGATAGCGAGCGTCTTTGAGTCGCCAACACTGCAGGGAGTCAGCAACAGCCTTCCAATTGGGGGGTGAGGGGAGGTTAGAGAATGGAGATTGATCTTACTTTGCAAGGTTGGAGATGAGCTTGAAGTTATCAACCACCTGAGAACCAGCAGCAGCGCCGCCCTTGATGCCAACAGAAAGCACACCACCAAAGCCACGCTTCAGGTACTTCTTTGCCAGCTCATGACTGGGGTGGTCCTCCAGGCCGGGGTACGAGACCCAGCTCACATTCTCATTTTGTTGCAACCATTTCGCCAAGGCAAGAGCGTTGGTGGCGTGACGCTCGCAACGCAGACTAAGGGTTTCCAGGCCGAGGATCAGCTGCTGAGCAGCGAAGGGGTTCAGGGTAGAACCGAGGTCGCGCAGAATCTCAACGCGCACTCTGATAGCAAATGTGATAGGGCCGAAGGTTTCCCAGAACTTCAGACCGTGGTAACCCTCAGATGGTTCGACGAACTGTGGGAACCGAGCAGCGTTCTTCCCCCAGTCAAACTTGCCACTGTCGATGACAACACCGCCAACGGTGGTGCCATGACCACCGATCCACTTGGTGGCACTGTGCACAACAATATCGGCGCCGTGGTCAATTGGGCGGGCAAAGTAGCCACCTGCGCCGAAGGTGTTGTCAACCTAAAGGAAGTGTCATCAGCTATCTATCCCCGTAAGTGAGAGAGGAGGGGGAGGAGGGGAGTACATACCACAACTGGGACACCCTTCTCGTGGGCAGCCTTGGCAATCGCTTCAAAGTCAGGAACATTGTAGCGGGGGTTGCCAATGGACTCCACGTAAACAGCCTTGGTGCGATCATCAATCGCGGCGATAATATCCTCGGGCTTGTCGCCGTTGACAAACTTGGTATTGATACCCAGGCGAGGGAGCATCACCTTGAACTGGTTGTAGGTGCCACCGTACAGGTTGCTCGTAGAGACGATGTTGTCTCCGGCATGGGCGAGGGCCGAGATAGCCATGAACTGGGCTGCCTGGCCGGACGAGGCCGCGACGGCGGCAACACCACCCTCGAGAGCTGCGATACGCTTCTCAAACACATCCACTGTTGGGTTCATGATTCGGCTGTAGATGTTGCCGAACTCCTTGAGGCCGAAGAGCCTGGCGCCGTGGGCGGAGTCATTGAACACGTAGGAGCTGGTCGCGTAGATGGGGACAGCCCGTGAGTTTGTAGTTCCGTCGGGCTCGTGACTTGGGTTTTGGATTAGCCATGCCTCTTGCGTTCGGAACGGAAACTCTTACCCAGCGTGAAGCTGCAGAGTGTCGAAGTGGAGATTCTCAGACATTGTGAAAATGCGGGGAACCTCAAAGCCAATGGGTTTCAGAGCAAAGAATAATGAGATACAATGTCCTTTTGGAAGGAATCAAAAGACTTAAATAGAGGGGGAGATCCCAATGCCGCGATTCGCAATTCTGGCGGGGGGCTGATGGCGTGATCGTATTTGTATGGACTTCGCCCACTTGGGTAACTGCATTTGATTCGATCTTCTGTTTTCTTCCTTCAAGACCTCATTTAAGACCTTTGAACAGAAGTACAATAGCCAATGTGGTGAGCTCGTCTCGGTGAAATGCTGCTTGTAGATCTTCCTGTTCAACGGTGCGAATGTCATACGTTGGTCCCTTTGAGTGGCACGGTGTCATGGACTGGCTGTGATAGGCCCATCTATACTTCTGCACCGTCTGTAGATCTGTCGCAAAGCTTGCATTCCCAGTTCTCCCCCAAACTGGAGGGGTCTCTTCTCTTTTTTTTTTAAAAAAAAACAGACAATACACATACGATCTTGGATTCTCACAAGCTAGGGGTATTGTCATCTTGGACGAAGTCTATTCGTCAGAAACCAGGAGTAAACAAAGGTTAAGTTGCTTTCCTCGGCGCTGAGAGACATGTCTGGCGTCAACCGGGACCTCAGCACCTTGTAATCCCACGAATACGGCCATTCTGAGCTGGGAATCTTGGGAACCAGCTAGGATTGAACTACTAGATCTAGATGAATCTCACTGCTGTAGTAAGGTGTCTAGGACTTGAACATCCTATATTGTCCCCACGGAATCAGGTAGTAGTCAGGGCTCAATGCGCTCTGATTTAAACACCGCATATAGGAGTGACTTAGGTGGCATTAATAATTTCTTGTATCTAGATTGGCTACCAAAGGGCACAGTGCATGTTACGGACGTGGAGTTGAGCAGTGAACAGGAATCACAATGGGTCTTAATGATCCGCCATATGTAGTCATTGTGGCTATCCTTCTCATATCCAATGGTAAGATGGCCGAGTTGGTCCAAGGCGCCAGGTTAAGGTATACCTTAACTCCACAACTAGCAATAGTTTCCTGGTCTCGAAAGGGGCGTGGGTTCGAATCCCACTCTTATCATCTTCTTTTTGTTTTTGTTCCTACTTCGTATAGATCCAAGATCCCATGTGGGGACCATGTCTGGTTTGTTTTCCTCTTTGTGTCAATCCTTTGGTTGTGAACTGTGGTGTTTTTACCTTTAGGCGTTGGCAGTTACTAGTTAAGCACATTGTACGGAGTAAACGATTTCGCTATTTATTGGTAGCTGCGTACGGGAGTACTCGGCCTTGGATTACGGCTTTTGCCTATAAATGAGTAACAAAAAAGAAGTCTCTAGGGCATATTAATTAATGAATACGTCAATCCCACCGCGAACAAAATCAACGTGCCATCAATTATCGCCCAAAAAACTGAACGAACAAAAAGATATGACAAGAGTGGGATTTGAACCCACGCCCCTTTCGAGACACGGAGACAGTTATGAACCATCGGGATCAGGTTGACCTGAACCGTGCGCCTTAGACCAACTCGGCCATCTTGCCAATTGGATGGAAGAAATGGGGGTTTTTCGCATTATCAACTAATAGCCACCACTGAGCAATTTCATAAGGGAATGTCCAAGGTTTACCTAGGTGTGTAGCTAAAGCATCCATTCTGTAGGACTAGCGCTGCAAAGCACACGTGGGATCTTAACCGATTCATATATCTGTTTAATTCTTTTTTCGTATTGCCTATTCCTATTTCTAGTTTTATATCCAGGCTGTCTCCAGGTTGTTCATTTACTGATATAATTAGTATGGTTGGTTAGTATGGTTGGTTGGTCCGTATAGAGCCACACTTCCCACTTCCAATCTGTCTGCTTTTCTGGCCGCAGGCTACGAAGCCTCCATTGGTGTGCCCTACTTTCCTCTCTCTCCTCCCAGGAGATGACCCAGTGAGAGTCTGAGATCATTTTGTATGACTTGGCTTGTACCCAGAATGTCTGCTTCTCTCCCGTTTTCTGGCGCATTCGCCTCATGCTCAACTATAAGAACATCCTATATCGGGAAATATGCTTGGAATTTCCGGATATTGAGCCTACATTGGAAGCACTGTGTTACATCCGCCGTCTGACGCTCTTATTTGTCGTCGGCCCTCTTCTCTGCCTTTTCGCGAAACCGCCATCTCGGTGCCTTTCGATGACGTGAGGACACAACCCGCGGTATATAGCTAAGGTTGAATTCTCCAGCGGTTTGAGCCCACGGGCGTCCGCATCCGGGTCCAAATATACGGCCCCCGTCATTCAGCATGTGCCAGCTAGCACATGCATTATGGACTCGGTTCCCATCGCGCGGTTCCTCGACTCAACGTACCCACTCCTACCAGCGCCACTGACATCGAGCTGGGCCGCGATATTGAAACCAGAGCACACGCCAGTATCGCCACTGTTCTGTATTTCTCATTGGTGCCATGCGAGATTCACATCTTGTCACCGCGCTCGCGGGAATATTTCCGGCCCACGCGCGAAGACTCTCTCGGGCACCCTCTTGAGGTGCTTCTCGATGGAGACAGGGAGGAGCGGGTTGGGAACCAGGTAAATGATGCGATGAGCGCTGTGTGTGAACTTGTGCAGATGCATGGGGCCGAGGGGCCATCTGTGCTTGGTACTCAGCCCGGTAACACTGATTTCTTCGTTGCGGGATCTCTTCGATCTACGAGGATGGTGGGTGAAGGGATTTTCGGACCAATGGTCAAATATCCTGGTTATGGGAGGATTTACGCTTGCCTGTCTTGTATGCGGAGGAAAGATTAAGCAGCTGGTCTCACCTGGGCATGCCTCGAATAACCATAGAACCCAACGTGTGGATATGCGTCGATGGGCTGTACATATATTCCTCCATCGAGGTATATATAAAAACAAAAAAAAGACTAAATTTATATCGAGCTGTGCAATGATCTCTTTGGGTATCGACATATTATTATCCACGCAGTCCCGTAATATCTCCAAGATCAACATTGGAAGACATAGAATGAGGGAACAATAGTGAAGTCAATAGTACTATGTAGCCTCGCTAGGGTCGCTTACATTTATATAACCAAAATAGCTGGCCTCTTCCATCCAATTGGCAAGATGGCCGAGTTGGTCTAAGGCGCACGGTTCAGGTCAACCTGATCCCGATGGTTCATAACTGTCTCCGTGTCTCGAAAGGGGCGTGGGTTCAAATCCCACTCTTGTCATATCTTTTTGCCCGTTTGATTTTTTGGGGTCTTAGAATCGGTGATTTCTGATCACAAAATAACCACGGAGGCTAACCAGGCAATTTCCTAGTCCCGTTCAAGCGCCCCGAAGGTGTGGTCTTCTACTATTTTTGTTCTCAATGCACTGTAGGTCGGAAGCTGGCTACATATGATTTCAACGAAGGGGTCTGTAAAAGTATGGTCGCAAGAGGGAAAAGGAAGAGTACTGCGCGGAAAGGATCAAATAAAAGATACGATGTACGTATATAGGTGGGCAGGTATAGCGTGTATATAAAGAGGAACCAGGGCATCCCCAAGAAATGCCACTAGAGAAAGCTAAAAAAGTCATATCGATGAGCCTGCAGCCGCAGACACCGACTTCCCAGAGCCACAAATGATAAAACGGCCAAAAGCCAAAAAGAATCTTCAATATGCTACAGGAATAGACTGGTTCTATGTACAACCCCCGAACCAAGCCTAAGAAGAATGGCCAAATGCCAAAAAAGAACACGAAGAAAGACAAAGTCGAATAAGAATAAGCGGCAGAGCTTCTACAGCTTGGCCCGCGGGGCAGATTGCTCCTCGTTGGCCTGCTCGTAGAGCTGGTCCAAAAGGGCCCGATATACCTTGACGGTGGGCGGACGCTTGAGTTTGAGACTGGAAGTTAGGAAACCAAGTTAGCAATGCCAAGAATACGAATATGGAGGCATGAAAATAAACGAAAACTTACGTCGGGGTCAGCAGATTGTTTTCCACGGTGAACGGGTCTAGTCGGAGAGCGACATTGCGGACTCTTTCGTAGCCAGCAAACTTATGCTTCTTGGCGACGCGTTCAAGGTCGCGAAGCACAGCACGGCGCACCTTGTCATCATTCAGAGTCTCCTTGATCGCTTCCAGGTCGGTCGGGTCAATGGTCTTGCCCAAGACCTTGCTAACATATGGAGCGAACATGTCGGGTGCGACACCAAAGACACCAACAAGGAAGGTTTGCATGCTGTCACCGTGGACATAAGCCTGGGCGACATAGCCAAGCTCGGAGAGAATGACACCCTCCAGACGCTCAGGGGAGATATACTCGCCCTGGGCGAGCTTGAGCACGTTCTTGCGACGGTCGATGATAATGAAACGGCCCCTGTCGTCGACAGTGCAGACATCACCAGTGCGGAACCAGCCATCCTCAGTGATAGCCTTTGAGGTCTCTTCCTCGTTCTTGTAGTACTCGCGGAACATGTTGTTGCCGCGCAGCAAAAGCTCACCACGTGGGAACGGCTTGTCATGCACTGAGTACTCCATGTCCGGCAGGGAGACCAGGCATGCCTCGACGCAAGGTGCAAGAGGACCACAGTTACCAGAGGTCAGATCGTCACTTGCCTGAGCGGTGGCTGAGGCGTAGGACTCGGTTAAACCGTAACCCTGTAAGACATCGGTGCCGGTGGCGACACGCAAGAAGTTGTGCAAGGTCGGGTCCAAGGGTGCAGAGCCAGACACCATATACCTGGCTCGCTCCAAACCGAGAGCGGCGGCCACCTTCTTGGCCCAGAGACGATCGTACAGGGCGTGTCTGATTGTCGCCTTGGAGGGATCGGGGTTCTTCATGTTTGCGGTCTTGGCCGCAATGATGTGCCGCGAAAGAGCACCCTTGAACCCGGGCTGCTCGACCGTGGCGGCACGAACTGCAGTGCCGAATCGGCTGTAAAGGCGAGGAACCGACATGAAACCAGTGGGCTTCAGCAACTTCAGATCATCAACTAGCTCCACAATATTTCCGTGGAAATAACCAATTCGTCCACCACCCCAGAAAGCAGTGTGCTCTGCTAAACGAGCATAGATGTGGGCTAGCGGCAGGTAAGAGCACATGGTGTCACCACGGCCCTGACTAACAGTGATCAGACCACAGGATGTGGCGGCAACAGCATTGCCGTGCGTCAGAACAACACCCTTGGGAGCACCGGTCGTGCCGGAGGTGTAGTTAATGGTGACAATATCCGAAGCAGAGGGGACGTTATACCCGCGCTTCGAGGCCAAGCCCAGCTCCTCAACCTGATCAATGGAGTAGATAGCGAGGTCCTGACCGGCAGCCATAGACTCGAGCAGGGCACGCTTAGAGTGACCATTTTGCTCACCCCCATCCAAGGGGTCCAGGCTGATGATAATCTTCAGGTTCGGAAGAGACGACTTGAGCTTAAGCAGAGTCGGGATATGGGGAAGAGAGGTGACAACGCAGCTCAGCTCAGCGTGGTTGATAATATATTCGGTAGCGTCCGGCGCCAGGACATCATAGATAGAGACGGAATAGAGAGATTGGGAAACGCAAGCCAAGTCTGTATGAAGTTGAAAGTTAGCCTTTAATATCTTAATATTCCCACACTCGCAATCCAACTCACCGGTAATCTGCCACTCTGGGCGGTTCTGAGCCCAGAGACCGACACCATACTGGCCAGAGCGATGACAGTTATGCTTGTGGTGCAGCTCCACTATACCAGCACCCAGAGCGGCACGCCTCTTCTGGACGGTCTCGTATGTGAGCCACTGGTATGGATCGAAGGACTTGGTCGTGGAGTTATATGGACGCCATCCAAGGCAGTGACTTTTGGGCTGACGGTTGGCGGTCTGTTCAAACATATCATGGGCCGTGGTGACCTAGACGCGGTCAGTACCGGATGTGACCGCAATTATGGGCGATCCTCCATACCTGGGGGTCCAGAGTCGCCAGAAGTTCCTTCTGCGCATTCCATGCTCGGTATACCGGACTGCGGTCAGGCAGTTCAGTACCGGGAATGGGAACAGAGTAGGCACCACCCTTTGGGGGCGCTTGCTTCAGCTCTGTGGCCTTGGCGATATGAGGAGGTTGTGAAAAAAACATGTTTATCTATCTGAGGCTTGGGATCAGAGAGTCCGCAGAAAAGATAGAAGGAAAAAAAAGAACCCAGATCTAAGTAAAAGAGAGGGAACCAAAGGACGAGCCTCCCGACTAATTTAATAAGGGGGCAAGGAGTGTGGGGGAGGAGACCGGAGTCGTAGAGCGAATCCGGAGCAAGCGACTCTTTTGGACATATCTCCCAGGTGAAAGACATGAGCCAGGACATTGTACCTCGGCTTGTTTCCGGGTACTTCCTCTAAGGTGGCGCTCCCCATATTGCGGCAGGTACCTGTGCCAAGTGGGCCCGTGCTTACATACTCATCTGCACAACTCACATGCTCTTTTTCGCTTTTCACGTGGAGACCGAGCTCGACTTTATGCGCGTGAATATGAGATGTGAAATATAGAATATAGAATATGTACTAGAATGGACTATATACGATGGATGTAGATGTACAAGATATAACTGAACGCCTCGCCATGAATCTTGCCAAAAAAGAGAGAGAGAAAAAAGACATGGATCACCCGCAGATCCAGTTCCATGTCTTGCCGTACCATGTAGTCGGCTCAATAGTTTCCCAGGTCTCGTTGTCGGCACTTGTGCGGCCAGTATCCAAGTCAGCCTCGATAGGCTTGACAAAGGCGGAGCGGAAGACGATCTTGTGTCCCGCATATAACACCACGAATAAGATCAAACTCAGGTAATTGATAAAGAAGTCCCTGACCTTGAAGTGCCCGACGAAGGCAGGGAATCCTTGGGTTATAATGATCAGAATGTTGAAGAACAGTCCGTACCATGAGAACCAGGGTTGCCAGATGGCCTTGTAAGGCAGGACATCCCGAGAGATGTTGCGAGCCTTGAGCGCCCGCTGGAAAGCGAGGTGACAGGCGTTCAGTGAAGACCAGGTGATGAAACCAGCAACACCAGAGATCTGAAGCAACCAGGTAAACACGGTGCTGCCTGCGTCAGAGACGTTCAAGAATCCAAGCAGACCAAAGGCTGCGGTGAAGAGCACACTGTAGTAAGGAACACCGTGCTTGGAGGTCTTTTTGAACCAATGAGGAGCGAAACCCTCCTGCGCAAGACCAACTAAAATACGACTACCACTGTAGACGTTGGAATTGGCCGCAGAGAGCACCACCGTCAGAAGGACACCGTTGATGATACCGGGGAGAGCCATAACATGGGCACGATTGGCGGCAATAACAAACGGCGAAGCATTTGCATTTTGAGCACCGGCACCGCTGCCCTCGCTAGCCAAGAGACCTTCGTCGTTGGAAGGTACAACAATTCCGATGAAGAAGATGGTAAGGATGAAGAAGAAGACGATACGGAAAAAGGTCTTGCGGATAGCAGACGGGACGGTCTTGCGAGGGTTCTCTGTCTCACCGGCCGCAATACCGACCAGCTCGGTGCCCTGATAGGAGAATCCGGCCTGAATCAGCGTGGACCAGAACCCAACAAACTTGGCCAACGAATCGTTATCCGCGACTAGATAGGGGACGAATGGACCAGGGTGCACCCAGTACCGGAAACCGATATACCCTTCAGCTCCAACACCGGCATTCATGCAGATAGAGAAGATCATGAAGCCGACCACGGTGATGACCTTGATACTCGCAAACCAGAACTCAATTTCACCATAGAAGCTAACGGGCATCATGTTGAAAGCGATAATCACAACCCAGAAGACGGCGATGAAGATAGCGATCGGAATGGTATCGTCCCAGTATTGGATGATCAGACCGGTTGCGGTCAACTCCAGCGCAAAGGTTGATGCCCAGGAGAACCAATAAATCCAACCCATCGCGAAGCCCAAACTGGGATCAATCAGACGAGCCGCGTATGAGGTGAACGCGCCAGGAATCGGAATATATGTCGCAATCTCTCCGAGGGCGGTCATGACGGAGTATACGATGGTTCCGACAAAGATATAGGCGATCAGAGCGCCAACGGGGCCTCCATGAGCAATGGCTGTTCCACTACCAATGAATAAACCGGTACCGATTGTGCCGCCTTCCAAGATCGTTAACTTTGAAAATTCTCTCCACGTCGACGATATCTCTTACCGATGGCAATCATCTGAAGATGCCTGCTCTTCAGCTTCCGCTTGAGTTCGGGCAGCGGGTTTGCCTCGCGCTGGGCACCGTGCTTTTCGTAGTCGACATCATAGGCGTCAGGACTTGGTTCTGGGACCTGCACGGGTGTCTCGGTGCTCATCTTTCCCTTGAAGGTGACAGTCGACTTGTCACGATCCATTTCTGCCTATGAGCGATGGGGATAGGGCTTGAGACAAGGGCTTCCAGACTCCAGACGGGGTTACAGAGGAGAAAGAAGAGATTGGAGAGAGGACCAACTGCAACGCGCAAGTACCCACTCGATTAAGCCAACGGGTGCCTCCGAAGACGGGCTGTTCGCAGAGTGTGGAGCAGCACGCGAGACTGCCAGACCCTGCTTCGATGAGTGGAAATACGTTATGTAAAAGAATAGAAAAGGCGAGACATAGGATGTTCTTTCTTTTTTATTGAACTATTCCCCAGGATTTGATCTGAATTTTTAATTTTTAATTTTTATCCATTTTTTCCAATTTTTTCTCGCCAATGCGACTGGGTCGAGATATCGCCGGTGGGCCGTTTGCCGGGAAAGAGTTTTTCGCAGGTGGCGACTCTCGGGGATTTCATTGGGGTCGTCGTTCATGTTCTGGTTTTTTTCTTTGTCTAGTGGATTTTGATATCAATTGCATATTCCGTACATGCCTGCTTGTTGATACAATCAGTATCGCTCGCCGTTAACTAAGTATATAGGTCATGTTGTAGGTCGATCGTCGAACCCGGTGTATCTATGAACCGATCTCAACTGCGGGATCTCGGTCCTATCTGGGGAGTCCGCACGTTGCTCCTGTTTGCTCTGTTGCTCTGTTGCATGGAATGTGATCTATGCAATATGAAATACTCGGTAGTGAGAGTCTCGTGGCTGAGAATAAGAGTCTGATCCTTCATCCTTCCCGCGTTCTACTGAGCCACATACTTGGCAGCGGATTTCGGCCGATTCGGCATGCCGTTTGCGGCGATAAAGAAAAGAAATGACAGAGAATCTCTGTTTTCAATTGTCAGAGTGCAATTAGACTAAATTTCAAGCAGGGAGAACTCCGTAAGCGTGTTAGTTCCTCAACAGGGTATCGCGTCCTACTAAATACCAAAAACCGCCATTAATCACGTTCACCTATTATTCCTTCATGACATTGAACCATGATCTCAGATGCTTGCTGGGAAGCGGAAACAGAAACAATCAATCCTAAATCCAAAGCCCCAAAAAAAAAGAAAAAAGACCAAGCATTAAACTCCGATGTGCACATTCGAATGCGGTTTTGGAGTGTCTCCACTGCGATGATGTCGAAGATCGACAATCGCAAAATACGTGGTCACCGCAAAAAGCACCCTATACCACAGTCAATTTTCTGTACCATCTACACCGGTCTCTGCAGGCCGACAAAAAAACGAGATTCAACTGAAAATACCAAGCTTACCACTCAAAGGCCCCAAATATTGTTGCTGCCTGGAGCGAACTGCATGCACTCGAGTGACACCACCTGGGCGGAGGCAACATTGCCCCCATAGCGATAAACCCTGCAAACCAGAAGATCATAGTGATCACTTCAACCGCCGGCATCGCATAGCGGTGCGCTAGGCGAGGGAACCATATCGGCGCGAGGGCCAGGTAGGGCACCGCGACAAAGGCAGTCCAGCAGCCGAGGAAGAGGAGGAAGTTGACGGTATCTGAATATGACCATCCATGGTAGAATGTGGAAACCACTACACTTGGTCAGCATCCGCGCTTAGATTGCGACTTGATTCCAGAGGCAACAGACCATATCCTGTTAGCCCGATCACGATCACTCCAAAGACTGCTTGCACGATTCGGACAGGGTATATCCACGGGAGAGTCATGGTCAATATGAATGTTAGAGGAAAGATAGATGTGGGCTGTGATGCAGATTATGTAGCTTGATGATCTGCGGGGCTGGCGTCAGAAAAGACATCTTGGAGGGAGTGCAGGCAAGGTATGGCAAGGTATAAAAAAGACGCAGGGATTGGGCAGCCACCGGCGTCGCGCCAGCGTCATTAATATTGGCAAGACTTGGCAATGGCTTTGACATCGATAGGGCTGACGTAGGGGCATAAATACCTCCAGGGCTACATCGTTATATGTAGGTACTATGTATGTGCCTATGATATCTCGTGTGCTTTGCTCCTTGACCGTTGACAGGGTGATTTGTTTGATACCCCGAACACATCCTCTTTGATGCGCTTAAACTACTGCCTAGGCATTATATCTATTTATACATTCTGCCTTGAGCTTTTTTGTGCTGCCTACATTGGATCCTACAGTGCTTAGCGCTAGGCTCGTATAGATTCTTGGCCAATCCATGTGGAGGACACATGCCAGCCGTCGATCACGGAACCTGACCAACACCCATCTCAGGATTGTAGGTATATAAAGTACCTGGTTTTGTTGCACTGGAAGAGAGAAGGAGCAGTCGAAAGCCATCCTTACAATGAGATAAATATCCAACAGATAACCTTCGTATGCGCATGTTTACAGAATGCCTAGACCAAGAAAAAAATAAGCACGTGGATGTCATTTGTATCAATTCATCGCTCGTGCGCCTGTACAGATTTATACAACTCCTCCCAGCCTCCATGATATCAACGTAGCCAATCAATAATCGCGGAATACAGCAACCATATCATCCAAGCGAGACACTTCTGCCAGCAACAAGGCCTCCTTAGCCTTCCAGTTACGGAGATGCTCCAACTCGGCCTCCGAGAGGAATTCCTCTTCGTGACCCTTGACGTCGGTTCGTTCCGTCTTGTCGAGGAAATCCCTCTCACGACTTCGTTCGAACTTAATGCGTTGCAAGCATCGTGACATGGCTTTATAAGTATCTTCTGTAATGCTGCTGCAGACCCGATCGGGATCGTAGTACCAGAGGTAGATAGTCTTGGAGGGCTGGCGCTGCGCATCACGCGGCACTTCTTGCAAGTCTACAAACCCCCCAGTCTGCATACTAGCAAGCGTTTGGCGCAGATCTTTGAAAGGCAGCAGACTAATTTCTTGGAGCCGTTTCTCATCCAGCTTGCCCTTGGCGTGGAGGACACGAACCACACGCAGTGCCACATCCCCATACCGCGATTCGATCATACGTTCCAGTTCTAGGTGGCGGAGCTTGCGGGCCAGGCCTCGGAATGCAACGCGCCACGTCGGGAGGCCAGAGATGACATGTTTTGTAGTGAGGTTGAAGGGGGTTGTGAGAGAATGCTGAGGTGCTGGTCGATCTCGTAGGCGCGATTCTGCCCGCTCGGTTCGTCCTCTTGCTCATCACCATTCACGCCATTCGTCCCATCATCCAACGGCCGCTTGCCGCGCCGGTTGACCACAGTTGTGGGTTCCATCGGGCCAATACACCCTGCGAGATCCAGATGCGGGTCAACATCCTCGACGACTAAATTGAGTTGGATTGGAGCAGAATATTGTTCGCCTTCTTCTCCTTCGCGTGGGATCTCGTACGAGTCTCGACAACGGGGTGTTTGATATTCAATGCGCCGAAGCAGACATTCGTAAATCTCAACTGATGCAGGAGGTGCGTCTTGCTCAGCTAGCTCAAGGAACCTCACATTTCGAAGCGCAACATCGAGTTTATCGTAGTTCACTCGAACGATGAGGTTAGACTGTGGCGGATGTCAGCGCTTGATACGTAGTCATGTCAGGGGAATAAGAAGCGAGCTTACATCCATCGGAATTGAGTCAAGGCCATCTTCATCTTCCGACCAATCGTTCTCCTCCTCTTCTTCGTCATCTGCATGGTCCCCGTTGACACCGTTGGTACCACTCATGGTCTGAGGATTGGAGTCCGCGTTGGAATGGTCACGTTTCCTTTTAACACCTTGAGGGACGCCATTGTACATTAACCCACGGCTCAGATCTCCTTCAGTTCTTTCTTTGACCATATCCTTTGCTTTCTCCTCAATCTCAGCTGCTTGTTGTTTGCCCTTCATTTGTTTGACATCTGGCCTAGATGAGATGATTCGAGATGCATCAAGCCAGTTGTCATTGGGGCTCTGGAAATGCGCCTCTCGAACTCGATGGATATATCCGTGGGATGCAAGACCCTTCAAGGTGGGGTGAAGACGCGCCGGTTTCTCGTCCAGAACATGATCGCCGTTAGACACACCGGTCTCGTCTTGAGTATCTCCATTTTGCTCATGTTTGATCTCATCGTGGTCGGTCCCGTTCGGGATGTGCTCCTTTATAGATTGAAGCTCGGGAAGCGTCTCGAGGTGGGCGATCGAGGTGTGGCCGAGAGCCATAATAGCTTCCAGGACCTGTGCCGCATATTTTCCTAGCCGAGCTTCAACAAGCTGGAGAATCTTCCCGGAACGCACGAGGGAATACGCAGCTTGTGGGTTAGCTTCGTAGTAGGTGTTGCCGTCATCGAGGGAGGTGAAGTGATAGATAAGATGGTGCTGGATCATCGCAGAAAGGCCATGATGCAATTGGCGATCTGTTAGACGAGCGTAGAATCTAAGCCGAGGAAGCGTTAATCTTTCATAACGGTGAAGGACGGAGAAAATGCGCTGCGAAAAGTTGACTAGTCAGTCCCGCTTCTTCCCCGCTGTCGCAATGTATCATAGCAGCCCGAGGGTCTGCGCAGAATGACTCACGGCGAAGAGCTCTCCAAAATTATCTTCAATTAAGAGCGTACAGAGCTCCGCGGAGCACTGAGTGCATATTAGTAAATAGCTCTCTTGTGGTCGGCGGGACAGTCGCATACCTGGGACATCATGGTGGGCAATGAGATTAAAGATATTCACCGGCCTCCAAACCTCGCGAGGGGCAATCAAGGTCACCGAGGGTTCATGGAGAAGTTTAGCCAGCAGAGATCTGCAAGTCCAAAATTCTGATATGCGATGGGTTGCAGGTCCCCACGGTCTTTTGCCTTTTTTTGCTTATCGGTATATTCACGTGATATACAAATCAGGTGATCCGGGTGCGGCCTGAATTTGAAGGAAACGTGGTCTGGGAATAACGACCTCGGGACAATAAAGAGAATCAACAAAATAAGGATCATTCAAATAGATCGGAGATATAATTCTAATCATAATATTCTTTGTATCTATAAACACCTAGCTGAAGACACCTGCCGAACAAAAGTAACTCCGGTTCCGTCCGCGCTTTTGATTACTTGATCGCTGATTGGCTGGAGTGACGAGTCGGGATCTTGAAGCTTTTCGTGACCTCCAAACTGCCTCTTCTCTCCTGCTCTCTCCGCATCCCACCTCCTCCCCCGCCTCATTTGCGCCTCTTTCCAGACCCAATTAGGGTTGTTATCTCTTCTTCTTCCCTTTGCACATCTTTTCGGCACAGGCGACGATGCTGTCGCGGTCTTCCCTCAGCCGAAATGCGCCGCGTGCGTTCTCCGCCGCCGGCCGTCGGTCCATGGCCTCCGCTGCCAACCCTGCTTTCCAGTACGATGTCACCGAAGCCTCCGGTGTGAAGGTCGCCAACCGTCAAGTTGACGGCCCTACCGGCACCCTGGCCCTGGTTGCGAAGGCTGGCTCCCGTTACCAGCCCTTCCCTGGTTTCTCCGATGCTCTCGAGCGATTCGCTTTCAAGGTCGGTCCCATGTCATCAATTGATTCATCCTGATACAACTTGATGATACTAATCATTCAATTTCCCAACAGACTACCCTCAAGCGGTCTGCACTGCGGATCACCCGGGAGACTGAGCTGCTGGGCGGTGAAATCTCGTCAACACACTCGCGCGAAAACGTTGTCCTCCGGACCAAGTTCCTCGCCAAGGATCTCCCCTACTTCACAGAGCTGTTGGCTGAGGTCGCTACCCAGACCAAGTTCGCAGGTGAGTCGATCCATTTTGCTGATTGGTGGTTGATGGAACGCTATCATATGAGCGTCATTTACTAACTCGAAGTCCTGGATGATATCAGACCACGAATTGAACGAGGTTGTCAGCACTCTCCTCAAGTACAAGCAGCAGGCCGTTCACTCCAACCCGGAGACCGTTGCTCTCGATGCTGCCCACGGCGTCGCTTTCCACCGCGGTCTGGGAGCCTCTATCACCCCCTCCCAGACTTCTCCTTACGAGAAGTACGTCTCCGGCGATGCCCTGGCCGAGTTCGCTCAGAGTGCCTACGCCAAGTCCAACATCGCTCTTGTTGCCAGCGGCCCCAACTCCGCTGAGCTCTCCAAGTGGGTTGGCCAGTTCTTCAAGGACACACCCACCGGCAACGCCTCCAGCCAATACAATGTCCTGCCCTCCGTGGCCTCCAAGTACTTCGGTGGTGAGCAGCACATTGCCTCCAAGATCGGTAACGCTGTTGTGATCGCCTTCCCCGGCTCCAGTGCCTTCGGCACCGCGGGCTACAAGGCCGAGGCTTCCGTTCTGGCTGCTCTTCTGGGCGGCGAGTCCACCATCAAGTGGACCCCTGGCTTCTCCCTTCTGTCCCAGGCCACCAAGGGCTTCAACCAGCTCCGTGTCTCCACCCAGAACAACGCCTACTCCGATGCTGGTCTTTTCACCGTCACCCTGTCCGGCCAGGCCGACCAGGTCGCTGCCGCCAGCAAGAACGTCGTTGACGCCCTCAAGAAGGCTGCCGCCGGTGAGGTCGCTTCCGAAGACATCAAGAAGGCCATCGCCCTCGCCAAGTTCCGCGCCCTGGAGTCCGTTCAGACCCTCGATACTGGTCTTGAGGCTACCGGCTCTGGCCTGATCCACGGCAACAAGGCCTACCAGATCAGCGAGATTGCTGAGGCTCTCGAGAAGGTCTCCGAGCAGCAGGTCAAGGAGGTACGTAACTATCCTCACCCCCGCAACATTGAAGTTATAATACTAATGGTTTTCTCCAGGTCGCCAACACCTTCCTGACTGGCAAGGCCACCCTCGTTAGCGTTGGTGATATTCACCAGCTCCCCTTCGCCGAGGACCTCGGTCTGACCGTTTAAAATCCCTGTATACATTATACCGTAGAGGGGAAAAGCCCTGTTCCCTTCATTCTGGATTTGATGTGACCACTTGTGCCTAGACTCATTGCCGATATCTCCTTTGTTCTTTGATGGTGTAGTTGACTGTAATACAATTGTACCTTATCCTTTGACTCTACTATCTTCGGTAGACTTATGGATTTCTTGTCTCGTATCAGCGATGCTATAAAAACTGAATGAGACTTGATCACAAATCCCGATTGTGGCTTGTGTATCACTCTCATATATTTTCCCGACTGATTGCCTTCCCCGTGCATATCAATTGCATTGTACCTGCGTCCTTCTATACAGGGCATAGTTGAACGATGTACGGCATGTTCTACAAAACGGTTCAGGCGACGATAGGAGAATTCGATGAGCTAGTTGTTGATTAAACCTAACGACATCTCCTGTACTCCGTACGGAGTACTCTGTACACGTCTGTAGATATCCCCGGAGTGTTTGTTGCCCTAATATTCAAGACACAAATAACAAAAGGATACAATTTCCACAACTCTTAGTGCCTGCTCTCGTAGCCACATTGCAATAAGAATCCATCATCGCCCAAAAAATCGAACGGGCAAAAAGATATGACAAGAGTGGGATTTGAACCCACGCCCCTTTCGAGACACGGAGACAGTTATGAACCATCGGGATCAGGTTGACCTGAACCGTGCGCCTTAGACCAACTCGGCCATCTTGCCAATTGGATGGAAGAGGGCGCTCATTTCAAAATTATAATCCAGTAACATGATGCGGCTCAAGAAGTATTTCGTGTGTTTCAAAACAATGGTACTGCATGGGATTGCTCCCTTTTTTATGAGAGATTTGACTACCTACGGCCCTGTCCGATCAACTCCCATGACTTGGTTAATTGCTTACACAATTGATGGCTTTGTATAATCTGGATGTAGGGCAGGACATTGTACAAAACAATCCATAAAATTGTTCACACCGAAATCGGAGTCGAGTATATGTATGTAAAGTTATCCCTATTCGACTATGCTATGCGGCCGAGAACTGCGAAGATAATAGTCACAGAGCCATACACCGGCCACATCAGACGCTGGGAGGGTGGGGAGGAGGGGTGGATAGGAAAGACCTCCAGATGAAAGAAAAGCATCCACACTGCTCGATGACAATTGACGAACTAAAAAAGGAGGAACAAAAGAAAGAAATCTTAAGCCAACAACGCCCACACTCATATCTTCATTATCATACCCGAGTCATCTGTCCAGGTGATCGATTTACCGTTCCATAGTACCGCACCAGTAATCGATCCGGAGATCCGAAAGATATCTGGTCGGCAAACCCCAGGTACGGGCAAGCCAAAGCGCCAACCCACCCACAACCCCCACACTTCCAACAATTCGAACAAGCATCCAGCTCCGGTGGCCGAGCTCGTCAATCCAGCCAACCACACCGAGCGGGTCATTCGGGTTGAAATCCGTGTAGCGATACACGGGCCTGGAACTGGCATGTGAGTGCATGACCTGGAAACCTCCAGGGTTCTTCTCGCCCATGGAGCCATGCAGACCACAGAAGCCAGGTGTCTGCGAGAGAGGCACTAGCGAGCCATCAACAACGCACTCACCCAGCCGCTCAGTTAGCCATACAGCGCGCTCGCCTCGAGACAGCGAGGCGTATCGATCGCGCTCATTCTGCAAGCTGCGCTGCAGGTCGGTCGCCCATTGTGCCAGCCGGATCTGGGCCATGCGCTCCTCGTGTCGGGTGTAGTCCGTGATGCGGGCCATCGCATATCCCGGAGGAGAACCGGCGGATATGGAGGCCCCTGAGACTGAACGCCAACTAGTAGATGCAGTTGACTCACTTATGGCATCATTCGACTGCATATTAGGCAATGAGATTGCCTGAGGCACGGAAAATGAGTCGGTGCGTTGCTGGATGAGTTTCTTTGCGGCAGAATGGCGCATCCAGGCGATGTTGTCACGATCAAACAGTTTCTTGACCAGAGCATCTAGCTCCGAAGCTACAAGTGGTTGTACATAATCTGGGTTCATTAGGGTGCTTGCATCCATTGTTTCTGTGTCGATTGCTTTCTCCGAGGAGACGGCATATGGGGGTTGGGACTCCAGCCTGTCTAGACCGTTCGGTGACCCACCGAACAGGAATGATTTGATGCCGGCCTCGTGGGCTTGCTCGTGGAAGCGAATTTTCAGGGTGTTTATTTGGTGAGAGGTGAGTGCGTCTGCTTTGGATACGATTGGAATTACATTGCTTAGCTCGCAGAGCTTGCGGATGCATTCCACGTCTGCTGAGAGGGTATCTAGACTCACAAAGTCAACACTTGAGGAGCTTGTTCGGGGAAAGCAGTTGCCTAGAAAGACAAGAAGGAGAACTCACCATTAGAAATCAAATATAAGATGACATCCACCTGGGATCCGCCATTTCCTGCTAGCAAGTTTTGGAAATCAACACTAGATCCATTGAGCGCATTGGTAGCACGGAAGAATTGCTGTCTCATATATTGCCCAATAGCATCAGTTTGGGCTGCGCGACTTAGGTTTGTTGCTGGGGTGTCCACGAAGCAGAGGTTCCTCTCTAGGACGACTTCTCCGATGCTTTTCCGACGCTGTAGCACGCGTGAATCTTCCAGATCCGACCACCACGGAGGATAAGGTTTGGTACTAGCATAGATTTCCGTGGTGTAAGTTAATGTCCCCCGATATCGGGGTCTAGAAGGCCTGCGGCGCTCCAAAGAAGTCAGCTGTGGGATGGTGTCGACGTGTACAATATCATCGCATGTCTGAACGATAGACTTGATCAAAGAGGTTTTGCCAGAACCTTTTTCCCGCCCGGAATAATCAGTTAATTGCACGAAGTCTCTGGGATGACGGAAACTCACCAGGGGCACCAGCTAGAAGAAGTTTGAATCGGCCGATAGTTTTGCCTCGCTCGGTGAACGGTCGCCGACTAGGCATTTTGATACTTGGCATGATAAATTGCGAGGCTCCACCCGGGGCCAGACGTGGAGACCCCTGGGGCCTCTCTTCCTCATCTCCAGACCCAACAGCTTGACTATTGATTTCATCTGTGATGGAAATATCATCGAGTGGTCGTAATGACTGGTTGGAAATAGATTTAGGGCTACTGGGCAGCGACGAGGGATCATCAGAGATGCCCAATGTGAGCGGAGTCAAGGGCCGAGACACCGCATGAATGGGAGATGGATGCCCCGACGATTCCTCGGAGTCTGGGTTCAGTGAATTCAATGCTGACCGGGGCAGTGTAAAATGCGATTCTAAATCGTCGGCTGCCTGCTTCAGGCTGTCATTTGCGAGGTGCTCGCAGGCAGAGGATGTGAATTCGGATTGGGATAGAGTGTCATCTAGGCTTTGTACTCCATACATTGTCTCCTTGGCATCTTCGGGGATATCTAGAGATATATTTGATTCATGATCTGAGGGATACGGAGTGCGGGATAGAAAGAAGCTTGTGGGGGCCGTAGTGCGGGGATCGAGGGATGGGGATGAGGGACGATCGTAGGGGGTTTTGTGAGAGAACGGGAGGTCTGGAATAGGTCTCATGATGAAGGCATTTCCCAAAGAGCCCAAGATACCATACCAGTGAACAAGGGAACAAGTGAACAAGTCAGCAAGTCAACAAGTCAACCAGTTCGAATCTCTGGAAGTCTCAAGGTGATCAGGTCATACGCTCCACGTCACGAGGTGATAAACCCCTCTGATTTCTGCCTGAGGTATCTCTGCATCGCATGCTGATGAATTGCTTATATTGCGGATCTTGGGTCAATTGCGTCAAGTGCGTAAATTGCATCCAATGCTTATTTGATTCGACATTGGACATATTTTCCGAAGAGGACTGGAAATTAGACATGTCTGGATGCTTCTACTCCATATCCCCACTGTGGGTTAGGAGAAAAGGAACTAATACCGTGTACAACATACAACGTAGAATAGACAGATGCACCTAACCGCTTCAATTTCGTACTTTTCCCCTCCGACTTTTGACACAGGCGCATGTAGCGCAGAAACCCGGGAAAAGGACCCAAAGAGTCTCTCACACAGTGGCAACCCGTAGTAGCGAGCCGAGCAGGATGTACGGAGTACCGTGTCCGCCCGAATAAAGGTTGATCTCCACCTCCAGGGCACCGTGAGATCTCATTTCCACGATTCCCGGACTCACCTCCTTTCCCCCGGTATCTATCTAGAGTTCGAAGGATTTGATTGTCTTTGGATTGTCTTCTGCTTTCTTTTTTTTGCTTTTTCTCTCGTCATGTCTCATTGAATCCCCAGAATTGACTCAAGATCTTACTTCTCCCCTCACCGGTCTGACTGGCCCCCTCTAATTGAAATTCGCCCCCCTACCAAGATGGAACAGTCGGCCATGTCGTGGCCGGAGCAGCTCCGTGAGAATACCCTCATCACTGCGCCCGGGGACGAAGAGTTCTCCAACTTGTTCGAGTTCAACATACCCTTTCCCGAAGTCGAGCACGGACCAGGGAATATGCAGCATTCTCTACCGACAACCACCGGCCCGGATTCCGATATGGCTCACTTGCGATCAAACCCCGTTCAGTATTCCGTCCAGATGGACGGCCTCATGGAATTTGGCGATCCCACCCAGCCGCACGCGCATCCCGGCCACTCAATGCCTTACTCGACTCCCAGTATGACGCCAGCCTTCTGCGCGCAGGAACCGTCGCCTATGGCGCAACCACCAACGCATCAACATTACATGCAGGGTCAGACCATGATTCCTCCCACTCCGAACAGCATTGAGATGCATGGAAATGCTGCCCGATATCCCCAGCGCGTGGGTGAAACCCCGGATATGTATGACGGATATTCACGCATCAACGAGGAACAGGTTGGTTCAGATGCAAATTCCAAGTAATTCTTTTGACTAACAAACAAGGCTCTCTACACTCCTCTTGTTTCACCAGCTATGACACCCCTGGAGAACCAATTCCGACTTCCCGAATACACAGTCCCTGGCGAATACTTCACACCGCTCACCTCTCCCGCCCTGGAGGCTCAAAATACCGACTCTAGCAGTTACCAGTACCATGCAAGACAGGTGTCGGATATGGGTTTCGTTCCCACTGCTGCGGAGATGAATCCTCTCCCCGGAAACTCGGCTCCACCTTCCCCCAGCATCATTCGGAAGGCCAACGCTCGTCGCCGGCCATCAACGACTACTGCCCGGCTTAACAATGCATTAAAGGCCAAGCAGTCTCCTATTATGCGGGCGCAACGTAAACGTAGCACCTTGGCTACCAATTCGGAAGAGTTTTACAACAGTCTTACCCAGGAGTTGAACTCTACGAAGCCGCAGAACCAGGACATCCGCTCACTCCGGTTCAGCAGCAATGAAGGTTCTGGTCAGGACTCGGTCTCTCCCGAGCCATTGTCAGAACCATTAATGCCTCCTCCAGCTCTTCCTCCCCCGCGGATGTCTCCTGCCATTATCCCTCATTCCCATGCTTCTTCGCCTGGCACTGCTGCAACCCCTGCACTTTTGATGCGCCTTCAACGAAACCAACATTCACAGGACCCTTCGGGCCAGTTCCGCGGTCAAGCGCAGCTTGCAGAACCTGAATTTTCAGATGAGATAATGGAGGATATCTCCCTCCCCGAGGCAGCTGCCTCTTCACAACTACGCCCGAAACCAAGACGCATTGATACTGCCATACGGACCCCTTCGATTTCCACAAATGGAACCCCATTCTTGGATCCTTTGTCTGCGGCATACGATCAACTTCCCAGTACCTCTCTTGCGCCCAGCCCGCGCACAGCTGCAATGCCATCTCCCAGTGGACCGGTCCCTCGGAAATCAGAACCCAGGTCCACATCTAATCGGAAACGACCCAGTTTAAGCTCCACTCAGGCTAGCCCACAGTTGCGACCTAAGATTAGTCCCAGTATCCAGCCACTGATGAAAGGCAACGAGAGTGAGTTATATCAATTGATCACTAGGGAACTTGTACTAATTATATGCCAGGCATGACACAAGATGCCCTTTACCTCGCTTCAAAATCCAATTACCAACATATTCTCGATGGCACTTTGCCTTCAGGTGTGAGCTATCCAGAGGCATTGGCAGAGAATTTGAGCTCCAAGCGGACGAATCACAAGCTCGCCGAACAGGGACGTCGGAATCGTATCAACAATGCCCTCAAGGAGATTGAGCTTCTCATTCCGCAGGAATTCATCGACGCCCGTAACGCCAAGGAAGCTGCACAATCGGGCAGCAAGGTCACCGAAAAGGAGAAAGAGAAAGAAAAGGCAAACCAGGCCATCAGCAAGGCTACCGCGGTGGAGATGGCCATTGATTACATCAAAACCCTCAAGATGACCCTGGATGCAACCACTGCCAGACTGGCTGCCGCCGAGGCCAAGTTGTCAGGCGCGCCTTCCCCGAAGGACTCGGCTTCCAGCCCTAATGTCGCTTGTACTTCCACTACTGAGTCTGAGAAGAACGTGGAGGGCATCACCTCGGACACGGAGTGTTCCTTGTAATCCATACTTCCTTCTTTTAATATAACCTTCGCACCAGACCACACGCTTGCCTAATCACGCAACTTACGTGATGAGAGGAGACCAAGCGACCGGGGTTCCCCCCTTTTCTTCCCTTTTTATGATGGATCTTTCGTGCAATTCTCCTATGATCCATGATTTGTTTTTCGAGATATTTTACTGCGATTTGATAGCGTCGGTGTTCGAACTATGGGGGTGGCTTGTTTTTGTTCCTGCTTTTCTACTTACTGGAGAACTTTTGCCATTTGGCTCTTTTTTAATCTTTTGAGTCGCTCAGGCCTCCCTTTTCCCCCTACTAGACGTAAGCGTTGGTGCACGCCTCTGAGCGGCCTGATCTCTGATGTACGACAGCCCAAACGAGCACCATCAATTGCAAGCCGCTAACTCTCTCCACGTGTAACCCTACGCTGTACCCCTTTAGATTGCCCCTTCTGGCCCCAGGAAGCACTGGCATTCATGTTACTACCTGGAATATTTGCTCGTTAGCTGCATGTCGAATACGCGATGCAGCCTACGATTTAATCTAATCAGTGTTACTATTCAAGGTGCTTCCAAGAACCCCTTGAGGGCCTAGAATGAGGAATATAGTAGGGGACTGAAGTGTACTAATGGCTCCATAGAGGCTCTCCAAATCTTGTTCCCAATCATCGCAGGGGGGGGGGGGGGGGGGGGGGTCCTCCTTTCTTAAGTTAGCAGGGGGAAAACGAAAGGAATTGAAACTAGTACGCAAGATATGTTCGTACTTCCTCTGTTCGAATGTGCTTGGGTCTAGGGTTCGAAAATCTGATGCATGGATTATTTCTAGTACGGTAGCCTAAGTAGCTAGCTAAGTAGGGCCCTCAACGAGGATCATGGGTAGAAGTAAAACTATTTATTAGATATGTATTTAGTCGGTGGCAAAATATCTGTTCAATGGGTTTGAACAGGTAGTCTTCATCTGAATCATCTCTTTCAGTCGTCACGCTACAGTAGCCCAAAAAGATATTTTCCTCCTTCTCGGTCGCCATAGCTTACTCGTTATCCCGAACGTCAATGACAGTCGTCTTGAACTTCCTGGCCGGAATCTTGCGATTGAACAAGATGTCACTTTCACGGTAAGAGCGGTCCTTGAGCTCAGGAAGGAAGAAGTAGGCCGAAATGAAGCAGACGATGGCGGTACCTCCCCAGACATAGCCACACTTGCCGGCAAGATTCCATCCGGTGGTGTTGAGCATCTGCGAGGCAAGGTAGATCATGGGAATTTCGGCAACGTAGTAAGCAGCACGACCGATACCGGTGCTGAGGGCGCGAAGACGGACCGAGGACGTCTCGGAGATAATTGTGTACGAGATGGGTCCGAGGCTACCGGCAAAGACGAAGGAGATTAAGATTCCCAGCACGGCCTGGGCGTAGTTGGTCGCCGAACTCTGGGAGACCGAGGCGCAAACACCGAGAACCATCAGTAGAGTAACGTTGGTCGCTGTGCCCCAGAGGTAGATGGTTCGACGGCCGAATCGAGATGCAAGAGGCAACGAGATGATATTGGCGACAAATTGGAGACAAGAGTTGATCAGGTTGAGCTCAAAAGCGCGGGAGGACGACATTCCGGCTTCTAAACAGGGGGGGGGGTCAGTGATCTATTAGTGCTTCCAGGTGGATCAGGATTAGGGATGGTTTCTTACGTTGGAAGAAGTAAGTGGCCTGGTTGGCGATCAGGTTACCGGCGAAATTCTGCGATGCGTATATCAAACAGGTGATGATCGTTCGTCTCAAATCGGTTCCCTTGAGAAGGTCGAGGAGGGTAGGGGAGCCTCCCATCTGCGCTTCAATCTCGACGGTTCGCTCCATCATGGCAAGTGACTGTTGTGCATGTTCTGCGTTGCTACCACCGAGGCGCTCGATGGAGCGAAGAGCCTCGGCTTTGCGTCCGCGACGAATCAACCACCAAGGAGACTCGGGGGCGAGGAAGATCAGGACCAAGAGTGGGGTCTGGAAGCGTCAGAGCATGCAGAAATAACTTTTTAGACATAGTGACTTACGGGGAAGACCCATTGCAGGGCAAGAGGCACACGCCAGGCCCACTCATCGGTTTGTTTGTTAAAGCCATAGGTGGCACCGGCGACGATAATTGAACCGATAGACCAACTCATTTGCAGAGTGGCTGTGCAGGCGCCTCGAAGAGAGAGCGGAACAATCTCACTAGCATAGGCGGGGGAGTTTGCAATGAAGAAGCCCCAAGGCACACCTTCCAAAGCTTGTCCAACCACAAGGAGAGCGAGCGAGTCGGCCTGATTAGAGGTTAGATGGTTAAGCTCGGCGTAAAGAAGGCAGGACTACTCACAAAGAATGAAACAAAAATGGTGGCGTTCATAAGCATTAGGGCGAAGAGGGTGGTCCAGCGGTAGCCAAATCGGTCAGTGATGGGCCCAGCCATGAAGACACCAACAAAGGCACCACATTGGCCGGCTTGAAAGAGGGCACTCTGCCATTTGGTAGGGATGGTCCACTCATTGGGACCGGTCGGGACACCGTATCTTTCTTGGAAAGCAGGAAGTGCAACGAAGTTACCATTCAGGAACATGTCGAACGATTCCATGACCTGACAGGTATTAGCCGAAGTTCTACATGGGGGATTCGGGGAACAAGATGCGAACACCCGAATCCGGGGGAACTATAATATAGACTCACGATCGTGAAACACATGGTAAACGCCCATAAACAAGCCCAGGGATGGCTCTTAACGGCCTGCCACGTGCCCATCTCATGCTCGCGGTTCTCACCATCGAAGGCATCGTTCATGAGATCCTGGTTGACCAAGACCTCGGATTTTTCGACGCCGGCCTTCTCATCCGGCAGCTCAGTCGACTTAGTATCTGACGACATTTTCTCTCGAATTCTTCGCTATATCTAGCGAGTCAATGCGAAGAGAAAATAAGAACACAACGCAGTCAGAGGGGGCGGAGAGAGGCGGAGTGGGAGTCTTATATCCCATGCGTCCTCCGTACATGCGCTAACGTTTCTTGACCGTCGAATAGCGCGTGATACGTGGATTAATTGGAATGCAACCAGTGAGCATATGCGTTTGAACAAGATATTAGCCCGATCGGATGGTCAAGCAGGGGTGCAACCCTGTGCCGCCGGGGTTTTGCCCATTTCCCCAGGGTTGAAAGCACGACGGTTACAACGCCAGCCATTTACCCGAAGCTGGTCAGGGTATTGAGCCTATTGGTCTGGAAGCTTAGCTGCAACTAGAAAAGGTTAGCCACCAAGGCCTAGGGCGTTGGCAACCCGCTGACCAGAATGATGGTGGCGCTCCAGTAGCCGTCTTGGGAGGGAGGGGCCGTGTTTAATATAAGGGGCTTTGGTAGGACTTTTAAAACGCGTATTTTCTGGGGTACGATTTATCTCACGATGCGGGGCCCCGGACGAAAGGTAAGGGGGGTTTAGCATCTAGGGTGTTTAGGGTGTTTAGGGTAGTTAGGGTAGTTAGGGTAATTAGGTAGTACGGAGTACGGAGTACGCATCTAAACGAACGCGAGTAGGACCCTGCAATGCGATTCAAGTGGGTTAGCACATGTGCATCGGATGTGACATGACAAAGAAACAAGAAACAAGTAAAAAAAGGAAAAAGAAAAGAAATGTAAACGTCTCACGAGCTATCCCCCTTCTGGCCTAAGGCGAACGCCTCGTTCTCGACCGGTTACATTTATCCCGTGGCCTGAGCGTGGGTCGAATTAGTCCGACTTCTGGGTTTCCTGCTTGGACATTTACCGAGGGTTTACATGCGATCAACTGGTGATCAACTGACTTTGTCTTGAGCTAAAACGCCCGAAATGTTGGTTTTTCTGTTACTCCTGCCTCCCTGTCTTTGGCCCCCGTCATTCTCGGGAAAAGAGGGGGGAAATCTTGAGGAAATGATAAAAATGATAAAAATGATAAAAAAAATAATGATAACAACAAGTTGTATGTATAGATATTAAAATCGATTCCAATAAGAAGAAGAACCAAGAAGCACTTCACAGCACGCCCAATAGCAGCGTTAAGTTCCCGCCGATCACCCACATCGGGTATATGGCCAGTGCTACCGTACATCGAGGTAGATGAGCTGCGAGATCTGTTGATTGAGGGCCATGGGAGTGGAGCTAAATATGCACAAGCACTAGTTCTGGGGGCTAGCTCGAACCTCTTTGTGTTATGATTGAGAAACAATGGATATATCGGTGGTATCTCCGGAGTAGTTCTAAGAACCACGAACTGTTTGGAGGCTTTATAGTCTTAGTTGCTTTGGTCTGGCCACTGTAGATAACTAAACAGTCAAAGAATCAGGCCCGAGCCAAAGCCCCTGGGAAGGATACCTAGCTTCTAAGATTCGACATTTATTAAATAGCATAGGCCCTCATCTCGACCTTGCCACAGCAACGCACCTCACCTGGGCACCGTCGCCTCTTTCTTGGACCCCACACACCTAAGTGTCAGGTCACCAGCAGCGCCATGCCGTATATATCAGCCATATCCAGAGAAAATGGTGTCACTGTTCTCGAGTGCTATACTACAGGCCTGGATTAGCGCCGCATCATAGTGAAAATTTCCGATGTTGATCGTCATCTCTCGGACGCGGATTTGATGAGCATGGTCATTGAACGTCTTCAAGATGAAGAAGCCAGGGCTGACTCGGGATCCATGAACGAGCTAGAATCATTAAAGATCTCGTACCTAACTATTGACAGCAGCCCGTATTTCCAACAATGGATTGACATTGCGGTAAACAACGCCAAGAACCATAGGGCTGCTATCATGTCTGGGCGTGTTTATATTGGCCAGGGCTATCTTTTCTCAGGACTTTACACGTCGCACCACTGCCTTGGTGACAAAGCGGCGTCTCGAACCTTGGACTGAAAGGAAACCTCCGAAGTGACGGCTTATTGCTTTCCTATATGGGAGTAGGTAGGGCACTCGTACATATTTACAGGAAATAAAAGGATTGTGAGAAGGTGATTCCGACCGTATACTGTCAGAAGGTCACGTTGATCAATATCGATTTCCAACTTTGCATTGGAAGTCACGGGGAAGCAATATAGGGCTTTGCTACGAACAATGAAGCCTGCCATTCGCCAGGATGTGGGGATTGACACTGTCCGACTCACCAAGTTGTTCCCTAACATTGCCTCCACTCGTCAAGACAGACATGTTGCACCGACTTCCCATTCATCTAACAGCTATGTCGACTGAATATGGGCGACTAACCATCACCCATCGTGAACATCAACATTCACCAAGATGTCGGAACCAGGTCTCCCCCAAGAGATACCTAGGTAACTTCCTGATCCCATCATCAATAAACTAGTATCTGTATCCAGGTCAACATCACTTTCGTCGAATTCTAGACTTTGGGTTCGCCCATCTTCAATATTCAACACACCCACCATGCTCACCTCTCATCAGACGGCAAGGAAAAAAGGCCTTTCAGACACAGACCCATCATCGGGAATCTCTCAACGTTTATCGGATGAAAAAACCAAGTTATTACTCTTTCAACTGACCCCTAGCAGTTTGAACGATAGGTTTTTGGATCGCAACAAGAAACCCGTGACTTGTGCTCCCCTTTTGACGTTAACGGTACAGGGAAGGGACTCGCAGACTGGACCCTCGAGTACGCTCGCTCTAGACGAGACTTTCTCTTAGACGCCGGCAAAGTTGCATGGAATCTTGTAACTTGAATTTCGAGTTCCCTGCGTCTATGCCTTTATCTACTGTCACGCGCCCCATTGCAAGTTTGGAATTCCAACCCAACCGAGATAGCTAGTTGATCGCTTCAACGCCGGTGGACTCCGGTGGACTTACAATTAGTGCCAAACCCCGCAAATCAGTTCGCGAATCACACATCGTTCTCATGATTATCCTTCTTATCATCTGATTCTTGAAACGTTCTATCTTTATGTGTTTAGGTAACATTGCCCTCAGGGGCTGGTGTCACTCACATCGGGGACCGCCGGCACCAACTATATAAAGTCGTCAAATCTTCATCCTTTTTTCCCTCACAACACTGCTTGATTTCGACATTGTCCTATCCCTGCCGTGGTTGCTCTGCGCTATAGCATAAATCCATTACTTTCATATTGAAACTTCTCCGGTGGTGATCGAACAATGGTGTCTCTGTCGAGGGCGGCTCTCCTTACCCTAGGAGTGACCCATGGCGCAAACGCCTGGGGTGCATTGGGCCATGCAGCTGTTGCCTATGTTGCACAACATTATGTCCACCCTGAAGCTGCATCATGGTAAGTTCTCCTGAAGGACTTCAGATCCCCGCGAGTATGCTTTATCCTTCAATATTAATGCATCTCAAGGGTCCAAAAAGTTCTCAACGATTCCTCCAGCTCATATCTAGCAAATATTGCTTCTTGGGCCGATGAGTATCGCCTTACTGATGCCGGCAAATGGTCAGCCCCATTGCACTACATTGATGCATTGGATAATCCTCCAATCAGCTGCGATGTGGACTACGAGCGCGATTGTACCGACGAGGGCTGTTCAATCTCTGCCATCGCCAACTATACCCAGCGCGCAGGTGATGCCCGACTCGGCAATGCCGATACCGCAGAAGCCCTCAAGTTCCTTGTCCACTTAATCGGTGATCTCGCACAGCCGCTGCACGATGAGGCCTATGAGCTTGGCGGCAATGGCGTCAAGGTCACCTTCGATGGCTACAGTGAAAATCTCCACTCTAGCTGGGACACATACATGCCCCAAAAGCTGATTGGGGGCAACTCCCTCGAGGATGCGCACTCATGGGCCACCAGCCTGGTTGGGGAGATCACCGCGGGCAGCTACAGATCCAAAGCGAAGAGTTGGACCAAGGGCGATACTATCAAGGATGTTGTCACCACCGCTACTCGATGGGCGACGGATGCCAATGCTTACATCTGCACCGTGGTTATGCCAGATGGACCCGATGCCCTGACGACTGGTGACCTCTACCCGGAGTATTATGATTCCGCCATTGGCACGATCGAAATTCAGATTGCCAAAGCTGGTTACCGACTGGGCAACTGGCTCAACATGATTTATAAGATTAAAATCGCCGGGCGCCACCCAGGCAAATTTGTCAAGGAGCACCATGAACCAGGCCATGGTATTCTTCCTCCACCTCGCCAGCCAAGTCGTGCAAACCTAGCCCGAGCGGCCATGGGAGGATCCTGCTGTACCTCTAAGGGGCGTGACCACAAACACTGAGCTGACGATGGCATGTTCCTGCTGATACGCAATTGAGACGATTATCAGTGTATTACTCTGCATTTTGTGGGTGTTTCCCGCAGAAATACTCTTATTGCGATGCGAAGAAAATAACTGTTTGAAATATTCCTGAGGCCCGCATTGCTTGGATTGCTCCAGGACGTTATTTCTCATCAATACCTAAGTAGGTGCTTCATTGTTCCATGTAAACACACAGTATCTGTGATCCTTTTTTTTTAATTCGTTAGTAGCTGCTTTGGAGGTTCGATTGAAGTTGTGTAGATGGGATAGCATGTGCTCCTTGTTGTTCCACAACGAAGATTCCTCGTGTCAAACATATCAACAGCTTGTCTTCTACCACCCACCCAAACAAAAGACCTGCTAAATCTAAGGCAAAAAGAAAGCAAGAAAAAAAAACACGAAAAACATACAACAGTGAGGATTCGCTGGTGGTCACCCACCCAACTACTAACTCACCGGCGTGTGGCTTGAGTACGGCTGAGCGGACGGGAAGCCCTGTTTTCCACACCCTATGGTCGTATGTATTAGATGCTACATTAGCTGGGATTATATTATAAAATTATAGAAGAGGTTATAGGTTACGAATCCCAAGGTTAGGGTGAAAATTATCCGGAAACCGTATCACAGCCCTAACCACCCACTAGGGCTACGATTGGCCACCTAATCCGGCTAAATTGACTGACTACGCCGTAGGTTTTTACACATACATACGTCCTTTCATAACATATTCGAGATGGGAAAAAAACAAAAACATACAACAGTGAGGATTCGCTGGTGGTCACCCACCCAACTACTAACTCACCGGCGTGTGGCTTAAGTACGGCTGAGCGGACGGGAAGCCCTGTTTTCCACACCCTATGGTCGTATGTATTTGGTTTTAGTAGCAGAGAGAACTATGTAAATTGCTAGATTAGTTTGGAGATTGATGCAGATCTAAAAGAACACGGTCATCATCGCTGGAAAATGAAGTGGCTACCTTTGTGCGAAGTAGATGGCAACAGAATACACGTACCAATAGGACGATACAAATCACAACATCGTGAACCCTCAGTTATCTTAATAAGAGTATAAAAGTGATGTCCCTGTATTAGAGGCATAAGGTCAAAGGACATGAGGAAGAAAGGCTGCAACGCCATAGGTACGCTAGCAATGGGTTGAGAACAAATATTTTGTTGAAAGAGCGTTGGATGGGAAGAAAATGCCGTGGTTGTATGACTGACAGTAATGGTTATATGATATCTTCTAACCTGATTGAATTGCGAGCATATCCACTAATTCGGTCGTCCATGCATTAAATGAGCGATGTACTCTCCTTCGTGACCTTGCAGTAACGATGTTGCCAAACAACTCAGTCCTTGACAGAAGTCTAAGCAAAGAAGCCATTTGTGAGATCCCGGCTCCCCGAATATCAAACTCTGCAAGAACACAAAGCACGAGGGTGTAAAGTCGCGCTATACCGGCTAATCTCGATCTCAATCGGCTGCTCGAAGACCAAAATCACCAGTCCAAAGCTCTCTTCACTGTCTGTGCATTTTTGCCAGCTGAATCGCCCATTGGGCGGCCTGTATTTGCGCTGGCAATTTTTCTGAAGACCGATCGGCCAAACCGATTATACAGTGGAAGCACGCCCCCGGCTTCAAGAAGTGTTCTTTCGATTTCTGACTGCTGATAGCGGAATACTCGATCAGTACCTTCAATCCGTACTGTCTGGGCTCGTCGATCAATGATGACAATTGATCCTTCATTTGCAAGGGTGTAGAATTCGGGATCCGGTAGGGTGATATTGAACAGGCCCATGTTGAGCTGGTTCCGATCATCTGCATTCTCTTCTTAGACTCTGGCTAACAACATTGGGAGGGTATTAAGATGGTCGCCACTTACAGATAAATGCAAATGTAGGCGCAATCACTGCTTCGATGCCCGCTCCTTGCAACGCTCTGACTGCATCCTCGCGGGACGAACCACTGCCGAACCCACGATCTGCGATGCTGTGGTTGATCAGTATCCCGACTCCAAGGGTTGGTAATGGTTTCACTTACATGATCGTTGCCCCATCTGTCACGCGCTTTCGGAATTCAGGACGATCATACTCGAAGCAGTGACTTCCAAGTTCTGCATTATCAACACCAGGTACAAACTCAGCCGGAATGATTGCGTCACTGATATATGAGGTGTCAGAAACAGTCTCCGAAAGTGGAAATGATGGCCGACTCACGTATCCACATTGTCACCAAATCTTTGAACCTTCGACTGGATAACCCCGTCACAAGAGATCTTCGCCACATCCAGGGTCGAAGCAGGAGTCTGAACGGGAGCGCTACTACTGGCATCCACGCAGGCGATATTTGATGCAAGTACTGGATTAGGCTCGCTAATCTCGGGGGCAATACTCAACGAGACTCTCTCACTTCCCAAAATCTTGGCCAATTTCGCTTTATCAATTTGATCCAGCAGTGGCTGTGGATCTGTTATCGACATGTTGAAGCTCGAGGCAGCAACCACCGTGGCGCAGCTGATACTTCCAATGGCACCTTTGCCCATTCGATTCCGAAAGTTGCGATTTTGTGAGGAGAGCCAAACTTCTCCTTCACCTGCAACATCGACATCGTTTATTCCAACGCAGTACGAGCAGCCCGGGGCTCCGACGTCAAATCCTGCCTGCCGGTAAATGTCCAAGATTCCGTGCCGCTCCAGGTTCTTGATAATGCTGAGACTTCCAGGTGTAACTCTTCTCTGCCCGTCACCAGGAGTCATGCCCGCTCGCAGGCCAGCTTCTAGAACCAGTCCTCCCATAATTAGATCCTCCTCAGTGGTGGTACAGGCTCCGATGAAGCATCCATCCAACCTGGTGCCAACTTTCTCTGACGTGGGCACAACATTATCCGGCTCAGGATACAAAGCGATGGTCGTTGCAACCTCCGAGAGATTGACAGTGCGCACTTCAGCATACTGAGCGCCGGGATCGGCTCGGAAATAGAGGCCCCCTTGATGTTCCAGATGAGGCCTTTGCGAGATCCATTCTGCGGTGCTCTCATCAGCTTCGAAACACGCGCCCATCCCGCCGAATTCAGTCGTCATGTTTGCAATGGCGAACCTGGCATCCATGGATAACTCCTTCAAACTCGGACCGCCGTATTCAACCGCGCGCTGGAAGGCGATCGTGTTTCGTTTGAAAAGGCCGAGTATGTGAAGGATCACGTCCTTGCCGCCCACCCCGAAAGGCAATTGACCGATGAAATTGATACGGCAGATCTCCGGCACACGAAACCATGTCTCTCCCGTTACCATTGGCATGACGACATCTGCAGCTCCAAGGCCAACAGCTAGTCCTCCCACACAGCCAGCAGAGCAGGAATGAGAATCGCAACCCACAATGATCTGACCAGGGAGTGCTCGGTCGCGCGTAAAATCGGTATGAAGAATACTTGTATTGGCAGGGAGGAAGTTGACGAGCTTTGCTTCCCGTTGGAAGCTTTCCGCTTTCTCAATCAAGCCTCGCTGTCGGGGTCGATGATTCGTGCGAGGGTCAACGGTATGATCGATCGCCAGCCACATCCGGTCATTGCGATGCAGACGAGGTCTTCCCATTTGCTCATATGTCTTCTCCATTCCTGCCCAGAGAATCTCGGAAGTCAACGTCCAGTCAACCTTCACACAGATGATCTCGCCAGGCTGGACTTCTGGTTGGCTCAGCCCAACAGCGGCATGGGTCAATATCTTCTCGATTACACCCATTGGACGCCTTTGGTGCATCGGAAGAGGTGAGAGTGAGGCACTCAGTCCTTTCCGAGAAGCTACATGTGAACTCGCGGCCACCATGTAATAGTCCAAATGCGTCATGAATTTGCTCATGAATTCCTCCGGAGAGGCTGTACCACCAGCACTGGGGGTCCGGATATTGCAACCAATGAGTTCAATTGGATCCAATGTGCGTCGAATTGACCTAGCGACTGCCACAGCCTCTGCAGGTAGAGCAAACGCCAAGTCAAGCATCAGGCTTATGGCCAGTAAGATTGGGACTGGGTCCGAAGCTGCTCCGTTCGCACTAGCTTTACCCGGTCTCAAGATCACAGGGTTCCTTCTGTGGGTCTCGTTTGGTAAGTCCACAATAGTCGCCGATGCCAGCAGGTTCTGTAAGCCTTGGAAGAGCTCTCCTGACTTTTTGGATATCATATCTCCATCAGGACCAGTTGTCAAGACGATGCCGTTCAACCTAGTTGGGTGTGAATCTAGGGCTGTTGCTGCCGCGTGCATCGGTACATGGTGGAGTGGGACACGTGGAAATTGGTTGCTGAAGACCTCAGTAACAATGGAATTCCAAAGTGGCAATGACTCAATGTAATGAACAGGCTTTGGCGGCGAAAATTGCAATGCGTAAGCTCCTGCCCAACGCGCCAGCCGTTCGATGCTCTCGCGGGAAACCTCACCTCCAGTCTTCGTGTGCGTAGCATCACTGACCAAGGAGATATCTAGTCCTTGGACGCCGTTTTTCAGCGATCCCGTTGAGACAAGTCCATGACTGGGAAAGAAGAAAGGTTGGACGTTTGCGAAAGCTTCACCCTGTTCAAGCAAGCTCAAGGTTCCTTTGACATGCTCCTCTCCAGTCCCGCACACTACCACAGCATCTGCCTTCGGGCATGTCTCCAAGGTGGAAACCCTCAGTGATTGGGGATGGTCAGCATGAGTGGTTTTCCCAGACGGAGTTTCGGTAATGTCGAATTCAACCCCTGGTCTCGAGGTCTCGATGAAACCTAGCACCTCCCTGGCGAGGGCTACCATCTGAGCGCTGGATTCATCTCCGGGGAGGATGGCGAGTCTGTTTATCCGATTTGAGGGAATTCGGATAGGCGACATGGCGATGTGATGAGTGTAGGTGATTCCAAGATGCTACCTCAGTATGTAGAGATGTAGAGGTCAGCTCTCTTGGAATGGGGATATGCCAGTATATATACCCGACGAATCCGATGTCGGGCACTTTGATTGTGTTTTGGCTACGTTTCCTTTTGATTTCATTCGTTTATTTCTTTTACTACAAAGCAGTCCCACTTGCCATGAACGTTTGCTACTAGTCATGGCCACAGGCGCACAGTGGAGTCGGCACATCCTGTTACGGAAAGTTTTCCAGTCGATAGGGAATCAGTTACATAGTACCTAGGGGTTTTGCAACAAGGCGAAGTGCCGGACTTTTACGCATTTTCAGACAAGTTCGATTTGAGTCTCTGACTGGCAAGCAAAAACAAGAGCATTAGGCAAGATTTCCGGTGGCTACGGTTTCTTCAGGTAACATGAACGATTGGCAGAAGTCTCAAGAATTGTCGGTTGGAGGGGAGCTCCTCTTGCAGATCCTGTTTTCAGTCAGTACATAACTTGAGCGGTACACTGCAGCATACACTTACCAGAGCAGAGGAGAGACACGCCATAGCGATAGCAACATCTTCACGTTGAGCAGCCCTAGCACGCCATACATTCCGGCACTTGACCAGTGCAATAACCAGAGGTTCCCCTAGGCTACCCTGAATGCTGCGCGAGACAACTTCATACTCCAAATTCAGCCCTGCCAAAGACGAAAATGCGAACGAGACGGCATCTGCTGCATTTTCACCCACCGCCACGACTTCCCGCTGGTGACCCCAGACCAAGACGATGGCGCGCATGATAACACGGCCTGTACCATCTGCCGTGGGTGACACATCACACGCAATAATGCGAGAATCCATCTCCAAGATGGAGTAGTGTCGAAGGAACGATTGTGTGATTTCAGCCTCTGTCAGCCATCGCTCCTTCATCTCTGACTCGGATTTGATGATTTTCGAAAACTCTTGTTGGAACTCCTTGGGTAACTCCAGGTTCAAGGTTCGCTGCAGCACCCATGCCACACCTCCTTTACCACTCTGCGAATTGATCCGAATGACAGCCTCATAAGTAGCCCCAATATCCTCCGGGTCTATAGGAAGGTAAGGAACTTTCCAGGTCCCGCGACCGTCCAGTGATGTAGCGTCTCGCCACTTTTTGAACCCTTTGTTTATGGCGTCCTGATGTGACCCGCTATAAGCCGTGAATACGGATTCGCCGGCATAAGGGGCGCGCACGGCAACGGGGATCTGAGTGATCTTTTCAACCGTTTTCCGAATTTCAGGCAGATCAGAAAAGTCGAGTCCCGGGTCAACTCCTTGACTGTATAGATTGAGTGCAAGGGTGACGAGATCAACGTTACCGGTGCGTTCGCCATTACCAAAAAGGCACCCTTCGACGCGCGTAGCTCCAGCCAGCTGACCAAGTTCTGTCGCCGCGACAGCACAGCCTCGGTCATTATGCGGGTGCAAAGATACCACGACGTCGTTGCCCGTGAACGCACGCGCGAAAATCTCCACCTGGTCTGCGTAGGTGTTGGGTGTGCAGCGCTCCACGGTGGCGGGGAGATTGAGGATTATGGGGATATCTTCTGATGGACCCCATGCCTCTTTGACAGCTTCGCAGACAGCGATTGCATAAGAAGAATCTGTGTCTGAGAATGCCTCAGGGCTAAACATCAGGTTCCAGGTGGTCCCTTGCTGGGTTGGATCATCTTTCGTGATGGATCTGGTATACTCGACACATTCGACTGCAGTGCGCAAGACAGCCTCTTGTGTCGAGTCGAACATGGTTTGGATGAAGCTGTCACTAGTGGCGATGTAAAGACTGATGATGGCCTTCTTTGCGCCGGTGACACTGTCAACCGTGCGCCGAATGAGCTCTTTTCGACATGGCGATAGGACTTGAAGCCACACATCTGAAGGTGCAGAAGCAACGACACTACGAGTGAAATTGAATTCTGTGTCAGATGCACTGGGAAATGAGATGTCGATCTCAGTGAAACCAACTCGTAGGAGCATTTTAAAATACTCCCATTTTTGTTCTACATTCTTAGGAAGATGTGAGTGTCTTGAAACCCCGAATGCCAAGGATTCACTTACCATTGGACAAGCAAGTGCCTGATTCCCATCACGAAGGTCCGTCGCCAACCAACGCGGTCTCTTTGTGATCCGCTTGGACGGCCATGTCCTATCTGGGAGGTCTGGAGGGATGAAAGCATCGTATTTATCGGAGGGATTGCGAAGCCTAAGTCTGGTCAATTAAGTTGATCAACAAATTTCTAGTCCTGCACATACATAGGCATGGTGGGCGGCAATGAACAGAGCTCGGCCTTTTTGTCCGTCCTTCTCGCAGCGTACTTGTTTCCATTTAAAGCCTACTTCTACTGGTTTTACCCCTCATGTCAAACGCCGATGAAGACACCTCAATCATCTCCCTTATCATCTATTATCTTTGCATCGCGTAATTCTGAAACCCGGCACTCCTTCAGCTGAGGATTGCCAAGGTGCAACTTCATTCCATGGTCTCGTCCTGCCATGGCATTGGACGAGCATGGTCCGATATCGCTGCCGGGGAGGCAGCGTTACTTCCTCCGTAGGGGTATACGAGGTTTAGGATAATCTTATGCCAATTGCCATTGCCGAAGCGTAGTTCTCGGCCCCCATTCAGCTCATTGCAACACTGACTAGTCTCAGCGGAGCCTCTTTTCTGTCAAATCGCTAGGTCTGAAGAATGGCAGGAGTAAGCATAACAATGGAGTCCGAGCCACCACCTTGCCGGGATAGATGCAGCATGCATATCTTCCGACCAATAAAGGACTTGAATAATGGCCAGACCATATAATTTGGTCTTGGCATGAGCTGAGCGTAAGCCCTAGTGTTGAGGATTCAGACTTGTGTCAGTTGCATGACAATGAGATATCTAGAGAAAATTACAGGCAGCAAGAAATCAGAGTATCGCGATTGCGCTATCGGCCTCCTTTTCCCTAAGACTGCTGACGGGGTAGACTATCCGCTGTAATCTTATAAGTCGTTGTGTGGCCCCGAAAAAAATTTCACCAAGAAGTCTAGTTCAGTTGTTCCTTCATCGCCATTATGTCGATTCCTGTTCTTGACGCATCTGCCCTCTCTGAAGGGAATGCTGAGCAGCGTGCCGAATTTGCTACCAAGCTCCTGGACAGTCTCAACACGTTTGGCTTTGCAAAGCTTGTGAATCACACAGTTCCCGTTCCTCTTGTCCAGGAGACTTTTGATCAGGTAATATTCCGGCAATTCTATCATTAAAAAAAGCAGGAAAACTGACACTTCCAATTAATAGATCAAAGCCTTCTTCAAGCTCCCGTACGCCGTCAAAGCGCCTTTGAAGAACGACCCCAAAAACGGACAGCAGCGAGGATGGAGTGTCCCAGGAGAGGAAAAGACGTGGTGGCTTGAGAGCAACAATGGGGAGATAAAGGAGCCTAACTTTGGCGACAACAAGGTATGCACCATATCTAAGCACAGAGTTTTGTAGTTCTGACTGTCATCCTAGGAGAGCTTTGACTGTGGACACCCCGATGACAAGCAATTCCCCAACGTATGGCCACCCGAGTCAGACCTACCCGGGTACCAGGATACGATGAACCGATTTTTCTTCTCATGCGGAGATCTTACACTAGTGCTCCTGCAAGCCATGGCCGAGGCGCTATCCCTCGATCCGGAGGTCTTCACTTCCCGATGCACAAATGAGGCTAGCACCATCCGCATCAATCACTTCCCGCCTATTGAGCGCAAAACACTTGACGATGGCAAAATCAGTCGCATCTGGCCCCACAAGGACTTCGGAATTATCTCGCTCGTGTTCCCCGACGTGACTCCAGGACTGGAATATGAGGATCGGAGTAACCCTGGCACTTTCATTCCGATGCCGTACGGCTCAGACGAGGAAGTCGTTGTCATTGTCTCTGAGACTCTGCAGCGCTGGACAAACGGCCAGATTGGGGGTGGTCTCCACCGTGTAACCCGTCCGCGGGAGTGTGAAGGGGAGACGGTTCCGGAGCGGTGGAGTCTCGTTTACTTCAACAAGGCGGACCGGCATGTGAATGTTGGGCCTTTGAAGGAATTCCTCAAAGACCAGAAGCCGATTTATGAGGATCTGAGTGCTTTGGATTATCAGAGTCTGAGAAACGCTGCTCACTACCCTGGTTAAGTCATAGGTGGCAGATAGAATCATCTAAGAATTGATATTTTATTGTAACCTGTTATTCTACGAAAGTCCCAAGCTTGCATTTGCATATCTCACCGTTATAGGTATTTGACCTTCATTAGTATCTTATGAGCCTTAAACAGATAACTATGATCGTTACTCCTCCTTGGTCACCTAGTGAATACCGAGGTAAATACAACGTCCACGAGTTGTGCTTTGATTTATGTTTGTGTAGTGGGGTCAACCCGTATTCGGAGCGGGCCGCCGTCGGACCGGCCAGCCCGCTTAGGCTTAGCGTTTATGCACCTAATTGCTGACACTGCAGAAGTGGAATTATTCTGTCGCTGAGAGGTCTACTCTGACTTCACCCTCCGTTCATCCACCAAGACACTCCATTCATGCTCATCTTCGCCATATTGCCGAGCTTCAATCCAGCCCCTCATCTTGGCCGCCACGGCCCCCTGTGCTGACGTCCCGCACATAATCGTCTGTCCCTTCCAGCGAATAGATCCAACCGGGCTGATAACGGCCGCCGTGCCTGTGCCAAACACTTCCTCCAAATTTCCATCAGCGCTAGCTGTCTCCAATTCGCGCATCGAGATGCTCCGCTCCTGGACCGTCCAGCCATGGGCCTCTAATCTTTCCCGAGCCAATTGCAGCACACAATCACGATTGACACCGGGTAAGATTGTGCCGTCCAATGGTGGTGTCACGAGTTCATGACTCCCATCCGGTCGCCGGAGTACGACAAACAGATTCATAGTTCCGGCCTCTGTCAACAAATCGTCTTCCCCGAAAAGCCAGAGGACCTGATCAGAACCCCGTTGTCGGACCCCCGCTTCCGCCACCATGCAGGGGGCATAGTTGGCTCCGACCTTGTGGCTTCCGCTCCCTCCAGGCCACGCACGCACCCACTGCGAGCTGCTCGCCGCTTCTAGAGTGATCGCTTTGAGTCCGTTTTGGAAGTAGGATCCCACCGGTGATGCGACTACGTATAGCAGCGCCGAAGTCGGCGCGGACACACTCAGTCCGGGATTTGTTCCAATTAAGACTGGGCGAAGATAGAGCGAATATCCTCGGGTCCTGATAATGGCAATGGTCAGTATTCATATTTCGCCACTGACTATGTCTTGGGTTCCTTACGCTGGGATGTGCCGAGACTCTATCGCCACAAATTCAATGAGAAGATTCAGCAAGGCCTTGGCATCGAAGGTTGGGAGTGAGACTCGAGCTGCCGATTCATTCAATCGTGCGATGTTAACTTCTGGTCTGAAGAGTCGTGCTCGGCCCTGTGCGTCCTTGTATGCCTTCATGCCTTCGAAGCACTCGAAGGCGTAGTTGAAGACTCCAGCGGTAGGATCGATACTCAGATTTCCATAGGGAACGATGCGGGGCGCGTGCCAGCCTTCAGACTCTGTCCATTCTATCTGAAGCATATGGTCTTTGGCTATGTTCAGCGTTTTTCCGTTGCCCTCACGATTGGAAACATACCAGTGACAGTCTTTCCAAACTGTATCTTGTCGGGATTCGGAACTACAGCTGGCTGTTCATTTTGGAAAATGCGTAGCTTGCTGGCGTCTAAAACAGCTGCCATGATGAGAATATGTGCAATGATCTTGAAATCACTATAACTTCAATGGCTACATTCCACAGTAAATACAAAAATATATAGGTCCCCGGAGTAGCAGACCTCTTGGAATAGCGGACCGCTTGGAGTACTCCGTAGCGGACCTCCCTCTATTGTGGGTCACCTCGTTCGGAAAGTGGATGCAGCCCAGGCTCGGTACTTTTGACCTGAATTTCGACAGCCTCAGGGGCTGATTGCTGCACTCCGAGCAGTCGGTATCTCACTCATCTTGTAAATGCCAAGATCTCCGAGCCGTGACTTTCCTGTCTTCGCATTGGGTGAAATAATCGGCTGATTCAGCGCCAAAGTCCCTGGTGTGAAGCCACCTCAATTCAGCAACGGGATTGCCGGAGCACGTCATCTCGGCATATGGACGCAGACAGCCAAAGTGCATACGTGTTGACAATGGTCACAGGGGAGAAATAATATTAACTCTCTTCCTTTCTTCTGCCTGGGCCTTTTGACAGAAATGGAATGGCGCATGAGGTTCAGTGGACCATCGGCCGCTCATCCCTCACCCACAAATCAATTGGAGAGTTTCAAATGCTACTCCATACTGTCGGCTTGATGTCTCATATCATACTCCGTACTTCGTACTTCAAGGCGAATCTTCAGCATTCACGATCATCTCAAGCTACTGTTTCTACTCCGTACTTGAGAAGCTTTTCAACACTTGCCCTCGGGACTATTTTTAGAACGTCGCCTAGTGAGGTTACATCTACGGAGGGTCCTCCATACTCCGTACGGAGGACAGCGTACAACTTACGGTCTGAACCCCGAGGAAGATCCGGAGAGTTCCCTAATGGGTTTGGCTTGGGGTTCCCAAGTGAGCCTGCCAAGAACAACCCTACCCAACGCCGATGAATCACAAAGAAGTCTAGTTGCTAGTGCCATCGTTAGGCCCCCGACGAGAAATGCTGCACGCTCACTGGTCACTACTGGAGATCATCGATGGATTAGCCCGCTCGATGATATGATTCGTTCCATCTTGGCACGCCCTGCGATTGACTCCCCCGCACTGTCTTTTTTTGAATCTGAATTGACATAGTAGATGAAATTTTCGACCTTCCGTACTTGACTTCATCTTCATTTATTGGGCATCTTTCCTCGTGCTCGTGAGATCTTTGTCGGACAGGTTTTGACAATGGAGGAAGTGACACGCTCACATTTATCGGCAAGCGAGACCGAAAAGGGGGTCCACACACCGGAGGAGACAACTGATGGTACTCACTTGTCGAATACCCACGATGGTGCACCACCGCCGATGGACGGTGGGATGGACGCATGGCTGTTTCTCGCTGCCTGTTTTGCCATGGAGGCTCTCGTTTGGGGATTTGCCTTCACATACGGTGTGTTCCAAGCATACTACAGCGATATACCGCAATTCAAAGATTCCGGGAATATTGCCGTTGTGGGAACTTGCGCTATGGTAGGAAAAAAACATGTTTATGGCCCTGCATCAATATAAGCTAACATATCCAGGGAATCATGTATCTCGACATCCCCCTAGTCTTTGCCGCCTACAGGCAATGGCCTAGATATCAGCGCCTCGGTTGTGGTATCGGTGTGTTGATGATGTGTGCCGCACTCGGCCTCAGTTCCCTAGCCACAAACACCAACCACCTGGTCGTTGCCCAAGGCATCTTCTACGCTATTGGAGGCAGCATCGCCTATGCCCCTTGCATCCTGCTGATGGAAGAGTGGTTTGACCGACGGAAAGGCCTCGCGTTCGGCGTCATGTGGGCCGGCACTGGACTCGGTGGCGCTGTCCTACCTATCGTTATGGAACAATTGCTCGGCAAATACGGGTTCCGTATCACACTCCGTGGCTTCGCGGTTGTGCTATTCGTCCTAACCGGACCGCTGGTGTACTTCGTGAAGCCGCGCGTGCCGATCCCCGCGAGTCGACCTAGTCCACCTCCCCCGAGCTTTCGGTTCTTGTTTACATCTATGTTTGCCCTCTTCCAGTTCTGCAATACTATCGAGGCTCTTGGTTTCTTCTTACCGTCGCTTTACCTCCCGACGTACGCCGGTATGCTCGGAGCTTCGACCTCCCTCCAGGCTTTGACTGTCATTCTCTTCAACTCCGCATCGGTCGTCGGCTGCGTGCTTATGGGCGCTATCATCGATAAGTTCGACGTCACTGTTTGTATCCTGGTCAACACTATCGTATCCACTCTCGCCGTCTTCCTGATCTGGGGATTCTCGATGTCCCTCGCTCCACTCTTCATCTTCTCTATTATATTTGGCCTTTCCGCAGGCTCTTATACCAGCACCTGGCCCGGTATCATGCGTGAGGTGGTTGCCCAGAAGCCGTCGGCAGAATCGAGTATGGTCTTTGCGTCTCTTGCGGCCGGAAGGGGTGTTGGGAACTTGGTTTCCGGTCCCCTCAGTGAAGCGCTTGTCAAAGGCATGCCGTGGGAAGGCAATGTTAAATGGGGATATGGTAGCGGATATGGGACCTTGATTGTTTTCACAGGTGTCACAGGTATTGTGGGTGGTGGAAGTTACCTTGCGAGGCGTTTGAAGTGGTTATAGGCCCGGAGGACAAAGCTTGCTACAAAGAACCTTGCGCTAGATTAAGATATAGTGAGTAGAAGATGAACTAGATATTCTGACATTCGGAATCCTAAATGCGTATACTTGTAAGGGACCGATAGTCCCCCTAACTCACCCACCCGCTTTTCCTCCCTCCTTTAGCAGTTCACCAGAACTAGAGACAACAGAAAAAAAATGAAAACTCAAATATACAACAGCATATGCAAGGTCGCGGTCACCTAGTGCCCACGGTTTGAGCATGGGCAGCTCGCCGCTCTATTCAGGGCATTCAGGGGGGGTATTTACCCAGTTTGGTGCAAAGCAATAAGACTCAAAACGAGCAAGCGGTATCAATCACCATCCAAGGACCATGCTATTTAAAGAGGTGCGAATCCCAGTTAGACACAACACTTCGGATTAAGCCAGTAGCTGTATAGGTCGGCAGGGTCTCGAAATTGCTCTCCTCCGCGTTGGGCTAGTCCTCGCATATCATATCAATATAGACAGCCATAGGCGATTAGTTCGGGCATAGTTGGCCTGCAGCCGTTTATATAAATTCGTGTTGAAGAAACAGAGGAGCTATTTGGCCGTTATACACCTTCGCACTCTGGCCAGCATTAGCCGACAATACCAGATGTACAAGAGAAAGCCATAAAATGAGGAAACTCAGCAGCGTTTGGTATTTGACTGGCATATATCAACTCGGTCTTTTGGCATGAGGTGAGCCTTTGAATAGGGCTGGGTAAGTTGATAGAGGCACCGAATCTGTTATGTGATGGCAAGGTGAGAGCAGCAGCCAATGCTCCAATCAATTGATCGAAAGCATTATAATGTCAGATCAACCGCGCTGAAAGGATGTATGACCAACCAAGGACAAAGACGCTGAGATAATTGCTTACGGGCTCTTGAAGTGGTTGAAAACCAGTCCGTTCGGGGTAGACTGTGTGGATAGATTGCATGTCTTTGGACGAGGGTCCCCAATAGAGAATTTTCGCGCTAGTTTCTTTTTGAAAGGAGATAACTCGCAAGAATGCCTTGAAGTTTCATCAGGTATCGAGATAGACCATTTTGAATAGCCTTCTAGATACAGAGAGGTTGCTCCAGCACACTCTGTGACCTCGATGGATTGGGGTATGCAATGCAGATGTAGCCACGCGGTGTTTCAGGGCTGTAGTCACCTATGGAGAGGCAAGTCAGAGCATATATATCTATATTTCAACAACATGACGTGCTAATGTACCAATAAGAAGACCCACATACTTGATCTTGTTTTCCTCCCTTTTTTGCCCAGTTTGAATCCATGTATTGAGTTTGTCTCTGATTTTGCTTGCCTGTTTTGTTTCTCTATATCTTTCTCTTCCTTCACAACGCAAGCACATACGACCATAGGGTGTGGAAAACAGGGCTTCCCGTCCGCTCAGCCGTACTTAAGCCACACGCCGGTGAGTTAGTAGTTGGGTGGGTGACCACCAGCGAATCCTCACTGTTGTATGTTTTTGTTTTTGTCATTGCCACTTAATGAGTTAGTCTCTTCCTTGGTACGTCTAAAACTTTGGTGAAAACGATCTCATCAACGCGATAAACCCCTAGTCAACCCTTGCCGACCAGCCCATACAACACATGCCTTGGCTCGGATGTTAGAGACTGCTGTAGTAAAGGTGAAAACTACCAAGTTGGCTTCCTTCTTAACATGAAAGTGGCTCATTTCAACTATGGCAACATCAAAAGCCCAAATCATGCAGTTTTGGACTCCCAAGCCCAGATTCAGAAGAAGCAATCATGCGAGACACTCAAGGTGCTTTCCGTTGAAGTCCGCCATGTTGGAACTACCTTGCAATGTCTTGGAAAAATATAAACAAGTACCCGTTGTCTAAGCCCCATACAGCCCGAGAATTATGACTCGATTGTTGCACATTTCTTTGGCCATTTCCAGAGATTTACACGAGCACTCGGCCTACTTAACGCCTTTGCATGTGTTGAGCATCAAAGATGTGAGATCGTTTACCGCAAGAGACTCGCGCGGCTTCTGAAGAGCAGTCTGGCTCTCGGCCTCCTTTAATTGCGAAGAATTCAGCAAGCAGGGGCTCCCAAATTCTTGAACCAGCAGGTTCCTGTATCTTCTTGACATCAGGTAGCTACCTCGCTGGCCCCCGTCGAGGGGATGCAAACGAACGTGGAACTCCCCATTTGCAATCAACTTCTGTCGAAGATTGCCGACCGAGGTGCGAACTGTCGAATTAGAATTATCGTGTTCCGGATCTCTGCGGGAATATAGCCGACTTTATTGAGTTTGGGAATAAAGTTGTTTCCGAGGCTATTGAGATGGAAGTGAGTGCGCCAGAGAATCAGTCTGCTGTTGATCAATGGGTGTACAGGATATGGAGGTACTTTGGGTCCCATACAACGCCTGATGGAGAATGGAAAATTGACTACGATGCCGACGTGCCACCGCCAGAGAAAACGGCTTGGGGTCTCCAAGAGATCAGGGAAATTCTGGAGCAACAAACTACCCCAGACTACGAATCCGAGGATCTGTGTCTCACATGGGGCTCAGATGATGAAAAGACACTCACGGTTACCAACTTCACAGACTCCTCGGAAAGTGACCTCCAATATGTCATGCATGTCCTATTCCTCGCGGGCAACACAGACAACGGCCCTCTCGAGCGTACAGCCCGAATTTTCTCACTAAAAGTTTTATCCAGAATTGCATCCACACGGATGGGACTCGAGTTCCGAATTCCAGGCCCGAGCCTAGTATCCATTTTGTCATCTCCCAACCCTAGCAAGTTCCCTGTTGGTGCGTTTTACAAAGCAAAGAACCACTCGAAGCAAGAGTGACTCGTCCCTTTGCAGCCGAGCAACATTGCTATAGTTCCCAACTATGGGTGCAAACAGTTTGCAGTCACACTTGATCAACTGGCCTTTATAACGGAGCCGGATGTCCTGTTTCTTATAGAAAATATAGAATCAAAACCCGAGTTTGGCTCCTCTAGCTATGAAACGATTATTCGCCGCAGTGCAGGCGTGATCGAGGCTGTGAGGAGGCTGGCTATGCTGGACTTGAAAGAAAAGGTGGGATGGGATGATGTGAGATATCCTAAAGCCGATGAGTGGTGCCAGATCTTTGGCGTTTTGCTGGAGCATTATCAGAATATGGTGCTTGCGCTTGAGCCGTTCGAGCCATATCAGCCATAGGAAGACTGAGGTCTGTTATTTACTGGATCATACTGGAAGGCCTAGTCTGCGGTGCTTACCACAAAACTAGCAACAGGTTCAATATTCAATGTTTTGAAGCTGTACAGGTCAATGTTTGGCTGTTGAAGATTGTGAAAGCACAAATAGTCTTTTGAGAAAATTTTGAGCTTTCAATGTTTTGGCTTCTATAGATGCTGCTTTACTTTGGGCCTGGTGTGTTCATTTCACAACTCTAGCTTGAAAGATTGATAAATCAGATACATATTAACAATACCCATTCCATATAAAAGAGACAGACAAAGCAAAAACAAAAACGAATAAAACATACAACAGTGAGGATTCGCTGGTGGTCACCCACCCAACTACTAACTCACCGGCGTGTGGCTTAAGTACGGCTGAGCGGACGGGAAGCCCTGTTTTCCACACCCTATGGTCGTATGTATCAGATGGTATGATATATAAAATGATATTATATGTACAGAGAAGAGTTCATAGGCGTGAGTAAATAAGTTGCGCTTTAGGAGCAAATCATATTCTAAAACTGGTCACCTACCGGGGTTATATATTGTTAGATACCTTCTTCCAAAACATACTGCCCTAAGCACTACACAGTCAAGTTTCACAGACCTGGTCTTCTATGGCAAATACGAAAAGAACTAAAAAAAACAAGAACATAAATTAGTGAGGATTCGCGGGTGATCACCTACCCAACTACTAGCTCGCCGGCAAGTGACTTCTGTGCAGTCGATATTTGGGTGCCGCATGGGTGAGAATAGGGACAGCGCCGCTTTATCATCGCGCAACCCGGGTTGAGCAAATTGAGTGCACAATAGACAGGGTGAGAACCAGGGTGATTCTCGCTTTCCGTTGCCTGGGCTTAGATACTGCGTTATTGGTTCACCTCGGTCTGGCTGAAACCGCTGTCTCTTAGAACTTGTATATCTCATCGAAACCAACCCAGGATTGGCCAGACCAACGGCGAGGCTGACTTCAAAGTTTCCTTGGGCCAAGGTACGGAGTATAGGAGTTGTACTTTACTTAGCGGAAACCCAGTGACCACCACTGGCTAATATGACGATTCTGCCAGGCTTTCTCTGCCTTGGAAAATGACTTTAATCGGCCGCTATCCCCCCGACGTATGGAGACATGTTCAGCCAAGAGACTTTAAAACTACATGAAAATTCTCCTATCGCCCGCCTACTAGCGGGCGGCCTTCGTAAATTCCGGTCTCGGAAAGCACTGATTACTGCCACCGAGAAGAATTAGCTGGTACTATGACGCAACTATTAACTACACTGAGGCTTGGATGGGCCAACATGTGCGGATACATATTTTATATTCTAGTTAGAGCGTGATGAACTTAAGGGTTCTTTAACCATCTAGGTATAATACTCATCAAGCTGCTATCTATAGAGACGCCTAGTTGACGAAAATGTGGGATGGCTGTTCTGAGCTAGATTTGTCGAAGTCGAGTATGAATCCCGACGTCACTCAAACTTTGAGACTGCTTAGCGAAACCATTTATTGATCGCCGAGTCCCTTCAGTGGGCTAGCAGACCTTACATAACCTATATCACCGGTAGTCACCTGTCTATAGGATCCACGATGGGCTTTCGAGGCTTGATCAAAGGGTTGATCCGATACCCTAGCCGACTCTTTCGAGACGAATTGGAAGATGATATCTCGGTGACAACCTTCGGAGACGCCGACCTCGAAGCCGAAACGAAGAATGATAGTCAGAGAGAAAGCCAAAGGCTCTGGAACTTCAGCAACACAAGAACCCTCACAGACACTTTCGCTCCTGAGAAGCCTGGGCGTGAGCGGGTATATGATATTTGCTCGTTTGATGAGAGTATCTTTGCCGAAATATTCGAAAGCCTTGACCTGGTCGATCAAGTTTGTTTTGCTCTAACCTGCAAATTTCTCTTTGCCACATATAAGGGGACTGTCAAAGATAAAGCAATACTTCCGCAACAGCCGACTATACATCGTCTTCCTCTCTCGTTTGTCAACAGCGATGATAAGCTACGAGTTCGACTCCTTGTGCGGCTTGAGAATTCCCAGTGGGCATATTGTGCCGAATGTTTTCTACTCAAACCACGAAGGATGTTTGCACCAGATTCGCTCGCAGTCTTGCCTCTGAAGAGACGTTGTGAGAGCTACAATGGAGTCATAAAATTCTGCCCATGTCTTTACTTTACTCTTCGAGATCGAAACAATGTACGGGCTCTTCTCCGATCCTCCCTTACGCCACCTCCGACTAACTATGGCGCTTTTGGGTTTCCTTCTGACGAATGGAGATGCAAAAGTCATGTCTGCCCATATCACTCAAACGATAATGAAGAGGTGCAGATCTTTGTGTCAATAGCTCTTCGTAGTATGGGCATGATCGGTTTGTACGTTTGGTACTTCCTTCGTCTTCCAGAATCTTCTAGGGATCAGGCCAGGCTAGCCGACCCTATCCTCATATGTCCTCACCTGAATCTATGGGACTTGGTATACGCGCCTGGAAATTCGACTGAATGCAGAATTTGTGGTGCTGCTGTTTGGAGAGGGTCAGATTCACAGGGAGACACTGATGCAGTGACTTTTACCACACGCCTGTCTCTTGGGTATGTCGATGAATCGGATGACCCGCTATGGCTTCTTTACTGCTGCACCCCCGAGGATGACACTCAGTATGTTGCTCCTAGCCTGTAACTACATTTGAACTACCATGCTGACTATTTTGAGGTGTGTATCTCATGATCTAAGGAGTGGGTCAAAGATTTGGCATCGTTGGGAGAGCGACTCACTATGGATTACTCCCGATCCAATCACACAACTCGTTATACGAGGCGATCCGCGTTACTCGTAATATACGTTACAGTCTATCGAATCAGCTACTCCTGCCGTGATCACGCAGTATTTCACTTCTTCCTATAAACTATTGCTTGCGTATCTTGCCAGTCTTGGAGCTAATTTAGTGACCTATGCAGGATGAATTTGCAGACTATCCGAGCACTTGGCCTTTTCAAAACAACGAACTATATTCCTTCTTGGTTGAGATTCTATTAGAAACTTCGATCCATGGGTTTTCCTTGTGGGATATTGCTAGGCTCAGTGTGTTTGATAGGTGCATATAGGGCTATATGGTCCTTGCCACAACCCTCTCCCTTCTTCCTCCTTAACTAGCTCACTGGGATATCTCAATGAAGATTGATTCCTGATTTCCTGCTTTCTTTTGTAGTAAGCCATTTTCTATCAAATTCAAATTTGAAACTATTTCTTACCAAGTCAGATTCACGTGATACCTCTCCACTCTACATATCTCGGTATCCTACAGTTTCCCTGTGTTGAGGCTACTGGTGTAGACTCTGGAGAGAGTTGTATTAGAAAGGAGACGAAGGTCCAAACTATCTTGTATTATCAAAACACTCAGCCTTGCTCCCATGGGAAAAGGTGAACAAAAAGAAAAAAACCAAAAAACATACAACAGTGAGGATTCGCTGGTGGTCACCCACCCAACTACTAACTCACCGGCGTGTGGCTTGAGTACGGCTGAGCGGACGGGAAGCCCTATTTTCCACACCCTATGGTCGTATGTATCAGACGCTACGCTAGCTAGAATTATATTATGAGCACATAGAAGGGGTTATAGGGTGCAAATTCCAAGTTTAGGGTAAACCACCCAGAGAGTATCTTTAACTACGGAGTAAGCATCTGGCTACCAATAGATTAGATGTTGCTTAATTCTAAAACCTACAGTTCTTGGCATTTACACGACTGGTTTTTAACATCCCGACTCTTCCATAGCAAACAAAAAAGCAAAAACAAAAACAAAAACATACAACAGTGAGGATTCGCTGGTGGTCACCCACCCAACTACTAACTCACCGGCGTGTGGCTTAAGTACGGCTGAGCGGACGGGAAGCCCTGTTTTCCACACCCTATGGTCGTATGTACTGACAATGACAGTTGACAGAGTTTTATCCCGTCATGAAGAAGTAATACCAGAGGAGCATGCAATAATCAGAGCCAGGAGTGAAGCCAAAAGTTCCAAGACACCATATTTGCCGGGTAAGAATTCTTGATCACGAAGGAGAGAAGCAACATATAGTAGATTTGGACACTTACTCTTGCGAGCCAATCTATGAGGGTCTGAATATGCTGGTTGGGTGCTCCAATCGCCACTGCTCCAACTGGGGCGCCTCTCGGGGCTTCGTCGGATTGTGAAACAACACCAAACGGCCGACGAAATGATCGCGACGCCAATGAGTGGAAGGCCCACCGTGAGAAAATACCCTGAACTCGTAAGTGCCGAGTTTTTCTGGCTCCTCGGTTCTGGAGGAGTCGTAAGACCCCACCCCGCCCAATTCGGAAGGTGATGTTTTGAATCAAGCGACATGCGGCCCCCAAAATGGTCCTTGCTGCATGAGCTATATCAGTTGGAAACTTTGTTGTCTCACTGCCGGACGATGTCATTGACACCGTAACTGTGGGTCAGCCAGGAGCGATATAATGGTAACATGGTGTTGCGAGACTGGTTATAGGGAAAGATTCGGATCTATCCCATAGTCGATAGCCGCTGAAATAAGTCAATGGCAATTACCGAGTGGTTTAGTCCCATATGTTTACTGCACAAAAATGGTAGAGTTCATGTACAAACTCAGTGCAACGGTAGGCTTTGGAATAAGCATCTTATGTATTCACTTAGGAGGGCGCGGCCTCAGTTTCACTTGGACCTACAGTTCAGCTGGCCTGCCATCACCAAGTTTGGACCCATTGAACCATGGAGCCAAATATCGGATTATCAACTTGGTGAAAAGGGGGTTTTATCCCAACAAAGAACTCAACGTATGCCATTCGGATCCCATTATAGGGTCAGATCATGCGCCGGTGACTTCGGTCAGTAGTTCAGATAACACTGACTGATGAGGACGAAGCCAATTCTCAGGTAATTCTCTGCGGTGCTCGGAGATCTGCGGCTAGTAATGCTATTGATCATCATAATGAAGTGCATTGATGGAAATGGGGACGGCATCATGTATCTTTTGACGTGCCAGTATGCAGCGGTCTTTACCAGTCTACATGGCTGTGTCTTTCCCAAACCGACTGATATTCGTTTGCGATGCTCAATACTAAGACACAGGTTCCGATAAAGCTACATACACAAGATGGCTATATATGGCTTTGGCTCGGTTTGAAAACCCTTCAAAGCTTGGCGTTAAGCGCAGACCTCACATCTTCCTCGTCGAACTGCATAACTAACACCTCATCAGGGTTATTCGGCCGACCGAGCCGCACCGTTGCCTCTCTACGAGCATGATCGTAGACAATATTGAACAGAGTCGCGCCTCTGCTCTTGCCTTCCTCATAGGCGCGGCAGATCCCAAAGGGATAGTTGTCTTCGTCCTCCCAGAGTCGGGAAAATGCCTGTTTGGTACCGTCAAACCCATCGAGGAGGTGCTCCATACGCTGGTGGCGATTCCACGAGTCCGGCAAGGGATCAAGCTCTTTCGCATTTTCGCCGTGGTGAAGCAAGCAGTGGTTGGTGTGCACCATCCTACCATTCGTGTCGAGCACCTGTTTTCGCATGCTGGTGGGGGAGAATTCCAGACCAAATGCCTCGTGCCCATTGCCCACCATGATGAAAGCGCTGGCGGCCATTCCGCCTTGCTCCACGATTCGGTCATAGGCCTGGGAAGGAGAAGTGCTCTCGAGCGCCATGCGCAGGGCAATGTGAGAAGGAACTCCGGTGGGTCGAAGACCCTGAAGGTGGAGGGCGTTGTAGTTAACGGCGACTCCCGCACTGTTAAATCCAACCTTGCCAATGATTCCAGCCTCGGTTATGAATTTGATGGTGGGCAGTCCAGCTTGACGGATCGTCAACCGGATCAGGTTCTCTTTGGTGGCAGTAAAGAACTGTAACAACCAAATTTGTTAGCGCAAATTCGAGGGAATAGAATGAGGAGGTAAAAATTGTTAACGTACATCCCAGTTTTGGCCCTGGAGGGCTCCATTTGGAAGTTGACAATAGACGGTCGTGCAGCCATCACGCGCTGCCACGAGGCCGTATGCAAATTCCGTGCGGGTATTAAGCATGACAATCTCGGAAACATCGCGCTCAGCGCCCTTTGCGATGCCTGGTTTCCCGCGGGGGTCCTTGGTCAGCATTGGCGTAGAATGTGTAGGGAATACAGAAGTGGCACTCACCGCGAATCTCCTCGTAGTATCTGGGCCATCTTTCCTCGATCACGCGCCCCAGTTCCGAGAGGACCTGTTGAAGCTCTTCTTCCGTCTTCTTTGTTTTTCCTCGGATGAGGTCGACCGCGAATTTAATGCTTCTGGCTATCACGGCTTTGGCAGCAGAGCCATGTTGGTAGCCGATCTGGGATAGGTCAGAAATTGGATGATATAGATGGGAAAAATGGATATTCGGTGTAGCACTTACTTCAAAAGGAGTACCTTGACAGGTGATGTGAAGCATTTCTGATGCGGTTCAAATATAGTCAAACAGCTGCAAATTGATGGACAGTGAGAAATGCGTTCTGGGGATGCTCATCCAGACAGAAATGCACGCTGAGATCTATATCGGCAGTATCCACCAATCGGGGAACATAGCATGAGACTGACAAGACACTAACTGAAGCAGCTGGACTCTCCCTGCTACATCGGTCTAGTTCCGCCAAGGAGCTCTATCTCTGATCGAGCATGGGTGCCAAGTTTTGTCGGAAATGGTGAACCGCATGATTGACTGACCTCTTCCGTGTAGAGAATTCACCCACGGAGGCAATAACAGCCAGTCCGGATATGCCAAGACAGGAACAGAAATAGTACAACTCTGTAGCGTTTTGCCGGGATGTCGGATTCCCACCGGGAAAACTTCGAGTCTACATCCCCACTCCGACGCACTAGCGAGACACCTGGTGCATCTCCTGAAAAGCACTCGAGTGCATCTATGAAGGCAATTAGCGAGGAGCTCGCTCGTCAATTGGAGGATTAGCTTAGCGAGACACCAGAATATGTCTTGCCAAGGCTGAGTGATCCCATCGCCACCAGCCACCCTCACCGAACTTACACTCTCGCCCGGACGATAAACATTGCAAAGCGTGGGGGACGATAGCCTTATGATCGAGCCAATAGCATCGTGTAGATTTGAGGGAAAAAAGGTGGGCCTATGCGCATGTTAGTTTGTTTGGCTTACATCCACCCGGTTTCGATTGGGTAATTATGTCTGCCTGCAAGCTTGGCTGCGGCCCAGTCCCGTGCCTGCGGCACGTGATCGTCGTGCACTTCCTCAGGGTTCGCACTATCTTCACTACTTACATGCTGTTCAGGCCCAATCTCGCCTCTTCCCCCACGCATCATGTCACCAAGGAGAGATCGTGTCGAATGTGTTTGGTCTTCCAACCCGGCTACCCATGCTCAGACCACGCCGGGGCTTCACGCGGGTCAGCAAGGATGGCGAACAAGAGGGGCAAAAACTTGAAGCCGAAGCTGCCAAGCTGCAGACGATGTCTAGACTTCAGGGTATGGACACTAGAACAGATGGTCCTTCAGCTCTCATTTAGTTCAATGCACGCGATCCCCAAAACAGCACGCTAGCAGGTGGGCCTTCCGCCGCCCGAAACCAAAGCTGAACTTCCCACGGTTTGGTGAGACCCACTTGTCCTCATCCGACGGGTAGAGCCGGAGGAAAGGACGCGGTAGCATCGATCTACCCCGTACAACAAGAACCATCTTGTGATTTCGAATTTCAGTCTTCTACGGAACTTGGGAAGCCATGGAAATACTGGCATGGTCTACGTGGTCACATAGGGACGATGCACTTTCAACGTTTCAGCATGGATGGAGAAAAGAATGACTGTTGGACAACTAGGTATCTATTTAACCTTCGGCTATAGTTAATTAGGTACATTAGGCGGATCCTCCCTTTTTTTTTGGATCTGCTTCGGGCTAGCTCAGAGTCCGGGGACCTCGGTCCAGGTCCGATTCATTTCCCCTTTTAGGTCTGGCCGTTCTTGTTGATTAGACTAACTAATCCGTTCTGCAGATAGTCGCCGTAGGAGATTGGCTGCTGGTCGGTCTTGCCGTCTTCTTTGCTAGGATCCCACGGCTGGACAGTATCGTTGAAACCCAGATTGACAAAGAACGGGAGGGATTGGCGCTCCTCGTTCACCCACTTGACCCGGTGGATGGGGGCGGGATAGTAGTTGTTGGTGATGTGTGCCATGTAGCTGCCACAATTGACCAGGTAGGCGTTGTCATCCGCCTCGATGTCGAGGAAGCCCTGAGGGGTCTCCACCTGCAGGTTCGCCACGTCGGATTGGTACAGGACGGTGATGAGCGACACGTCCTCATGCCATTCGAAACTTAATTTGGTGCCATCCCCCGCTGTCTTGATGGCGGCAGGTGGGTAGGGATCCAGATACGGGTAGCGAATCAAAACGACCGAGGAGAGCGCGTCTTCCTTCTTGAAGTGGCGACTGAAGAAGTTCTCCTCCTTGCCCAGCCCCAGGGCATAGCCTCGCAGCAAGGCATCTGAGAGTCCGAACACATCCCAGTAGTATTGCTCGGCAAACTCTCGGAAGCCCGGATGCTTCTTCTCGTCTGGCCACACATTGACCTCGTGAGTGGGAGTCTTGGACTGGATGAGAGGGTGATCGGGCTTGAAGTTGGGGTTCAGGTAGCAGAAGGATTCCACGGCCTTTTTCTCTGGAATGGACAGGTAGTACCCGGCACGGATCTGGTCCTGGTGCTCCTTGTTGTACGCGCGAATTGCGAGGTCCCACTTCTCTTCTTCCGTGATAGAGAAGTGGAACTCTCTGGTCTTGTCCGAGAGTCGCTTAACATCGATGCCGTGGTTGACCGCGTAGAAGAAGCCGGTGTCGCGTGAGGCGGCGTCAATTGCGCGCGCGACCTTCATCTTCTCCTCCATGCTGTCGCCAAACAGGGGCGACACATCGATCTTGGGGACATTGGCTTTAGTAGTGGAAGCCATGGTGTCTATAAAACTAAAGGTAATATCCTGAGGGCGTGGACAACGACGAAGAGAGGGTCTAGCAAGAGAGACGGGAGGATTTCCTGCAGATGACAATGAGTGAAAATTATAGACGCAAAGAAAATGATCTGGGTTCTCTTTCTCTGTGGCTGAACGGAGAAAGAGTGTTTACGCCAAGGCCACCTCGAGATCTTATAGGCTTGCCGCCCAGACGCTTGCTGCATAGTGCCGCCGAAGCCAGGGTAAGATTCGTAACCGGGTATTGACGTTTGAGGTCTGTGGTGGTCTGAGATTTCAGCCGATCTGCATCGTGACTTTTGCAGACGGTGCGAGTAGACCAATCGTTGATCCTCGGGCAGGGCAACACTCCCCCACTCGAAAGGCTGGAGAGTACTCATCATGCCATGGCAGAAGTCGGGGCCCACAGGTATCCAAGTGGCAACGTCGAGTCAATTGTCCTTGTGAACCCTGGCAAACCGCGAGAGAGTAGGCAACATGCACTCAAGGCTGGCGATATTCCGAGGTAACCCCGCACGTATAACATGTCCAGACCACCTTGGCCCTCATCGCAGCGTGTTGGATCTTAAGTCACCATAAGCCGGCAGCATCTAATTAGAGTACAATGTAGTTGTGTCTCATTCTTCTCGGCTTCTGACACCAAAATCGGGCGTACTCTTGCCTCTGCCAAGTCGCGGTGCCTCTTGGCTGTCCCTGTGACTCCACCGATGTAACGTGAAGATACAGAGCTAACGGCATCGTATACGCCGTAGACGGTGCTAGACGGAGGTCTCCATCTTGGCTGTGGGCAGTGTCTCAGTCGCCCAGATTCTCGATGGAGACGGTTGCGATCCGCCAGATATATCCTTGAAATGAGAGACCAATGCAGCCGGCCCAGTATATAAGATTTTCCCCCGAGGCTGTCTGTGATTGCGTCTTTTACAACGTTTATTGTTGCATCTGCAGACATGACTCAACTGCAGCCACTGAAAGGAACCACGCCGATAGGCTTCTCGGCCACTACATCCCCGAACACCAGTGGGAGCTCGAGCGTGAAGAATGGGACCGGCAAACCCAGCAATGAAATCTTTGCACCCATCACCGGGGACCTCATTGACCGTCACAATGGCAATGTGACGGGCGGCAGTATCCGCGTCCGTTTCCCTGGAGGAATCGAACAGTGGAAGAAGTCGGTCAACCAGATCCCCGAGCGCTGCGACCTGAGCGGTCTAGCAACTGACTCCACGCGATATCAGCTCGCATCGACTGGGTTCAGTGACACAAGCGCTACCTACCAGGAGCGCTTGATGACGGTCCCCGTTGACGTACATTCCGCGCTCCAAGAGCTGTGCCAGGAACGCCATGTCAGCGTGAGATCCGTCATCAATTTCTGCGTGCACCAAATGTTGAAAGGGTTTGGAAATGGCACACACACCATCACCGCCTCTCTAAGCCACGAGCAGACTCCGCAGAATTCTTCGCCATCCTGGGTGGTCTCCCCCTCAATTGTCACTCATGAGAACAGAGACGGATGGTCCGTCGCGCAGGCGGTCGAGAGTATCGAAGCGGCGCGCGGTTCGAAGAAGGAGTCAGTGAGCACGATCGACTTAGGGTCAAGTCTCGTGAAACTGGGGTTATTTGACTTACTCGTCACTTTTGTCGGTGCAGGCGATGCTCATCTTCCGTCTCTCGACTTTCCCCTCGCAGTCATAGTGCGTGAGTGTGATGCCAGCCTCTCGCTGACTCTGCGTTTCTCCGACTGTCTCTTCAACGAGGAGACAATATGCAATTTCACCGATGCCCTAAAGATCTTGCTCGCCGAAGCAGTGATAGGAAGGGCGACCCCCGTCGCCGATATCGAACTGCTGTCCGCAGAGCAGAAGCAGCAGCTGGAAGAGTGGAACAACACGGATGGCGAGTACCCTTCATCGAAGCGACTGCATCATCTCATCGAAGAGGTGGCTGAACGCCACGAAGACAAAGTGGCCATTGTCTGCGACGAGCGAGAGCTCACCTACGGCGAGCTCAATGCCCAGAGCAACCGGCTCGCACGTTATATCCGCTCCATTGGGATCCAGCCCGAGCAGCTAGTCGCACTTTTTCTTGATAAGAGCGAGAAACTCATCATTACCCTCATCGGTGTGTGGAAATCCGGCGCTGCCTACGTGCCCATCGACCCGACTTATCCGGATGAGCGAGTCCGCTTCGTGCTGGATGATACCAAGGCACAGGCTATCATCGTCAGCAATCGCCACGCGGAGAGGCTCCAGCGAGAGGTTGTCGGCGATAGAAACATCCGCATTATCCGTCTGGAGCCCTTGCTCACCTTGCTTGCTCATGATTCCTCAAAATTCCCGGCGCATAACTTGGAGGACCTACTCCTTACGAGCCAACAGCTCGCCTACGTGACGTACACCTCTGGAACCACCGGTTTCCCCAAGGGCATATGCAAACAACACACCAATGTGGTGAACAGTATCACCGACTTGTCTGCAAGGTACGGGGTGGCCGAACAGCACCACGAAGCCATTTTGCTCTTCTCGGCCTGCGTGTTTGAGCCGTTTGTTAGACAGACGCTCATGGCACTCGTTAATGGCCATCTTCTCGCAGTTATCAATGACGTGGAAAAGTATGACGCCGACACGCTCCTCCCCTTCATACGCAGACACAACATCACCTACCTTAATGGTACTGCCTCTGTTCTGCAAGAATACGACTTTTCTGATTGCCCATCACTGAAGCGGATGATTTTGGTGGGCGAGAATTTGACAGAAGCCCGCTATCTGGCGCTGCGCCGGCGCTTCAAGAATCGCATCCTGAACGAGTATGGCTTTACCGAGTCAGCCTTTGTAACGGCCCTCAAGATTTTCGAACCGGAGTCAACCCGTAAGGACACGAGTCTGGGGAGACCGGTGCGCAACGTCAAGTGCTACATCCTCAATCCTTCTCTCAAGCGTGTCCCGATTGGAGCTACTGGCGAGTTGCATATCGGAGGGTTAGGTATTTCCAAGGGATACCTCAACCGTCCCGATCTCACACCGCACCGCTTCATTCCCAACCCCTTTCAGACGGATCGCGAGAAGCAGCTCGGAATCAACAGCTTAATGTACAAGACCGGTGATTTGGCCCGCTGGCTTCCAAACGGCGAGGTTGAGTATCTCGGACGCGCAGACTTCCAGATCAAACTGCGAGGCATTCGAATCGAGCCTGGTGAAATCGAGGCGACGCTGGCTCTGTACCCTGGGGTCCGGACCAGCTTGGTAGTATCCAAAAAGCTCCAAAACGGTCCGGAGGAAACTACCAACGAGCACCTCGTGGGTTATTATGTTTGTGACAACGCCTCGGTGTCCGAGGCAGACCTATTGTCCTTCTTAGAGAAGAAACTACCTCGATACATGATTCCGACGCGGTTGGTACAGCTGTCGCAGATCCCAGTTAATGTGAACGGGAAGGCGGACCTGCGCGCCTTGCCAGCCGTCGATATCTCCAATTCCACGGAGGTCCATTCCGACCTTGGAGGCGAGATCGAAAACGCCCTCGGGGAAATCTGGGCCGACGTGTTGGGCGCCCGTCAGAGATCGGTCTCTCGCAACGACAACTTCTTCCGTCTTGGAGGGCACAGCATCACCTGCATCCAACTGATCGCACGCATCCGACAACGACTCTCAGTCAGCATTTCCGTCGAAGATGTCTTCGCAACAAGAACACTTAAGCGCATGGCAGACCTTCTGCGGAACAAGCAGCAGGAAGAATCCGATGAACACCTTGAGGCGCCGGCAGATTTGCTTGAGGAGCAAGCAGGCACGGGCGATATCTATCTGGCAAACAGTCTTCAGCAAGGCTTCGTCTACCATTACCTCAAGAGTATGGAACAGTCTGACGCCTATGTAATGCAGTCTGTTCTACGATACAACACCGCATTGTCTCCAGATCTGTTCCAGAGAGCATGGAAGCATGCACAGCAGTCTCTTCCGGCGCTGCGGCTGCGGTTCTCGTGGGAAAAAGAGGTCTTCCAACTGATCGATCAGGATCCACCACTGGACTGGCGTTCCCTCGACTTCAACAACGTTCCCACAGGTGCTGTCGGGGACCAGAAATTGGAAGAATTGCGGGGCCAAGACCTGAAGGAGAGATACAGGCTGGATGCGGGCGGACTGTTCCGCGTCTATCTGATTGAACACAGCGAGAATCGCTTCACGTGTCTCTTCAGCTGCCACCACGCAATCCTCGATGGCTGGAGTCTTCCGCTTTTGTTTGAGAAAGTTCACGAGACCTACCTGCAGCTGCTGCGTGGGGAAACTCTCACTCCGTCCATGGATGACCCTTACACCAACACCCAACGGTATCTCCACGCTCACCGTGAGGATCATCTCGACTTTTGGGCTGGGGTGGTTGAAAAGATCGACGAACGTTGTGATATGAACGCTTTGTTGAACGAGCGCAGTCGATACAAAATTCAGCTGGCAGACTATGACCAGGTGCAAGAGCAGCGACAGCTGACAATGGCCCTCTCTGGAGACGCATGGCTAGCAGACCTTCGTCAGACTTGCTCCGCCCAGGGCATTACTTTGCACTCGATCCTCCAGTTTGTTTGGCACGCCGTGCTGCACGCTTACGGTGGTGGCACTCATACAATCACTGGTACGACTATTTCTGGAAGAAACCTTCCCATCGTGGGAATCGAACGGTCTGTTGGTCCGTATATCAATACGCTGCCGCTGGTACTCGATCATTCGACGTTCAAGAACAAGACCATTATGGAGGCCATCGAAGATGTGCAGGCCAAGGTTAACGCCATGAACAGCCGGGGAAATGTGGAACTGGGGCGTTTGCACAAAACTGACTTGAAGCACGGATTGTTCGACTCTTTGTTCGTGCTTGAAAATTACCCAAATCTGGACAAATCGCGAACACTCGAGCACCAAACTGAGCTACGATATTCGATCGAAGGCGGCACTGAAAAGCTGAACTATCCGTTAGCTGTCATCGCGCGCGAAGTTGAGACGACTGGCGGATTCACTGTATCCATCTGCTACGCCAGTGAGCTGTTTGAGGAGGCCATGATCTCCGAGCTCCTTCATATGGTCCAGGACACTCTGATGCAGGTTGCCCGAGGTTTAAACAAACCTGTTGGCAGCCTGGAGTATCTCTCATCTGTTCAACTGGAGCAACTCGCCGCATGGAATGCCACGGAGGCAGAGTTTCCCGATACCACGCTTCATGAGATGTTTGAAAATGAAGCGAGCCAGAAGCCGGACAAGACAGCGGTAATCTATGAGGATACGTCCTTAACTTACCGCGAGTTGAATGAGCGGGCGAACCGTATGGCACATCAGCTAAGGTCCGACGTCAGCCCCCAGCCCAACGAGGTCGTTGCGCTCGTGATGGACAAGAGCGAGCATATGATGGCCAGCATCCTGGCTGTGTGGAAGAGCGGCGGTGCCTATGTCCCCATTGACCCTGAATACCCCAACGACCGCATTCAATACATCCTAGAGGATACTCAAACTCTCGCTGTCATCACGGACCCCTGCTATCTGCCTCGGATCAAGGAAATTGCCTCATCCGGCACGCTTGTTTATCCCTCTGACTTGGCTGCCAATCCTGATTCCAAGTGGAGCGTATCGAACCCTTCACCATTGAGTCGGAGTACGGACTTGGCTTATATCATTTATACCTCTGGAACGACCGGTCGGCCTAAGGGCGTCACGGTAGAGCATCATGGAGTGGTCAACCTGCAGGTGTCGCTATCCAAGATATTCGGCCTACGGGATACTGACGACGAGGTAATCCTCTCCTTTTCCAACTATGTGTTCGATCATTTCGTGGAGCAAATGACCGACGCCATTCTCAATGGCCAAACTCTACTAGTCCTCAATGATGAAATGCGCGGGGACAAAGAGCGACTCTACAGATACATTGAGAAGAACCGAGTGACCTACCTGTCTGGCACCCCATCTGTGGTCTCCATGTACGAATTCAGCCGGTTCAAGGATCATCTACGCCGTGTGGACTGCGTTGGAGAGGCTTTCAGCGAACCGGTCTTTGACAAGATCCGGGAAACGTTCCATGGCCTTGTCATTAACGGCTACGGCCCAACCGAAGTTTCCATCACCTCCCACAAGCGGCTCTACCCGTTCCCAGAGCGGCGCATGGACAAAAGTATCGGCCAGCAGATCCACAACAGCACGTGTTATGTGCTGAATGAGGACATGAAGCGCACTCCCATAGGGGCCGTCGGTGAGCTCTACCTGGGAGGCCAAGGAGTGGGACGAGGCTATCACAATCGTGCAGATGTGACCGCGGAGCGATTCATTCCTAATCCATTCCAATCGGAAGAGGAGAAGCGGAAAGGCCGTAACTCCCGTCTGTACAAGACCGGTGACCTGGTACGCTGGATCCCTGGAAGCAACGGGGAGGTCGAGTATCTGGGCCGGAACGACTTCCAGGTCAAAATTCGTGGACTGCGCATCGAACTGGGCGAGATTGAGGCGATCCTGTCGTCATATCCCGGAATCAAACAGTCTGTGGTGATTGCCAAGGACCGCAGGGAAGGTGGCCAGAAATTCCTAGTTGGTTACTATGTCGCCGATGCAGCGCTGCCGTCCGCCGCCATTCGGCGCTTCATGCAGTCTCGTCTGCCTGGCTACATGGTACCTTCGCGTCTCATTCTCGTCAGCAAGTTCCCTGTCACTCCCAGTGGAAAATTGGACGCCAAGGCTTTGCCCCCTGCCGAGGAAGAGAGCGAGATTGACGTGGTGCCGCCGCGTAGTGAAATCGAACGCTCCTTGTGTAACATCTGGGCAGAACTGCTCGAGATGCGCCCAGATGAGATCGGCATTTACAGCGATTTCTTCAGCCTAGGAGGTGACAGTCTGAAGAGCACAAAGCTTTCCTTCATGGTCCACGAATCATTTAACCGCGCCGTCTCGGTCAGCGCCCTTTTCCGTCATCGGACAATCGAAGCCCAGGCGCACTTGATCCTGAATGATGCTGCAGATGTGCACGAAATCACACCCATAGATTGCAATGATATGCAAATGATCCCCGTCTCCCGCGCCCAGGAGCGACTCCTCTTCATCCACGAATTTGAGAATGGCACCAATGCATACAATATCGACATTGCCTTCGAGCTTCCTGGCTCAGTTGAGGCCTCGGATCTCGAGCAGGCGTTGCGTGGAATCCTTTCTCGGCATGAGGCGTTGAGAACTTTACTCGTCAAGGATCACGCAACCGGCACCTATCTCCAGAGGGTATTGAGTCCCGATGAAGCCCAGGGCATGTTCTCCGTCAAGGTGGGCACAATCCAACAGATGGAGCGGCTGGAACAAGAGATAGCCAGTCTATCTCGGCATGTTTTCCGCCTCGGAGATGAACTGCCTTGGGAGGCCCGTGTGCTCAGACTCGAATCCGGGAACCTGTATCTCATTTTGGCGTTCCACCATACCAGCTTCGATGCATGGTCGTTGAATGTTTTTGAGCAAGACCTTCGGGCCTTCTACACAGCGCTCCACAAAGCCAAGAGTGCAGCGAACTTGCCAGTCCTCAGAGCGCAGTACAAGGAGTATGCGATCTACCATCGCCGGCAGCTGTCTGGCGATCGCATGCGCGACCTATCCGACTTTTGGCTGCGGAAACTGAGTGGCTTGGAGTCATTGCAGCTGATAACCGACCAGCCACGGCCTGTGCAATTCAAGTACGACGGTAACGACATCAGTATCGAACTTAGCAAGAATGAAACGGAGAACCTGAGGGAGGTGGCCAAACGTTGCAAGTCGAGTCTGTACGTCGTGTTGCTTTCCGCTTACTGCGTAATGCTAGCCTCGTACGCGAACCAGTCCGATATTTCCGTGGGTATCCCAGTCAGTCACCGAACACATCCGCAATTCCAATCCGTCATTGGCTTCTTCGTCAATCTTGTGGTGCTTAGGGTTGATATTGCTCAGTCAACCACTTACGAGCTCATCAGAAAGGTGATGAAAGAGCTCGTGGACGCCCAGCTGCACCAAGACATGCCGTTCCAGGAGGTGACGAAGCTGTTGCAGGTGGATAATGATCCCAGCCGACATCCTCTGGTACAGAACGTGTTCAATTTCGAATCCCGTGCGAATGGAGAATACGATGCCAGGTCGGAAGATGAAGGGTCGCTTGAATTCACTCAATACCAGCCTGCTCAGCCCGTGGATTCCGTTGCGAAGTTCGATCTGAATGCAACGATTACAGAATTGGAGTCGGGAATGAGAGTCAACTTCAACTATGCCACCAGCCTATTCAACAAAAGCACGATCGAGGGCTTTTTGCACACCTATGAGTATCTTCTGCACCAGCTGTCCGAACTGGGGGCAGAAGGGATCAAGGAGGATGCGCAGCTGTCCTTGGTTCGCCCGGCGGAGAATGGCGATCTGCACTTGCCACTGGCACAGTCCCCACTTGCGATGACTGTTGAGGAGCAGAAAGCAGCGTCTTTGAACCAGGCCTTTGAGCGCGAAGCTTCTCTTGCCGCAGATAAGATTGCCGTTGTGCAGGGAGATAGGACGCTTAGTTATGCCGATCTTAACAAGCAGGCCAACCAACTCGCCCGGTACATACAGTCCGTCTCCTGTATTGGAGCAGACGACCGAGTGGCTTTGATGCTGGAAAAGAGCATCGATACGATTATTTGCATTCTCGCAATTTGGAAAGCCGGCGCAGCATATGTGCCCTTGGATCCAACTTACCCGCCGGAACGCGTCCAGCTGATCCTTGAGGACATTCAGGCGAAGGCTGTTCTTGTGCACTCCAGCCATGCTTCAAAATGTGAAAACTATGGCGCAAAAGTGATTGCAGTCGACTCGCCTGCCATCGAGACGGCGGTCAGCTCACAGTCAGCCGATGACTTGCCCACAATTGCTACCCTTGACAATCTGGCCTATGTCATTTTCACCTCTGGCACTTCTGGCAAGCCCAAGGGAGTCCTAGTCGAGCAAAAGTCAGTTCTTCTTCTCCGCGACGCTCTCCGAGAGCGGTATTTTGGTGCAGACTGTACGAAGCACCACGGCGTGCTGTTCCTTTCCAACTACGTCTTCGACTTCTCCGTCGAACAACTTGTGTTGTCGGTGCTAAGCGGGCACAAGCTCATCATTCCTTCAGCAGAGTTCGTCGCAGATGATGAATTCTACAGAATGGCCAACACTCATGGTCTCTCCTATCTCAGCGGAACGCCATCCTTGCTGCAGCAGATCGATCTGACACGACTGGACCATCAGCAGGTCGTGACTGCCGCGGGTGAAGAGCTCCATGCCTCGCAGTATGAAAAGATGCGCCGCCGATTCAATGGTCCCATCTACAATGCCTATGGCGTCACAGAGACCACGGTGTACAACATTATCACGGAATTCAGAACGAATTCGACATTTGAGAATGCTCTCCGGGACGTGCTCCCCGGCACCCGAGCGTATTTGCTGAACGCGGCACTCCAGCCGGTCCCGTTGGATGCTGTCGGAGAACTCTATCTGGCCGGCGACAGCGTTACACGTGGTTATCTCAACCAACCTCTTCTGACGGATCAGCGCTTCATTCAAAACCCTTTCCGCAGCGATGAGGACATTGCCACGGGGCGCTTCGCGCGGCTCTACAAGACCGGCGACCTGGTTCGATTCCGGTACAGCGGTCAGCAGCAGCCGCAATTGGAATACCTAGGAAGAGGCGATCTGCAGATCAAGATGAGAGGATACAGAATCGAGATTTCCGAAATCCAGAACGTGATCGCTTCATGTCCCGGTGTCCGGGAGTGTGCTGTCGTTGCCAAGTATGAGAACAACGATACCTATTCCCGGATCGCTCACTCCCTGGTCGGCTACTATACCACTGACAATGAAGCGGTATCGGAAGTCGATATTCTCAATTCCATGAAGGCAAGGCTTCCAACGTACATGGTGCCCAGCCACCTCTGCCGTCTAGAGGGCGCACTGCCTGTGACGATCAACGGAAAACTCGATGCCCGGAGATTGCCAGATATTATCAACGACTCCACTCAGTCCTCGTACAGCCCGCCAAGGAACATAATCGAGGCCAAGATGTGCAGGCTGTGGGAATCCGTCTTGGGAATGGAGCGATGTGGCATTGAGGATGACTTATTCAAACTGGGTGGCGACAGCATCACGTCTTTGCACCTCGTGGCCCAAATTCACAGCCAGGTGGGTTGCAAGGTCACCGTCCGGGATATCTTTGAGCATCGCACCGTCCGAGCTCTCCACGATCACGTCTTCATGAAGGCCCCAGATCGGAGTAATGTGCCCCAGTTCCGTACTGAACAAGGGCCGGTCGTCGGCGAGGCTCCCCTGCTGCCCATTCAGGACTGGTTTTTGTCAAAGGCTCTGCAGCATCCGAGCCATTGGAACCACACTTTCTACGTCCGAACGCCAGAGCTGGATGTCGCTTCGTTGAAGGCTGCTGTCCGGGACTTGCAAACGTATCACGATGTCTTCCGCATGCGACTCAAGCGCCAGGACGCCAAATTCGTGCAGTCCTTTGCTGAGGACTGTTCCCCTATCCAGCTCCGGGTGCTGAATGTGAAGGATGTCAACGGGCCCACGGCCCTCAATCAGATGCTGGACGAGTGGCAGTCTGGCTTTAACCTTGAGAACGGACCCATCGGTGCCATTGGCTACCTACATGGGTACGAAGACCGATCCGCGCGAGTATGGTTCTCTATCCACCATATCGCCATCGACACCGTCAGCTGGCAGATCCTTGTCCGTGACCTGCAGACGCTGTATCGCAATGGAGACCTGGGAAACAAGGGCAGCAGTTTCCGGCAGTGGGCTGAAGCCATCCAAAGTTACCAGGCGTCAGAGTCTGAAAGGGACCACTGGAACAAGCTCATCACGGAAACAGCCAACAGCATATCCGCATTGCCCTCGTCGACCGATTCGCGCGTGCGCCTGAGCAGAAGTCTGAGCCCTGAGAAGACAGCCTCGCTGCTCAAAGGGGGGATCGATCGACAAGATGTCTCCGTGTACGACTCCATCCTGGCTGCAGTCGGATTGGCACTCCAAAATATCGCTCCGACCGGCCCGAGTATGGTTACGATCGAGGGACATGGCCGTGAAGAAGAAGTGGATCAGACACTGGATGTCAGCCGCACCATGGGTTGGTTCACCAGCATGTATCCGTTTGAAATTCCCCGTCTCAGCACCGAGAACCTTGCTCAAGGAGTGGCCGCTGTAAACGAACGGTTCAGACAGGTCCCTGCCCGTGGTGTGGGGTATGGAGCTTTGTACGGCTATACTCAACACCCACTGCCCCAGGTGACCGTCAACTACCTGGGCCAGCTCGCTCGCAAGCAATCAATGCCAGACAAATGGGCCCTCGCGGTGGGCGATAACGAATTTGAATACGGACTAACGACTAGCCCAGAGGACAAAGACCGAAGCTCTTCTGCCGTCGACGTCACAGCCGTGTGTATCAACGGCACTATGACCATCAATGTGGACAGTGCTTGGAGCCTCGAGAAGAGCGAGCAATTCGTCTCGAGCATGGAGGAAGGACTGAACAAGATCATCGACAGCATGGCAAGCCAACAAGCCTCGCTATTCTTGGCTGCTCCTCCATCGGCCGAGATGTACACGCCATATTTCGAATATCTGGAGCCTCCACGACAGGGTCCGACGCTATTCTTGCTGCCACCGGGCGAGGGAGGCGCTGAGAGTTACTTCAACAACATCATCAAGCGGCTGCCTCAGACAAACATGGTGGTCTTTAACAACTACTACTTGCACAGTAAACGTCTGCGCACGTTCGAGGAACTCGCGGAAATGTATCTCGACCATGTACGCGTCATCCAACCACACGGGCCGTACCACTTCATCGGCTGGAGCTTCGGAGGAATTCTCGCAATGGAAATGTCGCGGCGACTGGCAGCCTCGGACGAGAAAATTGGTTTCCTCGGTATCATTGACACCTACTTCAACGTGCGGGGAGCGACACGCGCCATTGGCTTGGGAGACACTGAGATTCTGGATCCCATCCATCACATCTACAATCCCGATCCGGCAAATTTCCAGCGCCTGCCCTCTGCAACGGATCGCATCGTGCTGTTCAAGGCCATCAAGCCGAACGACAAGTACGAATCTGAGAACCAGCGTCGCCTGTACGAGTACTATGATGGCACTCAACTCAACGATCTGGATAGCTTGCTACCAAGCGATGCCGACGTCCAGCTGGTCCCGCTCATGGATGATACGCACTTTTCCTGGGTCGCAAATCCACAGCAGGTGGAGCAGATGTGTGCGACTATCAAGGAACACCTCGCTCGCTATTGATCCATTACTAGCAGCACACCATATCAGACGACGGAAGAGTGGGGTTCTTTGTGGGAGCAACTAGCGTCTGGTTGAGGGAAAAAAGAAGAAGGGGGAAAAAAAGAATGATTAATCGGATATAGAAGAATTCAATGTACTACATATATTGCAATAGCCATGTCTAACGTGTATTTCAGCAACAAGAATACGTCTAGCAGTTGTAAGATTCCACAAACATTGCGCTCATTCCATAGATGCTCATCTGGTTCATCTTCTGTCGCACACTCATGAGCACACATGGCAAGGCCATAGTTCTACTCCATCAAATGTTCATGTCATAGTGACAAGAACCGCCATATTTCAATGAACTTTTAATCTCCATATTTCTTACGATAAAAAATATACCAGGACATGATATAGTTACCTAGAGACCTTACCACAAAGCACCAAACCAAGCCACTTCTCTTTCCAAATAATCTTTCGTTTACCTCTCTCTCTCTCCTCCTCTAAGAGAGGGAAAAGAAAAAAGAAACCAAAAAACATACAACAGTGAGGATTCGCTGGTGGTCACCCACCCAACTACTAACTCACCGGCGTGTGGCTTAAGTACGGCTGAGCGGACGGGAAGCCCTGTTTTCCACACCCTATGGTCGTATGTATTAGATTCCACAAAGGTCTTAACCTTAACGATTATGATGACGACTAGATACAGATGATGTGATTATCTTAGAGCATAAACATATACGAGACTCAAGATCTTTTGTGTTTCGTCGCGATAAGGCAGTCTTGCTGCCTTGTCCATCTACCTGGGTATACGTTTAACAAGAAATCGAACCATGTCATTTTACTTGAGAGAGACCAGTGGTCCCATCAATGCTATCTGTTTACAGGGTTCCAAACCTTGCAGCCCTTTGGCTGCCATCAAGACTCCATGCATGGTGTTTTATGATACGTACAGACCCAATAGCCTCTAATAATTGACCTCTATCTCACTCCAGCATGAAGATGTTGCCATTCACAGTGGAGGTCTCACAATAGGCTCGCAGCGTCAGGAATTGAAGTCCCCGCAGCGGTTACTTCAAGCTATGGATGCGCCCCTCAAACCTGTGATACCTAGGATTTAGTATTCCACCATAGATATCCTAGTCTTTAAGAACAAGCTCGCACAATACTAACACTTAGATCATGAGATGGCCTTCAAGGTCTATAAAGTCTACGGAAGCCAATCAGTTATTTCACCTGGCTACTCACGTTGATACAGGAAGCAGTTCACTCCTTTACCCGCAGAATGGCGCATCCTTGACTGTTTACGGTAGTTGATATATGCCTTCGTTACTCAAAATTACGGGCAGTCCTCATTGAGCATCCTGCTACAAGTAGGCTTCCACAAAGCCCATAAATGGGCTCATATGTCAGGCCCATAGCCCAACCCGTAATGGGCTATGGGCCCTACCTCCGAAGCTCGACCCAGCCCAATGAAGCCCATTTCTATGCATAATTGCAGTCTTGGCGCTCATAAACCTGCTGATTAATGCCTGTTTTTTTACGCATGTTCAATTCGGTAAGCTTACCACGGAAGATCTCGGCCCGTTGCCTAATTCAGGGGTTCAACTTTGACACAGTATCGACATGTAGAGATATATAGTGTGTGAAGTAGGTGCATCTTTCTCTTCAAGGACGTATTGGGGACCTTGCCCCTCGCGGGCGACATCATAGGGCTGCGGAATAATTAACACAGAGCTAAGGTATATGCTACTTACCTGCATCTGTAGCCTACAAGCCATCGTCCAGGGCACCCATATTCATTGAAATGGGGCTCTGACACCCCCAGGGCATACTTGGATATCCGGACGAAGAAGTATCATGCATCCGAATACAGCCCCCCTGGGCTTCTTGATATCGAGCTTCCACAAGTGCCTTCACAGATCCACTGAGTAGTTCGGATGGACCGGATGATAGAATCTTTAAGAGGCTACGATCTGTCGTTGATTCCATGTCCAAACAAAGTCAAAATAGCATGATTTGCTAGAAGTAGAAGATTTATATTCTTATCGGATATTTTACCCACTCTGTGGTCCACAGTCTGCAGTTTCATCAACCATTTAGATTATGAATTCGATACATCCCATTATTAGATTGCTACGACTTACTAGCAGATAAAAGATGTATTAGGGCATGGCTTGAGATGGGAAGAAAGGTAAAGGTTACTACACCATTCTATAGGGCAAGTAACCACATAGGCCACTATCGTGGCCCGAGTTATCAAGGCATTCTAGAATGGAATTCATTAATTTGTAGAATATATCTCTCCCATTTCCCATTGTCGGTACATACGACCATAGGGTGTGGAAAACAGGGCTTCCCGTCCGCTCAGCCGTACTTAAGCCACACGCCGGTGAGTTAGTAGTTGGGTGGGTGACCACCAGCGAATCCTCACTGTTGTATGTTTTTGTTTTTGCTTTTTTTATATACAACCCATCTAGCCAGGGTAGGATATCCTCAATGTACCAGCTATTTAGAAACTTTTAACCAATGAGTGCCTCAGGCACAAGGAATATGCAAACCGTACAAATCTCTTGAGAGGGCAGCAAAACTTCGGCATTGATCACAAAATTTCAAGATCTTTAACCCCTAATATATGGCCTATCAAGTGTGTTAAAACCTAACGCAAGTCATATCATTCCCAATTTTTCTTTCGACATAATCAACATCGTTACCAACGCGTGCCTCTCTACGCGCATTATCTCCAAGTATGGCAGAGGCATGCAATCACCTCCCCCCGCAACAGAACTCTCCAACGCAGAGCGCTTCAAAGCTACGCACCTTGCTGCGCGCCATGGGAATTACCACCAATACTACGCCAAGTTCCGGGCGCCTACCGTTCCGGATGAGCGTCTTTCCATTCTGCCATCAGATATTCTCCGCAATGCGCGGGTCATAGACCTAGGCTGCAACGCAGGAAAACTGACCTATGAGGCGATAGCGCATTGCGGCGCGGCCGCCTCAGTCGGCGTCGATATCGACCCGTGGCTGGTCGAGCAGGCGAAGGCAGCGTACCCAGACGGGCCGTGCACATTTGAGCACTTTGACTTCGTGGATGCGTCCGCATACACGGGTACCGCGCTGGGCAAGTTCGATGTTGTCTTGCTGCTGTCTGTGACCAAGTGGGTGCATCTCAACAACGGGGACTCCGGAATGTTGTCGCTATTTTCCCACATCTCAAGCATCCTGAATGAGGGGGGTTATCTTGTTGTGGAGCCGCAGCCTATGAGCAATTACGCGAGAGCTTCAAAGAGGAATAAAGAATTGAGAGAGACGTATAAGACGATCCAGATCAAGCCACCGTTTGAAAATGAATTGAAAGCGCAGGGCTTTGAGAGGATACTGGAAGTTGAGAGGGACGAGGAAGGGTTTGCTAGGCCCGTACATGTTTGGAAAAAAATATCATAATACGATCCATGAAGATGGCTCAGATTGAGTCAAGCCAACTGACTAGCATTGATATATGTTTAGAGCAAGATATACGACGGCCAGAGTGCTGGAATAACAAAAGCGGTATACTGCACGCCGATCAATATAGCAAAACTGCTCACTGAATAGAGGGATTTAGCTCGGGATGAAATGCTCGCCTCACTTCGTTCTGCCAGCATTGTATTATATAATCATGCCAAGTCTCCCAGTGTAAGAAAAAGGATCATGGAAAATGAGGATCAACATGCATGAATCCTTTCTTGATGAGGACTCTTTATCATGATGTCATGCGATGCCCTGAGGAGTAAAAAAAACCTGGAAGTACCGAGCTATACAATTGAAGGCTGACATTATAGGTTTCCGAGTACGGAGAGAATTCTAGACCCTGCCGAGTATGTATACTCCGCATACATGGAGTTAGCTAACTTATGTATACGCCCGAACTTTTCCCGATCGGTGGGGCGCACCCACAGTAGCGCGGGGTGTTAGGCGCGCCTGGCACGGGTATTATCCTTAGCATATTGGGTCTGTCTTGGACTGGGTTCCTGACGGAAGATCGGGCGTTTGATCCCCTGTCTCACGCAGGTGCAATTAGACATCCGAGAACTAATGACATATTGGACCCTGGTTATCTTCGGTCTCTGTTCTATCTTGCGCTATAACGCCCTTGTCACACAATAGGAGACGCTATCCCTCAGTGACCTGGAGTCTTGCGTGAATCTTATGCAGAATAATGTAAGGCTCGATCCAAATGTATTGTTGACTTCATTGATAGTGAGAGTGGATCAGAATACGAGGTATGTTGCACAGCGTTGTTGATCGACTGAGGTACATGGAGCTATGTTACCCAACCCGGGCTCCTCCTTCCCCGCGCGTGGACCTCACACCCGCAAATCTATCGTCTCCACACACTCACCCAATCCATGCCATTCCCCATCGCATGAGACTCCTCAGCGTTCCAATGGCCGACTCTCTGAAATCCATTCGTGTGTTCGAGCCCCTCAACATTGATCGGCACTCCTTCGACGTCGTACTGAATCTCCTGTCCAGGGTGACTCAAGTGCGCTAAATAAGCGGATGAGGGCGAGGCGTAAGGGGGCCCACCGAGGGACAGCTTTTTCTGTGTCGGGAATTCGACGCAGACGATAGCACTTTCCGGATGCATGGAAAGAAGATCCCGGTACCGGCGAGCCCAGGAGGGACGGAGGTCAGGGGCAAGGGCACAGAAGAACTGCTCTCGCAATGTCAGTCACACACCAACTGAGAGGTCAAATCAAAGTTAAGTCCCCTGAGCACGTCACGAAGCTTGCCGATTGCGAATTTCACGCCAAATTCTCAGCAATATACCATGCCGTGAAGAGGACAGATGACCCAGGCCTGGGGGAATCACTCACTGTGTAATCATATATGAACTCGAATTTGGCAAGCGGGGCCATGCACGCAGTCCACTCGTCACTAAAAAAGTCGCCTAGAATGAACTGCGCCTTCCCAGGTCCAACCGCTGGATCTCGAACCGGATAATCGCTCAGATGCTCTTCAGCCCAAGTCTTGGCTTCTTCAACTGCCTTGGCTGACACCTCAAGGCCATAGGCATCGTAACCTAGACTGGACAAGAGGAGAACGTCATATCCACGCCCACAGCCTGGCACCAACGCCCGCTTCCGCCGGCGCTCCTGCTTTTCGTCGTCATGAATAAAAATAGAGTCACCAATGAGATCCCGATGATCTTGCAGAACATGCACAAGCGCTGGATTGGGAATGCCCTGATCCCAAGGGAGGAAGTCGCCCGCATCCCACAGAGCTGCCCATCGATCATTGGCTGGAGGACCCTCACCACTGAAATGGCTCAGGAGGCGCGAGACAGACTCCTGGTTGAGAGGCTTTCCCGAATCACCCATATTGGAGGATGGATATATGTGTTTGTAAAAGAGGAGGGACAAAGCGTTGTTCTGGCGTGAAGGTCTTATTCGAGTTTCCGTCGCTTGAGGCTTTTCTCCTGTTGGATGGCGGGCGAACTAGGTCAATTTATCTTCAAAAGCATCCCTTGATTATCTTAGGTGACATCGGCTCAAATCATGTCGAATCCCCCACAAACACCATCTTGGCCAATGAACATCCTTCTCATCTGATCCCCGAGGATAGCTATCGTCAATCCTAGGAATCCCCACACTTTCCCGAGCAGGATTCTAATCTTATCTATATGCATCAATCATGGTCCCATATACCACCCAAGCCGGTTACAATGTCGTCAACGTGCATCAATCGTGTTCCTATATACCACTTAAGCTGGTTACGATGTCGTCAATGTGCATCAATCGTGGTCCTCTATACCACCTAAGCTGGTTACGATGTCGTCAATGTGCATCAATCGTGGTCCTCTATACCACCTAAGCTGGTTACGATGTCGTCAATGTGCATCAATCGTGGTCCTCTATACCACCTAAGCTGGTTACGATGTCGTCAATGTGCATCAATCGTGGTCCTCTATACCACCCAAGCTGGTTACAATCTCGTCGATCCTACGAATCCTCATGCTCTCCCGAGTAGGATTCTAATCTTATCGATGTGTATCAAGCGTGGTGCCTATCCATGATAATTACTAGGCGCCCGTGGCGATGAGAAAATATCGCGTCGACATGTTGACGGTGAACTGGTGTCACATTTCTCTGCAACCGGCCAAATTCGGAGCTTTTGGAGCGAGCTGCACACAATATGACCCTCGGCTCGATGATATCAGAGCGCCGTCTCATCATGGTCAGTGGTATGGTCCACAGGAAGCCAATAAAGGAGCGTGTACTTATAAGATCAAGCTAATCTCCTCAATCCGATCCAACTATCGCTACCTTGATTGAACAATATCTTTTATAGGCACTGCCGCTGTACTTCCATTTGCGCATGCCTGATCAAACTTTTCAGCTCTGATACAGTCATGGATCGCGATACTGGCCACGATGTCTATAGCGCTGAAGCTTTGCGGGAGACTGAATATCCAATGCTCAAAGGTGAACAAATAGAAATGTATGTAGCTAAGGCGAGAACACTCTTTAACCAATTTGCCTAGGGGAAACATATCTCGATCATACCGGTACAACTCTCTATGCACAGTCAGCTCTCAAAGCCTTCACCCACGAGATGTCCACCAGCCTCCTTGGGAACCCGCACTCTGAGTCACGGTCATCGCAACTCTCAACAAAGAAGGTTGAAGAGGTTCGAAGACGGACATTGGAGTTCTTCAACGCCGACCCGGAGCATTTCGATCTAGTTTTTGTTATGAATGCCACTGCGGCAGTCAAACTCGTTCTCGAGGCATTACAGGATGTACGCGTGTCCCAGGACTCAGAGAAGACCCCCTTGGAGCCGGGACTCTGGCTCGGATACCATCTCGAGTCCCATACAAGCATTGTAGGTATGCGCGAATTGGCCAAAGCAGGACAACATTGCTTCCTCTCAGATGATGAAGTTGAGTCCTGGCTCAGACCTGCGCCTTCCAAGGACAAGTCGGGTCAACGTCCAGGGCAAAGTTCGGAAAGCCTCCAAGTGGGCCTATTTTCGTACCCAGGGCAGACAAATATAACTGGAAGACGGCTTCCTCTTCATTGGCCAGAGGTTCTACGTCAATCAGAACATGCCTCCCACCAGCGAGTGTTCAGCCTTTTGGATGCCGCAGCTTTGGCCTCGACCACTTCATTGGACTGCTTCCGGGACCCGGATAAAAGCCCTGATTTCACAGCCGTCAGCTTCTACAAGATCTTCGGCTTTCCTGATCTAGGAGGGTTGATCGTGCGCAGGAAATCTGCACATGTACTGCTACAGCGTCCCTACTTCGGCGGTGGCACTGTGGAAATGGTCACCTGCTCCAACCCACCATGGCATTCTCGAAAGGTAACCTGCATCCATGGGGCGCTCGAGGATGGCACCGTGCCCTTTCATAATATCATTGCTCTGGGGTGTGCCCTTACCACGCATGAGCAGCTGTATATCTCCCAGCAGCACGTGTCTCGCCATGTGACCCACCTCACTGCAAATCTTTACAAGCTCCTCTCTTCTATGCGCCACCCGAACGGCGTGAACGTTTGCGAGATCTACAAAGATCACTCTGCCACATATGGTGACAGTAAGACTCAAGGGAGTATCGTCGCCTTCAACATTCGCTCTGATGAAGGCCGGTGGTTCAGTCTTTCCCATGTCGAGAGGGCTGCTAATGAGCACCGCATCCATCTTCGCACGGGTGCCGTTTGCAACCCGGGAGGTGTAGCAAAGATCCTTAACCTGGAGCAGTGGGAGTTGTTCCAGAACTACGTGGCAGGTATTCGATGCGGATGTCGGAGCGTACTAATTGGACATAAACCTTCGGGTATCATCAGAGTCAGTTTGGGCGCCATGAGTACAATGAGCGACGTGGAGATCTTCGTGGCGTTTATCCAAAAGCTCTTTACGGCTGGCCCTCTTCCTCCGCTAACACCCCGGCCACTTTCATCACCCCAAAACCTTCGAGTGCATACTATGATGGTTTACCCGATCAAGGGTGGCGCTGCATACACCGTGCCAGAGAACAAATCCTGGCAGGTCAACTCCGCTGGCATGCAGTGGGACCGCCAATGGTGTATAGTCAATTTGCAAACCGGATCAATCGTCGATAAGAGAGAGGCTCCACGAATTTTATTTATCGAACCTGAGATTGACTCCGAAAATGGGATTTTACGAATCAGCGTCCACCGCTCGCTGCAGCAGAGCCATCCTGAACTCCGAGGCACTATTGAAGTCCCACTGTTGCATCCGGGTGAAAGGGACTCCCCCAACGAGGCAGAAACCTATGAATGTTCGACTACCGTCGTCCGGAAGGCCAGCCGTTCCTACTGCAAGGACGCCTCACAGCATGTTCAAGTCTACCAATCGCCCAATCTCGCTACCTTTTTGACCGCCGCCCTTAGTATTCCCTGTACGCTTGCAAGGTTCTTAGATCCGGAGTGTCTACCGATGCACCTTCCAGAGCAGCTTGCTTCTAAAGATTTGCCAGAGGTGAAGGTCTGCTCTAGTCAGGATTCCGAGATTGATCGATACCCGATACCTCTCCCAGTTGAAGCGGAGAGCGGCCGGGTCCGACCAAAGGCTCTGATGGAGATCCTGCGAGTCAATGCCCTGATGTATTCCATCTTGGAGTCTGGAGACCGGCAATGGTATCTAATGCGTGTTGGACGGAGGGATCTAGATGGTGGGAATGACAAAGCGCGTGTCATCCATTACGGTCGTATGAAGGCAATTGAAGTGACTGCAGAGCGACAAGAGCCCGAGATCTTTGAGACCATGAGCCCTGTGGTCAAGATGTCGTGGAGTGCGGATAGCGGTGGTGGTGGTAATGATGATGGAACGGTTATGGGACCACTGGATGGAATGCTGCCAATCGATCCCGGCCAAACTGTTCAGTTCTACATAAAGTAGCTAGGATGGAAGAGAAACAATAGCGACAAAGTTTCGTGCAGCTGTCTATGTATTGTAGTGGGGAGCCAGGTACCGGACCTCACTACTGTCAGACTCTTCCCTTGACAATTGCACAGTTGCGTTTTCGTTAGACAAGCATAGGGAGGAAATATACAGCAGGTAGACATAGGTTGAATACACACACCTACCACTCTCAATAATTGACTCAAATGGACTACCCTCTACATCCTCTTATTCACTACGGTAGTTAGTAAGCTAGCAGATGCTCCAGGGCTGATGCTGAATCGACCCGTGTACCTAAGAGTGCACTGCCATCGAGCGTTCCCTCCTTCAGTATGTTTTTCACAACTAACAAGAATATTACGTGTCGTCTGAATCTTGTCCCGGATATCGGTGGCCTCATACCCAGGAGTCACAGATAAGAGCTTAGATTGATAAATTTAATCAGACATTGCGTTGTAATGCAACTAAGCCCTTGATTTTCCCGTGCAAATTGGAGGCAATCCAGAATAGTAGCTTCCAAGATTCCAATATCTAGACGCAGGGTCTCCCCAGCGAGAATTCACACCGGACACCACGAGAAGGTATGAATCCATTGTTCCAACGGCCTAGCGAGTTCTGCTGCCCAGTGCGAGCTCACTAGGGGCTTGTCGATATAGACCCACTCGAAATCGGTTTCACCTATTGCTTCGCCTATTGTTTCTCCTCAATATTTTCTCGAACTCTCTGAAACATGCCATTCCTCGATTTAACCTGTAGATCTTGAATTGTTAACAATGAACACATGACTGGTCTATAACCTTATTAACCGGAGATTACAAATACACTTGCCCACCTGCATTACGGAGTACTTAGTCAGAACAAGCATTTATGCATATATTTATGCACCGCCACTGTGCCGCCCGGCCGGTTGACGTTGGCGTCCGCCGTTCGGGAACAGTTGCCGTCCATCAAAACACTGATCTACTCCGTATCAGGAGAGAGATCTGCCGCAGCTCGGCCTCAATCGGATTGGAGTTGCCGATGTTTAAGCGGTTGCAACCCTGGCAATAAAAAAAACCTTGGAAATGGGCTCTCAACTGAATCTGAGGCCCGATCAAACAGATGACGTCACATACTCCGTATACATCGGGAAATCATCGGATAAACTACCAATCGAGACCCTGAAGGCAGTCAGTGAGCGCAATCATCGAACGTGCCTTTCAGCGGAGAGTTGAGCTAACATTCCATTCAACCTTGCATGATTATCTTCCACAACGCTGGGCGACCGTGTCTTTGCACAAACTAAAGAGCTGGTGTGTTCAATGGCTCATGCCTGCTCCCCGGCTTTGAAGAGGTCAGGGAAGCTGAGATCATGAAAGCATAGAAGATGTTCAAATACAACGAGGGGGAGCCTCGTGGAGCCTCGCAGTTACGGAAATTTGCCGGGGAAGTCGAATCTGGTCGATGCCAACAGTATCGCTGTGCAAGGTGGATCTGACTGCATAATTCTCGGGCTTTTACCGGAGCACTTGGCAAATGCGGAGGCCGGGGGATCGTCATTGAGTTGTAGTTTGGAATGAGGTTTGTATTGCTCTTCTGTTTTGATCTGCAGCGGAAACCCAGGTATATACTGCGTATGCCGGAGCAAGGCAGTTTGTAAAGGTTTCGACGAATTTGCTGGGACAGTGACTTCAAGAGCGACAGAAAGAATGAGAATCTGCCGCTCTAGAGTGGGACGGTTAAAATGAGATATCATAGTCCGGGGTAGGGATCGCGGCCCTGGGGAATGCTGCAATCTCCGCACTAACCACACGGTCCACCTTGGCAAATGGAACCACCCGAAGTATATAAGGGCCTTATGCGTATGCAACATCGCTCGTTATTCAAGGCCTTAAGAATGTACCTCAAGAAGCTGCTCACTTCGGCTGCAGCCCTGAGTGGCTGCGTCTGGGCCCAGAGCCAGGCTGGTATCGAGGATCTCGATGCCCCGGGTAATGACCTCTATGAAAAGGACCTGTCCGAATGCCCAGGATACAAGGCGACAAAGCATTGGGAGACTCGTTCGGGCTTTTACGCGGACCTTTCTCTCGCAGGGCCGGCATGCAATGTGTTCGGGACTGATCTCCCAGACTTGAAGCTGGAGGTGGAGTATCAGACCAACGATCGACTCCACGTCAAGATCTTGGACACCAACAACACGGTCTACCAAGTCCCAGACAGTGTCTTCCCGCGCCCCGGTTTCGGGCAATGGTGCTCCCCGAAGAACTCCAAGCTCAAGTTCGACTTCAACGCCGACCCCTTCTCGTTCACCGTATCGCGCACCGATACCGGTGAAGTGCTCTTCGATACCACGGGCAACAAGCTGGTGTTCGAGAGTCAGTATGTCTATCTCAAGACACACTTACCACAGAACCCGCATCTCTACGGACTGGGTGAGCACAGCGACGCGTTTATGTTGAACACGACGAACTACACTCGCACGATCTACACCCGCGATGCCTATGGAACGCCTCAGGGCGAGAATCTGTACGGCGCTCATCCAATATATTTTGACCACAGAAAAGACGCCACTCACGGAGTTTTCCTACTCAATTCTAATGGCATGGATATCTTCATTGACAACAAGGGTGGCCAGTACCTCGAGTACAACATTATCGGCGGTGTTCTTGACTTTTATTTCATTGCCGGCCCATCCCCGCGCGATGTGGCCATTCAGTACGCAGAAATTGCTCAGCTTCCGTTGATGACGCCTTATTGGGGACTTGGTTATCACCAGTGTAAATATGGCTACCAAGACGTCTACGAGGTAGCTGCTGTCACCGCCAACTACTCCACCAACAACATTCCTCTGGAAACCATTTGGACGGATATCGATTACATGGACCGTCGACGCATCTTCACCACTGATCCAGAAAGGTTCCCGGCCAATTTGTACAAAGATTTGGTGGACACAATTCATTCGAGGGATCAACATTACATAGTCATGGTTGATCCCGCCGTGTTCTACAAGGAGTCCAACCCGGGGCTCGATGCAGGTCTCGAACATGATATTTTCATGAAGGAAAATGACGGCTCCAACTACCAGGGGGTCGTTTGGTCCGGTCCGAGCTACTTCCCTGATTGGTTCCATCCCGCATCGCAGCAGTACTGGAATGAGCAGTTTTTGCAGTTCTTCGACGGAACGAATGGCCCGGACATTGATGCGCTATGGATTGACATGAACGAGCCCGCAAACTTCTACAACCGCCCATACCCCGGTAATAACACCACCCCGGAGGACTTCGCAGAGGTGGATGGTGACCCTCCGGCGCCGCCGCCCGTTCGAGATGGGCCGGATGCTCCTATCCCTGGCTTCCCAGACAGTCTTCAGCCAAACTTTGCTTCCGGTAACTCAAATGAGAAGCGTTCACCTGCAGTTGTCGAACATCGTCCGCCTCGGTCTCGTTCCCACCGCAACCTCGGTGCTGGCCACTGGCGCTCTGCGAAGTCCCACTGGGCTCCCTCGACTGGCAGCTGGCAGCACGGCAGAAAAACTGGCTCTGGATGCCGACCCGACGAGTGCAAGGGTCTTCCAAATCGCATGCTAATCAGACCACCTTATATGATTCAGAACGGCGCAGGGCCCACCCTTGCTGACAGCACCGCTGACACTGATATTGTGCAGCATGGTGGATACATTCAATATGATACGCACAACCTTTATGGTGCTATGATGTCCTCGCATTCCCATAACGCCATGCGTGCCCGGCGCCCGGATGACCGTGCTTTGGTCATTACGAGAAGCACATTTGCTGGCTCTGGCAAGGATGTGTCCCACTGGCTTGGTGGTAAGAATGCTTCTGCGGTCTCCCCATTCAATATAGAAAGCCCCACGCTAAATAATCTGCAGATAATGTTTCCGGGTGGCCATGGTACCGCCAGTCGATCAGCCAGATCCTGCAGTTCGCATCGTTGTACCAAATCCCCGTCGTGGGTCCCGATGTTTGCGGCTTCGGCGGTAATGTAACGGAGACGCTCTGTGCTAGGTAAGGACCGAATCTCTCTTCATATACGCGGCTTTAGCTGATATGGACCAACAGATGGGCAGCGCTGGGCTCCTTCTACACATTCTTCCGCAATCACGCCGAAATCTTCGCGAATCCCCAGGAGTTCTACCGCTGGCCGATAGTCGCTGAGGCCGCGCGTAAAGGAATCTCTATCAGATACCAGCTCCGTAAGTGATACCCGCAGTCTGCTCTCCGAGAGGGAAATTAAAAACTGATATATGAACCAGTCGACTACCTCTACACTGCCATCTACAAACAGAACCAGACCGGCACCCCAGCCCTCAACCCTCTGTTCTTCAACTACCCGAACGACCCTAACACCTACCCCATCGACCTGCAGTTCTTCTACGGTGATGGTATTCTTGTCAGCCCCGTCACAGAGGAAAACAGCACGAGCCTCAGCTACTACCTCCCCGACGACATCTTCTACGAATGGGGCACCGGCAAGCCCGTCCGCGGGCGCGGCGAGTACGTCTCCGCCGAGGTCGACTACACCGATATCACAGTCCACTACAAGGGCGGCATTATCTACCCACAGCGCATCGAGAGCGCCAATACCACCACCGCGCTGCGCAAGAAGGGCTTCAACATTGTCATTGCGCCCGGTATCGATGGACGCGCTGAGGGCTCACTGTACCTCGACGACGGTGAGTCGGTTGTGCAGGACGCAGTGTCGGAGATCGACTTCAAGTATGCTCATGGCAAGCTCAGCATGTCTGGCTCGTTTGAGTACGACGCTGGCGTCACTATTGAGGCTATCACTGTTCTTGGCGTGGAGCGCAAGCCGAGGGGACTTCGTCATGCCGACTACGATTCAGAGAATAAGAAGTTGGTGCTTCATGTTGATGTCCCTTTGACGTGTCGGTCTCATATCAAGATTTTTTGATTTGGTCCTAGATTGGGATTGATATCGTTTTCGTAACCCGCAGTTGAGTTTGGACGGGTAACCTGATATTTATTCTTTTTGACTAGTGTATTCAATCCAGGTTTCTCGACATTTCAAAACAAACTACAGAGTATAATCTACATGAATCAGTTTTAAGGGGAATATTCCAATCTTATTACCTTATGTTGGCATCCAAGGCAATGGGATGGTTGAAAGCAAAATGGAGGAGAGACTACGCTGCCTTTTAGCCCCAATTACATGACTGTTGATCCACCTAACCACGTCTCCATTTGATCCTATCATACTATATATCTTTTCAATGAGTTGAATTGTACATACGACCATAGGGTGTGGAAAACAGGGCTTCCCGTCCGCTCAGCCGTACTTAAGCCACACGCCGGTGAGTTAGTAGTTGGGTGGGTGACCACCAGCGAATCCTCACTGTTGTATGTATTTGTTTTTGCTTTTCCATTTGCTATGGAAGAGTCGGGATGTTAAAAACCAGTCGTGTAAATGCCAAGAACTATAGGTTTTAGAATTAAGCAACATCTAATCTATTGGTAGCCAGATGCTTACTCCGTAGTTAAAGATACTCTCTGGGTGGTTTACCCTAAACTTGGAATTTGCACCCTATAACCCCTTCTATATGGTTATAATATGATTCTAGCTAGTGTAGCTTCTGATACATACGACCATAGGGTGTGGAAAATAGGGCTTCCCGTCCGCTCAGCCGTACTCAAGCCACACGCCGGTGAGTTAGTAGTTGGGTGGGTGACCACCAGCGAATCCTCACTGTTGTATGTTTTTCTTTTTGTTTTTGCTTTTTTATTTGCTATGCTATCTATCAGCAGGAGTATAACACAAGTGACGCTCCGTGACCAGTTGACAGCGAAGTTTAGCGGAGCGATATATTCATAGACAGGGCAACTGATATGTCCTGCGAGAGTTACGCGAGCAATGACAATTAAGTGAGTGACTGCCTCGGCGAAACCTAAATTATTCTACATTACTTTAACCTTTTTTGTTGGAAGTCTAGACATAGAACAGAAATGAACATGTGTGAGTTACTGAAACTCGTTCCAAGACAGCTTAGAGTGGCAATGAACGGCTTGGAAAGCAACAAGCTATATGGTCTCGAATTTTGTTTCGTAATTCATTCTCTAATTTTGAGACGCCATTTCTCATCTCAAGAAGAAGCAGCCGCTTTGGCGCCTTCAGGGTCAGGAGCGACCACCTCAACTTCAACGCGCGTGTCGTCTTCTCCTAGCCGGGTAACGCCAACATAAGTCCAGATAGGTTAAGGGTTCGGCATATACTTTTTGAAATTACGGACCATCGCGGCCATTGCTTCGTCGTTGATTGGGACATGGTACGAATTCACGCGGTAAACTTGTGTCCCTACTATAGAGCTATAGAGCGGAATATAAATTCCTCCCTAGGATCCACTACCGCAGTCAATCAGAGGGACGTCGATTCCCTATAGTCCATCCATCCATAAATCTTTAGGGTCCACGTTATTGAACTCGCAATGATATATATTCTCGTACATAAACGTTCTGAAATACACGAGAATTTTGCATTCCTGACAAAATAGTTTGCAACAGCCTTCGTGGGGGAAGATTCTATTTATATTAAAAGCCACTGAATAGCTCTGCAAATACCTATTATCATTAACTAAGGTAACTATGGCGAAAACAATTGATAGCATCCCTCCAATAAAGTAGGATTCTCATCCTATATCCTCATCCGAAGAAGCATATACCGTGTTATGTATTGTAGAATCGGGTACTTCGTTGCCACAAGTTTGTTTGGAGGATTGCTTCGAATGAGCTGGCGATATCACGGAAGCAGCGCGTAGGAAATGAACGAGCAAACCTAGCACTTGGTCGTAGTTTTGTGTACGCGTAGTCACATCACGTTCTGACCACTAATTAAATGTTAGACCGAAGCAGTCAGGTCAGAATTCATGGGTTAACCCGCCTCGGAGCTGTTGTTAATTTTCAGAAAAAGGAATGATTGGTCGTCTGCTGCCATCCCGTAAACAGTGCAGTTTTGTTTGCCGGCTTCTTTTCGAAGCCGGTGCACGATACCTTGGAACAAGTTAGACATCAAAAGGAGCAGAGATATAACGAGCCACTTACCCATGTACGCCAGACATTGAACGAGGCCATTAGCAGCCAAGTATCTCCTCTTTGCTTTAACAATCACAACGTTCACGGCGGTTTCTTCGACCTCTCCATACCAGATTGCATAGTCCGGTTTCCCGATCAACTTGTAACGTTTGTCAATCCATTTTACCGGTCCATAGCCCCAGGCTTTTTCTGTCTGTGCACTGATGGCTTGGCCAGAGGTAGGTTTGCCTGACGTTGCAATGTCATACGCGAACACGAGGAGCATATTCAGTGTCCAGCGAATGGTGGATTCATTCGCATCACTTTTAGAAGTGAACTTATCAATCTTCGACAATATATTGACTAAATCCAGTCAGCAAGATATGATCTTCATTCTAATCTAGGCTCACTTACCCAAGTCAGATGGCATGCAGACGGAGGGCACTTTATCTAGCTCTGGGTCATTGACGACAAGCTGTAGACCAAGCATCTTCTGCACTTGTACCATATTGATGGAGGCAATTGCGAGAGTAGGTAAATTTCGTTCACTTTCATCATCTTGCACAAGCTTTTGCAGATCCCGTTCACTCAGCTTACGACGGAGAAAATCTTGGATAGCTCGCTTCCACTTTTTCGATGACGATGCCATGATCTTGAAGCAAATTTTGGACTCCGAAGCTAAAGGGAGAGAGAGCTATGGGGGCGACAGAAAAGAAGTGAACTGATAGTGATAGGAGTATAGAAAGTGAGAAGTGGAGTTGTGCCAGAGAAGGAGTAAACCGATGAAAACCAAGAAAGTGAGAACTGAAAGTGTGCCAGAGGAGAAGTGAACTGATAGAAATGTAGGGAGTGAGAAGGGTCTCGTGATTCCAAAAAAGTCACGGAGCTCTACTGTCTGCAGAGGTACCAAGGTTTTCTTCTCTTTCTACCACATCTCTTCTTCCCTCTTACATCGCTTCACACATCATAGGATCCGAGAAAAGCGATCTTTCTCATTGCTCTTAAAATGAAGTCTTCACAAAATGTATATTTGTTCCCTATGTTGGCAGTCGAGGATCTTCAACTCACCGAGGTTGAAAGTCTTTTCCATCTTATCCAAACTCATGACACGGACTGGGTCCAACTTCGGGCTTCATTCAAGATTCCAGATGACTGCAGTAAGATTCCATCCTATAGTATATTTAGCATCGTGACTAACTTACTGATTTTACTTAGAGTCCGTTTTAAATAAGATCGACGACTCGGTTTCTCACTCCGATGGAATGCATGAAATTGCGTTACAACTTCGTCTAATGAGCCTTCTTAGTGCTCTACACTACGAGTCCCCAGACCATCATACCTGCAAGTTAACTCGGATTCCTATTTCAACCAAATGCCGATTTTCCTTTGAGCCGGTTATCTATAAGGAGGAAAAGCGCTGTCTACGAGGGTTCCCTGATTTTTCCCTTTGGTATGGTCCGTATGCCAAAAAAGAGAACGCGGCCGTCAATTTCGTCATTATGGAAACAAAGAAAGAACAATCTTCCCGCGGCATACCTCAGGCACTTGCCTATATGGGTAAGTGGTTTCCTCTTATTTTTAGCATTAGGACTAACTACCTATGTATAATATAGGTATGATTTATGCACAACGTCAGTATGAGAATAGGGTTTACCATGACATTTTCGGTCTCTCTACAGATAATGAACACTTTCACTTTCTTCGAATCAATTACGAAGGACAAGTTATGATTTCCGAGATATCGATGGGTTGGTAATTTATGCTAACCTTTTACAAGTGGTCCCGATTGAATATGAATTACAGTCAACGTCAAGAGATTGTCGAAACACTTGCCTATATCCATCGACAAGCTTCTATTCTATCCACCTTAGCAGGAAGCAGTGGATCAGAATGCAGCGATGCACCTAATGAGTCCCGCTCGCAGCCCCACATAAATCACGGCCCTGAACTCCCAATCAACGACACGGATGGCAACTCTACGATATATTGGTCGGTATTTCAAGTGGATGAAAACATGTCTTGGGCCGAGGAATCAGATAAAGATGGCTATGCATCTGATAACAACTATGAGGACTAATTTTCTTTCCCTTCCTCTGATTTTTTGGCTTCATGGAAGCTGTGCTATCACACTGTTATCTTCGATACAATATACCATTGTCAAAGGTTGGAGCACTGATTGATTGCTTGCTTGCTACTTTGAACTAGCTAATGAGGAAGTTAATGAAAGCCTGGGAACCTGAAGCAAACACCTGGTGTCCAAGTAAGGTGTCTAACGTCCTAATTGGACTGTGATGACAGTTCATTTCACCTGAAGGTCCAAAGTTCAGCGGATAGGTATTATCCCGAGCACTTTACAGGGCTTCTTAAAGTGTTGGCACCTCCAGCTTAGGTATCCAAAAAGAGGGAAGGACAAAAAAGAAATGCAACAAGGTCGACGCTAGCAGGACAACCCTCTTCAATGACTCGAAAGCAAGCGGTCAATCTCGGATTTTAGTGGACTTTATGGACAACAATATCCAACCAAGAGAGTTATCTCATAGGGCTTATGGTGTAAGAATTTTATGTATTCATTTTTCGCCTGGCAAATACCAAAATGCTGCATCGATCAAATTCCCGTTGTGAAAATTACCGCTATATCCTGCGTACTCAACAAATATCCCCCTTTGCAAATTCAGCCTACATACTCTCCTCTGTCTCATTTTTAATCAAAGAATTTTTAGCGATACTGATCATACCCATCAAAATGGACATCGACTGCCGGATATGGAGGATCAGGCTTGGTCGGCACCCAGTCGCTCGACCGATTATAAGACCTCTGCACAGCGGGCAAGTACTTGCTGCCTTTGGAGCAGAAGCGCATCGCGGCCGTGGGAGCCGCTCTTGTGGGCGTCGCAGGCGGGGCAGCCGCCTACGTGGTGATGCCGCTGATCGGCGGATCCGGCCGTGACGGTCAACCATTTTGCGACCTGGACCATGGGGCTGACCGCGTTGTGCCTGACCATCACCGGTGTCGATGCGTGGAGGATGTCCCATTCCGTAGAGTGGGCGCAGCTGGTGTTTCTGGGGGTGTTCGGGTTTCTCGTCCACATGTTGCTAGCCACGAGCATGCAGCATGGGGGAAGCCCCCAGATTTCCATCTCTTCGAGCTGTTGTGCCACCAGTCTTTCCATCTTGGCTTTTTCTTTATCACTCAAAAGTCTAAGTCTCGATCTCCAGGCGTCCTCGACATTATCCACAGGCCCAAGAAAGCGCTGATCGGTCCTTTTTCTAATATATCGTATCAGTGACAAAGCTATCCTGGGCGGCATATGCTATCCAAACTCACCACTCTCCCAGCTTTCTCGCATTGGAGCGAATACAAGTTCGGTCTCTTTTGTGCTAGCAGCGTCTTCGCGATCAACCATTGCCTTCATAGATGTCTGGAGACGTCGATCAAGGGTCCTTATCCAGTCATCGAGATCATGCGGCCATCTTTGTGGTTTCTGGATAAGAAGCCACCAAGGTGGTGCGTAGATGAACTCAACTGGGGCTGCGTATGTGAACTCCCAATCCACGACTCCCGCAATGGGTTTGGCGGGCAGGAGACTGCTGCGCTGGACAATATTCTCGCTGGCAACTTTCCATAAACTCTTGATAAAGCATATGTGCTGGATCATTTTGAGTAAAATCACTGAAACTCAGGATTTAACTGGTCTAACCTATTGGGAAAGAAAAATGGGGTTGACACTATAACTCATGGTAGCGCAAATGAGGCCGTTGGTTTTGAAAGGGAGTTGGAGCAGTTGGTGAAAATGGCGATACGGTAGCAGCACCGAGGAGAAGGCTGAAGGATTCTTATCAATTCGGGCCTACGATCTCAGCCTAGGAGTGACCCCAGGGGCCAAGACAAGGCAATGACCAAAACCAATTTGATACATCAATTTCATGAAAATCCGGCGACTTGATAGCTTGCGTGATAATGTTTTCTCTGCCTTCTTCGATAAGCTGTCAACTTGCTGCATTGTAACATCATCCTCCTACACGCCATCAATATCTTCCTCCTCGCAGCACAGATCTTGCGATTGATTGAGATAGCAATTGATCAAAGAGTGTAAACTCTCCCAGACTGCGAAGGGGCATAGCGGTCAGTAACAAATGCCTGATGTCTTTAGTGTCAGGTTCCATCAGAAGTCAGTCTAGAATGATGCTTTCCACGCCGCTCGATACCATGTACTGCATACTATAAATGATAAGCCATTCCTACAGCCCGGATTCACCTATCTCCAGACGTTAACGAAGCTAATCCTGCCATGCATGTGTAGACCTAACAACTCCATCATAATGTCTATATGATTTTGCTCATTGTCATTGTCAGTACATACGACCATAGGGTGTGGAAAACAGGGCTTCCCGTCCGCTCAGCCGTACTTAAGCCACACGCCGGTGAGTTAGTAGTTGGGTGGGTGACCACCAGCGAATCCTCACTGTTGTATGTTTTTGTTTTTGCTTTGTTTTTTTTGCTCCTGTTAAATGAAGAGAAGAAGAAGAAGAAGAAGAAGAAAAAAAAGAAAAGGTTTCGTGTGAGGCTGATATACGCTCCTTGATGCCTCGGGCATATATGGCCCCCATCAGGCTGTGTTTATCAAACGACCGGCAAATCATGATCGGCCTTTTAACAAATAAACCGGCAAAAACACGAAGATGATCGTCGCTACTCCGTACATGGTACACAATTCCAGCGAACCCGCACATTGATTGGATGCTTGCTGGCATACTAGCTGCGTAACTTGGGGCGCAAGGCAGTGCATCGCACGGCCCCATTTTTGCAGCTCAATATTTAGTTCAACCTCTTGGGCTCCTAGTTCTTGGGAAGTTCCAAGGGCCCCGATCCAGGACGCTCAGCGATAAAATGGCAGAAGAGCAATCGAGACCAATAAGCAGCCTGAGTTCGATGACCGAGTCATCGCCAGCAGAAAATACTAAGTCCGATGAAGAGCTAGACACGGCCGCCTTGAAATTGGGCTGGAACAATCGCGAGAATGTGTGGACTGCAACCGCTCGGTTCCTGCGCGCATTATCGGTCTTTCAAAGATCGTTGTGGGCCTGGTTGAATAACCCGGTCATCGCCCTCCTAGCTGGGATTCTCGCGAATGCAGTGTTAGTGTGCATTATTATTCGCCCCGGTGGGAGCTGGTACTCAGCAGCCTATGTGGTAAGCTATGGAGCCCCTATTTACTTGGAGTATTATACTGTGAATACGGGCTGATGATGGCTATAGTTACTTTATGTGGCCGGTTTTCAAATTGCCTGGCAAGTGTTTCTGGGCTGGGTGGGAACCAAGCCTCGGCCGCCTTATTTGCAGATGATCCGCTATACTTCATTGGAATGAGAGAATTGACGACTTTGATAGTGCTGTGATAATGACAATGTGAAATCGCAAGTTATGTGGCCAATTGCCCTTATGACTGATTGGTGCGGATCAGTGACCTTTTAGCTTAAGCTTAATATTGTTTTATTATGTGCAAAATGAGGAAGAAACAAGAAGGACTTTGAGTAAATCGCAAACCTCATAGAAGGGCTAATTAAGGCTAAGAGCCTTGGGGTATAGGCTACCATTAAGCTTAAATAGACACGGGCCCTTTTGAGAGATGGCACTGGCTCCCTTTCATGTTATCCTCTCATCAGTAGGTTGTCGCTTTCTAGGGGATTGTTAATCTGACTATCCCTACTCCTAATCTGACTATGTCGGAGCATGAGATCGGCATACCGGAAGTTTAGTTTATCCTGTCTACGCAGTATTTTTGATATTAGTCAGATAGTCATATTTCCTGCTAGAATAGTGGATACAGAAAGACAGAGACTTCAACTCCCTTGATTAGACCCCTACTATACTAAATACCACGTCAGTTGACAGTTATAAGCCCGGTTCGCACGAAATAAGGCCGCTATTCACAAGATATAGCGCCTATCAGTACCTAAAAACCTCTAAAGCTGCACAGTAGCCCGCTGAGGCTATACAGCACCCAACCCTAACAATAGAAGCATCAACAATTCTCTCCGCCACAAAGGGCGAAAAACTAAAGGATTCGCCCTAATGGCGCACCTGGTTCGCCCGGGTGAAGCTATATGCGATATAAAAATAAGTCTAGAAGCACTATAACCTAGATACCCCCCGATAGAGAGACTAGTTAGGAAAGAAGAGCCTATTAGGCCGGAATACCCCTACGGAGGGACCGAATCGGATAAAAGAGACTAGAGAGATAAAATAGACATCTTTAAAGTGGACTAATCGAAATAGGATAGGGAGATAAAAGGGCTTTCTAATATAAATAACTATATTTATACCTTCCTAGACCTAATCTACTATACCGCTATTACCGACTATTAGACCCCGTATAAAAGACTAGTATACCTAAGAGATCGCTTCGCGAGATTGACTATATACGAGGAGGAAGTCCGAATAAAGTAGAAGGTCTTCGCTATCTAAAAGCCGACTAGAGATATCGAATAATAGCTTAAATAATAGAATACCCTAAGGGAGTAAGCTATTAGCCTCGGTATTAATAACGGAGACGTAAATAGGGACTTCCTATATACTATTAAAGAGGTCTTACCTATTTAGTAGTAAGGAAGATATTAAGAGATCGTTATAGATAAGAAAGTCTATTAAACCCGTGATCTCCTCGAGTCGTTCCGCGTAATAAATCGAGAAATAGGGGTATAAAAGGTATTATCTACTATACCTCTAAAAGGGGTATTCTTAACCTAGTAAGGGTACTAAGAATTAAAGTCCTAAACTAAGGAGCCGATCCTATTTAAAAAGAGGAGGTGCCTATATAGGAACCCCTACTATTTATATAAAATAGTAATATACTAGTATCTTAATAAGGAAAACCGCCCCGAAGGGACCTATATTAACCTAAGAAAGCTAGAAAAGATTAAGTAAAAACTCGCTAAAGAGTCTACTTAGAAGAAATAGGTAGAAAAGAAGGTAGAAAAGGTATAGTAAACTTAGTAAACTTAGTAAAATTAGTAACCTTAGAAGGAAGAGTTTATAAATTAAGTAAGCTTCGCTACTACCCTTAAGCCCTATACTATATAGTAGGGGGGGCTAGTATAAAACTACGAATACGCCCTCTCCCTTACTAAAAATAGAGAACCTATCTTAAAAGATAGATAGATCCTTAATATAGGATCTAGCACCTATATCTATAATAATAGAGACCTTTTTATCGACTTTATACCCTAGATTTCGGATCTTACGACGGGAGATAGTACTACTTAGGTACTAGGAAAGGGGAAGGTTAGACTAGTAGGTAGATATCTAGTGAAAGGTAAAATAGAGATTATACTTAGTAATACCCTCTATTCCCCTAGCTTCTATATAAACCTAGTATCCTATTCTATACTAAAAAGGAAGGGCGGAATATAGTATTAGCGTATAAACTATATTAGAGACCCTAATAATAGACTAGTCGTCTATATAAACCTTTAGGACTAGTTTAACCTCTAGATCTTTAATTAACCCGGAGAACTTATATAGCCTTAGTAAGCCTATTTTATAGAGAGAAAGTTAGTGAAACCTTAGTAATTAAAGGCCTTATTAGATATCTAGTACCGGAGACTAGCCTATATTAATTAACGAAGTATAGTAAAACTCGCTACTATAGTAAATAGAGTTAGTTTTAATAATAAAGGAAAAGAGTCTACCGGAAAAGAGTCTATAGGAAAGGAGACTACGGAAACGTAGGTATTATACTAGACTTACTAGCTAGGTCGTATACTAAGATAGATATTAAGACGAGCTATCGGGCGTACTTTCGGATAATTTAGAAGAGTATACTTTAATTTTATTTAGCTACCGCTAGTAGAGAATAAGCACCGCTAGATCTCTTATTTTTATCTAGAAGGTCCTAGGTTTTATTAGCTAATAACCTATAAAATAAAGCCTAAGTATTAGCTAGCGATTAATCGCTTTATAGAACTAGTAAGAAACTAATAGGATCTACTAATTAAAGCTTTCTAATACGATAATAAGTCCTTAGCTAGAAAACCTACGGAATATAGCCTTACTTCTAATAGTATCCTTATATATTATAACCCCCTAGGGTATTCCGAAATAAATAGTTATACCGAAAGATTAGGTAGTATAATTATCACCCGTATACGTATACTTATACTTAAAGGAAAACTCCTAAAAGATCTATAGCTAGAGGCCGCTAACGCTACGGTATAGTTACTAAATCGTACGCCGACGTATATTACTACCGAAAACCGCTAGATTATACTATAGGAGGAGGTATAGAAGGAGTTCGTACCGTAGGCGCCGAGGATTAACCTATTAAATATCAAACTATATAGAAGTTTAGTATACTATAGGATCGATAAATAGGTCTAGTCTAATAAAATAAACCTATAAGCTAAGATCGGATTCTTAGTTAGCTATATAGTATCTAATATCTAGAAAATCTAGTTTCTATATAATAGGAAAGTAAAGCCTATTAGGGATATAGTATTTAATAAAACTCGTAAATATACCCCTAATTATAATAGATATTAGCTTATTCTAATACTAATATAGTAAGAACCTTAGGAAATTACTATAGAAGAGTTTAACTAGATACTCGATTACGTAATAGCTAGTTAAGAGACTAGCGAAATAGAAGAGAGAGATTATTAAGATCTATAGGAAGCTTAGTCTAATAATCTATAAGAAACTTAGTACTATAATTAGTAAGGATCTTAGTAAGGATCTTAGTAAGGATCTTAGTAAGAAAACTAGTAGAATATATAGTAGAACTCTCTATAGAGGGAGATAGCTAGTGAAGTTAGTTAGCGAGATACTACCCTACTTTAGGGGGTAGACTAGTAAGTAGTCCTACCCTCCCTAAAAACTACGATTATATAGTAAATACCTAAGATCTATAAGCCCCGAGCTCCGTTAGGCGTATTTCCGGACGAACCCCTTCCTCCGCTCCCTATCACGCCGCCGTAAGAACCCTATATATAGGATCACTATACTACCCCTAGTTAGGGGGTAGATATACTAGGGAATCTAGAGGATCTAGTTAGCGACTAGGCTTAGAATAATAAAGCTATTCCTACTATAGAAGATAAGCTAGAAAATAAGCTAGAAAGATAACTATAGGTAGAACTTCTCGCCCTAAGTAGATAAATTATAGGAGATATTAATACTAGTAATATTATTAGTAGAAAACGAAGGCGTTAAGCTAGGTAAGACAAAGACTATATCTATATAATAAGATCTACCGATATAGAGGAAGACCCTCCTATACTACTATATATTTTCGCTATAGGACTATATACTAAGAAACCTAAAATTAGACGTTATTAAGATAATCTCTCCCTAGTCCTAAAATACTATAAAGATATTATAAATTATCTATTTTAGGAAGGCTTTCTCGTAGTAATAAGGAAGGAGATTAACTCTCTAATAGAAAAGGAAACCTATAAGATTATAGAGAGACTAAAGGATAGAGGTAAGTAAATACTACCTCTTATATAGGTATTCACCTATAAATACGATTAGGATAGTTATCTAGTTAAATTTAAAGCTCGTATATACGTACGGGGAGATCTAAAGACTATTTCGTACGAAGAAAAGAGAGCTACTATACTAGTAGTAAGGACTATAAGGATAATCTTCGCCTTTATTACCGTATTTAATCTCGACCTAAGATAGCGGGATACTATTACTACCTTTTTAAATAGTACGCTAGAAAAAGAGGTCTATACCTAGATACCTAATAGGTTTAGACTACCTAGAAAATACTAGAAACTCCGCCGTGTACTATATAGTCTATAGATCTTACCTAGACTTTAGTAATAGGAAGTAGCTAGTATATTTCGTAAGCTAGGACTATAATAAGCCCTAGAAGACCTCTATATCTTTATCGGAAATAGACTAATAGTCTTTTTCTATATTAATAATATCCTAATTACCTACTATAATAGTAGGGAGGCGCGAGAAAGGGCTATATAGCTAGAACGAGATCTAGAAGTATACTAGGAACTAACCGATCACGGAGAGGTAGTATAGTTTCTTAATATCCGTATTATTAGAGATAGATAGTAAAAGAAGCTATAGCTTTATTAAGATAGCTATATAGTAAGTATCGCTATACGATATAATCTTATAGATAGACTAGCGGTATATACCCTAATACCTATCGAAGAGCTAACTCTATATTAGGGTGTAGCTATAGCCTAAGAGATCCTATTATACTAAAAGAAGGTAGGATCTACTAGATATACTACTATAATTATAAGACTAGATACTATAAAATCGACTACTTATCTAGTATAATATTTAATAAACCTAGGCCTCTAGTACTATTAAGTAGCTAATAGAGTTATTACCTACCTTAATTCTACCCGCTATCTCGCTATTAAATATAGTATAGATTCTAGAATAGACTCTATATAATTTACTAGTAATACCTTATATAGGGATTATCCTAATAGAAAGAGCTCCGCTAGCTATATCTACTAGGTGTACGGCGGGCTAGTCGACTAGAAGGCTAGTAAGTAGCCTATAGTTACTACCTCTACTACTAAAGCTAAGCTCCTCAGTCTCTTAGAGACTATAAAATAGCTATAATAGTGGCGTAGACTTCTTAATACCCTCGGTTTTATCCCTTCCTATTAACTAAGTATTAATTACGACAATTAGCGCACTATTAGTCTTCTAACTAGCGAGGATACGGCGTTCGAGACGAAATTACGATATATTAATATTTATCGGCACTAGCTTAGATAGGAAGTTAGGGAAGGAAGAATTAAGGTGAAATAGGTGCCGACAGCTAGTATAGCTGTAGACGGACTTACAAAGTTGCTCACTAGGCAAAAGTATGAAGCTTTCCTCAAAATGTTGAGGATAACAGATATAAACTATCTAATAGCAGGAGCTATTTGATAGCATAGGTCATTTAATCAACAAAGGGAGAGAAATAGCATACCGACTTAGGTGTAGGAAGCAGCTAGACCATACTGGCCTAGCTGAGGGGGTGTGTCGGAGCATAAGATCGGCATACCGGAAGTTTAGTTTATCCTGTCTACGCAGTATTTTTGATATTAGTCAGATAGTCATATTTCCTACTAGAATAGTGGATACAGAAAGATAGAGACTTCAACTCCCTTGATTGGACCCCTACTATACTGAATACCACGTCAGTTAACAGACTACCCCTGCCTGAATCTTTAGGTATTGATGCCTAATAGTGCCTGAACAATCATATGACTTCTGAACATATTTTTTTCTGCCACTTAAATATCATGTGACCCCTCATTTTCTGCCACCCAAATTCCTAGATCATAGAATTCGAGTTTATGTAGTGAAAGATACACCTTTTATATCGGAAAACGCGCTGATTTCTGAAGTAATAATGCCTATTGAGTGATTAACCTCGCCTCTTTACTTCCCTTTTAGGAATTTAGGTGCCCAAAACTCTTAGGCATCAAGCTTATAGTTCTATGATTTTAGTACAAAGGCGGCGAGAAAGGCGGTTAGGGAGAGTTTAAAGAACCCTAGAAAATCAGTCATCAATCAGGCATCAACTAGGGACCCAGCCTGAAAATTCAGGCAGGGGTAGTCAGATTAGGAGTAGGGATAGTCAGATTAACAATCCCCGCTTTCTATAATCTGTTGGCCAGAAACACAAAAGTTTCCCTCGCCGCATGATCGACGCAACTTAGGAGGTTTGGCCGTTTCACTCAGTTTCTCTCCCTAAAAGACTGAGTATTACTGTACTTCGTGGTGGTCTTATCTCAATTACTAGCAAGTGCAACAGCCACGGGCCAAGTATAATATCAAGTCAGGGTGATTGTCGAGGGTGATGAGAGCGGGAGCTAGGAGGGTGATGAAATGGATAGAGCCCCTGGTCACAAGTGTTGGTATAGGGGGAAGAGATATGCTTATGTTATTGATACGTATAAGAACATCTACGCCACCGTGGAGTATACGATGATTCAAGGGACAGCTTTTACGGTGCACAGACTGAGCCAGAACACATCTGGAGGCTTTAGCGAGGAATATCAGCTGCAATATACCAGGCATAGGTTGGCTGTGCAGTGGATATCAGCTTAGCAACCTTAGGTAACCACTAGACTCTGGCGTGAATTTTACATGGCCTTCTTGCCCAAGCCCCGCGATACGAAAGTGACACTCGTCCGTCTCTAACCACACAACCGTCTATCCCAGCACTCCCAAATTATGCCACATATTTTGCTTTCACGATATCTCAACTACATACGACCATAGGGTGTGGAAAATAGGGCTTCCCGTCCGCTCAGCCGTACTCAAGCCACACGCCGGTGAGTTAGTAGTTGGGTGGGTGACCACCAGCGAATCCTCACTGTTGTATGTTTTTGTTTTTTAGGTGTTTTCGTTTTATTTCTTATTAGCAGAAAAAGCTCGTGAGAAACACCCTTTTGTCGCATGAGTCGGTGTGGTATTTGTGGAAGTGTTGTGAGCAAATGGAGAGTTAAGGATGAGCAGAGCAAACGAACACTCCAATATAACTGAAAAAAACCATGGCCCATGTACATACAACATAGGTAGATTCCAGTGAGTACCCTCGTAGATATTCACTTTAAAAGCGCCAAAAACAGGCAATGCGTAGGAAATGACATCAACAGACGTTTTCTTCTCACCACCAACACTGGTATATATACACCTGCATGTGACAGGACAGGGCTGTTAGGTATGTCAGTGCCTTGCGCAAGTCCACCCAGCTGAGAGAACACCTTTCAAACCCCATACACTCACCTAGTCACATTTCAAGACACATACCAATAACGTCAAGCAGTTGGTAGCATGCACACCTTTTGAAAAGCAGGGCATTGTATGTAACCGTCTTTATCGCCACAGATCATGGCGAGAATGTAAACCCGTCAATGCTACCATTGAATTGTGCACCACCGCCGTTATTGTTAAACTGAGATCCAGTCCCACTGTTAAAATTCACAGCACCAGTTCCAGAGTTGGTAATGGCATTTGTTGACCGAGAATCGAACGATGTGGCTGTATTCTTCATTTCCCCTAGCACTTGACGTAACTCGTGCACTTGCGAGCCCACAGCGCGCGTGAAATGCGTATTGTGCGCGATTTGAATTGCATGGTTGAGGATATCTATCATCTGATTCGCAGCTGTCCGGTATTGTCCCTCTGCGTTGGAACAACTGATGGCGGTTCGGAGGGTCTCATTTAGGCGTGCAGCATTGCTCTCGCAGATCTTCATGGTGGGAATCACCTCTTGAGAGAGGTTCCGACCTATCATAGCCTGACCATGATATCGGGAGCATTTTGTGAAGAAGTCCTGGATTACGTTGGCAAATTTGCCAAAGACTGGGGGGCCATTTCTTGCACTGCACTGGGAGCTGCGTTCTCGGGTTGTTTGCAGAGTATTGATAGTGCCAGCAAAAAGGCGGCTGAGTTCAGCATCGGCGTTAGACATGTTTGATTTGTATGAGGTGAGAAGATTGAAGTTGATTGAAAGATGACAATTGTATATGGAGTATAAGCAGAGTGTGTTCTCTGTTACGAGGGTGCTAGTTCAGGATTTTTTTTCAGAATATTTATATAGGTTGTTGGATAAGAGCCGCACTCAAGGCATAAATATTCAGTTAAGGTATTATTCTTCTATAAACACCATATGCCATGAATACGAGGACAGGTCATGGTTGCACTCAGCTCCGCTAGTAAGTCTCCCACACCTTCAGGGTTCCTATTGGGTACGAGTGGACTATCTGTACGATATACGGAATACTCCGCGCTATAATGAGACTGTATAGTGCACAGATCCATCTGACGTGGTAGCGCGTTGGCCAATTGAATATCTTGGGCGTTGGGGACACTCGTTCTATTGGCTACTGAAGTTGGCTGATTGCGTCGTGTCCAGGTATGTTTGCCATCGCAATAGCCGACCATGGAGTCTCACCTGTAAAAGAGCCCAAGGATCCTCGCGAATATCTATGCTTTTCGTCTAAGAATCGCTCCTCGTGACAGTAATCCTTGTCCAGAAATTCCAACACAACACCGCTCATGGGAATTCAATTATTGACGTACGCCTCAGAGAGAATTGCTTTCTTTGTACAGGGATCAGAAGCGCCGAATATCGTCTGCTGATTCAAAACTTCACACCCCTCCACCGCTGTGACACTCTATGTTGTTTGCTTTTTCGAATTGCATTTCTCTTAAGAAAAACGGGCGGCTAACAAAAGAATTCCTCTCTCTAGCTAATTTGCGCCTTGACTCTCCAAGCTCGAGTGATCTACAAATTCCATTCGACTTAATCTTACCTGCATCCAGAAAGCTCCCTCCGACATTCTACGACCCGTATTCCCGAGATGCACAAGATGAGGAGCCTCTCAACCTGGCTGGGATGGACTCCTATTGGCTCCTGGTTGAAGCCATCGACAAGCCTCTTTGACCCGGACTCCAACTGCCATGATTCGGAAATGAATTCGGACGCATCGCGCTCACGAAATGCCATGCCACATTACTTTTTCCCCGACGGAGTTGAAGTTCTCTATGATAGCCCCGAAGCAGTCGTGGATATTTGCTTCGTCCATGGGTTGACGGGAAATCGACAGACTACGTGGACACTCGATGGCCAGTCAGAACCCTGGCCCCAGACTCTTCTTCCGTCTAGAATCCCCCATGCTCGGATACTGAGCTACGGCTATGACGCCTATGTTGTGCGAAGCACCGTCACGTCATCGAATAAGCTCATTGACCATGCCACCAATCTTCTGAACGACTTGGTGTCAAATCGAGCTGCTTCTAACGCATTATCGCGACCGGTGATTTTCGTCGCACATAGCCTCGGGGGCCTAGTTTGCAAGAAGGCAATTCTGCTTTCCCGGAATAATCCGGATTCTCATCTTCGAGACATTTTTCAGTCCACGAAGGGTATCATATTCATGGGAACGCCGCATAAGGGTTCTTGGATAGCCGACTGGGCGAAAATTCCAGCTAGAAGTCTGGGGATCGTCAAATCGACCAATACGTCCTTGCTAGCAGTGCTTGAAACCGAGACCCAGCTTTTGGAATCCCTTCAAGTGGAGTTCTGGGGCATGGTGCGGGAATTACGTGAATCTGGCAGGTTTCTCGAAGTAACCTCCTTTTTCGAAGAATTACCTCTACCCATTGTAGGTTTAGTGGTGCGCAAGGATTCAGCAACGCTCGATGGGTATAACTCTATCAGCATGCACGCCAATCATAGGGATATGGTGAAATTTGGCTCTGAGCAAGAGAATGGATACCAAAGATTACTTGGGGAACTCAAGCGATGGGAGTCCCAGATTAGGTATGTAGAACGCGCTGTGTTAGAATGTTCGAGACAAAAAGTCAACTGATGATTTTGGGCAGGGGCGCAGGATCTCCAAGTATCGAAGCATGGGAGAAGACAGAATCTAACGGTGAATCAGATAATCAAACTCCTAAGATGTTGGAGTCCCCGCTGCTTCACAGGGAAAGTTCAATCTTCTTGGTCAACAACTCCGGTGAAGGCTGGGTGCAAACCAATACTGGCTCAGGTGCTCAATACAACAACGGCGGCACTGGTAATCAATTCAACGGCACGATTCATGGCTTTCATTTGACTCCGCCGTCACAGTCTACGTAACCAATGCCACCAATCGCTACCAATGGTACGTTGTGTCTCATCAGTTGCTATATGTCCTTCGTTTCTCAAACCAAACCTCCCTATCAAGCTCAAGCAGACTCCCCCTCGCAATCTTTTTCCTAAGTATATCTGCATTGTCAAGTGATCGACGTCTAAACCCTTCACCTTCAGGGACAAAGGGTTGTTTTAGCTTCCATCCGGAGGTATGGGAAGTATGGGGGATTGAATGAAGGAGTTGTATGGGAAGGAACCTGTATTGTTGAATTCAATGTTACCAAAAAGTCCTTCAATGAAGCTTTCAGAATTATCTATATACTCCGCCGCATTAGGCAGGCCTTCCACACCAGATATCTTCGATTATCTATATAATCAATGTGAAATGTGAAATGTGAAATGTGAAATGTAGTACTAACTCAACTAACTCTACTAACCTTTTCCAGAATATCCTAGTATGAATGATCTGATCAGGTCGAATACTTAACTGCACGATGAGTGTTAGTCACATATTTGGAACAAGATGTATTCCGGTTCACCTTTCTTAAATAATACATAGGCATGTATCTACCATCCTACGGAGTGGAACGTAACGGTCTCACTAGCGCCCTATGTTATACATAATCTTATTATTATTCAAGCCAACCCGTTTGGTTGTGTGGATTCATCTCTTCAGACCCACCTGTGTCCATCAAGTTACCTACTAAGAGTCTATCGAACTTTGGGCGTATTCTCGAGCCGTAAGACGACCCTGAAACCCCAGCCATCAGCGGTCGCACCCAAGGACTTCCGAGGTTATTTCATTATGAGATGGGCCATTTTCGCCGCTAATACTCCACTGCTGTTTCCAACTTCATTGGACTGATTTAGGTTTGTGCCTGAGACAGCCTCCAGTGCTTCGTGCAGATGGCGCATGCGGCATACCCATTACGGGCAGTGGACTCCAAGCGAGCCACTATTTGTTGGGGATCAGTCAACGGCACCTCTGCTCTTCCCTGCCTAGCCACTTTCCTAGATGTGAATGTGGAAATTGTGACTTATCGACCCAGAATTCCCAGATTACTTGGAGGTTTAGAGGTGGTGACGAGAGGGGCATCACACCGCCGTGTTAGCAGCACTACTCTTAGCCCCTATGAGCACCTATCCCTAGCTATCTCTGTGAAGGGAAACAGAATGTGTTCGCCTTGCTCAACGTGAACCTCTGAACTCCGCTGCCATCTCCGGCATTCGCTCCAGTTTCGTCTTCCGTTCTCCTGGCAACGCCCACTGGAGCCCCATCCGCATCCGCATCCACCTCATTCGTAGCCTCACTTGTCAAAGCTCGCTTTACTTGTCCGCGTGCTCGTCTGCTGGTGTTGCTACTCCTTGCTTCACTGGTAGTGGGTCATTCCGTTCGTCCTCAGCTCAGTCATTTGATTGCAGATGATGAAGTGGCAAGAAAGCCCTATCAATAGGAAATTGGAAATAAATGGGGCTTTGGGCGGACCTGGGTGCTATAAGTGAGTCACCCATCCCGGAGAGCAGATCAACTCGGCTGTTCGTGGGCGTTGAAAACCCCGAACCTCAACGCTCAACAACCGGTATCCTGCTTACTGGTTTTTACTTACCGCTGTATACCATGTGAAGAGGAGCAGGGAACATCCCAAAGTAAACGGCAGAAGAATGGTTTCGCTAATTTGCAAAGTTAGCTTTATTCCCTACTATATCTACCTACGTAGTTCATGTAGTTCATGGACTTGAGGTTTTGTCTTTTGTTCGGCCTAGCAATCTGATACATCATAGGGTTATTGTTTTGATTATTCAACAGGCTTGAACGGGCCTGAACCTGAGGTCCAATGCCTAGATATACGGCGTAATTACCGCTGTCTCTGGAATACAAAAAGGCACTGTATTCTTCTCACAGAAGTCACTTCATGTTCATTCTAACCCCCTCGATACCTAGAATCTCATCATGGAAATACAGCTCTTACCCTCTACCCTCTCAGGCCATGATGTGCTTAATGGCGTTTTTGGCGATGGCCAACAGATAAACAACAATGCTAATGGGATACAATTCGCCCATTGCCAATGTAAGAGAGCACAGACAGTCCTGGTAGTCAGATTCTGGGTCGCTCATACTAACCTCTCGCGCCAGTTACCAATCTGTGTATGGGCTCGGTCCTGCAGTATGCTGGTAAGCCAACGCTCTCCGTGCTGTGTGATTGATGCCGTGTCTGCGTCTTGTACATACCTCTCCACGCCATCTCAGGGTCTTGCAGGCCAAGCATCCAACCACAGTCGCTGATCACGTAGCAGGCCCCAACAAGCCATCCACATCCTCCGATACTCAAGAGCTACTGCACAACACCGCACAACATTGGGATTCGAACCCGCACGCATCTCTGGGTCGTTGTCCCATTGATCTAGCGACACGTGCCATGTACAAGCTAGAAGCGGTTCGTTCGACATCGACAGTCGATCAATTCTCTGGCTTGGACGCGGCTAATTGCCTCCCAGTGTGTTCTGAAGTGAACCCAACTGCTCCAAGACTATCATCCAAATGGATCAAGCATGCTAGAAAATTTGGGAGAAAGTTGCTGGAGGGAGGGCTAAGTCGGGTCAACATCGACCTACACGGTAAATCTGGGGAATGGAAGTTGAATTTCGAGTGGAAACGGGAGGGACATGTCTCTTTGTAGACCCGATTGCTCAGGTCTTGCATTGTGGGGACAAAGCTCTTGAATAGTTGTTAGATTGTTTATGTTGAAGATACAGATGTATGATATAGCATGTGGTTTTAATAATGGGTTCAACTGATACCGAAATGTAGGAACTCCCTTGGAATGTGTAGAATTGTCTAAAGATCTAAGTAATATCTGTAACTCTCTGCTATTTATGCTCCTTTGCGTGCCGAATATCCGAGTACTCGGCACAGTCCTAGGGTATGGTATTCGGCCGAATAGCCAAATACAGGCGTAGCGTTATTGAGTCCTAAGGATCAGAGCATCATACCTTAGGCATGGCTCTCAACAGTTTGCTAGACATACTTTCATAATCATATATAGTTCTTTCGCTCTGTTTCTCCCACTCCTGGTTCTTCATCTCTCTCTGTGTATAGTCTGATAGTTAGGATAGGAGCTAAAATCCTGCCATGCGAGACATTGGTTCAGGATCTGTTTTGCCTCAGCTGTTTTTCTACTATGCACTGCCCGGTGCAAGGATAAGCTTAAGATGTGTGTAATTTGCCGGGGAATGAATAGGTCAAATACTGCAATCTTAATGACTAGGGGAGTATACGAACGAAAGGACTTTTTATATGAACATGCGGTGTAAATAAAGTACATGCGGGTAAATCCCCCGATAGGTATATATGTATGACATGCTTGCTACACTTACATATGGAGCCATGCCACGTGAATGATATCTTTGCATGCAATATATCTGGATAATGGACCATCGAGATGCTATAGCGAGGTGGAGGTGATCTGGAATTCGAAATTAGGAAACCACTTCAACGCAAAGAGAGGAAGGAGACAGGGCTGGATTTGTTTGTATTTATATTTGTATTCATTTTTTTCAGGGAGAAAGAATACAAGCTCCCGAGGCTGAACTTAGGGAACTATATGTATCTATTCCTGGATGATCGTGTATGTTACATGGACCTTGATGACGAACACTGGGCTCCCTTGGTGCAACTAGAGCTGGGGCCTGCTGATATGTCCATGATCTGAGTGATAATTGCCATTGGTTATTTCTCCTTATATGTCTACAAGTTTGAACCGGGCTTTCTGTCCATCCCAACTCTAGGGAGTGAGGTTTACAATCCCCATTGATCCTAGTTATTCAATTCGGTTATTGACAGGTCGAATATAACTACACAAAAATCAACTATCGGAAATTTGCCCTCATGATTGCTCTTTCTAGAGCAGCAAGCCAATGTTAACGGTTATATAGAGCACATCACCTACAGATACGATGTTTATTTGATATGACTGTGGATCTTATCTGTGTATGTTGAGATCTATAAGAGGCACGTATATACCTAAAACACACAACAGCTGCGGCTGTATTATGGATTAACGCTGCTTTCCCCATAACATTGGCCATCTTTCAAACGCAGCATTATACGTAACTATTGCCTTCCAAGGTGTCTTAATCTCCAGATGTATTTCATGCTGAACCAGATAGACAGATTTCGGGCATACCTACATGTAAGCAATATGACTATTCCAGACAAGAACAACCACTACGAACCACAGAATCTATACAATTATGAAAAAAAAGAAAGAGTCCTAAGCAACAGCCTTTCATGCAGATAGATATTCTCTGGCCAAAAAGGAATCCAAGCAAAAAGAAATGGACGGGCGGTGGATCGAACACCGGACTTTTCGCATGCAAAGCGAACACTCTACCACTGAGTTACGCGCCCAATTGCTATGGTAGAATACGGCGTATTCAAATTCAGATCGCTAACACACCATTGTAGATCATGGATTGGTTCCATGATTGTCCTGGGAGGAGAGGGTCGAATTTCATGGAGTGGTGCTGGTGGCAACAGGTTGGTTGGTTTGAAGGTTGGTGGGTGCAATATTTTTTTATTTGGCATTGACCCAATTCATTCTGCTACTCTTATCTATTGGGAGACATGGGAGACATGGGAGGGTATAAAGACGTGGTGTGCTGGATTATGCTGGCTTCGCTCTATAGATGGAAGAGGATACAACATACGGAGTAGTAAAATCAAGTTTGCAGATCGGATGACCAAGTTGAGAGGTCTCAAAGACAGGAACCAAATTAAAGCATGGAGAATTACAGTTGGCTTGCACCTTATAGAGTCTACATGTACGCAAGTATGCTACAAATTACTGAAGAATAATAAAGATATTGGTTTTCATTTTAGAAACCTGAATAATAAAAAATAAACATCACAGAGGGTCGTATCCCGTTTCCCATATCCCGTAAGACTTAAAAATTAGCAAGAGTGAAAGAGTTGAGCGAAATAATCTAATCAACCTCCTCCATGGTGCTCTCGCCGGTAGCCTCGGCAGGAGCAGCAGCCTCGGTGGCGGGAGTGACATCGGCATCCTCGTCGATGTTCAGACCAAGGGAGACGAGCTTGTGAATGCGCTCGGAGAAGCTGGCGGGCTCCTCGATGGTGAAGCCAGAGACCAGCAGGGAGGTCTCGAAGAGCAGCTGGGTGATGGACTTGACGGTGCGGTCGTTCTCGCCATCGGCCTCAACCTTCTTCTTGAGCTCCTTGATGATGGGGGACTTGGGGGAGATCTCGAAGGTCTTCTTGGAGGACATGTAGGAGGACATGGAGGTGTCACGGAGGGCCTGGGCCTTCATGATACGCTCCATGTTGGCGGACCAACCGAACTGGCCGGTACGGATGGCGCAGGGGGAGCCAACCAGCTTGTGGGAGACAACAACCTTCTCGACCTTGTCACCGAGAACGTTCTTGAGGGCCTTAGCGAGCTCCTCGTACTCCTTCTCCTCAGCCTCGCGCTCAGTCTTCTCCTCCTCGGTCTCCTCAAGCTCGAAGTCCTTGGTGATGTCGACGAGCTTCTTGCCGTCGTACTCCTTCAGCTGGGTGAAGGCGTACTCATCAATGGGGTCAACCAGGAACAGAACCTCGAAGTTCTTCTGCTTGAGGGTGTCCAGGAAGGGAGAGTTGGCAACAGCCTTGATGGACTCGCCAGTGATGTAGTACATGTTCTTCTGGTGCTCGGGCATGCGAGTGATGTAGTCAGCGAGCGAGGTCTGCTCGTCACCGGACTTGGTGGACTGGTAGCGGAGGAGCTTGGCCAGAGTGGGGCGGTTCTGGGCGTCCTCGTGGATACCGAGCTTGATGTTCTTGCTGAAGGCGGAGTAGAACTTGTCGAACTGCTCACGGTCCTCGGAGATCTCAACGAAGAGCTCAAGGGTCTTCTTGACGATGTTCTTCTTGATGACCTTCATGATCTTGTTCTGCTGGAGAGTCTCACGGGACAGGTTGAGGGGAAGATCCTCGGAGTCGACGACACCCTTGACGAAGCTGAGCCACTCAGGAATGAGGTCAGTGGCATCGTCAGTGATGAAGACACGGCGAACGTAGAGCTTGATGTTGTTCTTAGTCTTCTTGGTCTCGAACAGGTCGAAGGGAGCGCGCTTGGGGACGAAAAGAATGGCGCGGAACTCAAGCTGACCCTCAACGGAGAAGTGCTTGACACCGAGGTGGTCCTCCCAGTCGTTGGAGAGAGACTTGTAGAAGGAGGCGTACTCCTCAGTGGTGATGTCGGCGGGGTTGCGGGTCCAGATGGGCTTGGTCTTGTTAAGCTCCTCCTCCTCAATCTTGGACTCCTTGACGGTCTTGGTCTTCTTCTCCTTCTTCTCCTCCTCCTCATCATCGACCTCCTCGACCTTGGGCTTCTTCTCGTCACCCTCCTCGGTGGTCTCCTCGGCCTCCTCATCGGGGACCTCGGTCTCAGTCTCCTTCAGGACGTGAAGGTAGATGGGGTAGGAGATGAACTCGGAGTGCTTGCGAACAACCTCCTTGATGCGGGCCTCGTTGAGGTAGTCCATCTGCTCATCCTTCAAGTGGAGGATAATCTTGGAACCGCGGCCGAGCTGCTCGCCCTCGGTATCCTCCTTCAGGGTGAAAGTACCACCGGCGGCGGACTCCCAGATGTACTGCTCATCATCGTTGTGCTTGGACACAAAGGTGACACGGTCAGCAACGAGGTAGGCAGAGTAGAAACCAACACCGAACTGGCCGATCATGGAGATGTCAGCACCGGCGGACAGGGCCTCCATGAACTGCTTGGTGCCGGAGCGGGCAATTGTTCCAAGGTTGTTGATCAGGTCCTGGAAGAGGTCATTATTAGTTTGCTGTCACTAGATAGAAAGCAGAGCGATCGAAAGAAGATCGAAAGAGCTCCCAGAGTAGAAACTTACAGCCTTGGTCATACCAATACCGGTATCACGGATGGTAAGGGTCTTGTTCTCCAAGTCGGGGATGATGTCGATGCGCAGATCCTTGTTGGAATCGAGCTTAGAGGGGTCGGAGAGAGCCTCATAGCGGATCTTGTCGAGAGCATCGGAGGCGTTGGAGATCAACTCACGAAGGAAAATTTCCTTGTTGGAGTAGACAGTGTTAATGATCAGCGAGAGCAGCTGAGAGATCTCAGCCTGGAACTCGAAGGTCTCAGACATATTGGCGATGTGTGAATCTGAAGGAAGATTGAGTTAGAACCGATGAAAAGTTGCAATTAAGGGGATGAGGTAGAAATGTCGAGCGCCGATGCAGAGTCTGATCCAGCGGTGGGGGAGAAGGAAGCGGTGGAGAGAGAGAGACAAAGGGAATGGGGATAACCTACAAGAACACGAAGAAAGCAAAGTGATCAAAAAACGAAGCTCTGGGGGGAGGAACCAAAGCAGAGAGAGATGAAGAAAGGATGAGGGCGGGCCTGGGTTTCCTTTTGTGTTTCCAAAAATTTCTGGTGGAGAGTTTCTACGGCGATCCAGCAACTTCCACCTCGTCGGTGAGGCAACCGTAGTTGCAGCTCTCCTTTTTCTAGACTCTTCCGCGTGTTATTTTTAATTCTACATGTCAGCTTTAATCTGACTCTAATTTCCCCAGTCTTTTTTTTCTTTATCTTCGAAACAACAAAGGGCGAGGCGAACTCTAGAATCTTCCCCAGATGACTCATCTATCAAGCCCCCCGAAGTCTTGGCAGTGGCGCTCCGTGGCTCGTACGTTCCTTATAACAGTTATGTATGTAGTATGTACTCCATATATGTAGTTACCTCTAGGTAAATACCCTAGGAGCCTAGGAGATCTACCATGTAGGTAGGAGATCTAGGAGATCACTCAATGCCCTGGAATCCATATTTTGTAGCCTCGTTACTCCATGATACAATTGCAGTCCCCCACAGAAGATCTCATTTACACCCAGTGAGAATATCCTCATACCCAAAGAAATCCAAAAGATACAAGAAAGAAAGACCGGGATGGCGCACCACCGTAAAACCCTGAAGTTTGCTATGCTAGTTAAAAGAGAAAAAAAAATGCGATATAACGTCTTGAAAAAAAAGGGGCAAGGGAACAGATCATAGCAGGAAGACACATAAAGAAAGGAATATGGTGCAGAAAAAAAAGAATCGTGAGGTCGAAAGAGAGACCTGACCCAAGCAAAAGCAAAGTCAGGTGGAAACACAAGTGCCCAGAAGGGAGGAAAGAGACGCAACTTTTCCAGCCAACCCGGACCAACCGCTAATATGCACTGTGACGGGAAAAAAGGGGGAGGCAATAGTCACGTAACACATGTCATTAGGAAGAGACGGGGCAAAAGAAAAAATAGAATCAAAATCGGAGGAGTAATACAGATCCTGAGAAGATCATCAGCCAGAATGGCAAGTCGCAAGGATTGCGAAGAAAATTGCAACGAGCCACCGGCAAGGAAGAGGAACGTAGAGGATCGTCAGAATCGTGTAGTTATTTAAGCAGCCTGGGCCTGGCTGCGACCCTTGGCAGCGACGTTGCCACCACGACCACGGGGGTGAAGCTTCCACGACCCTCACGCTGGAAGCCACCACGACCCTGGCTGCCAGCACGGTCACCGCGACCACGACCGGCACCACCACCACGGCCGGCGGGGAAGCCGTTGCTGCCGTAAGCGTTGCCACGGGGGCGGCGCTCCTCGACGAGGATCTGCTCACTGCCAATCTGGTGAGGGTTGGCGGCAACGGCGGCAGCGTAGCCGGAGGGCTCGTTGAATTCAACGAAAGCGCAGTTCTTGGGACGGCTGACATCGAAGTACTTCAGCTTGCCGAAACGAGCCAGGGTCTGCTTGAGCAGGCTGGCATCGACCTTATCGTTGACATTCTTGATATAAGCGAGAACGGTCTCCTCGCCAGCACGGGGCTGCGACTTCTTGTGGTCGGAACCAGCAGTCTGCCATCCGGCATCAGTGGAAGGAGTCTCCGGGGAACGAGCAGCCTCAGTGGGGGCGGCAGGGGCGGCAGTAGGTTGAGCGGCAGGGGCGGCCTGAGCAGCGGGAGCAGCAGCCTTAGGAGCAGCAGGAGTAGCCTGGGCGGCCGAAGCCTTGGCAGCAGCGGCGGCCTTAGCAGCGAAAGAGGTGGTCGCAATAGTGGCCCAGGTCTTGGGGGCAGCGGGGGTAGGGGCGGTCTCCTTCTCAGGGATCTCCTCCTCGGGAGCGGGAGAAGGCTCAGGAGTGGCAGGCTTCTCGTCGTTCACAAGTTCAACTGGGACGGCAGGAGCGGGGGCGGGAGTCTCCTCCTCGGCGGGGGTGCCGTTGGTCTGGGGAGCGACCTCCTTGGACTCCTCAACCTCACCATTAGCCTCAGCCTCCTCGAGCTTTTCATCGACCTTGGAGGCAGCGACCTCATCGACAACCTGAGCCTCCTCAGAGGGGACCTCAGCAACGGCCTCAGGGGCTTCGGCAGTAGGCGCCGGGGTAGGCTGCTCGGTTTCTTCCTCTGGCTCTTCCGCCATGTATCGGAAAATGTCGTTGAGCACATAGTAGCCGTTGGGCTGCTCAGCAAGAACGAAAGTCTGCACGAACTTGCGCGACGGCTCGGAGTTGTTGGAGATCTCTCCAATGACAGAGACCAGGATGTTGTCGAAGGAGGCCTGGGAATCGACATTCAGGACGCGCACCTTGCAGTCCTGGAACTTCAAAGAGTTGAGCTTCTCGTTGATGTCCTAAAAAATGGGGGTTGTGGTTAGATGGTATTCACATAGAGGGATCGAATCAAGCCAAACTCACCTTAGTACCAACAGTGACAGGGACGGACTCGGCCTCGGTACCGAAAACCAGCTGAGACCGGCGAGAGTAGAACAGGTGAAGCTTGTCGGGGTTGCGGCTCATGGTGGTGTAGTACTGCTCAACGAAGTACCAGCCCACCTCGTCCTTAGAGATCTCGTTCTTCTGCTGGTCGGTGGGAGTGACAGTAGTAGGAGTGGATGACTGGGCAGGCTGGAAGCTAGCCGCAGTGTTCATGGTGACAGAAGCATGGTTGTAAGATTCGGGGTATCCATGCTGGGCAGGGTAGTTGCCGTTGACGGGAACCTGGTTCATGTCGGCCATGGCGTAGGATTGAGGGGTTTATCTTTGGTTTCGGGTGGAAATTGAGATTAAAAGTAACCGAGGACGGCGAATATGACGAATGAGACTATAAAAGCCGAGGCGCTTTCTTTTTAGAAAGAGAAGCAAGCGATAGAAGGTCTAAAAATGAAATTCTTCGTGTTCCTCGCTTCACTGGATGGTTATTAGTTTTGATATTCCTTAGATATTCTTTACCATAAGATCGAACTGGAGAGGTGTATCGAAACTCACAATGCGAAATGGACCAAGCACCAATGCAAGCAATTGAAGAGGATAGAAGGAAAGGAAGAAAAGAACAGAAATAAAGCAAGGCGCTTTGAGATTGCGAAAAGCGGGAAGTATAGCTGAAGTGAGAACGAACAGGGAAAGAGTTCTTGTGTGGTCCTGATCGCGCGGAGAGGGAGATGTGGAGGACGGGAGAGAAAGATGAAGAAGATCGAGAAAATGTGGGTCTGGAAGACGATAGAGGGAAAAAGTCGGGTGGAAAATGGGAAGCAAAAGAGATGGAATGAAGCTGTGGGAATTCGCCTTCGAAGAAAAGACTTCCTTCTCTTTGACTCCGTGCGGGTTTCGCGTGGCCTTGGCGGGTGGCCACCGCCCGGCAGAATTCATATAAAACTGAGATGTTGTACGAGGATAATAGTATTTTCTATGAATATAAACAAAGCCGGGTACTTTAATAGCTGAATGAGCCTTCCCGTTCATTAGAAATATCGATAGCACATGTGGAACAGCACAAGACACGTGTGTAAAAACAGACAAAGAGAGATCTTTGAGTAATATCCAAACTCGGGAGTATTTATATCAGAGAGATACAAAGTGGACAAGATTTTCGTAATAGCTTCAAGATACATAAGTCAGACATCAGGGGAAAAAAGGGAAAAGAAAAGAAAAAAGAAAGAAAAAAGACCAGGCCCCCAAGTTCATACCCAAGAAAGAGACAACGAGCATTTCATCAAGTCAAAACGCCGCAAACTGACCCGAAAAATAAACAGAAACGAGGGGTATGATAGGACATGAAAGGGTGCTCAACTGTAAAGGAAAACAAAAGGAAAAACATAGACAGCAGCCAAAAGAGCCGTATATACCAAGACTCAAATGACGGGAGGAAGAAAGGCAGAGATCAGAGACGCAAACAAGCGAATAATCGGAGACAGTCTACCAAATAGTGAGAAAACCACGCGACAAGTGAGCTTATCTCTCGCTTGGATGCTTATCCTCAGGGCGAGGCAGTTCCCGTCTTGGCCTTCTCGGAAAGAGGCTTGCGCATAACAGCATCCTGGCTGGTCATCCTCCGGCCCAGGGCGCGCTCGACCTTAGCGCCGAGAGCGAGCTTGTTCAGGTTGTCCGACTTCTCTTCTGTGGGTATGAATCGCTGCTTGTTGAGGGGCTTGTTCTCAAGGCGCTCGAAGCCGTCGCGGAGGTGGGAGATGTGAGCGATTCTGGTATCGCCGTTGGAAATGCTACCGTTTGTACGATCCGAGGCAGCCACCGACGGGGTTCCACTGATGGCGGAGAATCGCTTGGAGGTTCGGTTCTGCAGAAAGTTAGAACGTGCGCCATGCGAACAATGCGGGTGGTAAAGCCCTGCAACAGGGCGGATCAGGTGGAGGGGTAAAGAGGAGGGGGGATCGTACAGACTGAGCCATGATGGGACGCTCAGAGTCAAGAGAGGGTTGGCGGGCCATTTTGTATGGGTGGTATGGTTGTTATGAAGAGGGGTTGCGCGAGGAGAAAAACACAATTCCAACTTGTAGGTAAGGAAAGACCTCGAAGGGACTGCAGTCTGCAAAATTGGTCTGTGAGCGAGTATTCCTGGGCTCTAGCACTTGGCAATCAGGGTCGGCTGAATCAGTAAGGGATACACACGAAGTAGTCTGCAGGTTTCCGGCGGGACACGGGGAATGGAATGTGATTGAGGAAAAGATCAGGCGCAAAAGTACCAATTCAGCGCAGGACTTGCTGATAGAAATAGAGCCACAAGAGGGAGGCAAGACGAAACAGGTGGGTCAAGTTGACGGTGGGGAAAAGCGTGGGAAAGGGGGTGGAAGGTTTTTTTTATGGCTGGAAAGATCGACGTAATCGTAAGGTGCGCATAAAGAGGAGAGTCGGTCTGGGAACAATCGGAGGTTTAGTGAAACTTCACGGTGGAGATGGTCTCAAATAGTCATACACTCACACTTGATACTCCCAGATATCCTCCCCCCTAACATCTGTGATGTCAAGAAATGGAGAAAGCTTTGCCGGGAGTATCTTTGCCACGTGCCGCCACGCGAGCCGATCATCTCGGCAAGTACGGAGTACTTTACATCTGACACTCTTACTCCGGAGTGATTGCAGTATATCTACTCCCTATTCCAGCAATATTTTGGTATGGTAGACATGATGGGGCTGGAGACTTGATGAATCTGTTCCAGCCATCCACTCCTGGCATCTGGTACGAAGTATATACGCATCCCATAGCAGCAAGGGACATTCGATATGTATCGATTTTACACAGAAAGCCGGCAACACTACATACCCCTTTTGCAACAAACCTAGGCACCATTGTCACCATCTTCAAAAATCAAAATAACCAAACGAAACCAAACGAAACCAAACCGCTTACATCGAAGGTCATCTCTCAAGTCTTGGCATCTATGCAGATCGCAAGGTCGGACCAGGCTGCTTCGGAGTTTTTCTTTCTTACATATTTTATACTTCAATAAAACAACATGATCCTCCAAAGCTCACATGCAAATGATCATTAGACCAGTCTCAAACTACTGCGTGCTTTGTACTCCGTACTCCATACCATAGTGGCCATTACCATTGTCGGAAAGCATCGTATACTTCGCCCACACCGCGCAGATTCTGCCGGATTTACTTGGATTCCAAGCACAGCCATCTCTGTCGATCCTCATTCAATCCATTCAACAGCCCTGCCGCAACTATGCCGAAACCAAAATCCTTTCTCCGGGAGACGAAGACAAAGAAAAAGGCTGCCTCGAAACAGGTACGCAGTAGCGAAGTACCCGCACAAAACAGCTTGGTCATGATCTCATACGATTTGATATAGGCACCTGTGACGGCAGATGATTTTCTGGCAGGTGTGTATTTGAAAACAAAGAACCAATCATATCAAAGCCGAAAGAGCTAATAATATCTCCAGCCGGCGTCGAGCTAGAGGAGGCCGGCGAGAAATGGCGGGCCGGAGACGCGGCCAAGTCCATGCGTTTCTTTATGCGGGCCATCACGAACTATGATGAGGGACTACAAAAACATCCCGGCACTTTTGATCTGGCTTATAACAAGTACGTATAGTGGGCACATCGAAACAACTAGTTCTTTTGGAGGTTCTATTTTAGTCATGGTCGAAAGGTACTCCGTACTTTGCTTTTCACTGACACATAACTTAGAGCACGAGTTCAATATGAAATTACCCAGCACCCCAAATTAGCGGCCCAGTTGCCCGCACCACAGGGAGATCTCCTGCAGGTTGCATTGCAGTCGCACCGGGAGGCGCTGGCTCTAAGCCAGGATAATGCCAACGTATTATTCAATTCGGGCCAGGTGCTGACGAGTCTGGCCGAGTTGATGGCCAACTCCAAACATCCCGGTGATGAGCAACTAATGCAGGCAGGTACCTACCTGCAAGAGGCTATTGAGCTCTTCCAGCGCTGTCTGATGGTACAGGAAATGAAGTACTCGGAAATGCAAGAGGAGATTGAACAGATTGAATCCGGGGATGTACCACTCTCGGCACCGGAGCCGGAGGCTGTACCACAGGCCGCGGGACAGTCCCAGGCCGACCCCAGTGAGGAGCAAGAGCAGTGGGCGATGATTGTGGAGCCGGTCACAAAGAATACACTTGTCGATACGGCGGTTGCGCAGCTCGAAACTTTGACTACTCTGTGCAACTTGTTGACATCTAACCCTGGCGCGGGCGGTGTTGGTTGGGTGCAAGAGTACTCGTCGGAGCTTGTGCATTCCCGATTGCCTGCGTGTGTTGAAGGCTCAGACAGACACTATGAGGCGGCCTTGGCACGAGCTAGGTTCATCTGTGCTTTGAACGACTTGCTCTACCGAGGTGGACATACTGATATTCAAACCTACCAGCAGGAGGTTGGACAAGTTTTCGGTCCAGAACTGGATGTATCCGCAGATCCTGCTGGACTGTGTGGCAAAGCAGATGCGCTCACATCGTTGAACCAGGCGCTCAGTGACATTCCCCCATCGGAGGATGACGAAGAGTTTGAGAACGCGCTGGCAGTGCGCTGGAAATCGCTTTCGACCGCCTTAGACGCACTAACAGCCGCCACCAAGCTTCCAGATGCAGATAACCTGCCCAATATCCACCTCGGTCGGGGAGATGCGGAGATGCAAAGATGGCGTCTTGGTCGAGCACCCTGGAATCATGCGATGGCGAAGCAGAACGGTGCGATGCTTCTGCGCAACGCTCAGACATACTATCGCGGCGCAGCAGCTCTGGCTCGACGCGAAGGAGCTGCAGATGAAGAGCGCGACGGGACTTGTAAGGAGGCAATTGCCGCAGCGATCGAAGGCCAGACCACGAAACTTGACCAGCTCAAAACAACAGTCCTTCAACAGGTGGTAGCTGTCGCCCAGGATATGGTGGAAGACGGACTGGTTGACGGCAGGGAACTGAGTGCCCTGATATCATGAATCTGATAGAGACAATTTCCCATGACATCTTCACAGACCCGGACGGGCTCTCACTTCCTCATCCATCTGAATCGCATCTTGACGAATGTGGTGTTGTTTGCTGAATTGCGTGGCCGCCGTAGCAGCACCCTCAATATCTGAAACCACCAATCCAAGATGCGACAACAGCTGCTCAATTTCCAGTCTCTGGGCTTGCACGGTCTGCGCAAGCTCCGCGTTTTCCGCATGAGTAGCCTCGAGTCTGGCATTAAGGGTCGACTGCGCTTCCTGCAAATAGGGCGTAAGATGCGCGTTGTATAGGTCTTCGGCGCCTAGTGTGTGTGGGCTGTAAAGTAGCAAAGTCAGGACAAATAGCCAAAAAAAAAGTATAACGCTAAAAGCATTCAACATACACTGGTTTCTCTTCCCCTTCAGCATTCTCCTCATCCTGGTCCCTCCTAGTCCTCGCATCGTTGACCAGTCGGTCAAGCTCATTCAAATGCGGTACAGCATCCCGTTCCGCGATAATATCATCAAACTCGGCCTTCGCATTCGCTTCCAGTTTCGCGTTCAACTGTCGCCAGACACCCTCCAAACTAGCAGGAACATGGCGCGCAGGGGTGGGGAAACAGCCCGCAAAATTTGCATATGAGTTTGCTCGCAATGTACGCGCTAGCGCCTGGTCGAAGACTTGATTCAACCGTGAGGCGCGCGGACCGGGGGTTAGAGGGTTTGGAGCTGGCGGGGGAGGGGACAGCGACGCGGCAGGCGGTTGATGGGAATTGGGTTCGGCCATGGTGGATGGATTTGCAGCGGAGATAGATCCAGAGCGTGGGGAGTGGTCGGGAAATTATCGCTATGGTGAGAGTGTGTGTAGGAGACTGTTGTGGTTCTTGGGAATCTGGATCTGGGTGTTGGACAGACTTGGATCAACGCGACGCGCTGGTCACGTGTTTATATAGATCGATTGATAGTTTGAACCATTACGCAGATATCTCATTAATTTAGATTATTATACTTCGTCTGATTGCTAAATACCACAGGTAGATGTATATAGATTACACAGAGGAAGTGAAGATGGTACTATGCTATAGATATGGGCAGAATCAGGAATCAGCTAACTCCAAGCCCTAACTAGATGGATCTAAGCCCAACCAACTCCGACGTCTGTTCTCCTCATTTTCAGCTTTCGACAAAGGGGCAGTGCCAGAATTTGCAGAGTTTTTCCGTACATGTAATGGTTGCATATCTTCCACCGGACTGGATATGCGCCATAAGCCTACGTGGCTACGTAGGTCCAGCCAAAGTGATTTGAATGCAGGCCACGAGATAGAGGTATATATAAGGCTGTTCCAAAATCCCTGGAGTGGAAGGACAAAGCTGGAGGCGTAATTGAGACTAAAGCTAAAGTCATTTGGACGAGCCAGGGAATAGACTCTGTTTATCGTTGAGGGGACCTAAAGCATCGAATAATCAGCGCACGATCAAAAAACCGACAATGATCTTGGATCAGAAGATCTTGGCTTATACATACCCATGTAACAAGCAAGGCAATAAAGAACAATATAGCATATTTGGTATATGCCCAAGTAGCCGAACTGTTTTCTGTAGACGTCGATCTCCGCTGCAAGTCTGGCATCTCCGGTCGCACCGTTTTGACAGTATACTCCTGCCGAAGAGGACTTGGACCAATTCGGGAGTTAGACCCTTGGGGGGTGCCAGCTGTACTACCACCCTCAATTGTGACAGAGTATGCTCTTAAAGCAGCGGACGGGATCCCGCGCCCAGTATTTTCTGACAGAGAAGAGCGCTCTGGTGTAGAACAAGCAATCTCTCTAGTGACTTGGATACCGGTCAACATGGCAAATGGAGATTCCGGGGTAAAATTCGAGTCAATGCCGTCAAGTTCTCGAAGCTGGCGTCGCTTTTGGTAGATCACTGTCCCTGCTCGTAGGTAGATGGCGAAGGTCAATGAGATGACAAACCAGACTGGTCCGTAGAAGACAGCGATACGGAGAAAGTCCCATTCTACAGAGACCCAACACCATAACTGTAGAGGGTCATTAAGTTAACGAAGACTGGTAGTTGTTGTGATTTGGGGTTCTTACGATAGCGGTGCCATATATCCGGCCTCGAGCTTCGGTCTGGATGAAAAAGTATGCGAAAGCCGGGATGAAGGGAACGCCGTAGCAACATAGCACATATTTCCATTCTAGATGCCGTAGCTGCTCGGAGTTGTATTTGTGGAAGAAGGTTAGATATACATTGCAGGCCATTGCAAATGTCCATAACGCATCAGCGGGCATGAACCTATCCTTACATATCAGCGGTGGTCTGTTAAATAACCAGGTACTGGGAGGTACGAACCATTGAATCAAAAACCCCTGGAATTGGCACAAGGAACTATCAACCCCGGAATGGATTCCGTCTGCCGATATGATGGTGGCTATATTCGCCATGATATTTCCCCATGATGCATAGAATACCAGACGGTTGATGGGCTTACGGAAGGCAGGGGACCAAAGAAAAGTAGCGACTATGACAAAAGTGCCAACCAGGGAGATAGTCGAACAAGCACGTTCTGTGGCCGAGATTGCCAACACTTGTTGTTCTGACAGCATCATGGTATCATGATCTAGAGCCTAGCTGCCACGAAGGGTGGTGTGAGCTTCCAGTCGCCCGAAGGTTTATATCCAACCACCGGCAGATATAAACCGAGATAATCGTGGGTTTAAAGGGCCGAGAAAGCCTGTGATAGATTGAAGATCCAGATGATCGTAGGTCTATCTGCAGGGACTTATTTTGGGGCCCTTGTTCACTTTGTTCGCCTGGAGAGATCAACAGAAGCTAAACAGTCCGAGTAAGTATGTAGATATGTCCGAAACACAGTATACCATCTGCTTATCATCTGCAAACAGCTAACAAAGAAAACCCACAAATGACAAATAAAGAAAGATCAGTCCAATCAGCATATTACTGTTATTTTATCGGCTTACTCCTAGGAAGATGCCAGTCTAATGCCGAGGGCCATGCAACAAAGAATGCAATGCCCAACAGTATTAGCTCGGTCCACTGCCAAGAAAAGGAGTGAGAGTCTGGCAGGATATCTTTTAAATGGCTTCTGCGTTTCAAACATTCACCGCATGGGTGGGCCAGGGCTCAAACCGGTACTCCCAGCAAGAGATATGCGAACGATCCCCGGTGTGGGTGGTACTAGAACGTGCACTATGCTAGGATTTTCGACGTATGTGAGCAAGGGTATGGGTCACGGATCAGTGGTGGTTTGCAAAGACAAGCTTCGGAGAAATATCTGTTGCACTGCTGGCCAGCGTCAGTCCAAGTTTGTTCAGGTCTTTGTCCAGTCCCTGGAGCTAAGGTCTAACAAAGGGCATCAGGAAGGACGCCTTCCTGGATACATGTATGCCAAGGGTACAACGATGACAAGGTTTGGGAGGCCTTGTGAAAGAATTCAATCAGTTCGCCCGGATGTGACAGTAGCACAGTTGTTTCCCCCCGATGTTATGACTGCAAATCAATTGTAACAGGAGGCCAGATTGAAATACGGTTGACTGCATGTCCAAGGGGAAGATAATCCAAACACACAGCTGGCAAGATATTGCTCAGACGGTAGAATGACTCCTCGTTCTTCACAGGGTTGTCCGAGAAACTGGATACTTTGAAATAACGAACGTCTTGCAACTACTCCGTAGAAGCTTGCTCGTCCCGAAAATCCGTGGGCGTACAAAGAAGCAGTCGCAGCAATAAGCCGAGATCCTCCAGAGTTGAAGTTCCAACGGGGACTTGTGAAAGGCCTAAGCTCTCGTTACACTTGTCCCTTCAAATAAATATAGCCTTGAGATGAGGCAGAGTTCCATTTTCGAAAGTTGATTAAAAGACAAACCGAAGCTTCAAAACAGGCCATCAAGACTATAAAATGGTGTTCAAAGTTCATCCATCTTCAAGCACTTCTTTGATAAATCTGCCACAGTATTTGCAATATCAAGTTAAGAAAAAATTAAAAAGGGCAAGCAAAGATATCCATCATCGGGTATAACGCCGAATTCTCCCCTGTCCAAGTGTCTAATCGAGCTCGTCATCTCGTCATGCACGGTCTAGACCGTTAATAAGCTGGTTGCTGGGGAATAATGCCTCCATAACCAGACATCTGCTGCTGCTGGTGTTGTTGCTGCAATTTGGCCTGAATCTGAGGCAGATCATGGAACCATGGGTGCTGCAGGGCCTCGTTAGCGCTGATGCGCATTTCCGGGCGGAGTTGCAGCATCCGGTTCAACAGATCCATCCCGATGTTGTCCATTTGGGGAATGATCAGCGACAAATTTTGCGTGGCGTAGATGTGGAAGTCGGACTTGTATTCTGGCAGCTGTGAGATGCCGGGCCATGTGCGTTCCGATGGTGTACCCATCAACCGGAAGATCTTGATCAATTGATCCTCGTTGGTTGTGCCGGGGAAGAGCGGGCGGCCTGTGTACATCTCTGCCATGATGCAGCCAGCGGACCAGATGTCGATGCTGGTGTTGTAGGTGCGACTACCAAGCAGAACGTCTGGTGCGCGGTACCACAGAGTGACAACTTCATTGGAGAAGGTATTGACTGGGATACCAAAGGCGCGCGCCAGTCCAAAATCACCCAGTTTGAGTTGGCCCTTCTTGTTAATTAGGAGATTCTGCGGCTTGAGGTCGCGATGGAGGACTCGGTTGTCATGACAGAAGGCGATGCCCTTAAGTAGCTGGTGCATAAAGGATTTGACCGTGGCAGGGTCCAGCTGCCCGCGATCACCACGAGTGTCCATATATCTCTTCAAATCTCTGTCCATGAACTCAAACACAAGCATGAGCTTGTTCTCCGTGTGGATGACATCGTAGAGCGAGACAATACTCTCATGCTTCAGCTCCTTCATAAGCGAGATCTCACGAATGGCAGTTGATGGAGTTCCTTCCTCCGAGTCCAAGTGAATTTCCTTCAGCGCCACCATCTCGCCGGTCTGGCGATTGCGCCCCTTGAAGACCTGTAGTATTGCTCGTTAGCGGTGAACAGGCTGGGAGAATTGGGTGGCGATCGGGCTAGGAGAGGAGAAGCGGAGAGATCGAGACGTACGGTAGCATAGGTTCCTTCGCCGAGCTAGATATGAAACAAATGCCAGTTAGGGAAGATCCAAGCGTCGCCAATATAGGTAGAAGGGCATACCTTTTCCAGCTGCTGGAAGGAACTGGGCTGCTGCGATTTGTCCATTTTCTGTGAAACTTTGGAAGCCGGTGGCCCAGATGGTTTTTTAGAGAATAGGAAGTGACCAGGAGAGACCAGATTTGAGGCGATCTTTAAAGGATGGACTGCAGATTCCCTCAGATGCTCCATGCTGAGACGTGAGGGAGGAGCCCCGCGTTGAGCGGCCCGGAACTTATGGGTCACCATTTTTTTGGCTGAGTTAGCAGGCGCTTACTCGCTATTTTTATTTTGGAACTATAACTGGATTTGTATTATTTCAAGATCATGTTGAGATCAATCTGTTTTATGCTCTCTTATAAACCTCTAGATTGCATGGACTGGAAGTTGGGATGCAACGGGCGGCAGGATAGCCTGGCATGGATGGCTACATCGGACATGAGCAGTGGGATCTTGTCCGAGATCTCCAAATAGCAGGGCCTCGTTTCGTACTCCGCCAACATTGATAATGCCAATAGGCATACCCCGTTTGTGTGCGCGTTCCACCAAGCGCCACGCGGAGAAAGTTGCCAAGCTGCTCCCAAGAACGAGTAGTCGCCCAGCATCATCGATCGCCTCTTCAGCTGCCGTCTTCACCAGTGGATCGATATTTTCTCCAAACATGATCACTGCAGGTTTCAAGATGCCGGCGTTGGAGGTCGACGACAATGCGCCGTCACTCTCCACCTCTACGACCCCTTTTTTGCCATCGCGCAACGTGGGAGGGCTTTCCAAGCAGATAGGACAGGAAGGATAACGGAAGGTCGAATATGGCGCTTCGGCAAGGTCAACGTCACCATCGGGGTTGAGCTTCAAGCCTTTCCGCCTTTGCTCATCCGGGTTATCGGTATCAAGTGCACCCTCTTCAACCATACGAGCCAGAAAATCTGCCCATGCTGGATTGAGTCTTTCTAGCGATGATTGAAAGTCGGCGCGGGGAAGTTCATTCCGACAACTAGTGCAGACAACTGATCGTAGGTAACCGTGAAGTTCGAGCGTAGACTGTTCTGGATGTGCGAGAGAATGGAACGAATCGACGTTCTGCGTCACTACGGAACTGATATACCCTTTATCACTGAGACCTTTGATAGCCCAGTGGGTCGAGTTCGGCTTTGCTTTCACGAGGCCGGGCCATCCGACGAAGCTGCGCGCCCAATACCGCTTGCGAGACTCATGATGGGCGATGAACTCGTGGTAATAAATTGGACGATAGGATTTGTTTCGTCGGTAGGTACCTTGATCACCGCGATAGTCTGACAGACCGGACGCAACGGAGATGCCTGCGCCAGTCAGTAGCACCGTCTGGGAATGTCTCCCCACATCAACACCCCGGAGATTGAAGGACGGTGGCGCAGTGAAGAACGTGCTAATGGCCTCGATGGCCCCTGCAATTGTTGTTGCAGAACGAGGGACTATAATAGCAGGCGGCAATGGACCCGTGAAGGGAATGCGAATTGCAGGCGTCGTCATTGACGTCGCACCATCCGTGGAGAAACGGTGGAGGTTCTCCAACGATTGCGTAGTTGGAAGCTTGGCACGGGCACTGCGTCCGAGGGTGTATATCCGAGATTCGTCACTATAGAAGAGAGCAGTATGGAAACCAAGCTTGATAAAGAAGTGCTGTGATAGGTCCCAGGGGGCGAATCAAGGCTAGCGTTTGGAGCAATAAGAATCCTGGAGAAAGCCCGATGAGAAATGCAAGCGTTTGGATTGGAAACGGAAAATCAGCGCATCTGGGAGGCCGTCTTGCCGGATTAGCTGATCGGAGACATCCCACCTCTTTTCCTTGGTATAGGCTAAAAAGTAAGTAACCTAAACTGTACTTCGACATAAAAAAAAGACTCCGAAAAGAACACTTTGTCCAATCCTAGCTTTTTGCGCGCGCGTGCCTCAAAGCCGTGATGCCGCTGACGCAGCCCCTGTGCAGGCTTCGTCCTCTCCACTTAAGGGTCTCCCGTCTCAGCTCTCTAGCTGCCCAGCGGCGTATACTCACATCCGCTCCTTTTTTAAAAGACGCCTCTTCCTTTTTGTTCCATTCCAGACCTCGTTCCGTCCCACATCCCGCAACATCTCTCGCGATGACACAAACTAGGGGCCATGGCGACCATGGCCACAGCCACGGTCACGGTCACGGTCACCATCATCATGACAATACCTACCTCACCTCTACAAATAAAAGTGACGCTGGTGTTCGCATCACACGGATTGGTCTCGTCGCCAATTTGTGTATGGCAATTGGAAAGTTCATTGGCGGCTATGTCTTCCACTCTCAATCCCTCATCGCCGACGCCTACCACGCGCTCACTGATCTCGTCTCCGACTTTTTGACCCTCGGGACCGTGGCCTGGTCTCTAAAACCTCCAAGCGAAAGATTCCCCAACGGATATGGAAAGATTGAGAGCATTGGTGCGCTGGGTGTTAGTGGGCTCCTGCTTTGCGGCGGAGTGTTCATGGGTCTCAATGCGGGACAGATCCTGCTAGCCCACGTCTACCCCGACCTGGCTGAAACAGTAGCTCACTCCGGGCTACTGGGACATGGTCATTCGCACAGTCACGGACCGGTTGGTCCTAGCATCCATGCCGCGTGGATTGCGGCGGGCTCAATCGTGGTCAAGGAGTGGCTCTACCGTGCCAGTAAGTATCGGGATGCAAGGATCTAAATTTCATCCACTAATTGACTAACTCCATTCCAGCTATGAAGGTTGCCGAAGAGCGCAAGTCATCCGTACTTGCATCAAACGCCGTTCACCACCGCATCGATTCCTTAACGAGTATTGTCGCTCTTTTCACAATTGGAGGAAGCTACGTTTTCCAAGATGCCACCTGGCTGGATCCGGTTGGCGGAGTCCTCATTTCCTTGATGGTCATCAAAGCTGGTTGGGGCAACACATGCACTTCTCTTTTGGAGTTGGCAGATACCACGGTAGATGAGGAGGTCAAGCATTCGGTGGAGGATGCCACGTCCAAGGCCTTGAAGGATGTGGAGGATGGACACGAAGTGATCGTTCGGGATGTGCAGGGGATGAAATCCGGTCAGAACTACCTGATGGATATCGAACTGGCTGTGCCAGGGGCCTGGGCCATCAGTCGGTCGTACCACATCGAGGAGGCCGTCCGCAATGCCGTTGGATCCGAGGTTCGGGGTGTGAAGCGAATCAAGGTCCGCTTCATCCCAGCAGAACACCAAGACCTCACGTTCTCCGATGAGTTCGTGGCACAAGATGTCGGTGGCGACCCCGAGACACGCCAGAGTGTCTCGCGGAAGCAGCAATAAAATAGGAATAGAGACCAGAGTACATTGTTATAGGCAGCGTTTCTGCTGCAATGATACCCCCCTTTGGATGGATCTATACTTCGGATAGATCGAATATAACCTCATCTACAAGTCTCTACCTGTCCACACTCGTATAGCTCTCTATATAGTGGGGCAACGGCATTCTACCGAGAAATTAGCAGAGCTCAAGCTATTTACCCGGTTTGCTCGGGCTTAACTGGTCCTTTTACCAGGGAATCCCCATCAATTGGCCCTAATTAATGCCCGGCATGTACTTGCCAGAGATGAAAATGCAAAAGATGCCGAGTCTGGCGAATTATGGGCCCTGCAGACCGGTCATGGTCCCTTTACATCATCGGTTCATCTCACCTCCACTGCCCGGGACAATCTTGCCGCTGGCCTTTCTACTTGTTTTACCGGGAATCCACTTCACTATTTGCCTATACATCGGTATATGTTGTATATAACCAGCTATCCAACCCATCGAGTTTATCTTTCTCTACTGTGACTCCACTGCCGTCGAATTGCTATTTGTGACACTCCCACCATGGCGTTGGATAGCCCCCTCTACATTGGATTCGATCTTTCAACCCAACAGTTGAAAGGATTGGTCGTCAACTCAGACCTCAAAGTGGTCCACGTTGCTAAGTTTGATTTCGACGCCGACTCGAAAGGGTTCTCGATCAAGAAAGGTGTTTTGAACAATGAAGCCGAGCATGAGGTGTTCGCCCCGGTCGCTCTGTGGCTGCAGGCATTAGACGGTGTGCTGGAGAGTCTGCGCAAGCAGGGTCTCGATTTCCGCCGCGTGAAGGGAATTAGCGGTGCGGGACAACAGCACGGGAGTGTATACTGGGGTCAGAATGCGGAGTCGCTTCTCCGCAACCTTGACTCGAGTAAATCCCTCGAAACACAGCTGGAGGGCGCCTTCTCACATCCATACAGCCCCAACTGGCAAGACTCAAGCACCCAAAAAGAATGTGATGAGTTTGACGCAGCCCTCGGTGCACCCGAGAATTTGGCACAGGCCACTGGAAGCAAAGCACACCACGTAAGAAACCTCGAAGTCTATCTATCTCCCTGGTGAGTTTGCTGACACTATCCTCAGAGATTCACAGGCCCTCAAATCCTCCGATTCACGAGGAAACACCCCGATGTTTATCAGAAGACATCGAGGATCTCACTGGTGTCTTCCTTCCTGGCCTCCCTCTTTTTAGGCCATGTGGCCCCGTTCGACATCTCTGACGTGTGTGGAATGAACCTGTGGAACATCAAGAAAGGGGCATACGATGACCGCCTGATTCAGCTCTGCTCGGGGAGTTTTGGAGTGGAGGATCTCAAGCAGAAGCTCGGCGAGGTACCGGAAGATGGAGGTCTACACCTGGGCCCCGTTCACCGATACTTTGTGGAGCGTTTCGGCTTCAGTCCCGATTGTACGGTTATCCCAGCAACTGGTGATAACCCGGCGACCATTCTTGCCCTGCCACTGCGGCCATCAGATGCCATGGTCTCACTGGGAACCTCTACAACTTTCCTCATGTCCACCCCTGCCTACGTACCCGATCCCTCCACACACTTCTTCAACCACCCGACTACTCCCAGCTTGTACATGTTCATGCTGTGCTACAAAAACGGTGGTCTAGCCCGTGAGCACGTTCGCGACGCAATCAATGAGAGCTTGAAAGACACTCCTGCCCAGCCGTGGGCCAACTTTGACCGCATCGCGCTGCAGACTGCCCCATTGGGGCAACAGAAACCGACTGACCCAATGAAGATGGGCCTGTTCTTCCCGCGCCATGAGATCGTACCAAACATCAGCAAGGGCCAATGGCGCTTTACATACGATTCCAAGACTGGAAGCCTAAAAGAGACAACCGATGGCTGGAACTCACCCGAAGACGAAGCTCGCGCCATTATCGAGAGCCAGTTGCTTTCTCTGCGTTTGCGGTCTCGGGACCTTACTCAGAACCCTGGCAATGGACTCCCATCCCAGCCGCGCCGAGTTTACCTCGTTGGTGGAGGCTCTAAGAATAAGGCCATTGCTCAGATTGCTGGCCAGATCCTTGGTGGCGTAGAGGGTGTGTATTCGCTCGATATTGGTGACAATGCCTGCGCGCTGGGTGCCGCTTACAAGGCTGTTTGGGGAATTGAGCGACAGCCCGGCCAAACCTTTGAGAATCTCGTCGGACAGAGGTGGAACGAGGACGAGTTCATTGAAAGAATTGCTGATGGGTACCAGAAGGGCCTATTTGAACAGTATGGCCAGGCTGTCGAGGGCTTTGAGAAGATGGAACAGCAGATTTTGCGGCAAGAAGCTGCAAAGTCCAATGGAAAATAATAAAGACATGAGAAGAATTGTTTTAGAATTAGTTTGGCTCTGTTTTCGGCATTTTAGGGCTGTTTGAAGCCCATTATATAGCACGTGCATAGCAAGCCTAGTATATGATGTTCCCACGACAATGAAGCTTCGACTCTCCAAAAAAACCCCCCAAGTGTGTGCACGTAGCTCTTTGCCCTATTTGGAAGAGCACAAAGAACTCCACAATTTCATCAAATTTTCTTTTATAGCTCTACTTTACAGTCTCTATATCCTCTACTGATCAACTTGATACTCTCTTGGCAAGCGAAAGCGGGAACTGGCACGGGACCGATTACGATATCCAGTGCATGATATCTCCTCCACCGAAAAAACAATTTTAACAACACACACCTCCCCCTTGTTTTCGTTTCTCTCCCCTTCCCACGCTTCGAAGGGAGACTGGCTGGAAGATGGAAGAACAGGTAAGTCTCCCAATTTCTGTTCAGCACATGATCCAAAAAATTCCGTTTCTCCAAACACCGCCCCTCCCCCGCCGTTTCAAATAGCCCCTCCGACATCATGAGACTTCGGCCTAAGAAACCAGAATATTGACCTGTAACAGGTAGCAAATGCCATTGAGATCGCCTGGAATCCGTCCTCCGACCAAGCCCTAAAATCGCAAGCCTTCGACTACCTCAATCAACTCCGCTCCGACCCCTCCGGATGGCAGGTTTGCCTCTCTCTCTTCACCAAAACCCCACAACAGCCCGAAGTCGTACGGCATGTCAGTTTGGAGATTGTCAATAGTGCCTGCCAGGTCGGCTTGATCGATCTGGCTTCACTTGGCATCGTTCGAGATAGTTTACTGGGCTACATCCGCCAGGCCTACGGCCCAGAGGCCACTGCCACCCCCGATCCTCCTTATATCCAAAACAAAATTGCGCAGACGATCACTTTCCTTTTCTCTTCCCTCTATGCGAACGGCTGGGAATCTTGCATCGATGACCTATTGGGCCTGACCAACAAATCCGCCGGTCGTGACAACCAGATCGGCGTTGTCTTCTATCTGCGTGTGCTGAACTCGATCCATGAGGAGATTGGAGATGTGCTGGTTTCCAGATCTCGCGGGGAACAGGACAAGGCGAATGCGCTAAAGGACCTGATCCGTGAGAGGGACATGCAAAAAATTGCCAACTCGTGGCAGGAGATTCTGGCTGTGTGGCGGGATGGTGATGACACAATTGTGGAAATGTGCTTGAAGGCGGTTGGCAGCTGGGTGAGCTGGATTGACATTGGTCTGGTTGTGAATCAGACCATGCTGGATCTGCTCTTCCAGCAGCTTGGACGGGCCGAGAAACAAGAACTTCGGGAGGGAGAACAACGGGTGCGCGATGCAGCTATCGATGTCTTTACGGAGATCATTGGCAAGAAGATGAAACCCTCAGACAAAATTGAGATGATTGTCTTCCTGAACCTTGATACCATCATTACCCAGCTGTCCAACAGCCCCCCGCTACGAGAGTGCCGATTTACCTTCAAATACGACACTGATTTGGCAGAGACGGTTGCTAAACTTGTCAACAATACGGTCGTGGATATTGTACGAGTATTAGATAATGATGCTGGTCCCGTCAAGGAGCAGGCAGAAAACCTGTTGCAGGTCTTCCTGCCGCACATTTTGCGATTCTTCTCTGACGAGTATGACGAAGTTTGTTCGACTGTCATTCCCTGCGTCAATGACATGCTCACCTACATCCGCAAATTCGCCAAGACGAACCCATCTTTCGAGGAGCGTAACAAGCCTATCCTGCTCCCAATTCTCAAGGCCATTGTCGCGAAAATGCGGTACGATGAAACCTCAAACTGGGGCGAGGAGGACGAGCAGACAGATGAGGCAGAGTTCCAAGAGCTGCGCAAGAGATTGGGTGTCTTGCAACAAATCATCGCCTCGGCCGATGAGCGTCTTTACATCGATGCAATCTCAGAGGTGGTAGGAACAACTTTCGAGAATCTGCGCGCGTCCGGTGGGCAGCTTGACTGGCGTGACCTCGATCTCGCACTGCATGAGATGTTCTTATTCGGCGATTTGGCTGTCAGGGGCGGAAGTCTCTACATGAAGGGCGCTCCTACTGGCATGCCTGCGAGCCGTCTCATTGAGATGATGCTCGCATTGGTGGAGTCTGATATCCGATCTTTCACCCACCCCGCGACGCAACTCCAGTACATGGAAATCTGTGTTCGCTATAGCTCTTTCTTTACTCACCACACTCATCTCATCCCCGGCGTTCTGGAGAGCTTCCTCCAGCTTGTGCACCACCCTGTTCGGAAAGTCAAGACTCGTTCTTGGTACCTGTTCCAGCGGTTAGCCAGACAGCTGCGTAGTCAAATTGGCAACGTAGCACAGAATGTCGTAGAGGCATTGAGTGACTTGTTGGTTATCCACGCTGAGGTGCCTTCGGAGGGCGATGATGGCGACGAGATGTCCTCTGAGGACCACGAAGGCTCCGCAGACGCCGTCTTCAACAGTCAATTGTACCTCTTCGAGTCTGTTGGAATCATCTCTTCGACTCCGGGCGTCGGTGCAGACAAGCAGGTTCTTTACGCCCAGTCGGTGATGAGTCCTGTCTTCGGTGATATGGAACGTAACCTCGAAGCCGCCAAAGCAAATGACGAGCGCGCACTACTGCAAATTCACCACGATATTATGGCTCTAGGAACTCTCGCCCGTGGCTACTCCGATTGGCAACCGGGCACCAGCTCACCCTCTGTCCTCCCCGCGCCAGAGGTCTCAGCAGCTTTCGCCCAGGTGGCCGAAGCGACCCTGGTTGCGCTTGAGTCTCTCAAAACCTCGTTCAACATCCGCACTGCTGCTCGCTTTGCGTTCTCGCGCCTCATCGGCGTTCTCGGCGCTCAGATTCTCCCTCAGCTACCCCGATGGATCGATGGACTATTGACTCAGACCTCATCTCGCGACGAGATGGCATTGTTCCTCCGACTTTTGGATCAGGTAATCTTCGGCTTCAAGGGAGAGATTTATAGCATTCTTGACACCCTCTTGACGCCTTTCCTGCAGCGAGTGTTCTCTGGTATTGCGGACCCAACGACCGGCACTGATGACGAGATCCAACTTGCCGAGCTGAAGCGGGAGTATCTGAACTTCTTGTTGGCAGTGCTGAACAATGACCTGGGCAGTGTCATTATTAGCGAGAGGAACCAACCCATGTTCGAAACCGTGATCACCACTATCGAACACTTCGCCAAAGACATCGAAGACTTCACAACTGCCAAGATGGCATTCTCCGTGTTGGGCCGCATGGCAGCCTGCTGGGGTGGACCGGACATCGCCCCTGCGCCTGCCAATGGCGCCGCACCCGCCCAAGCCGCACTCCCCGGCTTTGGTGGATTCATGATCACCCGGTTCTCGCCCCTCTGCTGGGCCCTCCCCACGACGCCAAACTTCAACTCCAAAGATGCGCAAGCCAAGCAGGTCCTTGCCGAGGCTGGCGGTTTGCAGCGCACCATCTACTCTAAGACAGGCATGGAATATGCGGAATACTTGCGTAGCCAGGAACTGCCCGGCATGGGCATGGGTGCCGATCTCATCGAAGAGTTCCTGGGCGCATTGGGCCAGCTGGACGTGAAAGGGTTCCGGCAATTCTTCCCGGTACGTTCATCTCCTATCTCCTTTCTTTATTCATGCAACTAACACACCCTTTTACAGTCATTCATCCAACGATTGAGCGCATGAAGTTTCCTTTTCTCCCTCTCTCTCCCTATCTGCTTTCTAGATTCCCCCATTCCAATATCATATTTACGTTTTGACGCTACGAGGTGATGTTTGTCCTCATGTCGCCCTGTGACTTCGCCATCTTCTATATCATCTATTACATCTCCAAGGATTTGCGATCCCGATACCATACTTGTCCCAGTGCTGGATCAAACTCGAGCGAGCAAAACAGAAAGAACCAAAAATAAATTCACCTGATCTTCAAAAAAAAAAAAGTCCCAAGTATATAGCGTTGCCAGCTTGCTTCTTGTTTCCCACCGACCCTGTCCCATGATGCATTCGCATTGCAGAGTCAATCTGCGTTGTCCTCCAGCCCATTCTTCCGCACCAAACCCATAAGATAAAACAGAAGTGATATCCTTTTCCCAGGCCTCTCTATGCGTGTGCAATGGGCAAGTAGAATATAAAATAAAGTGGCTCTGAGTCACGAACATATACCAAAACCCCCATCCAAAAGACTTGAGATCTCAGCACCTAATACCATTTTCAGTATCGTCCTAGATCAACAAGCATTGGCTATGGTCTAGGTAGAACACTGTAGATTCCAAAAGCCCCCAGAACATGATCAACTAGCCCACTGGAATAAGCCCATCATTCCCACTCGCAACACCATTTCGTATTCCTACAGAATATCCACGTCAACAAACAACAGAAAGAACCTCGAAGAATACCAATCCCTAACCTTGTAGTCGCGTCACAGGCTCAATACTAAGCTTTAGCTCGTATACTCAGCCCATCACCCCTCATCGTTCATATTCGACATACCACCAAAATCCGAAGAAGTTGCCGAACCGTTGACAGTCTTATATATACCTTCCAGCCCAGGAAGACCAAACCCAACCCCCATTTCCCCGTATATGTATCTCCAAAGCATCGATCCGGCCACCGGGTTGCCACCATTTCGCACGAGCCCCAGATCTCAGCGGCATCAGAGATGGCAAAGAAGTCGTCATCAGCTCGCAGATCCGGACTCGATTTGCTCGCTGGAGGACCCAGGAAGCCCGTCTTAATAGCCAAAAATGAAGACTCCGTACCGGTTTCATTTGCAACAGTATGCTCAAGAAATATCGGCATACTATTGACTCCCTTGTGGAGTCGAGGAGAACACGGTCGAGGCCGATATCGAGCCAAGATGAAGTTATGCGCAAGGACCGGCAGTCTGGATATACAAATGGAGGAAACACGGCGTGCAGCAGTTGAATAGTAGGAGATATCTTGGAACCGGGTCGTTTTTTTTGGTCTGCTTTGTTGAATGTAGGTGTTTGACTTTCGTGATCGCATCACTCCAGTCGATATTCCAGGTTGGGCTCTCGTTGTCGCTATCGGTGCGAAAGTTGGAAGTCGTTTGGTTGGGATCAAGGCATTTCTGTAAGCATCTGCCAGTTGAGGGATAATATATTTGAGAGCCATGTCCTGTGTGTTTGACCCTCATGTGGTAGGACCAAGTGGAAGGAGGGTATACGAGGTGACTGGTATTTTGTTGCAAGGATTTGGCAGTTGAAGAGTAGGAAGACGGAGATACGTTGAAAATTGAATTCTAACAGGAAGTATAGGTTTATTGATGAGCACCTATTGCGGATTGCGGGAAAGAGAAAAAAAAGTTATATATATCGAGGAGAAGGTAGTGAATTCTCCAAGAACAAGACACTTGCTAATATAACCCATCAGTCCTCAACCCTGAAGTCCAAGGCACAGAGAAGCAAACAATTCCTGCTCACAGCTCTTTATATCATGGACCTAACAGCCTGTTGCTCGCTGAGCACAAGAAAGAAAAAGCCCATCAGAAACAGTTTACAAGAAGGGATATACGACCAGACAAGTGAACATTGACATTTTCCTCCCCTTGAAACCGAAAGGGAATTTAAGAGTTAGGAGAAGAGCCACACACTATGCAAAGAGATACTTGGCCGCATGCTCAATGTGGTCATCCGCAAAAGTAGCCATGGTATAGTAAGAGTGGTCATAGTCGGGCTGGTAGCGGATATTGAGGCCGGTGATGCCTGCGTCGCGGGCTGCGGCTTCGAGGTTCTCAGGAAGAAGTTGGCCTTGCTTATAGAAGTTGTCGCCGGTGCCCTAGAAGCGAGTTAGACGTTGCCTAAAAACATAGTGGAGAATGGAGGTGTAAAGAAGACTTACGACATCAATCAGAACATCCAGAGGACCGCCGCTCCACTTCTTAATCAACTCGGTAGCATCGTGCTCCTTCCACTTATCCTGCTGGTCATCGCCAAAGTAGCCCTTGAATGCCTTCTGGCCCCAGGGGCAGTTGATCGGGTTCGTGATGGGAGCGAAGGCCGAGACGGACTTGTACTTGCCTGGGTTGCGGAGGAACTGGCGAATTGGTTAGCCTTACTCAATGTAGAATAGATGTGCTTGCTTCTATGTAATATAATTCCAGGTCTTCCGAACAATACCAGGATAAATAGCGTAATACTTACCAAAGTAAGAGCACCGTGTCCACCCATACTGTGGCCGGTGATACTAACGCGGCTGGCATCCAACTGGGGAAAAGCAGCAAAGACAGTCTTCGGCAGCTCCTCGGTGACGTAGCTGTACATGTTATAACCGGCGTCGTAGGGGGCTTTCGTGGCATCGACGTAGAAGCCAGCGCCGGAGCCGAAGTCGTATGCATCATCCTCGCCTTGGATGTTAAGGCCGCCTTTAATCGAATAAATACATTAGTGGTTGTACTTCTTGTCTCATGCAAGGATTATATATGACTTGGAATCGAACTGGTGCAAAGCAATCCAGATAGAAGGACATACGTGGGCTGGTATCGGGGTACAGCACGGCGATTCCCTTCTTGCTTGCACCGTGCTGGAAGAAGCCCTTCTCGGAGCAGTTCTCGGCGGTGCAGGTCAGGCCGGAGAGGTAAATCAACACGGGGACCTTCTGTGTCTGAGCTTGAGGAGGCAGGAAGAGGTTGAATTTCATCTCGCATTTTGTGGTGGTGGCGGCATGGCTCAGTTTGAGGAGCTTTCCGCCGAAGGAGGCAATGGTAGCGTTTGTGGTGACGGACATTGTCGATGTGTTACTCGTAGAACAGGGTGGAAGGGGAAAAGGAAGTCGGAAAAACGAGGATTGACGTTTTTATGGTGGGGAAGTGTCCCGCATGAGGGGAAAGGTCCACTATGAGCACTTGGGCTGTACTTCGAGATTCATATTCCCAGGGATGCTGGATACTAGTATCTAGTGATGTGTCCTTGTGGATGTCTAGTGCTAGCTGGGAACTCCATCGGACAATATAACACATTCATCCCCAGATTCCCGTCTAAACAATGTTACTATATGCATTTGTGTAGAGCCACAGAAGGAAGATATATTACAACATTAATCATAGAGTCAAATCAGATTGCTGCCCACAGTGGGGAAAACGCCAAGGTATATGTACACAGGCAAAAGAAAACAAACATCGCTCATTTACTCCAAAAACACCGGGACTCCGTAGACGACAGGCGCCGCACCGTTCAGATACTTCAACACACACGCTGTGCGAGAGCGCGCAACTGCCGCATCAAGTCCGACATCTTCTCGGTCCTTATCTTTTTTATCTTTCTTCTCAACGAGACCCCAGGCATCAAAGGCGGTGGTTGTAAACCGATCAATGTCCCGGTCCGTAACATCCCACAGTGTGGCCACGAGCGCCGGACTGCCTGCATGGAGATAATTCAGCGGCGTGCCGTAGGGCTCATACTCGCCAGCTTCGGTCAAGGTGCCACTGCTACATCCCATAAGGAAGGTAACAGCGCATTGTGTGAGCCGCTTGACTGTGCGGCCGCGGATGTACTGGGCGCCGCTGCCGTGGCCGAAATAGAGGAAGAGACCCTTTTTCTCGAGGCAATCGCGGAATTCGTCTTCGGTAGGTTCACGCTGTACGACTGCCGTCCAGGATTTGAACCGCGAGAGATCTTGCTCGAATGTTGTCTGCGTTGTGAGGAGATCGCCTGTCGGATTGAGGACATACGCGCCCGACTTGCGGTCCACGATGGCCCCGGATGATGACTCGCGGAATTGGAGAACTCGGTCCCGGAGGCACTCGAGGGATGGGACACGACAGACAGGGTATCCTTGAAGACAGGGAAGAGATTCCCATGGGAACAGATGGAGGGCTTTGTCAAGGACGAGAATGGTGTGTTTCGGTGGCCGTGCTGCAAGCTCATCGCGTGCAGCTTCATGATAGCATCGCAAGGCATCAAGAGTGTCGACGACCATCATGTCGAAGTCAATCTCGTCGTAGGCATTGCGCTCGCCCTGGAACTGTAGGATATCCACGACGAAATAAAGTAGATCCATCAGCGTATCTTCGGGCTCTTCTTGCTCCTCAAGATCACGAAGCCCGACGAACAAGTCCACTACATTCTGATGCAGGGTGAGCCGGGGTCCGGCGGCCTTGCCGCCTTTTTGTCGAGAAGGAAGATGCTTGTCAAGTATGTTTTGGAAAGTGCTTGCGAACCGGGCCAACGCGGTCGTTTCCCGCGACAGCGGCGAGAAAACGCCGCGGAATCCACCAAACCAGATATTCTCGATGTTCTGGAGGACACTTTCCATCCGACGATCGAGGGCTTCGCGGGTCTTCCACCATTCCTTCTTCGAGAGCTTGTCGGTCTGGAGCTTAGCTGCATGGGCACTTTCGTTGGCCAGCTTGATGAGTTCTTGCATCTCCCCTTTGCCATCCTCAAAAGTAAATTGCTCTTCATCGTCATCTTCCGAGTTACCTCGGTGGAGGGGAAGGCGCAAAAGGAACGGGGAACGGTCCTTCTGAAGCCGCGAAACCACAAATTCAGTTTGGTCTGCACTCAGTGACAGAGAGAGGACATTCCAGCTTTCGGGCAGAATGTCGACGTAGTCCTGTGTAAAGTTGGAGCAAAGGTCATCATCCAGCTCGACAGCCGAGGGGAAAGAGGTTGGCCAGAGAAGAGGGTCGGCGAAGTCAGCTAGCTGACGGTCGATATCAATAGCCATACGTTCCCGAGCAAATGCGCCAACACGTCCGATCTCTGGTCAAAAGGTTAGATACTAGTAGAACTAAATGGGTTCCGGGGACTTACCATTCATATTTGCGGGCGATTGAGCCAGAGTGGCTGGGATCCCGGGAGAAGTTGCATGCGATAGCATAGAGATTCGGCTCATCAAGCGTGATGCTGCGTGGCTATCAAGCGTTGAGCCTAGAATAGTGGCATCAGAGAAGACACTGGCAAGACAATCGCTTGCCTTGGAAAGCATGACTGAGAAGTCCTCGCTGGCCTTTTGGGCCTTGGTGCGCGAGGTTTTGGGTGCAGCTCTGGTTCTTCTAGTGGAAGGCTTCGCGGGTATGCTAGGCTCGATTGCCGTTTTGCTGGGTGTCTTGAGCGATGGCAATGAAATTGTAGATTCCGGTAGGACGCAGTACACGGCATGGCTGGCAAAACGGCGGATCGCATCAGCTAGTAGATGCTCGCTTTCGCCGATTTCCAAAGTGATCTTGCTTTCTCGAGCCACGGCGAATTGTCTGGCTTCCGCAAGCGTTTGCGCAGATCGCTCGAAATCACGCAGTTCTCGCAGACAATCAGCTTGCTGTCTGAGAATGTTGCCTTTGAGTTGTAATAGGGACTTAGATTCGACTTCAGGTAGAGTTGGTTTTGGAGCTGGTGCTTTCTTGGTAGTTTTGGCGACAGCGGAACTCGTTGAACGAGTCCGCCGCGTAGTAGTAGTTGTGGTAGGGGTTGGTGTTCGTCGACTGCTTGCTCTGACGCGTAGCTTGTCCATCTTTTCTTCAATTTCAGCCACGCCTGACGCCTCAAAATTTGCAGGCGTATCGGCAGAGGCAAGAGCAGTGATTATTTTGTCTGCTTCAAGGAGAACGCGAAGTGCTTTGTCGTGAGCGCCTTGTATTTTATACAAGGACGCAAGTGCCATTTGGAAGGACACGGTTTCAATACTTCTTTGAGTTTGTTTAGACGACTCAGCTGCGGCAGAGAGTTGATCCTGTCCCTCATCCAAATGCCCACTAATGATCCAATGGCAGCCGAGCTGAGTCTGCGCCGCAAGTAGTCGTGCATTGGCATCGAGAGTCTTATCAATCTTCAGAGCCTGTTCGGCGTAGTAGATAGCATCCTGGAACAAGCCATGGTGGGCAGATAACGTGGCGAGATTCAACAAACACGTGTGGTGGGAGCCCAAGTGCGGCCAGAAAGGCGCGCCTTGAATATAGCTGGCAGATACATCCGGGGAAGATCCCTTCTGAGACAAATCAAGCTTGGCAATACCATCAGCAACAGCCTCAACTTCAGAGCTTGCTGCAGCAGGCAACAATTTGTCTTGCTTTCTTTGAGCGAGCCGCTCAACCTTGGCCCAGATCCGGCAGTTCAATCTCACAGACAGTTTCGCGAAGTAGAGAGCTTGGGTAGCTGAGCCCTGTGCGGAGAATAAACGGGACTGAACAAACGCAGCATCTGCCACTAGTCTCTCCCAAGAAATCTTCGAGAGGACACTCAAGTTGCTCAGCTCTGACTTTTGGCACTTTTCATAGAGCGCATGGGCTGTCGAAAGAACATCTGCCGCTTTGTCGGGTTCTCCAGTCTCCAATAGGTATTCCACTCGTGAAACTTGATAGGAAATAGTGGCGAGAGATGATACCTTAGTTTGAGCAAGATACTGTTCGCCGCGCGAGAGCAGTTCAGCTGCCTTTTGACAATATCCCAGGCGACAATTTTGCAGTACCAAGCGTGACAGAATGATGATAGCATCTGACAGATCTCCTGATTGCTGGAGCTCGGCAGCACGCAAGATCAGTTCCAGAGTGCAGAGTTGAGCCTTCCAGAGCCCATGTATTTCTGTATAATCTACTAGGGCTTTCAACTGCAAAACCCAGTAGTCTGTGTCGCTGATGCAAAGCAGCATTGTTTTCCATTCACGGCATTGACGAGCCAATGAAGTCCATGACGCAAGTGTATCGTCGAGTTCACTGGGATCGATCTTGCCGCGGTGGAAGCCAATGATGATACGCAATGAGTTACAAATATGGATTGCAAACGAAGCGAGCTCAATGTCATCTCGAACCTGTACGCCTGCATCCAATGCTTCTTTCCCTGTATTCAACAGAGTTTCAATCATGGATGAATCCAAGGCGGTAGGGTGCTCCAGTAGAAGCCGCAAGGCAGAGAGAATCACACGGGAATGACGAATGGGGTAGGTGTCGAGGGGGTAAAGATCGAGTAGAGAGGAAACAGCCGATCCAAGCATTGAGCGGAACTCTTCTTCGTTCAAGGCGTAACTGTGCATGTCCACAAGCAGGTTCATCTGCCACTCCAGAAGCAGACCTCTCTGTTCAAAATTCAATTCGCTATCATCATAAACAGCAGAAGAGTGAGATCCCTTCCTGCGCAGCTTCATCTTTAGAAGGGCGGAAAGTACACGACCAAGCATGAAGCCAGGGCTTTTGGGATCCTGGTTGACCATACTTGGATTTTGTGCCCCACTGCTTTTGACGATCTGCTCTAGGGTGCCAGAGAGAATGTATTCTTCAATTGACTGTCGGAACATCTTCTCCGATTCACTGTACATATGGCCGTCGAGGTACAGGTGAGCCATTCGTTCGAACTTGAGGGCTGCAAAGGCTGTGTTGCGTTGAGAAGGTGAGCAGCTCGAAAGCAGCTGGGTGGATTGTTTGAGAAGGGGAATAAGTTCTCGAGAGCCCTGTCCAGCTTCTTTTGCCTTGATGTATCGAGACCAAAATAGGTTTGAAAGTTTAACCAATGCCATCCCTAGATTTTCTGTCGTCTCTGTGCTTTGTCCATCGGGATTTTCAATAGTCGAAAGTAGGCGGTGGCAATCGGACAGAATGGGAAGCATGTCTTCCCAAGGTGGCCTCTGGGACATGATAGAAAGCTTCCCAATGGCGACAGTTGAGTCGATGGCAGCAAGAATGATGCTTCTAGAAATTTCAATGCGTTTGTTGAATATCTCAACCTCCCTTTCGTCGCTATCTTCTGTTGGTTGTCGCCCAACATAGCGTCTGAGAAACCTGAGGAACGCTTGAAGATATTCCCTGATCTGGCCGGCAACCTGATTTTTCTCGCCTTCAGTCTCGAAACTTTGCGTGATAGCTTCTCCAAACCATGCAAGAGCCACCTTCTTCAGTCTTGCTGCCTCAACAAGGAGTTCGTCCAGGTCATTTGCGCTGCCTCTGAGTTGCAACCCTAGTGAGTCAGTCGCCTCTGACAGAGAGCTCAAAGAGCCTTTCAAGAACTTTTTCGATGTTTTCAGGGCTTGAAAATGGACAGATGCAATTTTGCATCGAACGGTAGCTAATGACAGACTTTGAGTTTTCGAGAGAGGATTGATAGCCTGGTTGAACAGCTTCATAGACTCATCAAAGCAGCCCGCGTCGAAAGCCAGCTGGCCGAGGATGGTCACAAGCTTGGCGGGCTGAGTGGCATTCAGTGGTTCTGATGATTTCTTAATCTCAGAAACCGATGTTTGGAGTCGGGTGACTGTTTTGTAGATTGAAGCAAACTCCACTTTCTCGATGCCCTTGCTACGGTGAGAAAAGTTGACAAAATAACGAAGCAAAGGGTCGAAGACTTCCTTGCCCTCGTCACAAACATGACCAGACAGCTTCCAGCTTAAACATCGAACCTCGAGGGAAAGTAGTTGCAAGGTTAATGATGTAATAGGCTTCAAACTATTTGATGCCTCGTCCTTTGAGAATGATGTGCCCGAACAAAGCGATAGAATGGTATTCGAGAGTAGTTGTAGTTGGAGAGCAGCTTTGTCATTTGAGAGTTGGCCCGATTTCAAGGCAGCCAGGATAACTTGGGCAGGGCTACTAGGATCAGAAAGTTGCAAAGAAGAGCAGACCTTCTGGATTGTCGAGGCTCTTCGATCCGCAGCAAACAGCCTCATCACATTCGAGTGGAACGGAACAAGCAAGCCGAACAATGGCTTCGCATTTGAGATGTGTGCAAACGTCAAAAGATCCGACATGCGTTCTTTTGCAACTTCTTCGTCCGTCGATTCCTTCGATTCCGGGCTTTTCTTCCCAGTCTTTCCGCGATCTAGATATTGTTGGATTCTTCGTTTCAACAGTCGTAGCTCTTTGTATGCAATGTCGTTCAGCCCCAAGGAAATAAGTTTTCCTGCAAGAACACACAGTCCTTGCTCCAGCTGCATGTTCGGGAATTGGTCGTTCCCGGCGTCGTTCTTAAGAGCGCGCAGTGTGGACAAAGAAAACCTGGCGCACTCGGCAGCGGAGGTAATGCCCGCGTCGAGGCCACTGGCATTTTCGGAAGAATTGTTTTGACGCTTTGCTGCAGAGGTTTTGGCCGCATCTGTAAGAGTCTTTAATGTGGCATTGAACACCTCCGTAGCGAAGACCAGCTTCTCCTGACACGACAATGCCGCCGCGTCATGATCGGCCAATGTTTGTAAGGCAGCCTCGCTCGTAGATTTCGTCTTGGTAGCGCGGGAGGTTCTCGTTCTCATCGGCGGTGCAGCGGCAGGTTCTCTGATGGATTTTGTGCGTTTCGTGGATTTCTCGGCCATCTTGGGCGGCGCGCGGAGGAGTGTTTGGAGGGACAACACGGTGGCATCTGAGCATGTCGTCGTTGAGCGGAGAGCCTGTTTCACTGACTCTGTTAGAGAGCTGCCCGGTAGGACGGTGACCGCCATTTGTAGTTTGTCGTTTAAATCAAAGCTGCAGTACTGAGGTCATCGCTCGCGTCGGGCCTTTGATGTGCAATCGCTATCGGCGACTCTCTAAACGGGGGTTGTCGCAGCAACAACAGCGCTATACCCCATTGGGCGTTGATAGCCTTATCGCCTGAGGCAATCACGACCTCAACTTTTCCCGCTTTCTTTAGATCGACCGACGCTACTAGACACGACCATGGCCGCAGTTTTCAGATTCAGGCCGTTCGGGCTTGGCAGACATATCTTCTCTGCTCCCTCTACGTTAAATGTGACCAGGCAATGTCGTGCCCCGGCTGGGCGCTCATATTCCACCTCCGATCGCCTTCCGAAGATCGCGGACACGTCAGTATGGACGGCGATGATTCCCCGGTTTATTCGCAATGGCAGAGCGCGCAAAGATCCGTCAAAAGAGAAATCTAAAGAATGGAACCCCGCAACGTTTTACATCATCATCTTTACTTTGATCGGCTCGCAGGCCATTCGCATGATCACTTTGAAGAACAGCTATGCGGCATATACTCGCACGACGGATGCGAAGATTGAGCTCCTACGGGAGGTGATTGCGCGAGTCAAGAATGGAGAAGCGGTCGATGTGGAAAAGCTGCTGGGAACTGGCGACGAGGCGAAGGAAAGAGAGTGGGATGAAGGTGGGTAACCCAGTTGTCCGGTTATTGCATTTCATCGCTGGGGTCTGACAATTTTGCTTTTATAGTACTGCGTGAGATTGAAGCCGAAGATTCCTTGTGGCATCAGAAGAAGACCGGCCAGTCCCAACCAGAGAAATTCGAAGAGCCCAAGACAGAGCAGAAGCAATCCACACAACCAGCGGAAGACAAGACCAAGGACGAGGCTGTCAAGACAGGGTCGACACGAAAGTCAAGATTCTATTGAATGGGGATTCAATTCCATTCTCATAATGAACGAATCTCTGTTCTTGGAGCTCTTTCATATAGCCATCTGACTCAAACTGACTCACCGAGGCACTATGTCCAATTGATCTCCTAGATCATGTTGGAGATTCTTCGATTCACAATATTTGGGTCTAGCATGTCCCAGGCACATGGACTGGGTCCATGACTGTCAATATCTCCAGGGAGATAAATGTAACATCACCTGTACAGGGAATCTTTCCTCGTCAGACTCAGATACCCGTTTGTGAGCTAGCGAATCACACTTCATGTACATATTCTTCTAGAATCGAGATAAACAACCCTAGAACTAGTCTTTATCTGGCGTAGATTCCATCATAACGACCCACAAGATTCCCTCAATTGGCGTAAAATAAGATATATCCACTTACTCAGTATAGAGATCTAAATTTGAGGAAAGTTGAAAGGACAGTACTAGTTGCCTGCATTTATATTTCCTAGGATTCAGAGACATGGTCATCCTAAGATGAATATAGATTGATAGGAACACCACAACCCCAGCTCTCTATGACAACCCACGCACCTTCTTTCCAAATCTATCTGCTGTTAATACAATGCACAAACAGGTTGATTTTCAAGAAACAAAGAGAAGACATCATGAAAAGAGGAATGCACATCCAAGACAAGCCCAACAGAACTACAAAGAGGGCGAACAAGGAAGGAAATTCGGAACAAGATTGAGAAAGATCTCATGCTAAATTGATGGAAAGAAATGCCTTAACCAAAATGAGAAATGAGAAATAAGAAACATATCGCTGAGAAAAACCAAAGACAAATGAAGATCAGAGTGATCAGAAATGACAGTAAAATGATAAATCTCGGAAGTCTATCACTTTTGTGAGCCCTGGAGGAACTTGGGCCAGTTCTCGGGCCGCGGGACCTGCACCCGGCCGATGTTCTGGTCAAGATCAAGGATGAGCTTGAGAGCGTTCCTTGAACGGAGATAAGGCAGGGGGGCCTTAGCACCCTGTCCGCCGACACCAGGCTCCACATGGCCTGTGGGTGTGATGGCATCGCCCTCACCGGGCATAGGGAGAGCCTTCTGCAGGACTTCGTAGGCGGCCAAGGTGAAACCGAATTGAGGTGAAGAACGCATGATACGGGCGGGTCCACCCTTGAAGAAGGCAGCCAGACCCTCCTCTTTCCAGATGGTGGAAGCACAGTGACGAAGGCCAGTGTACTTGGTATCACCCTTGCGAGCTTCGACCTGCAGACGGGTTTTGATGACGTCGCAGGGGGTGGTCAGGTAGGCGGCGGGCATACCAGCAATAGCACCGGCAGTGAGGAGCTGGAGGACGCCCAGCTTGTTGGTGGCGGTTTCGCCGAAGAAGTCGGACTTCAAGTGGGCGTAGGTGGGGAAGTAGATAGCAGAGAAGGGAACATCGCGGAGGAGACAGGCGCTAGCTCCCTTGTACAGGCCCATCAGACCCAGGTTCTTGACAATCCACAGGGCTGAGCGGCGAGGGACACCCTCCACGTTCTTCGCAATTTCACCCTGCACCTGCAGACGGATCTTGACAATCTCGAGGGGGTTGGTGAAGACAACTTGACAAGCACCTGCAGTTCCACCGGCCAAAACCTCATGGATGTACTTGATCCTGTGAGTATCCTTGTCTGTGAAGAAGCCGCGAACGAGATCGTTCACAGTGAGCTTGATAGCCTTCTCGGGCGCCACACCAATCAATTGAGGAATGACACCGGAGTACAGACCGGTGAAACCCTCATTGCGGATAACCTTCCTAGCGCAATCGATGGAGTTGTTGTACAGTCTTTCGCCGGGGCGACTAGAACGCTGATTTTGCAGGCGGGTCTTGACCAGGTCAATGGGGTAAACCATGAAAGCACCGAAAGCACCCGCAATACTACCAAGACCAAAGTGGTGTGCAGACTCCAAAACGCTGTGGAGCACGCTCTTGGTCTTCTCCGCAACCTCCTGTCCAGCAGAGGCAATTTGGCCAGCAGCCATCACAGGGATACGCCATGAGGCGTCAATGACCTTTGCAAAGTCTTTCTGCGAAAGACGCCCCGAGGGTGCATCCAGGCCAGCGAAGTGGAACAGAATATCGGCCTCCATGGGGGTGAACTGGGAGAAGCGAGTGACGCGAGCGGCCTCGTCCAAGAAGTCGGCGCGAGTGATCTTGCCATCCTTGCTCTTCTTTGTAGCCTCGCCCACAACCAAGTCAATGATATCCATTTCGCGCATGACGTTCTGGAAAGCACGAACGTTGGCATAGGAAATACGGTTGCTGGTCGAGATATTGCACAGGGTGGGAAGGTTCTCGAGGACATGGTCCGACAGCTTGTGTTTTGAGGTCTCGAGGATAATGCGCTGGAATTCTTCCGGTTGGATAAAGCCATCGCCGTCCTTATCAAAGGTGTGGAAAGCCTGTCGAATACGTTCACCCTGCAGACCGCGCAGCATCTGGGCGAATTGAGGGTAGGTCATGTCATGGCGACTCTTGGAGCGGCCTCCGTACAGCGAGGCCCATTCTGAGTGCCAATCGAAAGGAATGCTATCGGCACTCTTGTTGAGGTTATATAATCCCTCCACGGCGTCGAATTTGACAGTTCCCGTTCCATCGAAGTCGAAGAGACGGAAGGCGATCTCGTACTCGGCGTCGGGCTTCGCAAGGAGGTTTTCAAAAGTCGCCCAGTCGGCGAGGTTCAGCTTGCCGGCTCTCCGCCGGTCTGCCACGTTGAACAGGACACCATATTGTTCGCGCTTAATCTTGTGCTATTGAGAGGAAACCATATCAGCCATCGCGTTCAAGATTTAGGTACTTTTGCGTCCGCCAGTGGCACTTACATAGTCTTCCTGCTTGGGTGCCACGGCATTAATGAAGTCCTCCTGAGTCATGAACAGGTCGCCATTCTCGTCCTTTTGCGCATGACGAACGAAATTCGAACGCGATTGGTGTGACAACTGAGGCGACTCTGTGCTGCCCAAGAGCTGCTCTTTCACGCTGTCCTTGACACTAGCCATTGTGTATCTAAATCAACTGATTCCCTTCAAAAAAAAACCAAATCCAAAAGAAAGTCCCAAAATTGAGAAAGCTTGGGGAAAGAAGGGATTGAGGAGTGGAGAAGGGGAGGATTGAGTCAAAAAAAAAAATAATAAAACGGATGAATAAAAAGTTATGCTAATATAGGAATGATACGCTCTAGGCTTGGTTTTTCTTAGTTGATATACAACCTAATAGATATAGGAATCCGATTTACACTTGTTTTATTCGTGGCCACGTTGAATTTTTCAATTTTTTTTCACCTGAAGGCTTTCAATGGCGTTATTTACCCGGGCAGATCTTGGGGCCGAATCATAGTCTCTTTCCACCGATCTCCGCATGACTTCATTTGCCCGCCTCATTTGGTCTACGGGTGGTTTTCTTTCTGATTGTTCGAGAACAATTTGGATAACCTTGTTTCTAGGGGCATATCATTGCCACGAGCCACGGCCCCAGGGACCCGAACCAGCCGTCACATCCAGGGACGGAGGCAAAAAAAGACGAAAAGAAACGGGGAAAAAAATACAGTCAGCGGGCGACTTTCAAAGAAAAAAAACAACAATAAAAAAAACAACAAAAGCAACAACAAAAGCAACAACAAAAGCAACAAAAGCAAAAAACCATCTCTACGAACGAGAAGAAACCGGATGGATGCTGTCACATGGTCTCGGGACCGGTGAGAGCGAAAAGGCGCAGAGACGTCAAAGGCATCGTCCGAGTTCGGTGCGGAGTCAATGGGGCGAAGAATTGGAGACCCTGCTTTTGATTGGGCTCCTTCGGGTCCCCCCTCTCTCAGTTTTCCAGAACTCGGTAGCTCGGCTCATCTCCGTTGTATGCGGAGCATAAGATAGGATCTTTAGGCATAGACCGGTATACCTCTGTCCCCCATACAACATACCTCAACCATCGAGAATGTTCCTTGATTCTAGACTGGGACGCGTAAACTTGCCTCGAAGGTGCTCCTTATTCCTATAGTGCACGGTTCTCCCCGCAATGACAAACTCAATTGCTCTGAAGTTGGAGAAAATAGAGTATCTGACGTCTACTATGATAATCGGTATCCTCCGGAAGAAAAAGTCGTACGTGGTTCGGAATACCCCGCAGGTGTTCAATATCAACTGCGCCATAGCGGTGTGTAGCTATAACACCCGAGCACATCTCGATCTCCTTTTCGCCTTCCCAGGCATTCACCGGGAGCCAAGCATATCCACGTTGCCTCAGGCAACTCAGGCGCGGGCTTGGCAGGATTTAAGATCTCCCGATGGGTCTGATGTACGGAGGACCTTGTGGTCCAATCTATCATACGGGGTACTTCTTGAGGTCATTTCAAACCTCACTCAATTCGGTGACTATGGATTGCTTCTCTTTGAAATCAACGACTGCATGCATATCCGCACCGCCAAGGTATTCTCCCTCCGATAGTTGTGAAAGATACTTCTTGGCTCCTGCTTGAGCAGGTCGAAGGTTTGTACGGAGTAGCTGGTGGGGAGAGGGAGATGGCCGAGGTTCTTTTTCTCGGACGTCTTCCACAGCAACGGCATCAAGCCTGCGATCTATAGCTTTATAAATTTATTCCTGTTTGATTTTGTCTACCTTTCACCTTCTACAATCCACTTCCATAGACTGAATTCAAAAATGGATAGGCTCGGTGTCTATACCTAACACACGGAGAGATAGAATTTTCAAATCCCTCGTGGGACTAATCTACCTGATTGATATGCTTACATAGATACTGGGAGAACAAGAAGCTTGTTTGACAATGGAAATTGTCACTACTAGGCCTTGTCCATCCCAATGTTCACAATACCCGAGTCAGCCAAAGCAAGTCACAGCCTATTCCAAACATCTTAAGCCCTGCCCCCAGCGGATAGTAGATCTTCCCAACACGCCATGAAAGCCTTGCCTGCCCAGCCTAAGCTCTAAGCCTCACAAATAGAATCGCATAGATTGCTTTGGGCTCATCGAAGCTCAAGTCAGTATTTTGGCCCAAACACCTTGTGTTTCCACGCAATCTATCAACATGTGTCTGTCCTGCTTTTCTAATTTTGGAACCAGGCATGTCGCTCAACCGTTGGTGCTTGCTCCATAGAGATATAGCTATTTGCTGGCCAACCTTTGGGAAGAAAAGAACCGAAAATATGCTTTATTCTTCTGATTGTTCCGTCACATTTGGGCCATATAGGATGCCTGTACACAATCCAGACGTAGTATGTCAATCACGCGTCCTTGATTCTGGGCTTTTTAAGGAGTGTATCCATATACTCCGTACGGGGTACGGGGCACGGGGTGCTCCTGGGCGAGATGTGCCATTATGCTGCATTTATCTACTACTCCGTAGATCTGGGTGAAGGATTCCCAAAATAAGAGCCAAACAGCCTGACAACCACCTAAAATAATTGAACATTCACCGTACCTTTTGCCCCCATAAGAAGACACGCCCAATGGGGCCATTTCTTTTCTTACTCTTCCAGCCTATTACTCCGCTTTCAAAGTTACAAATCCTGATCGCTGCCCTGAGCCGTGTGCTATCTAATTATAGTATGCCCACGGAATAGGTTATCCACTGTTTAGACCAATCAGTCCCATGGACGTCCAGTAGCGATGGCTATCACTGCTAGTCACTGTGATAATGCGGGGATGGCATCCAATAATGCACGGTTGCACATGATAGAAGTGTGATCTTCCTTGCCTATTGATAGTCCACGCAATACGGAGTACGGAGTACTCAAACTGAATTGAAGATCCAAACAAAGTGCGGTTCCAAGTGCAGTTGGCTGCAGGGGCTGCTCGCCACCTCAGCCTATCGCAGAATCTCAACATCCATCACATCACACTAAGTTGATGGGTCGTCAACCCGCAAAGATTCTCATTGGCTGCAGAGCACCGAAGCTTTCCAAAGTTAGAACCTCAAGTGTGTGATGGGGTAGTGACTTGTGCCCCGTTGTGCATAGCCTGGGCGCTTAGGAAGAACAAGCTGGCCCCCAGCCCTGCATCTCCCTTCTCTCAACTGTATATAGCCGCCCCCATCTGTCTCTCAGGAGATTATTTTTACATATTGTTTGAGATTTTTCTATTTTCGCTTCTTCTATTTTCGTACCGCGTTTCTACTTGGCTGGCCCAAGCGAGTTTTTCAACTCCTTCCTATCTACATTGACGTCAATAATTTATTTCTCTCCTTGCTTCTTGGGAATAACTTTGTTGATCAAAGTCTCCCTGTGAAATCCAAAAAAAACTTCACATCAATATCATCGTTGTTCTCCTAACCTCCCTCAACTATCGTGGATTCATCATTCGTCACAATGTACACTGCCCGTGCCGCCGTCAGACCAAAGCTCTCTCTGAGCATCTCTACTGCACAGAACGTCCCTCGGCCCTCATTGTCACTCAAGTCACCAAGTGCTCTTCCTCGCACACCTGTCTCACCCATTTCCGCCGCGAGCCCGACCAGCATGAGATTCTCGTCATTGCAAATGCCAAGTTACTCATACACAAACTCTTGTTCATCGAAGAGCATCCTCAAGAAGCAGCCGGCCTCGCGAGCGGGCGCTATTGACAAGCGCATTCAATTCCAGGCAACACCAACTGTTCACTGCGTGACGCCGATTGAAAATCCAGACGAATATTACGGCAAGCACATGAAGATGTCACGAGAAGAGCGCCGATGGACGGTTCGCCAGTGAGAGATGATTTGAGTTCTGTATCACTAATGACCGTCCACGGCCGGAGTAATGGCGCGTAATAAGGTTGCTATGAATGACTTGGGGGTTCAGCATGTCGCTTTTGCAACGGTGCCATTCAATACCTCGGGTCGAGTGCGGGTTGACCAGTTCACCCTCTCAACACCTAGGGTGCTCGACCATCAACAATCTCGAATTGAAATGCAAAGACCTAGAGATGACAGAAGCCAGGTACTCATTGATACTCTTGGTACGGCTCTCTGAATGATTGAGCTTTCTCTCGCGCTTCATCGAAGCCCAGAACCAGTCAACATCCTCCGGGCTGCTTCGGGCTGCTTGAAAGCATGTGTACCGCAAATCCTGTGGCTGAGAAGAACACGAGATATCAATGTTCTGGAGGAACAGCCATATATATGACGTTATGATGGGACCTGGATTGATGATTTTGATTTGAGTACAAATGTTTTAACCTAGTCGATCGTTATCGCAAATGCAACAGTGTTCTCAGCCCTACATGGACATTGCCAAGATTCTAAAGTAACTAGCAGATTCAAGACCCGTATATATATGTACTCCGTAGTCCTTAGCTCAAATAGTGCAAGGAAATGATTACAGATTGCCGTTTTGGTACCTGTTTTAGGGCACCGTTCGAGGGCTTCTCCGGCCCGTGCGCGTCCGATCTTTTTCGCCCCTGTCGCCGGTCTGTATGTGAAGCATCCTACAAATGTTATTCTCAGTGGCCCCTGCTGCGAAATTTCGCAGATCTGCCCTCAATGCGAGGCGATGTCTAGCCTATAGGCGTGGTTTACTCACGTTGGCCATTGAAACGTCATGGTAAGCGGTGGTGGAAGTCCGTCTCGGAAAGTCCCCAACTAATTGATTGCTACCAACAGTGACGACACATCAGTAGCGATCGTTGAGAAAACAACCAAAGCGACCGGAAGTGCAGCTAAAATTCACTTCCTCGAAAATGTAACGGCAGACACGCGCGCGCATCGCGGCATTCACCCCATCATCGCCCTCGAATCCCACCAAGACCATCTTGCAAACCTCGTACAGAAAGCCCTCAACTACCTACCAGAGTCGAAAACAGGAAGCGGACTCAAACTTGCAGATGGGACTTATCGCCGCCTACCCGATTTCATATCCGCCACAAGAGGCCCCGGAATGCGGTCCAACCTATCCGTCGGTCTCGATACTGGCAAAGCGCTGTCAGTGGGATGGCAGATTCCCATGGTCGGCGTGCATCATATGCAGGCACATCTATTGACACCTCGACTCGTTTCATGTCTGGAAAACGAGGCCAAGCCCGAACCATCGACAATGGCGCCCGAATTTCCTTTCCTGTCTATCCTAGTTTCCGGCGGCCATACGATTTTGGTTCACTCCAAGAGTCTCACAGACCACAAAATCCTCGCCACAAGCGAAGATATAGCCATGGGAGAAGCACTCGATAAATCCGCACGAGATATCTTGCCTGCTACTTTGCTCCAGGAGGCCAAAAGTACCATGTATGGCAAGACGCTGGAGCAATTCGTCTTCCCGAATGGCAAAGGTGATTTCGCAGATTACTTGCCTCCAGATTCCCGGGGCAAAGAAATAGTCAAACGCAAAAGCGAGTGGGGTTGGTCTCTTACCACTCCATTCGCGAATACGCGGATGCTGCAGTTCAGCTTCTCTTCGATTTCGAGCATGGTCGGGAAGATCATTCACAGTAACAGTGCGAATACTGAGATGTCGCATGCAGAGCGTGTCGATCTTGGTCGAGAAGTAATGCGTGTCTCTTTCGAGCATCTTGCCTCGCGGACTGTCATCGCCCTGGAAACTCTGCGCCCGCACAACACCGGCAAGGATGAGATCAAGACTCTTGTTGTCAGTGGCGGAGTCGCTGCCAACCAGTTCCTTATGAAAGTTCTCACGTCATTCTTGGATGTGCGCGGCTTCGGCAAGATCAAGATCGTGGCTCCGCCTCCATACTTGTGTACAGACAATGCAGCCATGATTGGATGGGCGGGCATTGAGATGTTCGAGGCTGGCTTCCGATCGGATTTCAGCTGTCGTCCTCTGCGCAAATGGACGCTTGATCCGCAAGCAGACGATGGAGGTATCCTTGGCCCAGGAGGCTGGATCCGAAATTGAGCATTGCAGTTCGAAGGCTACATAGTATGTATTTGTATATTAGTGACATACCCCGCTGTACAATAGGTCGTATAAGACATCGCAATCTCCTCCCCAAACATTTCGTGATGCAGCACATGAATTATAATGAATCAATTGTAAAATAGAGCAATAGTGCATTATTGACATGTAAGACCCAGAATCATCAGAGACGCCGATGCCATGTAACCTCCGAATCCACTCATAATCCATGCATCCTCCACAGTAGGGTATCGAAGATGCGCCGTTGTAACCCCTGAAAACGAACCAAACTCGCGACCAACCGACTGTGCAATGCAAGTACTTTGAGATAATGAAGTCGTAATCGTCGTGATTAGCCGCCGACAGGGGGGCCGGTTCGCTGCAGCGCAGCAATCTGTTTTCGAAGCTCCAAGAAGAAGTCCCTCCCGTTTGCCATGTTTTGCGCTGTAATGAGGTTAATACTTGCTCAAGACCATGCTGTGATTCGAAGGGAGAGTGTACCCTTGGGGCCCCAGGCAGCGGATCGCTGGTTAGAACCGTCCTTAGAACCGTCCTTAGGACCATCCTTAGAAATAGGTTTGTAAAGTGTTGATTTGCCCTCTGTAGTAAGGGCGCATGAGTTAGACTTAAGCATTCGCAAAATTAGCGATAGAGCGTACCTGCAGATCCTGTTGTATTGCAAGCCGTTGGTCAGCCTTGTACATGCCGATCGAACGCGACCACCTACCCTTCTTCAGAATATTCTTAACCTCTGCGGTGTTGAAGCCTCGTACGGGGACGTGTTGTTCCTGTGGAGGGTTGGATGCGCTCCAAGCAGCATTGTTATCACGTGCGCTTGCTTGTCCTCCTGTTTTATCACGATTGTTCGAGTTGCGCTGTGACGCCTGACGACTGGGTCCACCCCGCCATCTTAGCAAGACAGTAACAGTTAGCGGCGATGGAGCGGATGGTGTTTGGAGTGGCGAATGCGTACCTGTTCTCGCTGGAGCCGCTCATATTGTAGATTTGTGCAGAAATGGGAAATCAAAGCTGAAGCGAAGAAAGAAAGTTGCAAATGTTAGCTCTGAGGGGACAGCTGTGTCAGGTCTCATGTCAAGCTGTGGAGTGTTTGGAGCATATTGGCGCCTCAGGCCAACTGACCTAGACAGCTCGGGTGTCTCCGCCTTGACCAGATAACAAAACACCTCATCGCGCCTCTCAGCTTCCACGGGCTTTGGCGTCCTCTGCGTCCTTTGCGCCCATTCATTTCGGTTCTGCTGTCGCATGACTCCACACTCGCAACTTTGATATTCCCCCGAGGCCCTGCCCGAGTCGGCCTCTGCACGCGACCTGACGCCGTCCGATTAACAATCACCAACCCCAACGATCAACATACACATCCGAAAGCTCGGTCTTAAATTATGGCACCGTCAGCTAGACATTCAATCCCTGGTCGCCCGTCACGCAGTCGACCTAGGCCCTCTCTTAGAACATCCAATAGCGCCTCCTTCGACTCCCCTGAGGGACCTCCTACAAAGAAGCGAAAGTACGTTCCAGGTGGCCCTGGAGGAGGAGGAAGATTCGTCGACTTTGATGCTGCTGCTGCTGCCGCCGCTGTCGCTACTCAAGAATCACCTAAGAAAGCTACTACTCCGCGACGGCCCTCTACAAGTGGTCGGGGCCGTCAACCTCGTGAGATGGAACAACCACTACTGGCTCCTCCACCGCCACCCATCATACCGACAACACCACCCTCTATATCGCGTCCAAGGCGCGATAAGAACCAGAATCGCGGTCGCTTCCCTTCCTCCACAGCTGCTGCTCTCGCTCTACAACAGGGCGATGGATATAAACCACGTGAAGAACGCGGGTGGGAGGAGTTCCATCCTGATTTGGACATCGATGGCAAGCTTGCCGTCTTCACCTCTGAAGAGGTTGATGCTCCAGATCCCTCTGCTCCTGTCTTGAGCCTGGAGTCACTGGCTGGTGCGACGGTCTTGGACCATTCTGGATCTCCAGTGATCGTAACAAGTGAGATGGCAACTCCAATTCCAATCAAGCGCAGGCCTGGTCGCCCGCCGCGTCGTCCGGAGGCCATTCTCAATGCGCTACTTGCGCAACAGGGACATAAGATTATACCACCCCCGGGTCCAAATCCCCGGGAGAAACTGACATTGCCTAAGCCATCGTTTAGACTGCGTGACCCATTCACATTCTACGAGAAGAAGGGCATCGGGCATCAGAACTATGTTGACCGAACCATGGCAAACGTAGGGTATCAGGAGAGCGATTTGTTCCTTCGTCATGACCGGCGCTTTATTCGAATGACCGAAGGCACACAAGAAGATGACCTGGATGTGATCCAACCTGCGATGACGGAAGGCGATGTGAATACCACCATCGGACGTGTTGAGTACGACATGGATGAGCAGGACGAGAAGTGGTTGGAAGAATATAATGCCAAGCGACGTGAGGATCAGCTTGAGCCGATCAAGCCTGCTGTATTTGAGATCACCATGACCAAAATTGAGAGAGAGTGGCACGCCCTCGAGAAGCGCATTCCAAAGCCGAATCCCAAACCTCCACAAACTGGTCGTCTTCGTTCTAGCTCCGCGGCTGCAGTCAACGGCGAGACTGTCGGACCGGGCGAAGAACAAGATAGCAAGTGTGCTATTTGTGATGATGGTGATTGTGAAAATTCCAATGCAATTGTTTTCTGTGATGGTTGCGATCTAGCAGTACATCAAGAGTGCTATGGCGTCCCCTTTATTCCAGAAGGCCAGTGGCTTTGCCGCAAATGCCAGCTGCTGGGAAGAGGTGCCACTAACTGCATTTTCTGCCCCAATACTGAGGGTGCATTCAAGCAAACAACCTCCTCTAAATGGGCTCATCTACTTTGCTCTTTCTGGATTCCTGAAGTCTCTATTGGCAATCCATCTCTTATGGAGCCGGTGACCGATGTCGAGAAAGTTCCCCGCAGTCGGTGGAAGCTGAATTGCTACATTTGCAAGCAGCGGATGGGTGCGTCCATCCAGTGCAGCAATAAAAACTGCTTTGTTGCTTTCCATGTCTCGTGTGCACGTAGGGCTCAGCTCTACCTGAAGATGAAGATTGGTCATGGTCTTATGGATTCCCACCTCCTCAAGGCTTTCTGCGACAAGCATGTTCCTCCTGATTGGCGACTAGAACATGGTACCGATTCTGCGACTGCCGATGCCATCGAATATTACCGTGATACCATGCAGGGTAGGCGCTGGGGAGACAGCCAAGCTGCAGCACTCTCGATGGGCCCGGCACATCCTGATGATGGTGGGGAAGAGGACCGCACTCTCACTCCTCGCATCACTCTGACTGTGGGCGGAAATAAACGGAAGCGTGTTCCTCGAATGATCTGGAAGCTACCTTCCGGTGCCCCAGTTATTCCTCAGGTTGTATTAAACTCGGTGATTGCCTCTCTTGGGCGGTTTACGGTTCGCCAAAGAAAGCAATATGCCGAGGATGCTTCGAAGTATTGGACATTGAAACGAGAGGCCAGGCGTGGGGCAGCATTGCTCAAACGACTCCAATTGCAGTTGGAGACATTCTCGTCCATGGAAATGACACGAAGAGACTATGTAGCGATGGGTGTTCCCGGACATAAACGTTTGGAGCGTCGTATCGAGTTTGGCGAGCGTCTTTACAAGGATCTAGACCGATTAAGGATGCTATGTGATGAGGTGAAGAAACGAGAGAGGGAGAAGTTGAAGGATGCAGAGATGCTTCGTAGCATCGTCGATCTCGTCTACTTCCCTACGTTCCCACTTCTATGGCCAATTTTTGAGAAGGCCCAACTGTAAGACATTCGTATGCCTTACTCCCACCGACTTTACTGACTTTATCCCAGACTTGATGGCAAGGGTGTGTTTGCTCTAGGCTTGATGTCAATCCGGCAGAGGCTCAACGAACGATTTTATCCATCTGTTGCTGCCTTCTCCGCTGATCTAGCTAGCCTTTTTACGTCGGAAATTGGGGTTGAGCCCGCTGGCGACACCGCTGAACTTCAAGCGCAGATCAGCGGTCGCGCTCCAGAGCTCAGCCTGGAGCAACGCGAGAAGAGAAAATTGGCAAAGCGGATCATCAAGGTCATTCAACCTTCTCTGGAGGACGCGATTCGGAAGGAGAGCGAGCTGAACCGCAAACCATTCGAGAAAGAATTGAAGGAGCTAGATGTGATCCTCGACCACAGTTTGATGTCACGGAACGGTGATTCCGTCGAGCCAGAGGGAGATGCTGAGTTGGCTGCTCACCCTGATGCCATGGAAGGAGTCGAAGAACCTATCCTTACTACCGAGGTTCCATCCGAGACCCAGCCCGCTGCAGACGAACAGCACCCTGAAACATCTGGCCCAGAAGAACTACCGCCTGCTGAAGAAGCTATCAACAGCGCCCCCATCTATTATCGACACCCCACACCGATCTTGACTGAACAAGACCAGCAGCTTCCTTTGGCTTTGGGTGGCATTCAATGGTATATGCAGCCATTCGATCCTGTTGGCACGACTATTCACGAGGAACGGTGGACGGGACGTGATGTAATGCGTGGAATGAGCGAAGAGCTTAGTGAACTGGACGAGGACGAACTTGAAGGATTGAAAGACCTGGTGGATGATGGAGATATGAAGGTCGAGGCCATCACCAACTCTTCGGCTGCTCCACAACAGAATACCCGCCGGACTCGACGTTTGCGAGGCTCACGATGATAACTTCCGGGACATGCGGCGTGCATGGTTGATTCCCAACCCTGAGTTTAGCGAGGTGGTTTGGTTCAAGGAGTTGGAGTTCATGGAGTTCTGTGTAGTTCATATAGTTACAGGCAGCTTTTTACATGATTGCTTAAGTCTTGGCACAGTAGCTGTTTGTCGTAGTCATGACCCCCCTGCATGAGCTTGCAGTTTGTTAAAATTAGGAGAGAAAATATTTTATTCCCTCTGAAAACTGCTTCTTTAATTCACCTAAATCCACGAAGTTGTAAAGTGCGTAGTGTTGCATTTCTGCCTGAAACTTCGGGTGTAGCTTTGCTTAGCGTGTCTTATCAGCTTTCCAACTTCTCTTTCTTCCTTCTTCCATCCTACACCCTTCGGTCCTTTCACTCATCATGGCTGACTACGACAACGATTCCGGCCGTTACGCGGGTATGTGTATTACGTCAATTCTGATGCGCCTGAAGATATTCATCCTTTTTAATAGACGAGCCCCGGTACGACCGCGAGCGCAGCGCCTCTCCTCGCGATGAGCCTCGAGCCGACCGCGACCGTGCTCGCAGCCGCTCCCCCAACGGCCGCTCTGACGATAGGTTTGTATTTATCCGATCTATTACATCAATTCAAAATTAATCAACCCCCCGATAGAGCTCCTTTGGCTCGCAAGCCCGTCGAGGAAGAGGATGAAGGTGCCATCAACTCTGGCTCCAACCTCTTCGTCACTGGTATCCACCCTCGCCTGACCGAGTCCGATATTTCGCGTCTGTTCGAGAAATACGGCGATGTTGATAACTGCTCCATCATGCTTGACCCCCACACTAAGGAGTCTCGTGGCTTCGGTTTCGTGAACATGGTCACTGCCGAGCAGGCTGATGCCGCCAAGGAGGGTCTCCAAGGCGAGGTCATCGAGGGTCGCACCCTGAGCATCGAGAAGGCTCGCCGTGCCCGTCCTCGTACTCCCACTCCTGGCAAATACTTCGGTCCTCCCAAACGTGGTAAGTTTCATCATCCCTTTCCCCTTGCGACCCTCGCGCAATGCATAAGCTTACGTGATTTTTTTCTGCTTCGTTCAGATGGTCCTGGTGGTCCTGGTGGCCCTGGTGGTCGTGGCGGCCCTCGCCGTGACCGTTATGATGACCGCCGTGGCCCCGCTGGTGGTGGCTGGCGCCGTCGCGATGACGACTACTCTCGCTATGGTCGCTACGATTCTTACAACGACCGCCGCGATTACGGCCGTGACTATGGTCGTGACTATGGCCGTCGTGACTACGGTGGCGGCGGTGGTGGTGGTCGCGAGTACGGTGGCCGTCGTGAATCGCGTGATGACTACGGATACCGCGGTGGTGGTGACCGCTACGGTGGTGGTCGCGATGACCGTTACGCCCGTGAAGATCGCCGTGGTGGTGGCGGTGGTGATGAACCTCGTGGCGGTGGCGGCGGCGGTGGTGGTTACTACGATCGTGATGCCAACCCTCCTAGCTTCGATGCTGCCGGTCCTCCCCGTGAAGCTCGCGACCCCTACGCTGGTGGTGGTGGACGTTCCTACGAAGGCCAGGCCCGCAGCAGCGCTGGCGGCGGCGCTGGTGGTGAGGATCGGTATGCTGGCAGGTAAAGTGTCACCCTTTATTTTCTAACCAGAACTGGTCTTTGATGTCTCTTTGGTTTCTGGTTCCCATGTTTTACCAACTGCCCAATTCTCACCCCCTTTTTTTTCTTTGTTCCTGGGATTGTTTTAATGCGGGATTTGGGTGACGGGCCACGGGGCGTCGCTTGTCTTTGTTATGTCAATTGCTATCGGATCTCGTCTCAACGATTGAAAAAAGATGAAAACAAACGGAGCGCCACGACTCGGCAACTTCATCGGCTATTGCACACTTCGGTCGCTTGATGATGTGTCTCTTTTATGTCTGTTGGCGACGCGACTTCGGGAAAAAAAACTTCTAGCGGCAAAGGGAAAACAATTTTCGCTGTAATTCGGTTATCTCAGGGGTCAGCAAATTCGTCACACAGCTACAGCTACACCTTCACCTTTACACCATCTCCAGTAACGGCTCGATTGTATTCGACTTCTCTAAACAACTGAATGATCAACCATTCGCCTTCAAAGCCGTCGACTTTGCGCTTGTAGTCTCGACCTTAAAACTGCAGGTCTTAATCGGTCCTGTTGACAATGCCCATTTGGTCATGAAGGTAAGATGTGATTTGCTAGCTGACCTCTAGGCTTTTGGCGCACCTTCCAGGTTTCTTATTTAAGCCCTCTGTGTTTTCCCAAACGGTTCATGCTTGTACTAATCCAATTTGGAACATCCACCCCCAAAGCCGCGCATCAAAGATATGTAGCATCCACACTCTACAGGGACTGGCCTTCCTAGACTGGTCTGGAGTTCCAGCAGGGGTCACGCAGTCTTCGGAAGGTGAGTATCAACTCTCCCCTGGGAAACACCAGTGGACCGTATCTTTAACTTTAGGGCTGTGTACTATTTGTGTTATTGAACCGACCTCTAGCCTGGCTTGTATATAGAAAAGCAACCCAATGCGCTTCACTTCCTCGGAGCTCAATCTGTTAGCTTTGTTGACGTCTATATGCTTTTTTTTATATTCCCGGAGGCCCTCACGCTCTTTGGCATATCGTCTGTTCTTTCTGTGTGTATATCGCTGGACTTAAACTCGATAACTCGTTGGTCGTGTCCTGTCTACGTACTTGTCCGTTTACACGAAGATTTTAGTTTATTTCAATTCCACTAGTGAAAACAACACAGCAGAGTCTAATGGGAAGATAGTTATAGATATTGACCGGTGGGGGTATCAAATGGTGAACGTCATAGTATACATCAAGGTAGCTGACGACCCAACGCATGCTTTTAGAATAAAACCCATGAGTGTCTCGAAGGACAAGAGCCAAGAAAAAGAGAGAAAAGAGAAAGAAAAATCCAACTCCGGCCAGTTGATCAAGCACCATCCAACGCCCAATAATCCTCTTGCTCTTTTACTCCGCGTCCTTCTTGGTCTCGCCCTCTACCTCATTGCTCTTTTGGAGCAGGAACTCGCCGAGCACGCGGAGAGGGTTGGCAGGTCTGGCGAAACAAAAGCAATATAGATTAGTCAAGCCATCCAGAGATGTAGTATCAAAAAGGCTAGCTAGCCATGACGCTTCACTCACTGGTCCCGCGCAACAGACTTCATCCCGTCAAGCAGATACGGCACGACCTTCTCATTGAGGTAGACCCGTGCGGGCGCACCGCCGGGGCGAACCTGGCCTGCGGAGATATTGTTTAAATCGCCAAGAGGCGTGCTAGAGCTGCCGTTTGTCTCGCCCATTGCGGATGCGGATGTGGGCTTAGGTTGGGGTGCGGTGGTGGAAGCTGAGGTGGGGGCTGAGGTAGGTGGATCTGAGATCGCGAGGTTGGAAGGCTGAGACACGTTAATTGAGAGCTTGGAAAGTATAATGTGTATCTGGTGCGAGGGAGAAATGCGGGAGACGCAAGAATGATAGTGGAATCGGCGAATGCTTGCGGAGCGGAGGCTGTGGAGCTCTGTGTCGATCCGCTGTGAGGGAGAGAGAGGGGCTTACTGGTAAGGCCATTCTTATAATCTAGGGATCTCAGGAGATTTGGGAGGTGCGTGCAGATAGCCTTGCTTCTCTCTTTTCTTTCATTTTCTGATTGCTTTGCTTAGTTCCTTTGGCGTTTGACTTGGTTTCTTGTCGATGTCATATGCAAACATGTCAAACGGGCCCAATGGGGTTATAGTTGGCACGTGATCTCGTGTTTGCATGTTCGCGAGACACGTTGTTCGGGTGTGGTCAGACTTGGGGACGGGACTTGCTGGGATTGGTTTCATTCATGGACCTGAGTGAATATGTCATTACTGAACTTCTGGGATACGCAGCGTCCTGCGAAACGCCGACGGGCTTCTGAGAAGGGGAACACTAGTGATACAGATGCAGAGATTAAACCACCGCCGAGTCCGAGCCCGAGTCCTTCGGTTACAGTGGCTGAGATGCCCGCTGCAGACGATTTAGAGCATATCCCGAATAGCCAAACAGATCTAGAGACTTCTCTACCTCTGATCAAGACCGACGAAGACGCGATTGAGGAGTACGAGGCTTCGCAGCATGATTCTGAGTTGGGATTACATGTGAGGCTACGAGATGGAGTTTGGCAGAAAGGCAAAAGCTCTATCTACGTGGATGCGTTCAACCTGGCACTGGAAACTGTGCTGGATGAGGAATCGCATCTATTTAACGAGGCCGAAATGGAAATATTTGCCCAGTGGCGAAAGCTGTCTTACGAATCCCAGTATCTGTATGTTTTCTTGTAAATCGCCATGAATCACAGTTGATATTGATTATGAAACAGATATGTTCGACTGTTCCTCCGCAAGACCTCCGCCTGGCACCGTATCAACCGACTGAACTACTACTCCGATATCTCCGATTTGTTCTCAGTTGCCAAGGACTTACAGCAGAGCCGGAGCCTGCCTGGTTCAGAACTGGGAGATACGTTCAGATTTGCAGAGGGAATAGAAAATATCACAACGCTGGAGGAGGCGTCATCACTTCTATTACTAGAAGAACTCAAAGTCTTTGCAAAGGAGGCCAAGGTTCAAGGCAAGAGTAAGAAAGAGCTGCTGGCAGCTCTACGCGAGGCAAGCCAGACCCAAACAGGACTCAAGGATGCGAACAACAGAGACAGTTATTTCACACAGAAGATCTTAGACTACACAGGTGGATGCATCAGGATCTCACCAATACCCCGTGCTCTCTTCGAACGAGTGCATCTGGTCTTCTATCGCTCGACAGAGTGGACCGAAAAGTCTCTTACAACAATTATCCTAGCCAAGATGTCTAAAAGAAACTTCCCGGAGTATATTGTCTGTCGCTCGAATTCCATCTTCTCATCTAGAGAAGCACTATTGGAATTCGAATCAGCCATACAAACCCAATTCGCCATCGATAACATTCTGGAATTCAACGGCCCAATCACAACCGAGTCCCTTCAGCAGATCCTCGATCTTGCCAATAAATCCCATCCACGATGGAAAGAGCTAGTCGAGCAGGAGCAGAGGAAAGAAGACAGCATCTATGAAAGCGGAGAGGGCGCTTATCTACGTCGGTTCTCGCCCGCGTGGGTGCTTACAAGAATCATCCACAAGAGCCTCCACCCGCTAGGTCGGTTCAAGGAGCATAAACGGGAACACGAGGTGCTAGAAGAGCTTCTCGGCCAGCGTCTCTTCCACGCTGCCCGGCGCGGGGCTTGGTATCAGCGCAAGGCGTTGTTGGAGGAACACTATATGTGGGCACTTACACCTGCTGAGGGTCGCAGCGAAGAGGTTCAACGCAAACATTGGAAGAGAGTTGCGCTGCGAACATGTGAGAATGGGCTGGAAGATCCGTTGTGTCATTTGATCTTCCATTATGACCTACAGAAGCGGATTACGAAGCTAGAAAAGGCGCTCAGAGTGGTGAAACGGGAACAGCATGATTTCGGACATGTTATGCTCGGAAAACCGGCTGAGCGGACGATCGAAGGTATCCGTATTGATACGGGGGACTCGCCTCGGAAAGGAAAAGCGACTATCTGGGTTGATGAGAGGGAAGGCGGCGAGTGTAGGGTGGAGAGCATGTGTCTGAGCTGGTACCGCGATCAGGGTTGGAAGGGGTACCACTCTGAGAGTGGGATTGTGCGGACATTAGTGAGTCTTACCAGTAACGAACAACACTGGGTATCCTAAACATAAACCATATGCTGACGCTGCACGCAGTTTGGCTACCTCTTCTACGATATCTTATTCACCTATGTGCCCAATGTCTTCCAGACTGCCTTCCAGACGTGTCCGCTCGATCTCCACACCGATGTTTTCTACCCTTCTCGCGCATCGGAGATCAATCATCGGCTAGTGGAGATCACCAACGGTGAAGCGGAGAGGATTGTCCGTGAGATCCATGCGCGTGAGGGAGAGGCCCAGCCCTGCGCTGTTGGGCTTGACTGGTCTTTCGATCTAGATGACTTGATTGAGATCGTGCAGTGTTTCCGAGGTGAAGCGCTTGCTACTATTTGCAAGGTCATGGCGCAGGAATATCAGCAGCGCGGTGGGGGCATCCCAGACTTGTTCCTTTGGAATTACGGAACGAGGACGGTGATGTTTGCCGAAGTTAAGTCCGAGAATGATCGTCTGAGTGATACTCAGCGCCTTTGGATCCATATCTTATTGGCGGCTGGGGTTAAAGTTGAGCTTTGTAATGCTGTTGCGAGGGAGGTTAAAACCGAGGCTGAAGTAAAGTGTGAGTGATTACTTCTCTTTAAGAACCTATGTATCTTATGTTGGACATATTACATGACTTGTTAGCGCTTCAACCTGGTTTTATTACTTTGCGCTCAACGAGCTCTCACATTCCCCATTTCACAATCATGTTTCAAAACAACCAGACTGGATCGGATTGCATGTACATATGCCATTAGCATTCCAAGATAACCTATAGAGAAACGCATTTAGCTAGAATCATCTCATTAGTCTAACCAAGGAGTCGACAACAACGATCGCAATGGCCATTACCATAACCCTAATCCGATTGGGCACTAGATAGACCAACGTCATCGTCAGGCAAGGGCCTGTTGGGAGCCCGTACCTAGTTCTATCATCCATCAGACAGATAACTCTCTTTAGTGTGCAGAGCTTGGATAAGAGTTGCCAATAGCTAATGTCTAAATTCGTGGATAAAAGTCATACAGCAGCGCTAGAGCAAACCTCATTTTTAGGGCTGAACCCCAACTAACTTTTGTTTGCGGCGGCCTAGATCGTTGAATTCATTTGTGTTCCAACCCCCATATTTGCTAGCATTGGCCGAGGCCTACGTCTGTATGCCCGCAAGGCGTGGGCTCGGCAGGATCTCCTTCATCAAAACCATCGCGTGGTATTGGAAGGGAGACGCTCTATGGGGGTGGAAAAAGCGTCAAGGTGGTTGAAATGACCCAGCAGTGGGATGAGAGATTGTCTGCTAGCTTTCATGTTCAAGGATATTGAATGGGCATGAAGACCATCTTGTAAGTACATTGTGTTTCTATCTGACTATCTTCCTCTAATATATGGATACAGGAAACTTGTTGATAAGCCATACCAGAGCCCCGAGAAAGACTTCATAATCGCGAGGGGGATCAAGGTCTATACCCCAAAGGTTGCCATGGACGAGGCGACAATTGAAGAGCTTAGCCTCTCTCTCTCTCTGAGGTCTTGATCAAGCTCATCAACACCGATAATCAGCCGGTGTTGATGCATTGTAACCAAGGAAAGGTGGATTCAACCTTTCCCAATGACATGCTTGCTGTTTCACTTTCTAAGAACCCACATAGCACAGGAACCGGGTGCGTCGTTGGCTGGTTCCGCCGACTACAAGGGTGGCAGATCGAGGATATCATTGATGAATATCGTCAGGTTGCGGGAGCGAAAGCTCGTCACTGGGATGAGAGAATCATTGGAGACTATGAGCCAGGAGAACTCTGGAACAAAGCGCAGGAAACGCATGTAGCTTATAACCAGCTTCAGCTTCGAGAGCACGGATTGGAGGAATATCGCTTCCGGTTTCCTTTCATAGACATGAATTGACCCGATAAGCCAGTAATCACGGCCAGAGAGGTGGTAGACATAGTAGATAATTCCATGACCGAATAGTGGACAGCTTTTAGGAGAAGCAAGGGGCAAACTGTTGACTGGGAGAAGTATAAATAGGCACTGAAGATGTAGAAGACAGTCAAGAACGGAGCTTGGAACAACCTTCGAGTGCGTAGTCCAGTACAAAGAGCAAGCCTCAATTGAGAAAGAGCAGCCCCGTGGGTATACGAGTCATGGTTTACCTCTGAGGCGCGATCCGAACCTACAATTACTAAAAGCATCTAGAGCATTCGTGAAAAGGGTATCAAATAATCGTAATCCTTTTTTGTTGTATCTAAAAGATAAAACCCCCAGATACGACGATCACGACGATCCGATGGGTTCCCTCCGTCAACCACACATCCTCCCAATAGTTCGTTTATGCGACAAGGGTGGAGGCAGTGGCGCTCTCGTAGCGCCAGGTGGGGGGCAGGACACCGACGGTCTTGTAGTAGCGGGACAGACGGTGGATGCGGGACTCGATGAGAATCAGGCGGAACTTGGAGTCCTTGTCCTTGCGGTTACGCTCAAGGTGCTTGCGGACAGCGACGGCCTAGATTATTGCAAGATTAGCATAATCTGCACGGGTGGAGACCCAAGCGATAAGGGAAAAATTTTCTTTACCTTCTTGATCAGGAAGTAAAGGTCCTCGGGGAGTTCGGGAGCGAGGCCTGTATTCCAATCTCTCTGTCAGTCTAGATGTTCTTGACCAAGCAGAGGCTTAATTGCTGGTGCATTTCGGCAACCAGTGTCGGGGAGAGAGTCGAGCATTGCGCTTCGAGATTAACGGTTCTTTTACCGAACCTGAGAATCTTTTCCACGCAAATTGTTCGCTCTCTTCACCCGACGGATGTAATTATGCGAGCGTGGGGAGTCGTACCGCTGGACTTCAAGATACGGAGGATCTTGTTACCTGCGCAAAATTGTTAGCAAATTTTGATCCTCCAATTGCCGGTTTCGCATTTTTCCAGAAATCCATACCAGTAACAATCTTGACCTGGGCAACACCGTGGGAGTCACGGAGGACAACACCAATCTGGGAAGGAGTGGCACCCTTCTTGGCGAGCTTGCAGATGTGGTCAACAACCTGCTCGGGGGTGGTCTTGAGCCACGCGGGGGCGGCGCGAGAGTAGGGGAGTGCGGAAGAGGCGATGCCCTTGCCCTTGCTGTGAAGACGACCCATTTTGATTTGGTGATGTGTCCGGAGGAAATCTGTCGGTTGTCGGCGTGGATGAAAGATCGAAGGTCGAGAAGAGTGTGGACGGGAGAGGATGGGGCCTGTGTGGGGTCACGTGATGGTCTTCGCTTATTTCCATTCTTTTAGGAAAACTTCATCTCCTTCCTCTTTCTCTTTCGTTCCCACCTTCAACAACCAACAATCTCAGTTTTGCACTTGAGTTGACTGGAATTTATGTTTTCTGGTTCAACCTGAGTGCAAGCTGTAGTATACTGTTCAGTCGACTAACCTTTCATGCTCTCGCCACCGTCAATATCAGGTCAGTACCAACTTTCTTTTTTGCTCGGCATTCAATTTTCCAAATCTTCTTTTTCACCGTGATGATACAACACATTTGTTTATACTTTATTTTCTGGTACCTCTTATGTCAGAGTTAGTGTTTTCGGACACTCTCTCGATGATCTACCTGGACTTCTGATCAACTTCTATCTCTATCTCATACCTCGTGTTATGATTTACTTGACCGTTATACTAACTACGGTTATAGGCATTGTTCATTGATCTAGCTAAGAATATTTATTGAATGCAAAAATTTTCATCACATTGGAACCTAACGTCAATTGTACATCCGTCCCTTGAAGTAGCATCTTTAGTATACAGTAAAATAAGTCTCATGAAGTAAGTTTTACAGTCGCACTATTACTCGACATGCTACGCTCAGCGCCGTAGTCGCTTGGACATTCTCCGTGTCTCTGTTGTTTGAGCAACAGGCACGATGTCTTCAGCTCCCTTTCGCCTCTTGCCATTAGGTTTCTTGGCATCATCCATATCCTCAATCTTGACCTTGACGTCGGCATCTTCCTCCTTGGGCGCCTTTAGAGAGATAGCGGTTGTTACTTTCGTCTCGATTTTAACATCGGACTCCTCTTCTTTCACCTTCACATTGACCTTCTTGGTTGCGGCAAGTTTGTCTGCAAAGGTACGCAGGTCCGCAGTGAAGAGCACGCTATGAGCCCATCCAGCCTCCTGGCCCCAAAGTTTGCGGAAGTGATTGGCAACAGCGTCATAGGTCGTCTTGTTCAGACTTTTGTTGGAGCTTTTCCCAAATCGGTAGTCTCGCTGTGCAATTTGCCATACTGTCATAGATAGTCAGAGATATAAGCATAGATTGCATCAAGAGATCTCACCATGAGTATCAACGGGCACAGATTCTCCCCAGCCTAATCCCATTAAACTGACACAATCAGAAACCTTGGGACCGACTCCCTGTAACTCGAGCAGTTTTTCATGGGCTTCGCGATATCCCTCTCGCCCTTCTGGTCTCATCTCGCCGCCGGGTTTGATCTCAACACCAAATGCCGGACACTCGGGGTTGCTCAAACTGTCTAGCCAGCCTTTCTCCCGATTAGATACCATGAGCGCAGTTTGATAGATGTATTTAGCTCGATATCCAAACCCTAAGTTGCGGAGATTGCCCTCAACGTTCTTGCCAGTCAAAGCTTCTGGAGGAGGAAAATCATGATATGCACGCCCTTCGATTGTGGCCACCGGCTTCCCATAATGTATGCATAGTTTCTCTACCATTTGTGAGATTCGGGCAATATTATTGTTGCTGCTGCAGATAAAGGATACCAGTGCTTCCCAGGCATCTTGGCGAAGAATTCGGATTCCAGTAAACTGCGCAGCCTTCTTCTTGAAATTGGGGTCTTGCAACGACCATTGCGAGTATAGTTCGCTCAGATTTGGGGTCAGGTTGAAGTAATGTTTGATAATGCGGACAAGGTGGTCGTTATCCGATGTTTGGGAAAGAGAGTTCACGGATCGATAATACAAGCAGTTTGAATCTTGCTTTAAGGATAGGAATTGTCCATAAAGAACACATCGCCATTCCTCGCTCTCGGGGAGATGTTGCCATCTACAGAAGATCAGTCAGTGTGCTCTGATATGGAAGATCGTGGCCGAACAAACCTGAATGACTGGCCGCATCTGAGAGTAGTATTGATACAAAGCTCACTTAAACTCACGGGCAGCTTGCGCCACTCCGACAAGGTACATGATGCCATTTTGAAAATCTGTAGCAAATGAGCTGCGACGGTGGACTCGATGTCTTCATGATTGCTCTTTTTCTGCCGCCAAATGGGCCACCGATATGGCGGTAAGAACATCACCGCCTGCAGCTCTGGGTCATGGAGTTTTCCCCTTCACTGGCGACAAAGCTTCATTTCTCCATCCAAGCTCAACATGAACGGCGATACCTACTCATCCAGAGGTAAGAATTTTCGCTAATTATTACAGTTACACTACTAATTTGCTTCAGACTCTGGACGTTCCCGCGATTATTTCGTAAGTACTAGCTAAAGCTTGGTTGCGACCATGGCAATTAACCCCAATTCTAGCGCGACGAGCGACGCGACCGAGACCGAGGCGACAGAGCCGAGCGAGGCACCGAACGTGGAGCTGAACGGGGAGCTGAACGAGGAGCTGAACGGGGAGCTGAACGCGGAGCTGAACGCGGAGCCGAACGTGGAGCCGAACGAGGCGATCGGGCTGATCGCGGTGAGAGACGCCGGTCTCGCTCACCTCACCATGGATCCCGGGGCGACTCCCGTCGGGAGCGCGAGGTGAACACCTACTCGAGCAGCCGCGATTACCGTGCCCGTGAGCGCGAAGACCGCTACTCTGGCCGCCGTGATGATCGAGAGTGGGACCGAGGTGACCGCGCTGAACGCAGCGGTGGTGACCGTGGTGATCGCCGACGACGCGATTTCGACGACAGACCTCGCCGAGACTTGTTTGATGACAGACGTGGTGGGCGTGGAGGTGGTGAACGTGGAGGTGGTGACCGTGGTGATCGGGGAGACCGTGGAGACCGCGAGAGAAGAGAGCGCAAGCGCAGCGCCACGCCCCCGCGGCGCAAGGAGCCTACTCCTGATCTGACAGATGTGCCTTCAGTGTTGACCCGCAAGCGCCGTTTGACTCAGTGGGATATCAAGCCTCCTGGATACGAGAATGTTACGGCCGAACAAGCAAAGCTCTCAGGTATGTATTCGTGGCCCTTCCGCTAGTCGAATTTTCTAACTTTGTCAGGGATGTTCCCTCTTCCCGGAGCTCCACGTCAACAGCCGCTGGACCCAAGCCGTATGAAGGACCTGTTGAACCCTCCCACCGGTGATAGCGACAATGCTGCTCTCAAGCCGTCCAACTCCCGCCAGTCCAAGCGCCTTTTCGCTCACAACATTCCCTCCGGCGTCTCGGGTGATGCAGTCATTGCCTTCTTCAACCTTCAATTGAATGGTCTCAACGTTATTCACAGTGTCGACCCCTGCATCTCCGCCCAGATTTCCGAAGATAAAACATTTGCGCTCTTGGAGTTCAAGGAGCCGAACGACGCAACGGTTGCGCTGGCTTTCGATGGAATTAGCATGCCAGAGAGTGGCGACAAGGGGCTTGAAGTGCGACGACCAAAGGACTACATTGTGCCCAACGGTAGCGCAGACCAGCAACTCCAGGAGGGTGTTGTGCTGGGCGAGGTCCCTGATTCCCCTAACAAGATCTGCGTTTCTAATATCCCTTCATACATCCCCGAGGACCCTGTCACAATGCTTCTGAAGTCATTCGGCGAGTTGAAGTCATTTGTTTTGGTGAAGGATGCTGCTACAGATGAGTCTCGGGTTAGTCTGACCTGTTTCCCTCTCCTCTGATTTCTTATAGCTAACGTTCCCAGGGAATTGCTTTCTGTGAATACGCCGACCCCGCCGCCACGCCCATTGCCGTTGAAGGATTGAACGGTATGGAGCTGGGCGACCGCCACCTCAAGGTTGTCCGCGCCAGCATTGGAACCACTCAAGCTTCCGGTCTGGATATGGGAGTCAACGCCATGCAGATGTTTGCCAAGACCACCTCCCAGGATCTTGAGACTACTCAGGTTCTGCAGCTCCTCAACATGGTCACTCTTGACGAGCTTCTTAATGACGAAGACTATGAAGAGATCCTGGAAGATGTTGGCGAAGAATGCGCCAAATTCGGAAACCTCATAGGAATCAAGATCCCTCGCCGCGGACACGGCGCTGGAAAGATTTACATCAAATACGATACCACCGAGTCAGCCACCAACGCTCTCAAGGCGCTGGCTGGACGCAAGTTCTCGGATCGCACTGTTGTTGCCTCCTACTTCGGGGTTGAGAACTTCGACACCGAAGCCTGGTAGGCTCGCATTGTCCACGTGGCTTTTTCTTTCGTTATTTCCTTTGATGCAGGCGTGCTTTGTTTTGTTGGGGCCAGTCGCTTCCGGAGCAGGATGGATCTCAAATGTGTATGTATCATAGCAAAAATGCTCACACCTTGTTTGGTCAATCGAAATGGCCATCCAATCTCCGTGTCTATTGTTTCACTGCATTAGTTTTAGAAGAGTTGGATGCACCAGATAACTCCTACATCGTCGTATATGTTGGCCCAAGATGGCGTGGCCATCTAGCCTGGATCTTATGGACTCTATGTACCTCCAGCCTCGCCGGGCCGTATTTGCTGTGCATCTACTCTGTAGTAACCTTACATGCAAGTAAGCCCAGCTCCAACCCAGTCTCGTGGTTTTAAGGGGAGACACGTTGCTCTCTGCCTCGTAGAAGGGAAAAGATACCTCATCGTTTGACCTTTTCTCCCCTTCCCCTCATACCACCAGACGATCACCCCCAGCTGCATCTCGAACAACGCGCAAATCTTGAGATCATCATCACTGAAGACATCATTCCCCCGCACGTCGCTGCAGCTCCGGGCTAAATAGATTAACTCGCACTCCAACAGACTCAAGGCCTAGGTCCACGCTAAGGACTCTCTCCAGCTTGCAACCCCGCCGGCAGTACGGAGTAATGACACCACAATATCCAGGCCAAAACGTGTCATCCGTTGATCCAATCTAGTGCCAATCCCCAGTCAAGGAATCTACGGAGGACAGAGTATTCCGTACGGAGTACATGGGCAGGATTTCCAGTCGATCTTTAGTTCTATGCGAGAATACCGCGCTAATGAGCATAGTCCAATAGAGCGTTCCCTCTCGCATAAGATGAATCGAAGCGGCAGAAAGACAAATAATTGATGTAGAATGCAAAGCTTTTGCGAATCTTACTCTCTGATCGTTACTCTTCGCTTTGTCCCCATCTTATAGTCCCCCCTGTATGTCTTGAGAGTCGATGCTCCCTAGTAGGTATGTAGGTATATCTCATATTCCATTGGCAGCAAGGGTCAAAGCGTGTCCTCCGTACTCCTTCCCCTCGGAGATATTGCAATGACGTCATATGCGTACATCTCGCATCGCCTGTCCTTCCTCCTGTAGCCAGGTACACACGATCTCGCCAGAGCTTCCATGGCAGGGGTTTACCGAAAATAAACTAAAACAGAAGCATCTTGAGGCTTGGCAGGGGATCAGATCATCTTCTTCAGCAAGAAAATGGCCATGTGTACGGAGTACAGGATCTCAGCTATCACGACTGAGTAGGGAGAGAGGGTCAGGAAGTAGCTTCTGTTTAGTATTCAGCACATGCCATCCCCATGTATTGTCCATATCTTCTCGTTAGTATATGTTCTATAGCTATATCTCATTACCCCTGACGATGTATATGTGACAAAGCTGACAACCTCGGGACCCTTGGATCACTTAGTTGTATATCACAAGATGCGTATATGTGCAATAAGTAGAGTAACAAAGGTCTATATACTGTTCGGAATCCCGGGCCATCACATATCAAAACATCTCAGGGGCTCACGTTGTGTCAGTGTGAAGTTGGGCATGTGAAACCGTGGAATTGGACATGAGCATGAGAATGAGAGGACTGAACGAGTCCACCCAAGCTCCTAGTTGACATATGATGCATCTGGAAGTGAGTATTCTGACATAGATACGGAGTACTATGAGACTTGCACATGCACAAATGAACGTGATACGCATGGCTCTCGAATGGGGTGGTTTTGCAACCTATTCTACAGAGTCGTAATCGTATACATGGCAGGAGCAATCATAGGCATACGATGTAATTCATCCATGAAGGTATATTGTAGTTGTCAAGAAAACAGTTCGTTTTTTTATACTCTCTATTCCTGGGGTAGTGTATCGCACACCACCTGCAAAGAATGACAGATCTGGGATGAGTGCTACAGTCGGCACGGCAATCCCGATATTGCCTGTTCAGGGAATGGCATCTTGCCACATGAAACCAGTTGCCGATACCTTCAAGCTGGAATCCAAAGACAGTCCTGGCTCCACCGCCTGTCAGCACAGCATTGACGTATGCGTGGACTCTGTTGACGACAGTTGGCACAACCGAGTGGACCATCGGATCAGGACGGATGCCTTCCTTGCCTCTTCGATATCATCATCGCACGAGAGAATGGCATCGTGCGAGAGAATGAGCGAGAAGTGAAAGACCAACTACACGATTCGATGGCGAGATATGAGACATGACGATTCTGCGTTCCACGAGAATGTCGTGATTCAACAAGTATACAACATACAACCGAGTCATGCATACATTATGTATGCGACCTAGGCCTGGGCAGAGTGCCGAGGACATTCCAGTCCCAGCTAGAATCGGCCCTCGTTGTGTCCTGAAGTTGAACCTCCATGTGCCTGGTTGTTTTTTTTTTTTGTTGTTTTTGTTGGGAGTGGCAACGGCCCGTTCTATTTTAGTTGAGTCAGATCGAAATGAATTCCCCCTGAGAAAAGGGCCATCACCTGATCGTCCGGGTCATCTGATTCGTCCGAGGAGCCGGCCTGATCGCCGAATAGGCTCAATGAGATGCGACACGTTATGCCGAATGGCCTCAGAATCCAGGGCCGTTTCCACTCATGACGCCATTTCGGCCCCTGTTACGAAAAATTCTGCGCTGGAATGCCAAGGATTACGATTGATTCTTGAGTTTACGAGATTTCAGCTCCTTTCAGCGGATGACTCCTGATCCACGGGGACGAAGTAGGGAGAGGTACATAGGTACTCCGTAGCTCTTCCTGCCTCGTCTACGGAGTCTCCGGTACCTGGATCTCAGGCGACGCAAACCTGGAGAAACCTTGCAGAAAAAATGCTCGAATGCGGGGGACCCCCCGTGGAAATTGGAGAATATCCCTCAATCACGAGTGCCCTTCTGGCCAATCAGATCAAAGGAAACGTAAAGGTTTCCAGGGTCACTTGACTGCAGTTGCGCGATATTACCTAACCACCTCGGCTGGCTGCGGTGTACTCGCCTCCTCCAATCGTGGCTGTTGTTCGTAGATCACCTGCGCGTTCTAGAACGGGGCTCCCCCATACTTTGGCTTTTTTTTTACGTGATTTTACGTGATTTCGAGCAAAGGGCAGATCATTTGATCTGAGGGTTTTTCTTTATTTTTTTTATGGTTTTTTATGGTTTTTCTTGGTTTCGCTGCTCCTGACGTGGACCGGCCCGGGGGGCACAACGTCATGATGATCTACTGCCTCTCCCGATCTTTATAAGGCGAGGGTGTTCCCCGGAATTCACGACCATACTTTTCACAAGCGAATTATACATTCTATACACTCTATACACTCTATACACTCTATACACACTCTATCCACTACCTCAGGTACCTCGGATCATTACTCTTCACATTGTATGTTCAACCTCCCATCTCTCTTCTATATACAACCTCACTAACCATCCCTTCTAGTCCATACATACAACAACACATCCTCTCTCCATCATGACTTACCAACCAATGGACGGTCCTTCCCAAGGCTGGAAATGCCCTCAATGCGGTCTCCCCGGCGTCCGTCTCTCCACAAGCCAGGACAACAACCAAGTCTCCAGCCGCGCATACTACAAGTGTGTCCCCTGTGACCGCTTCCTAGGCATCTGCCCCTGCACCACCCCCGGCTCCCGCACAACCTCAACATGTCCCTGCGGTGACAGCGATGCCGAATCACCCGGTCCGGAAGACCAGGCCCGTCGCTTCTCCATGGCTTCCACCGACGGACAGAAGCCCTCGTTCAACCCACACAACCCGGACTCCGGGTTCGACCAAGACTGGGAATCCAACTGCAGTCCCGGCTTCATGGTCTCACGATTCAAGGCCGTCGATGTGGACTCGCTCTGGGGATGAAGATTGCATGTGTTCTCGGATCTATTTGTTTTGTGATTGTTCTACCATAGCGAGCCTGCGAGTCTTTTGTTTCATTTCGGGAGTCGACAGTCAGTTCCGCTGAGACGACGTTGAGAATATTCCCCCCAGCCAAAAAGTTACTATCCATCAATAATATGCTACCATTCATCCAGGGAATCCCTGGCACCAGACAAATTTTTTTTCTTTTTTTTCCGTGTAAAGTGGGTAAGTATTGGCATAGATCGCGATGGGCGGCAAACCCGCCCAGGAATCGAGGCTTGGGGGTGGAGCCTGTGGCAATGACTCTTTGGGTTTCAGCTTTTGGAGAATCAATCGCATCAGTCTCGGTGGGCCCCATGCGAACCGTTTGAGTCATACTGCATGTGATAGCAACCGGACATAGATCTGTTGAAGAGTATGACGATATCCCCTAAAAATATACTCTCCGAACAGCCGCCATCAACCCTTTTTCATTCCTGATGGGTTAGATGGACTAATTCTCTAATAGGCAGGTCGTTGGTCATCGCATGACTCGGAGCTAGCCAGCCCGGCTATTTCATAGTATTCAATTCTATCTCTGGGAGCTAACCGGTACGATCAAGTCACCCTGCCAACGGAATGGGTAAATAATGAAGATCAAGGATGGGCACATTATGTAGGCCTTGCGCCTAGGTATGTGCTAAGGATATCTGCCTGCATGGATACAACATATATGTTTGGGCGCATAACATACTGTTGGGAAAGTACGAATGGAGATCCAGGAACACCCGCTGATCGCGCTTCTCAGCGCGCTTAGAATCTTCCGAGATCGACTTCTTTGCCGGCACAACCAAGACAGGCAAAGGTATGTAGCCCCTACAGGGTGTAACCCCAGGTAGCTAACATTCTCTAGTCCGTAACAATGTCCAATGATCGACAGAGATCCTCGACACCGTCTTACATACATCCAAGGCACTACGCAAGTCTACTCAACGGCAAAAATCTAAAGCTGAAGCGCTGAATTGACTAAACACACGGACAGGCGGCGAACAACCCAATGTCCCAAAGACTAAGAAAAAACAACGAAATGAGCGGGTAATAGGGCACACAGAATAGCGGCAAAACAAGATATGGCGTAGCAAAAAGTACATCACAAGAAGTGAAAGGTCCCAAGCTGACCCTCGCAGGATCGTATTATCAATCAATCGGTAAGAAGAAGAAGAAAAAAAAAAGACCATTCTTTTTCGGTGCGTGGGCCCATCCAGTGAGGAAACAGTTGCGTTATGGGATGGTAAGGGAGTGTGATGGGGGTGACAAGTGTAAGGAAAATATGAAGGGAACGAGAGTTGGAATCAGTTAAGTGCCTGTCGTAGAGGCAAAAGCAATGGCGAAAACGTGGGCATTAACGAAGTGAGAAGCCCTTGCGCTTGCCCTTCTCTTCGATAGGACGTCCGGTCTCGAGACGACCCTTCTTTTCCTCGAGCTCTCCACGTTGGCGATCGAGCTGGTCCTTCATCTCGCGATGTCGGGCATAGAGTTCGTCTTCGCTCTGCTTGAGCTTGCTTTCTTTTTCGGCAACCTTCTGCTGGAAGACCATCTTCATTTCGGCTTCCATCTTGGCCAGCTTCTGCTCGTGGAGGGCGCGCTCCTCCTCCTGCTTGACAGCGGGGTTGACCTCCTTGAAGACGCTGTGGTCCTGGGCAACACCCATCAAGGTGAGCTTATCGGAACGGTAGTTCTCGTACAGGAAGTTGTTGGTGTGCTCCTTGAGCTCCTCCATGTGGGTGCGGATCAGCATCTGGCGCAGCTTGACGAAGTCGCAGTGCTCCTCGTTGTCCACCTCGATGATACCCCAGGGGTAGCTACGGCCACGGACGCAGCGGCCGTCGGCAGTGTTGACCTCGGAGTTGGCACCAACAACGGCGAAGGGAACCTTGGACATAATCTCCTGGTTCTCTGCAATGGTCTCCTCGTCATCAAGCTCGTAGCGGGGACCCTCGAAGATCTGGATGGAGTGTGCTGCGATATCGGCGAGGATCTAGATATGTCAGTATTCAAATTTTGAACAGAATTCAACCAAGCTTTTTTAAAAAAAACATACACGCTGCTTGAAAAGAGTAACCTCCTCGTCGGTCAAGGTATCAGCCTTGGCAATGACAGGGATCAAGTTGACCTTGGTGTGCAGGCGGCGCATCACCTCGATATCCAGGGGCTTCAGAGAATGGCCGGTAGGCTGAATGAAGTAGACGCATGCATGGATGCGGTTGTCGACAATGTTGCTGCGGTTGACCTTGTTCTCGGCCTCGAGGTAGGTATCGTAGCGCTGCTCAATGTTCTCAACAATTGGGCGCCACGAGTCGTCGTTGTTGACAAAGTCGCCGAATCCGGGGGTATCAATCACGCTCAGGCGGAGACGCACGCCATTCTCCTCAATATCGGCGCTGGTCGACTGGATGGACACGGTCTTGGGGATGATATCGGCATTGGGGCCGGTGCGCTCCTTGGGAGGGTAAAGAGAGGTGTTGAATAGAGTGTTCACAAGAGTGGACTTTCCGAGGCCAGATTCACCTTTTGGATATCAGCATGATTCATGGGGTTATCTCGAGTGGTCGAACTTACCAACCACCATGACATTGAAGTTGAAGCCCTTGCGGACACTCTTGCGGTGCCACTGGTTGGGCAGGTTGGCGAAACCGACGTAGCCAGTCAACTTGCGGCGGACGATGTTCTTCATGTCAGTGGCGGCCTGAGCTGCGGCCTTGGGGTCGCGGGAAGAGACGGTCTGGGCGACGCCGGAGCCCATGGGGTTGCTGCGCTCGACAAATGGTGAATCGGCGCCGTTGTTGGGAGTGGGAGAATCCCGGGACATGACGGGAGACGCGACCGGAGAGCTGGTCGGAGGAGGAGAAGCTTCAAAAACGTATCAGCACCTGCTCTGTGGAGTGATTCGAGATTAAATCTTCTTTCCGCGGGGCTAGCTTACACATGGCGAAAGCTCGAAGCTATAGGATGTTGAGAACTGCGAATTAAGATACCCTAGATGATGAATGTTGTCAATCGCCTTTCTTGATCTCCAGTGGGGTTAAATTGTCGCGATAGGGGGGAAAATTCGGGGAGGAGAGGGGACGGTACCTGAAACTGGATTAAGTCAAAAAAAAGGGGGTTTGAGCAAAATAGCCAGTAGCGAGGGACCAGAAGAGAAATTCGAAATCAACACAAACGGGAGAAATGAAAAGAGAGAAGAGAAGGATGGAGAGAAGGAGTTGACTCTGCCAGTCTGGGAAAGAAAGGGGGGGAAGTGCTGTCGGGCCCAGCTATTCTGGAGTTGGTTTGGATCGACCCGCGTAGAACACCTGATGTGTATATAAAGGAAAAAAAAGAAAACAGTCTACTAGTCTCTTAGTCCTTTAATTATGAGACTCGTCGCAAACTTATCTGTCAATATTACATTTCTTGCTTCTACCGGCTATTTGTTGATGTCGGGCTTCTACTCTACTACCTAGGTAGTTTGTATCTACGGAGTAAGTCCTCCGGTCCAAATTCCTCGGGATTTTGACTGCAGCGCTGGCAATCAAGACTGCAGTGCTATTTTCAGTGAGGAATGTGGAATTTTTTTTTCACCCGCGCAGAAGCCTGAGCTCCAGGTGCATATGTACGTGCACGGAGTACTTGCCAGATATCGGTTCTCCTGAGATCAGGGGGTTGGCACATGTGTCGCCCAATCATCTCTCACGTGAGCTCCACTTTGGGGGATTCCGTACATGATACAACATATAAACGGTATGTGATAGACTCTTGGGATATTGGCATACTACATCTATGGCGCCGTTTTGCTCTTCTTCTTCGGCCGCTCATCGTCCTGGTTGTCCCCTTCGCCATCAGATGCATCGCCCATCTCCTCATCACTATCACCACTGCTCTCGTGGTCCGAGTCGAATTCCTCCGCCACATCGGATTCTGAAGAGCCAGCAAAGTCTTCGTCGACGGATTCCTCATCTTCATCAGCTGATCCACGGTCGGCGCGTACTTCGTCATCGCTGGAACCCATGGCATCGTTGTCAAGAGCGGCAGCAATAAGGCCAGCAGCCTAGAAGGTAATGAGCATAGGGATAAAGATATCATCGACAGTAGAATATATACCTCTTCAGCCATCTCGTTTTTGATGCGAATATTCTTAGCCTTGAAGAAGTCCTCGAGGGATTTTTGCTCCTCGCTGTTCACGTCAGAATGGACGTTATTTGCAATGAGGACGAAAAGGAACTTGGGGGAACTTACCGGTTGATGTTGCTGAATTGGTGTTCGCCCAAGCCACCCTTTAGGCTAACGGCGATATCAAAGGTTCGACTGGCGGAAACAGCGCCTCCGACACGCGACATCGTGACAATCGCGATGTTCTCCATTTGGATGTAGGTCGCGGGCTTGGGGACGAACATGAGACTCTTATCCAGGAAGTATAGAAGACCTTCGTTAGCCTTGATTGAGCACTTGACGCCATGGTGGCCGTGGTGGCTGTAGAAATGTTAGCTAAACTTCTCATGTATTGTACCATAAGAGCTGGCAGGCAACTGACCTGAGGAAGTCCTTAGAAGGCATGATAACCTTCTTTCCAGACAAGCCACGGAAGACCTTGGTCACTACTTGGTGAATTGGCTCTTCGTAGTGCGGCTGCAATTTGTCCTTGTATTGGCTTTGCAAGATGTCCCTAACAGATTATTAGCGAGTAAAACAACAAGATCCGAGAGAAAAAACGAACTCTGTCATATTCATCTCAAGACTGATCTCCTCGTCCAGCTTCAACTGCATGACCAGGAAAGGATAACGGGTCTGGCCCTGTCGCAGGGGAGGATCGAGGCCAAGCACAATAAGTGTGTGGGTATCGTCATTCTTGGGGAGTAAGAAGAACTTCTTGATGGCCGAATATTGGATCTTGTAGTCGTATGTCTTTCCGCGCAACCGGAAGGATGATTCGTACATGTCGATATCGAAGCGACCTCTGGGCGTGAGATGAAGAACATCCAGGAAAGTAGCAAAAGTGTCACCAGCAACGTCTCCGATCTCGGCCTTGTCCATTAGAGTCTCGTAAAACAGGTTGGCTGCATTCTGCTCCTCCGCATCTTCATCGTTTTTGTCTTCTTCCTCACCCTCAGCGCCCTCTGACTTCTCCTTTTTCATCGCCGTTCCGGGAATGTAGAATCGCATTTCGACGAGCTCGTCCGGGCCTGCGGCGGCCTTGCGACCCCGGCTCCTTGTGCTTCCAGGCTTTACAGCCGCATCGTTTCCATCGCCGGTGGGGAGTGCGAACTCGACGGCGACCTCATTTCTTCCCGCCAGGTTGGTGTTTGAGATTTCTGAATATGGGACCTCGAAGGCGGGTCGGTTTTGGACGTTAAAAGCCAGCTCTGCCTTTGTAAATTCTGCCTTGCCCCAATTCCATCCTCGTAGGGCATGCTCGCGGGTCTCCACGTTGATGCCGTACCAGATCTTGAATGCCTTGCTCAATCGCTCAAAGTCCTTTTTGGATAGTAAATTTGATTAGTTTGCAGGCCAATGGTGGCAATATGTTTGGTAAGACATACTTCTTGGTCGAATCCATCCAGTTGGATCACTCCAGATGAACGCGACAGGATCTTCAGCTCAAACCCTTTCGCAGCACGACTCCACTGGGCTGCGCCGATGTTGCTGCTGTCCAGGGTAAAGGTGTCGCCGCCACCAGATGGACGCCAGCCCAAACCACTCTCAGCCAGCTTGCATTTTCCCGGCTGTTTCGAGAGGTCTAGGTAGATGTTGTCAAAGCTCTCCCTATATGATGGTCAGTCCCGGGCATGAGGACCGCTGCGAAGGATCTTACATGATGGAGCTTGGGTATGTAGGATCGCAGCAGTTGAAGAAGAAAAATCCACAATTTAGAGGATCAAAATTCCTGCGCAAAGATATGAGGAAGGGAGGTGAGAGATAAGGACGAACTGGGGTTGAAAGCTTTAAGATTTCAGTTTCTGGAGTTCGCGTTGAGGCGCGCGCGGCAGGGAGGCCACTTTCGCCAGAAAGAGATTAGCGTATATGCCTGAGGCGGCAAAAATTATCTGTCCATCTTAGCACGTAGACGTATCTTCCTGAATCATTGTTGATTGTTCTAATCAGATCTAGAGGATTCCTTTGAATATAGAAGAGTTGGGTAGATCTATAAGGAATTGCACCAGTTTCTCACGAGATAGAGAGTCAGACGATGTACAGAGTAGAAGCAATTACATATTTATATGCTTAAATGCAAATCCATCCCCCCATGGCAAGTTCAGTTTCAATTGCCAGAATACCCTACTCCATGAAAGATGCCTTTTCTGACATGAAATTGTTACACATAATTACTCTGTGGTAGATGAAACCCAAATATGTCGAACTGGAAATTTTCTAGAACTTACATAGTACTCGGTACAGATGTCAGTGCTTTTGATATTTCTGCATTACCCATTATGTATTACGTTGTAGATATTACATAGGTATCTAAATAGGTGACTACCGAGTACTCCGTATATGCCGTAGGGACTTATGTTCCACATAGCACGCTTTCTTAGTTTCTCACTTCTATTCCACATATACCAATAGTATATGTTGTACACCAATCGCACTGTCGAGTTTGGCAGCTAATGTGGATTCCAAACCAAGCAATCATCAACATGCAATGGATACCCCAGAAGTGTGTGAATGTGTTACGCAAGCATAATAAGTCCGTGGAGCTCAGTGCTATATTTAAGCGAAAATGGACGGGCTCTGGAACACTCCTGCGCCCGATCCACTTGGCTTAGCTCAAACGTTGGTTACGGAGTACAATCAATCGAGTATTTGAAGATCGATCTACAGATACAGATACGGAGTAGACATAACCTGTAAAGCAGATCAATATACGTAGATATGGAGGTACACGATAGCAAAGAACACTGGTCTATTACGTTACTCTGTACACAGGATCACTGGGATACGGCCTCACAGGGGACAAGGACGGTGCTAAAATCTGACCAAATTAGCTGTACGATGGTAGATCCTCATTCGACCTACAAACTACCATCTCTCTGGTCCTAGATAGGAGACAGAATTCCATCCCTTTTGTCTACCTCCGTGCGTATACAGCTGAGGTACCAGGTACTCCGTAGACCACCTCAATATAAGCATCCTTGCGTGTATCCATGGAACCCATTCATCTGAACCATCGTGACTCCACTGAGAGACGGGAGGCTGGACAGATGCAGTGGTCATTGGTGCAAATCTCGTATTTTCACTTGGGGTAATTTGTGTATTGGCCGTATTGGCCCTGGCAGAAAACGAAGGTCTTCCCCTTTCCCTTTACAATAGTCGTTGATTCTCAGCCTTCGGTCTCAAGCATGATTCATTCATTTACATTCCTTTGCTTTTGATATTCTTTTTTGACTTTTTTTTTTAAACCTCGTATGCCCACATTCTTTACACGTTCTTTTCTTTTCCACGCGTTGCGGCCTAACGGCCTCCCTGAATTCCTCGGACAGCACAACCCTGTCTAGCCCGTCTAGACTTCCCACACTCGCTTTAGCCAATCCAACTGGTAAACTTAACTTTCCTTGCCCGTCGTCGCTCCCAGGACAATGAGGATAGCTTCATTGTTTGGGCCCGCGGCGGCTGGCTGGCCCTCGTTTCTCGCGCTTTTACCGACTCTGAACGCCCTGTCATTCGAACCAGTCTCAGTTCCAGAGCTGGACCTGACCTCGCTGGGACGGGTATCAATCACTGGTGATTTTGATGGCGTCTCTCTCTATCAGTATAAGGGACAAACCGAATCAATTGCTCAAAATGGCACTCAAGCCCTTTTAACCCCGCTCCCGAACGGCATCCTCACAAATCTTTCCTCATCCGACGCGCAGATTATGGCAATGTGCCCCTTTATTCAAAAGAATGGGGCCTTTGCGGGAATATTTGTCGGTGGTAACTTCACTAGCCTGGGCGGGGTCGACTCACCCGGCGCTGCACTCTTCAATCCGAATACCAGCAAGGTCACTGCTTTGCCAGGTCTCTCAGGCTCAGTAGCGGCCGTGACTTGCGATCAGGAGCACAATCGCGTCTATGTTGGAGGCAAATTTTCACATGACAACACCACTAACGTAGTCGCCTGGACGCCTGAGAATGGCTGGACTGATCTCTCATTCAATGGTCTGAATGGCCCAGTCAGCTCGATCTTGAAGGCTGAGAATGGCCATATCATCTTTGGAGGATCATTCGACGCTCTAGGAAACAGCACTAAATCCACAAAAGAAAGGCAGATCCTCAACCTTCAAAATGCGACTGTCACGTCCGATTCAGATTCCCCTCTGGATGGCTACTCTGATCCTCGTAATATTATCTGCTCGACGAGTGGAGAGGCTGCTCCAGGCAAGACCTATCTTCTGCATGATTATGCGCCGGGATTTTGGAGAGCGGACCTCGGCTTCGACTTTTTCCCGACCAAGATCCGCCTCTACAATACTCATTTGGATGGACGCGGTACCAAGGCCTTTTTACTTCGAGCTCTCCCCGACAATGGCATCATGAATTTGACGTACACTGACGAATCGGGACACAAAGCCAACTGTGACTCGTATTGCCCGCTTTCTAGCAACCCTAGTGAAAAGTACCGTGAATTCACTATGGTTAACCCCGTTGGCATGCAGGGACTTCAAATCGAAGTTCTTGATTGGTATGGACAGGGAGCTGGCCTGAACGGCATCCAAGTTTTTCAGGATCAAATCCTAACTTATGCCATCGATCAATACAACGAACCCACCTGCGCAGGGATTGAATATCCTGCCCAGTCAAGGCGCACCGGCTCTTGGACCGTCGAGTCTGGGTATGTGTCTGCAAAAGTGACCGACTCTGATGCGTCTACTACAAGTGTCACATTCGAGCCTGACCTGAAAAAGTCCGGCAACTATAAGATCAAGGTATATACACCCGGCTGCATCCAGGACAACTCTTGCAGTTCGCGGGGTATTGTCAACGTCACGGCTACTCTTACGAGCGGCTCTGACTCTGACCAACCAGGTCCGTCATATCTCTATCAAACCAACTACTACGATAAGGAAGACACTTTCTACACTGGCTACGTCGACGCCAACAGTGACTCCTTCCGGCCCAAGGTTACTCTGCGAGCCAAGGACGGTCAAGGTGATATTACGATTGTGGCGTCTCGTGTTCGCTTTGAACTGCTCTCTAGCACTGGTGGCCTCAATGGGCTCTATGACTATGATCCAACTTCATCCAAGACTGACACCACAGATCTCACAAAGTCGGACATCAACAAGGCGGGGACTTCGCTCAACCACAATGCAACAATCACAGTTATCAAGGAGCATGATGATGTGATTTATGTCGCTGGTAATTTCTCTGATAGCAAGATCCACAACATCATGTCGATCAGGGACGGCGCTATCACCGCAATGCCTGGCTCTGGACTTAATTATCCAGTACTGGCAATGTCTACCCACGATGATCTCCTATATGTTGGAGGTCGCTTCACCGATACCTCAGATGGTGGCGCGGATGGCCTCGAACACGTTGCAGCATACTCATTCTCTTCGAAGAAGTGGTCACCTCTGGGCGCAGGACTGAACGGTCCTGTCAACTCAATTTGGCCTGTTGCGTTGAATGCATCGACAGCTATCAACGAAACCATAATTGCCGTGAGCGGAGACTTTGACCAAATCATTGCGTCCAACGGCAAACCCGCTGTTTCTGTGGCTGGGTTTGCCATCTGGGTCCCTTCCCACAAGGACTGGCTCCAGAACCTCAATGTCACACAGATGCAATTCGGTGGTCAACTTTCAGCTGTTGCTTCCCACAACAATACCCTCATCTTGGCTGGTAATCTTGCCACTAACGGTATCATCGCTGGTGGTGCGGTGTCGCTGCTAGACTTTGACGAGAACCTGCAACTCATCCCTCTGTCAATGAAGGTCAACCGCAAAAACCCGAGTACCGGTCTGATCACTGGTGCTTATGACACCGATTCAGATCGCAATCTTACCATCTACGGTGGACATTTCACCGCCGCTAGTAGCAATGGATCGATGATTGAAAATATTGCCATCCACAACGGCACCGATCAGACCATCTCAGGTCTGCCACAAGGCGTCGATACTAACTCAACATTTATTTCAATGCTTGTACACAATGACACCCTTTATGCGGGTGGAAACATTACTGGAAATCTTGGCCATTCCACACTAGGTGGCCTTGTGGTTTTTGACCTTGTCAAAAACGAGTTCTCAGAGACCCAACCAAAGTTCTCGGGCTCAGACGTAGCTGTCAATGCTATTGTCAATCGACCGGGCTCATCTGATGTCTACTTCGGAGGAAATTTCGAAGCGGTCGGCCAGTTTCCCTGTAATTCGGTTTGTTCTGTGGATCCCACCACCGGCGAGTGGACTCACCCTGGCACGTCCCTCAGTGGTACGGTGATGGAACTCAAGTGGGCCAGCCAAAACAAATTGATGGCTATTGGTGACCTGCGAGTCGGTGGCAACCAGACCTCAATTGCTGTCTACAATGTGAAATCTGACTCCTGGTCAGCCTTCTCTGGCGCTTCCCAGTCTGAAATCCCTGGAAATGTCACTGCTTTCACTCCCGCTAGTGCAGACATGTCGAAGTTCTGGATCGGAGGTACTGCCACAAATGGTTCAGCCTTCTTCATGAGCTACGACGACTCCAAGAAGTTCCAGTCTCCCGCGAGTCTGTTCTCCGAAGGCACGGTCATTCGTGGCTTAGAGGTTCTTCCTGTTCGCCATGATCATTCTGATGCCTCCCTGTTGAATAACGACCAGACGTTGTTAATTATTGGTTCCCTCCTGATCCCGGGCTTTGGTCATGCATCGGCAGCACTCTACAATGGGAGCGATGTCACTCCGTTCATTCTTTCCCAGCAAGCAGATGGCACACCGGGCAGCATGTCGAAGTTCTTCTCGGAGAAGAAAAATCCTTACACCAAGGACAGTGAGTTTACCAGACCTATCTCTTTGACCGGAATCCAAACTGATCTTTTTAGCAAAACATCACTCCAATGGCATCGCAGTCTTGGTAGCCTTCTGCTGTGCTCTCGGCTGCGTCTTCCTCATCGTCCTGGCCGGTGTCATCCTGAACAAGGTGCAGCGCCGCCGCCAGGGTTACGCAGCTGCCCCTCAGACCTTTGGCACTGACCGACCTTCTGATATGCAGCGCTTGCCCCCAGAGTATCTGTTCAACTCTCTGCGCCAGCCCAACCCCAGTGTCCCAGCCCTTTAATGTCCCCCTTTCGCTCTAAAACCCCTCAACCTCTCCGATTTGCTTCGAGGCTGGCGTTTTGATCTTATTTTCATCGAAAGAATTGTTGCTATACCCAGCTGTCTTTAATGTCTTTTGTTTTATTTGCCTATTTTTGTTCTTCGCGCCGGCCATATCGCGATTTATCTTCATCTTTTTTTACTTTACCCTTGCTCCTGGTGCATGTGGCCCGATACAGGTCTTGCAAGCTCCGCTGTGAATATGTCTGTTGATGTACCATATGATTTTCAGCGAATTGTCAATTTGTGTGGATTTGTGTAGGGCGGTTGGAGACAATGTAGATAGCCACGCTTCGTTCGTGGACATGACAATTACCACAATATACTTTTGCTGATGGAAAAGATTTCCTGTAGTGAGGACTTCGTAGACGCTCTCCAAATCGAATCTCAGGACATTGAGATGCTAATAAATGACGACGCGTCCCCTGCTCAGCTCTCGGGCCCTGGATTTGTGTGGGGGCCCCAGGTCACCTGGTCTCTCCCCGCAAGTCGATCTCCAGGTTTTATCTTTTCCCCAACCTCAACCCCATTTGACTTGTCTGCTTCAGATGTTGCTTCAGCATTGCATGCCATTTCGGTATGCGATCACGAACCGGCTGGTCAGTATATGTGTCTGCAACTAGCGTGAGGTCTCAGAGCTAACATGACCCAGCTTAACGTGTCGAACACGGAAGCTTAAATGTAGGACCCATCCATTCCTCCGATGCCTCGTTCCCCTGGAATCCCTGTCTAAATTGTCTGTAGGCGACGAAGAAAAGCCCGAATGTTCACAGTGTCGCAAAGGCGGCCGAGAATGTCGCCCGAGCGAGGGTGTCGTCTTCCGCCATCAGCAGAACGCGTCGATGAACCGGAATTCCCCAGATGGTCGAGGTAGTCTCAACGGGTTTTATTCCTATAAGAACACATTCGACAAGGACAGTGTGTGGCTGGATGTTCCCAAACATGGTACGGCACCATTGAGAAATATTGCTTCGCATTGGGTGGTTTTTTTTCTTCGGGACGGCGGCTCATTTTTGCAGTCATTTTTGTCGACAACTCCGATCCATACGCCGACGATCTCGAGACCTCCCTGGGAGAGAGTAGTACAGCACATACGCACTCGGCCAATAACAGATGGGCCAGTAGCGCCTCTCGAACGAGCGATGCCGAGACACAGGGATTGGAAGCTTTGTCGGCGGTCGCAACCCACGATCGCTTCCCTTATTCTCCCCTAGACCATTCGATCTCCGACACTACCTCATATGCTTCTCCAAACCGACGGCGCAGTGCCGTTCTTCCCCCCGCTTCGCCCTCCATGTCGATGTCCTCCACCAACAACAATACAAATATTAATTTTCTCCTCAACCCGTCGCATTCGATGTCTCCCAGTATTGACCCAAGCATCCAACTCTCTGACCGAGGTACGGCACTTCCAACAAGGCCGGCCTTTTCACATAGAAGCTTAAGCCATATGAATCATACACCAGACGACAATGCAGAGACAGATTTCGAGGTGGCTTTCCTTTTGCGGCATTATTCAGAAGGCCCAGGACTATGGTATGCTTTGCCCCGTGCGCTGCTATGAATCCCAAGTAACGACGTCATTTGCAGGATGGATCTGTTTGACTTAGGAACATATTTCGCTTCATACGTCCCAGTGCGAGCAAGGACCAACCCGCTCTTGAAATTCGCAGCGTGCGCATATGCCGCCAAACAGCTGGGCCGAGTCAAAGGCACTAAGGCAGCGATGGGCGGCGTCTGCTCACAACAAGCTGCCATGGAACTGTGGCCCGTTAAAGACCCCGATTTCGCATGGTACGGGGCCAAGTATTATGAAAAAGCCATTCAGCTGTTGATGAAGGAGCTGCAACCAGATGCCGAGGGTCCGCCTCCCCTGAGCACGCCCGAGGCATTCGGTCAATGGCAGGCTGCCGAGCTCTCTGCAGACACGGATAATCCACGTAAGCGTCGAAGACGGGTTTCTGATAGTCGGCTCTCGCATGGAGTTCATTCGGATGAAGTGCTCGCGGCGACGGCCATTTTATCTGTATATGAGTTTCTCGATGCTGCGGGCCCTGCCTGGAATCGTCATTTGAGCGGCGTGAAGTCGCTGCTTGATGTCGCTGAAGTGGGTATGATGCCTCTTGAGCAGCGATCGTCTCCGGGAGAAAACTCATATCACACGTCGACACCGAAGAAATCGGGGCTTTCAAAGGCCCGTAGGGCGACATTTTGGAATTTTGCGCGCCAGGATTATCTGGCTGCATGTGAGTATTTCTTCGCAATGAATAGTTCTCCAACACTGCTGACAGCAAGAAAGTTATCAATGAATGCCACACAAGACTGAATACTGATGACATAGTTCTTTGGACCGAAGCCGGTCTACTGATCGATAACGTAGGCTTTGTCCGGCCCAGCAACACAGGTGTGACAGGGTACCCGGAAGGCGAAGAGACGATGAAAGAAGACCTAGTATGCAACGGACTAGTCTGGATAATGTCCAAGATAGTCAATTTCATAAGCTCCGGCGACAACGTGCACCTCACAGACCACCAACCCGTTCCGGGACCGCTGGGCGTCTCGCAACAAGTCCTCCTGGAGCGGTGGTACAGGCTCGAATCCGAGCTCGATGCATGGTACACTGGAATCCCCGAGACCTTCCGGCCCTGCGCGCGGATAGACTCATCCAAGGCCAAGCATCACCGCCCAGCCAACGAAAACGAAGACATCTCCACTCTCCAGGAGATCTGGTACAGTCTCCCGATGTGCGCCTCGGCCATGCAGCACTACCACATGGCGCGCATTCTGCTGCTCATCAACAAGCCGCACGAGTCGACCAGCCGCCGGAGCACAATCACGCTCCGACTGCAGTCGTACCGCTCCATTGAGGCCGAGATCGCCTTCCACAGTCGTGAGATCTTGGGCATTGGCCTCTCCCGCCCGGATGGAAGCGTCCGCATTAATTCGCTGCAGCCGCTCTTTGTTAGCGGGCAGTGTCTGACGGACCCGCGCGAGCGCCGAACTACCGTGCGCCTGCTCCGGAGTATCGAGTCAGATCTCGGCTGGGCGACTGAGTATCGCGTGCAGCAGTTGTTGAAAGAGTGGGGATGGGAAGAGAAATCGACCCGGTCGCCTGGGTCTGGGTCCTGAAACTGCAGGGTATCCGATCCTGCACACGATAAGGGATTCCAGCTGAGGAGCTGTAGCATCCAGGGTCGACTGTTGAGTGCGCTAATTTGGCGTAGACTCGAACAAATGACCCACCGGAGTCTGCAATACCCTTTGGTCTTGCCTTGGACACCAGATGACATCATTTGGTGGGATCAAAGTGAACGGTGTATTTGAAGAGCTCTCTCTCGCAGTCCTCACTACCAACCCCGCCATATCGAGGGGGCTTTTCCAAGCGACAAGACGAGAGGATTCTGGAACAGTCACCAGGGCCGAGGTGAAACAACCTTGAAACAGCGATCTGGCCTGTAACGTTTTCATGGGTTCAACAGCTGAGACACGAGTAATGATTGTTCATGATACTTCTGGCATAGTATAGCATAGTATATTGTACCATTAGATAGTAAACGCCAAATGGCCTCTAATGAAGAGAGAGAAAAAAAACATCAAAGAAAGCAGAAAACGCCCAATGTAATGGACGGTAACCGATTTAATTCTGCAGTTCGGTTCAGTTGCCTCGGACTTCGCTGTTGCAGAGCGATCCCGAAGCTCGACCCTCGAGGTGTTGACCTCCCTACACCGTTCTTATTTGCACCTTTTTCCAGGCTACTTCCACAATGTAAAGACAAAGGAGTATGAGTGCTCAATATATTCTTGATCTCTCGCTAATATCAATCCTTTCTGTCCTTCAAATACCCATTTCCAACATCCAGACACCAACTGTACCTGGACAACATCACCCTACCTAAGTAAATATGGAGAACCGCATAATCGACTCTTCACTCCGAATCTCTCCTAAATCTCCCACACTAACGCAGCCCTAGAACTAAACCCCAATGCCTCAACGCTGCAGGTTTTCCGTTGGCCATGTCACTGCATCCACTTGCCCCCACTGATTCACCCTGGGGGCAACTTATCCGAAACCGAGAATATCTCGGGTTACTGCTACCGGTTATTCCGCGATACGCGTACTAGACATTATTACTTTTTTTATCTCCTGTCCGGGGGTTCGAGAATGGAGAAAGTGTGGCGGGGTGCAGCAGGGCAAGGGGGAAGGGAGCACGTCTTCCGTCTTGCTGCAGCTCCACCGGGTACGGGGTACATACTCCGTACTCCGTCTGGAGTACTTTTAAAGTGAGGATTTAGGGTTAGCTGAGGAAACCAAGGCCGATATTTCTCCGGGTTGAGACTGGGATCGGGATTGGGAATAGGGTGTTTGGAGGGGCTTGGGGTCTGGTATGGCGAGAGGCTGCGGCATGGGCTGGATTGGGCATCTGGACCGTGGTCTTAGCGTGCTGATCGCTGGAAAATTGGCGAGGGTCTCGTTTCAGGGGGGATTTGGATGGGGTAGGCTCATCGCTGCTGTTTCTTGTTATACGGAGTATAGGTGGGATAGCTTGAGTGGAGGTCAATGTTGATGTCTTTTTTTACAGTGCAATAGATGCTCAATTCAACCCTGCGATTTTGGATCGGAAATTGGGTTGGATGATAAAGTTGTGTTTTTTCGGTTGCAGACTTTGTTGTTTCTTCTTTTCCTTTGGAGTGCAGGCGTGGGATTCACGGTTCTTATCAATAGTGTTGGGGACGTTCTCCGGTTTCTCCAATATAGCCTCGAGCTGCATGCTGGCCAAGCATAAGCAAGATCGACTTTCGCAGTTAATTGAACGGGTAATGAACGTGTTGCATTCAAGTACAAGGGCATTCTTGTCGGATCGGGTCTCTGTCCAGGTGGCATTCTCGCTTCCATCAATGGAGCCAGGGCCTCTGTTCTTAGATCCGAACTCAGCATCGTGGGGCCAGAACTACCAAGCTTTTGTCTAGCTAGATAGCTGGTTGGGTATCTGCTGGATGTACGAAGCACAGTGTTCGGTTCCAGGTTTGAGTGGTAGAATCTGTGTCACGGAGGACGAATGGGAATCATGATAGTATAGGACCAGGATTCAAGGAGAGAGGATTATTGGATTTTATAGCTCTGAAGTTCAAAATTCCGATTCAGCTGAAGGAAAAGGGAAAAGAAAGAGAGAAGCCCTACTCCGTAGAGAGTGAATGATCAGCATAGTTCCTGGATTTTTGGGGCTGGTGTAAAAGACGATGTAGAGCAAGTCGATGTGATCTGCGCATGGTATCCCATCACACAGCTCAAAATTTGCACTGGACACGAGACGGTCAATGGCCTGGCAAGTAACCTACCAGCCAGGTCCAACACGAAGCCTGGCGTGTCAGATAGAACAGTAACACAGCATGTACACCGTACATGGGATGTCTTCTCGGACTTTGGATTCGAATGGGCGCTCTTTACTCCGTACGGTGAGAGATCGGTTGGAGTGCAATATATGTACGATAGAGGAAGTATATATGCCAATTTGCCAGTAACAATCCGATTGGACTCGCGTACAACGAATGCTGGGGGCGATCACAGTAAGAGACGGGTTGGTGGTGGTGATTGGATAGTTTGACGCGTGGGGACTCGGTCCAGAAGAGGTGACACTGACCACTCGAAGGGGCGAGAACTAGGTCTTGCACACCGAATTGGAGAGGCAATCTCGTACTTCGTAAGACGCAATCAAATCAAAATGCAACGATGCAAAAGGCGTGAGCAATGCAATCTTGGCGAGTCCCGCTACGCCCAGCTGTGCAAAAGAATTCCCATTCCCCGAATGTCATGGAGAGGGCTAACGATAGGATTAATCCGGTTTAGATCGTGAGAAGGGTAGTAAGTATCCAGAGATTAAATCGAGTGCAATTACTCCGTATCCCCCGTATTAACATATTAACATCGTCTTCATTGTCTCACACGTGGGCGAAATCGCACTAACAGCACTAGTCCGAGGCTGAGTGTGGGAGATTTAAATTAGGAAAAGTACTCCGTGTGGAAGAGAGAATATTGCAATCTCATAGGGCGTTTCAATAATACACTAACATATCCCCCTAAGAGTACTGGATTCTTCTGCGTTTACTGCTTTTGGGGGAGGCGAGTTAAGGGCATCGGGGATCCAAGTATACAGTACCGTCACATTTATGTTCGTCCACGAGTCTATGTTGCAACTCCTCGGTTCAAATAACCGAGTTCTTCGCATAGAGATCTCATGTGCGTATTTTGTTACCCCGCTGCGTAAACGAGGCCAAGAACCCAATTGCATTCCTGAGGGGCCACAGCCAATGCGCCTAGTGTCAGGGCCAATGTCAGGGCCAGTGCCATGCGCTCGTGAGCCATGAGAACGGGCCTTCGAGACTGCAAAATGGATCCACTCTGTTCAGGGCTCTGGACAAGGCCCTTGACAGGGCTCTGGACAGGGTCTGGACAGGGAGGTATACATACCCCCGTCTGCCCACTTTGGCCTCTTTACGTCTCTCTCTCCTTTCTTTGGGATACAACATATATACCGTGCTTCTTAGGACTCGCGCTGGCGCGTAAGGGACTTGCGCAGGTTATGCGTCTCTCGCCATCATGGTGAATGCCCTAACTGGAGACTGCCAGTCTCCCTTCCTGCAGGAGACGCTATTTCCCACCGTCGGGGGATTTGTCGACGGCCGCTATTGCCAACAGGTTTCGCACGGAAATACTTCGATATCCTGCTGCTTACCATGCCCTCTTGAAGAGTGGCGATATGATACCAGTTAGTCTGCGACTTGATAGTCTATCCCGGAGGAAATCTAACGGATTGCGCTTCATATAGACCTGAATGATAAAATCGGTGTCGCAAGCTGGATCAGCGTCGCCATCCTTCCTCTAGGGCTCTTTTTGCTAGTCTCCTACATCGTGCTGCCGGTCAAATGGACCCAGCGTCATTACCTGACTATTTGCATTACATTGGGAATCTGTTGCATGGAGGCAAGTGTAATATCCTATTTCCTTTTCCTTTTCCCATGGCTAACTAGAACGTAGCTCGCCTTCATTATTCCGCTCGGTGCCAAACCAGAACAATGCCACAATGCAATCACCCCTAATGATATGCGCTCCAATCTCTCCTGTGCCTTCTCTGGATCACTTCTTCTATTTGGAGGGTGGGTTGTGGTTATGTGGAGTTTCATCCGCACCTTGGGCTTCCACTTGCAAGTGTGCTGGGAAGTCGTCCTAGGCCCGAAGTTCATGTGGGCAGCCTTTCTCTTCGGATTCGGCATTCCAGCAGTCGGACTGACGGTGATGCTGATCTTGACCGGGGTATCATTTCGATTTGGCGAAATGTGTCATATCAACATTTCGAACGGATTATACGACTACTGGATTCCAATGATGATTTTTGCCGCCGCGGCCCTCTTCCTCCAACTATCGACAATCGCCTACTGCACCCATATCTATCTTCGCTCCTTCTTTGACAAAACCAGCTCAACAGTAGCCAGTTCTGGCGCCCTTCCCTCTTACACATCAAGTGTTCGCACCGTATCAGCCCGACAGGCCTACCGACGTGTGCGCCGCGTCCTTCAACTGCAATGGCGCGGTATCGCCCTCGTCTTGATCATCCTCGGCAACGTGATTTTCTTCGCAGTGATCTTCATCAATCTCGACAATGCCGTCGCCCCCACCGCGAAAAACATGGAAACCGCAGCCCCCTGGCTTGAATGCCTCGCCATAACCAGCGGCGACAGGGAGCGATGCCGCCCCTACGCAGCCGCCATCGGCCCCAACGAAGCAACCCTCCTCGCAGTCGTCCTTCTCCTATCCTTAGTGGGCTTCTGGAACTTCATTCTCTTTGCCCGGCCGTCCATGTTCGCCGGCTGGATCGATTACTTCTGGGGCAGCCGACGTGGCCTCGAATTCGTCTCCGCAGACCCGCACACCCGTTTCGCCGATAGCAAGGGCTTCGAGATGCTTACCGCGACTGTCCGGTCACCCAGTACAATTGTACGGTCGCCAAGCCCTTCGCGCATGGCCGGACTCAGCCGCAGTCCCCTCGCCAGCCCCGTGGGTAGTCCCACCTCCCCCAGCCCGACGTTCGATTACAATGTCGCTCGCGAGGCTCGCTACGTCCGTCCCTCGATGAGTTTCTCCGGGCCTAGGCCGCCTAGCTCGTTACATACTTCACATAATTCCCGCGATTGGGATCCTAACTCTACATTTGCGTCGGCGTACGGGCGAGAACGAGAGTAAGGTTACTGAAACACGTTTTATGGCTTTTCCTTTTTCTCTCACGTTTCATCAAAATACCGGGATGTTTCCTTTTTTATCTGCCTTGCAGCTTTGATCTATACTCCACCCGTTCCCATATCCGGAAACCAATACTACGCAAGAAAAGAAAAGGGGGTTCCAGGGGGGTTCTTTTTTTTTTCTCTCATTGGGACACGGTGTTACGGGACATGTCTCACTATTGGGCTAGGCGTCCAGTGCTTCACAATATTTTTCCTATGTGCGTATAATCTATGTATCAACGATGTGTTCAAACGGCCTGTTTCATATTCGTCCTCCTTCCCGAATAGTCCGATTATTCGATGCCACTCCGTCATTTATTTCTTTTTTTGATCTATGCATGAAAAGTGAATCCACATCTATTTAGTTTAATCTATTAGATCATATACACTTTATCTTTGAATGTTGTATGGAGAATCGACCGCCATCCCCATTGCGCCCCCAAAAGCCGATTTACATCGAACCGGTCTCGACTTCAATCTCAATCGCGACCATGGCTATAATTCCAATCTTCGCGGGATGCCCGTGACCACACGCCTGCGGTATCCCCCTTGTCAGGGATTATGATAGTGTATAATGTAGCCGACCGTGCGCTATGCATGCAGTTATCACAATCTCTGCATAAGCTGCCAGGATGGCGGGCTTACTAGGGTATGGCACTTAAAATACCGCATCCGAAGAACACCACCCCGGTCCCACGGGAATTACAGATGCAGATGCAGTAATAATCTAGAAGAATTTACCGACAGTCTAACAGACCCCAGTGGTGGACTATCAGGGCACTTGAAACACCCAAAGAGCGCACAATGTACATGGTGCTCCGTACAAAGAACGTACCAAATAAACCCACCTATTGCAGCCCAGAACCCAAAGCCTCGAAACAAAGCCCAACGAGGCAAGACCGCCGTTCCTGCATGAGAAGGCGTTGGTGGGGTGTCTAGTCGTCAGCCCACGCTAAGGATGGGCCTAGCGACTCCCGTTGGCACCGTAGCACCTGGACGGTGGAAGTGGGAGAGTCGGTAACCGTGGCCCTGGCTGGGGCCTTTGCTGGGGCCTGGCTCAAGTGGAGTTGTGGCGAGGCTGGACGAGTCTTTCTGTTTTCGCATATGTCCTCCATACGTCGTGTGGGAAACTATCGTCTTGGGGGAACCTTATTAGAGTGCCAATGCGTATGTGGTAGGTCTATACGGAGTAGCATGTGTCAGTACGGAGTACTTGTGTCTTGCAGTATATTGGATAATGTTGTATGGAGAGGGGAGTTAGTCGAACCTCGGGATTCTGAGTGCTGAAGACCAGTTTGTCCTCGCAGATCCACGGCTTTCCTTCCCCCGCTCCCAGCATCCCCCACACCGTTCGCATTTGGGAAATCCCACGACGATCGTGCCGTCGATTGGTGAATTGGACTTTTTCTTTCAACGGTTTCAACCGATCACCAATAGCCGGTGATCCGTACATCACAAGCAACGCTCCGAAAGGGCGGGGTGATCGACCGAACATCGTCTCCCCGGATCCTCACTACCGAGAATATGGAGTTTCTACGGGGAATTACGGGGTAACGGCTCGAGGTGCCGGGATGGGCACTAGTTTTGCTGTCGGGTAGCGGTTCTTCACGAGTCAGGATGAGGCGTCGGCACTTCTGGCATTTTGCAGGATTTGGCATGTGAGGTGAGGATTCCTTCGGATATCCGTATACTCCGCATACTCCGCAAACCCCTGCATTACAAGTGGCGATTGTAATCCGGGGAAGGCAGATTCATGGAGATGCAGGAATCGATGTATGCATCTTTTCCGAAAAGGGAATATGCAGACTCATCGCAGCCGCCGAGGTTGACATGTGATTTCGATGGACTTTGGGGGACTTGATACTTGCACATGGTCGACTTACAACTTGACGATTACTGAATTATCAGCTCTAACTGTGAAGGGTTAATTCTGGTTAACTTCCTACAGAGTGTCTATACAATTTGGCTGGAATTTTGGATCGTTGAACACCATGTGGAGTATATGGCGAGGCTTTTAGCCAACAAACCCTGTCAAATCTCAATAGGTCAGTATCGACTAGGATACCCAGGGTCTTATGATTTGGACATCCCAGCGTCTCCACATAGATCTCTCAAGTCCGTCCCCATTTAGAAACCCCGTGTCTGACAGGCCCGCAACACCTGGACACTGCGGGCTCAAGGGGTTTTGCGCCGTCCATTCGGAATCTGCAGGATCCAATCCCCTCAATTCAGCAAAAGCAAGAGCAAGAGCCGCGTTCCTAGGCCTCCTGGGTTTGGGCCGTTCCAAACAGAATCTCGGGTGGCAATTGCCCAGGACAAGCATCTCCAAATCCAATAAGAGATGCAAGTGGATACCGGCTCCAGAGCATTCGAAGTGGAGGCAATGACCCATCCTAGCAAGGATTTTTCTCAGGAGTTGTCCACAAGTTGCAGTGGCCCCGGAATTTGAGCCTCATAGCCGCGACAAGCACCGTTCTCCAGCGCTAATTATACGCTTCTGTCCTCTGACGAGTACCTCAGTTCATCGCGTGCTTTGGAGTAGATACCTGGGGATTTCTCGGGATGATACTGGATATACCATCCCGCTGGATGAACCAAAAGATATGAACCAGGCACCGTCTCTAGTTGCTCTTGCAGCACATAGAGGGCAATCTTTTTTTTCAAGTAGTGCGGATAGCACTATGACTGGTTAGATAGATGTCCACCTCAATGAAACATATTGCTCTATCAGATGACGGAACGAGTAAACGCCTCAAGTCGCCTACCTACGCTGGTTGCTCTTATACTTCTTATCTTTCCATCGGTGTCTCAACGGTCAGAGTGTCAAGTTGCCTGTCTGTGAGAGGATAGGAAACATTTACAGCGGCACAGAACTCTTGAAAATGACATCAAGGCAGGAGAAAATGACAGGCTGCCGGTGGCGACTGAACAAGACCAACGAGGAGCGAGCAGGGATTATAGACGAAGTCTAATTGCGAAGAGACGTCGTATTCTCAAACGCTATGCCAAGTCCCCATCTATCAACAAGTCCTCACAACGCGGTCGTTTTCTCTCGCATTAGAAAGGGATGCAAGGGCGCTGGATAACCTCAACGCAGACACGAAGGCGAAACTCCACGGTACCAACTGAGTTTAGAAGAACTTCTCTTGCTTCGCTCTGTGTCGGCTTAGAGAGCTAATTGGAGTGGGATGCGATTTCGATTGGAATGATGTGTTGGATCTCCCGTCAGAGGTCGTCATATCAATGATCACCACCACATAGTCCATGGTTTGTCCCCGGTTTGGCAAATTCCATCCTTGAAACTCCCGTCAAACAAAATTTGCTCTTTAATCCAGAACTAAAGCCCCGCCATATTCCCAGAAATATAGCGAATGGCCTCTTTTCCTTCATTGAAAGTCATATAGCCAGTGGCAGAAGTGTTGACCTCTTGATGAACCTTCTTGTAGCCGAAAAGGTGTGAGTAGCAAAGATGCGAAGATCTCAAGAAGTTATAGGCGACGTAGGCATGTCGTGGTGTGAATGTACGGCTCGAACATGGTGCAAATTTCACCAGCCAGAAGGAGGTACCGACACTTGACAAGTTAGTTGTTGATTACGGATTGGTCGGCAGTGTTTGGATACTCAAAATCGATGGCCTTTGGAAAGTGCACGCAACGATAGAGGTGCTAAAGGATGATGAAAAGGGATAAGATGAGGAGCAGGAAGAAAGGAAACTGGGCTCATACCCCGTTAGACAAAAGGGCTCGACAGGGAGAGGCGTCAAAATGTATAATGTAGATGGTTGTATAAGGCTGAAAGTTATAGGTAGAAAGGAAGAATCTAAATTTATATAAAATCTGGCTCCTGTGAGAGCAGATAGAGGAAGGAGAGGTGATGAAGACTGTCTCATAGAATACCACTAGCTATATAGTACCCTGGATTGAGGGCCCAAAAGTTAGAAGCTGAAAGCAAAGCAAACATTGACAGCATAATTTCCCCATCCCTTAAATAGGTCTTTGTTCAAGGCCTAAGGCTTCCCATAAGGAGACAACTATGTTTTGTTATTGTGAGATACCAATGAATTCTATACAGTTGAGAAGCAATAGAGTTATGTCGAGCTGAGTAGAAGATAGGCCCGTTTTCTTCCTCTTTAGCTCAGATTACTAGTACTGACTACAGATATATAGCACCTATGAGGTATGCTAAAATCTTCAAAATAATTGTCAAGCTTCTGTATATTTCTGCGCAACAACCGACAAAAGCAAACAAGCAAGGAACACATTCTTCAAATTCAAACATAACAGGAAGTCCAAAAACTGTCACGGTGTGTAGCCACAATATCTAGTGTGCAAGATCGAGGTTACCATTGAATATAATATCCAATTACAGGCCACCAGCAGCACAAATCTTCTTAGCCTGAGAGACACGCTGCGTATATCGACTGGGATAGGCCGAGCGCTGCACCTTCTGGCAAAGCTTACCAACGTCCATAGTCTTCCAGCCCTTGACACCTTTCATGCCCTTAAAAAACTGTGCCGCAGACTTACCAGCATTCATATTGGCAGCGATGTTGGGATAGTAGATGGCGCGTTGCTGGAAGATACCGACGCTATCGTAGTCCGAGCCCACGGCATCGTGTGGATACTTGAGGGAGGCAGGGACCTTCTTGTTGGCATACATGAGAATATTGGACTTGGGATAATGTTAGCAGTATTCTAAGCAGTTCTTGTTTGGAAATTGAATATGTTTGCTAGGGCTTACCTCGACAAGTGCAGTTGAAATACCAGCAAGACAGCCCTGGCGGCCTAGGCCTTCCTTCTTTGCTTCTTTGATAATGGCCTTTGCGTGCTTGGTCTGGGTGGCCGAAAGAGTGGGCAGTTTCCCACTGCTGCCTTTGCCTTTGCCACTTCCGCTACTGCATTTCTTGGTCACATAGCCGTTGCTTCCGGTCTTGATATAGTAATCAGCAATGTAACAGCCGTCCGCGGTCTTGTCCCAGATTGCGTTGCCGTTGACACTGGTGCCGGAGGTCTGGCAGGTAATTGCAACGTTGGCTCCCTTCTTGTAGCTTCTGACCACGGAGTGGGAGGTGCCTGGACCAGAGCGGCAGTTGACAACGGTTCCAGTGATGGGGTATGCGCTGACAATTGGGGCAATGGCAGCAAACGTGAGGGCCAAGATAGGAGTGAACATCATCTTGAATAGATATCTGGAAATAAACTTGAAGACAAGTGTGGTCTTGGTGGTGTTGTCGATTGTAGAGTAGTTGATGTTTGCGATGTTTGGGGCTGATGAATAGAAGATATTGAAGGGCAATCAACGAGCATTTTATATCCCTGGGCTCCTCATTCTTGAAGTTCGTATAGCACACCAACGATCTATTTTGTTCATTCTCGAGTTGCACCCCGTGAAGCTCGTACAGAGCCGTGTGAAGTGGACAGAAATCTTCAATTCGTATCCGTAGATGCTTTCCAAGACCGTATTGGGCGTTGAAGTTGTATAGAGCGGTAGTGACAGAGCTATTTTCAGGAGGAAGTCTCGTATAATCCTCGAAGGGGGCTCTCGTGTTATTTCAACTGTCCGATGTTGTTAAGCTTAATTTGAACATCGCTTAAGCTTGGCGCTCGTGTTCCTGAAGACTTGCCTGCCACGGCGCAAGCAGCACCCCTAAAAATAGTAGGGCTCCCCGGAGATCAGCATTAACGAATGCATGTCATCCGTATTGTGATCGGGCTTTCCTCCTCATTCGACTGTTATGTTCCTGGCAAGTTTAGTGCATACTACGTCGGAAGGCGAGATTATTCACGAGGCTTCTCGAAGACAAATTTAGGTATCCGATCCACGTTAGACGTGTATTGCTTCATCATAAATCGCTGTTTAGTTGGCACCTTTGAACGTGTGTAATGAGAATATTGTTTCCAGAATTGAGGATGGAGAGTTATGTGTGTAAATCTCGCATCGCCCATTGAGAGTTCCAAGGTTCTTTCCAAGCTGTATGGAAATGCGAGCTCGCATACATCGCTAGCTGACCATGTAGAAATACTACATGGAGACTAGACTGAAGGATCAAAGGTGCAGTTTAGACGTGCTAGAAGCATAACGACCATACTCGCTATATTTGGGATCGCTGAGCTCCGGTCCGTCTAAAGATAGCATTCAAAGCCTCGGGTCTATGAGAGAGCTTTTCGAGCAAACCAAGCGTAGAAAATGGCTTTACTAGGCTTGCCTTTGTAAACAGTCTCAGCTCATTGGACATGGCAAGTTTGATTAACCGGGTTGAGGAATCAAGCGTGTATCTTTCATTCCCAGTTGACATTTGATATTGGTGCTGCCATGGAGGAATGACCAGAGCTGGCTTAGTTGGCTTAGTGAATGGGTCTTTCGATGGCCCACACGTCTTTTTCGTCCATTTCCTCCATTTCCTCCATTTCCTCCATTTCCTCCATTTCCCTTGGTGATTCCGACGCTGTCTGTTTGCATGGCCCTCTTCTATGACCGATTGGGTACATAGGCCTCAAAGAACCGATAATGGGCTCAAAGCACACGTGGAGTATGCTGTAGGTCCAGACTTCTTTGATTTGATGTTCGAGAAAGAAAAAAAATCAATGATCTGCACCGGGCCAATCCACACATGAACTATTGGCGAGCCTTGCCAGCGTATGCAAATGGCCGAGAACTAGTGCCGAGAATGGATCTCCAGCGGGTCAGTCACACCGACTCGACTCCGTCGAGGGTTGGGACGAACCGAATACTCGAACAGTTTCAAATAATTGAATCAGAAAAAGAGACATAGAATAGAAGGATAGAGGCTCTATAGAGCTCTAGAGAAGTAATTGCATCATCCCGAATACCCGACGTCACCGCGGTAGAAGGCGGAGAGAAGCTCTCGTTGTGTGCGAGTTGTCTCCCCGCTCTCTGCCCAGCCACCCTTTCACCTGTCGCTGTCCACATTCTCAGCTTTTCTTTTCTTCTATTCATCTCGCCGTTGCAGTTCCCAATTCCATCATCCTAGTTATTTAATCCTCGGTGGAAAAATCACCATGGCTCCTCCTCCTGCAACCTTGCCTCTGGTTGAGAGACTCAAGACCCTGGCGCAGACCCTACAGTGCGTTTTCCTACCGTGCTGAAACAATGTTCAGTAATGGCCCGACTTGTTTACCAGTGCTAACAAAGGTCACATTATAGGTTTGCCTGGTTCATTGGGTAGGTCAATTTACTTCAGCGCACAGGGACAAAGACCCAAGTCCACGGCAACTGACAGTTTTTAGACATGTCACGCTGCTACTTTCAGTCTTCCGTTACTCCCTTTCTTGTGTCTTCTTCAACTACTACTCCTCCTCGGCACAAATCGCCTACCGATTGACCTTTATCTCGGCCGCCGTGACTTATGGAATCGTTGTGTACAAGGGCCACTTTGCCCGGGGTGTTCAGGGCAGCCCTCTGGCCATCGTGACAAAGCTCACCTCCGATGAGAATGTGCAATATCTTGGTGAGTACTGGGTGATGTGATGGTATAAGACTGCATGCTGACCCGTGTTCTAGGTATGGCTCTGGTCTGGCTGTACTCGCGCCAGCTCATTCTGGCTCTTCTGCCTTTCAGCGTCTACTCGATCTTCCACGTCGCAACCTACACCCGCATGTACCTGATTCCTACCCTGCAGCCCCCTGCGCCAGCCGCCCCTACTTCTCCCACCTCCCCCAGCTCCAAGCCTGCCGTCAAGCAGTCTCCCCTCGCTGAGACCATCGGACGATTCATCAAGCAGTACTACGATGCTAGCATGGGTGTTGTCGCTACTCTCGAGATCGCTCTGCTGTTCCGCCTTGTGCTCTCCGCCATTACCTTCTCCAAGGGTAGCTGGGTTTTGTTGATTATTTACCTGTCTTTCTTCCGCGCCCGCTTCGCTCAGAGCTCCTTCGTTCAACAGGCTGTCCGTCAGCTCACCGCTCGCGCCGACGCCTCGATCTCCCACCAAAGCACTCCCCCTCAGGTTCGCCAGGGATGGGAGGCCTTCAAGGGGATCGTGCGTCAGACCTACGAGGTCACCGATATTGCCCGCTATATTCCTGGTGCTACTGCTGCCAAGAAGCCCCAGTAAATGCCACTAGCGCCATGTGCCAAACACCTTGCTTTGCTGGCTGGATTTCTTGGTCTCACGAAAGAACGTTGGGGTTTGGCTTGCAAGATTGCTGAATGAAGGTGGCCGGTATCAGATATGACATCACAGCTTTATCTTTCACATTGGTGAGTTCTACGCCTGGGCGAAGAACATGGAGGAGGTCGCGGAGTGTGGGACGTCCACAGTCCCAACTGTAGAAAAGAGGGGGACGTGGAGGAGTCCCGCCATGATAATGCTATACGCAACGACTTGTGTTTATTATTCCTAGAGTTTTGCGATGCATAGTCTCTGTATTTGCTTTTCTCTTGTCAACATACCTTGTTTCGGAAACATTTCATTATTTCCATTTCAAATTCTCCAAGGGTAGAGATTCGAATCTCCATGCTTGAGTCTAAAGTAATCATAGACTAAGATAGACACATGTTTGTGCCCTCACAACGCAACTCCTGCGATATCAAGCCTGCGATATCAAGGACAAGAAGCGCATTTGTAGAATGAGCATCAACCACGGCTATCAATTGGATTCTTGTGCACATTAGAGAGAATTGTCTCTTGGCCCAATCTACCTGATAGTCGTGATGCCATTCACAGGATCAACATGGCCCAATGACGAAATCCCGTGATTAACGCCTGAGGCGGCAAGTCGGGCTTGGCACCGAGAAGCCGATCAGAATTTTGGCACCAAACATCTGACAAACCATATTAATCGATTCTTTCTTGGCTTCTTGATTTCCTGTCACTCTTTCTTATTCTCCTTATCTCACCGGGGTGCTACTCTCCATCAAATCCCTCAGCACCCCCTGATCCCCAAACTGGTCCCGACCAGAAATACTCGGGGTTGCAGTATAATATTGCCATGAGCCTGACCTCGCGGGTGTTCGGCCTGTTCACGACAGCGACCTCGGACTCAACAGCATCACCTGCGGGGGACTCGCATACCTCGATATGGTCACAGACGGCTCGAATGGGTGGAATCAACGATTCGAGCTACCCGGTTCAAGATGACCTCGCGCCGGAGGAGGAGCCTAGGCCTCCATATCTACATGTACGATTTATCTCGGCGGATCACACCTAGTGGGATCATAAACCATTGCGCAATGCTGACCGGATGTATCAATATAGGCAATGTTGGCTGGTGGTACCGGAGGAACATGTGGCGACATGTTGATGCATTCGTTAGACACCGTCAAGACTCGACAACAAGGCGATCCGACGTTTCCGCCTAAATACACATCTATGGGACAGTCCTACGCAACAATCTATCGCCAAGAAGGATTATTTCGTGGGTTATATGGAGGAGTGACACCGGCCCTTCTCGGCTCGTTTCCCGGCACCGTGATCTTTTTTGGCGTGTATGAGTACACAAAGCGTTTGATGATCGACTCTGGAATCAATCCCAGTATCGCCTATCTATCCGGTGGTTTCTTTGCCGACTTGGCTGCCTCAGTGGTCTATGTGCCGTCCGAGGTGCTGAAAACCCGACTTCAACTGCAAGGTCGCCACAACAACCCGCACTTCAATTCGGGCTACAACTACCGCAACATGAGAGATGGCTTCCGCCAGATCGTTCGCCAGGAGGGATTTTCCGCATTGTTCCATGGATATAAGGCCACCATCTTCCGCGATCTGCCATTTTCGGCACTCCAATTCGCATTCTACGAGAAGGAACAATCTTTGGCGAAAGAGTGGGTCGGGAAACGGGATATTGGACTGGGTTTGGAGATTCTAACAGCCGCCACCGCCGGCGGTATGGCTGGTGTGATCACCTGTCCGATGGATGTGGTCAAGACGCGCATCCAAACCCAGCAGAACCCGACGGAACCGGCTGGACCATCGGGCGCCAAACACTCTGTCGAACCTGTACCTAAAGAAAGTCCTCGACCCCATGCACCGGCATCATCACATTCCCACCCTTCCCGGCCACACTCGCGACCAATCTCCACATCAGGGGCAAACACCACCATCCCACCACCCGGTGCGCCCCGCCTCGACACTTCCTCGGTGTTTACTGGGTTGAAAATGATCTATCGGACGGAAGGTATTGCGGGGTGGTTCCGCGGCGTGGGCCCACGCGGTGTATGGACCAGCATTCAGAGCGGCACGATGCTGGTTATGTATCAGTACCTGCTCAAACAACTCGAAGCCCACCAGATTTTGGAAGAGCGGCCTTGAGCTTTCTCATCTGTCATTCATCTCACTGCATGCATTCCTCAGGTTGCGGTTCTCCTTTTTTTTCATCTTTTTTTTTTTTGTTGGGGAATGGGGGCGTTGGATTCTTTGTCCCGATGTGGGATGTTTATGACCATCGGTGCTTTCAGCACTTTGTATACTTGTGTACGCTACTCTGTGATAGAATTTTAGACAGGCCACGGCCTCTGTACCATAGCACATTTCAACTCCATCTGTTACATATTACACATGTATATTGCACATTCTTTGATTCTCCTTGGGTGGCGTGAGGTCGAGATGTTTTGACAGCTTAGCTGTAACCAGGCCACAGAGAAGATCGACCGTATTCATAAACCATATAGAATACAAGAGGGTTGAAATTGCTCTACGTTCTACCCCCAATTGACCAGAACGACTATAAAAAGATCAGCCCGACACCCCGGACTAAAAGCAATGCGCCACGGAACAAAGGAAGTGGACGCGCTAAACCGTGTTTTGTTTTGGCGATCGGCGGATGTAAACAATTACCGGTCACTCCCCTCCTTACATCTTCTTTTCCCCCCTCCAGTATTTACTTTATTTGACATTGGTCCAATTTCACAATCTTCGATACACTATGTCTCTTTCTTATCTCAAGTCGTTGAAAAAGGCCGAGCTGGCTGAGCTAGCCGAGCAAACCGACTTGCCAGAGTAAGTGTGGATGCGATTGTCGCATTCATCAGAGCTGATCGTCGAACCGTCTATAGCTACAATGACTATAACAAGACTGATCTTGTCATCCTACTGGATAAACACTTGCGCGAAAATCGCTCGATATTCATCGGGCTCAAGAGCCTCTCTGAATACTATGTGCGTTTGGCCTCGCCACCCCGCAAAGGATCGCCCGTGAAGCGCGAAGCCACAAGAACTCCCGCACGTCGCTCAGTAAAGGAGTTCAAGCAAGAAGAAATTAGGTAAGGGCGCATCTCTGCTGTGCGACCTACTGCGCATCATTTAGTCTATCGCGATCGCATAACTAACACCCGCCAGCGAGGATGTGGAAAGTGTGCCCAGCCCAGTGGTGGTCAGCCCGACCCCAGCTGCGGTGCGCTCGAGCCCGCGTCAGACTGCGCGCCAGACCCCCCGCCAGACTCCTCGTCAGACAGTTCATGCTGCCGTCGTGGATCAGGAGCCCACGCTGCCCGCATCACCGGCTATCATCACCGAGGTGATTGATGCCCAAACCACCAAACTGCGCGAGAGCATCGAGGACGTATGGACTTCATCGGGCATGGTTGAGCGAGCTCACTCCCTGCGCGCATCGCTGAGCAGCCTGAAGGCCGTCGAGATCATTCTGCTCCTGCTTGAGAGCGGCAGTCTTACCAAAGAGCTGATGCCTCTTCGCTACCTCACCACTACCCCGCCTGTGCAAGCTGCGCAAATCCCTGCTATTCCCATCAGAGTCCCTGACCTGTTTGCGGTGCTCGATGGAGCGTTCTGGGCTCCGTTTTCTCTGTGGTTCCTGACTTGTCTGCTTTTGCCTTTGATTTCGGCCTACTTTATCAACCCCAGCTGGCAGGCTTCTACCAATGCGCGCCGCTCTCGGTCGGCGCCTAAACTTGCCCAGTTTGATCCGTTGACTTTCAACATCGTCAAGGCATTGTTGGTGCACTGTGTCTTCGGCAACAACTTCAACTTCTTTGGTTTATATAGCGATTTTGCTATTCGGAAGGTTATTGAATCGGTTCCTGGTGCAAGTGCCGGTCTTTTGACTGGAACTGCCATCGGCGGTATTGGAGCTCTATACGAGGCCATCCTGCACCGTTCATAAAAAGTCATCCTGACTATATGTTGGGGCTGTACAGATGATCTGGTGGGGAGTTGCGGTCATTCAATGGGCTTGAGTGGGTTCTATTCCACTCGCCCCAATGGTCTGTTTTATTGTTCGGTTACGGGTTCAAGTTGGGTCGCTGGCATGTGGATTATGCGATATGTGATACTGGGTCTTTCTTTTCGCTTGACTTTGCCCTTTCCCTTTTGGTCTTCGTTCTAGCCAGAGAAGGCGCCTTGGGGTTTTTAGTCTGCTTCTCGTTCCGGTTAACTTTTTTTTGGGATATTTTACTCTGTTTTTCTCTTTTAATGACCAAACAGTTTTCTTCAAATGTATGAGGAAATCAGGGTGTAGTCTATGTATAATCAATTGGCTTAGGTCTATGTCGTACGCAAGCTATATGGTCGTATAAGATATTGAACGAGTCGTAAGTTTTGGAAGTCACCAAGCTTCGGAGATGATCATGAAATTGTTCACAGCGACGCTCAACGTCAAGCAATTTCGACAGTCGAAAGAAAGCCCATAGAAACATGGTATTATGGCTGTAGGCTGAGTTCCAAATGTGCGATAGAAAGATGTAGTTCCCACGGGCCAATATCCGTACGGTCAATGGAGTCTGACACATTTGGAGCGGCTCTCGTGGTCCCCCGTTGATCTCCGTGCCCGAGTCCATGCTTCACAGGCACGATCACCGCTTAAACCTCTCCGCCAACTCCACTGTGAATAAAACCGGTACAGAGGTCTCAATCTCCACCTTGTCGGCACGGATATGGTTGCTTGTAGATATTTGCCCTCCCATCTCGGTATGCCAATTCTCCACATCCCATTCAAAGCCATGTGTTGTGATCGAGGCAGGCGCTGAGAGAGGGATGATCCCAATGTTTTCTTCAAAGAAATATTCTTGTTCTTGCGCCTTCTCTCTTTCCTGCTCTTGATCACGCTTTCGCTTGCTCGACGATTTGAGCATATCAGATACTGTCTCTGTCGTAAGGTCTGCGCGTCTTGTTGCCGGTGTGAGAATTGTATTCTTCCCCGTTTGGAGAATGAATGTAATGCTTTCCTCGGAGACCAGATAGAGATTGCCACCACCACCTGGTTTGGTGTCCGAGTTTGGAGACTTGTTGCCGTTCTCACGGATTGAGCGCTGCGTTTGCGTCATCATGTATAAATGGTGGACTTGCGAGAAGGCTTGGTCCACGCGGCCGCCGAGACCACCGAGGATCACAATTTCCAAGGGTGATTCATCAGCTGTTGAGGCTGATGTGCTTTTACTTGCGCCATTGATGTTCGGTTTGATTGAAGTCTTTACTCCGCTCGGGGGAAGCTATGATTTCTGCCGCATGTGTATTGAGATATTGCAGACACTTGGTAAAGTCTGTGGTGTACTGATCTGGGTCTTGAATAACAGAGACGCCGAGTTTCTCATAATGCTCTCGTACTGTACGGTGAATAGAATCAAGGTCGCCAACAATGGCGTCGGGAAGCTATATCTCTGGTCAGCCTGATATCATGACTTTGTACATCCTTTACAGTGCTCTAGTTAGATTGTGTGATTAATCAACTTTCACTTTAGAAGGATACTGCAAAGATTCCAACACACAGATACCCCTTACATCTGTAGATTCAGTTCCATTGATTTTCATCATATCAAAAAGCCGATTGGCGCCTCCATCGGCGCACAGAATACAAGATGCTGCATGGAAATTAGCGCTCCTGGTTCTTCAGTACATATCGATTGTGTATAATCCATATAGAAAGTTACCATATCTGCTCAACACCCCAAATGCTTTCTCGTTGATTGGCTGGTTGAGGATGAGCAGAGCGTAAGGCGAAGGACTCCCCGAAGAACGGAAGAATCGACTGGGATCCCACTCCATTACAGATGAAAGTAACCCAATTTCACTGTCTCAAATGCCGTAAACAACTCAACGCAGCGAAATCCAAGGCCTGAAGGGCTGTGTGGTGACGATATAATTATCTTGACCCAAGCTGCAACGTGACTGGCTGACGCGGGCAGACAACCTCAGGCCAAAATCCACATCGCTTTCCAACTTCTCCATCCCGCGGTGCCTCGATTCCCCTCCCCTCAATCCCTTCTCGGAGGAACTCTCGGTCTTTTCGATTGATTCTCGCTCTTTCCACACATCATGTTCCGTCCCGCCGCTCGAGCGCTTGCCCGCGCGCCCGCTGTCGCAGCCCGTACACCAGTGAACAGACGATTGATAAGCACCGGTCCGACCAAGTCGAGAAGCTGGAAGAACACTGTCCTCCGGTTGGGCTTGGCTGGTGGTGCTATCTACTACTACAACACTAGCAGTGTTTTCTCCGAGGAGCCGAAGTGTACGTTTCGCTGATTGGAGTCGGGTTTGCCCTTGTGCCTCGTTTCCGAGGTTGCAAGCCGCGACAACTCTGTCACAAGTCAAGGCCAATGAGGTCCGGAATCACAAATCGTCGCTAACACTGGTTTTGTTTTGCTCTAGTCTCTGTCCTTTCTACAATCCGGAAACAGACTGGCGACGATGCCGAAGCCAAGACCCTCGATTCCATTACTCCCAAGATTCGGGAAGAACGGGCTGCCGCACAGTCCAAGAAGAGCGAATCCGCTGCTTTGGAAGGTGGATTGAACCCAGGGGAGCTCCAGGAGGAGGCTAGCCAGGAGGCCGCATTCAACCCGGAGACCGGCGAGATTAACTGGGACTGCCCATGCCTTGGAGGTATGGCCCACGGACCATGCGGAGAGGATTTCAAGGCTGCGTTCAGCTGCTTCGTCTACTCCGAGGAAGAGCCCAAGGGAATTGACTGCATTGATAAGTTCAAGTATGTTTGTCCGTCATTGAGAGCGATGGTTCTGTACTAACGATTTCTGTAGGAACATGCAAGATTGCTTCCGTCAACACCCTGATGTCTACGGCGCCGAGCTCGAAGACGACGATGAGCCTCAAGCCGATGCTCCCGCCCCCTCCGATGCTCCCGTTACCTCTGATGCTCCCGCTCCCTCCGATGCTCCCGCTCCCTCCGAGGCCCCTGCCTCCTCCGAAGCTCCTCCTTCTGCCGCCGAGTTGGATGCGTCGTCAGAGCCTACCGAGAAGCAGGCCCGCGCCAAGGATGTCAACGCCCAGGTGAAGGCTGAGGTCGCTGCTATCGGTGATAACGCCGATGGCGAATCCCTCATCCCCAAGGCCGCACATGACACCGAGGAGAAGAACCAGGCCACCGAGGCTCAAAATTAAGGACGTCGTGAATCACCCACATCTTGTTCGACGCCACCCTTCCCCAGAGACAAGTCTACTGCTTGATCTCTTTTCTGTAATGCACATCAGGGAGTAGGACTGGAGTTGTGTATTTATAGACCGTTCTGCCATCTCTCCATCTCCCATTTTGTCTCCGGTGCATTTCCCCCCTGATCTTTCAGCATATCCATTCCCCGATCTGCGCTCCTCTCTCTTCTTTCTGATCCTTCCTCTCCGTCAATGTGTAACTTAGTGTACTGATATGCTTCATGCTCTTGTCCTTTCGGACAAACAAAAGAAAGAGGGGAAATAGACTTGTTGCATCATGACTACTATGTAGTCCATTCTGCAGGCACCGTAAAGCCCACGTAGTCAACCCATTTTGCCCATTCAGCCGAGTCTCCAAGTGTACCTCGATATATTAGCCAAGTCTTTGGAGCCAAATAAAGCCGACAACTAATGGCCGTCTCAAGTGCATTGCCATGCTCTACCTTTTGTTCTGAGTGATGTGAACGCATACATAAATTTCAACCCGGGTGCTCTCCAGGATACCTCAAACAAGCATCAAACGCTTGATGCTCGGTTTCTTCGACATCCCAAGGCCCTGCATACAATGCTTTTTTCTCGTTTTTTCTCGTTTTTTCTCGTGTCAAAACGAGCACCGGAAGTTTGCTGTTTCCACCCATATCTTCTATGGTAATATCCACGCGTCAAAGGTCACTGCCCTCGGGGGGAGTCTCTAGGAAAATAATCTAACTCCTCTCTGAGTGGAGGCCGTCCAGAGCTTCAGCGATGCCTATATACAAGGGATTTTAGACCGGGCGACATGGCTTTCCCTTTCCGCTTTAGTGCTCACCTCTTGCCGCTCTTAGCTCACTGAGTATGACGGGACCGTTTTGTACATTTTGTACATTTTGCACATTTTGCACATTTTGCACGTTTTGCACGTTTTGCATCATTTATATCAGCATATTCGGGAGACATCGGACAAAGTCATGTGATTGCCAATCTCATCTATCAAATACATCTATACTCTATAGTATATAACCCATTATTCATAAGATCTATTGGAACTCCCTCCTTCCCCTGACCATTTTTCTCGCTCTATCTCTCCTATCTTAGATCTACTATCATATCTAATTATCTCATCAATCTTATCAATTAAATCCTATAAAACAGCCCAATTACGTAGTGTACGGGCTACCATGGTGCGCAGATCCCGGACCCACAATGCCAGGATATATAATTGCCCACCAAACATGACGCATGTCGATATTCGATATTTCTAATTAGTTGGATATGTATATCAATCAACCTCTAAGCACTGGCAAATGTGCCATTAGAGTCCAAAAGTTCGTTGTTGACCTGACAATGCACCACACTCATGTCATCCACGTAAACTGCCTGGCCGTCGCGGATAATTTCGTGCACGTACCCGAGGCTCATACTAAAAGGATACATTATCAGTTGAGTCATAGTAATACAACATGCCTTGGGGGTATCATACCGTGTCCGACGAGCACGATCAGTGCGATCCGCAAAATTCAAGTGATCCATGGCAACACGCTCCTTGTAGATCGGATCCTCTTTGAGGGCGATAAAAGATTCAAGACTTGGGATGATAATCTGCACTATAAAGTCATGGTCCGAGTACTCGACATAGTTGGGATCGAACAGAAGAGGGAGCAAGTCCATCGGCTTAGCGGCGTTATGCGTCTGAATCCCGTAGTCAGTTTTTTGCATTCTTGCTGCATTTCATGGTCAAGAAGGAACATCAATCATACAATACTGTAACGGACTACTCCGTACTTCTGCATCAGCCCGGAGACCAACTGAGAATGCTTGTTGACTTGGAAATCGCAGAGCTCTTCCTCAGTGAGTCCTGGTTTCTTGTACCCCAACATGGTGAGGCATAGGAGCCGGCGAGTGGGAGTAGCGGTGACCATTTTCGGAGGAATTCCTGAGCTGTGTATAATAAGAAGCTACTTGCAATTGAACGGTGTTGTCTTCTGACGGAAATTTGCCTCGAAGTGGACGCTTTTATAGCAGATATGAAGCTTGACGGTGTGCTCGGGGATCCAACGGATATACCTGCCATCTCCGGTCGGAATCCGAGAATACTTGCCCTAGTGCCGTGAACTCAGTGAGGAGGTCATGATTTTAAGGAAATCCTGTTCTTTTTCTTTTTCTTTTTTCTTTTCCCTTTCCACTCGTAGTTGAAAACATGGCATTTATTCCGGTCAAGCATACGGGCTCCGATCTATGTACGAACGCAGCCATGTAGACCCCATCTACCGCATTCGGCAAATTAAGTAACAAATGAGAAGATCTTCCGGTGACAGGTCATGTAGAACCTCCAAATCAGACCACCTCGATCTCCAGAATTGACAAATCGCTACCTGGCGGCCTCGAAACCTTCCGCACTGCCAATCGACCCATCTCGCTCTCCACCTGATGCACCAAATTTCCCCAATCCATAATACTCCGTCCCCGACCATTAGCAAGTTCCAATTGAATCATCTGTCTAGTTTGCACCATGGCTTCTTCGTAGTGGTCGAGCTCGCCGTACTCGGGAAGAACTAGATCCATGATCAAGATCCGGCCATGAGGCTTCTGAGCATGCAACGCGGGCAAGAAACTTTTCAGAATAGACTGGCACATAAAGTCAGGCAGATTGTGAAGAACATGTCGGAAGAGGAAGATTTTAGGCCCAGAATGTGTTCTTTTTAAACCTGATTTTTCTTCTTCCATTTGCGCACCATCTGCTCGCGGATCTGCTGGCGGTTGGATGATAGTGATTCGCGATCGGAATTCGTCACCCAGAGACATATACTTGGAATTAATCTGTGCCACTGCTTTCTCTTGCGGCTGTACCTCAAACGACAGAGATGGAAACTCCTCCGCTAGCGCAATACTACTGGCGAGGCTTGCGCTGTTGACCTATTCGGTATCAGCTGCTGCGCCGCTTTTATGTGCACGAGCTTCCAGCAAGGCAAAGTCCGAAGTTTGTACTTACATCAACAATGACAGCGTCTTCCAACTGTCCCCATGCATAACCTGTCACGAGGTGCCGGACATCATTAGAGTCCACCATTTCGGTGGCCTGAACAAACTGACCCATGTCCCGTGCAATGGAGGGAGTATCAGCCAAGAACTTCCCAAACGGCAATGTCGAGTTAAATGCAAGATTGAATGGGCTGTGGGTGGGATCACGGCTGTTGCCCCATAATTCCGTCGCTGCTGTAAGCTGGCTACTAGCGTTGAACACATATTGTGATACGCAGGTAGTCCACGCAGCGAACGGGGGGCTATCGACATGAAGCAAAGAAGTCGCCGAATGCCCGATAGTATCCGAGGAATGAAACTCGAAAAGTCCGCTCGTGGCTACCATCCGGAGAACGGTGGTGAGTTGGTCTAAAGGAAGATTGGCGGTCGCAGCTAGATCCGAAAGAGTGATTGATCCTTCCCGTGGAACTAGATGGAAGACTTTGAACTGGCTGAGATAGCGGAGGCAGACGGTATATTGATGCTGTGGCATGTTAATTTAACGGATCTAGTGCCGTAGAACCTCCCGTCACTGGAAGAGAAGGGGTTTAGGATGTAAAGTCCATATTCGAACTCACATTCATAGATAAATGAGCAGCATATTCGCTAGGCCCGCTGGCCAGGCGAAACAATGCCAGTGCATCCCGTTTCAGTTTGCGGCGGAGCTCATGGGCGTCTTGAGGGGCAGCAGATGGAAGCACCTGGATTGGAGTACCGACATCGAAAGATGGCAGTGGGTAGTGGAGTTGTTGAATATGATGGCTGAGCTGCACCGCTGTAATTCCAATTTCTGTCCCTAGACGCTCCATAATGGAGGTTGGTTGACACTGCTCTATCTCGGTATCTGGTTTCATTTTGTCTTGGGAATAGGTAGAAAAGGTCGGCAACAATGTCTTTCCACAGACTGAGAGACAATAGATTTCGTACAGCTGGAGGTAGAATAGCGGCTGCCACCCGATTGTAGTAATTAAAGTAATCCGCCAAGGCTCCTGGCTTGCAGAGGCCGTTCGGTATACGAGTATGTTGCCCCGATGACAGGCAGATCGGATTCCGAAAGCACCCTTGTTCAATGGGCCCATGGCATGGGTGCTTTTTCACATTGGTAAATCGAATCATGACAGCCTTGTCACAGTTATTGCGCTCTACAAAAAGGAGGATATCGACTCATACCACACAATCATCCGATTTCATTTCACAGTCCCTCGGTCCAGCGATAGCGCGAAGATGTTTCCCACTCTAGTATCATGTGTTCTCTTCCTTTATGTGTTGCGATGGCCATCATTTTGGACAGCCGGGGTCGCGGCCTTGAGCTACATGGCCTACACCTTCTTGAACAACCGGTACAACAATGGCCTGCTGCAGTACCCGGGTCCCGCGTTGGCCTCCATGACGAATATCTGGCGTGTTCGCGATGCCTATGTTAATGGAGATAAACGCCCATCATACGTCGCCCTGCACAACAAGTATGGAAATGTAGTTCGTCTTGGACCCAAATCGCTGTCATTCGCCTCGCCTGCGGCCATTGCAGATATTTATCCAGCAGAGAAGAATATGGCCAAGGTAAGCCCCACCTTCTACGTAACTCAGTATAACGAGTCGCGATAAATAACAGTCGAGAACGAGATAGTCCAACTGGTATGTAGCCTTTGAGGCCCACGGCAAAGGACGCAAGAAGGAGAACATCTTCTCCACGCGCGATATCCACTGGCATGCCCGGTACCGGAGTCTTGTCGGACCCGGATTTAAGCTGACAAACCTGGCCCCGAAAGAGCAAGAGATTGATCAGTTGATCGTGAAGCTACTGAGAAACCTCGATGCTGCCGGGACCAAAGAATCCCCTGTCGTGGATCTGCCTCTCAACCTGCAATATTTCACTTTCGATGCCGGTGGTGTCATGGCTTTCAGTCAGCCCTATGGCTTCCTTGACAAGCAAAAGGATTTGGATGGGATCATCCAGAACGTCCGGGTGGGATCAACTCATTTGAATCGGGTTGGTATCTCCTCTCCTTATATTGGCTGGTAGCATTTGAGCTGATATTTTGCATATTCGATACAGCTCGCACAGGCGCCCCTCGGACAGCTCGTGTTTGATAAGAATCCCCTGGCTGTGTACTTTGGCTTAATCGCGCCACCCATGGCATTCGCAAAGAAGTATCTGCCGGTTCAACGGATCGAGAAGCAACTTGCCGAGCCCGAAAAGATGGACCAGCACCACGATCTTCTTGATCAATTCCTCAAGGCACATCAGACAAATCCGGATGTGGTTTCCAAGAATGAAGTAGTCGACTTGGGTCTGATGGTGGTCGTTCCTGCTTCCGAGGCTGTGTAAGTCAATAGATCATCTCCCCTTTTCGAGGAAAGTCCTCGCTGACAAACTCAACAGCCGAACCGCCATCGCAGTCCTCATCTACCAAGTCTTGAAAGCCCCCGCCTCCATTCTGACCAAGCTCCGCCGCGAGCTCGACTCGGTTATTCCAATCCCAACCTCACCTAGTTCCACAGATCGGTACAACATCCCGTCCTGGGAAATAGTCTCAACCAAACTCCCTTACCTGGACGCCTGCATCAAAGAAACATTCCGCTTACATTCTTCCACCGGTTTCAACATGGAGCGAGTGGTGCCCGCCAATGGAGCCATCATCGACGGCAATTTTGTGCCCGAGGGAACGATCGTAAGCTGCTCGACTTGGGTTATTCATCGCCATAAGCCTACCTACGGTGACGATGTAGAGGTCTACCGGCCCGAGCGCTGGCTCGAGGCGAGTGCTGCGCAGCGGGCCGAAATGGAGCGGCTGCTTTGTCCGTTTGGCTTTGAGGAGAGAATGTGCCTTGGGAGGGAGATTGGTTTGTTTGAGGTTTATAAGGTTGGAGCAACGCTTTTTAGGAATTACGAGGTGAGAGAGAATATTCTCCGAGTTTCACCCCTGCATATTGAGTTGGATCAGTTAAAACTGACTTCTGGTAACAGTTCAATTTGGTACGCCCTGATGAAGACATGAAGATCACTTGGGGGAACATTGTCAGTGTTGATTTCGATGTTCGGTTGAAACATCGTCGGGCTTGAGGCAACAAGTTAATAGAAGATCGAAGGGGGGATGGTAGGAATAGATGAATGGACTGATTGGTACGGAGTAGAAGAGTTGGACATGAGCTGTTGGATGTTTACAACAAAACTAATGGCAACCCGGACCCACCCCTGTGACGGCTCTGCAAGGCGGTGTGATCAGGATCGATGTATGACCGTCCACGGGTCTGTGGAATGCTTACATGTATTTACCCTCACCAACTATGCAATCCGTCATTATCATTGGCCGAGAGTCCATATCATCCTCCTGTATTACAAACCTTGGACCTCCCGGGGAACAGGGCTTGGAACCTTAGAACCTTGGAACCCTTGGGTAACCCGGACCCAGTATATTGGAAACCCAGCCCAACTGGGTTACAAACAAGGCGAATACACCAAGGAATCCCGACTGCATAATTTCTATCATATCTTAATGTAATTTGAGTATTCCTCTCACATCTGGGTCTTGTTGCACTCACAAACTCCCCAAATTCGAAAGATATTTCTGCAATTTTGACTACAGTCAGTAGACATAAGTATTTGCACCCCCGCCCCACACCTGTAGTATTACATAATATTCTGCCGGCATAAAAACAATCGCATATATCATGATTGTCTCTAATAACCAGATATAAATGCAGGGAGTGGTGCCAGGAGGTAAAAAGATGATAATCTGGGCTATCCATCTCGAAAAAGCAGTTTTATCTACGGTTTGAGGGCGCTCTACTCATAAACACTATCCGTGTCAAGAAGGCGGTGTAGGCGGTGAATGGTGTGGGGCCAATGGGGGTGCAAATACTTATGTCCAGTCACTGTATGTCAGTAAACCCAAGCCATAAAAAATACCACAACCACAACCCCCAATTATCTTAGATTTTATTTTTCGGGCAATAAGCTAGTCTAGAGCCCCTATAGTACGAAATAAGCGTTGGTCTCATTTAGTCATGTAAAATTAGGTTTTGCTGGGGTCCTGGGTTGGGTCCGGACTCCGGATTGGGTACCATGTACGGAGTACTCCGTAGGTACCTAGGTACAGTACATACGGAGTACTCCGCACTCCGGTGTATGTACCCAGGTACCTCTCCGTATCTCGACCCCGACCTGGGTTGTGCAGAAGCCTAAACGAAATTAACCCGACAAATGTTCTACTTTGTGATTTTCATTATCCAACGTAACATTTATCATTGCATAATTCGTAGAAATACATTCATTAGTTCGCATAAATATTCTATTTCGGCGCCTGCGTACAGACCACTATCAAGACACGTTGTAATGCGCCTACCTTCTCTAGGAGCTGTGAATTGAACCCTTCGCATAGGTTCTTTCCTCCCCGCATACTTTCAGCATCCTGGACCCGTCGATCAAAACCTTGGCATACCTGGTATAGATTTTGTAATTCACACAATAATAGTTGAGCTTTCATCTTCGTTTCCGTGGTGCGGGAGATATTGAATGCCACAATGCTCAATGGAATGGTCAATGGGACAGCGGACATTGAATCTCCTGTCGTATCGACCTGTCGCTGCTTAAGCTGGTCCCCTGTCCGGCTACTGTTCGAATGATGGGATTTGAGGGGCGGACGAACGGGGTTAGGACACGATTGTGCCAGCGAGGGGGCGGATGGGACCAGGCTGCCAATCTCAGATTGATATAGGGCCTGATACCAAGTGAGAACTTTGGAGAGCACCGCAGAGAGAATCAGGAGCATAGAAACATCCTGGACGCAGGCACTTCCTGTGCAATTCAGCAATCGAGACACCGTCTCCGTAGCAGATTGAGTGACATGAAACACATTATCACTTGCAGGCTCTTCTTCTGGGGTGGGGGGCTTGCGCAGATCGCGGGAAGTGGAGGCCCCGCCGGTGCCGCCTGGATGTCCATTCCCGCAGTCGTGCCGCACAAATTTGTACAGCGAGGAAAGCACCTGACATGCCACTGTAATGCATGGTACATGCTGATCTTCATTCGCGTTTTCTACCTCATCTAGCTCCTCTTCTCGCTCTTCGTTATCATCTCCGTCGTCATCGTCGTCCCCTGTGTCCTCGTAATCTGAATGGTCGTGGTCTTGTGGAACAACCTTCCTCGGAAGGGAGCCAAAGTCGCCATTATCGATCACGATGGGATCTGCGCCCGACAGATTAGGCCATGGCATGTATCCCGAGCTTATTGGCATCTGTGGGGCAGTATTGACATCTGGTAGTGATTGATGTGGAGTCAAGCTATTTGGTGTCCTTCTTTCCCATTCCGTTGTCATAGCATTATCGAGCGTTTGAGTCTGATAACTGGCCGTTGGAAACATAGGCGACCGAGACCAGGGGCAGTTGAAGTTGTAGTTGGATTGGTGGTGATCGGGGGGTTGGCCACCTGCAGTAACCCATGATGACGAAGGAGCTGGGACTCCAGGGGGCGAGGCAGGGGCCTGGGGGGACAGGGGAAGCGGGGGAGACAATTGAGAGTGTCCCGGATGGGGTTGTGCAGAGCCGTTCTTGTTGGAAGGTGGCTTGCCCTTCCGTCGCGATCGACCATACACACATTTTAGGCCGTTCTGAACACAGCGTGAACATCCATTCTGCTCCTTTGTGCAGCGTACTTTGGATGCTGCACAGGGGTCGCATGAGGAACGAAACTTCAGCCGCGGCTGGGATCTAGTGCTGGACGTTTGATTCTGATTCTGGTTCGGATTTGAATCATGCATTTGCATGTGATCTCTCAAGGGAGACATCGACATGACGAGAATGGCCACTGGGATTTTGCCTTGTTTCCTCTGCAGGTACGGAGTAGAGAGGGAGAGAAAGCCTTGGGAATATCTAGTGAGAAAGGCGAGAAGTGGCCGACGTGACCGACTGGTTTATCTACTAGGAGCTATCTATGTCGTTATGTGCCTGAAGTCTGGATCTAAGCGATCTAAACCGAATCCAGAGTACGGAGTATAGGCAGACTGGTTGAAACCTTTTTAGACTAGGAAAAAATTGTGTCTACATATTAAACGAGAGAGGCCTAGTGCCTATTAGGCCCGCCATAACTAACTAGTTCTTTAGTGCTTATTCTAGCTGCACTGCTCCAAGGTTACATTCCTGTCGCTGATGTGATGATGGGCTGGGAGAATAAGATGAAACTTTTGCAATTGCATGACTCTTATTTTTATATTTTGATTAAATTTATAATATCTATACCTATGATTTCAAAGATTCACAAGTGAGAACCCCGGTGAAACATACATTTCGCCCCCGAAGAGTCAATGCGGTTTTTTTGGCCCCCTGGTGTCTCAATTGACACTCTTCCGTCTTAGAGGGTTGGCCTGCTTTACCTTGCTAGTTTCCAAGCTATTCCTTGTCTCCGGTTCAAGTGGCAAAAGCATCTACCTACTTGTCCGTACAAAGTGAAGTGCTTCTATTGTTCCATTATCATAAGTCGTGATGGACTCTGGACTATCACCTAGCGCGACTGAGATATACCATTCAATATCGGAATGTAGGACTGTAGATCTCCGTTCCCATGTGGCACCCCTATATCTAAAAGACACATGTGAGAAACACTACATGTGTGGCCAACTGCACCGAGATTGGTGCGTGGAAGAGCGGGATACCGTTTACCTTAACGGACTTCCAATCATACCTAGGTGGCGCATGGTATAGGCGACCCTGCATATACCTCGTTGAGAATGAGATGTTCTTAAAGCGAAACGAGCCAAGGCCCCTGCCACCATCTGCATCCACCATCCCGCCCTCAAACCGTTACCGAGGCTCCTACTCGACCAGAAAATCTCCGTGCCCGCAAATCCGGGGATCTAAAAGCATACTTTCCGATCGGAGCCTGCTTTTCAGCCTCTTCTTAGTTTCCCGGTTTCCTGCAGCTTCGGGATAAGCCGGCAACAAGGGTGACATGTACTCCGTAGAGACACTGGTCGACCAACGCACGGGACTACACCGGTAAGACAATGCTGATTTGGATTCTCCTATACCCCATCTTCGTGTCTATGGGTAAGATTCCATTTATGGTCCATCCTCCAAAGACTATAGATGCCGAGGATCTACATGGCTCGGGCCGCCACTCTGAACTCCGTATTTTTGCACTAAAGATGGCCCGGTGGGGTATTCTAACCTCATTGAAGGCGAGAAGAATGGATCCCTCATGTCGGAGTCCGAGCCCTCGTGTTCGAGCTGCATGTCAGAAACGGGGGTTGTGGCGGAGTTGGTCCCATAATCTCGTTCCCCGATGGTATTGCCGACACATGGATATGGCTCGGCAGTATGGGTGCTCGGGGCCATAGACCTTCGGTATTCGTCCGGGAAATGAGATTGAGCGTCTTTTCCGGCATCTACAAGCACTGCAAGCGAGCGCGAGTCATATCGATCTCGGTGAAATGCCAACTTCTAAGCACACCTATCATCAAATGATGTTGATGGGCGCCAAAAGGCTAGTTCAGGGCAAGAAACCGAGGAAGGATAAATATTGACAAGTATCCCGCAAACCAAGGATGATCTGTTCTGAGAATATCAACCTGTCTAATTCAGATACCTACTTGTATACATACAAACATCGAATAAAATGGGATCCATCAGTGATTTTTCGTCGCGAGTCGAGTCTCGGCTCCAGGAGCTCGTGAGCAAAAGCCAGGTTCTGGACGTGAAGGTGGCCGATGAGCGACGCCAGTTGTTCGACCTTGCCCAGAGCTTGTGCTCGGAGCTGGAGACCCCTATGGAATCAATCTACCGTCTTATTGTCATCCAAGTAAGTTGTTGGACCCCTAGACTTGCAATTCTTGCGCTAAGTTGCAATCCAAGCCGATTCTCTACATGTCAGTGCGGATTGCCGTCAATCTAAACCTTTTCGACGTATTGGCACAAGATGGCAGCACACCTAAAACGGTGAAGCAGCTCGCTGCAGCAGTTGGAGCGGATGAGACTCTTCTAGGTCGTATTCTTAAGAATATGGCAGCTAGTGACTTGATCCATGAAACCACGCCAGGCACTTATGAGCATACATCATTGTCGACTTCGTTGTTGAACCTCAGCCATCGCGATGGCTTCTTCTTCTGGTGAGACTGGTTTCCATCCTTCCTCAGAAACCCCCACCGATGCTAATCAAACGGACAGCCACGATATCATGCTCCCGTCCTTCACAGCGACTCCCCAGTTCCTGGCTGAGACCAAGTACACCAACCCCTCCAACATCACCAGCACCCCCTTCCAGCTTGGTCATCACACCAAATTGACTTTCTTCGAATACCTCGCCAAGCATCCCGAGCAGGCTCAGCAGTTTAACAACTTCATGGGTCTATATGCGACGGATCGGCCTCGCTGGCTGGATGAGGGCCATTTCCCCGTCCGTGAGATTCTTGGCAAGGGAGCCAGCACTGATGAAGACGCCGTTTTGCTGGTTGACGTTGGCGGTGGCAAGGGTCACGACTTGGTCCTATTCCAGAAGCGGTACGGTGACCTGCCCGGGCGAATGATTCTGCAGGATATGCCTTCTGTGATCGAGCAGGCTGGTCAGCTTTCTGAGGGGCTGGAGGCAACGGCTCATGATTTCTTCAAGGAGAACCCGATTAAAGGTATGATCATATACAACAATCACGGCGCTGTGAGAGGTAGAAGGAATGCTAAAATGAACTCCAGGCGCACGCGCATACTACTTCCATTCCGTCCTCCACGGCTGGCCGGACGCGGCATGTGTCAACATTCTCAAAGCAGTTGCGGCCTCAATGAAGCGTGGGTACAGCAAAGTGCTCATCAATGAAATTGTGATTCCGGATGAAAAGGCCCATCGTCTGGGGACATCGATGGATTTGCTCATGATGACAGTAGTGGCCGCTGAAGAGCGCACTGAGCACAAATGGCGGTACTTGCTTCCCTTGGCTGGGTTGAAACTGGTGAAGATCTGGAAGTTCGAGATTGGTACTGAAAGTCTTATTGAGGCTGAGTTGGCTGATGAAGTCACTGTAGTCGTTGACGAGTAGACCTTCGGACTCAGATCATTACAGTTCGAATATGGATCTAGCAGTTGATTGTGCTAGTCAAATAGGATGGTTGGTGTATATCTACGAAGAGTACCCAAATTTATGAGCGTTGCCCAAAGTATGTCAATTATAGGACCAGGTACTCCGTATACTTATATAAAGAGTTCTTTTCCCCCTTTTTTCTAAATTAGGGAATTTACAGCAATGATGATACCTCTATGGAAAGTGACAAATGATATATTTACCTTGCAAAGTCGCATTTCGGCTTTCATTGAATGCCGACTTGCCCTGACATGCATGCAAAAAGTCAATTCGAGTAATATCGATCTATAATTCGTTGACAGATAGGCAGATGAAGATGGCAATATCAAGGTTACTTGTATTTACTTGGTATGTGTACTTTTGACTCATGAAGCATCCTACCCAATCTCAATGGCTTTGAACTGAAGCGGTTCTCTGGAGCGTAGCGGACAACGTTGGAAGGGCATAGCGGCTGCCATTGGATTTTATGCATTAAATCATCTAAAAAGGCTATATTGATGCATGGTAAATGAAATAAAACCTCATACGCTCGCCTCCACGGCACTATATGCCTGTGGGAACATCTTCATGTTCTCTGTCAACTCTCCCTTCCGTCGACAGAACTGGACATATGCACCATCGTTCCGTACCAGACCTTCTTCCTTCAAGCGCAAATACTCAGCTCGTGGTAAATGAGTAAATCCCCACATTTTGCTAACAATCACCTTTTGCCGACCGGGGAACTTGTACATCGACCGACGTAGCGCTTCCACTGCAGTGGCACGGTGACGATCCACAGTTCGTACGGAGAGCAGAATCTGGCCCACGTTTACTCGAGCCACCTTGCCAGCTGGCTTGCCGAATGCGCCTCGCATGCCGGTTTGTAAGCGATCCGCACCAGCGACACTCAGCATCTTGTTGATTCGGATTACATGGTAAGGGTGAACTCGGACTCGCATGTGGAATGCCTCTTTGCCCGCAACTTTGACGAGGTATCTTTTGAGTAGGAGGTTAGTTTAATCACAGCAATCGTGAAATTCACTTGACTAACTTGTTGGCACAGATACGTGCAGCTTCTAAAGCTTCGGAGCTCAGCTGTTCGTATTCATTGGACACCAAGTGGACCGCGCATGGGAAGTCATCCACAGAAGCCTTCTTCCGCCCCAGATCAAAGATACGGATCTTAGGATCAGGAACACCTCGGTTAAAGCGTGACTTGGGGTACGGCTGATGGGCTATCTTAGATGCGATTCTTCATTGGAGGCGTCAGAGCACTAACCTTGTTTTTGCAATACCGGTAGCATCGAGCAGGTCTGCGCGCCATCTTTGATAAGAAAATTGATCAATATAGAGAGAGTAATTGCAATGAACAAATCAACTTTCACGGTTGTTAAATAACTATGGATTACGGGGATGTACTAGGTTGTCCCGACTCGGGCATTAAGAGACGGGTCCCTGCATGGCTTCGGGTTCCGAAGGCGGCTCAAATATCTCCCCGCATTGATCGCCTCCCCTATCTCCTACCCACGGAGTAAGACACTTAGAAATCTACATCATCGGGCCATCATCGGGCCTTCATCGGTTTCCATAATCGGCTGAACTCGTATATCATGCACCGTGGGTATTGGAAAAGAGATGAGACTCGGCAAGCGCTGACTCGGATGGTTGAAACACCGTTTCGACTCGGTCCTATCAACGCATTACGCCGACGGTCGTATTCTCTGCAGGACAAAGAAAAAAAAAAGACAAATCCTTTCTAAGCATTTTTCATTCCTGTTTTAAATTCTCACTTGGGAAAGTCCTGAAGCCTTCATCCGCAACATTCCTCTTTCAATCGGGCTTTGACTTCAGTCGCAATTACCATGGCGAACCACAGCGACACCTCCTGGAGCGACGTCGAGAAAACCCATCACAGCGCCGACGTCACGGCCACCAGCACCCCGCCCAATGAATCCGAGGCTCCTCCGCGCGACCTCAAAGGATGGAAGTGGATTGTTGTCGTGCTGTCAATCTTGAGTTCGTCGTTCCTTTTTGCACTCGACAACACCATCACCGCCAATATCCAAGCCGAAATCGTTCGAGACTTTGAGGCCGTCAATAAATTATCATGGATTAGTGTTGGGTTGGTCATGAGTGCTTCCGCCACTGTGCTTCTTTGGGGAAAGATCTTTTTTCATTTCAACACGAAATGGACCTACATCATCAGCGTCGCAGTCTTCGAGATCGGATCTGCGGTTTGCGGATCAGCACCTAATATGGATGCCCTCATCGTGGGCCGAGTGCTCTGTGGCATCGGTGGATCTGGGCTATACATCGGTGTGATCACACTTTTAGCTGCCACCACCACACTGCAAGAGCGGCCAATGTATGTAGCCAGCACCGGTATGACTTGGGGTCTCGGCATGGTCCTCGGCCCAATTGTGGGAGGAGGCTTCAGCCAGAGCTCTGTCGGCTGGCGTTGGGCTTTCTACATCAATTTGTTGGTTGGAGCGGCCTGTGCACCGGTCTACCTCTTTCTCATCCCGAACATCGACCCCCGCAAGGGAGCCTCTCTCAGTGCCCGAGTCCGTGAGATCGATTGGCTGGGAAGTATTCTCAACCTTGGTGCTTTCCTATCCGGTGTTATGGCTATCTCCTTCGGTGGCTTGACCTGGGCCTGGGGAAGCGGGAATATCATCGGCTTGTTCGTCTGCTCTGGCGTCCTGTTCACTTTGCTTGGCTTGCAACAGGCCTACACTATCTGTACCACCGTTACCCAGCGGATTTTGCCACTGGAATTCTTCAAGTCACGGACGATGCTCATTCTCTTCGCCAGCACGGCGGCAGCCGGTACGGCCTGTTTCGTCCCCGTCTACTTCGTTCCACTCTTCTTCCAGTTCACCCGAGGCGATGGTCCGCTTGACGCCGGTGTTCGGCTCCTGCCTTTTATCATTCCTTGCATTGTCATGATCTGTGTCAATGGTGGCGTAATGTCTGCATATGGTCTATACATGCCGTGGTACACCTTCGGAGGCGCTCTCGTGCTCGCCGGTGGCGCCCTTTTCTACACTGTCGGTGCTGACACAAGTGCTGCGCATATCTACGGATACAGTATCCTTACCGGCCTTGGCACTGGAATGTATCTTCAAGCCTCGTTCTCGGTTGCGCAAGCTTCTGTCGCCCTTGATATGGTGGCTAGTGCCTCGGGATTCATCACCTGTGCCCAGGTTGTTGGTACTACCATCGCTTTGGCCATCGCCAACAGCGTGTTCTTGAACGAGTCGCAACAGAGCATCATTCACCTTCTGCCCAATATATCGCTTCAGGAAGTTGAGGCCGTGATTTCGGGTACATCGCCCCTCGTCTCATCCTTGCCTGCTACTGAGAAAGCCAAGGTTCAGTCGGCTATTGTGGACGCTATGGGCGAGACATACATACTTGTTATTGTTGCTGGTGCACTCACTCTACTGCTTGGTTTGGCTATGAAGCGTGAACGTCTATTTTTGCAGCCCGGTGCTGCTGCATAGACTGTGTGTCGATTTGAGAGTGGATGGGGCGGGGATATAGAAGAAAGGAGAATAATTTTCATGACAAAAATTGGGATATTCGAGGGACTATATCATAAATAGATACCAAGGAGTTTGACAACAATGTTTTTGAATCCTTCACGTACTACTGGACCATGTATTGAATATTCTTCCGATAGTAGATGTAATTTTAATGCTCCATCCAGCATTTCACTATCCTTGACAAAATGTAAGCGATTTATGAGCTGGAAAATGTGAAGAATAAGACGAAGAAGAAGAAGACGACGAAGAAGAAGACGACGAAGAAGAAGACGACGAAGAAGAAGACGACGACGAAGAAGACGACGACGAAGAAGCCTGATCCCAAATGTAAGTTCCTGTGTCTCAAATGAGGCCTCTTGGCAATGCTCCGTAGAAGCAGCTGCATCAACTATGCTACCAGACCTCGGGAGGAAGTCATAGATACACGTCACCCCGCATTGTTGGCTACCATAATCAGCCCCTTGATGTCTACTGTCTTTTGGTATAATCAGAGCATTAACATCTTGCCAATGGATTATTACATCAACCTCAGAAGCCACATTGGTGCCTGCCAATGAGGCTCAGCGGGTATAACCTAGCAAAGTCCACAAGACCGGGCCGGAAATGTGTCTTATTACAGTCGGAAAGCGAGATCATGAAGATACCAAGGTAGGCAACTCTTACACCCCTGTTACAAGGCGACACTTGTGTATTTTATCTTCCTGCAGGGCGTTTAACCGCATGTTCTCCCCGGGCCCTAATGCATGCCATAACATTTGTTCGGAACCCGATTTAGTTTTATTTGTAGACACAGCCTCAATCAATCGGATCACAAGCCCGGGCGGTGTCAAAGGCCCGACAATGCTCGTCGGGTAAGAAATGGGATCTTTGGGGGTAATGCCGGAAATAGTACAACGCCTAGGTAGACTAGATAAGCCCCCGTAGGCCCGTGGACCGAAGAATAAAGGAATAATTCTACACAGTCAGCAAGTAAATAAGACTTAGAGATCCGAGGATGCTTACTCTATGGCTGTGTTTCTGGGTCGTCTTCGGGATCCGAGCTGTGAGCCGGCGTGGATTGGATATCACGCTTTACAGCTGTATTTCTCAAACATCTCACGGATTCTACATATCGATGTATAGAACATATATAAAGTTTGAAAAACATCTTGCAATCCTGAAGAATCCGCTGGAAATCTACTCGTATAAGCTGATTTCATCATGGCATCTCCTTGCCAACTCCTCGTGTTCGGGGACCTTAACTACGACTTCGTACCCGGCTTAGGAGTCCTCTGTGGATTAGACGATAATGCACTACTCACTTCGTTCATTGAGAGGACTGCATTTGCATTGCGTGCTCAGATTAGCAGTCTCCCTTTAGCAAAACGGGCTGCATTCCCTAAATTCACTACTCTGCGTGAGCTCCTCGCCAAGGTACGAACTACCAATGTTGTCCATCCGGCTCTCCAGAAGGCCCTCATTTTGGTGGTGCAGTTTGGCTCCTTTATAAGGTACACAATCCATTTAGATCTTTCCCCTTTTCCTTCTTGTTCCCACGCTAAATGTATATTTTCCCAGGCGTTTCACCCAACCAGGACGGGTATACCCTACCAATGCTGACACCCGCTTGACTGGGCTATGCACTGGTCTTCTGACAGCGGTTACAATCAGTTGCTGCTCATCCCTGTCAGATTTGATCCCTTCGGCAGTTGATTCAGTGGTGCTAGCTTTCCGAGCTGGTCTACTTGTTGAGGAAGTCCGCGTGAGGATCGAACCATCGGTCAGCAAAGCAGGTAGTTGGTCTGTGGTCATTCCTGGATTGAAAGAAGATGTCGCCCTTGAGGCGTTGGAGAAGTATATCCTAGATAAGGTACTATCCGATAATATGCCTAGCCAGAGCAAAGGAGATCTGAAATCGGCTGACAAAATTGAATTCCAGGGTATACCGGTGGCGTCCAGCCCGTATGTGAGTGCGTACGCTCGCAGTGGAGTGACTCTCTCTGGACCATCTTCTGTGCTGGATGATATTCTCTCGTCAGGATATTTGACGCGTTCGTCTGGGCTCAAGACGCAAATATACACCCCCTTTCATGCCCCGCATCTCTATGATGAGTCCAATGTCGAGGAAATCTTACAAACTATCTCCTCGGACCGCACCGAGTCCCAGTTTTGCCGAATTGCTGTTCAGACTAGCCGAGGTCAGACATCTCCTGGCTCTGATAGTCCAGTAACATTGGCCTCTTTGCTGCGAGTTGCTCTAGAAGAGATTCTCCTACAGCCCCTTCGTCTTGACACTATCTCGGAAGGTGTGGCAGAGGAGATGGTCAACAGAGGAACGGGAACATGCACAATTGTGCCTGTTGCCACTCCAACCGCCCAGACCTTTTTGAACGTCATGAAAATGGCCGGCATCGAGGATGCTACAATCGATGGCCTCATGAATGGGCTAAATATTCCAGAGATCTCCATGGTGTCCGAAAGTGGGCATATGGGGAACTCTAAACTCGCCATTGTGGGCTACTCGGGTCGATACCCCGATGCCAACAACAACGAAGCCTTCTGGCAGCTCCTCGAGGAAGCGCGCGACGTGGCCAGCATCACACCCAAGCAGCGATGGGACGTCAATACGCACGTTGATCCCACGCTCAAGAAGAAAAATACCAGCGGCACGCCCTATGGATGTTGGTTGACTGACCCCGGCCTATTCGACGCCAAGTTCTTTGGGATGAGCCCCCGCGAAGCACCTCAGGTTGATCCCGCCCAGCGTTTAAGTCTGATGACTGCGTATGAGGCGATGGAAAACGCAGGTATGGTACCTGATGCAACGCCTTCAACCCAGCGTGACCGGGTTGGTGTGTTTGTCGGGACCACCAGTAACGACTGGGGTGAGACCAACAGTTCCCAAGATGTCGATACCTACTACATCCCAGGATCATGCCGTGCTTTCATTCCAGGTCGACAAAACTACTTCTACAAGTTCAGCGGTCCCAGCTATAGTGTCGACACGGCGTGTTCGTCTAGTTTGGCAGCCATGCATCTCGCGTGCAATGCGCTGTGGCGTGGGGATATTGATACTGCTATTAGCGGCGGGACAAATGTCATGACCAACCCTGGTGAGTACAAGCCTTACCCTCAAACTCCCTCGAAGCTTGAAAGGAGCTACATCAACTTCTGGCTTTTATTACTGTTTACTAATGGTTCTTTACACGAAATTCAGATATCACGGCTGGTCTCGATCGCGGGTATTTCCTTTCGCGAACTGGGAACTGCAAGACCTTTGACGATGATGCCGATGGATATTGCCGGGGCGAAGGCGTCGTTAGTATGGTTATCAAGCGTCTGGAAGATGCAATCGCCGACAATGATCCCATCCGTGCCGTCATACTGGGTGCATATACCAACCACTCAGCCGAGGCCGAGAGCATCACACGGCCACATGTGGGGGCCCAGAAAGCCATTTTTGAGCGCGTATTGACCACAGCTTCAGTTGATCCAGCGACGATCAGCTACATCGAGATGCACGGCACTGGCACCCAGGCTGGCGACGCCCGTGAAATGGACTCCGTGCTTTCCACATTTGCTAACCAGCCTCGCGAGAATCCGATACATCTCGGATCGGTGAAGGCCAATGTCGGTCATGGCGAGTCAGTCTCTGGCGTCATTGCCTTGACAAAGGTCTTGATGATGATGGAAAAAAATGTGATCCCGCCACACAGTGGCATCAAGACTAAGATCAACCACAAGTTCCCTACCGATTTGGAGAAGCGGAATGTCTTCATTGCCGATAAGCTCACTCCCTGGGTACGCAGCGATGATCAGCCTCGACGCGCCATGGTGAATAATTTCTCGGCTGCAGGAGGGAATAGCTCCATCTTGGTGGAAGATGGACCTACGCGGACCAAGTCAAAACGTGCTGAGGATGATCCCCGATCATTCCATCCTGTTGCTGTGTCGGCAAAGACTCAGAAAGCTCTTCTTGCTGGCATTCGGGATCTCATCTCCTACATCGATCGCGAGAGCCCCTCTCTCCCAAGCTTGAGCTACACCACGACCGCTAGAAGAACACACCATCGCTATCGGGTGATGGTTAGCGGTAACAGCCTGGAGGAGATTTCTGCTCAGCTTCAGAAATGCCTCGTTGCACCTGAAGACCGGCTGAGACCAAAGGTTGCCTCGTCGGTAGTCTTTGCCTTCACAGGGCAAGGGGCGCAGTACCCAGGCATGGCTCGAGAACTACTTGCCATTCGACCTTTCCGCAGCGATATGGAACAGTTCGATCGCATCGTACAGAAGCAAGGCTTCCCACCGATCATGCCTCTCATCACCGCCACCACCGGAGAGATAACCGACTACGAGCCCCTAGTCGTGCAACTGGCAACTACCTGTTCCCAGATGGCAATGGCTAGGCTCTGGCGCTCCTGGGGAATTGCGCCAGCTGCAGTTGTTGGCCACAGCCTAGGCGAGTATGCAGCCTTGAACGTCGCCGGTGTTTTGTCGGATGTGGACACCATATTTTTGACCGGCAAGCGGGCACAACTTCTTCAGGAAAAATGCACCCGTGATACACATAGCATGCTTGCAGTTAGCATTTCTGTGGAAGATGCCAATACTCTACTGGCAGGTCTAGAGGTCGAGATTGCCTGCAAAAATGCTCCAACTGAGACAGTTCTGAGCGGGACGAGCGTCGCAATAGATCAAGCTGAGAAAGTACTCAACGATGCGGGGATCAAGAAGATGACCCGCCTTCGCGTTCCTTATGCGTTCCATTCGACACAGGTCGACGCAATTTTGGATGAATTTGAAACAGTGGCCGCTGGTGTGCAATTCCACAAGCCCCAGATTCCTCTGGTGAGCCCCTTGCTTAGTCACGCTATCAAGACAGAAGGCATCATCAATCCGCGCTACCTTGCGCGTCACGCTCGTGATGCCGTTGACTTTTCGGGGGCTCTTCAAGATGCCAAGCTAAACAAACTAATCACTGAGAAATCAGTTTGGATCGAGATTGGCCCCCATCCTGTAGTCGTCGGTTTGGTCAAGGCCAACCTGGGTCCTGTTGTCGTCCTACCTACTCTTCAACGCAAGAGAGATGCATGGAAGGTCCTGACTAACACAACCACTGCGCTCTACGAATCCGGTTACGCCATTCAATGGGGTGAGTATCATCGAGACTTCACCAAGTTCTTGGAAGTGCTTCGTCTACCGAACTACAATTGGGATCTCCAAAATTACTGGATGCAGTATGTCAACGACTGGTCGCTGTACAAGGGCGATGCTGCTTTCTTGTCAGGAGCCAGAGCACCTCCATTGTCTACGACATGTGTGCATCGCCTGGTTGAGGAGAAGCATGACAGTGCTGAGATCACGGTCGTTGGTGAATCAGATCTCCTGCGAGATGATCTTGACCCCTTTGTGCGCGGACATCGTGTCAATGGTGTAGCACTGTGTACGCCCTCGGTCTATGCTGAAATGGCATTGGTTCTTGGTGACTACATTCGGATCTCAACCCCCAAATGGGCTGAATGCTTGGTTGATGTTCAACACATGGACGTGCAAAGGCCACTCGCAGTCAAGAGTAAAGGAAAAGGCCCTCAGCTTCTCCGCTGTAGGGTTACTCTCGATGTCGCGACCGAGAAGGCAGCGGTGCAGTTTTACAGTGTCACTCCCGAGGGCAAAACTCTGGTTAAACATGCGGAATGTTCAATCACATTCCCTTCTGCTGCCGAGGCCGAAGCTGAAACTCAGGCCGCTGCTGGGGAAATACTGAAGCATATGATTGCACTTCGCCGCAGCATCGAGGACAATGACCGAGTGCAAAAGATGGCTGGTAGTACTGGCTACCAACTCGTTTCCTCCTTGGCATCCTATGATCCTGACTACAAGGGAGTCACCGAGGTAGTAATGGATAGCGAGAACCTCGAAGCTGTCGCCAAAGTCAAGTGCAGCAACACCAGTGTCACTGACACGAAGGCCGCTGGTATATATAAGGTTAATCCTTATCTGATTGACAATTTTGGACAGCCCGCACTCTTCATCATGAATGCCAATGACGGAGCAGACCTTGAGAAAGAGGTGTTTGTCAATCACGGATGGACCTCGCTTCACTTCTACAAAGAGGTGTCGGTCGAGAAGGTTTACCACTCTTACGTCAAGATGACTGGTCCTAAGGAGGACGGAATGTACAGTGGTGACATGACTGTGTTCGAAGGTGATGAAGTAGTTGCCTGCTTCCGCGGTATCAAGGCACAGGGTGTCCCACGCAGACTAATGGATTACATTGTTCGCATGAGAGACGATACGCAAGTCGGCTTGCCCGGGGCTACCAACACTCTGCGACCTGCTAATGGCACCGCCGAAACCAGGGCCGCTGAAACCGCAGTCGAGTCCCAGGATTTCCTCGTCGAAGATACCACCAGCCTTTCATCTTGGCCTGCTGCCCTCAAGATTGTATCTGAGGAGAGCGGCGTCCCAGTGGATGACTTGACAGACGACAAGGCCTTTGCTGATCTGGGGGTGGACTCGCTTCTTTCTCTCCTGTGCGCCAGTCGATTCAGAGAGGAGCTGGGCCTCGCTCACGAATCTACTATCTTCGAGGAATACTCCACAGTCATGGAGCTTCGCCAGTTCTGGGAACAGGGTGCAACATCCACAGGGGATTCGTCCGCTGTGACGGGCAAAGATGCCATTCTAGACTCCATGTTCCACCACGACAATGTCCAGGAAAGCTCATCTTCACCTAGTACGCCATCCGAATCAGGCTCTTCAACCGACGAGGGAAACATTCCCACTCCGTCAACTTCAAGTGAACTGTCGGTGTGCCCCGGCAATCCAAAGGCCAAAGCCAGCTCTCTCTTGTTGCAAGGGAACCCTGCTTCGTCTAACACCAGCAAAACGCTTTTCCTTCTCCCTGATGGCTCCGGATCAGCTTCGTCATATGCATCTCTCCCGATTATTGATCCATCACTTGCAGTTGTTGCTCTCAACTGCCCATACATGAAGGGGCCATCATCGTATCCAGTCGGCATCGACCACGTCGCTAGCCTCTACATCAAGGAGATCCAGCGTCGTCAACCATGCGGTCCCTATGCCCTTGGTGGCTGGTCAGTCGGGGGTATTTTTGCTTATCACTGCGCCCAGCTGCTAGCTGCGGAGGGTGAGGTTGTCTCCGATCTCGTCTTACTCGACTGTCCAGTTCCGCGTGGCTTGGATCATCTCCCGAAGAGATACTTCGAGTATTGCGACAAAATCGGTCTTCTCGGAGTCGTCCATTCCAAGACCGGTGAGCGCAAAGCTCCGCCTCCGTGGTTGATCCCACACTTTGAGGCCTGTATCAACAGTCTCCACGATTACCACGCTTCTCCGTTCGAGCCAGAGCATTCAGCACCCACCACACATATCATTTGGGCTTGTGATTCAATTGATGCTCACTTGGACACCAAGTTCGAACATCGTGACGATGATCCAGAAGGACTCAAATTTTTGACAGTGGCTCGACAGGACTACGGACCCTGTGGATGGGAGACTTTGTTACCCAGGACAAACATGCGCTTTGCACGGGTTAGTCGTGCCAATCACTTCTCCATGATGCAGGGAGAGTTGGCAAGAAACTTGAGTGAGATCATGAAGCATGCTCTTATGGGATAGATTGGAAATTTCTGGAATGCTTGCATGTCGCCGCTTTCATTTTGTATAATTCGTATTCAATGTTTCTATGTTATGTTGTTGGAACGATCCCATCCTTTGCGGGTGTCTACTTCCGATGGCATACTGAGCGCTTGTTTGTTTTGCGGCCTTGATAGAAAGGACTTCTTAATTTGAATAGCAACAATCTCCTCTATATCTATCCCTCAATGCAGTGTATGGTAGCTGTAGCCCCAAATGTGATTGGTCTCCTCTATTTTAGTAGCTTCTCTTCCAATTTGCCCACCGTCTGCTCTTACAATAGCATATTTGGAAAATCATCTAGCCAATGGACGACGAAGTGAATAAACTACGTAGTCCGATCTCGTATTTACCTCATATCAAACCAATCATATATCTGTTCTACCGCTACCTCCTGGCGTGACCAATCGGGATAAACTGTGGACAGCTAAGACCTCGGTGTTTCCCACCAGAGCACGGTTCTAATAAATATGATCAAGTAAATAATAATCCCGGACAGCCCCGACATTCGGGCACATTCCCGGCTCGGATTCCGAAACAGGTTTGTACAGTCATGCCGATATAACTCCTATATATACATACACATACAACCTTCATTCACAATTCGAAATACTGCAACATCCCTCCATACCTGTTAGAGTGTGTAGCCACAATCTTTGACTCCATGTCTCTCCCTCGCATAGCATGTTTCCATGGCGGCGGATCTAATGCTCGTATTCACATGGTGCAATGCCGACGTCTACAACGCGAGCTACAGCACGAATTCGAGTTTGTCTACTTTGAAGCACCATTTGCTCGCGGCCCTGGGCCGGACGTCCTCCCCGCATTCAAAGATTACGGACCTTACAAGACATGGTTTACCAGCGTCAACGACACCAGTGGATTCGACGATTCGACTGGCGAGGACGGAATTGAAAGAGTATGGAACATGATGATTACTGAGACAGAGAAGAGCGGCGAAGAGTGGAATTGGGTCGGTGCGTTAGGGTTCAGCCAGGGTACCAGGGTCGTCGGCGGCTTGCTGCTCGATCAGCAACGGCGTAAATCTCATTATGATCTGCTGGGCCAGTCATTTATGTCGGAAGAAGCCTCTGGTATGGGTAGCCTGAAGTTTGGGGTTCTCTGTATGGGCAGTGGTGCCCCCATGCAGCCGGAGGCAGCCTCGGGTTGGTCCTTTTTTTTCCTTATACCTTGCCTGGCCGTGATTATTATTCTAACCAAGCTTCTGTTTAGTATCTCGCTTGGACACTTCCTATAGACCTGATGAGCGGATATCATCTCCGACAATACATGTTCATGGGTTGAAGGACAGACATCTCGCAGCTGGACAGAAGCAGCTGGCCACTTGGTTCGCAGAGAATTCTTCTATTCAATGGGATATGGATTATCATCATGCTATGCCATGGTATAAAAAGGACGTTATCTGGCTTGCTGATATGATCAGGGATACATATCGGGCCTCTTTGTCGCATTGATCAAGCTCCGGCGTTTTGTTTGTGTTATCCTTCATCATATTTAACCAATATCTATTCCTACTTTACTGTATAATTGTTTGCAAAATGTAGGATCTTACGTTAGCTCTTCGTCGGTTTTGTCCCCCCCCACATGCAGTAGTTCATCTTCAGATATGGGTTCACGCCTAGCACTTTAGTGACAGGTCGCTGAGTGCTGATTCCGATGCAATTCTTGGGCTAAGCCCATTTTACTGATATCAAGCTTTTTGTTCAACCTCACTAAGACTCAGAAATGGGACAACAAAGAGGATGGTAACATTCTCTAAGCAGCAGAAGTATTCCACGGTGAGCAGACAGATCAGTTGCACGTCGAGAGTTTGTCTACTAAGGGAATCACCGCACGCCCTGTATATCTACACATGAATACAGAGTAAAGGTTAAGACTTCACACAGACAAAAGCTTCACGTATTCTAATGTTACTATAGAGTGTACAGACTTGCTTGGTTTCACCGTCAAGGTTACTTATCCCGAACACCGCGTAAAGGTGCAAGTCTTGTTCAGGTGTCAGAGGGCTATCTCTGACAGAATGTGGGTTCCAAAGAATTGACTCAATGAGATCCTTTTTATGGGTTCCCCAAGACCAGTGGATCCAGCTAGCCATGATACAAGTCAACCCATCGCTATCCGCTAAGATCACTGGAGGTGCCTGCTGTAGGACAAATGTCCTTGAGGGAGTGTGGTGGGGATCAAGCGGGACGACAGACCAACGAGTAGCTCAGCCAACCTTCACCTGGGGAGTTGTGGGGAGAAAGAAGAAGAAGGAGAAGTTGGGGGGTTGGGCAGGTATTTATACCCTGGGAGGAGGGACTTAAGTGCCCAGGGTGGGTGACGAGTGCCTTCCCGAATAGGAAGGGGGTTCCTTCCTCAACGGGGACAGGCAGATATTTGGAAGCAGAACACGTGCAGCTCATTGGGAAAGACCAACCTCAATGCCCATTCTTGCTCTTGGCCATTGATGTCCTGTAAGGCTGCAGCTCTCTGCAATTCTGATTTGTCCCCGAGGTGTCTTTACCAGATGTCTGCGTAAGTGCTCGAGTTTGGATTATAATGGCGGGTACTTCCATCTGTTCCCTTTACTATCCAACACAGATTATACTTTGTCTATGTCTTTCTCTTCCAGCGAAGCTCTTGATTACCAGGTTCTTGAAGAAAAGGTAAACTGAAATTGGCTCTTTTTGTATACGATTGACTGATTGAACATCATGTACAACGATTCTACACTCCTAAAGCTCTCGGCTGATCCGGCTTCCCCTGCTCGCTCTGAAGTGTATACTCAGTAGTGACCCGAATAGCCATAGGATCCCGCTGTCCAGCCGCCGTCACACTCTGATCTCCCTCAAGAATATACTCCTCGCTCCCCGCCTCGGAGATTTGACTCGCCTTCCTTGTGTGAAGCACACTATCCAGCTCAAACCCATCGGTCTTTCGAGACCGGGACGAAACAAAAGTCTTCGTCTTTCCATTGTTCGATCCAAAGTCATTGTATGCATCACTGTTATAGTAAGGGTTTTTGGAGTTCTTGCGGTTTGTCGATCCCAGCCAGCGTGTGTTGCGGAAGAGCGGTTTGATGCCCGGTAGCGAGACGACGATGGCGGCGACGAAGCATTCGCGATCGGCCCAGCCCAGCGCTGTGCCGAGGTTCGTTATTGATGAGAGCGAGTAGTGGGCGCGCAGGATTGTGCAGATCATAATGAAGATGCCCGAGGAGAACATCCCAACTAAGATGATCTTGCGCTGAATGGGGACTTGGAGTTTGGCAAGAATGGGGATTGGGATCAGGATTACACAAGCGTCGGTTCTGCTCCCGGTGGTTAGGAATAGGGTCTTGGAATTGGATTTGCCGGCAAATCACTTACAGGACATTTAACACGGCAATCACAATGTATAAAGGTCCGCGAAGAGTGCAGTTGTCTAGGTGGGTTAGTGAGTTGCTGCCAACTGGGTATGACTGACGAGTCTTACCTCCTGGGTATGGATTGATCTGCCAGTTTCGCTCTACTGGAGTGCAGAGGCAGATGTGTGTCAATAAGCAGGCGACCCAGGTCAACACACAGAATGCCGCTGCCGCCGTTACGATGTGACGGTGCCAGGTTCCTTGCCTGTGGGGTGTTAGATGGGTTGGGCGATAAGTGGCGTATAGACATACGTGAGTTTCCAATAAAGACAAATAAGAACGCCCTTGAGACACCAGATATAGGAGATATACCAAATCCAGTTCATGAAGGCCAGCTTGGATCCGAGGATCATGTCGGGTATCTTGCTGTCTGGGACAAGTGCGGCTGTTTGCGCATTCAATCCAATATTATTACCGAACACCTCTGTCTAATGTTAGAAGATTGGCAAGAGAGGATTCTCGTGAACACCTACGCAGCAAATGAATGATCACGGTCTGCATAGTCCAAAATACCTGTCGCAACATTGTCAGAATCCAAGTAAATACTAATTCAATCGCACATACCATGCTAGCAACAGCAAATGCATCATCTAATTGAAGCCCGCGAAGGCCTCCCATACGCAATCGAGCAAATAGTCGGACTGTCAGGAAGGCCATTCCAATTCCATATTCAGTGAACGTCTCAACAGTCAAGGCATCGGCCGCCATTATGAATAAGGAGAACAATAGCAATGTGTTCTTGTCAAAAAAAAAAGGAGGATCCGGCCTTGAAAGTGGGACTCAAGGCGTATTTTGAACAAAGGATGCTCGATATTCTGATATTAGTACGAAGGGATCAGACACAAACGTGCCATTAAGCTGGATCTATCATCTTCAGTATCCTGCAACTTGAAGCGACACTACTTTGTAAATTCGCTTCAAATCTACAACGTACTTTGATATCACACCAGTGTTTCCGCTGGTATTTCTGGCCAGAAGTGTCTAAGCTCTCCAATCCATTAGGCCCGAGAAACCGGTAACGAGAACGAGATACTATCGATGGGCTGATTGGCGTTTTTTCCAAAGTCCCTAGTTGCTTGTGACGCTCGTTAACGGTACTCCGTACACAGTTAAGATCGATGACTAGGCGAAAACCACTCAGCACAGATAATCTCCATGAATTGTGGCACAGAACAGCGGGTTATATTCCCGAAAATTATCTGACAGGGTATTAATGCAGGGATGTAGATTTCTCTTGGGATGGTAGCACCCCTGTCTAGACTACATATGGCCCCCTTTTGCTGCAGGGTCACGACCGGGGCAGGATTCTTAGGATGAGTGGCAACGTCCTCGAGACAGGGCTAGTTGCCTTGAAAAAAAAAACTCGATATGTGGATACCAACGGCAATGGCTTGCGTGGAGCATTCATTTCTCGAATTAAATTGTGCATTTGCAGGATTGTGCACAGTTATTCTCGCTCTGGATCGACACTCTTGCATCTTCCGAGGCTATCAAGACCAGTCAAGCATTCAATAATGCACATCCTGAGTGAGAATGTCCATAGTGTGTGGTACAAAGCACGGAGTACTCCGTACATCGGCTGTCAAAAATGCCCCAGCTGAAGAGACTCAGTAGTGGAGCAGTGGGGAGACGATTGTTACTTCATCGAGAATGGTTAAACCTGGGTGTTTCAGGGGCCAAATCATTTCCCAACGTGTGGAGTCACCCCATTTGATATTAGCTGGGTATATTGTGATCCGTATGGAGTATGTATCAGGTCAGAAAGGAGTGGCTGTGGGGACCAGCAAAAAGGACTGCGATGATCACATCCCCGTGCGGAGTCATCGGTGCGTTGGACAAGGTGCGACTTACATAGCCAGCTGAGGATTCCATGATATAAAGAATCGTCTTATTCGGTGTGGACAGCTTCGCTTATGCGAGATCATCCCAGGCAGTATCAAAATATCGGGAACATGGCTAATGTCGCTATTATCACAGGAGGAGGTGTGATTGTCCTCCCATGAACTACCTACAAATGACTAACAGTCACTCGTCACAGCCAGTGGAATGGGCCTTGCGGTAGCCAAAGCTCTATCCGCACGAACCAATTGGGAAATCCACATCTTTGACATCAACGAAGAGCACGGAGCCCGGACAGCTCAAGATCTACCCCGGACGACATTTCACCGTGCCGATGTGACCAAATACAGCGATCTTGCAGCCGCATTCCAAAGCACGTTCCAGCAGCATAACAAGCTGGATTTTGTGTTCGCAAATGCAGGAGTCATCGAGCGCACCAACTTCTACTCCACGCCCGAGACAGGGACCGGCAAGGATGTGTGCCCACCACCAGAGCCAGACCTACCTGCAATCGACGTCGATCTAAAGGGTGTGGTTTTCACAACGTACTTGGCCCAGCATTATTTCCGACACTCGTCTCATAAGGGGCAAGGCTCTAGCTTGGTGATGACCGCCAGCTGTGGTGGGTTGTACCCGTCCTTCTATTCGCCGTTGTACTCAGCGGCCAAATGTGAGTTCATTCCGGTTTTATGTTAGACAGCATTCTCGCTGCACGCCACGTACTATTGTCCCTCGTATATGTAATACCGATATGATCTATCCACTATGGTTGCAGTTCGCATATCGACTTGAAAAAATTGGCACTACTGCACCCTGTGCTTTACCGACCAACACTAACATCTACTTCCCTAGTTGGCGTTGTGGGATTCATGCGATCAATCTCGCAACACTTCCGCGCTGCCGGCATTCGCGTCAACGCTATCTGTCCAGGGATTGTGCGCACTAACCTGGTCGACTCAAACGGTTGGGACAGCTTTCCGCCAGGTCGGTTCATCGAAGTGGATACAGTCGCCCGGGTTGTGCTCCACCTTGTGGATGGCGGTGATCCTGCCGGTCAGGGGTTGACGGATACACCCGGTAGACACCTGCCTCTGGCGGAGCTGTACGGGATTGCAGTGGAGATTTCCGACAGTGGGTTGTACTTCCGAGACCAGCATGAGTTTTGCGACGAGGGCATGCGAGAGGTTATGGCGGCCACAGTGGTCGAAAATCAGGTTGGCGCTATACTGAATGGTGATTAGTCGAAGGATTTGGTCTGGTTTGTAAAATAGGTCGACTGTTTTTTCAGCCTTTTTGATCTCCGAGATAGTCAATGATCTTCGTTGGAATCCTTTGGCCGCCTATCTGCCTTCATCCTCCCATACACTGTGCTTGGTATTCCGTATAAGCCATATTATTCCTTCAGTCTTGCTTGACTAGCCGGCCAGATCCGTCAGATATCGCTGTAGGTCGAAGTGGCATAATGAAACCGAAATAGCGCCAGTTTCGGGCGGATGCTGCGAGTTGAAAAGCGAAGCCGACCTCTACCAGAGCAGAGACAGCAGAGACTTAACCATAGGGGTCCGCCCTGTAAAACGTCAGTCGACAAGGATTTATTCCACTAGTCAGTTCTAAGCGAAGACATTCGGACCCGACATCTGGGGATTCCCCTTTTGGATCACAGGCACGCCAATGCATAACTCAAGTACGGAGTAGTGAGACAACACCAGATTAAATGTGCTGAGTCTTGGCTAGAAACTTTCTATACACGACACTCACGGGATGGATGGTAATTCCTTGACTGAGTTGCACATGACCATTTCGCTGGGGCCAAACTACGGGCAAAGCGTTGAAAGGTGGGAAAGACACGGGCCATAAAAGAGAATGGTGGATTCTGCGGACTGGGGGCCACAATGGGGACAAAGGAGAGATTCCGTAAATTCAGAGACAATGCATAAAGAGTCATACAATATGACAGACGACAGATCACATTGGACCCCGCTGCGGGCCCACACGGAAGACAAGGATCCTGTTCCCGAAAGCAGGGCGAACGGCGAAAAAGCCACTATTGGCTCGCTTGGAATAAGAGGCAGAGTCAATGAGCTTGGGGATCGTCGCAGACCGTGCTGGCAGTGGAGCCCATCTGTACTTTTTTTTTTTCCTGAGCTAGCCAGTTAGGGCAACGGTCGTCCCGGGCTGAACCTGAACTTCCCCCGATATTCCTCAAGCGATGGCGTCCGGCAACTCGGAATTTTCACCATGCATCATGCGGAACAGGGGCTCCCAGACTGTGACAGCCCGCTTCGTGATGTGGCCATTTCCAGGCTCGGGCATTTGGTAATAGATGAGCTTTTCGGCCGAACATTCTAACAGCTCGCCCGTCATACCCGTTGAATCTTCTAGAAATGTTTCGTAGCCTCGGAGCACGGTCTGTATCGGGGTGGTACTGGATTGCAGAGGTAATTTAGTATTCGGCAATGACATTTTGCCAATGATGTTCCAGGGATATAAGAATTCTTACCATTCAGGAGACACAGCAGCAATCATCTCGCGTGGTACAATGGGCGTGTCCACAATTCCGGGCATGACACAGTTGATGAGAATGTTGTCTTTTTGCTTCAGCAACGGGGCAACACCTCGTATGAAGTGATTCACTGCCGCCTTGGTGCCACAGTATACCGGGTATGATTTGTGGGGGAAGATCGCGCCAATACTGCCCGTGACGACGATGCGACCTCCGGGCTGCGGATTATGGCGCATGAAATGGGTTGCCAGCTGAGTACCATACACAACGCCCTTGTAATTGATGTCCACGAGGGACATATCCGGTACTGGTGGGATTTCGTCAATGCTGTTGTTCCTCGAGCCGAGAATATAGATCGAAGAAGGATCGACAATCGCGGCATTGGCACATAATGCATCAATCCGGCCCCACGCTTGGTGCACTTTGCTGAATACATTCGCGTATTCTTCGTAGTTGGAGACATCCGCGGCGAAGAAGAGAGCTTTTCCCTCGGGTAGATCCTTCAGGATGGCTTCTCCTGCCTTGCGACGTCGGCCTACACATGCGACATTCCATCCTTTTGCACATAAGTCCTTGGCTAGGTCAAGCCCTATGCCAGACTGTGGGGATTCTTTGGTTAGCTATTGATGTGAGATCGTATGTTCTCGGTTTCATTGTACTTGCAGTAGCTCCTGTGACAATGGCCACCCGAGTTTCAATAATTGAGCCCATCGTGGTGAGATCTTGAGAGATGAATAATTGCTACGGTGTAGGTGATAGTGGCGATGAGGGGGACTGGAAGAATGCACTGCTGGTCAGATGGAAAGGGATTATCGTTCTCAACGTGATTGCCGGGGACTAAATGCCGAATTACACCATATGCACCGGGTCTTCCAAGGATTTGTATATTGGACGTTGGATCTAGCGCCTGTTAGTGTGAGACGATCCTGCAATCCGGGCCATTGCTTGGGAAATGGTCCAACGCCCCCCTCGTCCTCTTTTGCCATTGAGTTATAGTGGACACTCTTCTCATTGATCATTGGCTCAGAGCTGCTTATTTGTCTGACCACAGCCCATGCTCAGGGATGTTGCCATGTGCGTGTAATCTGTAGGCCGTTATGGAGTAGATGTTTATTACCTTCTTTTTTTTCCTCCCAATTTTCTCTCTTTCAATTGCCCATCTCACTGCAAACCAGCATCATGGTTGCTGATGCAGAAAAAGGTCCAGTGCATGCTGGTTCTCTAACGGAGACACCAAGCTCACCTTCGACTACTGCCAATGAAGCGCCTGAGCCGGTGGTTACACTGAAGACATGGATTGTTTCTGTGGTATGAGATTGTGACAGGTCCAATCATGATATATCCACTGAGATTAAGATGCATAGATCCTTTCCTGCGGCTACGGCCTCTCTTTCTGGCCTGTCCCCGTGGTGTCGGCGATCGGCACCCTTGTCTCGGCTGATATGGGCGATCCGACTGGTTATATTTGGTTTGTTCCTGTGCGCAATGAATATTCAACCAGTTCACTAGAACAAAAGAGCTAATCCGATTCTAGGCATGGACTATCTCAATTACTTGCGCCTTCTTGATCTTGTATGCAATGCATTACCCACTTCGTGATCTAATGCTCATACACCTCACAGTGGCCCCAACACTGATCTTCTAGGTCGACGATGGTTCCTGGTTCTAGGCAATCTGGTAAATTAGGTGGCTAAAACACGATAAAAGAACCTATGTTAACCTTTATCCAGATCTGCTTCATTGGCCATATCGTGGTAGCAACAGCGAAGAGCACTGATCAAATCATTGTCGGGCTCGTTGTATCTGGCTTCGGTGGTGCAAACTGTCAGGTATGAGACTTTCTTTCTCCTATGAATTTTCTTTAAACTGTGACAACTAATAAATCAACCCCAATTCAGATGGCTGCGTTCGCACTCCCAGAGCTGCTCCCCAATAAATGGCGGCATATTGGCGTTGTAATAGCCGATTTTACAGTCTATATTGCCGTCATTGTAGCACCAGTGACAGCCCGATATGGCTACGAGTTCGGCTCGTGGGAGTGGAACTTCTGGGGCGTGGCTATCTTCCAGGGCCTATCCTTCTTCGGCCTGCTCTTCCTTTACTATCCGCCCAAACACCCGTGAGTTCTCGAACCCCCAACTCCGACCGGTTACAAGCTAATTCACATATCAGACTCGGTATGACATACAAAGAGGCCTTCAAATCCCTAGACTACTTTGGTGCCTTCCTCTTCATTGGCGGTGCAGTTCCTTTCCTCATGGGCATCGTCTGGGCTGGCGTGTACGAGTCAAACGACGCCCACGTCGTCGCCCCACTAGTTATCGGGGCGGTTGTACTTGTCGGTTTTGCGCTGTGGGAGTCATTCGGCAACTTGAAATATCCCTTGACACCAACATACATCTTTTCAAGCTCGTGGGGACGTGACTTTACGGCTCCTGTCATTGCACTGGGCGTCGTCAACATGTTTTACTACTCATCCAGCATCCTGTGGCCACAGATGATCACGGTGTTTTATACTAACGGCGGCACAGACTGGAAGTATTCTGTCCTTCTGTCGCTGCCGCAGGGCTTTGCTATCTTCTTTGGTGCTATGCTCCTCACTTTCCTTGGCAGCAAGCTGCGACACTGGCACTGGCAACTTACCGGATCGGTGTTTGTTATGGTTGTTTTTGGTTCTTTGCTTGGTATAGTTACGCCTACCAACAAGGGGACTATGATTGCTTTCATATTCCTCTCTCAGGCAGGCTTTGGATGGGCTATTTATCTGAGTATTGCTATCACGCAAATGGGTGTGGAGCATAAAAACCTCGGTGTCAGTGGTGGGATTTCGGGATGCATTCGCTTCGCTGCTGGAGCTGGTATGTTGTCGTTGTCTTCTTGATTCTCCTATTCAAACTACCCATCGCTTGTTGGATGAAGCTGACTCTTTCCTTCAGTTGCGACCTCGATCTATCAGACTGTCTTCAGCAACACCTTGGTGAAATATACCGCTAGATATGTCCCCTCCGCGGCCATCTCCGCAGGACTTTCGGAATCCAAGGTCACAGATCTCATGTCGGTGGTATCTCAAGGCGCCGCCGCAATGAAATCGTATAGCCCTGCTGTGGTAGCGGCAGCCGAGGCGGCTCTTGCTCAAGCATATTGCAAAGCAATTTTGTGAGTGCATGACTTTTCCGCATCTGACGAGATACGTTGGAAGATTTCCATTTTCTAACTATTGATAGTGTTGTTGCTATGGTATCGATGGCCTTCGGCATCGTGGGCATTGCCGCTTGTCTATGCTGCAAAGATGTCGATTCGAAGATGACGAACAAAGTATGTTATCTGTTTGTGTTTTGTCATCATCAACACTGCTAATGAGATTCTGCTCTAGATCGAGGTGTATCTTGAAAATACAGATCTCTCAGACCGAAATGAGTATCACTGAGTCAACCTCTCAAATTGCCTGCTCGGGTGGACAGACTTCGAATTCCTGATAGTGAAACTCGAATGCCAACGAATTTGAGATGTCAATGTATAACAACATGCACGGGTCCCCAGCGTTTAAACCAAGTGTGTTCCCCTTAGGGTGGCACGCTACAGGAGGCCATGGCCAATCTACCATCTGTATAATGCTTTCGTCTCTGCATCTGTTACTTTTGTTGGTGCGAAGAAATCCATTTACATTCAAGCATTACTCTCCACTAGACAATAGAGATTCTGGCTAAAGAGATACATCCATAGCATAAAATTCGTATCTGCATAGCCATTTCAGTCGGATTCTCGTTCCGCCGTGTCTGTTCACCCTCGTCACCCCGTAAATTGAACTGTCTGAGAGCTTCGTCCACGATGGGAGTAATCTGACCATGTCTTCCACCTGTTCATTGACAACTGGTGACTGTATCCGGGTTCTGTACGAGAGGACGAAAAAAATCGGATGTCGTCCAGCTCGGGAATTTGCCAGTAGGGATTGGGTAGGTGATAGATGAAACAAGGATCCCAGGCAACGGCAGGAGTGCATCCATTTTGATAGCAATTCGCGACAGGGCAGAGTCCATTAGCGAGAAGGGGTTCTTGGTCATACCCACGCAGCATTGCGTGCTGGTGTTGTGTGCGACGGATGCGATAGATGACAAGCTCATTGGGTTGAGCCAAGAGTTCACACGGAGGCATTCCAAACTGAAAGAAGCCGAAAAGAAGTGTTCCATGGTGGCATGGCAACCTTTTCTTGGGGAAGAAGGTGCCTGTTGCTGTGTTAAGTGAAGAGAAGGACCTTGGTCCAGATGATAGCAGCGTTCATTACCAATTGACGTCACTGAGTTGGAGTTTGCGGGAACGGAATGCAGACCGGTTCGCGCCGGCCTTGTCCATCCGCTGGCTCGCGGGGGTACGCTTTTCCTGGGTGTCTGCTTTTCGGTCCTTCAGTTCGAAGTTCTTCCGGTTGATGTTGGGTAGGGGATATTGCTCACTCTCGGTTGGTTCGGGCTCGGTTGACGCCTCGTAGTTCAGGACCAGGTTCTTAATGCGTTGCTGCTCTTCCCGGTCGGCTTGTTGCTGGCTCCGCATGGCAATGGCAAAGGTCGAGTCCGACGGGAGATCGATAGTGCGGGTCTAAATATTGTTAGCAAGATGCAAGTATACTGCGGATGCGAATTTTCGAGTCTCTCTACCTGTTGCTTGTTTCCCTTCTTTGTCATAAGAGAGAAAGCCATTGTCTTCGGGGCAACTGGTTGAGCCGGGACTGGCTCAGGGCTGGAATCAATGGGCATGTTTTCGCGAGGGCGTTTCATAGGTAAGGGAATATCGAACACAGTCTTGCGTTCGAACCGTCTCGAGTCCATGCTCTCGGCCATCATTTTCTCGAATTCACGATCAAATTCAGCCTCGGTTGCTGGATCTCGCTCCTCTTCCTGTCGGGTGACAATGATCTGTTCGTCCTCGGACTCGCTTTCGCTTTCATCATTTGCCTCGGGATTGGGTCCAGACGCCTTCGATAGGGTAAATGGGTTAATGGGGCGTACTTCATGTAGATGGGATGGGGGACCTACTTCGGCCTCGTCGCTAGATTCCTGGTCTTCGTCAATCTCGGGAATCGCATCTTCCTCGAGATCCTCATCAGATGAGCTGCTTTCTGCGTCTTCTTCATCGGCTTCAATGGGTCGCTCGGAATCCTGCACGTTGTAGTTCTGAGCCACAGCTTCACTGAAAATGCGGGTCGCTTCTTCAGCCTCCGTAGCAATTTTCCATTGTGGGCGAATAGAGTGGTAAGTATCCTGGACAAGGAAGTCGACATCCATGGGTAAGGGATCCTTAGTAAACAAGTAGTACTGGAAGAACGCAAGGAAGAAATCCAATTTTTTCTTGGCCGAGCCACGGTCGAAACAGTGGCCACAAGTATCAAGAAGCGTACAGGCCAAGCGCAGGCGGAAGTAATCGTCTGGCAAGTCCAGCATGCTGATCTTTCCGGGAACCGGGGTACCACCTTCATGGCCGAAGGTGATAATGCGGTACAAGGTATCAAAAATGACCGGGGAATCAATCATCTTGTAGTTATAGAGTTCGCCTAGATATTTGATTTCCGCAATGCGCTTCTGGTTAAACTTGAAGTCGTTCTGCTCGAGGCCGAGCGTGACCTGCTCAAGAACATTGTCCACGATGCCGATGACGAATTCCTGGTGATACCGGTACAAAGCACTGACAAGAATTGCCAATAGGTGAATGCTGCCATATTTCACTTTGACCGGTTTGCTGAACACACGTTCCAAAATCCCAACAACCTCCTGCTCCTCCCAATGAAGTTTGCGAATGGACTTCAAAATCTTGGTGTAGTTCCGCTTGTTCATATCCAGGTAGATTAGCCGGCGGATATACTGCTCCATGGGTGTACGTTCCTTTTGCTGGATAGCTGGGCGCGGAGGTGGGTCGACATAATAGATGGCGTTTTCAATGACCATTCGCTCCTGCTGGGCCAAATGTTGCACGGTCTTCTTGCGACTTAAGGTCTCGAGGAAAGAGGCCATCCGCGGCGATGTTTCGGGGTTACGCAACAGGTAACGGCCACAATTTTCTAGCAAATGACCAATGATTTCAATATTCATGCGTGAAAATTCGTCCAGCGAAACCTTGAAACAATGGAAGATGATATGCTCCGGAACCACACCAAACTTGGTTAATTCAGCCAAGTAACGAACGTTGCTCATGCGTACTTGGCCGAGGAATTCCTTGGACTTGCGCCGCTGTAGACTTCGGAACTCTTCATCGAGGTACGTGGTCAGTCCCTGTGGAATGTCTGGCAGATACTGTCCAAGCGTTGCCACCAAGCGAGAATACAAAGGTAAAAGATCAATGCGGCCCTTGGGAATGTCGGACACGGCTTTGACTAGTCTGTTCCGTGATGCTTTAGAGTTAACCCAGCAGAAATCCAGAGCAAACTGGTCGACCTGGTCTTTGGTTTGTAACTCGGGCAGCTTGGCAAGCAGAGACTCTACCTGTGCACCCACGGTCTTGCTGGCAATGGCGGTAGACTGGTCATCTGCCTCTGCCGCGGACTTCTCATCCAAGGGCTCGGCAGAGTCAGTGGTCTCGCCATCTGGCTTCTTCTTACCTGACTCCTCAGCTTCGGTCTTTTTCTTTTTGCCATCCTCAAGCAAGACCGCGGGCACCTTGCCCTTGAGATCAACGAGATTTTCGTAAAATCGTCTTTCTTCTTCGTCTTCCCAGATTCCGGCACCTTCACCCTGGCCTCGCAGGTAATCAGTGGTCTTTACAAGACCAATACCACCACTGGCTGAAGCATCGGTAGGCTCCTTCTCGGCTAGATCGGGCATCTCGGTTCCTAGAGCCTCGCACAGTACCTGGGTATTGGCCACAAGTTTCTCCAGGACCTTGGATTGCTTTTCGAAGTTAGCCTGGCGGTCCTCGAAGATTTCGCCGCTTTTCACGTAAGCTTCGGCATTGCGGCGATTTTGCTGGGCCAGCGCTCTCTGATCTCGGACCACGTGAGCCTTGACATCTTCAAGGTACCGATTCAAAATATTTCTAAACCGCTGTTGTGTTTTCTCTGGAGTCAGAGGCAGATCGGCCTCCGTATTGACATCCCCATTGATCTCTGTAGGCTGGGCATCCGCGCCCGAAGTCGTAGCACCATCGGCCTCAACGGTCTTCCTGCCATCCTCAGCAAGCTTCGATCCAACGATATCCCAACTAAAGCTCTTCACAAACAAGACTGCAAGAGGTAAGTTCGTGTGGTCACGGTCATGACCGAGCAATTCCTTCAGAACCTCCAATGGGAATGGCTCAGCCTGCTTGTCTTGGTCCTTCACGCCCACAGAGGGACTTTTGGCTTTCAATGGGGTTTCCGACGGTTTGCTGCCTATGCCAACGGCTCCCTCCTTAACCTTCGCGCCCAAATCCTCGGGTCGCTCAACATCATCGAGCGTCTTCAGCACATTGACTAGCCAAAGCTCCGTGACAACGCGGAGAAGAACACGATGCCGAGACAGACGATCTTTCTCTTCGCGTTCGCGGATTTCCTGGCTCAGTGCCTTGAGCTGCGCTTTATCCGGTGTGCTTAATCCCCGGCCGAGCAGCCAGCCAATTTGCCGCGTAAACTCCCATGGGCCGAAACGTTGGTGAAGTGCACTGACAACCTCCACTCCAGCGGCAATTTCTCCGGGGGATTTAAGCTTGCAGAGGCCTTCGTAGCAGGCGGAGATGATTTCGGAAAGGTATTTGTGGAGTGACAGAGTGCGGATGTCGGCGAGGAAGGTGGAAAGGGCAGAGGCACTGATGCCGGTGCGTAAACGTTTGATGAAGGCGGTGTTCTTTTTGAGAGCGGAATCGAGTGATTTGCTTGTGGAAAAGACGTCTGGTGTTCAGGTGTTAGAGTCATCTAGGTGGGCTGTGGCATTTCGTCATCAAGGGAGTTGAATTTCCTACCAGATTCGCCTGCCCAAGCACGCTCGTTTAGGTCGCGAAGCTCCCCTGCAAGGAGGCAAAAAAGCCTAGCGTCAGTTAAGGCCCTCAAGGATGGTTTGATACACCGTACTTTTCCGTTGGCGCTCCATGGCGATGTGTCCAAGACCAACTCAATCGTGGGGTCCCTTGTGAATGTCCGAGGGGAAAGCGCATAAGTGACTTGAACGCCACATCGGTGGGGAAAGAAAGGATAAGAGAGCAGTACGCAATCAAAGAAGAGAAGGGAGAGAAGGTCAGGTCCTCAACGTGTAGGGCGGAGCGGAGGTGATGGCGGACTTTTTGCTTATCCACTTATCCACTTGTGCGAGATAACTGCACTTCATCACTTACACTCCTTCACTTCTCGTTTGGATTCAGATCAGACACGACGATGTATAGGATAAATTATATGATTTCAGATTCCCAATTACAAAATGATTTTGGTTTACTCAAACAAAGCCCTTTCGGTCGCTTCCTAAAGTCCCTAAAGTCCCAGTGGTATAACAATCCGACGATCATTCCAGCACTACAGAGTAGATGCTGTTCGAATCATTCTAATCCCCACTATGTGCTTCGGTGAATCCCGTCTCCTTTCCCTTTTCAGAGCCGAGTAATCGTTCTTGCAGTTGATGTTTGCGATCCTCGTTGCTCCAGCTCTGTTGGCGATCAAGCTTCGGCTTCCATGACTTCTCGGGAGATGCGTCCTTTCGATTAGGACCTGATGATGTGGCATCAGCCGAATGAGTATGGTTATGCGAGAGGGAAAGAACTATGTGTTCTTTTTGGGTAGCCATAAATTGGTGGCCCCCGTTGTGATTGTTGGATGTCATTGAGTAGGTCACCCACAAGGATAAATTGAATAAGGATGATCTCAGGATATAGGATATCCGAGGATTTGCTAGCTATTGATTTGGAGCTAGTTCAGTGTGGTATCAAGATATTGGAAGTCTGTTGCTCACGGCTCCCTTGTTGGGTCCTTTTATACCCTTCGGTGCGGGGTACTCAGGGTCTAGATGTATGAGGTGGCGGCTAAGACGGATCATAGGGACTATTATAGCGATGGTACGTTGTACTTCGGATAACAGCCTCTCTAGGCTGAGGAAGATCTAGTTCAGCAAGCCGGCGTGGCCCCCGATATGACGTGCGGGTGGCGAACGTATCAGGCTATGTCGGCTCTGTCTCAGGTATCGTTGCCCTGCTGATACACAAAATCACTAGATTCCCGGAATAGTGAACATATCAATTTATGTTCATTGTGGGCATTGTGGGCATTGTAAAGCGTGCCAAAAGCGATGCTTGTACTCCCTACATGGACCTGTCACGATATCAATCGCATGAGCCTTACAGTGAGCACCTGTATCCCCTAACCTACGTTCTATGACTGATGAGCTCACGATGTTGTACGGAGTATAGGATGACACAATCAATGCTGCCTCAGTATGATTTCTTTCCTGTCAATTAGTCAACATGATATGATGCTCTAGGTACAGGACGTACGCCCTTACAGCCTGCTATATGGAGATGGATTGTCTGAACTCATATATTGAAATGGAAAGGATAACATACAAGTCGTGAGAGCGTTCAGCCATCCGAAAGCAGACTGACAAAAATGAAAAACCGACGAGACGAAAAGCAGGTGAGATACAGAGAGCCCACCAGGGCGCGTGACTTGACCAATGTCTGGAGACACGAGTGACAAAGTCCCAAAAAGAAAACCCGTGAAATGTGAGCGCTAGCAGTAGTGTAACTAACCTCCAAAACAAAACAGTCATGATCAAAGGCAATAGCATATGTTGGAAACCTTCGAGATATCCAGGATCAACCAAAACGATGTACACGGGCTTTTCTGAAACCAAAGAATCGTACACGTTGCTGCTGCAACAAGAAAATATGACAACTGAAAAGCAGAAATACAGACCACACAAAAGAAAGCAAGAATCTTGATAATAATGAATTTAAAACAGGGTATGCCTCACGCCACGCTATGCAGGCCTCCCTAGCAGCCGGGGAGACCAGGAATCATTGCAAATATTTACTCGGAAAGTCCATCCGACAGTGGAAAGACATGGGAACTTTTTCAGTCAATGATTCATTTGGGCTTACGCCAGAAGTATTGCTGGAACCAAGTTAGCTGCTGCTCAAGTACATCGACAGGTACAGAGGTACTTACCTTGTGCTGCTTCCGACAGTTGCGCAAGCCGGGCTTGCGAAGATCATCGACCACAGCAGACCGACGCATAACATCATCATCTTCATCGGGAACATAGTAATATTCACTTTCAAGCGGCTTGCCAGCGGCATCCTTGCCTTCACGGGCAACTCGACCAATAAACTTGGTTGATTCAAGGATGTTGCGGATATCAGACCTGGAGAGCCCAATGGGGTTCTCATGACTGGACTTCCAGTACGCAGGAGGGAGGTTATTCAGGATCGTGGAGAATGGCGTTGAGGAAAGGCGGGAGAAAGCAAGTTGGTTAGCAGCGTGGTTGCGGACTCTCTCCGATCGTTCATCGCTATACTGGGGCTTGGTTTCGGTCGTCTCAGGTTCCTTGTCCTCGTGGAGTGGGGCTTGCTGTCTAGGGGATCGGGCTGGCTGGAGAGCTTGGGCGGGCAGCAGGCTGCGAGGAGAACGAGCACTCTGAATTGGCGAATCTCCTGCCCGGAAAGAAGCCATGCGAGGAAGAAGATTCTCTCCGAACGGTCCAAAAGAGTGGACGATAGGGTCATTCTCTTCGTCATTGTCGGAAAACTCTTCGGATCTACCCAAATCGCTTAGCTCGCTGGCGTGCGAGCTGTGAAGAATAGCAGTAGCACGCCGAGCACTCTGGGAGGTCACTCCAGTGACGGTGTTGTGACGCTTCAAGGGAGAAGGCTCATCCTCGAACACTACCACAGCCGCGCGAGAACGAGAAGGTGTGAAGATTGGAGAAGATGGAGGGATAGCATGTTGAGCAGCAGGAGAAGGAGAGACAGGCGACGCTAGACGTTGGCGATCCAGAAGCGGACTTTCTTGCAGCTCTCGTCGGGATTGACGTCGTTGGGTGGGGGTGGCTTCATCGCTGGTCTGTTCTGAGTCGGTAGAAGGGCAGTCCCTTCGTTCACTGCGAGGCCATTGGACCAGAACACGGGCATCATGAACATCAATCATGATGTCGGCATCCTTGATGTCGGAGGTAAAGGTCTTGCCTTTGGCCAAGTCGTATTTCCTTCCCTGGCAGTGGATCTTAATACCGTTCCATCCCATACACACAATTTCAACCCTATCCCGATCGAACGGGTTTGGAGCCGGCTTATATGTCGCCTTGACATGAATACGAGAGATCATACGGCTTGCAGCAAGCTGGTGGTGACAGGAGACGCTGGACCTGCCCATCAGAGTTGGCTCACCATTCTCCAACAACATTATCGTAGGCACGGCAGACAATGGAGCGCGTTCGAGGGCGGCAGCGAAGGACCGTGGCAGGGAGGGACGGCAGGCAGCAACCCCAGGCGGAGGAGGAGAAGATGACATGATGTGAGTCGACGAGGTCGGGACCGGTGTGGGATACGTCGAGACATCGGGTTCGCGTGCTACACGTTTTTGAGGCCGAGGAAGAGAGGGAGAAGAGCTTGGCTCAAAGGCAGGCAATAGAGTTGCAGGACGTTTCACGCCCAGAATTGAGCCGACGCGGCTCTTCAATGGAGATGACTCCATAGTGGAAAGGTGGAACGAAGTCTAACGAGCACTTCTACTCACGAAGGGGGGAAAACTGAGTCGAGGTCGAGGACCCGCGTCTCCGCGTGTGATATGAACACAGAGAGTGGCCTAGAGAATCTCCGACAAGAGAAAGACTTCAAGGACTCCCCTATAGAAAAGGGCGTGGTGGGAGGAAAGAAACGGGGCGAGTAGACAGAAGGAGAAGCATTGAAGAAAAAGGTCAAAAGGTGTGTGGTGGTGGAATGCCCTGGGGCGGAGCGTCTCGTCCCTGCGCGGAAATGCACGCTTACAGACCGAGACGCGTTCGATAGACGCCAACCACACTCCACTACAGGTTCGCGATTCCAATTGCAACGTCCAGGTGTCATAGAAGTAGTCGATTATAAACCCAGAGGCAAAAATGAGAAAACAGACGGATTTCTGGTTTTTTCTCTATCTCTTCATCCAACCTGTCAACCCTATACGGAGTACCCTGCGGCGCGTCCGCGTCTCAAAACACGTGACTCCACGCGAGCCAGTATGAGACCCGGTTCAAGTATGTCACCGTCGAGAATGGTATCCAGAATGACTTTAAAATGGATCTTTTGGCCTGTGGTCCTTATTGATGGAGTGGAATAAGCTCACTATGCCTTCACTCCTATATTTTCGGCCAAATCATGTCTCGGGACGCAACGTTGAAATTTAGGCAAATTTCACTAAGCTTGTACGCAGAGGCCCTAGCTAGTACGTATTAGGGGACTCCGTACTCCGTACTATACAATTTCTAGCAGAAAATGTAACCCCCCACTTGCTGTCACGAAATTGATCATTTGCCCGACTTAGTCGCGTCTCCCAGCCACCATAGGGACTGATATCACTCTGGCTCAGGCCTTGACTGTCAATTTAATTCAGATGGCGTTTCCTCTCTATACGAACTTCCGGCCCATTCAATTATTCAGGGCCAAATACCTAGACACTTGACGTTTTGCACTTGTGTTGATTAGTGCTGGTGGGGCCTCGGGAGATTTCGTTTCTTGACATGTTTTTTTGGTACTTCACCGGTCTTTCGAGAGACTCTCAACAAGAGCAAGGAATTTGCTTGAGAATTTTACTTTTTTGGCACAATTTTATATCAGTTATAAAATTATGCCTCCTGGCAATTGATCCCTTGCGTAATATATCGGTGGATCCATTCAATAGATATGGTCTAACCGATGTTTATATACTCCGTACTCTGTATTCCATACGGAGTACAGGGTATATGACGGTGTGTCATGAAAAAAATATAGAGAGCCAATGAGGCATATATAACACATAACATAACTAGCATATTGCAGCAACTACCATTCAATTTTGAGTGCGGCAAATGAGGCAGCGTCCTCCGTAGTTCAATATATATATAGCGGTCAGCACCGGTGTAGAGGCCCATACAAAGAAGATAAGCGAACAACAGTTTCTTCTAGTGTAGCCTGAGAGTCGATGGGCCTAGGTTCTGGACCATTACAATAGAAGAGAGTCTGGTTGCAACCAAGCCATCGTAGGCTACTGTCTAAAAGGCTCAAGTGAGGGTTGGCCAACGATATCACAAACATCCTCAGATGAGTGGGTTGCCAATGTCAAGGATATACGGAGGTCTCAAATATTTAACTAAAAATATTACTCAGGCAACCGCTACATGAGGTTGACTGTTATTCTCTTTTAAATATATCCCGAGTCGTTAGGTAGTTGTCACTATAATTTAGGGCTTCGCTGCAATGCATAGTGGCACGTGATATAATTATCATAATATTCGGTGTGAACCAGATGAGGTCAAGCTGCGATTAAGTCGACTATATGATAAAACAACTGCTGGTGTAATATGAAGGAAAGAATGACGCAATAATGCACGCGATATATGTTCGCCATGTGGGAGTGTGCTCCTGCATTCGATCATGTATGTGACATATCACATATTCTACACCTAGGGTTAATTAGAGTATGTACTATACCTAGGTAGGAACTCCGTACGGAGTACTAATACTTATGTTATTTCTCGCCCTGTGATAATCTGAGGATGAAGGTACAAGGATACCTGCACTTTTATATGTCAATGTATGTTCCTATCTACATGTATTGACTGACAATGTATGTGATATGAGTTGAAGGAAAGCACCGTTGTAGCAGGAATATACGTAGTTTTGTCGCTTGTTTTATTACAAGCAAAAATGTGGCAGAACAATTGGGAGGATGTCATTCAGTTAAACAGAAAACAATGGCCGGATCAAAACAGGCAGTACATTTTTGTCGGACTAGATCACCCCGTGTATGTTGGATATCAGTTTGAGTCACGGAGGTCAGCTGACAAATGGAGAGGTACAGAACCAGCTGTATGCCATGAGTCGATCCCCCAGTTGGGCCAATAAATACACTCGAGCCTCGCAGTTCAAGTCACGAACACGGCATGGACGAAGTAACCAAGAGTGAGACGGAGCATTGAACGGGAAGGCGCAAGCCCCCTATCACCAGGACAAAGACGAAAGGAAAGGGAACGAGGGATAGATTTGAAGTCAAGAACAGATTGGTACTTGAAAAAAAAAGTGTAAATCTAACCATCAAATAAAAAAAATAGCGCTCCCATGAAGTTGTCCGACCAGGGGGTAAAATGTGGTCATAAGAAATAGAACAAAAAGGATGCAACAAGGATTGGAATTCGGGCCAAGTCACACATAAAACCAAATAGAATTTAAGATACACAGAAAGTAATAATGATCCTTCAAATAAGAAACCGTGAATATAGACAGATGCACATAAGGAAGCGGGATGAGAGCGGCGGCTCAGCTTGTCCTAATGTAAATTGAACGGGAGACGCTCATTGACTTTCGCGTGGAGATGTAACGACTGCCACCGACCAAAAATTTGTTGCGATACTTAGTCGTAGAAGACGTAGTAAGCCTTGCCGGAGGTGACACCGACCTAGAGAGAGAGATATTGTTAGTATCGAAAGGATGAGGACCGACAATTCGGGACTAAAAACTTACTGTGCAGCCGCTGTTTCCACTGATGGGACCGTTAGAATCGTAGAACTTGCCGTTCTCGTAACGGCACTCATCACTGAGGCCGTCACCCTCAAGCTTGATGTTGAAGTCGAGGGTCTCGGTGGTAGTCGGGGCGTTGGGGAAGATAGACAGGAACTTTCCGTTGCTGGTGTAACCAACACCAAGGTTGATGGGAGCCCAGTTGCCGATGGGTTCGCTGCCGTCACCCCACTGGCAAGCCTTCTCGGTGGAGATACCCTTGGGGTTGACATAGTATTGGGCGGAAGTGACCTTGCCCTCCCAGAGGAAGTAGTTGTCGCCATCGGGGCAAGTCAGGTCGTGGACAGAACCGGGGGCGGCGGCGAGAGGGACGGTCTCAGACTCAGTACCGGGGTAGTCAGTACGGCAAACGGCAACATCTTCGGACATCTTGTTCTTGACGTGGACATCGCCGACACCAGGAATGCAAAGCTGCTTGTGGTTCTTGTTTGTGAGGTAGAGCTTGCCGAGCTTGCATTGGAGACCACCGACGGACTGGCCAGTGCTACCCTGGGCAGTGGGCCACTGGGACTTTTGGTAGCCGGGTGGGCAGGCGTAAGAGCACATAGCACCACCGTGACACTTATCACCGGTAACAGCAGTCACAATGTCGCTGACCAGATCATCGAGGAGAGTAATGTACTGGATACCAGAGTAACCGCCAAGGCCAAGGTAGTCAAGGGGAAGAGCACCGTAGTCTGAAGGGAATTCACTGCAATCAATCTCTCCATCAGGGAAATCAGCGGTGAGACCCTTGGCACCAGAGATGCTCGAGCTGCTCGAGCTGGAGGCGCTGCTGGTAGCGGCGGCACTTGAGGTGGAGCTTGAGGTGGGCTCTGCCGTGCTGGTTGAGCTGGCTGGGACGATAACAGCCGAGATCTCCTGGAGAATGGCAGGGGCGATGGAAGAGATCGTTGATAGGGCGGGCGCGGAAGTCGAGATGGGGGTGTCTGTGCTGCTGGGTGGACAGGCAGCTACAACTGCGGTGTCGAGCCACTCAAACTCGTGATTGGCAAGACCTTTGCAGGCCTCATCTATGCTAATAGACTGAGGAGCGCCTGACTTGGATGGGTCCATCACAACAAAATCGTATACAACAGCGCCGGGAACGGAGACGGTCTCGGTCTCCGTGACGCGCTTGTGGTTGTGAGCGTGTCCATGCCCGTGGGCAGTAGCGAGGCCAGCCGTTGCCAGCGCGGCAACAGTGTTCTGGAACTTCATTGTGTTGGTGGCAATGCTAAACTATTTAACCCAACATGTTAGTTGCGCCTTATTCACGTGTCTTCTCGTCGCGATGATTGTATTGTGCCGCGAGGATGGTCGCTCATACGCGATCGCATCCATTCACATCTCGAATATTGTGTGCAACCATGCAGGTACACCTCGAGGAAACCCCAAGAATTCACAGAATATCAGATCGCGATCTGATGTCACGACGTGTAGGGATCAACAGGAGATAATACATACATCGATTCAAAGAAAATGGGCGCGCGTTTGTCGTCAACAGTCGCGTAAAGGACAGTAGTTTTCAAAAGAATGTGGAGAGAACAAGATCCCTCAGGTGTGGGAAAACTTCGAGAAATGAACTGCGGATGGCAAGACTGGGGAAGAGGGAAGTCAGGAGAGGTAACAAAAAGGAGGGGCCTTGGTCTATGTCCCAATTGCGTTAGCGTGATAATCACGGGAAAAGGGGTACGGGATACGGAGCACAGCTTCAAGATAGACTGTCTCACACTGCCTAGTGGACCCTGGAGGGAGAGTCTGGATTGTACTATGTACATGCTGGCTTGACTTGGCAAATACAATATTAGTCCTGCCCAGCTTTTTGCCTCATCATTCTTTCCTTCCCCTCTCTTTGCTTCGCCAGCGCAGTCCAGATTGGTGCCCAGTCCGCTCTCCTTTTTCTTTTCTGTTTACCTTTGGTCCCTGCGCCTTGGCGTCAAAACGAGATTAACTGCCAGGGGCACCCAATCAGAGGTCAACAATGCACTTCTATGGGCCCCACGATTCAGGTACACCAATCAGAATCCACATACCCTCGCAAAATTCCCTGCGTATCCATGGGTACGGGGTAACAGCCATTTGGTCACTTCATTCTCTCCTGATGCTTTGTTTTAGTTCTACTTTCTACAATTTGTTAGGCCACGCTATTGAAGCTATTTCGCCCTAAAACTATTCATTAATCCCCCGTCCTCTGAGTACGGAGTACAGAGTACGGGATACGGAGTGCATTCTTATGATATACCTCTGTCGTGCTCCCTACGCCCTATGGTAGTCCAATTACATATCCATGGCCGATGTAGAGAACAGGATGTGAAGATCAAAAGTAGCAAAGTAGCGCCAGGGGTACGGGGTAGGAAGCAATACACGCATAGAACGAGACGCCCACCCCCTGACAGACCACCGATCTGCAGAGTCGCTGCCCAGCCCTTCCAAGGCTTGCGATGCGGTGTGAGCAGCAAGCAGGGGGTCCTTTCCCCTGGCAGTGTCAGCGCACGGGGCTCTAGTCCAGTTCGTATCACACTGGGAGTCCAATACCCCGTACGGAGTACAACTACATTATATGCTCGAAGTTTAGTGCTCCAGTAGGCGTAATATCCGATACTTTGACCGTCTTCGTCGGAAATAAAATTGAAAAATCACCCCAAGTACGGAGTACTCTACGGAGTATACATATACCCCCGAGAAACCAGCATGTACCTTCTACCGTGCAACATACTCCGTACAGACTATACGTCGTTGATTTAGGCGATAATCGCGATGTCCGATAAAATATATGGAGTACGGAGCACGTAGGCCTTTCTCCATAAAACCTACAGTGATGACGACGCCGCCTTCTTAATTCCCGCAGCACTCTCCATAATCCTCTCCATACCCCCGAGGTCCTCATTATAGCGACTGAAAGTCTTTGTTCCAACAGCATAGCTCCAGTCATTCATTTTTTCGATAGTCAACTAGCCAGTGGAATACTCCATACGGAGTAGTGATAGGTGAGCTAGAAGCCGGCCGATTTGTCGATCCACAGCAATCTTAATTCTACGTGGCCCTGTCCGCGTCATAGTATGCTCTAGCAGATCGCTAAAATTTACAGTAGAATTACACTAGATGTATCACGGTAACAATATCGGCATATGGAGTACGGAGTAGAAAAATCAAACATTCAGAAATTCATCTACGTTCTTCATCGCCACACAAGTTCAACCAGGATGAGCATTAAATTGAGCCATCCTGTCTTGCAATGCGAGGTGAACCAGAATTGTGCTTCATGTTCGGAGTATAGAACACATTCTCCGCGAACAGAGACGCATCAAACCTGACTTTTTGGGGATAAATACGCCCGATTTATGTCCTCCGATCGTTCTGATTAAGATGTACATATGGAGTACCTAAAGTTGTACGGAGTACTCCGTACACCATGGTGATCTGCATTGGTCCCCATTGCAACACTGTAGCGTTGACATAACAATTTAGTATGTACAAAGTGCAAAGTGAGCACATTCATACGGAGTAACCTTGCACCCATCGGTTTAACTCTTTCTCTAATCATGTTCTGTCGAAGTGGGTGTAGGTACGGAGTATTGCTTTTGAACTCCCACCTACAATATTATACGTTACGTATTATCTGTATTGTGGCTCATTGGGACAGCTTTCATTTCGTGCTCCATTCGGTAAAAGCTCAAGTACATACAACATACGGAGTACTCCGTATGTTGTACATACTTTTTTATATTAAAACTGGAGACTTTCCACAGTTCGGCTTCTCGGGAACCGCCGTTGATTGTCATGTGAATTAATAAATTAATTTATTTCTAAAAGAGTTCCATAGGAATTTGTTGCGGCTCAGTCTACTTTGTCCTCCGTACTCCGTATCCGTACAATATAAGTAGGTACACACCTATGTTGTGCTTCATACGGAATATAACGTACGTCAATGGATCGTGCAATAAATTAACTATCGTTGGCACCTCTTCGGTCCACTGGACTCGTTTCACGTGTCCCATTGTATCGATTATATGTCAGTAATTATGGCTAACTAATTATCAACGCACATTGCACGGACTACCTACTACTCCGTACACTATTCCAAGCTTTTGTGCTGCCAAAATATATTGTACCTATAGCCTGATCCGCATGAGAGACCGAAACCGACTCAACAGTGATTGTCTATTAATAGCGATCCAAGACTTGGCGCGCTATGATCTGGCGATCAATTCTTATGAAATTCTTTTTTGAAAAGCGAGGGCCTATTTCTGGGGAAATTTTTTTTAGCCGTTTTGAAATAGCCTCGAATTAAGGTGGCTCTTTAGCTTCCAACCTTGGAAGGTTGTTCCAGGCTGAACAATACCCCGTCACGCATCTATGTAGGTAGGCAACTAGGCGACAGAGATGACACCTTTTGACTTAGATCGCATTGGCTAATAATTCCTGATAGACGATTGTCTAGGTCCCCACGGAGTACTCGGTATACGGGGTATAGGATACTTGATCTTTAATCTACATGTAGGTACGGAGTACTACGGAGTATAGGTACTACCGTCCAGCTCTCTAATTATAGACTTGCTTTTGAGATCAGGGTGTCCTGCTATTTATAATCTCCCTTTCGACCTACACTTTCAACTGTTCTTACAACCATCCAAATGCTGAGCAAAAGCGCCGCAGCGTATGGACTCATCAAGAGGCAAAGGCAGCAAAGGATATCAACTGATATACAAAATCAAAAGCGACACTTCTTGCCGTCCGTATGGGAGGTCCCTTGAATTAGACAATCCTTTCGATGCTTGATAACTGCAGCATGATTAATCTAGTATCAGAATATTGAGCTTGACAGTCCTACAGAAGGACATCCCTCGATACATCGTTCCACCATGGATGGGATTCTAGCGGCCAAGGTGGAGATGGGCTAGGAGGAGTTCCGCTCGACCTTTCTTTATTACTTGAGTTTACTATCGAGCCAGTGAAGCCAAAAGGAGTCAAAATGGAAGATAACCGAGCAGTCAGTCACTGACATATACGGCTGGTGAGTTTTAGTTCCAGGGTCTTGGTCTTTCATGTTTGGATGTGGGCTACCATCGCCGGTCGCTGACTGGCTGGATCATCCCCATCATTCATCTTATGGGGTCATTAGATGCCCACATCGGCAGCCTTAGAGCAGTTTATTGGCGTATGTTACTTGTACTGCGTGTATAAGTGGAGATATGTAGGGGGTAGAACTGTCTGGTTATGGGCAGGTTTGCTGGACTGTGACAGCAGGGCATAGGAAGTTTACGGTAGCACGTAGAGGTTGACGTTGGATAAGGTATGCCCCGGCCTGCTACAATGTATGTATGTACGTGTACGTATGTACCTAGGTACCTTCCTACAATTACCCCGAGTGGTCCTTTAGTACGCTAGCTACAGGTAGTTAAATCAATATTATCCGATGGGATTAAATATCTCCAATGAGTTTCCCAATGTTATGATGCTGAATCGGAGGTACATTTACTCGGCTTCGGGAAAGGGACAAATTCTTTTCCTGGGCCTCGATAAATCACCCTCGAAATGAAAGTGCGATAGCGGCCTCAGGCATCAACCGGGGTCTGGACTGCCAAGCATGGCCAAACTGCCACCGCCTTCCGAAATTTTTTTGAGTCCCGATATGATTGCAAAAAAAATTGGAGATGTTCATCGAGTCTACAATTCGCTAAAATGGGCTCCTCTACTACTCAACTCACCTCGAAGGTGACCTCAGGCTCCCCTTATCAGCTTGATAAGCCCCAGGTTAGTATCAATGACCCCTAAGGCCCAATTTCGCAAAGTACTTATCGGACTTTAATCAGGCCCTCAAAGCTTCCTCGGCGCTATTGAAGCACATCAAGTCTACTCAGGAGGAACAGGCAAAGACTGCGACCAAGAAGACTTTGATTGGCGACGATGACTCTGATGATGAGGACAGCGCGACCAAGAGCGAGGCTGTCTGGCTCGTTCTCACCACCAAGCAGCACGTGGTGGACAAGAACCGCCTGAAGCCCGGCAAAATTAGCATCCCTCATTCTCTCAACACGTCACCATCCCTCAGCATTTGTTTGATCACCGCCGATCCCCAGCGCGGCGTCAAAGATATCATTGCCGACCCGTCCTTCCCTCAGGGCCTTTCCTCCCGCATCGAAAAGGTCATCGGTTTCTCTAAACTGAAGGCCCGCTACCAGAGCTTCGAGAGCCGTCGCCAATTGTTTGCAGAGCACGATGTATTCTTGGCTGATGACCGTATCGCTATGCGCCTGGTGCAGACCCTCGGAAAGATTTTCTACAAGTCGAGCAAGCGCCCGATTCCCATCCGTATCGCCGAGATCGAAAAGGTCGACGGCAAACGCGTCAAGAAGGATACCAAGAAGAACTCCTCCTCCAAGGAAGAGAAGAACGCCTCGTTCGCCTCTCCTCTGATTGTCGCCAAGGAGATCGAGCGTACTCTGAACTGCGCCTCTGTGCAGCTCGCACCGTCCACCACCGCTGCCGTCCGAGTCGGCTCATCCAAGTTCACACCCGAGCAGCTGTCCGAGAATATTGCCGCTGTTGTCAACGGTTTGACCGATAAGTTCGTCGCAAAGGGCTGGAGAAACATCAAGGCTCTTCACATTAAGGGTGCTAACACCATGGCTCTGCCTATCTGGCTCGCTGATGAGTTGTGGGTGGAGGACTCCAATGTGCTGGAAGCTGCTCCTGAGACCGAAGCTATCAAGGATTCCAAGAAGCGCAAGTCTGTCGAAGACAGCAAGCCAGTCGAGGAGAAGAAGACCAAGAAGAGCAAGTCCGCAGACGATGAGGAGGAGGCTGCATCCGTTGCTGCGCGGAAAGAGAAGCTCCAGAAGCTCAAGGCTCAGGCTCTCGAGGATGGTGACACAAGCAAGCCCGCCGCAACGAAGGCTGGTGGCAAGAAGAAGAGAAAGTCGACTTCATGATTGTTATAGCTCTTAATGTTTCTGTTTGCATGTAAAGGTATTTCTGGCGTACAAAATATCACGTGTCTATTGTTCCGACAATCTCTTATTGTGCCAGTACGGAGTAGTCGAAATCAACTCAGTACATAGTATGTATACAAATCTCAAAACTTTAGAGTGAATGCAACAAAATTAGTGTGCCAAACTCCTCTATCCCCATCGCATGCGTCATTTCGTGGTCCGACCAGGCTATATGATCACCGCATTAACCGAGTCCGACCTCGGGCGCCGGGCTTGGCACCCCGACGATAGCCACCGATCACATCACCGTGAATCGCCGAACTTCAATCTTGCTCTTCTCCCCACGCCTGGACGAACTAAGTCAAACAATTCCACCAAGTCGTCGCTATGATTCCGATCGCCAGACATTCTGTTCTGCGGGTTGCCCGCTCTCAGCTCCAACCTACCCGGAAGCTGAGCCAGCCCGCTTCCTCGGCGCTCGCCCGCCTGCTCTCCACCCTTGCGGTTCTCGAGCAGCGCAATGGCAAGCTGGAGCCATCATCTTTGTCCGCAATTGCGGCTGCACAGAAGCTGGGTGGCTCGGTAACAGGCTTCCTTGCTGGCTCCGGTGTCAAAGGCACCTCTGCTGCCGAGGCTGCTAAGATCAAGGGTGTCGAGAAGGTGTTGGCAGTGGATAACGATGCATACGAGAAGGTATATACAATCGCATTCTTTGAATTGACTACTATATATGATTGCCTTACTAACAATTGGATTTCTTGCTACAGGGCCTCCCCGAAAACTTTGCCCCTCTTCTCGTAGAGAACATCAAGAAGGGCGAATTCACCCACGTCGTTGCCGGCCACTCCGCTTTCGGCAAGAGCTTGCTACCCCGCGTGGCCGCTCTCTTGGACGTTCAGCAAATTTCCGACATTACCGGCATTGAGAGCGAGGACAGTATGTGGAAAATCGGACAATTGATCTAACATGTGATCCGCCGCTAACCATAACTCAGCTTTCGTCCGCCCCATCTATGCCGGCAACGCAATTCTCACCGTTCAATCGTCCGACAACATTAAGGTGATTACGGTGCGAGGCACTGCCTTCCAGGGCGTCGAGACCGAAGGCGGCTCCGCCGAGATTGTCGATGGAACAGACCCCAATGTTCCTGCGATAACCGAGTGGGTGTCCGAAGAATTGGCCAAGTCTGAGCGCCCCGATCTCGGTACAGCCACCCGTGTGGTGTCCGGTGGCCGTGGCTTGAAGTCGAAGGAGGAGTTTGACCGCATCATGCTTCCACTCGCAGACTCCCTCGGCGCCGCTATTGGTGCTTCGCGTGCTGCTGTTGACAGCGGCTTTGCCGATAACAGTCTGCAGGTTGGCCAGACTGGTAAGAACGTTGCTCCTCAGCTCTATCTCTGTGCCGGTATCTCCGGTGCTATCCAGCACTTGGCTGGTATGAAGGACAGCAAGGTCATTGCTGCCATCAACAAGGATCCTGAGGCTCCCATCTTCCAGATTGCCGATGTTGGCCTTGTCGGTGATTTGTTTGACAAGGTGCCCGAGCTGACCGAGAAGCTCAAAAGCGCCTAAATTGGTTGCATGAATAGTTTTCCTTTTGTATCATGACCTATCGAGCAGGTTGATACCTTTATTTTTTTTTGTCTGTTGAATGAACCGTACAGTATACCATTGACTAGAGGACTGGAGCCGATTGGTTTGGTCTACAATACAGGTTGTCCCTCATCCCTATTGGTCTCAATCTTGCGCCGTAGAAACCGTATTTATTGTTTGATATCAAAGTGGTTTGCAGGTAAATAATTTACGTATACTTGAGAATCTAGTCAAATCCCCACTGTTCTATAGATGTGATCGTAAAAGGACTTAGCGGCCAAAATGGGACTAGCGCGTTCCGTTAGCACGCGTCGCGTCTATCAGAGGGGAATTGCATTGGAGACTGTGTATTGACATGAGATCCATAGATATCTGAACGCATGAATGCTTCCTTCGTCGCCATTTCTATCCTCGTTTGATCCGGCCCTTCATCTCCACTCCGAAGGACTTGACAACACGATAAACCCGCCATCCGAATCGTTTTCCGACGATCTCGAGGCAATCCACCTGCACCGCCGCGAACAAATTCACAATCGAGTTGTAATTCAACATCGGGCGTGGGACTTATCGGATGTGTTTCGCAGTGAAGACGAAATAAGACCTGGTTCGAGACTTCCTGTTCACACTGATTAGAGTAGTGACACTGACGGCCACCCAGTCGATACGCCAACCAAAACTATCACGACTCCGAGAACATTTTCTCACGCTCCTACTCGACGGCTGTCCTTTATCCCGTCCTCGCCGCCAATTACAAGAATGCCGTTCATATCGTCTCCGAGCGTTCGCGCACCCAATTCTACCGATGCGACAAACGACCCGCAAAAGAGGAAAGTCGCTGATGGGGAGGGAGGCTCAGAGCAAACAGAGCCGAAGCGCCAGCGCATGGTTGGAGGCTTCGTCGATGATGATGACGATGATGAAGAAGATGATCTCGCTGCTTTCAGAGACGAGCAGATAAAGGATCAATATGATCTGCCGGAGCGCATCTGCCAGCAGCCTTCGACGGAACTCCCTAGCATACTGGTATCACCACTGGCATTTACGAAACCGAACGCGGCAACCAATGTTATATCTAGCGCTTCCAAAACGCTATCAGAGTTGACACCCCGGGCTGCTTCAACCGCCCCCAAAAGATTTGAGATCAAGACTTGTGCTGGCAAGACCCATAGTGTCCCCCAAAGAAAGGTCCAGGCCCCCGTTTCCTACAAACAAATAATCGCTAGTCGGTCCGAGACAGAACCCGGAAAGGCGAAGAAGAGTTATTTTGGCATTGATATCCACCAATTACTAGACGAGGCAGCCAACGACAAAAGGCCGTCGAAGACAGTCCAGCAGCCCCGAGTCCAGCAAACTATCGAAACAAACGAACAGAGCTCCAAGCAAAAGAAGATAGACTCTGCAATGTGGACAGAGAAGTACCGTGCTCGGAAATTCACTGATCTCATCGGAGATGAACGCACTCATCGATCCGTGCTTCGCTGGCTCAAGGGATGGGAGTCCATTGTATTCCCTGGATTGGCCAACTCTCGCGCAAAGAAACCTGCCCAGGATGGCGAGGAGGAGTATATCCATCGAAAGGTTCTTTTGCTGAGTGGTCCTCCCGGACTCGGAAAGACAACACTGGCACACGTGTGTGCCAAACAGGCTGGCTTCGAAGTGCTTGAAATCAATGCTAGTGATGACCGCAGCAGGGATGTGGTCAAAGGTCGCATCCGTGACGCGCTGGGAACAGAGAATGTTAAAGGTATGAACGTGGAGATTGGCGAGAAAAAGGTCCGCCGCGCCGGTAAACCCGTCTGTGTCGTAGTGGATGAAGTCGATGGTGTCACTGGTGGTTCTGGGAGCGGTGGTGAGGGTGGTTTCATGAAAGCTCTCATTGACCTTGTTCTGCTTGACCAACGAAACGCGAAATGGTCATCGGAAGGCAATAATGGCAAGAAGCGCAAAGGTGACAACTTCCGATTCATGCGGCCGTTGATTCTGGTTTGCAATGACCTTTACCACAGCAGTCTCCGGCCACTCAGAGCATCGTCCATTGCGGAGATGATCAGTGTCCGTCAAGCACCACTGGAGAATGTTGTCCAGCGAGTCAAAGTCATTTTCGACCGTGAAGGCATCCGATGCGACAATGATGGCGCTCGGAGGCTCTGTGAAGCGGCCTGGGGTATGGTCAGCAGAAAAAAGCGCACTGCCAAAGCCCAGGGGTCTGCCGAGGGTGACATTCGTAGTGTGCTAGTGGCCGCGGAATTTGTCGCACATAAGCTTCGGAACGAGTCGTTGCCATCCTCGCTCAGACTAACGAAGAATTGGCTGGAAAATCGAGTCCTGAATGCATCGGCCGAGGGTAGTGCATTCTTCAAAGAGATGAGTCGTGGCGGTGTTCGTGAGATTGTGAATCGTGTATTCACAGAGGGTGCTGGCTTCTCAGATGCCCCTACCGGGATGAGTTTCCAAGACCGCTTTGATAAAACCAATAGCCGTGTCCCCGTTGGGGTGGCGGATCTGCGCAAGCGACACGCAATCAATCGATTGCGGGAAATGGTTGATGCCAGTGGTGACCACGACCGCTGCGTATCGGACTGTTTTGCTTCATATCCCATTCAGCAATACCAGGATGACAATTATTTCTCCAAACCTAACGCCGCCCACGATTGGCTTTATTTCCATGACACAATCAGCTCGAAAGTCTACTCATCTCAAGAGTGGGAACTGATTCCATATCTCAGCCAGTCGGTCGTCGCCTTCCATCATTTGTTTGCTACGGCCAGCGGCAGAACCACCGAGGATGACACCAATGATGATGACGAAGAAGAAGCCGAAGAACCTCATCCTTTCTCAGGACCCAGAGCCGATTTTGCTGCATTCGAAGCACAAAAGCAGAACCGCGCGGCCATGACTGCATTCCATGCCTCCTTCTCGGCACCTATGGCCCGCATGTTCCGGTCAACCGAGAGTGTGATCACAGAACTAATTCCCTACTTGATCCGCATGTTATCGCCCGACGTCAAACCGGTTGTCATCCGTGGAAGCGGGGACCAGAGGAGCACAGCCACCGTTCGCAAAGAGTCCGAACGTGCGCTCGTCCTATCTACCGTGGGTGTCATGACTGGGATGGGTGTGGCATTCGAAAAAGTCCGAGTGGAACATGAAGGAAGCCATGGTGGATGGGCATACAGGATGGAGCCGTAAGTGATATTCCAAATCCTCTGTGAGACATGTGAAGCTAACGAGCCACCGATAAGGCCCATTGATTCGCTGGTGGTCTTCTCGAAGATCAAAGGTAGCACCGTTGAAGCTTCGGGGAGTACAGCACCAGTGAGATATGCCGTTCGCCAAGTGCTAGACCAGGAGTATCGCAAGGCAACGGCACGCAAGGTGCCTGATGCCACGAGCGCATCAAAACTCGGCGCCAAAACTTCTAAGGGTGCTGATGGGGACGCCGCCGAAAAAGCAATGAAAGAAGCGGCTATCAAACGCGACTTCTTTGGTCGGCTGGTCGATGAACCCGCGCCTCAGTCTCGAGAGCTAGATATTACAGACAGCTGGGCTGAAGAATCGTCCAAGGCTGGACGGAAAGTCTGGGTAACTTTCCATGAAGGCTTCTCAAACGCAGTCCGGAAACCGATATCTTTGGGAGAGCTGATGGCTGGACTGTAATATACATTTATTTTACACATGAGGTTGCCTCTTTGAAGCGTTTATCACGGTGTGCTGGAGTTCTTCTAAAGCTTATTTTATACTTCCTATAATGACAGTCTTCTACGAACTATTGAATGTCACAGTACAACTGCATTACTTGACTCGGATTTGATATTCAGATCACAATTTCAATTTCAAAAAACACCAACCATCCAATAAACAAAACCAGATATCCTTCCATTCTCATATGACATATTTTGGACGCTCTTCATAAACAAAAGAGCAACATAGCTGAACCGACGATTGCTGAAACCCATCACAAACACAAACCGAGAAACCAACGCAAGACAAAGTATTATTAGAACGAGTAAATCCCATCCAGCTCATTCCATCATTGAAGGCAGAGGGCGAATGCATGCACCCAGGAAATCGCACGCAGTGACGTATAGAATCGAAAACAAATGAAACAGATGAGAGGAACCATGCACTCCATTCATTGTTTCGACATGGCCCGTTTAGCGGGTGCTGAAGTAGTTGGCAAGGGCCTCATTGTGCAGTGCCTTGCGCTGGACGTCGGCAGTATTGTCCAGAGACTTGGAGCTGAGCGAGTACCATTTGTGCTTTTTGGCTAACACATCGACTCCGCTGATGGTTGTCGCGGTGGAGATGGTGGAGTGGGTTGAGGCGGCACTGGAGTTGGCCTTGGAAGATGTGGAGTTGCTGGACATTTTGAATGATATGAGTAGATGTGTGACTGAGGGTTTTGGAGGATTGGTAGAGATGGAGGCTTTGGAGAGTTTGTTGGTCGATGTAGATGGAGGAAAAGTCAACGAAGAACGGTGTGTATAGGAAGGTGTTCTGAGAAGGGAAGGCAGTCTTGAGATCTCGAGACTGTGCAGTGGATTGGATTGGAATGGTTTGTTCTACTGGGGATCTCATCGGGTTTTTATATCAGATGGGTAGCTACACAGTTCATTTACTCCGTTCCCAGGACTTGTCACTCCGAACCAGCGCTGAGCAAAAAGAACAAAAAAAAACCTCATAACGCCAATGCCCCACCGAATAAGCCATATTGTATGAGCGCAGTCTAGAATCTGCACTATACACTCGCATGAGACAGCCCAAACAAACGCCAGTAGTTACAGCCGCCCTATGGGGGCTCAGCATCGGACTCAAAGTTCGGAGTTCGGAATTTCTTCGAGACTAAGCTACATGAGGCTTAAGGGATTGGGAAATGTGGCGAAGAATATCCGATCAGGTAGCTGGATAGATTGCTTAGCAAGTGCAGATTATCTAGACCTCGTTGATGACATTCTCAGCTGCGGGTCCCCAGTTGGGTAATGCGTGTCTCCTTGTGATCACACCCTTTGAAGATACAACTCGTATAATTTTCCATAATATATCCTATTACACGAAAGGGCGCAGTTTGGGATGGCTTTGATTTCTAATCGGATCGTTTAGGGCCTGAAGATCGAGGCGCTGTGACGATTTACGAAGTGGCTTGATATGACTCAGGACATCACGACAAACCCTAAACAACGTGGCGGATCTTTTTAGTTGAAAGGCCCTAGTGATCTGCAAACATGATGACATGGGAAAAGGAAAGACACCTTGGATCTCGAGGTTGTGGATTCGAGTACTCCGTAAGTAGTCCGATGTTAGTCCGATCCAATTTTTTTACTCCGATGTGGAATGCCTACTTACTCCGTAGTGATTCAGATGAATTTTCATTCCGAACTTTTATTCCTCATGTCTATTTTAATCAAGGCCTAGATCGAATATCCTTACGAACTAGCTGGACACTAGTTGAGGTATCGGAATACTGATATTTGGGAGGGTTTTATTCCGATCGAGTACATGTAGGCCGTTAGTCCGATCGGCCTAGCGATTCAACTTTGTTCCTACTCCGTTGGCATTCCTAGAGGCTAGCATCACTTCATCCCTTCATCCAACTCATTTCAAACCCTGCAGTTTATCGATGCAAAATCATTCGATATCTTATCTTAACCCACGCGTGAACACAGAAATGGTCGGGGTTTTACCTCGGAACAGGCTGCGGTTGACTCCTTTGTAATGCCTCTACGAGACTGCCATGGCTTGTAGCCATTCAACACTTGGTCTTCCAAGGATCAAAGACATGACGTTTACGCGGCACCTAAAATTTAATAGGGCTCGGGCAGCTTCTGAGATGGAAAATGAACCTCTCAAGAAATGCTTGAGTCATGAAAGAAGCCGAATGATCAACTTGAAAATGGTTCTTCGGATCAATATGAACCAACGGTATCTAAGCTTATCATAAATCTGCGAGTCTACTGATTCATCCTGCCTAGGAGAGATCCATGCGATCATGACGGGCATATTCCACAGTTCAGATGCAACAGGTCTGTTTTGGTAGAAGCACAACTGCCTAGCAATCCGTCTGAAAGAAACCGGTTCCGCGATTCTTTGAGGCTTCCCCTTCTTTGTCTGTGTTCCCAAGGTCCCCCCTACGGGGACAAATGAGTATTCGACAATTGTGGGGGTCCGGAGAGACATGAAGCCTCATTTAAGAAAGCTTCGATTCCTGGCACTCATCACTTTCGACACAGTTTACATCTAAATTCTACCCAGTCTATCATTCACACAACTACATTGCCAACCTAAAGAAATGTCTCTCAAGCCCATCACGCTCTATGGCCATGGCCCCGGCCCCAACCCATGGAAAGTGGTCATGATCTTAGAGGAGCTGAACATTCCCTACACCCACAACATCATCAACTTCCCCGAGATGAAAAAAGAAGCTTTCGAGTCCATCAACCCCAATGGCCGCGTCCCCGCAATTCAAGACCCCAACACCGACATCACACTCTGGGAATCCGGCGCGATTGTCGAATACCTCGTTGACACATATGACAAGACAAACACCATCAGCTTTGCCCCTGGCTCCAAGGATTACTACCTCGCCAAGCAATGGCTCCATTTCCAGGTATCCGGTCAAGGCCCATACTTCGGCCAGGCCGTTTGGTTCAACAGCTTCCACTCAGAGGAGCTGCCAAGTGCCGTTAAACGCTACGTCAAGGAAATCTGCCGTGTCTCCGGTGTGTTGAACCGTGTTCTTCAGGAGAAGCAATATCTCGTCGGCGACAAGTTCTCTTATGTCGATGCTGCTTTCGCTCCATGGTATCTCCTGATAGGTCCATTTGAGATTGATATGGAAAAGAGGTTCCCCAACGTCGTTGCTTGGTTGAAGCGGGTGCATGATCGTCCTGCTATTTCTAAGACGATCATGGACCGGGCTCTGGCTTGTACACAGCGCTAGACGAGTTATATGATATTCGCAGTATTCTCCCATTCGGACTTCGGCTCGATCGCTCGTGAATGAAATACATATATGGCATCAAATAACAACCCGTTTCCCAAGATCACCATTTGGACTTGGTCACTCCGTACTTGAAGCTATAGTTCGGAATACTATGATGGAACCCAGGTACCCTTGTTTCTTGACAGAGGAATTGACGTCCCGAGGGGTCTGTAGGGTTTGCAGTACTCTGCAGTGCAGCCAGATATAGGGTCGATCCGGCATGGGAACCACCAACAACAACACTGACCACACACACAGTGCTAGCGAGGGGATGGCCCCTAGGGGTACTACAGGAGAGGTATAGGAGTGTGTATTCTAAACCAGTAGCCACAGTCGCTGCAGCATATATGCTGACATGACAGACGGTTCCGGTATGAATTCTATGAGGATGGCTTTCCCCACTACACTATGTATGATCAACACTAAAACTTCTTTATCAGACATCTTACATATTAATATTTACAGATAACTTGTGGGATTATACTCTCGATACTCTCTATTATATCTCCCTTTGCATCGGGCGAATAAGACTTCTAGCTCTAAGGTTTCGGGATCATTTGTTTATCCTTAAGACTTTGCAAGGTTTAGTAGCTATATTAGTCGTCGGCAAAGAAGTGAATTATACCTAAGATGATATACTACGTAATTCTAACATCGTCTATTCTATTCTTTCTCTCTAGCTTTACAATCTTTATTCCGTTAAGTCTTCCTCTATACCTATTCTAATACACCTAGGTATCAACTTCGCTTTAATAGCATTAGATAAACCGGAGTGTAATCAGTTCGTAAGATTCTTTAATATAGTACTCGGAGGGATTATTATATTTATTTTAGGTAGAACCGTAGAGAAATGTTATAATTACTTTCAGCGGCGATATCGCTCTACTAATACTATAATATTGAACGTAAGACCGGTCGCCGGTGATAATATTTGCGCACTAGATAACCTAGACATTACTCTTTATCTTCCAGCTTATAACACACCTATTACACCGCCGGGGCATGCTATTTCGGATATGGATCGAGATATCAAGAAGGGGGTAGCATGTAAGGGGGATCTACACAATCCTGGAGCGACAAAACCATGGAATGGCTCTGTTCAAAATTCCAGGCCTTGAAAAGGGAGCCTTAAACGGGATGTGAGGTTGGAAACCGAAATGGAAAGAGACAATGAGGACTTTTGTGTGCTCGGTCATCACATTAACTACTACCTTATTGCATTTAAGCTCTAGGTGTCGTGGAACTCGCAGGGGCAAGGGGTTGGGACATATATTTATTTGCTGGAATCATGATGCTCCCAGCTACATTCCTGTATGTTACTCGTTTTCGCTACGATACTCGGGTCCTAGGACCTTGTTTGTTCAATGTCTTTTAAGAGCCTGTTAGCTTTTGACCTCTTTGTCGAGGCATATGATCATACGTCTTGAGGGGTTCCAATATGCTCATGCCGAAAAGCAGCGGCGCTATCTTTCCACATTCTGTAGTACTGAAAGGGTCAAAATATCCCTTGGCGATCCCGGTGATGCAGCGAAGTGCCTGACGAAGAGGAGATAGGGAAGAAGTGTCAGAGGAATAGGAAATAGGAACGGTAGATCTGTTGAAACAAGCAGACAATCCTGCGCCAGTTATTGGAAATTTGTTGCCTCACTTCTTGCCCGAGGTGGTTGGTGAGTTTTCAGGTGGTTTCAGAGCATTTCCTCGAGGCGCTTCCGCGGCGTCCTCGCTCATTGCTCGCTGTGTCCTCGCGCCATTCGCGAGGACATCTCATGGAAGTCTCGAGGACAGGCTGTGTATCCTGGGTCCCCACAAAGTTGAGGCTCTCGTACGTCATCCCGCATAGCAGCACGTACTAAGGAGATCCATTGCAATAAGATGCCCCCGGAACAGACCTAAGCTTTCATCTTAAATCAGCAGTGTCGGGTTGCTGCTTTCAACAATATACTAGGAATCCTGTCTATCAACCTGGCTCCTTCCAGCAAAATAAATCCCGGCCAGGTCAGCCCCAGCAAACAATCAGTCATCAAATAGGCAATCCGAGAACGCGAGGCTCGACGATCGTCCCTAAAGTCGAACCTTCGGATCGGTCTAGCGGGTTCGAGCTAGGTACCTTGCTCTCTGTTGTACTGATTTACGTACTCTAATTTTCTATCGGCTTAAGGTCCGGAATATTCAGGAAGCAAAATCGATTTTTTTAAATTGAAACAGAACCCCAAGCGCCATACACCTTCGCACTTGCATAACAAAACAGGTAAAATGGAGCAAATGCTTGACCTAACGCCCCTGACATTTTTTTTTTTTTTCGTTTTTTCCTTTCGTTGATTTATCTGCTGAAAAACAAAAGAAAATCATAACCCAAGCATGGACAATTCACAGCGCCTCAATCAATTCTGCAGCTTTTGATTGATAAGCTGCATTTGCAGACGCATAGTCGGGTGCTCCACAACCTCATCGACTGTCACATTGACACCATGCTGGTTAAACAAGGTGGAGATCTGTACTGGGGCCATCGGATCACCCCAGACCTCATAGTAGGCCGTGTCAACGGATCTCGTCTCGCCTGGTAGTTCGCCGAATGCGGTCTTCCACACCTCTGCGACGATGCCATTGACGTCCTGGCCCATCACCTCTATGCATGGCGATGAGGAGGATATATCAGTAGAAAGTGAGATTGGAAGACTGAGGGAGCATTTGTCACTGGTGAGTGAAGCGACCTTCGCTTGTAAGCCCTTCGAAAGACTCTCCACCGTCTCGCCCAAGGCGCATAGCAAAGAATCAGCGACATCCTTTGAAAGAACATTGTCGCTATAAGTCAGCTGGATACAGTAGTCATTGTATCCGATCGGGAACGACCAGATCCAGAGGTCAGCAAGGTCATGCGGTGGAGTGAACCACTCGACGGAGCAGTTGGCATTGCCGAAAGAGAATTGCTCGATCTCATCATCGAGATTTTGGTGCTGAATGACCGAGCTGAAGCGCTCCCATCTTGGCCACGAGGTGCACGTCTCGATGATGCGACGGAACCCGTAGTTCTCGTGCGGAATCATAGATAGGTGCTGGTTCTGAATATGACTTAAGAGATCCATGCCGTTCCAGTCTGAGGTATGAGGGAACTGCACCCGCACAGGGACGATGTTGAGACACGGACCAGCGAGGTTCTGGACCTGAGGAATGGATGTATCGTTGCGGCCTGAGATGACATGGCCAAATGTGACGTCGCGGTTGTTAGACAACCGGGAGAGAACTAATGCCCACGCAGCCTTGAATACCGTTGCAAATGTGAGCCCATGGGTGCCGAGGGAGGGTGAGTGGACGTTCATCGAAACGGAGTCGTTGATCGGGTTTCGGTAGGTGGGTGTGGGACGGGCTAGAACGTGAGTCATGCGAGACCCCTGAAGGAGGTCACGCCAGAAGGCCTCACTTTCACTACCATGAGTGATCTGAGTGTGTCGGACAAAAGAGGAGAAAGTTGGGGCAGAAGTCAGGGGAGCCTTCAGATATGCTGCTTTGAGGTCGCGAATGAGGATTGGCACAGCGATGCCGTCGTACTGGGCATGAGAGATACGCATCACCAACCGATGCCGCTCCGCACCGTACTTTAAAAGTTTGAATTGCACAAGTGGCATACCAAGATTCACATCACGGGCCATGTCCTGTGCAATGAAGTCTCGGGATGCACCGGAACCAAACTCCTCATCGTACTCCTCTTGAGTGCAGTTGTCGTGCTTGAACTCGAGTTGGATATGCTTGAGAACAACCTGGTATGTCTTCTGGCGATAAACGGCGAAGACTGTTCGTAGGATAGGGTGATGGTGAACGAGAGTATGGCATGCCTGCTCTAATTGCACAGCATCAATTGAGCCATCGAATCGGAAACTGAAGTAATTGAGGTAGCCACGTTGTTTTAAGTGGCCTGCCGCCATGGCCCAGGCTTGATAGTCACTGGCCTCGACGATGTCTTCAACCATGTCCGAGTAAATGGATATCTGAGACCTGATCGCGCTCTGCATCTCCTCGGTGATGGAGGCAAAGCTGGGGGAATTGAGTGCTTTTGAATGAATAAGTTCGGTGGCAGCGAGACTCATATCCGATAGCTTGGGAGTTCGGAAAATATCCGAGACGAGAAGATTAATGTTGTGGGTTCTAGCTGCGCCAGCGAGTCGCATGGCAGTGATACTGTCCCCTCCTAGTCGCAAGAAATGGTCGCCGGCACTGATTTGATTGGTCGGCAAATTTAAGACCTCGGACCAAAGCCTTTGCAAGGTCTTTTCCATGTTTGTCGAAGGTGCTTGCTGTGCTGTATCCCGCAGAGAAAATGATGTAAGCTGATTGAGTGTGAGATCAGCTCCCAGTTGACGCAGTCGCCGTCTATCAAGTTTCGCAGAGAGAGTGATAGGGATTGAGCTTATCAAAACAAATGTTCCAGGCAGCATGTAAGAAGGCAGAGCTTCTTCCATCCCAATCTTCACCTTCAACAGAACGGATTGCACCTCGTCGCTCATTTGAACAACTACAGTTTCCGAGATACCCTGAGAGTCCCGAGACTGGATGGTAAAGAAGGCAGCCAAGATAGGATCGTGTTCGTGGCCAGCCGGAGTGATCAAGTCCACTACCACTCGCCATGAGCTTGGGGCGCGCTGCAAGAAGTGGTGCTCAATATCTCCCAGTTCGACGCGCTGCCCACGAACCTTGACCTGCGTATCCTTTCTCTTGAAGAAACTCATCGTCCCGTCAGAGTTATATCTCGCCAGATCTCCCGACTTGTAGATTCGTGTGGTCCAGCCCTCATGACAATACTCTGCGCTCAACCATTCAGGACTTTGGATGAATGCATCGGAGGTTTTGTCTGGGTTATTCAAGTAACCCTGTGCCAGTATCGGACCTTGGATCACTACTTCACCCACGCATCCAATTGGAGCGAGCTTATTGTGGTTATTGGGATCCACAATCCACATGATGCTTCCAATGGCGCGCCCGAAGTTAGTCGGATTGTTCGATCGCTCAGTGACGTGGTGATAGGCAGCATGGATGGAGGTTTCTGCGGGACCGTACATCGCAAGCAGCTTTGTGCGGTCCACCCACTTGTCGATGGCTTCGGGGGTCGTTATCTCGCCGACTAGGGCCAATGTCTTCAAGGATGGCACATCCGACAAGAGCATGGATACCGTTGGAGTCAGGCATGTGTGATTGACAGCCATCTTGTTCATGAAACCACTCAGATCATTCATACGCTCGTGATCCGATGGCATGCAGACGACTCCCCCGTGTGTCAGAGTTGTGAAAATGTCATGAATAGAAACATCAAAAGTGAACGCAGCAAACTGCATTACGCGTGATTCACGTCCGAGTTGGAATACCTCCCCGTGGGACCGCATGCTTTCACAGATTGCAGAATGCGAGAGCAGAATACCCTTGGGCGTTCCAGTTGAGCCGCTGGTAAAGACAACAAAGGCTGTATTGTGTGGCTGGACGACAGATACAAGCGATCTATTTACAGGAGGTAAGGATGTGAAAAGGGATGGACCGACACTAACGATGATGGGAACTGTTCCTGTCAGATACTCGATATGGGTAGTACCGGCCAAGAGAATTGTCGATCTTGCATCCTCGATGATGCCTGCAATTCGAGTTATCGGGAATGAAGGATCAATTGCGTATACTGCACCGCCCGCTTTGAGGATTCCCAGCTGTGCGACAACTGCCCATGCGGACTTGGAGAAGCACACAGGCACGAGGACCTCGGGGCCAACACCCATGCTCTGGAGATGCTGAGCCAGCCGAGTGGAAAAGTTGTCCAGTTCGTCGTAAGTGAAACTCTCATCCCAGGAGCTGACAGCGAGATCCTTGGGGTTGGTGGCAACAATGCGCTCCACAGCGTTATGTACGCATTTCTGGTAATCTCTGGGAGGAGCTTTAAGCTTGTTCCACATTAGAATTTCTGCCATATCCCGTTCAGTGAACAAGTCCACCTCTGCCAGCGTGCCATCGTCTGATGCAGAATTGACCTGATGCAAGACATGCTGGAAGTGATGAAGAATACGCTGGACCTGCGCTTCGGTCACCATCTGCTTATCATACTGCAACTCGAGCGTGACCTTGCCAGCACTGATGAAGCACTCAAGGGCCAATGGATATGTCAAGAATCTTGTATCCATTGCTGTGCCATCTGCCATCTGCCAGAACTCCGAGTCGGCTGCCTGCGCGTTGGGATCACTGTATTCAGTGACATGAACAACCAGCAGGCTTTGGAATTCGCAGGCGTTGGCACATGCAGGGCTGAATTGCTTGATCTTTTGGAGACCAGTGTGCTCAAAGGGTATCATGGAAATCTCTTGATCGTAGAGCTCTCCTAACAGCTGTGATACAGAGTTGCCGGGCTGAATAGTTGCCTGAATGGGTACAGTGGTGATGGTTGGCCCTGTCATGTCTGTAATGCCAGGGACATTGGCATTGCGTCCCGTCAGAGTAGCCCCAAAGACGACGGACTCCGAGTTGCAGTAGCGGGCGAGGACAATCGCCCAGGCGGCACGGATCATGGTCGATGTTTTGAAATCAGTCTGCGAAGATTCCGTGAAGGCCATCTCGTGCTTGAGCAGTCCATCGGAGATGGGCTGATAGGAGGGCGTCGGCAGTGGAAGGAAGCCAGATACAGCATCATTCGACAATTGAGATACCCAGAAGTTCCGGGCCTCGTCTGGGGTTGTCTCAGTAAGATATTGGATGAAGTTACTGAATGAAGGCGGAGAGGCACCGAGGCTCACTCCTTGATAAACTTGCTGCACCTCTTTCATGATGAGGAATCTGCTCCATCCATCGTATAAGGAGTGGGCGATAGTCCACACAAAGTATTCACCGGCAATGGCGTACCGAGAAAGGGATTTCCCGTGCTCTATCGGTACATTTCGGTCCTTCGCCAGATATTCTTCAAGCGAGCTAGTAGATTTCCACAAGAGATTCTCTTGGAGGACGACTGATAAAGATCCCCAACGGCTAGTATGGACGATTCGTGACCGCAAGATGGAATTACGGTCTGCCACAATCTGCCATGCCTGACGGAATCGATCCAAGTCCAGATGAGGAGGGAGCTTGAAGATATTCTGAGCCACGTAGGTGCCATTATGTCTGACTGACAGGGAGAACAATGCTTCCTGCAGTGGGCTTGTCGGAAAAGCGTCTTGGACGGACTGTTTAGGGATGTGATACTGAGATTCTAGCAAGACCAGCAGATCGTCCACGGCATCGGCCCCTTTGATCAATGTAAAAGGCTCAAGGTCTTTCACGACCTGCCTTTCTGCAAAGACCGCCAGCTTGGCTAATTCATCCAGCTGTGGGGACTGGAAGATGTTCGTGATGGTTAACAAGATACCTGCCTCCCGCGCCATTGGGACGAGATACATGGCGCTGATGGAATTAGCTCCGAGGCGGAAGAAGTGATCGTTGGCACCAATGGAGGAAATAGGGATATGAAGGACATCAGCCCAAAGAGCCTGCAGCTTCTTCTCCATGTCTGTCGTTGGAGCTTGTTTGAGTTCTTCCGCGAGGGAGTATTGAGCCACTTGAGCTGGTGTGAACCCTTCCGTCAGCTTTCGCAGCCGCTTCCGGTCCACTTTACCAGAAAGCGACGTTGGCATTTCCCCCACTGGGATATACATCGATGGGACCATATAGGTTGCAAGGGACTTGGCCAGCAATGTTGCTAACTCCAAGAAGCTAGATTTGAGACGAGCTGACATCTTCAAGATGCTGTTTCTGTCGCCCTCGGTTGTTGTTTCAACACCATCTGCTAGGGAGATGAAAGCCACAAGCATTTTGATATTTGGATCCTCTTGGACCGACACCTGTTCGACGATTGCATTCCGAATGATGGGCAGACTAGATCGAACCTGGTGCTCAATTTCACCTAGTTCAATCCGTTGTCCCCGCAGCTTGACTTGAGTATCACCCCCCACACGGCCGATCAACGTAATCGATCCGTCAACATTGGAGCGAACCAGATCACCCGTTCGATACATCCGTCTCCTCATTCCGGGAGTAGTTGAAGAAACCGATAGGTTGAGAGCATTTGTCCACGCAGGATCTGTCAGGAAGACGGAATTGGATTTCTCGTCATCATTCAAGTATCCTCGAGACACAAGGGGTCCCTCGATGACAAGCTCGCCGACCGCTCCAAGTGGAACTAGCTGTGATGGATCACGGGGATCCACGACCCACAGTAAGGATGCATCGGTTGACATTCCGATGCATGATGCATCTGTATCCACTGATTGAACAGCGTTAATTGATGCCCAGACACCACACTCAGCTGGGCCATATGCATTGAAGAGTTTCACCCGTTCGGACCAGATCTGATAATTATGAGCGGTTGCACGCTCGCCCGTAAGGACCAATGTTTGGAGCGTGGGCACACTCTCAGGTTGCAGAATAGTTGCAACAGTTGGCGTCAGGCAGATCCAGTTAACCTGATTGGAATTGATAAACCCAGCCAGATCGCCCATGCGCTCGTCCTCAGATGGCATGCAAACCGTTCCACCATGCATCAGCGTCATCCAGATCTCGGACATACTAACGTCGAAGACGAAGCTGGAGAATTGACCGACAACAGAGTTCTTGCCCATACCGAGAACTTTGGCATGGGCGAGAGAGCTGGTCACAAATGCGCCATGTTCGACAACGATACCTTTTGGTGTTCCTGTCGTGCCACTCGTGAAGACCAGACTCACTGGATCCGAGGAGTGAACCTTTGTGTTTATTTTTGTGGACACATAATCTAACTGCTGGACGGTCTCGGCAGTGACGGGGAAGATTGTGCCAACCATATCATCGAACATGTTGCTCTGCTTTTTTCCAGTGAGGATGAGCGTTGCAGATGTGGCAGAGATAATATGAGCCTTTCGGTCCGCAGAATGGAGTGGTGCCACAGCAACATAAGCGCCTCCCGCTTTCATCACGGCGAGCATTGCAACAACAGCCCAAGCGGACTTTTCGAAACAAAGTGGCACAAATGTACCGGGACGCACACCGAGATGTATGAGGTAATTTGCTAAACGGGTCGACAGGGTGTTGAGGGCGTCATAAGTGAGATCGCTATGATCCCATGACCGTAGAGCGACGCTGCTCGGTTGGAGATGCACCATTTCCATTACTAGATCATGAACGCATCCGTCCAATAAGTCCGGTAGCAATGTGTTTCGGCTGATTGCCGTTTGGCGGTGATGATCGCTGAAGAGGGAGATGCCTCCTATATATGTAGTAGGTGGCTGATCTACAACAGATTTCAGTGCATGGGAAAACGCCGATGCTACATTGATAGCATGTGCGGACGATAGTAGCGAGGACCGATACGCGAGGCTCGCCACTGCACGGTCGTCGTGAATTGTCACATGGACTGTAATACCATACTATAGGATGTCAGTGAGAGGTATTCCTCGATTTTTTAATGAGATTACACTTACTTCAGTAGGGTCCGAGCCGGTGATCTCTTCCAGGATGAGAGAAGAGTTGGAGCTCGCTGATGCCCGTCGCTGAATTGACATGATCGTGTTGAAGAGTGAACCCTGTGCTCCTAGAGCGTGTTGAATCTGAGCCAGCGAAACATGCTGATGCGATAGGCTTTGAATGAAGTCGGTTTGAACTGTCTCCAATGCAGCTTGCACCGTACCCGAGGGTGTTAGCTCTATGCTGCAGACCAGCATATTAATGAAAACCCCGACAATTTCCTCGACCTCCTCTACGGGGACATCTCGTCCTGATGTCAGATATCCAAAAGTAACATGGTCAGAGCCAGTGTATGCTCGAAGCACTAGTGCCCATGCCACTTGGAAGAGATTGGACATCGCGATGCCTATCTTCGAACAATATTCGCGCATACAAGCGAATGTCACTGGCATTTCCACATCAATTTCACATAGGTCGTTATCTCCGCTGTTCTTCAGTGTTGGGAAGAAGCAGGCTTCCGCATTAGCTAGGCGGGATGTCCAGTACGCGAGACTCTCGTCCAGCGATCGAGCCTGAAGGTACGCAATGTAAGAGCTATACAGTGGCTTCGTTGATGGTAGCAATTGGTGATCATATGCAGCACAGAAATCACGAAGAATGATACTACCGGATGCGGCATCGGTCAACGCGTGGCTCATCTCTAACTTGACAAACGTTCGGCCCTGTACAGTCGAGTAAATAGTAACCCGATGTTCGCCGCGGGCTATATTGACTGTCTTTGAATCATCATGAATTGTCGACTGCTGGAATATGTTTACCGGAACCGAACGATCGTCGCATTCGATGAATTGAATGTTGGCTGATAGCTGCTTGAGGACTGCCTGGTAGTATGGATTACTGTCCGAGATGCTCTCGACGAAGACCGTCCGTAGACAAGGGTGGTGATTAACGGTGTGCTGCCAAGCGGTAGCCAATTGCTGGACGTCAACTGAGCCTGACGCCTTGACCTCAAAGACGGTGAATGTTTCATAGTATCCAGGGGACCTGATCTGACTGAGCAGGATACCCTGTTGCACAGCCGAGAGAGGATATATATCCTCCACATCATCAATGTCCATGACTCCCACCTTGGATAGCCGATCATGGATCAAAGTATCCAAATCTTCGTATGAGGTCAGTGAAAGCAGTGGGAAATCGCTTAATGTGGTTTGAGATTCATGGTGTTCCAATTGATGCAGAGTCGCTTTGAGCGAAAGTTCGCATTGCTCGACCCAGAGTTTGATCTTTTCTTGATGGAGAATATGCCGAGGGAACGTAAAGACGAACTCGAGGGTCTGTGATCCACCCGGAGCCACTAGGATATCAAAGAGAGAATCCCGCGGCATGTCCTTTCCGCTGTCATGTATATTCTGGCGTTGGATCGACTGGAACAAAGAATCAACATGGTTAAGTTGCTTATACAGACCCGTATAATTGAACTTCATCTCCATGACTGCGCGTTGGTCTTCACTTCCATCTCTGAAACGTTGTGCAAAATAGCTCCGCCCACCCTGAGGGATTCTGCGTCGAACATCCTTGATCTGTCGCAGAATATCAATCAGACCGTTAGACTCGTTGGCGTTGGTCTGAATCGGGCAAATTGTGGTGAACCATCCAACGGTGCTTGAGAGATCGATTCCTGCATCCCATGATTCTCTACCGTGTCCCTCGATATAAATGGCGGGCAGTGACCGTCGGAACACTTGCAAAAACGCGTGACTGATCGTAGATAACATGATATCGACTGGCTCTGTACGCAGAGCCCGATGACAGACCTCCCCCAAAAGTTTCTTTGTGAGTTCAGGGGCCAGGGTAAAGGAAATGTGCTGGGAGTCGCCCACTGAGTTTGCTGTGCTCTGCATTCCCCAAAAGCCGGGGTCGGAAGGTGTGACAGTGAATGGCGATGCGCTTCCAGGATGAACTTGCTTGGATATATACTCATTCTGCAGCCTGCACCAAGCCTGGAACGACAGAGATGGCGCCAAGGCAGTGCCCGATTGCAGGACATCCTCTAGGTCCCGAAGGATGATATCCCAGGAGAGCAGATCTACGACTAGATGATGCGCCACAAGGAACAGCTGTTGCTCGGCATTCTCAATGTTGAACAGGTCCACTGAGAATACTGGACCGTTGACGATATCCAAGCTGCTTTGACTCTCTTGAATCATGATCGGAACTTCAAGTTTTTTCGCGTCCTGAACATTGAATCGATAGGTATTTTCGACGTCCCAAAGGATTGTCTGCCTCCAACCATCGGAATTTATGAAGCGCGCTCTCAGCATTGCATGCTTTCTCACCAGTTGCGCTAGCGCATCACGGAGGGCCGATGTGTCCACCTTTCGTGTCAATGACAGATGGACGCTCTGGTTATAATGATTGAATCCGTGAGGGACCCAAGAAAAGTACATGCGCTGCATTGGAGAGAGATCGAACGGCGCATCGGTCATCACGTCAGCACATGACTTGCTCTCTGTCACCTCCTGCGATTTCGAAGCTGTTTCCGCCAAGCTTCTGCTCCGAAGGAGGTTTTGGATGTCGATTGGAATACCCTCCTTGCGACAGCGTGCCACAAATGCCATGGCGCTGATGGAGTCTCCTCCTGCTTGAAGGAATGATTTGTGCAGCCCAACCCCCTTGGCTGGTTTGTTTAGAATCTCACCGCAGATAACCTGGAACTTCTTCTCCATCGCGGTGGACGGCTCCTGGTTGGTGGTCTCATCAGCAAGACTTTCTATCTGCTGATAGATGTCCGAACTCATGTCCGTAACCCAGAGCTGGATGGTCTTTCTGTCTATTTTTGTCGAAGATAGTTTTGGCAGAGATGTGACCAACGCCCACACTGATGGAACCATGTGTCTGGGGAGACGAGTAGACAATTCTTCCTCGATGCTGGCAACCTTTTCGGCGGCAAGGCTTTTGTTTTCATGCAAAACAAGAGATAGGTCACCGCTACCTCGAGCTGAGGGTTCTGCTACACACAGCGCGAACACTGCAACGAGACGGTCTTTGCACAAACCACTGTTGGGGAAGATGATCACACCTTCCTCAACTGCGTTGCTGGATGTCAGATGGAATTCGATCTCACCCAATTCGATACGTTGCTGGATGAGTTATTAGTATTAGAGAAAGGGGTTATATATTGGGATATGTTCAACCACATACCCCGTGGAGCTTGATCTGAGTATCCTTGCGCCCAACGAACACAATTGATCCATCAACGGCATACCGAACCAGGTCACCCGTTTTATACATCCGACGGGGTGCATTCTTGCTGTCAAAGTTCATTACCCAGGCTGGATCTTCGATAAATGAAGAAGCAGTCTTTAGGGCATCATGTAGATAACCACGAGCAAGAGTTGGTCCCTCAATGAGCAATTCACCCACCGTACCAATGGGTGCCAGTCGGTGGTGGTCATTACCATCAACCACCCATAGGTGGCAAGCAGTTCCGTTGCCGATGTTCTTTGGATCGGCACCCGGCTGAATAGGAGGGCTCACAGCGCAAGTCACCGAGCTCTCGGATGGACCATAGCCATTGAGAAGGACGACATGTCTCGCCCATTTGTCAACGATATCCTGACGGAGGGCCTCCCCTCCGAGGACAAGTGTCCTGAGAGAAGGAACATCCTCAGGATTTAGCAAAGCAGCAACTGAAGGGGTGAGATTGGCCCAATTAGCCTCCAACTTTCGAATGGAATGGGCCAGATCGTTGACGCGGTCTGACTCCGATGGAACGCAAACAGTGCCACCGGCGATCAGTGGTGAGATGATGTCCTCGATAGACAGATCAAAGGTAAAGTTGGAGAACTGATAGGATCTGGTCGTGGATGAAATTCCCATGCGAATTGCGCCAGCTCGGAAACTAGTGGCGAAGCCACGATGCTCGAGCACCACGCCCTGTGTGCGTTAGTAAAAATGAGGTGGAAGAAGAATCTCGATTCTTACCTTAGGAACACCGGTAGAGCCAGATGTAAAAACGACGAAAGCTGTGTTTTTGGGTGTCACTCGCGATACTGGGAAGGGGGAATTAGTGCCGCAAATCTCGAAAGCAGCCTCATCGACAACAACCACATGAGGAACTAGGGCCTCAAAGAGTCTTGAATGAGACGGAGAGGTGAGAACGACCCGAGCTCCAGTTTCTTTGATCAAACTTTCCAATCTTGATTGAGGATATTCGGGATCCAAGGCGGTACAAGCGCCCCCGGCTTTCAGAATTCCAATGATAGTGACAATGGCCCAGACCGACTTGGACAAACAATATGGAACGATCACCTCAGGCCCAACTCCGAGGGCAACCAGATGAAGGGCTAGCTTTGTGGATAGCTCATCTAGTTTGGAGTAGGAAAGGTCTCCGTAGTCCCAGGCACAAACGGCTATGGCTTCTGGAGTTGCTCGCGTCCTTGCCATGATAAGTTCGTGAATACACGAATCCACCAATTCGGGTTCTTCGCCATCCCATACTATTAGTTGATTTCTGTCGTGCTCGCTAAACAGGTCTGCCCCTTGGACCGATCCGTGACTGCTTTTAACAATGACATTAACTGCCTGGGACAGGGTGCTGGCAACACTCGCGAGCTGGCTTTTCGACATTCGAGTGTTCCATGTTTCGATCGTTACCTGAAGAATTTCCGGTTGAACTTGCACATCTACTGTGATATCATACTGCAGAAAGTTAGCCCGAACTCCTGCGAAAGGCTACTCAAGTCATACCTCAGTAGGGTCATATCCGATAACGTTTCCCAGGGACAACGTGTAATCCGACGATGCCGGTGGAGATGACCTTTGTAGAGAGAGAATTGTGTTGAAGAGATCCCTGGAGGCGCCGGGTAGAGCATGTTGAATCTGTGCGAGTGAGCAATGTTGGTGCGGCAGACTATCCAAGAAGTCTTGCTGCACTTGTTGCAGCAAGCTTTCGATGGAGCTCTCTGACTCGGTCATATTCAAAGAACAGACCAGCATGTTGATCAGAGGGCCAACAATGTCTGCAATATCGTTGATAGGCGCATCGCGTCCCGAGGTCAGATACCCAAAGCAGACTTGATCTGAACCAGTGAAGGCTCGTAATACCAGGCCCCAGGCGACCTGGAACAAGTTGGAGATTGTGATACCGGTTCGCGAGCAAAAGGATGTGATGGCATCGAATGAGATATCAAGGACAACTTCTTGGGACAAGAGCTCTGGCGTGGTCGCCTCGTGACTGTCGGGGCCATCCGCCAGCTGTGGGAAATGGCAAGGACGGACATCGTTCAGTTGTTTCACCCAGAACCCGAGACTGTCTTCAACATTTTGGAGCTGAATATAAGAGATATAATCGCTGTACAAAGGTCGGGATGTCTTGTCTAGAACACTGTCATATGCCCGTCGAAGGTCAGTCGCTAGGATAGCAACTGAAGACCCATCGATGATGATATGGTTCATTTCCAACTTGCAGAAGACCTTCTGCCCAGGTGCTTTGCATATTGTCAGCTTATGTGAGAGGCGATGGGGGTTGAATGAGATGCCATCCAAAGCCACTAGCATTTCCCTGATCTTGACCTCATCTACCAGCTCGGTTTCAATTATCTCAACCGTCGGAGTAACGGTTGTAAGTACAATCTGAATGTATTCTCCGTCTTGATTTTCCATGAAGATCGTTCTCAGGGCGGCATGTCGTTGTACAACGTCTTGCCATGCTCGACACACTCGTTCAGTGTTCACCGTTGACCCGATTGCTGTTGCCTCCCAGATGCTGAACGTTTCATAGCATCCAGAGGCTCGTATTTGACTGAAGAGCATTCCTTGCTGGATGGGTGAACACGGGAATATGGCCTCTATTTGTGTACTAAGAGGACTAGGCGTAAAGATGTCCATTGTTGCCATCTGGCCGAGTAGCTGATCTAGCTCGGGCGCTGCCAATGAGAGAAGAGGGAAGTCAGTGGGTCTGTAATTGAATGTCACTTTATCCAACGCCTTCAAAGCAGTGCATATCGATTCTCTGCACTTCCTAATCCATGCCTTGACTTTTTTCTTGCTGGCGCATCCGCTTATTGTAGAAAAAGTAGAACCGCATGCCATCTGGTTCACCCTTGACCAGGATGTCAATCAAGGAGCCACGCGGCATCTCCGCAGCGATATCAGCAGCGAAGCTCATCTCATCAAAGTGAATCGGTTCAAAGAAGGCGTTCGCATTTTTAGAGTGCTGATAAGGCCCGGTGTAGTTGAGCATGATCTCTGCTTTCGCGTGATGCCGGAAGGCTTGCCTCCCCGAGGCGGTTAAATATCGGTAGTCAAAGTAGGGCCTGCCATTTTCAGGCACTTGTTGGCGTAAGTCCCTGAAGCCTCTGATGGCGTCTAGGATGGGTTCTTCTTTGTTGTGGCTGATGTGAAGAGGGTATAACGTGGTAAACCAACCTACCGTGTCCGATAGATCGATACTGTCATCCCATGGCTCGCGTCCATGGCCTTCATTGAAGATGGCCGGCAGGGATCGATCAGTGAACGTGGCTACAAAGGCATGTGCCACTGCTCCCAGAATTATATCGATTGGCTGGACTCTTAAGGCAGCTGATCCCTTAGAACCGAGCAGTACTTTCGTATGCTCCTGGCTCAAACCGAAGGCTTCATGAGACGCCTCGCCAGTCGTGTTCGAAGCGGTGCCTAGACCCCAGTAGGCATAGTCGGCTTCAGGAATATTGATCGGGAGGACATCTTCAGGGGTGATACTCTCAAGTCTGCCGGCCTTCAGTCGAGACCACGCCTGGAATGACGTGGAAGGTGTCTGTAGTTTCTGTTTCTGCAGTAGAATCTCCAGATCACGTAACATCACCTGCCAGGAAACCAGGTCAACCACTAGGTGGTGAGCAACGATAAAGATGGCATTCTTCGGATCATCTGAGATATCGAATAGATCAACCGCGAGAATGGGCCCCTGTTCAATGTCCAGGGATCTCTGGGTTCGCAAAATCACCTCTTTTGTTCGAGAGATGGTTTCAACACGGTGATGATTTAAACAATATGACTGGTCTGCTGTCCTGGATATAGTTTGCATCCATCCAGCGTCACTATTACGGAACTTGGCTCGCAGCATGGGATGCTGCATTATCAAACCTTCAATTGCGCCTCTCAGTTCTTCTGGAGAGATCTGGCGACATCCGATACGCCCAAAGAAGGATTGATTATAATGATTCTGTCCATTCGGCGCCAGCTCAAAGTGCGTCTGCTGGATTGGACTCAGTTCAAATGGAGTTTCAGGATCCTCTTCGAGAGGCGCGACGTAACCTGTTACCTCAGCTCGGGATGCAAGATCGGACACGGTCCGGCAACGGAGCACATCCCGAACAGTGACACGGATTCTCTCTGCACGGCACTGAGAAACGACTTGCATGGCAGTGATGCTGTCGCCACCCAAACTCAAGAAAGACCGCGAGGTTCCGATCTGATTTACTGGTTGGTGAAGGACGCGACTCCAGATTTCTCGCATCTTCTGCTCCACCGAGGTTTCCAGTGTATTAGATGCAGCAGTAGCCTCTTCCATTATGTTATGATACTCAGCGTGGTCCATGTTTTCAAAAAACTTCACCGTTCGCGCTCGATCCACAACACCGGACGCGTGAAGGGGAAGCATGTCAACGGCTGCCCACACCGTGGGAATCATATACAAGGGGAAATACTCCAGCATTGCTTCTCGAATCCGAGAAATTTCTGCTTTGATAGCGGATCCATTTTGCCCGGTCGCGTGAATTGTCTTGGGCGACAGGCCATCCCCGGTTGGTGGCTTGACCGCGGCCAAAGTCACCATGACTGTTAACTGATCTGCACAGATCCCGATCTTAGGGTCTGACAGAGCGACATTGCGAATATAATCGAAAGATCTGATGTGACTTTCAATTTTGTCGAACTGTACTTGATGACCATTCACCTTGAACAAGTCATCCTTCTGTCGAACAAGCTCAATCGTACCATCGATGGCATAGCGAACGAGATCGCCAGTTCTTAGCTGAGTGGCCAATCTAATTTGGGATAGACCATTTGGACTTCCAGACACTGCAGGGCTTGTGATAGCACAATCAACGAACTCCCGAGCCAGTGATGGGCTTGCCAGAATCAACTGTCCGACACAGCCAACGGGCGCCAGTTGCTCCTCATTCCAGGGACTCGCAATCCTGCACGGACCACCTGGGCCACCGACCGCAGGCAGTATACTATTGGGAGTCAATTTATTGATGAGAGGAAAGCCACAGGCCTGTTTCACCCAGTATCCACTGAATAAATCCAGCTTAGGAGCCCAGAGGGTAGCATTGTCCGACCCGGCAGGTTCCCCAACAAGAAGGAGTGTCTGGAGTGACGAAACCTCTTCGGGGTCCATCAATCGGGCGATAGAAGGCGAGAAACAGGCCCAGTTAACATTATGGCTTTGGATAGATGAGACAATATCAATCGACCGGTCATGTACTGCAGGCACAATGATGCATCCCCCATGGCTCAGAGTACCGAATATCTCCGTCATCGAGACATTTGATGTGTATGGAGCGAGCTGCAGGGTGCGCGTCCCTGAGTTGAGTTTCAAAGATTTACCAAGTTGGTGGATACCAGTATAGAAGGCCTGACGATCCATGTGGACTCCATCTATAATAAACGCGATGTGGTCCCTGTCGCCCGAGACCACAGGAGACTTGGTCGTCAGGCTATCGAGGAATGTCTGGCTAACCACGATTGACGCATTATCTTGTGATGGGGGTGATCCTGGACTCTCTCTCGACACCAGTGTCATCTTGACTTTTTCATACTGGCTACTGTCCTGGCCAAGCACAAAGGTCGCATCAGCGCGCAAGACAGCGAGCATGCAAACTATGCCCCAAGCTGAATTTTCCATGTGGATAGAGACAAGCTGTGCCGTCGCACCACATTCCACAAGGTATTGTGTCATCAGAGAGGAGTAGTGATCTAATTCTGCGTAGGTCAGAGTAGCATCTGGAGCGCTGATAGCCACTGAGTCGGGCCGTTCAACTGAATGGCTTCTGATTTTATCTTCGATCGAATCCGCCTCGATATTCACAGTCTTGTTCCACTCTTGAATTTGCTCGCCAGCAGAATCGTCGATTAGATTCAGGTGGTTGATTTGCGCATCAGGATTCCCGAGTACGACGTTTAACGTATGGCTGAAGAGACTGGTTACCAGAAGTGCCTGCTGCCGCGACATCTGCGCATTCCAGTAGGAAATCACCATCTGCACATCTTCATCTGAGGCCTCGACATTGACCGTCACGTCGTACTATCATGGTGTCAGCAGAATTCTTATCTGGTCATCAGCCGAGTCAAACTTACTTCCGTTGGATCATATGCTTCCACCCTCTCCATCTTAAGCTGCAGCTCGGCGTCGTCACGAATAGCCGCTCGTTGTACTGAGAGCGAAGTATTAAACAGGGGCTTTCCTCCCAAAGGTAGAGTGTGCTGTATCTCGGCCAATGAGGTATATTGATGGGGTAGATTTGCCAGGAAATCATCTTGGACTTTCTCCAGTAAATCCATCACGGACTCGGTCCCCTGGATGTCTAGTCTGCAGATGAGCATATTAATGAAAGCTCCGATGGCGTCTTGGATTCCAGGCACTGATGCATCACGACCTGATGTCAGATACCCAAAAGAGATATCATCCTGTCCCGTGTAACTCCGCAGTACAATGGCCCAGACTAGTTGAATGACATTCGAAACTGTAATTCCGGTCTCAGAGCAGAATTCTCGTAACTTGGCTGCCGACCTCGACAGCTGAACATACTCGACCTCCAGATCTCCTCGCTCCTCGCCAAGCTTCTGGCCTTGGAAGGCCGGGAAATAACATGGCTCGACTTTTGAAAGGTAGTTCTTCCAGTGAGCGTCAGTTTGCTTGAGATTCTGTTCTCTCTGGAGATAAGAGATGTAACTGCTGTAAAGCGGACCAGTCCCTCTGAGCGTATGGCTGAAAGCTTGCTCGAGATCTCGGACCAGAACGCCAATAGAGATGCCATCGACAATGGCGTGGTTGATTTCGAGTTTGCAAACCGCCTTTCTGTCTCCGATGCAGATAGACATATGGTGCAGTCTGCCTGATTGGTATTGAAAATGTTGGTGATGTTGTTTCAGTACCTCAACGGGATCCTGTGGGTCACCATTGAGACGAAGTATCTCCACGGGTTCAGCTTTCAACACAACTTGGTGGAAGGCAGAGTCACCCGACAAACTTTCCATGAACCTGGTTCGGAGAGATGGATGGCGATCGACAACGTCTTGCCATGCCTCTTTGAAACGTGCCATATCTCCTTCATCAAAAGGACCACTTCTTGGCTTCAGTTCCCACAAAAAGAAGGACTGGTAGTTGTTGCCAGTTTTGGATTGGCTGAGTAGAATTCCATTTTGCATTGGGGAACAGGGATATACATCCTCCACCATGGCGAGGGTCGTGATGCCAACCTGGGGGAGTTTCTGCGCCACAAATTGTTGGAGTTCGTCGTACGTGAAATCCATGAGAGGGAAGTCGCCAAGGGTGTACTCTCGTTTCAGGAGAATAAGTTGCTCTGCTGCCTCTTCCAAAGTCATCTTGAAGGCCTGCATCCAATCCTTGGTCTCTGCGATATAATTCATGTTCTTGTTGAAGAAGAAATGGAATTGTAACCGCCCATATTCAGCCTTTGCAGCGATATCAAAGAGTGCACTGCGAGGCACTTCAGCACCAATATCAATATACTCGCCTTCATTCAGCTCCACTGCGTGAAGTAGACCATCGGTTCGTTCCAGTTGCTGCAGTACACCCAGATAATTAAAGAGAATCTCTGGCATCCCATGATGCCCAAATGCCTGCTTGCCTTCCTCATTCAAGTACCGAGATGTGAAGTAAGACCAGCCACGATTTGGCGTTCTACGGCGCAGGTCCTTTGCTTGACGAACAGCTTCGATGATGTTCTCAACCTTGGCTAGTGTGATCGGATACATGGTGGTAAACCAGCCTACTGTCCGGGACAAATCAATGGCGGAATCCCATGGCTCGCGGCCATGGCTCTCAATGTAGATTGATGGTGTGGATCTGCCAAATTTCTGAGCGAATGAATAGCTCAAGGCGGCAATCATGATATCCAAGGGTTCCGTCCTCAGGGCTTCATGACATCCTTCCAGCAGTGCGCTTGTTGTCATCTCATCGAGAACAAATCTCTCGTGCATGACATCACCAAAAAGGTTCGGCACCCCTTCCATGCCCCAGAATGCGTAGTCGGTAGGCTGAACGTCGCCCACAAGCTTTTGTGGAGTGAGGAATTGTTTGCTGTACTCTTCTTGCAGGCGGCTCCAGGTTTGGAAGGGAAACGGCTTCTCGTCATATTGCAAGGTTCCAGAGGCTAACAGTTGCTCCAGGTCTTGTAGGATAACTCTCCACGAGACGAAGTCAATCACCAGATGGTGTGCGACGAGAGAGAGGAATTGTTTACCATTGAGATGGATAAAATCTACCGCCAACAAAGGGCCTTGTTGGAAGTCAAGGCTCTCCTGCGTCTTTAGCATCAACGGTCGCATCTCCTCCTCGTTAGAGATGTTGTACGATTTCAGGCGATAAGACTCCTCCACCTGCATTGTGATACGTTGGGTCCAGGTTTTGCCATCCTCGGAACGAGTAAACCGGGCGCGAAGCATCGAATGTTGGCGTACAATTGCTTCGATGCTCTTCTTTAAGTCCGCCACGGAAATCTCCTTGGCGACAGAGACCATGAAGCTCTGATTGTAGTGATAAGAGCCATCTACGGCGAGGTCAAAATGCATTTGCTGGATCGGTGTGAGAGCGAATGCTACATCCAGCTCTTCGTCCTTCGAGATGGTCGACTGCTGGGCGGAGTGAGTGTTGAATGCTAGCTGAGAAATGCTCTTGCATCGAAGCACGTCTTGGACTGTGACCACGATGCTCTCCGTGGCGCGACAAGTTGAGACAACTTGCATTGCAGTAATACTATCCCCTCCAAGGCTGGCAAAAGACTGGTTGATAGGCACTTTCTCAATGGGCCTGTTGAGCACTTTACTCCAGACAGCCTGGAGCTTCTTCTCTATGCCCGTCGCCGCCTGCTGAGATGGATCGCTATCATCCACGGCATTATAAATTCGACGCACGATCTCATCTGAAAGGTCGCCCTCAATCCATGCGATCACTCGCTTCCGGTCCATTTTGCCGGACGTGTTCAGCGGGAAGTGCTCGAGCACTACCCAGACTTCGGGCATCATGTAAGATGGTAAATGGTTTGCCAAGTATTCACGCACCTGGGACATCGTGATAGCCACTTCGCCCCGCTGTGCATCGCTCACCACATGGATTGTTTCTTTGTCACTAGGGGATGCGATGGATTGTAGAGACACTGCAGCGAGAAGTTTGCCTTTGAAGGGCCCCGATGCTGGCATGAAGGCCACCCCATGTTTCACCCATTCGTTGCCCCAGAGGTGAAAGTCGATCTCGCCTAATTCAATCCTCTGGCCACGTAACTTCACCTGTGACTGGATGTTCTTTCGTCGGACAAAACTGACTGAGCCATCGGCATTATATCGAGCCAGGTCCCCCGTTTTATACATTCGCCTAGGACCCAAGTCCAGTCTCTGGCTGAGTGTGAACTCTGGATTTTCGATAAACGCCTGCTCCGTCAAGTCCGGTTGATTCAGATAGCACCTAGCGAGAATCGGTCCCTCGATGATGACCTCTGCTACGGCGCCTACTGGGGCCAGGCGATCGTGGTTGTTAATTTCCGTCAGCCACATGAATGATCCGCATGCAAAGCCAAAGTTGGCCGAGCTGGAATGGGGCCGGACTCCAAAATTGGCGGACATTGTCATGGAACACTCAGCTGGTCCATAAATCAATGTCAAGTTGGTACTGTTTGAGAGCGAATCCACCGTCTCTTGCCGGATGCGTTCGCCACCGAGCGCCAACACATTCAATCCGTTGACATCTTCGGGCAGTAATAAGCTGGCTACCGTGGGAGTGAGATTAGCCCAGTTGGCCTGGAGACGTTTCATTGCTCCAGGCAGGTCGTTCATGCGCTCGTACTCGGAGGGTTTCACGATAGTGCCTCCTCGCATCAGCGTCGTGCAGTGGTCTTGAATCGCCACATCGAAGATGTAGGACGCGAATTGCAGCTAGTTCATGGTTAGTTATACACACTGCTATTTGAATTCTTAGGTACCTACCACTCTAGCGTCTCCATTCAGCTTCATGGCCGTGCCATGCGCTCTGGAGCTGGACGCAATGGCTCTGTGCTCGATCACGATACCTTTTGGGGTGCCTGTAGATCCAGATGTAAAGACGACAAAGGCCGCATTGTCAGGTCGCACTGATGTGTTTGCAGGACCATGCTTCTTCGGCAAGCTGTTGACAAATCCGGCATTTACAACGACTGATTCGGTACAAATTTCAGACAGCAACTCGGTATCTAGTCCATTCATGCCGTCCGTTAACACTGCGGGTGCCTTGATGTTGTCGATGATGCTGCGCAGTCGCCCAACGGGATGCGATGGATCTAGCATGCAGCATACGGCACCCGCCTTTAGCACTCCCAACATCGCGACAGCCGTCCAGATTGACTTTTCGAAACACAGAGGTATCATAGTCTCGGGACCTATTCCTACATCCAAACCGACCAAGTAGTGGGCCAGTCTCGATGAAAGATCGTCTAGCTGTGCGTATGAGAAGATTCCATCCCATGACTCAATGGCCGGATGATGCGGCTGTCGGTCTGCCTGATGTGTAATGAGATGGTGGATGCACTCATCCACAAGCTCAGGGTTGACTGAGTTCCACGTCGAGATCTGATTTATACTCAGTTCGCTCAGAAGGTTCACATCGCCAATCTTTTGATCTGGCAGACCTTGTGCGATCGAGCGTAGGGTCTGAGTGAAGGTGCTCGCAATATGAGTCGCCTGAATCTCGCCTACCCATGAGCTCCAGTAGTTGAATCGCACGTCGACCTTGTCACTAGAGATCCCTACATTTACCGACACTTGGTACTATGAAACATTAGAAATTGGCCAAAAGAGAGTGTCTGTCTATTCCATACCTCAGTCGGGTCGTATAGTTCCGTAATCTGAAAACTGGTGCCATCCGTGATCGTCACCTTATCTGGAACCACGCGAGAGACAGACATCGCGGTGTTAAACAGGGCCTGGCCAGATAAGCTCAGTGCGTGCTGGATGTTTGCTAGCGAGCAGTTCTGATGGGGAAGACTATCCAGGAATGTCGATTGAATCTGCAGCATCAACTGCCGCACGTCTGCCCTTTCGTCCAGATTGAGATGACAGACGAGCATGTTGATGTACGGCCCCACCGCGTGCTCCATGATGCCCTCAATCGGGGCATCTCTTCCACTCGTCAGATAACCAAAGGACACATCGTCCGACCCTGTATATGCCCGAAGGACCAGAGCCCATGCGAGCTGGAACACATTGGATAGAGTGATACCGTAGCGGCGGCAGAAGGAATGCAGTGTGGCTGCGGGGATTCCAGTGTCCACCTCAAGGCTTTGCATCCGATCGGCAGCGCTATCTGTTCCACCAAGCGAGGGGAAATGACATGGTGTCGCGTCAATTAGATAATCCTTCCAGTATTCGATGCTGTGCTCAAGTGACCCTTTGTGGATATGCGCAATATACTCGCTATAGCGCGGTGCTGCTGGCTGTAACACCAGCTCAGAAGCGTATGCCCGCCCGAGGTCTCCAAGTATGATGGGGAATGACAAGGCATCGACGATAGCGTGGCTCATTTCCAGTTTGCAGAACATCTGTCCAGAATCGTTCGTCATGATGGTCAACTGATGGAGATTGCCACTTTCGGCAACCAGTTGAGTGTCCGCGAATCCTCCAGGAAACGATGGCTCCTTCGTCTGCTGATGAATCACTGACACCTCTGAAGACTTGACCACCACCTGTGTCAATTGTGCTTCTCCGGATGGGCTTCGCACAAATCGAGTTCTCAGGATGGGGTGCCGGTCAACCACATCACTCCATGCACTTGTCAGGCGTTCGATGCTGATCGCTTGACCATGAGATGGAACGGCCTCCCAGATCACATACATCCAGTAATGACCCGAGATTCGCCCTTGACTGAGAATGATACCTTCCTGGACAGGCGAGCATAGATATAGATCTTCGACGTTGGATAAATCGGACACGCCCGCCTCTAGTAGTGCATCTTTATACGTGATGAGTTTCTCGGAGGTGAGCTCATCTCCCACAAGATCGCTGTCCTCAGACCCTTTCGCTTCCAGCGCTGCAATTGCTCTTTCTGCTAGCTCTGATACATTCTGAGCTCGCAGGATATCTTGGAAAGTCAACTTCACGCCTGCCCGTCGACACTGGGACAACACCGACATGCCCGAGATGGAGTCGCCACCGAGGCTGAGAAATGAGCGATTCCGGGGCACTCTGGCTCGAGCCAGCACCTGACCCCAGATTTGGCGCAGCAACTGCTCCATCGGGGTCTCTTGCTCATCGACGTCTTCCTCCTCGCCAAGAGCTGTAATATACGCGTATGTCTCATCGTCCATCGCCTCCAGCCACTGCACTGTTTTCTGACGGTCGGCCTTTCCGGACAAAGTGAGCGGCAGGCTCTCCAGCAGCACCCATATCTCGGGAATCATGTAGCTGGGCAGATCCCTGGACATCTGGGCTCTCATGGCGTCGACCCATTCCGCGCTTGATCTCATGTCTACTGGCTCTAAAAGTGCCAGCGGGTTCCGTTGAGATTTTATCTTGGGAAGCGGCAAGTCTTGAAGCGAAACAGTCGCAACCAAACGACGTTTGCAAGGGCCCGAGTCGGGAAATAATACAATTGACTGCTTGATTCGTGGATGGGCCAGTCGTCGCTCAACTTCTCCCATCTCGACTCGCTGTCCGCGCACTTTAATCATGAAATCCTTGCGGCCGACGAAACTGAGACTTCCGTCCGAGTTGTACGCCATCAGATCCCCGGTCTTGCAAAACCGGCCCTCCAGCTGCAGACTCGGATCGAACCAAGGTGGTCTATCGATGAACACGGCGGCCGTCTTCTCAGGGTCGTTCAGATAGCCTCGTGCAGTGACCGGCGAATGAACTAACAGCTCACCAACGACGCCAATGGGCACCAATCGGTCATGGTTGTTTGGATCGACAACCCATCCGACATCGCTATGGCCGACATTTCGCACGTCGGAGGTCTGTCCCATTTGGTCGTTGAACGCCATCAAGCCATTTTCGCTTGATGCATAGCAAAACACGACATGGATCTTTGCAACCCACGGTGCAGCCTCGAATCGGGATAGGGGCTCTCCGACGAGCACTATGGACTCAAGATACTGAATTTCGTCTGGGTTCAATTCTTTAAGCAGCGATGGTGTGAAAACTGCCCATGTGATGCGCATTTCGTTCAATGTCTCGACGAGGTTATTCCGGCGGGCCTCTTCCGACGGCAGACAGATTACGCCACCAGCAACCAAGGGCATGAAAATCTCATAAAGTGCGGGGGAGAAACTGTGGGAGGCAAATTGTAGGGACCGTGAGGCTTCAGTCGCAGGACATGCACCTTGTAGTCTCCTCAAGGCCGACGCAAACGCCGCATTCTCGACACAGATTCCCTGCGCTCGTCAGAACGTGATACATAGATAGGACATTGACTCAGCAGTGACTTACCTTTGGCCTCCCAGTGGATCCAGATGTGAATGACACATATGCGGTATTCTGAGGAGTCACAGACGATACTGGTGCCTCGCTATATTTCGGTAACATTTGGAACAACTGCTCGTCAACAACGACGAAATTATCGACAGATTGCGACATTCTCTCTGCTTGCGTTGGCGATGCTACCAGAATAGTTGCTTTCGCTTCCATGAAAATGTCTCTCAGACGCGTTATAGGACTGCTGGGATCCAGAGGCACAATCGCAGCGCCTGCTTTCCAGATTCCGAGTAATACAACCGGCACCCACACGGATTTTTCGAGTAGCACAGGGATCAGAACCTCGGGCCCAGCGCCCAAAGAGACAAGGTGGTGGGCCAAGCTGGAGGACAAGTCTCCCAGTTGCTGATAGGTGAGTTCTCCGTCCCACGCAGATACTGCGGTCTCGCGATAGCGCTGATTGAATTTCTCGCACACGAACTCATGCATACAGGAGTTCACAAGTTCCGGGCGTGTCTGATGCCACCCCCAAACTTGCGCTCGATGCGCTTCGCTGAACAGATCTTGTGCCGTGATCTCCTCGTGAGGTGAGTGGAGAATGCAAAAAACGGCTCGCTGCAGTGTGTGGATGACATTGCTGGCCTGGCCTTCGGACAACAAGACCGTCCAGAACTCAAGACTCGCGAGGATATCGGCGCCAGCATCGGTGATATGCAGCGTAATCGCATTCTACAATATTAGTCTTTTTACAAAATTCGTTTTACTGAACTGCTTACATCCAGTTGCTCCTCCTGCTGCCTCACGCCCAGACTTGTATACAACACTAACTTCGTGTGGAAAGACGTCGCTTCATCGGAGAGCCATTCGTTGCGGTGCTCCAATCCCAGGCTGTAATCTGCTGCAATGTTTCTCAGAGCTTCGGCAATGGTCAAATCTTCCCTTATCTTGACTGCAAACGGCAGTACGATGCCGCTATTCTCGTCTTCGTGCAGTCCGAGCCCATTTGTCTGGTATCCAAAAGAGACTGACTCCGTTCTCGCGTAGGACCGAAGCACCATGGCCCATGCCAGGTGAAACACGTTGATCGGAGATATCTCCTGCGACTTGCAGAATTCCCGCATCTCCAACGTCTCTATGCCCATAGGCAATTCTTTCCGTTGATTCTCTCCGTCAAGTCCATCATTCCGGGTAGGAAACTGGCATGGCTCGGTCGATGCCAGATACTTCGCCCAGTAACTTGCCTTCTCCTTCACTGCGTTTCCATTGACTGGAACGGGAACTGTTTCTATTAGTGCAGGTGCCATAACTTACTATTGTCCATCCGATATCCTTCGATAAATTGATAATGTAAAGAAGATCTTGAGTTTGAATAATCACCCAAAGAGGTCTCTCGTATTGGACTCGAAGTTCAAGCACAATGTGAAAGTCAACCAGATCCTGTACATTCACACAATAGAGCTATGCAGTGCCTATCAACATCCCTGCAATACTAACCTTATCGTGTCTTCACGTGCTAGCAGCTTGATCTGTTAGTATCAAGTCTCGTGGTGTGTGTCTCGAAAGGTCGTAAGCACTATCGGTCCATAAAGCATCTTACAATACCCGTAATGCCACACTCAATCAAGTGGAGAACAGTTCTGTCAGTTCTGATCTGTATTAACATCTTGATGAGTGCCCGGGATATTACTGGGCATGATCCGACTTGCAGAGTCAGCGTCAGCCTTGTCAGCATTTAACGCGAAGATCCACCTAGGAACACGGTCAGCGCTACTACTAGCAGCTCCTGGATGGTCAGCATAGTGAGTGACTAATTTATTTCACTGTGGCGGAACTAAATATTTCATTACCATACTTGCGTTCATTTGATTTTGGCAGTCTCGCAGAAACAATCGATCATCCTACAGTGGATGTGCCACTTTGGCCTTCAATCATATTGGTTGATCTTCTTCCCCGCCTTTCCTTCCTTGGGATTTTAGTCTGCGTAGTTTGGACACTTGAAGTTTCAGTTAAGAAGTAGGTCGAAAGATGATATGTAATTAAGTGGCCATGGTATGTAATTAGGTATCATTGAAGATGAGTCTTCGGTATGGACAACGTTTTTCAATTGGGAGTCTCGAGGTGATGTCGAAAGCTATCACCGCTTTTTCTGAGGGCGGCCCGGGAGGTGTTGATGACTAATTTTCTGCCGGGCAACCTTGGAATATCATACTGGATGTAGCCAAAGTGCATCTCCCTGCGAATATATTGACATTCTTATTCTTCTCCTTTTGTTTTGCATTTAAAAACTATTCAATCCTATTGCTCATCTATATTAGCCTCGTAGATATCTATTTGATATATATTGTCGCCTAATACGTAGGCAATCTCCTCGTTGTATAGAGCAACCAGAAATATATATTCGGGTCGGGAGTGTTAAATCACCACGCTGAAGAGATTGAGCTGATATAGAGTCATGTTCAATCGATAAAATAATCAAGAACTAGGAGAAAAAAAAACAAGAGCCTCAACTATATATGTAGTATGTAACACACTCGTTGAATGTACATGTGTGACAGTCCAAAGTATAATCAACACTAAAAGGCCTCTACACCTATTCTCAGCCATAAGGTTCAAGTCACCGTGAATAAATATTTCCACCATCTTTCCGTCATATTGTCTATACTATTCAATAATCCATGTAATAGGTAACATGTGTACCCAAGTGCTCACAGAGAAACACTCTAGACAGATCTTCCTTGACAATAGGCCCTAAAGGCTCGAATCGGGTAAACCATTATAGAGCCGGGCGAAAGCCGAAGATTCATTCTCCAATAGAGTCGTGGGGCTGTCAAACTCTATCAGTGAGCCCTTGTCCAGGAATGCAATCTTGTCAAAGTCCAAAATGGTATCGAGACGGTGCGCAATGGAGAAGATTGTAGAGTTAGCAAATTCGGTGCGAATGATGACTTGCATCAACTTGTCCGTTTCGGAATCAACACTGTGAATGTTAGCTGATTGTAGAGTAGTTCTCAGTATGAATGAGAGTTTTGAATATTCAATGATCGTGATAGGTTACATACCTGCTAGACACTTCATCCAGGATGAGGACGTGGCTTTTCTTCAATAATGCTCGCGCAAGGCAGAAGAGTTGTTGCTGACCCAATGACCATGCATCAGCCACCAGGTCCTCGTCTAGTCCGCCGCGCTCCTTAATGAAATCCCATAGGTGGACCTTCTGAAGAGACTCGATGATGGCCTTGTCTGGCAGCGATTCAGTAAAGTCCAGGTTCAAACGCACTGTGGCTGGGATGAAGAAGGGTTCCTGCGTAATGGAATTAAACCTGGAACGAACGACTTCTCGGGATAAGGTGGAGAGGTCGATTCCATCTACGCAGATAGAGCCACCGCTGAGATCGATCATCTGACAGAGGGACAGTATCAATGAGCTCTTTCCACTGGAGGCAAATTAGAATAATAGGAGAGGGTCATGGCGGACATTTAGACTTACCTGCCGGTGCGCCCACAAATGCCAATCTTCTGACCTGCTTTGATTGACATCGAGATGTCTTTCAATGCTAAGGAAGATCCATTGCTGGTAATTGTTAGCTTCGTTGCCAATGTTAGAGAAAGGCGAGTGTCTACTCACTCATAGGATGCGGACACGCGTTGAAACTCAATACTTCCCGATGGAGGCCACTCTGGATCCACAAGTCCCAATGTCGAGTTCGGTCGTTCTTCAGACACAGTCTCCATTTCGAACTTTTTCACTCTCGAGATGGCCCCAAGAGCCGTTTCTAGGGACGTGTACCACTTGATCATGTTGGTCAAGCCCGAATTGAAGGTCATGATGTTGACGAGGGCCACTCCTACCGCACCGCCACTGGTTGACCCTTTCAGGAAGACTGTTAAGATAATCAAGATCATGGCCAAAGATGCCACAAGCATATCCATGACTAGTGTTAGCCATCGCTGGACACAATACAGCAGATAGACGGGCTTCTGAGATTCATCAAGGAGTCGGGTATTCTGTTCTTGCAGTTGCGAAGACCATCCAAAGGCCCGGATGGTCACAAGTCCATTCAAAGTCTCGATAAAATTTGAATACAGCGGGGACTTTACTTCCAAATCAAGGAGACGGAGTTGTCGTGATGTCTTCAGATAAAACTTTTGCACCAGATAAATGACACCCAAAGCAAAAGGTATCGTGACGGCCATATAAGTGGATGAAACTGAGATTATGACGATCTGTACGAGACAGGAAAATGCATCTTTACGGCGTTAGTCTCGTTCTTCGAATTATTCTCGCCGAACTTACACAGCGCAGTATTAATGGCCGCCATCGGTAACGACATATCGATGAGCCGCATATCCTGACTGAAACGATTGGTAATGGCCCCGGCGCTAGTATTGGCAAAGAATAATAGAGGTGCCCTATGGTATATTAGCTTGATCCAAGGGCTTCATCATGGAGGGAAATTACCTCATCACCGTCCTCAACACCGTTTGGTGTAGCCTCTCTGCTGATCTAGAGACAATTCGCACCATCAAATACCAGGAGGATAGAACCAGAGACACCATTGCTATCACCGCCAGCGCAACATAGACTCCCAAATAATATCCCACATTAGCATTCGAGCTCTTTTCGTTGGCATCTGACCACCACTGGACCCATAGATCTAGTTCGATGTTAGCTCACCGCAGCATGAGTTTATTGTGAAGTGCAACTGACTAGGGAAATTGTAGCAAAACGCAACGAGTAGAACAAATATCAAGAAGAGTATGAAATTCATCTTCCCCGCAGCATGTAAGTAATACACATATACGGACCACTCGCCTGTTTGGCGGTCTTTCAGATCAGTCTCGGCAGCTCGCACGAGATCGTCTTGAGTTGATAACGCGCTCGTAGTCCCAGTTTCACCATTGTCATTTGTCGCTGTGTATTCTTCAATCGACAGCTTTTGTACAAAGCCATTGGTTGTTCGCAAGCTCTGAAAGGTTCCTTGGCTGTCAATGTTTCCCTCACGACCTAGGACAATTATTTGGTCGGCGCCCGGTAAAAGGTAATCTGTGGAACTGTCAGATTAATTCTCACAGAGAAAGGGTTACTTACTTGCGTGTGTTACCAGTACCACAGTCGAGCCTAGCTGGCGTAAAAGACCCTCCTTCCCAAACACCTGGTTGAAAACTTGTCTTTCAGTGCGCCGATCGAGCCCACTCAGTGCATCATCGAGAATGACGATGCTTGCTTTTGAGTAGACCGAACGGGCGATTGCCTAGAGCAGTAAATTAGCTTGATGTGAATTTTGGGGGCGAATCCACTGACGATCCGTTGCTTTTGTCCTCGACTTAACGTCATACCATTGCTACCAACTATAGTCTGATCTCCTAGAGGAAGCAAGGCCAAATCTATTTCCAATGCACAGGCCTTCAAGACCATGTGGTACCATTTTGAGTCGAAGACTGACTCGCCAATGATATTCTTTTGAACGGTGGCGTGCATTAAGAATGGATTTTGGTCACAGAATGCGAGGGATGAGCCATGAACCAATATTTCCCCTTCGATTCTAGGCAGTTCATTGAGAAGGCCTCTAAGAAGAGTCGTCTTACCTGACCCAACAGGTCCAATGATGATCGTCAAACATGAAGTCGGAAATTTGCAATGAATGTCCTGTAGAGTGGCAGTCTTATTTTCCCAGCCGAACGTGCCGTGCTCGACCGTGATCGCGTAAGGCTGATCTTTATTTGCAAATTTCACTTCTCCAACCTGATGAGGCTTCTCGATGGCTAGAATCGATTCTGCCTGACTCTGCACTGGTACGTTCAATTCTCTTCTTTCCTGTCGCGGGATCGTCGACAAATAATTTTGGATCCGTGCCAATGCACCCATGCCAGCCGCAATTACCGGCACTGACTGGGTCAAAATGACAATTGGGGTTGACAAAATCGATATGAGCGACAGGGACGTGAAGGCCTGAGCAGACAGTAGTGACTCATGTGAGCTTATTGCAGCAATGATCGCATACATAGCAAATGTTGCGACGGGCGCGAAAATGGGCGCAATCTGGGCTATTTTGAAGTTAAGACGGGCTTCATGAGACAATATAATGGGGAGACAATCGTACAGACGGACAGAATTGTCATCAATTTCATTCGGTACTTGGTTGAGATCTGAATCTCGGCAGTACGCAGCTTCTGAATGAGTGAGGTTAATTTATCCGTCAGCCCCAGCAACTTCAGTTCTTTCATCTGGCCCAATGTCCGCGCGGTTACGTCGATTCTCGTCTGGATAGACTCATTCCATTGCATCTGTCCTTTACCAATCATTGGGGCTAGGAGACCGGAAACGACGATACTGGCTAGGTGTTGTTAGGTATAGGCTTTGAACTAAGGAGCGAGATAACCGACCAAGTGAGACAGTGACTGGAGCGACGCATGCCCAAGACACTTGTCGCTCAAGGAGCCATACAGCCAAGCCAATTTGAGCCACATTTGCCCACACTTCATGGGTGTCTTCGAACGCTACCATGACCTGTTCCACGTCGGTGCTCATCAGAGTGATGGCGGCAGACTCGTCGAGTTCATGTGTGTTCAGCGCGAGGGTCCGGCGGTAGATCGTTGTCACCAGACACCCTCTAACCATGATCATGACCTGGTTCATCGTATAGGTATAGATACCTGTAGAAACCTATCTTTGATTTCAGCAATCGCTCGATTAGTTTGGAAAATGAGAATTATCTTACTGCTAGGCCAATATACACCAACCCAAACGCCCCGATCAAACCATATCCCGCATTTTTGGTCTCTTCTGTTAGCGGCTGGCCAACGAAATTCACGGTACGATTGATCAGAAATGGTTGCGCAAAGGTGAAGCCGAGCAAACATAATCGTGGGAAACCCGCAGATACGATCGGGAGCCAAAAGGCGCGCATCAGGCTGACAAAGAGACCATATTCTTGCTCCTGGTCAGTAACTAAACATATGCACTGGTCAGTCTTTCCATCGTTGAAGAATGAAAGATCCAGGGCTTCTACCTTCTGCTAGAATATTGGGATAAACCCTTTCTAATGCGATCCCATGCAACTTCTCGGCAATCGTCTGCAAGTCGTTGGGTTCGAGGATCGTACGGGAGCCCTTCCACAAGAGGGGATTTACCCACCAGAACAGCATTTTATTCCAGACGCTGCTGGTCGATTCAATTGTCGCATTTTGATGTTTGGTTTCCAGTAGTCGCCGCTTCTCTGCTGCTTCTGCCATCAAAACAACCAATTTCAACACCACGATGGCGGTGAAGACGCCCGCAAGGGCCGTTGCTCCGTGAAGGAGCCATAATGTCCTTGTCTGCACAATGTCACACAGCAGAGACAAGAACAGGTAGACATTGAGCAGGGTGGATGGACGGATCGACCGCATATGCTGAGCGTGGGAGAGCAACCCGATGGCCAGCACCACGGGGAGGCCCAAGGCCGCAGCTGCAACCGAGGCCTTGGTTGCCGGCGCTGATGGCTGTGCCCATAGCACTATGAGCACTATCTGGAGCACCCCGAGGACCAGAATTGAGAGCTGTGGGAGTTAATTGTCCGGCGTTTCCACATGAGAAGTGTAGACTCACTCGTTTCCACCAGGCCAGAAAGCTTGGCTGAACCTTCCGCGCGCCCCGCAGCAAGTATACATAGTTCCACGGAGCTAGCAGCAGAAACAGCGCGGACGGTGCAATGGAGAGAATGGTCTGCTCGAAGAGGAGAGTGAAGTCAAACGCCGCGCGACAGTCGTGGTTGATTACTGGACCAAAGACGTTGTCATCGCAGACCATCTTGGGAGATCGGAGATCTCCGATCAACAGGAATTCGTACAAAAGCGACAGATCCCCTTGGCTACAATACAATACCAGATCGATAATGGGAAATGCTAACGTCAGATTGACCGGGTTATGAAGTGCTGGGTTGAAGCTACTCAAAAGTTATGTAGCAGCTGCCGCCAGGTTCATGAAAATTCCCTGGTAATTTTCAAAATCCTCCAGGCCTCAGTGCTGCCTTCTCCGATGTATTTTCAATTACGTATCAGAGCTCAGCATTACAGTCATACACTGCATCATTCTCTCCAAAAAGAAAAGGGGGCGGGATCACATTCGCGGGGCTAAGCGGATTTTATCTCCGCGCTGTACAAATTCCCAGTCTGGTGATGATTCCTTTCGCCTCTAATCCCAAGGAAATGTGAGCAGGCACACTCCGCATCGATATCTCGAACATAACAAATCAGGTGAATGGACGAGTACTCTAAGGATGAGCATTTACTGTATACGATCTACGGAGTAAGTGGTATTCCATGAGCTAAAAGGGGCACACTCATGTGCCTTCTACAATAGCGGAGGATACTATTCCGTATTAGTAGGGAGTAAGTATCTTCATATTTGAAGACGCAGTACGGAGTACACTTACGATGAATCCATGGGCGTGGCGCATTCCACACCGCGAAAGGGGGAAAGCCAACGCATAATAGCCCTAGAGCCTACTAGCGGGATTACGGGGGCAGCAAGTCAGCGTGTGCAGAAGTATGTTATTGGAGAAAGAACTCGTATGGCGTAAAGTACGGTATACAGCGCTGGATACAGCGAGCATTCCTTGCACGTTTTTTGAAAATAGATTTTTGGGATCACTAGTGTCAATTCCTTCAGGTGCTAACTGCTAAGCTAAGACTAAACGACGATGCCATTAGGTGTCATCAGCGCAAGATACGATTCATCATTCAGTTCTTTTGTGCGATCGAAACACCCATTCTACTCCGTACATAGATTGGGTGAAAAGACCATTTCATCACGCCACAGCTCGCTAACAAGACGTACTGTACGGTGAAACACACCTTGAGGTATCCAATCCGTTTATTAACCAGCATCAGCAGGGGATTGCCGCCTCCACCTCTCATGATCATGGCCGTTCACTCCGAATCGCCATCTAGTATTCGAGAGGCACGCGAGACTGATGCTCTATTGCATCATCGCTCAGAATCAATCGCGTCAAACAGTGTAGACAATGCGCGCTCCGGAGGCAAGGCGGCGAGATCCGCACGTCAGCGATTCTCCGTCTTCGTACTTTGCATCTTATTCCTGACTACCGGCGATTTTGGCATTTCTCTGGTAACAATACCTCAGACAAGACTCTATGAAAGCATTGCCTGCTACCAATACTATGAATCCCAGGATCCCAGCCGAATTGGTCCCGACGGGAGTGTACCGGAGAGACTGTGCAAGATTGCACCGGTGCAAGGCGAAGTCGCCTTTATCCGGGGATATGAAGCGCTGTTTACGGCCATTCCTGGTATGTTGAAGCTTAGTGTTGCTGGCGAGTCCACTCAGCTTTTGATCATTTGGCCTCGATCTGCAAAAAGGTATGCTCGCTAAGACATTGGTTATAGGTGTCGCACTAGCCATTCCCTACGGCTTGCTGGCCGATCGATGGGGTCGCAAGCCTGTTGTGTTGATGAGTATAATTGGAATATTACTGTCGATGGCTTTCACGCTCGCCGTCTGCGGATTGCAGAAGATATTTCCTTTGCGTCTTGTCTGGCTAGCACCCATCTTCACCGTCCTGGGCGGCGGCGTGCCAGTGCTGTTCTCAATGATCTTGACCATGATCGCAGATATAATGCCAGAGAATGACAGGTAATACACCTGTGATGTTGTCAGTTGGAGGGCATAACTAACATGAACAGAGCCACCGCCTTCTTCCAACTCATGACTGGCCAATACATCGCTCAAATCACGGCAACCCCCATCGCGTCGGGCTTAATGGAGACTCACGGGCCGTGGCTACCTATCCAATTAGGATATATCTGTGCCTTCATGGCATTCCTGATTGCATGCCTTCTGAAAGAGACTGCACCACCACATAGAGCTGTCAGGAACGCGGCAGAGATCGGATCCGCAACCACAGGGAGCGAGACAAGCGTACAAAATCTAATGGAAATTAAGTCGGTCGCCGAATTTCGGGTGCATATCACGTCTCTTTGGCACCGCGCAACCACGATTCTGCGCCAAGACTTCAGAGTCATCGTGCTCATCCTGACCTTCTTCATCAACGCCGTCGAAGAGCCGACCCAGAGCCTCAATCTTCAGTACATCTCGGAGCGATATGGCTTGAGCCTCGCGCGCGCCGGATTCGTTATCTCCATCAAGTCGGTCGCCACTATCATCACATATCTGATTCTGTTACCGGCGGTCTCCCGGCTGCTAGAACAGAAGTTGGGCCTGTCAGACACGCGCAAGGATATGGTCCTCGCCCGGGGCAGCATTGTAATCCTGTCTGTGGGATTTTTTCTCGTGGCATGGGCGCCGACAGTGGCCATGGTCACGATGGGCTTTGTTGTCTCAACCTTTGGGCGGGGCTACGGCAATATCATCCGCTCGCTCGTCACCTCTTTGGTGCCTCCTCAATTCACTGGACGCATATACACGATGATCACCGTCATCGAGACGTTCGGACTGCTCCTATCAGGGCCGCTGCTGGCCACTCTGTTTCGGGTGGGACTAAATCAGAGCGATGAGCGGTGGCTGGGCCTCCCGTTTGTTGTGGCTGGGGGAATGGGGGTCGTCGTGGCTATCACGATTTCGTGTATCAAGTTGCCCACACATGTGCAAGTGTCAGAATCCGAAGAGAGAGAGGATAACTCAATTGTTGCCCATTAAGACATTTGGTGGACCATATTTCCGACGCACGACAAAACAAAGGTACCCGTACACAGGCAGACCTTCGAGGGTTGCTGTCATCACATCGGACTTCCTCCGCCAGCTTTTATAACTCATGATCTTCCAGTCTTGTACTGGAAAGGTCTTTTTAGATACCGTGACTGTATGTCCAAGCCCGCTCGTGAGTTGTATCCTTCTAGCACCGAATGAATATATCGCCTTTTGTTGTGTCTGGTAATCTTTCGTCCCCTAAAGATATTCTGTTGTGTTCTCCAGCAAAAATCCATCGGAATGATTAAGCGAATAATTCACACAGTCATTCTGCCTGACATTGAATCTTCGTCTCTAATAATTCGCCTGGCTGCGAGATGGAAAGGGTTGACCTCTTTCTGTGTGGAAAACTGGACTATAGTTTACCCGGTCTAGGCGCCTTGTTAACCCCATAGACGTGATTTTGCTATTATTGAACCATCCCTGTGGAGAGTGCCACCACCCATAAATGTTGGGCTGGAAATATTCCATTATACACTATGTGCTCACTGGGTTGAATTTTATCGCCCAAAACCGCATTTCACCGATGCCCAGGCGAAATCAGAAAACTTAAGGTTGCGGCCCGGCCCCGGTGGTACTGAGATACATAACCTTACTCCAAATTAGACCTCTGAACCCTTTGGAGATACCTAAGTCTTAACTATCTAGGTATTTTGTACGGAGTAAAAAGCCTCCAAAATCCCAGCCTTAGAAGGCTCCTATATTCTATATCTATCTCAACCAGCTGCACAATAGGTATAGTGGCGGGGATCAGGGTGGGGCAGCTTCTTAATGATCTGCCTGGTCATCTTACCGAAGACGATAAACTGACCAATAGCGACAATACTTTGTCAGCATGGCTGTTCCCCATGGCCGGGATCAGTCAATCAAAATTTCATGCTGCTGTTACTCTCCTATGACCAATAATCCCTGCAAGCTTATCCCTTGAACAGGAACATAAATATTGCAAGAGGCTTAGTGCCTTAGGATACGCGCCGCTTAGGATTAGTGTGCCAGCGGAAAGAATGTCATTGTTCTTTCTTGATTTTGATGAGGATAAAGATCATGTGCTAAACAGACTAGTTGAGTATCTGGATGTTATTTGATAACGGTAAATTCCATCGGTGTAATGGACAGCGACGATGTACCCGGCCTTGCCTAAAGAGCAAGTGCTGAAGGGTTTATTCGCTTTGTTTCAGACTTAGTGTCTGTGCACAGGTGTAGAACGGTTTGTATCACTCCCAATTAGTATGCATATTTACGACTCGCTACGATCCTTCTCAAAGTCAAAATAAGTAATGTAACTAAATCATTTGGGTGGCTCGCCATCCCATTTCTCATCCTGCTGATTTTTGGCGCAACAATGCTTTGTTGCCATTCCTCAGGGATAAGTACAACTAACTGTTAAATTTGGTAATTTCGTAAAAAGCGTTATCACCATTTCCCTACTTGGGTTAGACTGTCTCCCGGTCAAGATTCAATCTGAAGTACGACTTGGTTCTTGATTGGAACCCATTGTTCTCTCATATCTATCTGGGTCACAGGGTATCCTATTGGGGACAATCAGTCCTAAACACGTGGGCAGTCCTCATGTGCAAGGATAGAATATGGCCGGGTGCCGTTGCTCTGCCGAACTAGCCTTTGATGCCATTGCACTACCACAGAACCTAGCCACCTGCATATGTACCTAGGGAAGTAGCTTGCGCCGTTGAGCAATGGTATTGTTACCACAGTATTACCGTGGTTAGTATGACCTAGATCGGTTGACTGATTGTCGCGGACGACCGACGCACTATGTATATGATTGTATTTTAATATTTTTTCACGCCTCCAATCTCCTTTCAGTTACCTGTGAGATTTTGCCGCATTTCATATGCGGGGTTCTCTAGCTCACAAAGTACTGCTCTCTCTACTTAGGAGCGAGGGTGGCTGCGCTTAAGAGTCCACTTCACTTGACAACCATGTGGATAGCACTTATATTAAACGTTGCTATGTCCCTACTTTCTTAACATATCTGCGGAGCCATGGAGGATATCCCATCACTCAATGCAACTAATATACCCAATGAGGAGTGGGCATGTATTAGCGACGTGGAGCAGCGGAGACGCATTCAAAACCGGGTTGCTCAAAGAAGACACCGTATGTCTCCTCACAATTCTCATTGTCTACGTGGCCCAATTCTGATCATGCGATATCACAGGGCGTAGGATCAAGGAACTGAAGAAGGTCACCACCTCCTCAGCATCTCCTGTAGTATCGACGGTCCAATCCATTCCTACAGACCAGTTCGCGGCCAGTCAGTCAATGTCCGACTTTCCCAAAGCGGCGCCATCCCCTCATCCGCAGGCGCACAGCACCCCTTCTGCAGATCCGTCCCGGCCTCTCTTCCACACGCCAACAAACTATTTCCCACCACCCGCCTTACCCGATGTCGAGACAATGCTACGACAGTGGTATGCACAGTCAGTACCCCCAGCAAATGCCGGGCTGGGCACCATGCCTCTGAATCCCATTGATGGCGACCCGATATCGATGTTACAGATGTCACAAATGCAGTTGGGGCCTGACCTACAGAAGATGAGCAGTCATATACCTCATGGAATGGCAAATCTCGCAGACAGATCTAGAGACGAGCCTCAGGGAGGCCAATTAGGTATCACTCGACCATTTTACCCGGCCAGACGCTCCGAGCTTGGTCGTAGTCACGAATTAGACAGTTCAAGCAGTGACTCGGATGATTACGACGGCAATATCGAAGGAACACGCGGGAATCGTTTGGGTAGTCTTTCTGTATTGCTCCCCTTTCTTTATTGATATCTATCCAAAGATATGCCCACTAATCCATCTCAGGCCCACCCTGCCCGTCATCCGCTGCCGCCAACCATCACGGCCCGCGACAAGGCCCACATCGACCGTATCCGCCGTGCCTTCCGCCATGGCATGCGTGCGGGCTTGGCCTCGCCAGATGAGCGCGCCTCAGCCTCCGAGGATCTCCAAAGGAGACTGGTACGCGCTATGAACAAAGTGATTGAGTTGTACGACTATGGCTGCTGTCTTGATGTCATTCGACCTGACTCGGATTTAGACCATATGCTGCTGGCGCTGCAGGACCAGCTAGCCAGAGTGGGCGAGATGGGCAAGATCAGGTCTGGAGACGTTCATATGAATTGAGGCATGTAAACAAGGAGTATTGGCGCTGGGTTAGGTGTTGGCTCCTTATTTGCGCTAATATCTTCACCTATTATTTATGATAAACATACAAGTGAGGGAAATTTTATCTTGAGATTTTTGGAAATCAATATATTGCACTACCGAGTACATGTATTGGAAGGAGTATATTTCCATGCTCTATGCAAGCTACAAACGCCGAGATAATGCTTTTCAGTTCAGCGCCATAAGTGGATTTAACCTGATAGATATATTCTAAACTCGTGACCAACCAAGTCTAGAGAAAACGCTGGGAATTAGCGAGCTAGCTAATCATCAATTTTCCCATGTTTCGGAGCTAACCGTCTACAATATACTCCGTAGACCGTAAGGTAGCGCATCCTATAGCCACCAACCATTTATGGGGAACGCTAGGCTATAATTGGAAGGTGACAAACCGCAAATGTTTGGGGAGACCCTGACCGGGAAATGGGATTGAGACATCCAAAAGCCAAACCATTGTAGATTGGCTCTAGATTGATTAGTGCTCGGGTCTAGCATCTTCTTCACTCAAAATGAAAAACAGGAGCCTGTATCATGCAAATTCATCTCGCATTATCGCGCCTTGCTCTCTTGGGCCCAATGCAGTCGCTAGTACACTTCAGCACCAGAAAAAAACTCTCAACCGCCTTATTACAATTAGCGGGTGTAGTGACGAATTATCGTGATCTGGTGGATGATGCTCAAAAGGTTCTCCAAAGCCTTCATACTACCAGGGCATATACCAGCTCTGTGTTGTTTCCGTCAACATAGGCGTATTCTGTCCGGTTAATAACTTTCCCTGACACTAATTTGAGTGGCTCACACCAAGGCTTCCTGGCTTCTTTGCGCATCTCTTGCATCTGCCATGTCTTTGTTGAGGTCTCGGCATGTGCTGGAATAGGGGGAAAAAGCACAATCCTGGCCTCAAGCCCTCCAGCCACAACTGGACGGGGAGTGTACATAGTTTCGCCCGGCGGATAGCGGGTATGAGGGGCTGTCGATCAGATTCGATCCTTCGGCATCGTTCCAGAGAATTGGGTCCGTCGGTTAGGCTAAAATTGATTGTCTGGATGGCCCTAGTGTGTAGCGCCGGCGGGGCACGCGTTTAATCACGGCGTCCGTCGGGTGAGACGGATTTTTAGGGACTCTACAACATCCGAGCTTTCAAACGAAGCCGTGTTGTATGTATTTTTGAGCTTGCTTTGGGATGGAAAAGAAACTGCCATGGACAGGGCGGGAGTTGGCATACTGGGATAACCCCTTGTACTCGGAAAGCTTGATTTAGACTGTGCCAAATCCCATGGGACGGGGCGGGATCGTCCCGCGGGACCAAACAGCGCGGGAGTGACCAAAATGACTTCCATCTCACATGCCACGATCTATGTAGCTTTATTTCAATATTAACATGTTGGGGGTAAATGCCCCCTCTTTCTCCGCACACATATTTACACACCGTACGGTATGTATCATACCCCTGTGCGTACCTGTATCTTTGCCACCGGCGCTCCAGATCTCCACTGCTCACAAAAGATATGCCTGGTCAATTGCACGGCAAATTGCGTCGCTCATCCCCTTCACCGCTGAAGGATGCCGTGGGATCTCATGGCCACCTCCATGGTCATAAACTGTGGCTCGGCGATTGTCGCATAAACGATGTAACAACAGCTGGCGTGGGTGCTCATCGTCTTTGCGGCCTACAATGTGGGCGGTGGGAATGGGAATACGCCGCATGTCTTCATTGGGATGGTATCGCCGGGTCTTAGGCCCGCGGGCGTCGAAAGGATTCCCACTGCAGATGATGATAGCGAAACGAAAGAGCAGCTCGACCGGCTCGGAAGGACACGTTGCCATGTGATACAGCAGGAAGGAGGTGGCTAGGGATCCACCCTGGGAAAATCCCATGATGCCATCAAAAGGTCCCTGTTCGTCGATGAGCTCGTCGATAAGCTGATAGGCGTTGCGGAGGCTTGTTGCCGAGTCCCAGTCGTAGTAGGAGAGAAAGGGACCATCGTAATACTTCTCCACTCCTGCGGGAAAACATTAACAAACGGCTCAATTGAGTTTCTGCATAGTACGCGAGACTAAGGACTAGAGGGATAGGAGCCGTTACCGTTCCGAGGCTCAGTCTCAATCTCGCCATCGACAAAAACAAATTCGCATTCTGTATTCAGCTCGGCAATGACCGAGGCTCTCAGAAGGGCTGGGACAAGAGAGTTTGTCAGTTCCAGCTCTTCTAGTTTCAGAACGTGTTGGCAAGGTAAGGAGCACACCTGTTTGGGCTTCGAATATCTATCAAATAGAAAACATTAACATCGTCCCGTGAACTCGATCATGGGCTTGCCCTCACTCACCTGGGAATTGGTTCCCATTCCATGAAGACAGAGAATTCGCATCTTGGATGTATAATCAACGTCACAGCGCCCTGTACATCTAGGTATCGCGAGTAAGAATGAGGGCGTCTTCAATCGCCACTATCTGGCGCTTGGATATCACTTTGTGCCGAGTCACTTGCACTAGACAACTAGCTGATAGTACAGGTTGAACTGACCTCAGAACCTCACGATGCTGTTAAGTTGATCCTGGCGGGGCGGAGTAGTGTCGAGTGTAAACTTTCCAGTTCCCGTTATTCCTGAAGGAGCAATCAAGAAAGGGCTCCATATCGTTTATTGGCCTACATTTGGCCAGTAACGTCAATTGCTATTGCACCGGCCTTGTGGTGTCAGACTCTGCCTGAGCTAGTCCATATCAGCTTTGGTATTATCAATAGGTCGTTCATTAGGAAATTAGGAAACCCTTAGTAATTGGGGGACATAGTGAGGCCCATGCTTGACATGCACGCTGATGGTCAGAATGCAAGTCAGCCGCCTTCTTGGAAATTTCCCTAAACGACTTGACCAGTGACATATGGTGTGCCGGGCAAAGTAGTACCAGTCAATTCCCCCATTCTAGGTCTAGCTTCATATTTCTAGCTGACAATGTCCTCAGTTGAACACGGCCGACCAACCTAATCTTCAGGTCGCGTTGAATACTGACGAAACCCAGATCATTTATCATGAATATCACACCTCTTCTCTAGTACGCCATATGTATCTAACAAGCGTTCCCACAAATTCAGCAATTCTATGTTAACAGCTAAGCTCTATCAGGCTAATGAATATATGTCGACATTGGTTCCCTCAAGCTGTAGCTGTATACTCGGGGGTCCACACCCACGCTAAAACCGCCCGAGCAAAAGTCTGTAGATGACGCAGCTATATGTACCAGAAAATAGGGATCATATGCATTTTTAGGGCTTATGGAGAAGTAATGTCTAACACATTGTACAGACGTCGGGCTCAGAGATTCCTTTCGATATATTTCTTGCCCATGTAGTATGGTTGCAATTGAAAAGGATGAGCATCCAGGCTTCGTTTATCGCTTCCTTCATGCTTGAGGTATTAATTGAGCCATGATTTATGGACAATTTACCGCAGGATACATGAAAAGAAACATGATAGCAATGAATTCCGAATGCAAGGTTCCAAGTTAAGTCAGCAAGTCAGCAAGTCAGCAACCCTGTCAGTATCGGTATGCATCAATTGGGATTATATCGGCTGACATCCGGGATAAGCATTTGAAACACCAACAAATATTCGGAGCTTATCGCAGGATCTCTTAGCTCGGACCTCTCTGCTAAGTCCTCGAACCGTTTGAGTTAGACAGATGAGCAATGTATGAATATGAACAAGAATGGTAAGCGCTAACATTTGGAAAGTATCCATGGTAATATTGCAATAACATACTTGTATCTCATGATTGACAAGCTCCATAGCTGTAGATAGTAGTGTTATGATCATTGACCTTGAGTGTGAAAGCTCATACTTAGCCGATTCACGACAACCAAAACCATAGACTACAAGAGAGGGAATTGAAACACTGGCCTAAGATCTAATTGAGTTAGGGGCCGCTTTACATCCTATCATCATGCCTTTTATGACAGCTACCGAGCAGCCCATGCCCATCGCGGTTGTTGGGTTGAGCTACAGGTTCCCTGGTGGAGCCAATTCCGATGAAGCCCTATGGGACATGCTCGCGAACGGTCGGAGTGCATGGTCGGAAATTCCCAAAAGCCGTATGAACGCCGATGCGTTCTATCATCCTGATAATGGAAGAAAAGGAACGGTAAGTGCCACCAGTTGAGATAGCATCTCTGTCCTATGTGGGTCACTAAGAGGTCTGGCACGGCTTAGTTCTATGTCCGCGGTGCCCATTTTCTGGACGAGGATATTGCAACTTTTGACGCCCCGTTCTTCTCAATCTCTGCAAATGAAGCGAAAGCGATGGATCCCCAGCAGAGAATGCTGCTGGAGGCAACCTACGAAGCGTATGAGAATGGTGCGTTAGTATGGTCTTTGGGGTTTTGTGTCAAGTGACGGTTAGTTGACGATTTATAGCTGGAATAAAGTTGGAAGACGTCGTGGGTAGCAAGACAGCGTGCTTTGTCGGTACCTTGTCAAATGATTATGGAGACAACCTGCACAAAGATATGGAGTTCAGCACGAGGTACCACAGCACAGGCAGTATTTCCTCGCTGCTTGCCAATCGACTCTCGTGGTTTTTTGATCTCAAAGGGCCAAGCGTGATGCTTGACACGGCTTGCTCCTCGAGTTTGGTAGCTTTCCATATGGCCTGTCAGAGCTTAAGATCTGGAGAGGCCACGTCGGTCAGTATTTCCTCAATGATACGTAGCCTACATACTGATGTCAATATAGGCCATAGTCGGAGGAAGCGCGATCATTCTAAACCCAGACTTCTTCGTCATCTTAGCCGGACCGGGGTTCCTCGGACCCGATGGCAAGTGCCACTCATTTGATGATAAGGCCAACGGATACGGCCGCGGAGAGGGAGTCGCCTCGCTGATTCTCAAGCCATTGGATGCTGCGCTGCGGGATGGTGACCCAGTGCGGGCCATCATTCGAGGCACGGCGACCAACCATGACGGTAAAACACCAGGAATTGCCCTTCCAAGCCAGAAGGCTCAAGAGGAGCTGATCCGCTCTGCCTACCGAAGCGCCGGTCTCGGTATGAGCCAGACTGGGTATTTTGAGGCTCATGGAACCGGCACCCAAGCGGGAGATCCCATCGAAACCGGCGCCATTGGGAATACCATCGGGGTGACAAAATCATCTGGAGATCCCCTGTTCATTGGCAGCATCAAGAGTAACATTGGTCACCTCGAAGGGGCCAGTGGTCTCGCAGCCATCGTCAAGGCAATCTTGATTCTCGAGAAGGGCTTGATTCCGGCGACCGCAGGGTTCGAGACTCCGAACCCGAAAACGCGTCTTGAGGAACAGGGGTTACAGGTATGACAGACATGATAAGTCCGTGGTACACACAACTAATTCCGATGTGATATAGGTAGCCAGTAAGCTCACCCCATGGCCTCATGACGGTCTCAGACGTATCAGTGTAAACTCCTTCGGCTTTGGGGGCGCCAATGCTCATGTGATCTTGGACGATGCTTCTCATTACCTCCAAGATCAGAATCTGGGAGCGTGTGGAATCAGCGACCAACTTTCGGCGAGTGATGATGAGCCACTGCGGGACGTTATCTCAGAATCAGGCTCGGATAACACAAACGAATCCGGTTCACAACCTTTCTTGTCTGATCCCTCGCGACTGTTTGTCCTTTCGTCTCACCATGAGCAGGGCTGTGCGTCTATTGCTCAATCTCTGCAACAATCCCTGTCTAAGAAAGAAGAGACAGAGTTGAACACGGAGCTTCTAGACAGCCTATCTTATACCCTAAGTGATAGGCGAAGTAAGCTCATGTGGAAGAGCTTTGTGGTGGCCTCTTCTGTCACTGAGCTAAACGAGGCCCTGCAGGCAATAGCACGCCCGGTCAAGTCGGCGTCGATTCGATCGATTGGGTTTGTTTTCAGTGGGCAAGGTGCGCAATGGGCCATGATGGGCCGGGAGCTGCTGGTCTTTGATAAATTCCGCACTTCTCTCGAATCCGCCGGAGCGTGTCTGAAATCCCTGGGCTGTGAATGGGACTTGATAGGTGAGCTCTATTTCCCAGCGAAATGAAAATTTACTGATCCAAGGTAGAGGAGCTCGTTCGGAATTCGGATTGTTCCAAGATCAATCAATCAGCTTTCAGCCAGCCAATCTGTACCGCCATTCAGGTCGCCTTGGTTGAGCTTCTGGCCCATCTGCAAGTGCGTCCAAGTGCAGTAGTGGGCCATTCCAGTGGCGAAATCGCGGCCGCCTATGCCATTGGCGCCATATCGTGTGAAGATGCATGGAAGATCGCATATCATCGAGGACGTCTCTGCGAAAAGATCAACCAGACAAAGGCTCGCTCGGCAGGAGCCATGATGGCTGCCAACCTATCTGAGCAGGAAGCCCAGGAGATCCTAGAGCAGAATCCAAGTTTGCGAGTAGTTGTTGCGTGTATCAACAGTCCTTCATCAATCACTCTCTCGGGAGACCGTGATGACTTTGAGGCTCTCGAGTACATCTTGGCCGAGAAGGACGTTTTCTCCCGCCGACTCAAAGTTGAGCATGCTTACCACTCGCCCCAAATGGAGATCATTGCAGAGGAGTATCGGGAGTGTCTTGGCGACGTTCAGCATCTCAGTCTGAAGCAAGACACTCCGGTGCGCATGTTCTCGTCCGTGACAGCTTCAGAGATCACAGCGGAGGAACTCTCCCCAGACTATTGGGTCAGGAACATGGTCTCCCCCGTCAGATTCACTGCCGCTGTTCAGGGCCTAGTTCGTCCTTCAGGAAAGAAGGTTCGAAGAGGCGGACGGGCTGCAGTGGACGTCCTACTCGAGGTTGGACCCCATTCGACGCTCAAGGGGCCTCTGAAACAGATCCTAGACGCTGAGAAGCTTGAAGTCCCGTACTTTAACGTTCTGGCTCGTGGCAAAAGTGCGTTGTCAACCCTCCTTGGGGCAGCTGGTGGTTTGTTCCTCCGGGGCGTGGCCGTGGACATCCTGCGGGCGAACCGGCTAGATCAATTGGAGAGACATTCTCTCAAAGTCCTCACAGACCTCCCTTCGTATCCGTGGATGCATTTGCACCGGTTCTGGTATGAGTCTCGCCTGAGCCATGATTATCGTCACCGGGCACACGGTCGTCACCATCTCCTCGGTGCGCCCACGGCAGACCACAACACGCTGGAGCCCCGATGGAGGAACTATTTGCGAGTTTCGGACAGCCCGTGGATCCGTGAGCACGTCGTGCAGTCCCGAATCATCTATCCCGGTGCGGGGTTCCTCGTGATGGCCATCGAGGCTGCCTCTCAGCTCGCCGATACGTCTAAGGTGGTGAAAGGATTCGAGCTTCGAGACGTGCAGATCAACCGAGCCCTACAGGTACCGGAAGATGAAGAAGGCGTGGAAACAATGCTTCATCTGCGACCGTATATGGCGAACGGCCAAACAAAGGGCGCGAACTGGGAGGAATTCGTCATATATTCCTATCAATCCAAACAAGGCTGGCAAGATCACGCGCGGGGCTTGATTATTACTCACTACCGACCCAACAAGGCGGGCTTCGATCAGCAAAGGGAAGACGAGACACAGCTTCGACTCCATCAGGAGCAGTACCTGCGATCCTCTCAGTCCTGTTCATCGACCATCCCCGTTGACGATTTCTACGATCGTCTGAACCAGATGGGCATGCAGTTTGGCCCGGGATTCCGCAACATGTCTAGTATCCAATATAGCCAGGGTCAAAGTGTCTGTCAGCTGCACATTCCAGAGACACAAACGCAGATGCCACATGAGTTTGAACTCAAGCATACTATCCACCCGATCACCCTCGACAACATTTTCCACATGGTTTTACCCTCTCGGGTCGGAGCAGGTGCATCGATGGATGCGCATGTTCCGGTCTCCCTGCAGAGTTTGTACATTGCGGCTGATATCAAGAATTCTCCCGGGACGCTTCTCACCGGCCAATCGATTGTCACGCAAGAAGATGATAGTGGATTTGGGGCGACTGTCGTTGTCTCCGACTCGGACTGGGACAGCGTCCAGTTAGTAATTAAAGGCCTGGAATTGAAGCGATTGGCCGCGGTTTCCGAAAATGACTCGCTCGACGGATCCAATTCCCACGAGAGGAAAGTCGTGTTCCAGTCGAAGTGGAAAGAAGACATTGACTTCATCAAGCAGGAACAGGCTGCTCGACTATTCATGGACGGGCTAGACTCGGGAGCCAAAAAGCACACCATGATCAGGGAGTTGGAGCAGACAGCTCTTGTCCAGATGAAACGATGCCTGGGAATAATCGAGCAGTCTGGCACGGAAAATCTGGCAACTCACCACAAGCTGTTTGTTCAGTGGATGAGGAAGCAGGTTGAGACTTTCGGGGACCAGGTTGCGCCTTTGGATCAGTATTCCGAGCAAAGGCTGATCGAAAATACACGAGACCAAAGTATTGATGGTAGCATTATGTGCCAGGTCGGTGACAACCTGGAATCCGTTCTTGAAGGGCGCGTGGAGCCGTTGGAGGTGCTATTGCAGGATAACCTACTCCACGAATACTATGCCAAGGGATTGGGGCTCGACAGAGTCTATCATCAATTGTCGGCATACCTTGATCGACTCGTGCACAAATATCCCAATATGAGCTTCCTCGAAATTGGTGCAGGCACAGGCGGCGCCACCTTGCCAGTCCTCGAGATCCTTGGTGGACATGGGGATCGTCCAGCAAGATTCCAGTCGTACACATTCACAGACATTTCGTCTGGTTTCTTCGGAAAGGCGAAAGCCAAGTTCGACGACTGGGACGAATATCTCTCGTATCAAAAGCTTAACATCGAGAACGATCCAGAAGATCAAGCGTTCCAACCGCATTCGTATGACGTGATTGTTGCTGCAAATGTCCTCCATGCTACCAAGACCATGGACACTACAATGGCCCACGTTCGAAAACTTCTTAAGCCAGGCGGGAAGCTTGTGATGATTGAGATCACACAACAGCTGATGTTTCTCCCAATGATAATGGGCATCCTGCCAGGCTGGTGGCTGGGAGAGGATGATGGCAGACATGATGGCCCGACCCTGAAAGCTCAGGAATGGGATATACTGCTCCGTCGACAAGGGTTCAAAGGCGTTGAGGTCAGCCTCGCTGACTATACCTACTACCAGGAAGACGAGCTGTTCAGTCTCATCGTCTCTACCGCCGAGGATAGCACCTCAGTGATCTCACACTCAGGATCGGAAACATTGATCGTTCAGCCTGAAAAGAGAAGCACGACGCTTGACGATATCATCATCAATTTAGGGCACACAATGGGTCAGGGAGGCCATCAAGTCTCTCCATGTTCCCTGGGCGAGTTACCCTCAGACCTGACAGGATACACCTGTATTGTCATGCTAGAGTACGACAATCCCATTCTTGCCAATATCTCTAGCGAGGCGTTCGACTCGATCCAACGGCTGCTTCTGACTTCCAAAGAGGTCGTTTGGGTCACTAAGGGCGCCGCCATCAATACCCATGTACCTGAAGCGAACATGATTGTTGGGCTCGCAAGAACTATCCGCGCTGAACAGCCCAATTCTCACATTTCGACGCTTGACTTGAGTTCCAATTCAGAATCAGCTGCGGAGTGGATCGCTAACACCTTGCAATTTCAATCTACGTCGCAAGCATCCAGCCATCACTCTCGAGATTACGAGTTTGTGGAAAGGGATGGATCTATATTGATCAGCAGACTCGAAGAGATCAAGCCAGTGAATACCATGGTCGTTTCTCATTCTAGTACTCGGCCAGCCATCATTCCCTTCACACAGTCAAAGAGCGCCCTGAAATTGGAGGTCAAGACGCGCGGTCTTCTTGATTCTTTGCAGTTCACCGAAGACGAGGAGATTAGCCAGCCACTTCCCGATGATGAAGTGGAGGTTGAAGTCAAGGCGGCTGGTGTCAACTTCAGAGACGTCATGGTCGCTATGGGCAAAGTTCCCGGTCCTCTCGGTTTGGAATGCAGCGGGCAAGTAAGAAGGATCGGCCAAAAAGTGACAAACTTCAAACCTGGTGATCGAGTGTGGACCACCTTGCTAGGTGCTTATAGGTCAAGGGTGCGATGCCACGAGTCGCTCTTCCAGCTAATTCCGGAGGGGATGAGCTACGAAACTGCCGCTTCCTTGCCCCTGACTTACATGACTGCATACTACTCGCTATTTGAGGTTGCACGTATGCGCCGAGGCGAGAAGATCCTCATTCATGCAGGCTCCGGTGGTGTTGGGCAGTCAGCAATCATTTTGGCCAAGACACTCGATGCTGAGATATTCATCACAGTCGGTTCGGACCAGAAGAAACAGGCCATGATGGATCTATACGGTATTCCTGAGGATCATATCTTCAACAGCCGGGACCTCAATTTTGCGAAGGGCGTCAAACGCATGACGGACAATCGCGGCGTCGACATCGTCCTTAACAGCTTAGCAGGAGAGGCCCTCCAGCTGTCATTCCAGTGCCTCTCCATGTATGGCCGGTTTATTGAATTAGGAAAGACCGATATTCTGGGAAACAGCAAGCTAGAGATGGCTCCTTTCAAAGGGAATATCACCTTCGCCTCGGTCGATGTCGCCATGATTATGGAAATCGACCGGCAGACCACTGCAAGAATCCTGGCTGAGATGGCAGTCCTATTACGCATGGATGTTATCAAAGAGATCCACCCGGTGACAGTGTACGATTACTCTGAAGTTGAGAAAGCCTTCCGGGTCATGCAAGTGGGATCTCACGTTGGAAAGCTGGTGCTTCGGCCCACGGAGGATAGCATCGTGAAGGTATGTCAGGACTTTACTGTCGCTCATAGGATGCTAACCAGAGATACAGGCCGACCCGAAGAGTCAATTCCCCATTCACATCAGCCCTGATGCCACATATCTCCTGGTTGGTGGTCTTGGTGGCTTGGGACGAAGCATCGCACACTGGATGGTTGCAAACGGCGCAAAGAACCTTGCATTCATTTCTCGATCTGGAATCCAGAGTCCAAAAGCACAAGAGCTCGAGAATCAGCTGAGGGATGCCGGTGCAAAGGTAGCTATCTACGCCTGCGATGTAGGTGACAAAGCAGCACTTGAAACGGTCCTTGGAATCTGCAGCCAAAACATGCCTCCAATCCGCGGTGTCATTCAGGGCGCAATGGTCTTACAAGACACACTGTTTGGAAATATGACTGCCGAGAAATTCCATGCTGCTGTCCGTCCCAAGGTTCAAGGTTCATGGAACCTGCATGAGCTTCTGCCTCGCGATTTGGATTTCTTTACTATGTTATCCTCCTCTGCTGGTATTATCGGCAGTCGCGGCCAGGGCAATTATGCGGCTGGAAACACCTACCAGGGTGCGCTGGCCGCCTATCGCCGGGGTCTGGGGCTGGCCGCGTCAACAATCGACCTTGGAGTGATCCTAGATGTCGGATACGTGGCTGAAAATGCGAAAGCCCTGAAAAATGCCGAGCGATTAGGATTGGTTGGGATCCCCGAACAGGAGTTCCTGCAGATCCTGCGAGGAGCCATCACTAGTGCCAAGCCCTCATCCAATAGTGACGCGCCAGTCCAATTTACGACTGGTCTTGGTACCGGAGGTGTGATTCAAGAACAGCGTGGTGGAGAGTTTCCATATTACTTCCGTGATGCTCGGTTCTCCCATTTGCGCAATGTGGACATCAACCGCACGGGACTTGTTGGTGCTGGCAGCAACAGCAACAAGGAGGTTCAAAGCCTGTATATTCAGCTAGAACAAGCGAAGGTTCTCGAAGAAGCCCACGGAATCATTGGCACAGCTTTCATCGAGAAGATCTCGAAACTTCTATTAGTCCCGGTGGACTATATAAGCCTCCACAAGCCCCTGCACGAGTATGGAGTTGATTCCCTTGTTGCCGTGGAGATTCGCAACTGGGTCTTCCATGAGGCGCGTTCCAGTGTGTCTGTGTTTGATATTTTGAGCAATGATCCCATTAATGTGTTATGTGAAAAGATTGCGATGGGATGCCCTTTTCTGAAAAAGCTGGTTGATGCCAGTTTGGAGAAGTGAGGTGTCAGTTGGCACGACGTTTGTTCTGTTTGTTACATAGTTTTAGGGTTGGAATCAAAAGGGTTGTGATTGGTCAGGTGAGAGGTGGGCCCTCTCCGAACCTCGCCAGGCCCTCTCTTCTTTACTCCTTCCAAGATTGTTGCTAGGAATCCTGTTCTTTTTTCATTGTTTGTCTTTTTAGGATACGCTATTGATAACTTTTGAAAATTGCCGCTTTCCCAAAGTCCCTTTGGACTCGTTTACATCTCGAGTGATAATGTTAGTTTTCTCAACATTGCCGGCTCTTCCTGAGATACAGCGAACCCAACAGTTAGCCTACTTTCATACACGCATAAAAGATGCACGCAAGGTGACATTGAAAAATATGACACCTTTGTCTGTAAACATACAAAATTACATTTACAGCAAGCGAGCAAGCATCAAAGCACCGCTAGGATATGACTTGATTTTTCGTATCTGGTAGAGCGAGGCCAGACCCAAGGATAGACTAACAATGATTCTCATATCGGGCTTTGTCTCTCTCCCACGCTTTCTCGATCAATCCCCATCTCTTTACAACTCAAACGAAGTATCTTCAGGACAGATACTCAACCTCATTCCATCTCACGCCGAAGTGGCAACGATGATTTGGTCCGACCGCTCCATTCCACCGGTCAGGATACTGTCTGCAGACTGCTCAGCGTGAGATGCCCGGAAGTGATCGAATTTCTCATCGTGCCAGCTACGGGCAGTAACCAACCGGCCCTTCGAATCACGGTAGATGGTGTTGTCGGCTGGACGGAGAAAGAAGGCAATGGAATGCCGGTGCTCCAGTTGGCGATCAGTGAAGGGCAGGACACGGTGCACAGCTGAAAAGAGTTGATTTCCTGTCAAGAACCGTAACGAATCGCCCACGTTAATGATAGCATGGTTCTCCCTGGGGGGCACATAAAGCCATTTCTTCTCTACCGGTGAGAGAACCTGCAGCCCCCATTGCTGGCAAAGAAGGAATGTAAACGTGCCGATGTCGGTATGTTTGTTGTGTCCGATGCCTTTGGCTGCCTCTTCCTCGGTCTGACGGGGATACCGGAACATTGACATTGTGCTTGTTGTCGGCTGAGAGGGGTCATGGACTGATTCCAACGGGGCGGGGATTTGGTCACCGAGAGCGCGAGTGAGGCACTTGAGTAGAGTCATCGCCAGGTGATGAGCGCCTGCAACGAAGGTCTCGAACAATTCAATGTTCTCCTTCAAAGCCGGGGCCAGATTTTCACTTCGCGACATGCACTCCATGAATGAGATCTGCGTGATGTCAGCTTACATCTTGTATGGAGTGAATATCAAGACCTTCAAACTCTCATAATGGTCCAGGCGCTCATCAGTGGCACCAGTGGACGTACCGCACGGCTCGTAGCTGCCTACTGTCAGCAAAAATAACCCCTTTCGTCCAGTTTCTCTAATACAAACCCATGGATATCACTATGGCGCTCATCCTTCAACTTCACCTCGGTCGGTTGGTTGAAATATTGGTCCATGAACGCAAGAACATCGTTCCAGGCTTTCACCATATACGACGTTTCGTCCGTCTCTAGGTTCAATAAGAAGAACCCATGTGTCTTGCAGGCGTGAAGTAGGTTCTGGACCTCTACTTCGTCACCCTGGAGGAGCTTTCCCGCATCCAACACGGGAAGTTGGGCAATGGTGTCCGCTGGAGGAATTACGGGATCCATCATCACAAGTGATATATCAAAAGACTCGAGTATATATTTTACATTCAGCAATGTTCGAGAGGAGTGAACAGGAGTCCTAGATGCAGGATTCGGCCTAATAAGTTGCACATATCCATAGGACGATCTGCACAGATCCTGACGTGCATTCATCATGCCACGCTATTCCCTGTGACAGGATTGGCTGTTGACACTGCATTCCGACGGTCAGGAAAAGGAGAAGTGTCAGCTTGCATATTACCTTGGACTGTCCTATCAATGGTACGGCAGCCTTCATATCTCAGAGTGACTCGGGGACAAGCTTGTCAACCCTTTGCTTTACGTAAATCCCTGTTTCTGGTGTCCTCCAACTTGAATGTCCTGGTGAGTAGCGTATACAGTTCTATGTAGAGACGTCTGTGTGTTCCTTGTGATCTTTCAGCTTTCCGGTGATCCAGAATGATCCCTGTAAACAGCCCACGTTGTTAAGGTAGATGAGATAATGGGTTCTAATCAGATCGTACTGTCATCCCCTATAATCTGTTGAACTCTCCTATCAATGGACTCATTACATCAATTGTGCTGTCTATAGTGTCGGTATCATGGCCAACTATGTAACATCCGATGAAGTCTCAATGTTTCCTTTACAAAGTAGTATTACAGTGGTAAGCATCTTTGAGCTAATACGTCTTGAAGATAGCCGGGTAATGTTGCTTCTTTACAAGAGATAGCGTGCAAGTCATTGCACGAGGAGACTACATCCAGGGAATCTGTTCGCATGATTCCTTTCGAGGCAGAATACAGATCAAGAAAATTAGTGCCCTTCTCCTCAGGGATAGGCGTACCAGTTGACGAATGCTAACCTATTTCGGCCGTCGTCAGATTCTCTCTTGTTTACCCAGCGGATCAAATAAGCAGATGCTTTGTCAAGGTCTCGCAAGCTATTGGCACTTGAATGATGACCGTCAGCATGACAGGGGTTTAGTAATACGATGATAAGCACTAAGGTGAGGCCACATATGGTCAAGTGTCTTTGTCAGTGTGCTTTGTTCGAATCTGTCTCCTTATAAAACTATAGAAAGCTCACAGATTTTGCACTCAATATGCAGATCATCGGGTCTCGATCATCCAGCTCGGTTGTAATGTCAATGACATCTTGCCGACCTCACCGTGTAGGAAGGTCTATATAGGCTTTTGATCTATCACGACTACGGATCCCGTGAAATTCGATTTTGTCAGTCTTTGTGAGAAGCGCAAGATTATCAACCTCTTCTGGATCTCATATACAAAGTGTATTCTGCAGGCCGAGATGTTAGTGTGTTGCATGCAAATGAACATGGTGGGAAGTATTATACCACCCAGACTGGCTCTAAAGGTTAAGGTTCCCCGAGGCCTTTTCTTTGGCTAAACAACCCATTTTTGAAACTCTACCAGCATGGCTTTGCCTAACCGGCATAGGTTCACTTCAATTTTTAAAGAGATCAAACTTGTTTGGGCTTCAACGGTGGGAGTTCATGCACTCGATGCTGCGATACAACGCCCGATTTTCTCTGCTTAGGCTGAGTCTAGTCGTGCTATAGCGCAATTCCTGAATAAAGAGCTCAAGGTCGTCTATCTTCATCTTCACTATCTGAGTCCACAACCTTGAGTGGCTCACCTAGCCTATTTCCATAAGCCATCACCGCAGTCACTCCATCCGCGCTTTGATTCCCGTCTCCTTCGACACAAAATCGCATTTTCATCCCCTTCTTTACACCACATTTTAACACGGACTTTTTGCTCAAAATTTCCATTCTGAGAATGCTTACCATATTCTTTGCCCGGATGAAGTGTTTCAACACGCAACGGAATCCCCGGTGTCAAGTAAGCCAGAATAAGTAGAGTCTCTATATCCCAGACTTTGGTGACGACGGGGACCATGACACCAGCGCCATTCTCATGGGATGTCGGAAAGTCAAAACTGAAGATCTCTGTGTTGGGGTCTTGAATGTTTTAGTGCCGTATCCTCTTGACATCCAATTGCCAACATCACAAAACACATGATTCCAAATATAACAAAGCTGGTTGCACAATGGTGTGTGGCAAGATTTCCGTCTCCAAGGTTTGTCGAAGTATACTACTAGGTGCAAACGACTCCAAGGTTTTGCTTTGACCTAGTTTGTCGGGGAGTTCCTTCCCCCATCTTCTTGTGAACTATACCTAAACACTCTATTTTTGATATAGATCGAGATATTAAGTTCCAGGTCGCAAATTAGTAGGTGCCATAGAACCTTAGATCCATAAGACATCCGAACCACACTGGCTGATATTATTCAGTCTTATTCGCACAACCTTGCAGGTTAGACTTTCATACACTCCACTCAATAGTGACGCCTCTTCACGCCTGAATTATAAGCTTCCTTATATCTTGGCTTTGAAAATTAGATCCGGGCTTCATGACATCCCACGATCAATGGGATTTCTAGAACAGACGCATTCTCTCCAAAGTATGACATATTTCGATTCTCCGAATAACACTGTTCAAACTATATGCATATAATGGCTACACATTGGTCAAAAGGGCTTGAGAGGAAGCCGATGCTTGAGTTTTACTTCATACAATTTCTAAGGCTACTGACATTGGTTGATATTTCATCTCATTCAGGGAGCACAACATGGCCTACCGAGACAATATCGTCGTCAGAGGAACCTAACACAGTCTTCCCTGTTGACTTGCCGGTTTTTAAGCGCCTGAGATCATCACCAGCCTCCGAGGAATTCAAAGGAGTGATAGGAGAAGGTGGGGAGATAATCCCTTCCAGATAGAACTGAAGCGTGTCTGCTAACAAAGTCTGAATGGTGGGTGGTCGAAGTTTCATCATCACGACAAGGTCCCCTGCTGCGGAAGTAAAGCCGCCGGTAGATGGCTTCATGTCAAGTCGTCCATCGCCATATATATCGCGTTTTCCAAGCTCTATGAACCTCCTTAAAGGGGCAATACAGCTCCATGAGTGACGCAGGATTTTACCACCGCGGATGTTCAAAACAACGTCAACGCCTCTTTCTACATTGCCTCGCTTGATCTGCTTCGCAAAAGTCGCGTCTCTACTGCAGAGCGCACGATCTTCCGGAATAACGTAACGATCTATCACAAATTGCCTTCCAACGTTTTCTTTTTGTGAAGACCTCAGCCCCAACTGATATACAAACCGTATTGTTCATACAATAACACAAACTCTATTCTTCTGTGGATACCTACCTACCTCCCTAGGTAGGTAGGTAATGCAAACCCTATTATTTACGGAACAATACAAACCCTATTGTTCATATAACAATACCTACCTTGGTACTACCTTCCGTTAACCTTTAGGGCATAAAAAGGACTCTTATACTTCTTCCTCTTCCCTCCCCACCCTTCCAGGTTTCTTTAAGTCTTTACACTATTCATCTTCTAATCTTCACTTTAGTATACCACTTCAATTTATACCATCAGTTCACCCCGGTACATCACTTCTTCTTCACTGGTACATCACTTCTTCTTCACTGGTACATCACTTCTTCTTCACTGGTTCATCACTTCTTCTTCACTGGTTTATCACTTCACTCTTAGTCCTCATCTTCAGTCATGGGCCCCTTAGTGCCGTCTCTAGGGCCTTCAGACCTTCCTATACCCCCGCTATCTCCTCGAAAACGACGTCGCCGCCTTCGTGAGTCCGATGATGCAGAAGGCGACATGAGCCTTGAGCGGTACTTACAGCGCGTCGAAGTTTACCGATCGACCAGTATCCCCAGTCGGTTGCCTTCGCCAGTGAAACTGGAGGTTCTCCCTTCTCTTGAGAAAGTACTCAGGCCACTCTACCCTGAAGTCAGTTCGATACTGAACCAACACGATCTGCCGGGGAGGATGATGTATCGGTGTTGGAGGATGACCAAGCCGGGGTATCCCTGTGGTGACATCCCCGTCGATATTTTCAGTGTCCTCCTTGATACCTCGACTCCAAACATCTCTCCTCTTGGGCCTATCAAAGACGAGATCTTGAGCCTCTTCCGCCGACACAAGGTCAGAGTACATGTCGAAATATCGAACGACAAGCTCTGCCACCACCCAGCACTTTTCTCAATCGCCTTAAACCACCCTCTTGTCAAAGCATACGACCGAGTCATGCAGAATCTTGTCGCCATTCTAAAGCAGACACTTGGCTCTAACTTTAATATGCTATGCCCCTTCAATGTTGGTCCAAGTGAAGCCAAGGCGCAGCCGACCATTGTGGTATTTGTGGAGCCATGGACGATTACAAACTGGTTTGAGCTGCGACTTCAAATCATGTCTCGACTCTTGCCACACATACAAGCGGACAGCTTTGACATCGAATTTTTACCTGGCGCCATGTCATTGCTGAATGGAGGCGGCATTCCGTTCACACACAACGTCAAAGAGCATGAGGTTCCCCGAATGGGATCCTCGATCGGAATTGAAGGAGACAAAAACGCTGGAACGCTTGGCGGGTTCGTGACATTGACTCACGATGGTGTCGTTCGTAGAGGTTTTTTGACCAATTATAACGTGGTCAGGCCATCGCCGTCCCAATGCCCCTCTGACAGCAACGATTTTCTCCAAAGTCTCGACCGTTTCGGCTCCTCCCCTGTGCGCCCTCTGGCCACTAAAATCACGATTGAATCGCCATCTGGCCTTGATAAAGACGCCACCGCTGCCCAAATTTCTGAGCGCTTGGAGGCAATGCACGAACACGAGACTGAGCTGAATGCCAAGGTGCAAGAGCGAGAGCTACTCGGAGCTACACCAAATCCCGGAATCCTGGAGGCGCTTTCAAACACAAAAGATTCAATTCAAGAGGCTTTGCTTCTACGTTCAGTCGTCGACCGAATGCCGTTCAGCCTAGGTGATGTTCAGTTTGTGTCAGGATATGAAGTGCGCGGTGGTCACGTTATAGACTGGGCATTCGTTCAGATGTCTAAAGCCGCCGAGTCAAAGTTCTTCAGGCCAAATTTTATGCCATCGGTCCCTGATAAGTACCAGCCAGAGAAATGGAGCCCGTCTCAAAATTCTGCAATCTGGCGAGGAAAGAAACCTCTCAGTGAGTTTGGATCACTTAAAGATGGGGATTGGTGTTGCAAAAAAGGTCGCACTTCTGGCTTTACTGCAGGTGTAGTGAACGGCCCAAAAGCATACTGCAAGTGGAATGGCCCTGAAGTAAGATATACTTCGAGCGGACAAAAAGTGGAAATGCGTGCTCTTGAAACTCAAGAGTTCGTCATCGTGGGCAAAAGAGCTGGAGTAAATGAGAAATCGTTCTGCACGGACGGGGACTCTGGTTCATTCGTTCTCGGTGAGAGTGGAGAGGTCAAGGGTTTGCTTTGGGGGGTATGGAGAAAGACACATGGAATTTGGGGCTAGCATCAAGCATGCCTGATGTCATGGCTTCGATCCAGGAGAAGATGGGAGGGTCCGTTACATTGAGCCTTCCGGCTTGACTCATTGCTCTTTCAAATCCGTGGACAGTTGCTTCCAAGGTCCTGTGCTTATTGAACTTTAGTTACATTGCTTCGTTGAAACCCATTGCGTTTTTCTAGCTTCATTTGACGTCCAGTACCATGTGCCTTGACATAGGACGTATATTTATACCCGAGATTCGCACTCTTGTAGGTACCACGTACAAGCCTTCCTTGGGCCTCGGAAGATGGTGCAAAGATTCCTTTCGTTCGCCCATCGTGATTCGCTCCACTGGCGTGAATGACTGCCCGAACAGTATCTCCATCACGATCCACGTCTGAAGGACGTTTGATCACAATCAATACAACTCCTTCGCTGCGGGAATATCCATTGGATCTTGAATCAAAGCTGTAGCTCAGACCATCGGGAGAACGGGCGCCCAGTTTGGTCAAGTCTTGAACAAAGCGTGGGTCGCCTATCAGAGTAACACCTGAGACTATAGCCTAAATTATCTTAGATTTGCGAATGTAAGGCACTACCATGATGGAACAACATACTATGTCGCACGCATTCAATCGAAGGTTTTGTCATTAGAAGAGGCTATAGAGTGCAAATTACCCACAGTATACGGTATGGATTATGTCGTAGGTAGAGTGAGATTCACTGGCAAATCATGTTCCGGCACCAGCCACGCTATTTATAATTGGCCGCCTACCCCATATGAATATCCAACTTTTAGGACCTACAAAGTACCTAGCTAAATTTCAGTACATTATCCGCCTTTCATAGCGAATGCGAGAAGAAGAAAAAATAAAAACATACAACAGTGAGGATTCGCTGGTGGTCACCCACCCAACTACTAACTCACCGGCGTGTGGCTTAAGTACGGCTGAGCGGACGGGAAGCCCTGTTTTCCACACCCTGTGGTCGTATGTGGGAGTATTTCGGTTGAACTAAATTATAAAATGTCTGGTGTCTATTTCGTCTAGCCCACTTCAGCAGCCTTGCGCCGCATCTTATGCATCCTGTCTGCCTCAACCTTCTTTATCGCCTCGATAGACTTGATCGGCATTGGACTCCCATGCATTTTCCATAGTTAATAGAAATAGGCCCATTGACTCCGCTGCCGGTTCAAACAGACTACTCGCCGGGTTGCCGGTGGAAGGAGTGTGCCATATAAGCCAACAAAGAACTTATTACCCGGCGGTAACTCAAGAAGAGTACCCGGGGACTGCCAAGAGAGCCAGTCGACAAAATAGTGATACTGCATCTCGAGGTACTTAGCGATACACCTGTTGTAGCCAGCCCCTGTTCATTCGTGCTGTAGCCACCGTCGCAGCGCGGGTTTCATGCTCGCCTAACGTCCTTCTAAAGGACGGGACCCAAAAATGGCTCCTGTCACAAGGTTAGCTTAGTCAGCCTAGATAGTTTAGCACCGCCACCAAGGTGGTCACAATATCATCATCTTTCTTCCGCCCATTGAGCTTACTGCTACAGCTCCTCTATTGTTTTTTTGCATGTAGAATATTGAGAATCAGTATCCGTGGAATTGACGTCTGATGGACTTGATCATTCACATCAATGATCATATTTCTCATTTCGATGGAAAGGATTCAGAATGTGGGTAAAGCTCCAGCAACCATTGGGGGTATCAATACATAATAATTTGTGTAAACACGCAATCAAATCAAAACCTATGCCTCATTTCAAGCCAAGCCCTGACCTCGTTCCCACCCCATTAGTCTGGACGAAAGTTCCATTTCAAACCGTTCAACTGGAAACGGCCCTTCATATATCTCCTTAAGCATGTCTGAGCCAGGTGGGAAGTCATGCTCAAACGAAGGCTCTCCATCCCCCCTCATGTTTGCGAGAACGCTCTGTCGGAAATGCCAGCGAAGGAGGTTATCGGAGACGCGGTGCGGGTCGGTGGGGTTTCGACACACAAGGTCAAGGGTTCGTCCATCTACCCCATCAGCGTCGGGAATAAAGGAAGTGATCTTATAGCTGTCCTTCAGGTAAAATTAGTAAACCATCTGTTACTTCAATTTTGGGTCAAATCACTTACATCAGGATTTACCGAAATCGAGTAGTCATCAAACAACTGATGTATGCCTGCCTTGAGAAGAAACCCATTTTGAATGGAGTGAATAGGTGCTGAGTGATCTCCCGAGTCCGCATCCGTAATCCATCGACTAAAGTTATTTGCAATCCAAAAGCCTTCCTTCTCGAGAGGGAAAATATGGGCGGCCTCCCAGCTCGCCCATTTGTTTAGATGAGCGCGAGGATTGACAACCCCAGTGAAGACGCACTTTCCATCCCTGGCCCGCACTCCATTCTTAAAATCTACCTCACGACCACTGATACTGTAGGAAAGGAGTCGGCGCACGAACGGCTCATCACTGAGCTTGATAGAGTCTATCCAAGTTAGCCGGTTTTTCCCTTCTTATTACTTTGATCATTCGAAGACCTACCGCCATCGGAAACATAAATATCATAATCTCCAGGTGTCAATGGTAGACTGGTTCGTGAGATAGTTTGCCCGGATCTCGCTCTGACGGTAAATGGTCGCGGTGCAACAGGGGATTGTGATACAATCACCAAGACGATGTCGAGCATGTCGATGAAGTTTGATTCGGTAATTGAGCCATTTTGAAATACCCCACCCAGCATATCAGCCGTTGAACTGTCGAAAAAATGGACATTTCGACCATCATCCGACAGAACTGACTGACCCTCCGACATCGTGGCGGGCAATTTCAACTGCGCCGTTGTCGTCGTTATTGTCATTGCTATCTGAGTTGTCGCTCAGATGCGATATCAATCGTGGAGATATTCATGGCAAGGACAGTTCAGATGAGGGAAATAACCAGAGACAGATTCTCGGAGTGACTCTGAACGGAAAATATACTCCCGTGTGTAACCAGAACCAATTACTCTGAATGACTCAATTGGGTCACATGACCGATTCGCCGTTTAATACCAGTGATGCGGGTTTTAACATACCGTATTTGAAAATACAAAGGTATTTTTTTATTTACAGTATTTTGAAAAGCAAACGTTCTGCCCCGTGCATGTGACCAGGGATAAGGCTTTTGATTGGCTGAGATATTCACGACTACGCTCTTTAGATAACCATGTTATTGGTCAATACTAATGACTAATAATATCTGCTTAGCGATGACTAAGGCTCTTTTTGATCTTTTTGACATGTTTTTGGCAAATACGGTATTTTTGGCAAAACTTTACAAAATACGCATCCCTACACCTGGGCCTCGCGTTGGCTGTGCCTGACCCATCCGTCCAGTCTCTGTCCATCTCCTGTTGCAACGACCGCCACTCAAACGCCCCACTAAGGCAGGGGAGCCATTTTCGGCTCTTCAATTAATCATACTAGCTCCCTGAGCCCTCAATTTACACTTTACAATACCGAGTTGAAGCCACGTGATATGGCACGTGCAAGACGCTCCTGGAGGCTGGAGTGCTTTCGGGATATTCTGTTCGGAGAACATATCTTGAGTGGTAAAGAGAATCAAAGAAATCATGGCAGACTCAGAGTAAGAGAAGGACCTTTAGGGCTTGTCTTAAGTATTGTTCTTGGAGCGGGCTTCAGATTGGAGTGAATACGGCCCTATCACCCATACGGTGAGAATTGTCACCCCGTTCTCACCCTAGTCTCACAACTTCTCACCCATATCACCCGCACTCACTCTGGAGTGCCGCTTGGGTGCTAGAGGCAAAATGAGTATTGACTGTGCGGAATATGTGGCTTAAGTACGGCTGAGCGGACGGGAAGCCCTGTTTTCCACACCCTATGGTCGTATGTGCTAAAGGTCCAATGAAAGGGATACATATTATATAATTAGAGAAGTGGTTGGAACAGGGGAGCGCCGCTTTAACGACTTACAACAGTGTATTGGTGAGTAGGGTGAAAATGAGGGTCAAAATAATCCGCAAGTTTCCCCGTTACACGCACTGACCCTCGCGGCTGAGCTCTAGGACAACATTATTGGATGCCTTCTTCTGAGACTACATATGGCATCTGCACACTGCCACATGAAATGGCGCTTAAACAAAGAAAAAAATGCTATTAGAAGGAAAATGCGGAGTACTCTGTAGCTAAGCCCTATTCATTCACATCCGTCACTACCCACGTGGAGGATGTAGGCATATATATGCTAAGACGACTTTCAAGCAATACATTAGAATCAAATCTATCCTGGGTCTTGATCCGTTCTCTCAACGCCTTGTTTAGTTTAATTCCCGATTTATCCGCGGGCTTTTCCCCCTGTTTCCAGCAGCAGAGATCATCCATAGCATCTACCTTTCTGGGTCTCAGTCGCTTCACCTGAACACCCGGGTTTGGTTTAAATGGCGCTGGTCTGCATTAGCGTAAGCGATTAGCGTTGAGAACTGCCAATGAAGTTCCATAATGTCGCCAATCCCATTCTGTCAGCGCTCACTACGTGTAGCCTACGTTCTTCGCCCCCAATATTTCACTGGCAATGAGGTCATATCACATCTAGATTCCTTCAGTCATCTTAGCATATAAATCCGATCTCTTTTCAGATCATGAGTTTACCAAGGATTCCAGTGAGCACAAAATTCCAACAGCTCAACCATCCAAACCCCAGAGCAATTCTACGATGTGCAGCCCATACCCTCGATGTCCCAACGAGACCGAATATACTACAATTATACCGGCGTGGGAGTTTGAAGGCGATCCCGACATTGTCAGTTCCCTAATCACTTTGATGGAGGATTTGCCATCGCCTGCAGAATTAACCTGGGGAAGTTTTACATCTAGGCTGGCATTGGGGTATGTTTGATCCACATCCTATGTGGCTTCTCGCAAAACACTGACGCTTTGAACGCCAGGTGATTACCTCATTTTTTATCTATGCTATCTTGACCAATCTCCTAGCTTTTTATGCCTACTTTTTCGCAGATGACATTGTCCCAGACGACTATTACAACTACCTCGACTTACTTATGCGTACAAAAGCCCAAAGTCTTGTTAAATTCACTACACAGCAGTGTATCGGCCCTCTGTTTAAGACATTGTGGAGTCATCTACCCCTTTCATTCCGCCGTTTATGCGATAGAATCATGCGCAACCGAGTTTTGAGCATCCGGCCAGAGCGCCTTCAGGCAATATGCCTCCAACTTGCCGATGTACAGCTCATCACGGGCGCGTCTATTCTGATAGTATTGTATTCAACCCATTGCACTATCACCCAATATCACTTTTATATTGGGTCGCAGCTGGCTTATCTCTCATTTATCACTTTTCAGGCGATATTCATGACAATCAGGGAGCATTTGCAAGGAAGCCTCTTGAAACGACTCTGGCGCTACCTCTGGATCGTGGTACTGTTCGGAGCTATACTCCCTACAAGGATCTTGACCTGGAACAACTACTTTCTCATCGGAGACCTGTACGGCGCATCCGTGCAATGTGCCCTGGATAATATGCATGACGGCTGGGATACTCAGAGTGCGCTCTTTGTAGCACAGGAATGTTTCCTCTTATCCTGGTCTTTCTGGGCTATCACCACGTCATTATTTCCACACATGCCAGACTGGCCTATCTTTACTTACATACCAATGTTCATACACTGGATGCTCTCATGGCCGTCTCGCTATTTACTTCGAGCACAGAGCTCAGAAGGTTCTGTCCCCAAAAGGATATTTTGGACGGTCATTTTCTGCGTCCTCATTCCGTGTCGGGAGTTTGTGTCCTCCGTGGCATTTGATCTCCTGAGGATGTACGTGATGTTGATGTATGCTGGAGAGAATTTGTTTGTTGAGCGAGCAGAAGCCGCCAACCAGGGGCGTCAGGGGGATGAGAGCGGATGGGGGTTTGGTCAGATCCTGCCGGTTCTCTTATTGGCAATACCTTTTGCTCAATTTGTGGAAGAGCTTTGCCGTATGTAATGTTTTTCTTTTGGATCGATCACTACGGCACCGTTGATTAAACTGACTTTTTCCGACTGATCAGGAATCGAAGATACTTCTTCGACAGGAAGCAAACTTCACGTTGAACGGAGACCTTCGTCTAGTCCTGCTATTTCAAGTCGCAATCGCGAGTATTATGAGCTCACCCCCGGGGTGAGTCGGAGTGATCTTGCAAGATCATGGACAACACCATCGCGATTATTGCACCTCGTAAGTCCATCTTATCATCAAAACAAGATTGTTAAACATATCACCAACTCTGAGTGATAGTCTCAAAGGCGAAGGACATTGTCCTGGCTAGCACATACCGATCCCACCCATGGGATATCTGGCAGTGAAGCTCAGGCTTTGCTAGCAGAAGACGAGCTTCAAGAAAAGTTCGATCAGCTTGAAAGGAGATTTTTTACAAATGGGTTGTTTCAAGCGTGGATGATCTTTCTGTTCTTTTCTATCTATGCCGTCTCAACTTGGGCAACACTTACACTGGGCCTGCCGATATAGCAACCTGGACCATAGAGTGGGATTATTTATAGTATAAAGCCATCATTCCCAGTATTGATTGCTTGTTCGCATAACTCCACTAGGGAAGTTGGACACCGCCACCAAAAGAGCCACCCCAATTTCTTCTATATCGCGTCACTTCGCGTAGGCATGAAAGGCCAAGGCAGCATCTGCAACACGTTCTGGTAAGCGACAGTAGTTCGAATTCAGGGGGTAGGGGGAATGTCTTACATAGCCCCTAGAAAGACAGGGAAAATGATGAATCGGAAAATCGATTGCCACAGGTTAATCGCTTTGAAGGAAAGCATAAAGATGAGGAGGGCAATGGATGTGAGATCGAAGCCAGCGTTCAGCAAGGGATGAGTAATGAATTTTCTAAAAATCAGGATCAAATGGACTGATGACCAAATGAAAGGTAGCGCGCACTGGAGATCTCATGTTAAATCTCAATCGATAGATACTTTCGAAGTTGAAGAGCTTACTATAGCTCCACGGAAGTTCAGCCATCCTCCCACAAACTCCAATGCCGGCAAGCTCATGATGGTAGAGCCCACTCGCAGCCATTGGGCTTTCTTCCAGTATTCTTCTCCAAATTCAGTGGGAAAATAGAACGACATGATTGCAGTAGAGTTGGAGAAACGAAGCCCTCAATGGAAAGGACGAGGAGGAAGGGGGGAAGAGGGAAGAATTATGGCATGTTGAGCCTCACGCCAACACTGCCTCTGGCCCCCAAATCTGTCTGGCCCCCGGATGACCTGATGAAGTTAGCATATTGTCGATCAAACGCCCTATTAACAGTAAAGTATATCACAAAAACTTCGAGACGTCTTTGAACAAGCTCTGGAAAGGAGAAGTTGGGTTGATAGATCGCAATGCGACCCTTCAACTATGTTTTTGAGCCTTCTACTCCATGAAATTCGTCGGGTTATCAATCAGTATTGCTATTACAACGCCCTCGAAATTTAACTGGCATCTGCCGAACATGGCCCCACTAAGGCTGATATATACTAAGGCTGAGCGAGTTCCACAAGGACAAGGCTGTCAACCGCTTCAAATCAGGTGCTATATTGCTATCAAATAAAGGCGAGAGGACTATTCCATACCTAACGCCCCGCCTCGAAATAGAGCAACCACTGAATTCGTCATACACACATGGACAGCCTGAACAGAGCAATTGGCTGAATCGAGAGACGTATATATCGTGGTATTATGATTAATCGAGGTCGATTTGAACCTTTGAACATAGAAATGAAGGGAAGAGGAAAAGGATAGACCGGGTTTTTATCCAACACGGAAAGGACCGTAAAAATATTATCAACATAGCCGAATACAACGGACCAAACACAATATCTGCAAATACCAGTCCTTAAGCCCGAGAGGCTGCTTAGATCTGCATGGCAACGGCGAAGACAGCACCGAAGACAACAGCAACACCGGAGAGGGCGGCACGGCCAGCAGCGTTGAAGGGAATGGGGCTGGGGGTGGGCTTGCTGTCGGCACCGGTGAAAGGACCAGTGGAAGGACTGTGGGGAGTGTTGCCAGCAGGGGCGGTGTGGTGAGGAATGAGGCCAACAGAGGTAGTGCGAGTGCCGCTGTGGATGGAGTGGGGGCCAGCTCCGCTGGGGGAGGCGTGTCCGACGAGGGTGGAGGGCACACGGATGTATGTAGCTGTGGCAGAACCAGTGGCTCCAGGGTGAGTTGGGCCAACGGTGGCAGGTCCACTGGGAGTCTCAACAGCAGTCTCAACAGCAGTTCCGGTGGCAGTTCCGGTGGCAGTTGCAACGCGAGACTCAGCAGGAGTCTCAGCAGGGGTCTCAGCAGGGGTCTCAACAGCAGTTCCAGTGGCAGTTCCAGTGGCAGTTGCAACGCGAGACTCAGCAGGAGTCTCAGCAGGGGTCTCAGCAGGGGTCTCAACAGCAGTTCCAGTGGCAGTCGCAACGCGAGACTCAACAGGGGTCTCAGCAGGGGTCTCAGCAGGGGTCTTAACAGCAGTTCCAGTGACAGTCGCAACGCGGGACTCAACAGGAATCTCAGCGGGGGTCTCGATGGGAGTTTCGGCGGGAATCTCAACCGGAGGCTTGACTGTGGTCTTGATGGGAGTCTCGGCGGGAGTCTCAACCGGAGGCTTAACTGGGGTCTCGATGGTAGTCTCAATGGGGGTCTCGTATGGAGTCTCGGCCGGAGCGTCGATGGATGTGGGAGCAACAATCGCAATCTCGGTAGGGGACACCACGGCAGGAGGGGGGGTAGCACCTCCATCCACACATTCAGCCTCGCCCAAAACGGCCAGGCATAGGTTGACAGGGATGTTGATCAGACCACCATTAGTCTCGGATTTCTGTTGGCAATGAGCCGAACCAAGGACAGCCAGGCAGACGTTGATTGGCACATTGATCAAGGCACCTTCGTCCTCGACACTGGGGGCAGTGGCTTGCTCGCACTTGGCTTTTCCAAGAACGGCGATACAGCCATTGACGGGCACATTGATCAAGCCATTGGTTGAGCTTTGCTGCTTGCATTCAACCTCGCCCAGGATAGCGGTACACAGTCCGACAGGCACGCTGACCAAACCTGGAATAGCTTGGGCTCCCTACACAATGTGTTAGCTGGCGGTCTCTTTGTGGCGAGTAATCATGTATTTTTCTTACGGAGCATGAGGCGGCTAGCGCCACGAGGGAAGTAACAACCGACTGCTTCATCGTTGCGAAATGGGGGTATGTTCAGAGTGAATAAAGAATGGACGCCGAATGAGATCAGCAAAAAAAGAGTGACAGAGCGAAAAATTGACAAAGCGACGGAATGTGCAGAAGAGATGAGGAACAAAAAGTCAAGGAGAGTTAGAAGGTCTTATATGTGCTCAATATTCAGCTGGTCATGATAGCAATCTTAAAAATAGGATGACAACGTCGATCTACATCACAAAATGCCCAAAATCCTGCCCCCAGCAACATCAGGCAAGCCAAGCTCGAGAACCCAGACCAGACCATTTTTGCGCAGGTACAATACTCTGCTGATTGGTCCCCTGGATCTCCTGCAGCTGACAACTTGAGGTCGATGAACTGGATCTATCAACCCCCCCGAGGTCCACATCACAGCCGCTAACTGCAGTGGCGTCTTATTTGTTTGCTCCCGTTCATACCTGCATCAATCTAGTTGAACTAGCGCAGCCACTTCCCTGTATCTCAAGAACTCTTGCACTCGTGATATCTCGGCTCAGGGGTTTTCCCTTCAAGCAAGGCTGGATTTCAACATAGGGCTGGTGAGATTCTACCGATCGTACCTTAGACCACCAGAATACGTACTCCGTACTCCGTACGGAGTAGAATAGGCAATCATGCCCCTAGTCATTTAAGTGTGCTTTTCCAAATGACAAATACAGCATGAAAGTGCCTCCTAGGCTCCTAGCTGGTGTAGAACCCCCGGTCGCAGGCTGGACTCCGAAGTCCAAGGCGCGCTGCACTACTACATTGAAAGCGATATCCCTTGTTTCCCCCACTACTACGGAGTACTTCCATACTCCGTACAGGTATCACATCCTTGGAAGTCAAATTATTGTGGTACAAGCATTGTAATTGAGGGTCCATAATCTACACTACCCCATATGTTGCCGCCACCAAATTAATTCCAACCCTTGGGGCCCGGCTTGGCCACTGCGCTAGAGATGGACACCCCACCGCTTTTTCGATCTCGATGTGGCCCACAGCAATCTGCTGCATGTGGACAAAGATCTGTACACGGTCCCCGGTGCATGCGAACTCTGTAGTCCGCGTTGACAGCTGCATGCTATTTTTCCGTGGTGTGGCTGTCCCAGTCAATAAATCCACCTCGTATCCTTCGTACTTTGAACGGAGCATGGAACATGGAGTACCCTCAAAGGCCATCAACCGATCAGTCTATTAGCCACGATGTGCGGAGTACGAAGGATGGGGATACGGAGTACTCCGTACTCCATACTTATTCAGCGACTCATCTGGCCGGTGGATTGCCTCGCAAATTTCCGCATTGCTCCACTTTCGATCGACTGTGATGCACTTGCACGCCAGGGGCTAAAGGTTTCCGTTTATTTAGTCCCTACCTAAATTGGTTCAATGTGGAAATTAGCTTTTGACCAAGTTGCTTTGGAGAACAAAGGATCCAGAACGGGCGTTGAAAAGACGCCCCGCCATCCAGCCTCGGGGCTTAGAAAGTATTGCATATTTCATACAGCAAAGATGCCTCCAGGGTTCCACTTTACAAAGGGGTCGATCCTACGGAGTACGGAGGACTGCGTACATATAGGTGCAGAAACATATCTCGGTCTGTTTTGGGGACCGATGTTAATTCAGACTAAATTGTCTATTTAGGGGGTTCCCAGTCCAAAGGCACAAAAACACTTACAAACTCCCTTGTCGCGACAGAAAAAGCCGTTATTCTGAGATTGAACCTAAATTAGCTAATTTGTCTGCTGTTGATCACACTCCATATCACTCAATACTATGCCGGGGCTTTGATCCAAGTCAATAGCCTACTGTAATTGAAGTGCTCCAAGTTCTTGCCAGAAATGTAAAATAGCAGGGTTCTTATGTGTCCAGAGTCCAGCCACGCACCGGGGGAATCCGCCCACGCGTTGACTCCGGCAGCCCATTGCCGCCCCTCTCCTCTTTCCTCTTTTTCTCAACTTCCGACGCTGTCATTTTCAATGTATAAGGTGCGACAAAGTCTACGGAGTACCGAAGAAAGACTCATCTTGTTCGCCATGAAGCGACCTGTAAGGTCTGATGCCTCGATTTAGGGATACGAATGGACTGACCATTTCCCAGATACAAAGCAATTATCTTCGAGCTGCCCTTTGTGCAAAAAGTCCCTTCTAAAACCGTGTGTTCAAGATGCCTAGCATAAATCAGGCACATTATCTAATGGATCAATAAAAGAGAGGTCACACGAAGACATAGCAAAACTTGCACAAATAAGTACAATCAGCCTACGCCTCCTGCAGCCAAACCGGGAAGGGAAAGGCTTTCTTGTGAGCTATGCTTTTCTGCCAAGGTATCTGGCAACACAAATTCACCATGCTCTCGCTGTCGTTCCCTTGGATGAGAATTTACTTTTGCAGTTGAAGAAATTCCTACCCGGTATTCCACTTGCTCAGCGGTTGTCCCACTCAGGCCTTCTACCACTACATGTCACGCCAGCTTGAAAGAGAATGAACCATTCTCCTTTCTCCAGCATTTTGCTAATCCATCTTACCAAAAGGACAGACTGGCGATTGGGGAGACTGCAAAATGTTCTGTTCGAAGAAATCTCGTAACACTCAACTCCCGTATCGAAGATGCCCTCGTTCCCACCGACCCCATGTCGGCTTTTGGTGGTGACTTTCAGCTCATAAATTTTCCTTTTCAGACCCCATTAAATCTCCCCTCATTCACAGATGACTTACCTCCTTCAGTTCAATCCTGATACTCTCTTCCCTTCGAAGCTTTCCAGCCAATTATCCGAGAGAACGAGAGAGTTGGTCGAAACTTCAAAGTCAACGAATCTTGGAAACACAGAAGTGGTAAATTCTCCTCATTTTGTGGAGTCATCTGCTCTATTAGGGGTTTCCAATATTTCTGCTTCTATCTCGGCATTCTTCCACTCTCTTCACTGGCATTTGCCCGTCGTCCATTTCCCAGCATTCGACCCGGCTGATATCTCCAATCCGCTTTTACATCTTATCTGGTGAGTTGATCGCGTACAAACTGTGATCATGTGATACACGAGCTGAGAAAGGCGAATTATGGTCATTTCATAACCGAAACTAATTGCGTCTGTCTCATATATAGCCGGACAACCGTCGGTGGACGCAGGATGTATGCCGACTAGGGGCCGGTTAGGTACGACGGTTAGACGTATCCACATGACAGATCGGAAGGTTCCACTTAGGGCAAACTGCCATATTTGGAATACACTTCCCCTTTCCTTTCCCTGCACGCATCCCCGATTGACTGAAGTTGATGGAAACCGCTACGGAGTACTGTTATTCAGGCAGATTCATGAGTATAATCCCCGGAATATACTATATTGGTTTTTATTTTCTTGCCCGACAACCATGGTTTGCGTGATCTAACGTTTACTCCATAGCTAATGCTACGACATTCGGCGCACTATGTTCCCTTAGAGCTACGGATATAGTAGCTATACGGAATAGCCGTACGCAGAGGAAATTGGAGGAAACAAATGTATACAGATCGATAGAATTGATATGGTATGAAGGAGAGAAAAGCTATCTGAGTGAGGGAAGTGGGATAAGCCCCCAGGAGCCTAGGGTATCTTCCCCACGAACAGTATCCACATGGAGAATTTACCTACTGCAAGAGAATTACATGCGCAGAAATAGTTAGGACATGGACCAGGAATCAATATAGCCTGCTTTTCTAGATGTTTCTAGTTTCTGTGATATAATGGAACCATGTTTGTAATAGCTACTCCATACAGCTGTGGTTATTTCAAACACTTCCAATATTCACCCACCTCGGCCGTCTCGTCACTCGATCGTTTGCTTCAGCCGACCATAAGGAGATCAGCCGCCCCGTACGACAACTATAAAGCATCATCTTAGGTCCAATATACTCGAGTCGGCACAGGCAGCTGGAGCTGCAATAACAAGCCTACAAGCAGAAGAAGCATGTGGAGACTATTAACAGACTTCATAATTGTGGCTATCGGTTCGCATAGTATGTGCAAGGCTCAGTTCAATATAGTGAAAGCAGAACAAGGATGGTAGGCATGCACAGGCTTGCTTCCATGGTTAGTGGAATATCTCGGAAATTTATATTTACTAGAGATCTATGTTGGCTCCTGAGGTTGTCGGAGTCACTACCTGGGTACCGGAATACGTTATTCCCAGATGATTTGTTAGCCTATCCTGCCATGCACCTCGTCTGCGCAGGTGTATAGCGGCCAGGGGTCGGAAACTAATATTTGTGATATTGATGCCTGAATATGCCTCAAGATGCCTGAATCTTTGCCGGCAGAAAATATGAATACCTGAATTGCCATAACAGAGCCCTTGCATTCTTCAATTTTTTCCCCGTCGACACTATTGATGCCTTAGAAAATGGGCATTAAATGTGACGCTATTCGCACTCATACAAATCCTAGACCTCAACTCCCTTCTTCTGGGCGTCCACTGTGTAATCGTCACCCTCCCTTCCCCTTCACCACTCCCACATGCTTAACCGTTAGGGGGTAGCGGAATGAGTGAGATTAGGGTGATGCATGGTCGGGGGGTTTTGAAATTGTTAAGAATATGATCTAAGAGGCTTCAACGCCTAGAAGTGGGAGATTTTGGAGTTTTGTATGGTGGGAACAGCTTCAATATTGCCCGGGCTAGTGGTTCAGTACGGGAGTTCATTTACAATACACTGTATAGAGCGGTGTCAAAAGCGGTATAGAATCAGGCATCTCCAGGCATCTCCAGGCATCAAAATTTATTGTAACAAGTTTCCGACCCCTGGCCGCTATACACCTGCGCACCTCGTCCACTAAAATATCACATTGCATCGGACTTTGGGCCTGAATGACCCCTCCAGCGGGTGACATGGTTTCATAGCTAATTTTTCACTACATCAATTTTTCTCTATTCGAGTCCAACGAAAAATTCCTCCAAGTGTGTTTGTTTGGAATGAAACTGAGTTGGGCCTTTTTGTCGAACACCCCGATGGTGTAGGATATGAGTGGTAGACTCCCAGGCCGCCAATATATATCAACACTCGTAAAATCTTTTTTTCAACAAAACTTATCTTTTTCAATAAACTGGACATTCCTTTGTGATCATATATTATTTAGAAGTGAATATTGGAAACACACTATTGCGTTACCTGAACGACTCTTGGTCTTTGATCAAAATCCAGAATCTTGGGAGTATGCTTGGATGGCATTTTTCGTTTAACACTTGATTAGGTTATGTAGCCATCATCTGCTGCTACTTCCATCAACCAGCCAAGTGGCCGAGCAGTAACTCAGCCATCACATCTTCCTTGGTCTAGTGGTGATGATTTCCGCTTGTCATTAACACCGATAAGCGCGGGAGACCGGGGTTCGATTCCCCGAGGGAGAGATTTCTTTTTGCTAATTGATTTTTTTTGGGCATTCAAGTATCCGGAACGAATGAAATAAATCGGTATTGTTTTTCTTTTGCCTAGTAGCATGAAATAATAACAAATAACAATATTTGTTTCGTTGCCTTGCTATACCCATACCCGATAAACAAAACTCCCAACCTGGAACCGGAGCTCTAATATACATGCCCATGTTTTATCTGTGACAAATGAGTGAATGAATGGTCAGTAGCCCCGAAGAATAACACAGAAAAGAACAAAAAAAAGCTGAACAGTTGTCCAACACCAAAAAGAAGCAGTCAGCTCTCATGTCAAATAAAAGCCTCGGTGGGTGCACTGTTGTCGGTGGATGCTCCTCTCCGTCGTCGGCGGCTGTCCAAGAACAGATCCACCATGCGCTTGCTAGAGATGGTGGAATGGATGTCTTGAACTTGGTGATAGTTCTCCATCATGCCATTAAAATCATCTTGCTGCTTCGCGTTTTCGTTGTTCGCACAATTGTCTCGCTGGCTACGCATAGACCGGAACTGATTGGCCCTGCCATCCTGGGCGATTGGAGCACGCCGGGCTGAATAGCGCCGTTGCTGTTCTTGGGTCCATGAACTCTTTGTTCCCACTCTTTTGGGGGTGGGAGACTCTGGTGGCTGCATGTTTCCAGATCTCAGTCGAATTGGTGACAACTTTCGAGTGTGAGCAATGATAATGGACTTGGGTGAAGCGTTTTCACCGGAGTCAGTAGCGGGTTCCATAATCGATGAGTTAGAATACTTTTGTGCTGCATTCATTGGCTCAGTCCTATGTGGTCGCATAATCACCTGCATGTTGGAAGTTTGATTGAAAGGACGAGAGAAATTGTTTTGCGATGGAACCCTATTCTCCTCCGAGGCCCTGCGCTTGGTATCCTCTTCTTTCTCTGAAGCATTTAGTAGATTTGCTGTAGCTGGAGCGCACACAGTGATAGGAGCTTGTCGGGCTATATTGGTCAGGTACTCATCATCATCTTGGAATTGTGCGTCTTCTCGTATGTGTTCCCTCGTGGGACTCGCCTGCTCAATCCTTTCAATCTGTGAGCTCATCCATTCCTGCCAGTCCGCGCTGGGATTTGGACGAGCCATGGAAGATGGAACCAGAGCAGCACGTTTGGGTGAGGTATATATTCCTCGCTGTGGAGTGAAGATAATTGCAGTTCCTGGCTCATCTCGGAGGTCTATGTCGGGCTTACTAACTCTCGTGGGGCTATTGCCACTGGTGGTCCGGGAATAGATACTCGGAGAAACAACATCTCTATTGGGGTCCCGAAGATGAGCAATAACGACACTGCCGCTATCATCGTCTGAACCATCGCCCATGGCATACAGTGAGCGTGGCGACATTTTGTCCGAAATAACAGCCGGTTGCTGGTTCGCTGGTTGGGTCGGTGGACCTCGAGAAACCTGCATGGATCTGACTGAACGCGAGTGATATCTCTGTGGGCTTGACTGATCACCGCCACGCGCTGTTGTGAACGAACCGTGCGAGACTGAAGATTGCTCGCTTGGAACACGGCGAATAGTGCGTCTGCCACATTGAGAGTGAACTGAGTTCATTCGTTCTGGAATCACACGATGCTCTGGAACAGTACCGAAGACGAAATCCTCGCGGGAATCAGGCAGAGAAGTTTGGCCTATTTGCCTCATCAATGCAGTATACAAATCCTGACTATCGACAATTCCCATCCGACAAGGGCTTGGTTTCAGACTCGAAGGACCTTGAGTTTCAGTCTCACTCATCACAGGGGTTCGTGGCATATGTTGGTCTAGATCTCCATCTTCTCTGATCAAAGAAAGTGACTGACGATGTCCTAGCTTCCGGGTCGTCACTGTGTTTGCCATACTTGAATCTGCCCAACTGGTGACACGCGACTTGGACGAACAGAGACTATTACGGCTGGGAGACTCCGAAATTGCTCGGAAATAGTCGGAGGCGACGCCATCTTCAGTGGGCATATCTTCATGAGGGAGATATTCTTCCATGCTGTTCTTGTTTGGAGTTGAAATAACCTTCCGAGGAAAGTTTGAAACACTAGGCAGTGGAGGTTGTTGGACTGCAATCTTCGAGAAACCAAATACTCGCCTGAATCTGTTTTTGATGGAATTTGAAAAAGATCGAGATTTACGAGATGACCCAGGGTGATCCCCAGCAAGAAAAGAGGCATCAGCGGCACCTTCACTAGTGGCACGGAATGTCTTATGAAATGGTCTGTGATCCTTCTTGCGTCCGAGCAAGAAAGACGACCGGCGAGTTCGAATACCTGTTCCGTCAGGATCTTGAGCAAACTGGCTGCGAGCTAGCTGTATGGCTGCATCATGATTTTGAGCGTTTGGACCGGCTTGTGTTGGTTGATAGCCCCCGCGAAGAAACGACATTGACCGTCTCATAGTTCGTGGCATTTGGAATCCCGGACTGCGTTCAGGATCAAGAGGATCACCGCAAGGAAGGGTAGGAACACCATATGGGGTCTGTGCAGTTCGTTGTCTGGTAGTGAACATTGACTTGGCCTTGCGCAGTCGGCGATATGAAGAAGGCACTGAGCTGTCTCGTCCATCAAGGCCCCTGAGTTCTGTGATTGGCGGAAGCGCAGCAGGATCATTGAGGAAATGAGTTTGAGTCGATTCACTGGTTGTTTTTTTGGATTGACGAGGCATAGAAGCTTCTGAAAAGTCGCTGTGACAGACCGAGATACTGTCTCGAGTGCTTTGAAGGCTTGCTCCAGGACGTCTTCGGGGAACAGCAAAGCTTCCTGGGCCACCGAGTCGATCGTATGAGCTTCGCGACTCACGAGATGAGCTTTGAATGCAGCGCATTGCCCGAGATGCAGCGGCGGCTGCAGCGGCATGTTGCGTCGCAGCATCGGGCATCGCATTCTCTGGAGCTTGTCGCCGGGGCTTTCGTATTGAGCGAGTGGACATAGACCTTCTTAGGTTGTTTCGTGTATTGGATGCAGAGGAAAACATGTTTCAAAATCCTGCAGAGTATATTATACTTACAGCTGTATTGAAAGAAGAGGAAGATCGGAGATGCAAAGAGGGAAGATTGTGAGTTGCTGGAAGGAAGCCCCAGGAGCTCCAGGGCTACAACGGAAGGTGCCCAACAACTACATGGCCACTTCCACATCCGAGACTTAACTACAAACACCTTCATCTCGACGTCAAAGTGAGATCAATCTTGGAACATTGTTTGTCTTGACTCTGGTCAACAAAGTTAAGCCTTCGCTAAACCCCAAAGGCCCAGACCCTGACTAGCCTAAAACAGTGACTCACGCCAAGATGACACAGCCTCGATGTCTGACTCAAGACCAAGAAAAGCAAAGCGAAAGTAGAGAAAATGATTATAAGAATCCAGGTTCTCCGAAGCTGTATGATGATGGAAGCGCACAAAAGATCGAGGAAATTGACAATATCAGCGTTGAAGACAATCCGACCTGCCTGCCGGACATGGCGACCTCGCAATCTAGTCCATCAAAATCAAATCATGTTTACTTGAATGGCAGAACTCTAGAAGGAGGTGGACAGCTAGTTCGTATTGCCATCGGGCTATCTGCTCTGACTGGCCGTCCAGTTAGCATCGATCACGTTCGCGGGAACAGGCAGGGAAAGAAAGGGCTAAAGCGATCGCATACTGCGGCAGTGAAGCTACTGGCAGAGATCAGTGGCAGCAAAGTATCAGGAGTTGAGGTCGGCTCCCAGTTTCTGAACTTCTTTCCACAGTCAACAAGATCAAAGAGCGGATCGCTTCTTGACTTGTCACACGTCAACGTGAAATCCGAATACAATATCAATCTCACAACTGCTGGTTCTATCTTTCTTATTTTTCAAGCTCTCTATCCATACCTGCTTTACGTGGGATCACAGGCGGTTGGGGCTTCTGTGAAGGTGAACATCACCGGTGGGACAAACACGACTCATTCCCCATCATATGACTATGCATCGCAGGTTATGGTGCCAAACTTCGTCAAACTTGGGCTTCCTCCTTTGTCCATTATCCTTCACAAGCGAGGCTGGTCATCGGGGCCTCTTGAACTGGGGGCAGTCACCTTCTTCATCCATGCACTTGGATTCCGACAGAGCTTAGATGAAGAAATTCAAACCAAGGAACCAGCAGAGAAAGACCGGAGAGCTCGAGGCTTTTGTAGCTTTCCGCGCATTGATCTCATGAGCCACAAACGCGGGCAGATCACACATGTTGATATCACAGTGCTAGCACCCGACCAACCCACCCTCAATACTGACTCGGGCGAGGATACGGGAAGTACTGTTCGCCAATTCATCGAACACGTCACACAATGCACTCTGCGTCGTGCATTGAAAAAGCTAAATCCTTCTATCTTTGTCAAAGATCCCACTTCATCTGTACCGGAAGAGGGCCCTCTCAGTAAATCAGCAGAGGAAGATACGCCAGTTCCTATCAAAATTCACACATCCGAAGCCACACAGCATCGCTCCCATGTTTACATCCTGATTGTGGCGCATACTTCCGCGGGGTTCAGAATAGGCCACGACATGCTCGGGAGCTTGGGAGGCGATCGATCGTCCAAGCCAAAGCATAAAGGAAAGCAAAAGCAACAGCCAGCTCAGCGTGATTGTCAAAGGGATCTGATGTTCTCCCAAGCTGCAGCTCTAGTCGACCAATGTGTGGAAGGATTCATTGGGGAGATTTCAAATGATAGTCCGAATACCAATTCAGACAAATTACCTGGGGCCACGGGCAGGAGATCTTGTCTAGACGAACACATGAGGGATCAAATTGTTGTTTTTGAGGCACTTGGGAGGGTCTGTGATAGCGAAGGGCATGGCATGAAGCCAACCGAACCCGAAGCCTTGGAAGACGAACGAGATTGGACACTTCATACCAAGACCGCACAATGGGTATGCCAGCAGATGTTAGATGTATAAGCGGATGTATCTCGAGAGACCGGATGCCGAGATGAATCAACGAAATTGAAGATTTCTTTTTGCAAACCTAGGTAGGCATTGGCTTCTATTTCGAGCTCTGCATCATTCGGCATCCGCGGAACAAGCCACCCAAGAAGCTGTATAAAACATCAACCGAATCCCAACAAAAGTCCCAATATACATAACTCAAGCCTCCTAGCGGAAAAGCACTCTATCTATCGCAAAATAAACCTCCGCCAAGTGCCGGAGTCCACGTCCCAACGACTCTGCCGAGATTACAGGATCTACGCCCCAGCGCGGCTCTTCGACCCAAGACCCAACTCAGCTCAGCCCAGGGGACGTCCCAGCCGTTCCGCGCTTATCACCCGCCCCAATTCGCGCGTTCTAGACCATCGTCCATGTGACGGTGCCTTACAGCCGAGAACCGAAGGTCGATCCGATCGGGTACACAGTGCATACTACTCCACGGACACCGTGTCAGATCTATTAGGGTAGTAGAACTATAACGGCTTTCAGCTGCTTCTAGGCCAGCCCGTGTTCGGAGTATATAATTCTACAACAGAGATGTTCGAAATAGACAAGCTCAATGTGTGATTCTGCATGTGTGCCCTCCCCTTCATTCCCATTTTCTACTTTCCCAAAAGGGGGTTTCCCAAACCAATCTATTTTTTTCTTTTTTTTTTTGGATCGCGACTAGGATCGACCATCTGATTTGCTGCAGCTACTGCACAACATCTACTCGTTGCCATTGTGTCGGGATACAAGCGAGCAGTTAGTCTGACAGCGCACGGGGTTAATATAGCCAGTTAATCTCGAGTCATGTTCTGGACTTACCCCTTTCGCTCTACCCCATTAAGTCTCCGTCGGATATAGATCCCTCGTCTTCAGACCATGTACGACATACGTAGAGGGAAGCTTGAACCGTGACGAAATAACCTCTTAAAATAAGAAATGGCATTATTTACCGACTGAGCAGCCAAATGGGGGAAAACATCAAACGCCACCCGATAAAGCCGTTCCCACAGCCGATCACCGAACAGATCTCGACCAAAAGAAAACCCCCCTTTGAGAGCTCGGGTATCGTTCTCAAGAGCACATCCCGTGGAGATGGCCGTGCCGAGCGAGTTCCCCACAATTCTACGCTGAAACAGCGATCGCTACGGCTAGAGGCGAATTCCCCGAAACGGGAAAACCACAGACCCAAAAGGGAAGTCCAAAAAAAGGGGGCGAACGAAAAGAGAAAGCGCAGAGAAGGCCAGTAGAAGCGGCTAGAAGCGGATCTCAAAGCCCTTTGTTTCCACTCTTTGTTTTACATTCAGATTGCTTTAATGTCGATTCCGAGGTATCGGGGGGTTTAGCTCGTTTTCTTTTTTTTTCTGGTTTTTTTCTCCATTCCTCTTTTTGGGGGTCATTTGGCGGCCCCTGATCCCCTCTGTGGTTCTGTGGCCACCTCTGGGTTCCTTGTTGGTCTTTGCCCAGATGGTTTAGCTCACAATAATATAGACAATAGTTTCAGATGTGGACAAAACGGATCATGGGAAACTATGCGACTCTGACACAAGTGATCGACAAGGATTCGTCCTTTTGGTGGTTTTGATTTTCGATTTTTTTCCCACCTCTTCTCGATCGGGCATCTATGTACGGAGTACGGAGAACGGAGAACGGAGCACGGAGTAGTATACAACGTAGACAAACCCCCTTTTTTTCCGTCAGCACTCGGATAATACTTCGGGAGATGTGACAGTATTCAACGTTTCCACGATGTCGCGAAAACTATTGACTCCATTAATTCCCCGAAAGAAACCGGTCTTGGCCACAGTCTAGATCCCCCCTCGCACCACATGACCTTCAGAACCTGCGCCCAAAAAAAAGTCCCAAAAGGAAAACGCCGACAGTGAGTTTACCGGTTCGAATCCAATCCCGGCTCTGCAGGATATGTCCAGACAAGGGTGCCTGGACATAGCGCGAGCCACTACACCGTAGAAGGAAAGCAGAATAAGCAAAAAAACAAGATAGAAGAGAGTGATCGACGGCGCAGGTAGTACTAAGCCTGTCACAAAATGCTTTTATTGCCTAACCCGCGTGCAACAGGGCCTGGGCCTGGCCATGGTGAGCATACCACCGCGACATACGTACTTTGTAAGGCACACCGTCTGTTGAGGCTTGGGTGTGTGACCGGGGGGTATAGCTATCATGGTCGTTTGAGCCGGGTGCTGGGTGCTGGGTGCTGGGTATTGCTTGCTTGGCTAGGCACCAGGAATGTGGGCGCTATGCATGGGAATGGAGGGCCTGGTGGCTGAGAGGCTGCGCTTAGTTTCTTTTTAGGCATCGGGGTTGAGAAAGCTGGGATAGAGATAGTATCGTATCTCTAAACTTGGCCAGGGGTTCTTTCTCGTATCGTTTCCAAAGGTATTGCGGCTGGAAGGTGTCATGAAGAAGACTCAGCCGCGCCCCCGGGTGCCCCAACGGACCAGAAAGACACGGGGTTGGGGCCAAACGCTCACAGCCCTGCGGCAGTGTGGTAGTGCGGCTGAGGATTATTATGTGTCCAGAGCCCAAATGCAGTGCTGCATGAATGCAATGATCGGGTGAAGAACGGATTGGGTACTTGGCCGACAAGGCAGAAAGATTATTGGGTTCGGTTTTTAGATTGCTAATCAGAGAAAAACGGTATGGAATCAAGATCAAGGTCAAGTAATAATATCAATGCTAGCATTGTAAATAGGTATAGAGCACTAGGGATGGTCATATGATATGCGCAAAACAGACAAGGGGGGTATGGCATCACAGTTCACAAAGGATATGTCAACATCAAACAGAGAAAAACATCAAAATAGGGCATAAAATCAGAACCAAATTAATAACAATATCAAAACCAGGGCCAGAGCCAGAGCACACGTATGCGCAAGGAAAAAGAAGAGGGGGCGATCAACAATCAACCAAAGTTGAAAGAGCCCAATCCATCAGCGCCACTGCCCTCCAGTGGCAGATCCATGTTCCGTAGGTATCCATGCAAAAGCCAAAAAATGCGATCTATTCTCCATGCAAAACAGAAACCAAAAAAAGAAAAGTGATAGGGTGGTTTCTTTGTTCCAGAAACAACCCCAGAATGTGTGGATTAGGAAATGTTCGCGAAGTATCCATGCATGCCGAGTTTCGCAGTTTCCCGAAAGAAGGATCCGCGCAAAGGACTCGCACATCAGCCCGGCCAATGCGGAGAAGGTTGAACGAGATCAAAGAAATGCGGCAAATTGAGGGGGATGAACCCAACAAATCAAGGCAAGATGGCCGCCGAATATGACAAAGAAACTCCGGCGATGCATATGAGAGAGGCAAAGAAAGAACAAAGGAAGCGGCCGCAGATCATGCGAGGTGAGTCCCAGCCGGCAGGACGCAACCCAGTAAGGAAAACTGGGTTATTTTTCCGGACCGTCCGGGGAAGTATACGCTTTCAAAGGCACACACGCATTACAGCTGGGGCTCGGGTGCCTTGGATGAAGACTCGCCGAAGAGTTCTGAGGGCAGCATTCGCTTGTACTCGCGTGGTTGGGCGAACGGCGAAGCAAAAGATGGGCGACGCAAGTTCAAAGACTGCCATGGAGGTTAGTGATTTGTGATTTGTTTTTCTTCTCTCTGGATGTTGCTGTGTAGACCAGATCAAAGATATCGTAGAACCACTTACAACGCAGTCAGAGCATTTCGCTCCCTGTCTGTTGACACGGCCTCGGCATCCGCGGGGGTAATTTGCGCAAGAGTACATGTTGGTAGAGTGGTTGATGGACCAGGGGGAAGACGAATTTGGATCAAAACTTGGAATCGACAAGGGGAGCTGAGGCGTTTCTCAAAGGGTGACAGGAGAGAAGAGGAAATGCCAGACACCTTCAAGCTTAAATGTAACGGAGAATAAGGACCAAGGTCTAGAATGTGCAGTACAACACAATGACGTCGGAGGTTGAAGGTTGCGTTTTGGGGATAGAAATTCAGCCACAAAGTTGCTAGCGTTTGGAGGGAAGACCGGATTTGAAGAAAGGGAGGATCCAGGGAGAAGATGACAGGTTTATATCAGAGGCTCAAAAAGATGGCTTAGACATGTCAAACAGTCTAACAAATGCATCCAGGCAGTGAAAATAGGAGGATTAGAATTTTTAGGGTTCCATTATTATGGCCGTTTGCTGGGGTTGTTTTTTTATTATTATTATTATTATTTTCTCTTTATATTTTTATATTTTTCTGTTTTTCTGTTTTTATTTTGATTATTTGGGCTTATTATCTTTTATTATTTTCGCCCTCTTTTACGGAGTACAGTGTTTGATTATTTCCCTTTATTTTGTTTTCTTTTAATCTGTGACTTGGCCGAACCCTCCTGATTTTTCCCTGGGCGTTGCGTACCCTTGGCATTACTTTCCGGCTATCCCTTCCCCCCAAATACATATCTTCCATTTGGTACTTAGCCCTACCACAGGCCGAATGTTAGCAGCCGTATACCAATAAACACACTCTGATACATCGTACATGCTGCAGAGATCGGTCGATCTTCATCCCTTGGCCCGAAGATGCGGGTTTGTGATCGGCTCAAATGCTGGCCATCGATGCATGGGAAGGAGTGGGCCAATGAAGGCTCCGCTATAAGGTAGAAAGAAAACCTCCCGATGCATTGGATCGCGCAATGACTCGCAGTCTCAATATTGCAGGGCCAAGTGGAGCAGCTGACACGAAGGTCAGGTTTCGAAACATGGGCCTAAAGCAAACCGTTCCTCGGATTGAGTGCCAGTGTGGCCAGGCGTGCTAACCAACAAGTATACCGTATACTCCGTAGATTATGGGGCCCTATCACTTTACTTGACTTTTGGGATTTGGGATGGTTTGTTTGATTGCCTTTCACTACTGTTTCGAGTTGAGGCTCGATGTCCAGTATTCGGCTCCACCTTGGTATGTTCTGGAAAAGTCCCCACCGAACTCAGGGGATGATTTCCTCGAATTTCCGCTTCAGGCCTGTTTGCAAGTTCCTATGGAACATTCTGATCCTTCGGTGCTGTCCACTTTCTCCTGATCAGCCCTGTCAATGACACAGGTTGTTGTTTAGTGCTCTTTTTTTTCTTTCTCTTTTTCCTTGTTCGTTGTCTTTCGGGGTGGTTTTGTCGGAGTGCATTTCATACTCTATCCCCCTATTCTTCTACGGAGTACGGAGTACAACACATTCTCTCCAGATGATCCTTATCTCAGATATCCATGGATAATGGTACACACCAATGAGAGTCTACTGTTACTGTCCTTGAAACTTCACTAGAAACAATCCAATTCAATAGCCCTTGGACATAGCCCTGGATCTGTATGCCGTATGGTTTCTCCCTTTCATCCCCGGTGGAGCCGTCACTGAAATTTTCTTTTTCTTTATTCCCTCATTCTTTGTATCCCGCTTTGCGATCAAAGCAACATTCGGAGTACTCCGTGTGGCATGAAATATTATAAATCTCCCAGGGTAGCAGGCTCCGCGCTTACCGTGTCAGATCGCAGTACTCCGTACATCCCAGCAATCCGGCACTCCGGCTGTCTAGACCTCTCTATAGCCAAAGCTTGACAACATACACCGCCTCTTATGAAACCTGTTCCCCATGATCCCTTGGCCAATGGCTTCATAAGCACTGTCATACAGCGCGGTGAGAGGTAGACGTGTCCCTGGTGTGTTCGCAATTGAGAATCGTTAGAAAAAGAAATTAAGCTCTCTGCTGGTCACTTGACTGCCTCATGTGGCCTGTTCCATGCATCGCACGTTTGCTCATCGAAGAGATCTGGGATCGGTGATACAAAGTCTAGAATCTCATGCCCGGGCTCGGATCTAGCATTAGAAAAAAAAACAGAATAACAGAATAACACGCGTTTGCATTTGCTGGATGACTGCAGCCGGATGTCGCCTGTGAAAGAAGAGCCGTGGTTCAGGAACAGGACGTACAGACCGGGACCACGGAACGGACGTTCTAGAAACGATCGACCTCGGCATCTGGACCGTCGCAGCCAGAGACGGTGACACCAACTGACAGAGTGGAGAGTCCCAGTCGTGAAAAGCTTAGGACAGCAGTGACAGCAGTGACAGCAGATCAATGCAGACCTTCCCTGCAACCTACGGTCTCAGCCCAGTCATGGGAACGCAGATATGAGCGAATATCGGAGGTTCAGAAACTTGGAAAACCGGTGACCTCATACGCCTGTCCACGAGAATCAAGCCATGGCGCGTGTTTTCTTCCCCCCCGCCTCGACGCCATCTTTCTCACCTGCAGAATGTATCCCGACCGTTTCGGATCGGCCCCATTTATGTGACTTAGTCTAGGAGTAGTGCCTGGTTTAGGTTGCTGCTGAGGGTAATCGTTTACGGCCCGCATGGTCTGATATCGTAATATTGAGACTGCAGCCGGTGGTCGGGGAGTAAGACTGGGGTAATCTGATGGGGAACCATTTCCGAGGAAACGGGGATCCCGGGGAGAGCACCTCAGAACCCCCTCCCTCGGCTGTGCGTCACAGGACGAATTCGGAGGGCTGCTGACGATGGAATACGATTACTGACCTCGGAAACTCTGGGAAGGGAATCACCCGGGATGTTGGTTTCTCGTTCTCACGCAGTGCCAATTCAGGCGACTGGCAGCAATGCATCGGATTCTTCCGAAAATACCTACAAACTGGATAAAGAGAGACATAACAAGAAAGGGGGAAAAAAAGAGAGTTCTCGACAGGCGCCATTCACCACATCTGACCCTCAAACCTCTAACATAGAGCGAAGAATGAAACATGCCCCGAGGATACCCAGCAGCGAAGCCAACAGTAGCCCATTTCCTTCCCTGGTCAGCCCCAGATACGCGAGTGCACCAACCACAACCTCTTTCCGGCGCGCCATGTCTCGTTTAGATTTCCAACTCGGATCGATGGAGAACGGAGCCACCGCTCGGTGACCTGTCTCGGTGTTCGGAGATTCCGTGGGTCTCAGCGGGACGGACGCAACCAGCGCAACGGGGCGATGATCTGACTGTGCGAAAAGAGGCAGTGCGTCGTATCCAAGCGGTTTGACTTTCCCGGCTTCACCAACCCACGAGGGCGTATCAAGGTAGAGGATTCGATCGCACCAACTGGGCCAGCGGTGATTCGACCATTTCCATTCCTGGTTATCAGTGTCCAGCCCCAGGCGGACGGCTTCGCGCGCAGCATCCGAGTATTTATATGTAGGAGGGAAATTGATTGGCGCTTCGGACAGTCCGTGAAGGGTTTTGCCGTAGTTCATTTCGCGCACGAGCTGGTCGTTCTTCAGGAGGTGGGAATAATGTGATGGATCATCAAGGCCGACGTTGCGTCGAGGGAATTGTGCAATCTCCTCGGTCGTAGGTCCGATATTCGAGGTACGGTAGTTCAAATCTCCTGCGAGGAATAGGTATGCATTTGGCGCGAAGAGATCTCGCCGACTGCCTTCCGCGTGCGCCGATGCAGCATCGTCAAGAAGGCTGGCGGTTTCGTCCATGCTTGACCGCTCTGTTGGTACCGTGTCATCAGGGGTGAACACAAGGCGCTCGACAATGCTCTTCCAATCCAAGTTCCTCTGCTCATAAGAATCCTCCATAGGAGCGAGGTGGGCTGCGACGAAGGTGAGATCCACGGTTTTGGACGGGTGTCCCTCAACAACGTATCCCAGACGCGCTCCGACAGCTCCCTTGTTCCCCATTTCATGAACCCCGAAGCCGACGTGCGCTGTGTCTTTCCAGGCGATTTTGCCCAAGGTCTCGTCGCGTGCGAAGAGCATTAGGCCTGTCATGCCCGTGTTGTCGGTGAGGATGTCGACGTAGTGCTGGTCCCATCTTTGCACCGAGGCTTTCTGGACAGCACGGCGGAATGCATCGAAATATGGCAGGAGATAGGATCCTCCAAGGAAGGAGTAGGCAATCGGTGCGATTTCTTGTAGGGAGAGGAAAATCAGGTCGGGTGCGGAGCTCCCCGCACCCGACGCGGGGAGAGCGTCGAAGAAATGATCCGCGAAAGAGTCGACATCGATGAGGTTTCTTGCACAGTTGAAGGTCAGCGCATAGACACCGAGAGCGTCCATACTGGCTAATCTCTTCCAGTAGGCTAGAGGAAGAATTGAGATGGTTGGGGAAGTTGAGGACGTGACGTCACCTGTGACCGCTTGTTGTAAATCGCAAAACGTAAACACTCACCTTCATCCTTCGGCTTGTCTCTTTCCCTCCTCTGCTAAAGCAAACCACAACTCATTGCTCTGGATGGGAAAAAAAATACACCACGTTGGGGTCATTTGATCCGATCGACAAAAAGCAAAAAGAAATGTGCATCATCCGTGAATCGAACACGGGCCTCGTCGATGGCAACGACGAATTCTACCACTAGACCAATGATGCTGTGGGACCAGGCGAATCTGAATGCTGATTCGTTGGTGATATCTGGACCTCTTTATTGTGCTTTGTAAGGGGACGGGAATCTGTTCTTGTTGTGCTCACTCCTCCGCACTTGGTATGTACCTATTCACACACATTCGTCTGTCTAACCTAAAAAGACGGACCGGGAATCCTCTGGCACCTCTCTTATTTAGATCTTGCTACCTTCTTCTTGCTTAATAGAAATGAGCATGCCTCCAAGCGGTCTGATCCGATCGATGTCATATTGGAAGTCTGATCAGCCCACCCTGAGGCCTTGTCATGGCGCTCACTGCTGCCCATCTGAGCGCCCTGATTCGCTCACCAAGTCAACCAAATGATCACTCAATTCATCAACTTCAATTTGATGCCGTGAGCTCTCATACATGAGATTATGTGATCTGGAATACGATGTGTTTATTGAAGTCGCAAAGACGATAGAAAGCTTTGCTCGATTTGGCGAACGATTGAATTGATCAAGCAGTCTCGAGGTCTACTATCAGGATTAAAACCAAAAAACATTGGGGAATGCCTACTCTCGTTAGGAGTAGCGTTACCATGTGGAAAATGGAAAGGGATCTAGGTGGGTTTGCGGACAGGGAATACTAGGGCCGGGCAATTGTTTATATTAACCAGATTGCACGGGAGAGAGCCTCAATTGTGGGACGTAAGAGACCCTTTTTGGGGCTCGTTCTCTGGTGCCACATCTACGGAGTATGTGCACAGCTTGATTTCTGCCCTGGTTGATCTTTGCCGTATTCTCCCGTGGCGTCTAAGCGAGGTCCGAGATCATGTCAAATGCAGGGAAGTTGGGTGTGCCCAGCCCAAGAGCGGGAATTCTCAAACGGCCCCTGGGGCTACGTCCCAATCAGGGACCTAGATACGGAGTAGCTTCGACTCTTTCCCCACGAATATAGGAAGCACTGACATTCAGCGGGGGCTAGAGTAGCAGTTCCCGAACAAACGCAGTTATCGACGGATTGACAGCATATTTCTGCTCACACCAGATGCCTATATTTTACAGTAGTCTGCCTTTGCCAAGACTGATTTCGCGCCGATCCATGCCAAAGCCCATGCGGCCCCCAATATGGCTCCGAGCACAGATCCTGTCTCTCATCGCAAGCCTCCTGACTCTCAATAGCTTTCCCCCTTCTGTTTCTCTTGCTTCTGTTGACTTCAAAGCCCCATAGTTTTCCGAACTTGGCCACCACTCCCTCTGCACGGGGTTGTTTGTTCCTCCACTTTGGTTTATATATGTCGCATATATCGACTAGTCCTATATAAAATTTTGTTTATTCTGTTCCTTCCCCATCATGTCTAAGACTGACTATGATTCACCCTACGGATTCGCAGTCCGCAGAAATGACTCCTGCCTCCCAGACGAATGCAGCATTTCAACATGGCGCGATACTTCAACAGGGTATAAGTTCCTCCGATGCTGCCCGGGAAAGGAAGATTGTAGCACCAGTACAGGCTCGTGTTGTCCGCCTGATGGAATGGACTGTACAAACATACTCAACGAATCACCACATTGCGCCGACGAAACTTGGGGTCTTTTCGTAAACTCTGACGACGGCAACTTCTTCTGTTGCGAGGAGGGGAAAACGGGATTTCGTGGCCCTAGGGGGGTTGGCTGTGCGGGGCCAGACGATCCTCCGGTTTATGGTGGGAAGTGGATGACAAAATATTCACCCAGTAAGATTTAAATCTTTCCTGGTCTGAGCTCAGCTCTAATATAATTAGATGGGACCTCCACGTCGAGCAGCTCCGCAACATCAACCAGCTCCCTCACATCAACCAGCTCCCTCACGTCAGCCAGTTCCATCACATCAGCCAGTTCCTCGGCATCGGCCAGTTCCTCAACGTCGAGCGGCTCGTCTGGTTCAAATACTGGCGCTATTGCAGGTGGTGTAGTTGGTGGTGTTGCTGGGTTGGCAATCATCGCCGGCTTACTTTGGTATTTCATGCGTCGTCGCTCACAGAAACAACCACCTCAAGCGGAAACAAGCCTCATGAACACATCAATAACCCAACCTGGGTCTGTTCTATCATCGGGAGGACCGAGTGAGTTAGGGAGCTCGGTAGGAAAACCAAGCGAGTTGGATGGTCAAAATCATGTGTCCGAGCTACCTACAACCTACAAGCAGAATACTCCTGTTCACGAGTTACCGGAATCTTCGATCACCCGATGAGGGCCCTGATCTTAATATGTTTTGGCAGAGTGTTGGATTATGATTTGTGTAGGTGATACACTTCAGCTGACTCTGGTGGTTGGTAATGGTTGACACGAGAAGGAGTGTAATATAATTTTTGAAACAAGGAAAGAACTTTGAATCCAAATATGGCCTTGTTTGCATCTGACATACGTTGGTCCCAGTGATAATCCCCGTACATATGGGTAAGATCATAACTTGCCCCGTACTTCTACATTGCCATTGCTTGGCTCTAACTCAACTAATAGCATTCCTTCAGCAACATCCTCCTCTTCATCCTCCATCTCATAGACCCATCTGACCCTTCCACTCCGGGGGCTTCGCACTTCAAGCTCCATCTTCATTTGCTTGACAAAAGCCAGGACCTGGTTTTCAACGACATCTTCCCCATCTGACACCAGCATCTCTATCAGCTTGCCTGACAGGGGTAGAATGATATGCTGAGGATTCTTCGGATCACCTCGTCGATGTGTCGATGATACCAATGCTGACGCAGCAGTCGTTGTCGTTTCGAGTTGCATCCGGTAGGGGATCGCTGTTTGTGAGGTTGGAGTCGTGTATTCAATCTCAGCCGTGAGAGAAGTAGGGAACTCATTTCGTAACACACGGGACAAGCGCAAATGGTGTGCGACCCTATCTGATGGCGAGGTATTCTTTGAGAGAGGTTCTAGTGTGATCGACCATGCATCTCCTTTTCGGAATAAAAGGTTGGATGTGGGCAGGCCAACTTGGGAAATGGCTTGTTGTGAAGGACGGAGTGGACCCTCAAGTCCCCGAAGTCTCTTAGATATATTCTCTCCTTTCTGGAGTACTGCCTCGAGATTAAGTCCTAGCCACTGCGTATCGACTTTTCCGGCCATGAAATCAGGATGTGCCGCAATCCCGCGTAGAAGGCCGATGTTTGTCTTCACGCCGTCGATTCGAGAATCGGCTAACACCCGCTGAGCTTTCCTCACCGTTGCTTCCCAAGTGGGAGCGGTCACGATTATCTTAGCCAGCAGGTTATCAAAATTGGATCCCACAACCAGCGCGGGCCCAGAGACATTGACGTTGGTGTCTACCCGGATTCCATTACCACTAGGCAAGGAAAATCCAGTAACCTTGCCAATGCTTAGAGCAAACCCGTTGCTTGGATCCTCGGCACACAACCTAAGTTGGATTGAAAATGCATTTGGTGGAGGATGGTTTGCCTTGACCTCAGCACCGAGACCCAAATCCTGTAATGTGTGTCCCTGTGCCAGGAGAAGTTGTGTCTGCACCAGATCGATCCCACTGATGGATTCCGTAATAGTGTGCTCAACCTGAAGCCGCGGGTTGACCTCCAAGAAGTAGAATTCCCCACGCTCTTCACTGACCAAAAACTCGAACGTTCCCAGTGACCGATAGGAGATCTCACTTGCCATTCGAAGCGCAGATTCGATCACACGACCGATCAAAGTTCGATCGCGCATCAAGGCCGGGGCACATTCAACTACTTTCTGAAACCGCCGCTGAGCACTGCAATCTCTCTCCCACAGATGTCGTACTTGACCGGTCCCATCACCGATAATCTGAATCTCAACATGATGGAACCCATCCACAGCAGCCTTCTCAACAAACACAGATCGAGAAGGCGACTCGCCAATCGCTCGCTGAATACTATTCTCCAATTCATTCTCTCCGCGAACGAGCCGAATACCCCGACCACCTCCACCATCAACAGCTTTAATCATGACCGGAAACCCAAACCTTCTCGCAAATGCACATGCGACATCCACATCGCCGGTGGGCTGGTCCATGGCTTGCAAAACGGGAACACCGCATTGTTGCGCTAGTTTCTTTGCTTGTAGCTTATCACCCGTTCGGGCGAGGTTCTCCCATCCAGGCCCTATGACGATGGCGCCGGCCTCGTGCCACATGCGATGCGCGAATTCGGCGCTCTCGCTGAGGAATCCATATCCGGGATGCACAGCGTCAATGGAGTTTTTCTGCACTAAGTCTACCAGGAGAGAAATGTCAAGATATGATGATGCCGAGGGGATCTGAACTGCACGTTGTGGCCGTCCTAGATCGCAATGTGACCGGTCGTCGGATGTGTAGAGAGCGAATGTCTCGATTGCCGCGGGTAGTTCTCGTGCTGCATGGAGAATGCGAACAGCGATTTCTCCTCTATAGCATACTAGTTCAGTACGTTATTATATCAATTATTATAGAAGGCCATACCTGTTGGCGACCAACAATCGCTTGATGGGCCGTGGGTGCGGGGACGAGGACATCGAGGGGAAATCCGGGGTTATCAGAGTATGCAATTATACCTTAACAAGTCCTTGCAGGTTCGCAAAAGGAAGAGGATAATGACTTCTGCCTTTCGAATAAGAAGAGTTAGAATGAAGCACCATATTTCAATCACTATTTGACAAGATATCCTTCTACATCCCCACATGGAAGTGACCTCGGCTCTGGTACTTTTTACCTCGGAGGCCAGTCACCCCCTCAGTGGACTCCATATTAAACAATCTCCAATTCTACAATGACGCAGAGTATAGTCAACAGGAAGTAAATGTCAATTGATACAAGATGACGAAAGAAAACGATAATCCATCAATCAGAACAGGCAAAGACCAAGCCACCGACCGCCTACACCAGGTCTCCTCCCATATATCGCCACCAGATCAAACAAAAAAGCCGAAATCAAAATCAAAGTCTACAGAAAATCGCCTCCCAGCAGACCACTCCGATGTGCTAGATCAAATAGCCTCTCTCCGCACAATAGCCGCAAAGCCAGACCCAAACCACAGAGGCTACGTGCGACAAAAGCAAGCCGGCAAATTATGGGTGCGCGAGCGCATCGAACAACTCCTCGATCCCGACAGTTTCCAAGAAATCGGATCCGTTTCGGGAACGGTATCATGGAAAAAGACCGCGCCAATGCGCGAGAAACCTGTCTCCTTCGTGCCTAGCAATAACGTCCAGGGCGCGGGACTGCTTCGCGGCAGGAAAGTTCTGCTTACGGCAGATGATTTCAGTATTCGGTCTGGCCATGCTGACGGTGCGAGTGTTGGAAAGACGCTTTATGTTGAGAAGCTTGCGATTGCGCTGCGGGTGCCGGTTGTGAAGCTTGTTGATGGGAGTTCGGGGGGTGGGAGTGTCACCACGATTCGAAAAGAGGGTTGGAGCTATCTGCCTCATGTTGTATCTTTTCCGCATGTGATTAAGCAGTTGAACATGGGCATTCCGAATTTGGGAGCTGTTGTTGGGCCTGCGGTGAGTTTGTGCAAATTTTATTTTCTTACGTTATTTCTATCGCAAAGTTGCTATGATGAGATGATGTATACTGACGAATATTGCAGATTGGACTTGGTGCCGCGAGAGTGGTATCTTGCCACTTCTCCGTTATGGCAGCTGATATTGGAGCTCTGTTCAATGCAGGCCCGAAAGTTGTTGAAGGCGCAACATTTGAAGAAGGCCTTGACTTCCAGGACTTGGGTGGGCCTATGGTGCATTGCATGAATGGCACGATTGATAACCTCGCGGCCAATGAAGCGGAGTGCTACGAGCAACTGCGAACAGTTTTGAGTTATCTTCCCAACTGTGGAACTGAGGCACCGCCGACGATTCCCTGCACGGACTCAGAGGAGCGTGAGGATATTGCATTGCGGAGTATCATTCCTCGACGACAGGCTCGTATGTACAATGCCCGTACAATTATTCTCTCTGTCGTGGATCAGGACTCTTGGTTTGAGATCGGAGCGCTATGGGGCCGCACGGCGATTGGAGGACTTGCACGACTGGGAGGCCGCCCTGTAGGAATCATCTCGCTCAATTGCGAAGTAAATGGTGGTGCGTTGGACGCGGCAGGCAGTCAAAAGTTGACGCGACTGCTCAAGCTGTGTGATGTGATGAACCTGCCGATTTTGCAGTTTTTGGACGTTCGTACGTGAATATATTCCCGGAAGATCTAGAATGAGCTAACAGGTTGTTTCAAGCTGGTTATGCTATTGGCACTGTTGCTGAGCGCACAGCGACAATGCGCTGGGGTGTTGAGCTCGCCAAGGCCTACTTCAGTACCACTACTCCTGTGTTCAATGTGGTCACGCGACGTGTGTTTGGCGTGGCTGGGGGTGTTATGTTGGGTTGTCGTGATCCGGTTATGCAGGTTGCTTGGCCATCTGGACAATGGGGCTCATTGCCACTGGATGGTGGGATTGAGGTGGCGCATCGGCATGAGCTGCGTGAGGCTGAGAAGGTTGGGAAAAAGGAGGAACGATATAAAGAGCTGGAAGAAGAGTATCTACGGTTGATGAATCCGGTGCGCACGGCGAACGCGTTCGGGATTGAGGAGATTATTGATCCGAAGGATACACGGAAGGTTTGTTGCGCATGGGCATCGCATGTCTATGATGTTCTGCTTAAGGAGAGATTGGCAGAAAGAGTCTGTGGGAAGCTTCAACCTTCTTTTGCCTGATTGAAACATGCGATTGAAAGCCTGGATGACTCCGAATTATTGAAATTAAACTCACCTAATTGTAGGAATATTGAGAGATATACTCCTATGTGGGAAAGGAGAGATGCCAAATGACTGTAAAAGGGGACAAGGAATACCGTGAGACATAAGGATCCTGCAAATCAAACTTTAGGCAAAAAACGCATTATCTCATAGCTCTATATACCCTGACTTATGTGGAACTGCGTGCACGATTTGAGCATCTCAAAAATATCAATTCCCACTATCAATGTCTAGCGTTACCTTATTGAGAATTCGATGTCTATCAACAGCTTCGGGAAAGAACTAACGTTTTTTAGGAGCCATGTACTCTGATTTCTGCCATTCAATAAATCTCATAAGCTATTATCGGAACTGACAAGAGCTTACATGTGAGATTGCCTTCTAGCATTGTTTTGGATCGTAACATCTCGGTAGAGTTAGGTATAATTCTGATCTTACGTGGTTGTGGTAGCAACCGTTTACTATATCACCACTCGCCCAATTAGTTTCATCCTCCGGTTCAGAGCTCTTCTAGGACCAAAGCGCCCTCGTATCTCACATATGAGGCAAAAATTTAGGAAAAAAAAAACATACAACAGTGAGGATTCGCTGGTGGTCACCCACCCAACTACTAACTCACCGGCGTGTGGCTTGAGTACGGCTGAGCGGACGGGAAGCCCTATTTTCCACACCCTATGGTCGTATGTATTAAACGTTACATTAGCTGGGATTATATTGTAAAATTATAGAAGAGGTTATAGGTTACAAATCCCAAGGTTAGGGTGAAAATTATCCGGAAACCGTATCACAGCCCTAACCACCTACTAGGGCTACGATTGGCCACCTAATCCGGCTAAATTGACTGACTACGCCGTAGGTTTTTACACATACATACGTCCTTTCATAACATATTCGAGATGGGAAAAAAACAAAAACATACAACAGTGAGGATTCGCTGGTGGTCACCCACCCAACTACTAACTCACCGGCGTGTGGCTTAAGTACGGCTGAGCGGACGGGAAGCCCTGTTTTCCACACCCTATGGTCGTATGTGCTTGATGTTGCGCTACATAACATTAAGATCATGGGTGTGCAGCGTAGATAAAAGGATAACAAAATACGAAAAGCAAAAATGTATCACAGAAAGAAAAGCTCCAACGGTTAGGATTCACAGGTGGTCACCCATCTGATGACTCACCCGGGCGTAGAGTGCCCAGGTGGGTGTCGCCAAGATAAGCTTAGGGTTAAAGCCGCTTTAGGTAGCACGCCCTGGGGTGGAAAGGCCGAGTACGCCATATATTGGGGCTCGTCATGGGTGGTGATCGGTTCAAGACAGGGGGCAAGGATAGAGTTAGACTTCTTCCTCTGTCCATAGCTTATATTCGTTTCCTTCTCAACCTCATCAACTATCTTCATCATGCATTTCGATGTATCCTTCGGCAGGGTCTGACAGATTTACACACGAGATGCGTGACAGCCCAACATTGCAAATAATCAGAGACGTCATATTCATTGGAATAAATGTCTGGGTTCGGCCTGCTGATCTGGACCCATGGACCAACACCTGGGTAGGATACGTGTTTGTATCATTGAATATCCATTATTGTTTATGCTACTAATACGTTGCAAGAATTTCTGTCTTTGAAATTTGAATGGCTCAACTCCCAAATGAGTGTCAATTCTATCGTTCATTAACATCATAACATCATTACCCCTCCAAACAATGTCGTGTTGTCACATATAGATTATTTAAAGTGACGATTACATTTCTAGGCTTTGGCAAGTCACTCTGAGCTCAGTCCCAATCACGCTCATGGACCGGCATGAGGAGTCAGCTGAGCTCATCTCTCTTCTCTGACACATATCTCCCAGAGAGATTCGCTATTTGACGAATCTTTTCCGCCATTTCGATACCTTCAGGTATGAAAGCATGCCAATATTTTGTCTTCTCGATGTGTTTCGACTCCTTCCTGGCGGATGAGTCCATCTTGGGCTCACTAATATTCTCAGAAACCAGAGTACTTGTGTCATCAGGGGGCGACTTGGCTTCAATCATGGCCAAACGCGTAGCCTCCTCCCATTGTGTCCGATCTGGGCCTTCTCTGAGAATTGGATCAATCCATTTGAAGGCGCCAGCATAGAATGCAGTCGAGTCTTCATTTGTTGCTTCGTCGAACGAGAACGTGTCTGGGTTCAGAGCAATGATTGTATTCAAAAGAGCCCTTCGGGACCCAAATTGTGCCTGATAGCGATCCATTCGGACCCCTGCATACGCTTCCATCCAATCTTTCACGACATGTTCTGGCGAGAAAAGATATCCTTGCGAGAAAATACAGAACATGATCCACAATGTAATGAAGTATGCGTCCCAGCCCTTGATGGCCGCAGCACCAATAGCAAAACCCCACTGGCACAGAATGAGACCACGCAGAGTGGGCCGAAGTAGCCAGGGCATTGTGTTTGAATGGTTGTTCGAAGGAAGCGACCGATTCAGAACAGAGTTGACAATGCTGCTTTCTCCATAGAAGACTTGCCAATTTGTTTCGTTCATATGCAGTGCTGCGACTACCACTCTATTGTACTTGCTGCCGCGCTCGACTGGAAACTTTCGCCGTTCACCTCCATGAACAAGAGAGATCGCTACGCCACTCAGTAGCAGGGTGGCCATAAAGCCGAGCGCCATGTAGAATTTCAGCAACGCAGTCAGAGTAAACAGACATAAGAAAAAACCCCAACCAATCAGGTCGGCTGCAAGGAAACGGAGCGAGCGCCTAGACCGGGATGGTTTTTTGGCCCGAGATACGTGAATGACTTCGAGATTTTGAAATCGCTTCTCGTCTCTTTGCATATTCTCATGATCGTTCGGTATTTTGGTCACTATAAGAGTTTCCAAATACAGACGCAGAGTCTCAGGGCTTGCCATTTGATACAAATCCCCATAGCGACCGTCTAGGCAGATGGGGCTCAGACTGGCGCCAAAATGGTCGAGATAGCAGCTGTCCTCCGCCTTTCTCCTGGCGAGCAGCAGGCGGCTCGCAGAAGGTGTAATGGACCAGCACCAAAGTGGTACATTTCTGGTGAGCTGAAATGTATGGAATGTGCGCGGGACATCGAGAAAGTCGATGAGCGCAGAGAGCGGGAGAATAACCGCCAGCTCTTGTGACCACGGATGGTTGGTCAAGACGGCATCCATCGCAGCCCGAATGGTTTCAAACATTTTTCCAAAAATAGATGAGGCTGCAGATGGCAAAGAATATTCAAATATATCAATGCTGGGATTTTAAATTGTTTTAGTGGCCGTGAGGAGGACGAAAGACCGGAGAGCATATGTAAAACTGTGAATGGGTTGGCTGCTGGTACGAGCAGGGCAGACTCAGCAGGGCTTAGTTACAGGACTACGAGGCTCAGCTGTAGCGATACGAGCTAGAATTCATGGTTTGTAGTGAGAACCAAGCCACCTCATGCAGGAAATCTATGTCATGGACGATGTCGGAGGGAGGTTCTACACCCGACGCATCGAGGTGGATTCCATGTACGAAATACCTAAGCATTGATTATTGTGGGCTCGAACAACGCTTTCCAGATAATAACGGTTTGTATTTTATTACTTTCAAATAGAAAGCGCACGGTCCTTTGATCGGATTCGCAAATAATTGGTCCACGGCATCGCGCCTATACTAGTCTCCTGTCCAAAGCCACAAGGCTCGGCGTGATCCATCGGGCATCGGTAATCCTGAGATATATGGACATACGACCTGGCAACCTATAAGGCACTCGTCCAAAGTCCCCACACTGTTGTATCTTTTTATCAACTTTCTCTATCACACTTTGAACTCAATTTTCGCTTGCGTCCTAATGAGCCATGTCGTTGCCCTCAACCGATACAAGGCTCATTATGCAGGCAGTGCACACAGCCACAGAAGACTTAGGGTTTTGTCGCAATCGCGTCTGGGCAATAGCTAAGAGTCTGCCAGGGGGTGTTGGACAATTCCCCAAATTACTCCCTCCGCGGGAGACTCTATCCTTCAAAGTGAAAAGGGAAGACCATGAGCTCTGTACATTTGACTTCTGCGAGCAATCTCGAGTGAACTTTACTCTGGTGAAGCAGCGTCATGAACCGTTTTGTGATGAGACCCGCTGTCCTGCCACAGAGTTCCCTTTAGGGCATGTGGAAGACGCTATTCGCAAAGGACAACCCACAGTGTGGGATCTCAAAGGAACGAAAACTCTTAAAGAAAACGAGCGCTACATGGCAATCTCTCATGTTTGGTCGGACGGTACCGGCGTCGGGAACCAAGCCCCCGGCTATGTGAACAGCTGCTTGCTGAAGTTCTTTCGAGGCTTCGCCCAGAATTCCGAGTGCAAGGGTCTATGGTGGGATACAATCTGTATTCCAACAAAAAAAGAGCTTCGGGAAAAAGCCCTAAAGTATATGCACCAAACTTACACCGCTGCGGCAGTCACACTAGTACATGATTGCTTTCTTCGAGCATGCGAATGGCGCGATGCATACTCGGCATGCTTCTACATCGTCATGTCTCCATGGTTCAGCCGAGGCTGGACGGCATTAGAGTTAAAAATGTCCCAAAAAGTGCAAATAATTTTCAATAGCCCTAGTGGTCCTATCACAAAGGATCTAGACAAAGATATATTGCAAGCAAATAGCAACCATCCCATTCCCTTCGAGCACGAAGTCGCGAAAGGAATCCTCAACAGACTCCGAGGGAACGAAGTTGGTCAGTTGAATGACCTTGTGGCCATTCTTGGTTCACGCCACACATCATGGCCAAGGGACATGGCGATCATTTCAGGACTCATGATTGGAATCGAACTGCCTGAAGATTACGCCCACCAGAAGATTTACCAGGAGATTCTACAGACAATTGGCAAAGTATCGCATGCGCATCTGTTTCACAATTCAGCAACCATGACTAACGGTTATAACTGGTGTCCTACAAACCTCTATGATCTTCCAGTAACACTTTCAACCCACACACTTCAGGTGGAAGAGAATGGGAATCTATTTGGCGAGTGGAATGTCGTATCTCTCGATCTCATCAATGACGAAAGGTTCATTATAGATCGTGCCCATCCGTTAATAGAGGCAAAGGTTCTGCTTGCTCGACAGAAGAAAGATCAACATTTCTTACTCGTTGAGCCTGACCTCACTTCTGAAGAGTCTAAGATAGGAAGAGCTCTTCTGGTCCAGCCTTCAGTTAGACGTGATGGGAACTTCCTCAATTGCTATTGCGATTATATTGGTCCAGTTTATTTCCATCCCCCATTGATGAGATCAGAGATCGAAAAGGTCGATGAGACTTTGTTATTCAATATTCACGTTGGATACGATGAGAAAATTCACAACGGCAGCGGTCAAAGCACAGAAACTGAAACGAATATCCAGATCATGATCCAGGACATGAAGAGCGGTTCACCGAATATGCAATACAAGACACGAAAACGTGGGTTGGAAACATTTGACCGTATTGCATGGGATCGATCCAAATTATGGGAAGAATTCAAGAAGGCTGCCATTGGTGGCGATCACGAGAATGTCGAACATCTCCTCCTGAATAAGGCACTCAATCTGAACCAAACAGATCAATCTGGATGGTCCGTATTACATCATGCCGTGTGGAATGGTCAAACAATAGTAGCCAAGCTACTTGTCAAAAAATTGAACCTTCGACAAAGGAGTGCTCGGGGCGAGGAGGCACTTCACCTCGCAGCAGATCGTGGCAATGAGGAACTGATGACCATGCTTTTAAAAGGTTCTACTCCCAATCTAAAGCGCAAAGATGGATTGAATGCCCTGCACCTAGCGGCAATGAGGGGCTTCACCAGGGGCGTGGAGAAGTTGCTACAAGACAAGTGGAATATCAATACAACCGATCTTAAAAAGCAGACTGCACTACATATGGCATCTTCTCGGGGTCATGAAGGTGTTGTGCATGCTCTCACGAAGCAATACGCCGATCACACCCTCAAAGACCGTGAAAACCATACCGCTTTATCCTTAGCGGTTTATAATGGCCACGAACAAACTGCGAAGATACTCCAAAAAGCAGGGGCGAATGTTGATATCCGGAAGAACGATGACGGGACTATGCTTCATCAAGCAGTGTTATTCAATCGAGACAGAACCATTGAGATCCTCGGCAACATCAAAGTGGACCTAGAAGCCCGAGATAAATATAGACAGACCGCTCTTCATCTGGCGGCGGAAAGAGGTCAGATTACCGCTATCAAGATACTCACGAACCTCAAAGCGGACATTGAGGCTAAAGATGAAGATGATAAGACTCCACTTCATCTAGCAGCGCAGAACAGTCATATCAGCGCTATCAAGATCTTAGCCAACCTCGAAGCAGATCTCGAAGCCCGAGATAAGTTTGACCGGACTCCGCTTCATATAGGAGCGGAAAGAGGTCAGATCCCTGCTATTAAGACACTCATGAAGCTGAAGGTGGACATCGAAGCCAAAGACGAAGATGGCAAGACTCCACTTCATCTAGCAGCGAAAAATGGACAAGTTTCCGCTATCAAGACGCTCGCCAAGTTTCAAGCTGATCTCGAAGCACGAGATAAATATGGCGAGACCCCACTTCATACAGCGGCGGAAAATGGCCATGTTACCGCTATCAAGGCATTTGCGAACCTTAAAGTAGATCTTGAGGCACAAGATAGATTTGACATGACTCCACTTCACCTAGCGGCGGAGAGCGGCCACGTTGCTGCTATCAAGACACTCGCAGACTTTAACTTAGATCTTGAAGCTAAGAATGAAATCAGCAAGACTCCACTTCATATAGCAGCGAGAAAAGGCCAGGTTCGTGCTATTGAGGCACTCGCCAACCTTGAAGCGAATCTCGAAGCCCGAGATAAATACGGCCAAACTCCGCTTCATCTAGCAGCGGAACACGGGCACGTTGCCGCTATCGAGGCACTTGCACGGCTTAACGTGGATATCGAAGCTAAAGATGAAGACGATAAGACTCCGCTTCATATAGCGGCGGAAAACGGGGAGGTCACCGCTATTAAAGTTCTTGTGGACCTCCAAGCGGATCTCACAGCTGAAGATGAAGATGGCCAGACTCCGCTTGATTTGGCGATAGAAAAAAGTCGGGCTGCCGCTATCAAGCTACTCACTAGCCTTGGACAAAAAATTGAAACCCGACAAGAAATATAGCCAGACTTTGCTCCGTGTAGCAAAAACTGGCCGTCGTGACAGAGCTGTTTAGATCTTCATATAGCGCTCAGAGGCCTGTTGAAAAGATCTTAAGCCACCCATGGGGTGCATTGGTAGCCAGGCTCCCCCTCCCTTCTAGTAGCTATTTCAGATAGTCGGGAATATCAACTATCCTGACCCCCCTCATCAAAAAAAAAAAAAAAAAAAGAAAAAAAGAAAAAAGGTCCAATTTACGACGTAGATATGCGTGAGTTTTAACGACCAGAACAATTAGAAAACTTGACATACTATGATAGAGGCGTCAATAGCTAGACCAGAAAATGCTAAAGCAAAATACATACAACAGCATGTCTCAAGGGGCGGTCACCCAGCATCCACAGCTCGGGCATGGGCGGCTCGCCACTCTATTCAGGACACCCAGGGCAGATATTCACCTATAGTTTTCGACGTCATTTATTATTGTTGAGGCTATCGAGAAAAGAAGATCCAGAAGGGAAGAAAGAAGAAGAAGAAGAAGAAGAAAGGAAAAAAAGCTATGATTCTCAGAGTTAAGCAAAAACTGGGACTTTATGGTCCTCACCGACTAAAACTAGCAAACGAAAGAGTCCGTCTGTCACAAAAGCCTCTGCCAGAAAGATCAGGCACCAGGGAGTATCTCAATATCTCAACCCATTCAAATTGCCGCTGATCTTGGTGCAGCTCTTCTGCTTGCCCTGGCCCCAAATCACGCCCGCAATACCAGCCGTGATCGTGTTCACAAAACTTCCCACCATAGCACATTGGGCTAGTTTGAAAAGACCAGACTCGCACACCTTGATTAGCTCACACACAGTCAGCTTGGCTGTGGTGTTCGCATCAGCGCTTGCTTCCAGGGCCGCGAAGCTAGATTCGCTGCCGTCGAGATGCACGGCATGCCATCCATCAGGCATTGGCTGGCCTTCAATGAGCTGGCCATCGGTAGACAAAGGCGGGGTAGATGGCTGAGCTGGCGTGAGCCCACAGAATAAGTTTAACGTCAGGATCGGCGCCTTGAGAAATCGCATAGAGCCAGCAGATGGAGGAGAACAAAATTCCGATAATAGCAAGGCGAGGAACGAGTGCACTAGTATCCATTGTTTGGGAGGATGTTGTGATAATGTGAATGAGAAGGAACTGATGGCAAGTCACAGAGTGAAATAAAGATCTTTATAGGTCTTTCTTATAAAAGCTTCGTACTTCTTCAGTGTTGGTGACTAGAAGCTCGCTTGGACCAAGTAAAGAATGGTTTGTAGGATACTTGCAGTTAAATAGATTAAACAAGTCTCACTACTCCGTACAATCATCTAGCTCTTATTAGTCCCATCCAAGTCCTGTGTTACAACCTAACATACGGAGTATGAATATGGTGCGCATATCTTGTAGCACATATCGGGTATTTAGGTTGGTAACCTGACATGACGACCAGTTGGTCGTCATAGTGGCTCTTTTGGTAAACGCTCTACCTTACCATTACTTCCTACGTTTTGCATAGTGGTGTCAGGCCCACTTGCCTTAACATCCTGGCGATCTGCCCCGCCTACTCCGTACGGAGTACATACAGTGAACCCGTACTGGGAAAGTTTGGAAGGGGAATTCATTATATAGATCGGGCTTAGCCTAATCGTAATGCGCATACAAGACCTCTTTATTTCAGGGAAATGACCTGACTTGCCCCGCATGAAGCTCAATCCCTTCGCTGTACAGGCTAGTAATGGTACAGAATGCCCTTTAATTTATAATCCTGTGGCCCATGCACGCTAATATGCGGGTTTTTGCCCGAAGCTTGCGCCGGAGGCACTTCTACTGCGGAGTTCTGGGCAGTTCATTAGCCCCCAAACATTGGGAACTTTCGGGGACCGAAGTCGGGTTTTTGTACGGACGATTGGCAGCTATCTAGAGTGCCCTTTCAAACAAGAAATTTAACGTAAAATACACAAACATTCGGATGCATCCACTCACGGGTAAAAGTTGCCTACAATGTCAAATCCACGACCAAGCCCGAATCTCGAGGGTTACACCTTATAAGCTTTACCAAGAAGTCCCCACGGAGCTGATAAGCACAAAGACCTTCCGAAGAATCAGGCTGCTCTATTGGTAGAAATTGATCATTAGCATTTGCTTGACCATAGCCACTCTCGGCTCTTTTACCTAACCTGGACCCTCTCGCCCGGTTCGGTGAATCACAAGTCCTGAACTGCGGATATATGCCCGAACTGGTACTCCGTATGTTGTCCACTGACCGTTCGCAAATAAATTCTCAAGATCCAGGTCTATTCATAAATCTCTATCCGCTTACACCCGGCGGGCCGATCCTTGCCCTTGTGACCATCTAACAGGCGCCTAATCAACCTATACATTCTTTTTCACCAAAATTACGGATCCTCGCTCACGAGGGTCCTCCACCCATTTGTCAAAAATCCCCTGTTTGTCAAAAACTACATACTGCGCACCATCTTTTAAGATTTATATGTTTCTTGCAATACATTATGGGTATATATGGTTTCTATATATCAAATAAAAGCAACAGGTACTAAGGTTTAGAATTTGGATGTTTTTTTGATGCTCACTCCAGGGACCAGCTAGTTTAAGAGGTTGTCAACTAACGTGGTATTCAGTACAATAGGGGTCCAATCAAGGATGTTGAAATCTCTGTATTTCTGTATCCACTATTCTAGCAGGAAATATGACTTTCTGACTAATATCAAAAATACTGCATAGACAGGATAAACTAAACTTCCGGTATGCCGATCTCTTGCTCCGACATCTCAACATCATCCACTAGATGAAGGTAAGCTGCAGTTGAATATTCTTGGCAACCTCTTCTCCTCCTTTATTCCACATAGCAAGTGTCAACTTGTCACCAACAACCTTTCCCTTGTACCTAGAACACTTCGTTAACAAACCTATAATCAAAGAAGGAATCATTAGGGATTACCAATAATAGGTAGTGTCCTTCTGATCGAAGAATAGCTCAATCTCTTTCTCTCCAGACCCATTGATAGACACCTTGTTGACAGTACCATGGGCAGTAGAGTTCACTTTCGTTTTTCCGCTCGCGTCTTTGGTCCATTGCAGAATGACAGAGACCCTGTCTCCAATTTGGAGATTGTCTCGGAAGACAACGGTGAACAGCTCATCGCTGGCGTATGGGGAGTAGTTGAGTTTGCCGACGTAAATAAGCATTTTGACTATGGGTTTTGGATGTTCAACTTTTTTCTGGGCTTATCTTATGTTTTTTTTGTTCCAAAACGTGGAAACAAAACAGCTTTTTATACCAAGTCTCGTCTATATTCGGACCGAATATGTAGTTTGCTAGAAAAAGCTACACAAAATCTTTGGCCAATAAGGCGACTCTTTATTTCGGGCAGCCAATATTGTTTGCTCGACATCAACATCCGAGTCCTCCGTGGTGTGACAGTAGTGCCCAAGGGCTCAGCTACGTGATGGTCACACACATATATAGTCAACTTATAGTTCGAGAGAATACAGCAGAGAACTACTTAAGGCTTGGCCCGAAGATCTACCTAAGTGTCAGATCATACATACTGTGTAGTTTCTTCTCTCTCTTCAATCAATTGGTTTCAGTATATATTCCCTCCTCTAGGCCTTCTTGTGATTTTTTTGAGCCCTCAACAATCTACCTAGGTCTCATAATATATTGGCATAAAATTGACAAAGAGTAAATACGTAGAGTAGAAGCGTGCGTCAACATATTTAAAATAGCGGCATAGCCGCAGCGACTAGTATATCCGGGGTTCCGGGGTTCCGGGGTCTAGTGAAACGCCACACATTTACCTAGACCATTGAGAATGGTGGGATTCATTCGGGACCACACTAATGATGGAAGGCAGTGGAATCCCTGTTACAAATCGTTAGCTTCAAAAGCAAAGATTGGTTATAGTTTCACCAGAAGGCGCAGATGACCGAGGATATACCTTGACATGTCTTGCAAAAGACCGCTAAGATCCATGAACATAGGGGCCCTTCCGAGGGGCATGACGCCCAACTACGCAATGATTAAAGTTATTGATAATGAGGAGTAGAATCATATATACCGCCTCGAAACCATAGAAAAGTAAGCGATAGGAAACCTACAATCCCTCAAGACGGCGAGCCAACTGGAAAGCGCCGTTGGTCTTAACAAAAGTATTTCATTGCGATAAACCAGTGTCTGAGTTTGTTTTATCCCTGACAAGACTATTCATGAGACCAGCAATGATGAGAGAAAGCAATAATTGATGATCGATTGCAACTATCAGAAAGGACGGAGGAGAGAAGAAGGAAGGAAAGGGAAGAACCAGCTAATGGCTTTGAATTCATAGGCCTAGGGCCATCCAACTGATTATGTCGTTTGAGTATGGTCATTGATGTAATCAAATGTCTGCACTGAGACTTACACCTTCCACCCAGAAGCCTGTATGACCCTTCGATCAATCGTGCATGAAGCGATACTCGTCCCATTTGAAAGGCCTTGGCTCGCAGAGCTTGACTCCACCATGCCAGTAGGTGACCAAGTCTTCATACCATTCCATTTTACCCGACCGATATTCTGCAATAATAGCCCGAGCCGTATCAAACATATCGCGTCCGATTTCCTCTTTCTCAAGCGCCTTTAAAGTAAGATTGAGATCTTCGAGACGTTGTACCACGGGCCAACTCAATCCGGGTTCTGCGGCCATCTTTTCGCTGGAAGAAGGTAAGGGTACACGAATCAGCCTTAGCTCGGAAATGTTAGGGCGGTCCTGGAACTCACTCGCGCTCTTTCTTCTCTTTTAGAAAGTCATTCAGGTTGGATTTGTAGATATGAGGCATGATGTTATCTTTGATTCGCTCTTGGCATCTCTTGATCTGAGCATCCAAGTCACTACACAGAATAGGTCAGTCATCAACTGTCAGATTATGCAAGGGCGCTGGTTAGAAATGAATAGAACTGGCAGAACTTTCTCGGGCATCAGATCAGGCTCTTCTGGGTTCCAGCCTCTCGGCGCCTTCTCCCGATCTGCGATAGGAGCCGACACTTTTCCCCATATTTGCTTTTCAGGCATTTTTGCTGCTTTCGTTTTGGATTTTGTTTTGGAGTAGTCAATCTTGATGTCGGCCAAAAGAGCTTCCTCGTCCAAAGGGTTGGGTTCGGAATCATCAGTATTTTGCTTCTTGCTTGAGGGACCTGCCTCTGTCTCCTCGGTGTCTGAAGCTCGCCTTTTGCCTATGCCTTCTCGTCCTATAGGCACTGCCACTTGAACTTCACTTGTCGACATTGGTGCTTCATCGCCCACTTGATCATCTTCGCCGAAGGTCCCCGCTGCCTTTTCGGCCTGACGAGGAGAACGCCGAGGGGAAGTCATTTTGCGACAGACAATCAGCCACAAGAGAAGTTATGCAGTTGAAATACAATGAGCTAGTCGATAAATGGGGATAAACCCATAATCAAGATAGATGAAGGAGTCCTGATGGTATTTGTATCCCAGTACCCACATTCACAGCGCTGAAGCGAAGGCTGAACTTTGCAAAGTCAAGGAAATTCCGGGGTTGTGGGCACAATATAACAAACAACACACCGGGCATGGTATGGGATGAAGTTTGCTTACTTTGATTATGACATTCATTCAGCATGTCTTTTGAAACAGCCTTTTCAGCGCGCGGCCCCGGTGTTCTTGGCGTCTGCTTGGTCAATCTGAATCGACAATTTCTTCAGCAAATCTTCCGGGATTCCTTTGATTTGACATTTGAGAGGACTCATGCTTTGTGGTTGGTCTCTGTCTGTGCGATTATTCTGTGGCATAGCGTTTACTGCAACTGGTTCTTTCGGGGTAGGGAAATCTCCAAAACAAAGATTGCGGGTTCAATCTCGAACTGACACAACTCTCACTCAGTATGCTAAGACATTTTCGATATCAGTGGCTCAATTCCGTTGACTTCAGATTTCTGAAGTAGCTCAAGGTTGAGCCAAAAATAGACTCTAGCGCGATAGACGCCTATGGACGCCAAAAGAGTAGGCGTATCGCAATCATCGAGCAAAATGGATATTTCAAATATTTTTATGAGTTATTGAATTCAGGGGAAAGGTCCATATAGAGAATCTCGCGACATGTTTATGGAAGTGACCTGCTATGCGGACCGAAGAGAGCAACAATTAAGGATAAACTTGTACATAGACACGCGAAATGGGCAAAGAACGCAGCCATCGAAGCAGGAATAAATCGCGAGGGTCACCAGCAAGATACATTATACAATCTGGAGAGAGAAAGACAGCGTACTGAACCATCGTGATCAATAAGCCACTCATTTGGGCAAATCAGCCTGTGGGTATGTCACAATACCACATCATACACAATTGTGTATACAGAATCGACCCACGTATCCATCTCCGAAACCGGGACCGAGAACGATCTGATTCTCCCATAAATCCATGGAAATCCACTTTCGTTCATTTGCATCGCCTGTTAGACCTGTGGTTCCACTAGACCTACTTTGCTGTTGGAACATCAATATGGGTGAAGCTACCATAATAGGGGATCAGCCGACCGCAGTCCCGCTCCCCAATTCCGAGCAATTCTACTTGGACAGCGAGCAGGGTGAAACATATCTGATCCAGGTCTCATGGCCTTTGCATTGGCAAGGTGACAATACCCCCGATCAAGGCTCTTTCCCTATCATGTAAGTGCTCGTGAACGATTTGCAGGGGGAAAAGAAAACACTCACTGATCAGCTAAGGTTAGATACCTCCTTGATGGCAATTCTCTGTTCTTGACGGCGACTGAGAATGCCTGGCGTCGCGCAGCTGCGTCGCACTTTGCTGGCGGAGGTATCATCGTCGCCATTGGATACCCCTTGAATGCAAAACTGTATGACATGCGACGACGAACCCTTGATTTTTCTCCGCCAACAGAACCTGAAGTTCCCGGCCATGGAGGTGCGGACTTGTTCCTTGATTTCATTCAAAATCTTGTGCGACCTGCCGTCAAGGCTCGATTTCCGTGGCTCTCGGCCTCCCGAGAAGCACTCTACGGTCACTCTTATGGAGGGCTGCTGGCACTACATGCACTATTTACACGCCCCACATTATTTGATTGCTACATGGCCAGTAGCCCATCTATTTGGTGGAATGATCGGTTCATTTTGAAAGAGGCGAATGCCTTTTTGGAGAAGAAGACAGCTTCAGGCGAGAAGTTACCTTCGCTGATGGTATTCTGGGGCTCAATTGAGCAATACCCTCGCCAGTGGAACAATGAATCAGAAGAGAAGTATGAAAAAAGAAGGCGGATTGCTGCAGATTTCAGAATGAATGATAATGCTTTCGATCTCTGCGAGATGCTACGAGGGTGCAAACAGCTGCACACCGTCTTGGCGACAGAATTCGATGGAGAGGAACATACGAGTATGATGCCATGCTCCACGAATCGGAGCGTGACAATGTTCTTTGAGGATTGGCCTCTGCATCAGCTATAGAAGAAATTTATAATTTTATAACTGCATTCCCTTGCCTCCAGATATCCATGGAACCTTATCATCCCAGCGCCTAGAAATCTAACAAAAGTAGTCCGTATTGCGAGCAGAATTAGACAAGAACCCTTTCCCACCCGAATATACATTGTCCCCACACATTTTCCTGTTTATAGGAATTTTGGCTCAAGGAACAGAGACTTCATTATTAAACCTGAAATAGGTAGAAGCGAGAACAACAAAACTAAAACTAGGCGTATGGATGGATAGTTTTTGAATTATTCCTGTCCACTCATTTAGATAGAGTTCAGGGAAAATTCTTTCCCCTTGGCATTTGGGGGCCATTTTTGATCGTTGGGTCCATTCACCAGGACACGGGAGGGTTCGGGCTGGGCTCGCGCCTGGATCCTCTCACCCGGTGACCATGGAGGCCTGAAAGCTGTTGCTTTTTTTTTTTCCTTTTATTTTCGATACTCTATTCCCTCAAGATTTGCTTGATGTAAGACAAAATTTTGAGGCAGTTGTTTGGGCCGGCCTCTGGTTTGTATTCTGATCTTTTTCGAATGTTTAGCGGTGTTGTAAGACTGAGAAACATTGGGGAAGGCTGCCCCAAGCAAGATACCGAAAGAGGTTAGCTTCGGAGATTACCATTCACCACCAACTTAAATTGATCTAATCAGATCGCTGTACGGAGTACTAATACGGTGTGATGCTCGGTCGCATGACTCAGTTTTCAAGAAAGGAGACTTAGGAACCTACTCCGTAATCTTAGAGGAGATACGGAGTACATACTACTTCTTTGAAGTAAAACCCTAAAACCCACACACTCCGATGACTTGTGATCAAAGTTCCGTACTCAACTTCAAAGCAGGATCCGGCTCGATCATAATTTGTAGCTAGAAAAGCTCAATTGTACTATAGAATAAAGCCTTCAACCTAGCAATCCCTAGCCGCATTCGGGATTCTCTACGAGCTCTCATATCGGATGTTTCGAGTTCTCAGAATGCCAATTCTTCAAGCCACGATACCACGCCACTTGAGAAAATGAGGCTGTTTGCTTGGCTATACGATACATTGAGAGCAAATGGTAGAAAGCTAGCTGCAAGCGAAGGTATTTCTGGATTTCGCTTTCTGTATTGCTGCCTGCACGCGGCACCGGCTATCTCTTTATCAGATGCCCAGCTTCGAGAATTTGGCAGTCGGTCTTGGGGCCAAGATAAAATTTGCCGTTTTTTAATGAAGTTTCTTGGCAAACAAAGTGTTAATCTTCCAGGCGCTATTCGAGAAGTGACAGAAAGTAAAGTCCGGAGCAGTCAATAGTTGCTGCAAATAAGCTCTAAATTACCATAGATCCACGTTTATACTGCCTGCATTGGTCGTATGTAGTAGATATTATACTCGGATGGAATTGATATTGCAAACTTTATTCACATGTGGCTTGGTGGATGGTCTCCTAATGTCTATAATTTGTCTTGGTCTCCAGAATTAGGCGAGATCATGGCGTTTCGCGTTCAGGCCTCATATGGGTATTCCGGCATCGGCATTTGATGGTTTGACTTTTGCTCTCGTTTCTCGTTCTAATTTAAAGATACTAACGTAAAAGCGTTAGAGCTCATACTCCCCCATGTTGAGTATTTCATGTCAGAGCCCCCTCCCTGTCTTCAGTCTCTTGTCCGCATCTCCCTTCTGATTTCAATATCCAAGGAGCAAAAATGGCGATCATGAACCCTTTCCAACGAGTGGTCGGTAATAAGACTGCCGACACCCCACCAGCCACCGTTGATGATCCAGATGTTATTCAGGCGAGAGCCGACGACAAAGAAGCTGGACACACCCCCGCCGTTGAACTGACGGACAAGGGCGAAAAGCCAGCGGAGGATGCCCAGGCTGGTGTTCAGAAAATTGAGGCCGTGACTATAGCCTGGAACAAGAAGTCGGTGTACATGGTCTTGATATTGTAAGTTTCCCTCTCCTCGCTTCGTGAGTTAGACCGCAGCAAATCAGCTAGCTAACCTCGTCTTTGCTCAACAGTATCTGGCTTCTCACATTGGTCAATAACCTCAAGTCTTCTGTTGTCTACAGTCTGAGCGCCTATGCTACAAGCTCTTTCGCAGGTCACTCGCTTTTGACCGTCGTCAGTATTGTGTCGTCCGCGATGACAGGCGCGGTATATATCCCTATGGCTAAGGCGCTAGACCTTTGGGGTCGTGCAGAAAGTCTCCTTCTGATGGTGGTGTTCTGTATTCTGGGCATCGTTCTTTTGGCCTCATCTCAAAATCTCCCTACCTACTGTGCTGGAGAGGTAAGTTAAGACCAACGATTCCAATCTTATTCCTGCAAGTATCTGACAATGCCATCGTTCATAGGTGTTCTATTCAGTCGGTTTCGGTGGTCTCTCTTACAGTTGGAACGTGCTGGCAGCCGACGTGTCAAACTTGAGGAATCGAGGACTCGCATTCGCTTTCACGTCGTCCCCCGCTATTATATCCGCTTTCGCGGGATCAAAGGCCGCCGAAGGTTTCCTTAACAACGTCAACTGGCGATGGGGCTACGCAGTTTGGGCAATTATCGTGCCTGTTTTCGCTTTGCCTATTTATTTCCTGTTGGCTCACAATCTCCGCAAAGCCGAGAAGGAAGGCATTATCAACCGGGAGAAAAAGCCCTGGAAGTTTGATCTCGAATCAATTTGGTGTTTCATTAAAGAATTCGATTGTGAGTGACTATATGAACACTGACAGCAATGTTCTCGAATACTAATATTGTTCGAAATCGACAGTGGTGGGAGTCTTCCTTTTCGCCGGTGGCATGGTGGTATTCCTTCTTCCCTTCACCTTGGCCAACATGGCACCCAATGGTTGGAATAGCGGCTATATCATTGCCATGATTGTGGTTGGGCTGGTTCTTCTCATTTCATTTGGTTTATATGAAATCTACCTCGCCCCGGTGCCCTTCCTGAATTATAAATTCCTCGCCGACCGCACCGTTCTAGGAGCGTGTCTCCTGAATATGACATATCAGATGTCCTACTACAGCTATGGCGTTTATCTCCCGTCATTCTTGCAAGTGGTATACAATGTGGATGTAGCCACAGCCGGATACATCGGCAACATTTTCAGTGTCGCTGCATTTTTCTCCCTCTTCTTTGCTGGCTGGCTCATCCGCGTGACGGGTCGCTTCAAGTGGATTCTCTGGGTCTGTGTGCCGCTCTACATCTTCGGAATCGGCCTGATGATTCACTTCCGTCAACCGGGTGGAAACGTCGGCTACATCGTCATGTGCGAGATCTTCTTCTCTATCGCCGGCAGCGTTTTCATTCTCTGTGTACAGCTCGCTGTCCTCGCTACCGTCGACCACCAACATGTCGCCGCGGTGCTTGCATTGCTGTTCGTGACGGGAAGTATCGGTGGATCCATGGGCAGTGCTATCTGTGGAGCTATTTGGACAAATACCTTTTTGCCGCAACTTGCGAAAAATCTACCGGAAGCAGCTATGCCCAACTTATCTCTCATCTACTCAAGTCTTCCTCAGCAGCTCAGCTATGCTGTTGGAACCCCTGAGCGAGACGCCATTGTGAAATCCTACGGCTATGCTCAGCCCAGGATGCTTGCTGCCGGTACTGCATTGATGTCTCTGGCTTTCATTTGGGTGGCCATGATAAAGAATCTCAACGTCAAGAATATGACCCAGACCAAGGGTAACGTTCTCTAAGGCGAGCGATATTGGCGGTTTGAATGGGTGCTAAAGGGTTGTTTGCAAAGCAAGCAAACCATGCCACTCATTTATATTACCCAAAATTATGTGTCCATGCACATGAAGATAAACCTGCGAACGTTCCTGCAACGGTCGTCTTATAGTGCAACATTTTAGTATTAGCTTAATAAAAACCCCGGAACAAGGTCGGGATAATCTAATTTTACTCCTTGCCCAGAAACAAATTCATTTCTTTCATTTTGAATGTGACGTTGAATATCTTCCTTGATCTCTCCAACACAGGACATGGGCATGGATTCGCTCGCCATTGACAAGATGTAGACTGTATTTAGCAGAAGTGATAAAAATGAATGTAGTCGTTCAAATGTCCCCAGAGGCCTAATATCTTACCCAGAGAATCGTAACATAGCTGCACTTGCTCATTAACCAATTCAGCCGGGTATTCGAATATGGACTCAGGTGGCTGTTGAAGTACGATAATTGAGATGTGAAATAGAATGCGGTCGCAGAAATATAAGCCCATTCTCAACGGGGTATGTATCGAGTTGACTCGCTGTAAATAGAGAACTGGAATACACCGACGTTCCATTCGCTCCAGGGAAGCTTTGCTGGCAGGTCTGCTGCCCATTGCGTCATGGACCATGAACTTGTCCAGTTGCGAGCATGAGGAGTGTGATATCGGTATCTTGTCAGTGATTCTGAAATACCTCGGTTATCATACAGTATAGAATCTTGTAGAGTTTCAATCGCCGGGTTAGAGCCAGGTCTACTCACATGGATAGGCTCGAAGTTGTCTCCGACCTATGGGGGAAGGGGACCAAGTAGTTACAGTGGACTTGAACCAGTTTCCAATCCTAGACACTGGTCAGAAAGCTATGATGGACTTGAAGCCATCGTAAAAAAGGGAAAGGAGATCCCGATAGCCCCTGGCGGATTATACTGTGTGTCCGAACCAGAAAGGTCGGCTCTCAATATAGCTGATTTTCACACATCTAACCTTCTATAATAAAATGCGAGAAGGTAAAAAAGCAAAACAAAAACATACAGTGATGATTTGCTGGTGGTCACTCAACTACTAACTCACTGGCGTGTGGCTTAAGTATGGCTGATAGTCGGGTGGGTGCCGCCCGGGTGAGAAGTGGGTGAGCGCCGCTTTAAGGTAAGTGCGCAATAGACAGAGAAGCCAGGTGAGAGCAGGTGATTCTCACCCTCCGTTGCGCGACCGCACTGACTCTCTCTCGCCTGGGAATAATTGGGCATCCTTCTATCTCACTCCATTTCTACCGTATCCCTTCATTCAGTTTATAACGCGATATGCAAACTCGAATGTGCCCTGACGATGTAGCCTGGGAACAAGCCGAGGAAATATCGGACAATTGGCTGACTCAGTTTCTCAAAAATGAGGTCTTGAGACCGATCGGAAATTTCATGCTTGACCATAATGGAGGCATTGGGACCGAGTTTTCTATACTCAGAAAAGCTTCTCACAATATCTCCTTGCGACTGAAGGACGAAAATGAAGCCACAATTATCCGCTTATCGCAGCCCGGTGCCGTTTTTTTCCCTGAGGAAAAGGTCGTGAATGAGATTGCTATCATGCGATTTCTCACAGACAAGACTTCTATACCCATCCCTTCTGTTCACCACTCAGGAACGAAGAAGGAAAGCCCCCTCGAACTGAGTCCGTTTATTATAATGGATTCTATTGAACATGAAACGAAAATGTACGACGCACTCAATATATCGGGATGTCCAACCGATGAACGCGGAATTCTGGACCCGGCTATTGACGAAGATCGGCTTGAGATGCTATATGGGCAGCTAGTAGGTATCCTGCTTCAGCTTTTCACTCCCTCCTTGCCTTAGATAGGATCTCTTAGCTAGATCGATGACTTTACCTGGGAAGTAACACGTCGACCTTTGTCTATGAATATGAATGAACTTGTCCGATTGGGAACATTACCGCGGACGAAGCTTCCCGATCTTCATACTACATTCACAACAGGTTCTTCATATCTCGAAGCTCTCGCGGACCTTAACATTGAGCATCTCGTACACTAACGAAACGATTCTGTGGAGTCCGCAGATGACTGCCGTCGGAAATTTATTGCAAGAAGGCTTTTTAGTAAGCTTGCTAGGGACAAGCGACTCACCAATCCTTTACTCGATAAAGGGCCCTCCAAAATATGGTGTGATGACTTACGCCCGGCTAATGTGCTCCTTCATGGAAATTTGAAAGTTGCTGGCGTGGTAGACTGGGAGTTCACATACGCAGCACCCGTTGAGTTTTCTTATGCCCCGCCATGGTGGCTGCTTATTGAGAAGCCTGAGTATTGGCCAAAAGGGCTTGAGGACTGGAACAGGGTCTTTGATTACCGCCTGAAGACATTCCTTAAGGTGATGAAGGAGTATGAGGGCAGCATGTTCCAAAAGGGCCGGTTGAAAGAGGACCAGCGCCTCTCCGGTCCTATGTGTCAGAGCTGGGAGAGTGGGAACCTCTGGGTTATTTATGGAGCATTGCATAGTTTTGCGTTTGATGTAATTTACTGGCAGAAGATCGACCCACGCTTTTTCGGGCCGTCAGAGGACCCCGAGACGGCCTGGAAAGAGAGACTCGACCTGCTGGATGAAAAGGAAAAATATGATATGGAACAACTGGTGGCGCGAAAGATGAAGGAGATGAAGACCAGAATTCTGGCGTGGGACCCCGATGAGTATACTGTGGCTTCTAGCCAACAATTGAAAAGACAGAGAGAAGAAGCAGAAGAAGTGCATACTAGCCACCATGACGGGAACAACGAGGTGGAGAACAAGTGCAATCAGACTGGAATATCGGGTTTCTCGAAGACACATGAAATAAATGTAACTTGAGCTTAGGTTTACTTGCAGTGTACTCCAATTAACTCGATGATATTGAACGTCAGATGGTTACACTCTCAGGATCGAACTCGAACAGGCATACTCACAGGAAGCATCGGTCGCGGAGGAAAAGAGAAAGTAAATGCAGGCGTCGAAGGAGCAATTTTCGGACTCTCGTCGAACGATTAAAACGGCAACGCGCGTTGAATGCATGAATAAACCACTCAAGAAAGACCCCAAAACCTTGCCCAGGGCCATTCTCAAAATGAATCCAATGACGCCTGATAAGAACCCCCAATTGAGATCTCTTCAACCTTCACCTAGGCTTTTTCGTTGCGAGGATATCCCACTCACCTTATCTATTGGAAGATGCCACGCGTGGCTACTTCAGACGGAGACTGCGAGAGGAGATCATCACGGATATCTCTGGGCGGGCTGGATTTTGTTTGGAAAGTGGAAGATAATCGTTGAGGCCTAGGGAAGTGGACTCTCAGAGAGAGGAGGGAGAGAGTTGTATTGGAAAGGAGACAGGGCTCCCGACTGTCTACCTATCTGGTGAGGTGATGCCTGACATCACGAGACCCTTGTCTCAACAGTAGGTAAGATGATAAGTGTTTAAACAGTTGTGTCGTAAGCTTAACATCAAACGCAGTGATAGTCCGCCCTGCGAATTTCACCCTGCGCTTCGAACTTGTCTTTCTACTGTTTTCTTCAGATTGCATTCTGTCTTCTTGGCTGTGGTTCGAGAGTTCTGATCTGGCGAACTCTAAGCTGCTTTGCGTGGCATTAAAATTTCAAATATCCTACGTACATAACTGATTTCCTATCACGATCAAAGCCCAATACCAAAGGACTCCATGCCAAGTGCGTGTGGATCGTTGACATGCACAACAATCTTGCCCCTCGCACGACCTAATCGAAGCTTCTCAAAGGCTTTCACTGCATCTTCAAATTCAAACACGCTATCCAGCTGGACCTGGATAGTGCCATCAGAGAGCCAATCTCCAAGCTGAGCCAGCTGCCTCGGATCATTCTTCACAATCACCATGACAAACTTCCTCTGTCCACCCCCAAGGAAAGAGGGCCACATGAAACGCCCAACAACAGTCATCATGTCCGGCACACCAACTTGCAAAAATGCACCATCAGCCTTGAGGAAACGATGACACTGATAATAAAGCGTAGAAGGCAAGCCAACAAGGTCAAGTATGCAGTCAAACACAACTCCCCGCTGCCGCATCTTGGCCACAAGATCCGGTTCCACCGTATAATCCACGACCTCATCCGCACCAAGGCGGTAGCACAACTCCATATTCCTAGTTGAGCATGTCGTCGTCACATGGCACCCCATCTGCTTCGCAATCTGAATAGCGAAAATCCCAACACCCCCGGAGCCTCCGTTGATGAGCACTTTCTCCCCGGCTTTCACATACCCCTCCAGACTCTGATACGCAGTCAGTCCGGCCAGCGACACAGCAGCAGCATGGTCTACTGCAACTCCACTTGGCACAGTCGCAATCCTATCTGCTGCGATGGTGAGATACTCCGCCAGCGACCCGCGCTGCACAGCTCTCGGGTAACCTCCAAAGACCAGCTGACCCTCTTTGAAATGCTTTGCTAGAGGCCCTGTTGCGACCACGCGCCCGCAGAGGTCTGTGCCCGGGGAGGCAGGTGTGCCTATGAGCATGCGTGCAGCCATTCCCGCCTCGGGGAATTTGTGGTCGACGGGGTTCAGGGCTGCGGAGAGAACTCGGACCAGAACCTCGTTGCCCTGTGGTGCGGGTGGTGCGGGGGCAGAGAGATCAAGGTACATGTTCTTCTCGAGGCCACCAGTTGCGTCGGAATACAGCCAGGCTTTCATGGTTTCAGGATGGAATGAAGCCATGTCCAACGGAGGCATTGTTGGGTTCATTTTGACGATTTTGATATTTGCTTTTGTTTAAATGGATTGACTTCGAAAATCCTGTCTCTCTTGCGTGATATTTGTTTTAGGATGATTCATGTATGGCAAGCACATATATTGCAGCCGAAATGCACCTGTTGTTTCATTTGCGGATTTTTAGGGAGTTGAACCCGCTGATCACCCTGGAAGTTGCCCCATAATTGGGTCACGTGCAACAAGATATCATGATCTATAACGAAGACTATTAAAGATGTGGATGACTACAAGAAAGTGTTACATAAAATGAAATAATAGATAATGGGATGCATAATGCCTAATGAGGAGTTTCCATATATTAAATACACACTCCATTGTGCGTCGTGTAAAACGTGCATTGGTTAGAGGTGTCTTACACCACGGCAACTGGACAATTCAACAGAATACTGGATTCGTCTGATTTTTACTTTTATACCTTCTTTCACAGCATCATCAACATACGGAATATAACAGCGATAGAAGTTTGTAAAGCAAGATCATTCTTCGCGGCAAGTGAAATAAGATTTCCGAAAAGAGAATCGTACAACTCCAGAAGGCATCATATCAGCCAAAGACTAAACCTATACCAGAGTTTTGATTTCACTAGTTTCCAGACTAGTGATCTGTATAACCGATTCAGTGAGATAAAATCAGCATTCAGCTTCATCATCTGGAAGAGCAGACCGGAGTTCGCAGTTTTGAATTCTTCTGAGAAGCAGGGATGAAGTAGGAAATTCTCACATTAGGGAATCCTGGCCGTCCTCGAATCTGACTTGATTCTTCAGCGTGCCTAGGCCAGAGATCTCAATTTGGATCTTATCTCCGTCCTTCAGCAGTTGACGTGGCTTTTGGAAAATTCCGACTCCCGCTGGGGTTCCGGTCATGACCACTGTGTATGCTGGTATAGTGGTGCCTGCAATGTGTGTCAGAACACAGCAACCTAATAAGATCATAGAAACAGACAGTGAGACTTACTTTGACTCATCCAGCTAAGCAGCCTTTCGGGGGGAAATATCATATCCTTTCGGATAACCGTGTTTTGCTTCACCTCCCCGTTGATACGGGTAACCAAACTGGCCGTTGCTCTCTCCTTGTTGAAGACATCTGGGCTCGTAAGGACTGGTCCTATGGGAGCAAAGTTATCGAATGCCTTCGCATAGAAGAACTGGCCGCCAGATTGTTCGGCAAGCTGGAAGAAGCGACAAGTAAGGTCGTTGCCAACTGTATACCCGAGGATATAGGATGAGGCTTCCTCTGGCGTGATATCCCGGCACTCACGCGAGGTGACGAATACAAGCTCACCCTATCAATTCTTCGTCAATCGCTAGTCCTGTATACTCAAGCTGGCATGGTCAAACTTACCTCCCAATCGGGAAGATGCGAGGCGCAAAATCGACTAACAGGAATGGTTTCTTCCGGAGATGATAGCGCCGCAGCGGGTTTGGTCCACACTGGTGGATTGGCTGGGACATTGAGCTATCTGGCGTTAGATGATACTTCGCTGGCTGGGATATCCTGGGTAGCATACACTGGCTTCTTTCGCGTGACTCTTGTAATTCAGTCCAATGCAGTAAATAGGAAGATCCGCTTTGGGGAGTGGCGGAAGTAGCTATCGAAAATCCAGTCAGTCTCTGGGTTGAAAGCACTCCGTGCAAGAGCAATCGCATACCTTTGCTACGGTCGCGGTTCTCGGATTCCGCTCTTCCATCAAATCCTCAAAGGTCGGATACGCTGTGACCGATCCCCCGATGATGGGCTCCGTGGAGTCGCATTTTCCAAAAAGGCTCTCCTGATCTTCCGTCTCGAATTGGAAAAGATGCTTGAAAGTCGACATTGTTACCCCCGGAGCGATAGCAAACACACAAGAGAACGATTCTGAGGACTAGCGAGACAGAGAAAAGGGGGGGTTCAAAAGAACAAATTACTTGAATGATAAATCTAAGTAAGCATGCTTTCCCCCGGATTGATCTTGGGGGCATTGGCGTCCGGGGATCCGTGGCGCATTAGATCCTCGGGGTATCATCGAAGTTGCTCCGCAGATGATCCTGTGTCGAGTTTCGGGATAAAAGCAATAAATGTCAGATTACCATAGGCTTATACAGAGTAAACTGTAATTTGAGGTCTGTTTCAATTATTCCGGCCCCTTGAACCAAGTCTGAGCGACACCTACCTTCGCTGAGGATACTCCGGAGGAGATTCAGATGTAGTACCTGGGCCGAAGATCCTCCGATAAGTTTTGGCATGGATCTTCCAAGTGTCCGTTAGAGAGGACCGAGCCATAGTAAAAAAACAGATCCGGTAATCTCACTCAATTCTATACACAAAGACAATTCCGCTGGATTTATAAAGAGATGATGTATCACTCCGCAAAAGGTGGAGCTACTTTTTCAATCCCCATTCACTCGTTACTACCTGCCCATTCCTGCAACTCCAACCACACACCAGAGTCCAAGGAAAGGGAAAGTAAGAATGTCTCTTTGGGTGCTTGACGTGATTGCCCTTCTCCCCAAGAAATGGCAGGAATGGATACTCCCACCATCGACCATCCCAACCGTTCAAAATGATCCGTCCAAGGTTCAGCTAAGCCGCATTGCGCATGTATACTTCGAGCACGGCGACCTGGAAGCGTTTGATAAGTTCGCTAAAGACTTTGGCTTCATCGAAGCAGAGCGCAAAGGGAACATCATCTACTACCGCGGTTATGGCAGAGACCCCTACGTCTATGTGGCTTCTCAGAGCTCTACACGGAGATCTCGATTCATGGGAGCTGCCTACATCGTAATAGATGAAGAAAACTTCAACAAAGCTGCAAAGCTACCGGGAGCCACACGCAAATCATTGGACGATGCTCCCGGTGGCGGCGAAATGATCACATTTGCGCGCCCCAATGGAACATACTTGTATGTGATATACGGTCAGACTGAGCGCAAGGTGGATGGACCAGATCTACCATCGGCCACACACGAATTCCAGGGACCATTCAATACGCCGTTTGAAAAGCCCCGCAAAGGGCAGTTCCAGAGATATCGCGATGGCCCTGCTCTGGTGCACAAGCTCGGCCACTACGGATATGTGTGCAAGGAGTTCGAAACAGAATTGGAGTTCTACACTGGAAACTTCAATTTCGTCCACTCCGACATCCTCAATATCCCGCAGTTCTCTCCGATGGATGTTATGACGTTCATGCATCTCGACCTGGGCGAGGAGTTTACGGATCACCATACGTTCTTTTTGCAACGCGCTTCGCCGACGGTTCGGGAAACATTCGTTCATCACACTTCGTTTGAAGTGGCCGATTTTGATACGCAGTTGATGGGACACCGCTATCTTGCAAACAAGGGATGGAAAAGTGTCTGGGGAGTGGGACGGCATATCCTGGGAAGTCAGATCTTTGATTACTGGTATGACACCTCTAAGTTCAAGATTGAACATTATGCCGATGGCGATGTGGTGAATCAGGAGAATCCAACACGCAGAGAGCCACTTGGCCCGTTGTCTGTTTGGGGTCCTGATTTGCCGAAGGACTTTGGAGATAACAAAGCTGGCTAATAGTGGGATTCCTTTTCAGTCAGGAATGTCATTCATCTTATTGCGAATTGCCAAAGTCACGTACATCCACGGAGTTCAAGTCAGAATCTTGATAGATCTGTAGATTCATTATCCAAGTGGTTGGGAATTCTATATTCGTATCGTTCTATCTGACAAACATGTATTTCCTAAATGTTGGATTAGACTCGCTCTATAATATCTGTTGGACATGAAGAAGGAACCCACCGTAGCCAATGCAATAAAACAAAGTCAAACATGAACAGTCTGTCCAGAATTTATTGGATGACCACCTCAGTCGAACGCGAAGAACGTAGAATTCTGTCTATTCAACCCAATATCTGAACATCACTACATTTTGCCTCGCAGAAACTTTGGCGCCTCATAAGTCAAGAAATCATTGCCCTTGAAGAACCAAACAAGACAACCCCAGAGTGTCCATCCACCGATATGCCCTGTCCCCGTCGACCGTCCCACAGGGACAACCATCATCCTCTTCTGAGTTTCAGAGGAGTATGTAGTACGGTCAACATCCTTCGCAATACTTGCAACAATATTAGATGCAACGGTCGCACCTTGAAGCGAGACTCTGGAGAGGAGTCGATAAGGATGACAGGTAACATCGCCGACTGCGTAGGTGTCACTTCGACTAATTCCGTCTTCTACAACCCTGAGATTTTCGTCCACGTTAACCCAGCCATCTTGGTTCAACAAACTTGCTGGGATAAAATCACTGTTCGGAATAACCCCTGTTGTAGAGATATATTCGTCCGCGGAGATCGTCCGACCGGTTGTCATTGTCACCGTCCATTTCTTCGTGTCGGGATTTTGTTGCACATGGTCGACCGTGATATTTTTCAAAATCTCAACAGCCTTGCGTCGTAGGAGAGATTCAGCGGTTTTTTGCACAGTTTCCGTTGCGCCTTCCAATAACAAGCCGGTCTTCGAGACCAGAGTGATGATCTTTTTTGAGCCTGGTGCTTCCGCCAGTTCACCGGCCAGCTCGACTCCCAGCGGGCCCGCACCGCCGATTATAACACTCGTGGCTGTTTGGAGTTTCTTCTGCGCTTCGGCAATGGCTTTCCTGGTGTCTTCGAATGCGGTCGTCTTGAAAGGAAGCTTCAGACTGGCTTGTCCAAGTGTAGCTGGTGTTGTGCTACCAGATGCAATGACCAGATAGTCAAATGCGACCGAAATAACATTGTCTTTTGTGGAGGAGTTTGCCTTTGTCGCAACTAGTACCGACTTCTTTGAATAATCGATTTTGGTGACAAGTCCCTTGACAAAAGTTAAAGAGTCTTTAGGATATTCGTTGAAGGTGTCACGGATGCCAAGGAGATATTTGCTCGAGGGTAAGCTCTCCGGCTTGACGAGGAATCGAGGTGCTGCGATGTTGAAGTAATATTCATCGAATGGGTTGATCAAGGTTATCGATACCTCGGGGGCCTGTCGCAGTAGTTTGTGACTGACTGCTAGACCTGCATGGGAGGCTCCAATGACCACCACGGAAACACGCTTAGAGGACATTATGCGCGAAGAAGTTTGTTTGTTGGGTTATCAAAAAAAGGATAGCAAGCCCCGTGGGATGGATGATGACTCTAGCTGATATTCTAATATGTTTTCACGCTTGAGAAACCGCGGCTTCACAGCTACGCTGTTAGGTAGGCCCATGGATTCGCTTCCAGAATAAAACCTTTGAAAAAACAGTGCCTCGGTTCAAGATTCAACTTTGAGACGATCGTGGTGGTCCCAGAGCGGAGCTATCTGGCGGAGGAACTTCCGGAGGAACCTCTTCGGAGAATCCCACTTTCTTTCTTCAAAGGGGGTTTGGCAGTGGACTTGTCTGACGGTGACAGGCCCCTGGCTCAATATGGCTCAACAACAAATACAATGGCACTTACACATGAGATTATGTGTTCTATGGTTTGAATAACATTTCAATGACTGGGTTCCGCTTTCATATAAAACTATCCAGCGTCCCTCGCCTCACAATATAGGTGTACCAGACGACTGCAAAGAAGGGTTTACTGCATACAAAGTACCAAACTACCGCTTCACCCTATTTTTTGAACAATTGATCTGATACATTGAAAGCTTCCGAGTCGATAAAAGCGCGATGACTAGCCAGAAGGACTCGTTCAAAGTCATAGTTATCGGGGGAGGCCCGGTGGGACTCACAGCTGCTCACGCTCTCCACCTGGCTGGCATTGACTTCGTAGTCCTTGAGCGAAGACCTGCCATTGTGGAAGATCAAGGCGCAAGTCTCATTGTCCATCCCCACACCTTACGGGTTCTGGATCAGATTGGGGTCCTAGAGGACTTGCTACCTCGAGGTGCCGAGCTGCGTCATCATCTGTCGTTCACTGCCGAAGGGCACGTATTCAAGGAGGGTACCCAGTATACCAAAATACGCGAGAAGTGAGTCCAGGCCTCACATCACTATTAGTTCCTTCGTATGCATTCTGACAGATATCAGTCATGGTCATGGACCGGTTGCCTTCCATCGAGCTGAAGTGGTTGCGGCTACGTACAACTGTCTCCCACCTGCTGCGAAAGAGAAGGTCTTAACAGACAAGAAGCTAGTCGCCATTGAGATGAAGCCGGACGGAGTCATAGTGACCTGTGAGGACGGCAGCACGTTTGAGGGGTCAATCGTGATCGGTGCCGACGGCGTCTACAGTAAGACTCGCCAGTTGATGCGCAAGCAAGCCCTCCAGACAAATCCCACACAGTCCTGGGACCCTGAGCAGCCTTACACGTCAACTTATCAGCTTCTATACGGCTCCTTCCCGTCACCATCTCCGTCAGGCTTCGGGTATGATATCCAGTCAAAGGACAAAGCTATCATGTACTTTAGCAGTCCGGACCGGGCATGGTTCTTCTTATATAAGAGACTACCAAAACCCACACGAGAGCGCATGGATTATACCGACAAAGACGTTGAGGCAGTTGCCCAGGAGTTCATGGATTTCCCCCTAACAAGAAGCGTGAAGGTGAAGGATGTCTGGCCACGAATGCAAGGTGCGGGTCTGACGAATCTGGGCGAGGGAATCGTGCAACATTGGAGCCTGGGAAGGACTGTGCTCGTGGGTGATGCATGCCATAAGATGACCACGCATCTAGGACTTGGATACAACAACGGTATTCAAGATATAGTGATACTCTGCAACATGCTTCGGAAGGTCGTCAACGCAGCACCTAATGGGAACCCAAGCGCTCATGTCCTCACTGAGACTTTTGAAAAGTACCAAGCGGTTCGAATGGGGCCCGAATGTTCGCTCAAGGGTGATGTTTGGAAATCTGGGTTTGAGACCCGAATGCACGCTTGGCACAATCGGTGGTACTATCTTCTCTCCCGATATCTCGCTATTCCTCCCTGGACGGAGGGCCTGGTCATGCGGTACATTATGGGGCCTGAGTTCCGCAAGGGCCAGGTTTTGGATTATGTTTCAAAGGAAGAGCAGATGAAAGGTGCGATCAGCTGGTTGTATCCAATGAAGCTGTAGGATGGGCAGCTGGTGGTCAATTTTCGAAGCGAGTCGTGTATATATACAATTTGAATTGTGATTTCAAACCGGAGTGAATGCGTATGTAGTAAAAGTCCATCTTGGGTAGTTGATTAGGGCTCATTTAGTCACGAGAAAGGCGGACAAGATCACATTGAGATACGGAGATGGTTTCAGAAGTCCTCTCAAATCATGTCACGTTTTGCTCCCTCTCCAGGTGTATTAAGCAACAAAGGTTCCCCCCAAATAATCATGACAAGGAAGATAATGGCCTCATCGATGATAGGCTACGTTGAATGTTTTGGCTATTCAAATTATTGATTGCGATCTCGAACACAATCAACGTTTCCAGCCCTTCCCAGTTCATGAAAACTTTGGCGCTTCGGCACTCAAGTGACCCGCAGAATGAATGAGATGAGTGTCTATCGAGGCGGATGAAAGACAACCAAATAGGAGACTACGGATCTAGACCATCATGATCTGCCGTCTACCTCGGGTTTTCCCCATGTCAAGCGGAGGATATCTTTACGGAGTACAGCAAGCTACAGGGGGCAATGAACATTGAGGGTGTGGGGAAGCGGGGGAGTGGCGGCTTGTTTCAAGGATTCACCTGTCGGAGGATCTCCAGTGCATTCCTCCATTATTTGACATATTGGTCGCCCGGAGTAACTAGGTACTCTTGGCTGTGATACTTGGGAGTATTGGCATCATAATTAACTGGGATAATCCACTATAGAACAACCTCGGGAATGTCAACTATTTGCGTGCGACTGGAACCCCATGCAACGCTCATGGCTGTTGATTTGGCTTGTCAATTCCGTTGTCATTTTGCCGAGTCAAGCCTTTTCCCGAGATATCTCTTGGTTAACGCCTGGTAACTGAGGTTTCTGTACAGGGAAACAAGTCATTTATCGATTGTGGGCTTATAAATGCCCCTGTTTTGTCAATTTGATAAATCATCGGTTTCGCTTTCCCCCTTCAATTTCCCTCGCCCCTCTGAGAGCAGGAGCAGTCTAGCAATATTAGAAGCCAGTTGCTATTCTATTATATCTTCCTCATATAGAAAATGGCTTCTTTCGCACTCATCACGGGCTGCAGCGGCGGGATCGGCAAACAGCTCGCGATCGCATTTGCAGAGAGGGGAGTCACAGTCCTCGCCACAGCACGGCGCACCGAGTCCCTCAACGAGCTAACAAGCAAGTACGACAATATCGAAGCTTTTGCGCTTGACCTCGACAATCTAGCAAACATCAACAAGCTTAAGGATGCTGTATCCAAGCGCACGGGTGGCCGCTTAGACTTCCTCGTCAACAATGCAGGGACACACTACGCATCGACAGCGGTGGATCTAGAGATAGAAGAGGTCGTCAAGCTGTTTGGTGTCAATCTTTTCGCTGTCATGCGACTTTGTCAGGATTTCGTGCCGCTTCTTCGTCGCTCGCCCCGTGGACGAATTGTACAGATTGGAAGTGTGACGCGGGATATACCTGTGGTATGGCAAGGGCCGTATAATGCGTCCAAGGCTGCTCTGAGTCAATACTCCAAGACACTTCGACTAGTGAGTACATCCTGTTTTATTGGATTCTGGGTTGATCTAATATGTGACTAGGAGATGAAACCATTCGGTATTGAGGTGATCGAGATTGTGACTGGGTTCGTGCAGAGCAACATCCTTCACCACGGACTGTACGCTCCAGACACGTCTCTCTACCTTCCAATCAAGAGTGTTGTTGAGGATGTCAAGTACAAAGGCAATAGCAATGGCATGCCGCCAGAGGCTTATGCTAAGTCTATTGTCGCAAAGTTGGTCCGGCCGCGAGTCAGCCCCGAAATATGGGAAGGGGCTCTAGCACGCTCTATCCGCTTGCTTGTTATGCTTTTACCATTATCGCTACTGGTACGTCATTCTGTCATGCTATCATGAGGCTATTCTCAGAACTAACATACACAGAACTGGATCTTCTACCGGAAGTTCAAACTCGACCTTGTCAAAGCTCGAGTTAACACTCAAGACCGGGCTAATGTGAAATGATACAAGACCTTTGCCTTTGGACGTGGGTAGCCTACATATAGTCATGCTTGGGATGTAAATAGCTTGTGAATCTACCACACATCCAAGCCTAAAGATGTTGAGAAAAGCATATAATCAGAAGGTTTACGTACCGAGTGTTAGGAATATATACCTCCACGAAACCATACGACCATGCCGATCATTGATGCATACTGTCCACTAGCCAACAAGAAGTATAGGACTATTCAAAGGAAACCAATTCCAATAAACTTCGCCCCCACGCTTGAAGATCCACAGTCTAATATATCTTTTCTGACTCACTCAGCTTCGCGTGGGATGGACCCATTCCCATTCTGTAGCCGCTTACAAATCCTCAGGGGGCGTGCAAAATTTATCGGCTACTGACGCCTCCTCTGTCAACAGGTGGAGGAACTGCATATTTCATATTGGACCTAACGTGGCTAGATTCCAACACTTCCCTAGGCATCAATCTTGGCTGCGCGTAGAACGACGCGCGCGATCTTGCTTTCTCGACTGAGCTGCACCCGTTGAGCGATCGATGATTATCAAATATTATTATAAGTGTATTTTATATCTAGATGAGGCACATAAGCCAATCTAATCCGCGGATATCCTAACTCAAACAGGATTCTTAGGCTTATCCTCCCCCGGGACATCAACCGCAGCTGGCGGAGGCACAGCCGGTTTCGGTGGATTAGGCGCGATCCAAAACACAGGATATCTCCGCTGTAAATTATTGAACAGAAGCGCGCAAGCCAAGAGCATGGTAGACGAAAGCAGAATCACAGGCAAGAAATACCAAGACAGCTGCCAGATTTCCTCACTAGTTGCAGGGAGCAGAGCAGTCGCACCAGCAGGCGGGTGGGTGGTACCGGTCAATTGCATGACGACAATTGCAATCGCCGTTGAGAGCGAAGCGGCGAGCCAGCGCAGGGACTCGAAGCGCGTTTCGTCGGGCATGAGGCTGAATAGCTTGGTGATACAGATGCCAATTAAGGCACTGAAGAAGTGGCCGAATACTAGAGCGCGTGGTTGGGCGAGAGGGCTTTCAATTGCACCGAAGACAAGGACTGCGGATGCGCCCTTTTGGAATGTTGGTTAGTGTGGGGATATTTTGTGAGCAAGGAGTTTACTTACATAGGATGCAACTATACCTGGCACATTGCGTGCTGTGAAATAGTCCGAGTAGTGGAAGATGGCTTGCACGACTGATAGACCGCAGAATGAGGTTATGAAGGACCATAGGGCGACTTGGTATGTAGGGAGTGGTTTGACGCCCTCTGGGCGATAGCCAAGCCAGTGGCTAACCCACCGCGGGAGACGGCTGAGACGCGTGGGGGCCATGAGGTGAGAAAAGAGATCGCGTTAGAAATCTAGGTTGAGGAATATGGAGAACATCAGAGAGAAGAAAACAAAATACTGAACTGTACACAGGGGCGCTAAAATGACTCGGTGGTGGGGGGAAAGAAAAATTGGAGAAAATAGGCCGTGCGGAGAAATGTGAGGGGATCCAATTTTTATGACAAATCGCTATATGAGCAATTACTAGAACATGGATTGCGTTGCAGCTCTATACATTCGGACTCTTATACATATTGCTCGTGCACCAGATCACGGCTGACAATGTGTGACTCACCCAATGTGCCCTTCATAACTAGCACCAGGTCATCCACCGTAGCCAAGAACTTGAGGTATGCGCTGATCGCCACGCAGAACCGGCGATAGTTCTCGTCGCGGATCAAGTCCTTGCTCAGGATGATATCAACCTGGTGCAACTGCCAGAATTCATGGCAACGGTTGAGCAGTGGTGTTGGCAGCACCTCGGGCAGAGGATCGCCCGTCTTGAGTGATTGTTCGACAACGGCAAGAACAGCCATAACGTCGCCGATGTTGTGGTGATTGAGAAGACCGACTTTACGAGCCATGCGGGCCTGTAGATGCTCGGGCAAAGAAGCAGAAAGATAAAGGAGGCGAGCGAGGTTCTGGTTGAGTTCTTGACACAGCGCTTGCACCTGGCCGAGACGGTCGCTGTCAAAAGGTGAGCTGGAGAATTCAAAGCGTAGCAGTGCGATCGGTCCGTCCAGGTCCATGAGCGTCTCAGCGAGGTTAAGCGCCAGCTTCTCGGCTGCCAGGCCTTCTTCGCGCCCCTGTCCCCAACAGGACAGGAGAAGGGCGTAGTGGTCCGATAATGAGCGAATGACATTCGAGAGAGACTTGCAGATGTGTCGTGATGCGGAAGGTGGCCGCGGGAACAGCTGGACTATCAGGGCGGCTGCGGATCCAATGAGGACAAGTACAAGTCGTCGCCAGAAGACACTATATCCCCATCCGGGATTGCCGTAAGTTGGGATGTGTCTGCAATATGTGTCAGTCATGTTGCTTTCCGCAGTGTAATGCAATTTGTACTTACGTATCTTCGAAGCTGTAACCAACGACCAGAATGCAGGTCGCGCCAGCCATGATCGTAGCTTGAAGCATAGCAGGAGAAGCGAAGAGACGTCCCCACATAAGAAGAATGATGACAACAGCCATGATCGCAGCAAGACCGTAAGGGTTACCCGGACCACGGCCTGAACCAATATACCACGCAACCAAGCCGAGAAGTCCACCAACAATGGTACCAGCAGCTCGAGAAAGGAGGGAGAAAGTAAAGTCAGCCATGTATATGACCAGTGTCGTCTGTCCCATGATGAGGGCCCACAGTCCTTTCTCACGGTAATAGAAGCCCGCCGTGGCAGGAATTGCAGCAGGGATAGAGAGTGCGATGGTGACAGCCACCATGCGCATTGCATAAAGTCCCTCTGCGTTAATGAACCAATGATAAGTGCCGATGATGGCACGCCCAAAGCCACTCCGTCGGTTAGCACGATATCCCCTGCTGATATTTAAATGTTGTTGTGCCGCTTTGGACTGTTTCTCTGCGACATCAGGGTCGACGGTTGAGATATTGGCCGCAGTGACAGGACCCAAGGCTTTCTTTCGACCTACCCAGTTCACTGCATACCGCAAGCCTTTGGGTAACCACAGATGGATCTTCTGGCGTTCTCCCAGGAGAGCGACGAGCTGTCCCAAAACTCGCTCCCACGAGTCAGCAACACCGAGAACCTGCTCCTCAAAGACCATTCCAACGGTGATGCCTTGAACCCTGCTCAGGGCATCACCGTCGAGGGACTTGAGCACGCCTTTCTCGTCAAATATATCCGCGTGAGTCTCAATCAAACGTTCGGTTGTTTCTGTTGCGAACGATGCACGCAAAGCTTGAAGATTCTGTAGCGCGGATTGACTGCGCTCGTGCAACCCATTGAGACTTTCCTGAGACAAACGACCAATCCAACGTTGATTCACCGCGTGCAAGGACTCCTCAATAATAGCAGCAGCCTCCTGACACGCCGGGAGGATCGCTTTGCTAGACTCGCGCAATACCTCGATCGTTTCGGCTCGCATAGACTCATGTTCTGGGCTTCGAAGTGCTTGAACCAAGTTAGCACTATCCATCAGCTGGCGCATGCCAACCTCGCGCGGGTGTGCCTTCTCATCCACATCAGAGTCCGAATTTCGATTGAGAATAAGCTGTTCTAGTTTTTCCAACTTCTCTTTTCCTCCAATGCGGGCGATTTGAACTTCCAACAAGGACAAGCTACTCACCAAAGCCTGGCGAAGTGGCTTCTTCAAGCTCTTGACGTCGTCAGCACCCCACCAACCGACTGAGAAGTCCAACGGTAAAAATCCGATGGACGGCACCATGTCTCTGTAAGCAGCAATACATTTGACTTTGATCTTGTGCAGCTCTGGTAGAGTCAAGTCCTGGCCTTTGAGGAGGCTGTTCTCCGTTGCGTCCAGAGTTCCTCTGAGTAGCTGCACCAGTCCCTCCATTTCCGCAACCACAACATGAGAGGTAGATCGAGGGAAGAAGATAAAATGAGACACTAGGCCCAGTCCAATTCCAATGGCTGCCGGTTCGAGCAAAACCTTAGGAATCGTTCCATTGAAAGTTGGAAGCAACGGTCCAATAGTCAGGGTGACATCGACGATGATAGTTGCGAACATCTGAACCAGAATGAATTTCGGGTTCGCTGCCCGGACGCGAGCCTGCGGAAAAGGGTTATTATATCAATGATAATGCTCGGGACAGGATAGTTCTCACCATGAGATAGATGAACAGATTAATTAGACAATAATAGACAGCCGTTACACGAGCGTCAAGCATCCAACCGTCGTAAACTAAGACCTGCTGGACAGCTGGCAAGCTCTGGCCAGTGGCATTGGCTTGATTGTAGGCCGCCTGTCCTAGGGCTTGAAGCTTGGCCTCGGTTTCAGCCGCCGGTCTAGCTGCCATAGCCGCCTTCATGGCGATGACACCCCAGGCCCAGCCCAAACCCATACCAATGATGAGGGTAAGGGTTGCTAGCAGGAAAAAAAAAACAATGCCGGTTGGAGGCACCATAAAGAGGATCAGGCTGATCACAGAATATGTTAGTGATTGATACCGAAAAGAGATATATAGATGCGCTCACGTTGCAAAAAAAGTCGCAGTGCCAATGATATTTAGAGTCGGGTTAATGAAGATCAAGATCGCTGCTATCCACGCAGCGAGCGAGCATCGAAACAACACTTTCAGATCACGGGCGTTGAAGTGATCCAACCATTCTGGGAGCTTCCTCCCGGCCTTGGGAGCCGGGGTTACGTTTGCGGGTGCGGGAGGCCCCTCCGCGTTGGAGATAAGCAGAGAAACATCCTGAAACTCTCGTCGTGAAGATTCCATTTCTGTCATTTCGACATGGAACAAGGTAAGCGAATGAGTTTATGAGGACCAGGGAAGAGTCGACAGGGATAAATAGTCCGAGGCATTCTTGATTAAAGGGGAAGAGAATCGAGGAGCTGATTAAGATTCGGGGAAACCCTACACGAAAACGACCGATCGGCACTATTGAAATGGTTATTTGATTTGTTGATCGCCTTTCACAAAAACATGACTTTTGTGTCATGATCAACATCTGGCTTGCCCTATTGTTCTAGAGCGGCATATTAACTGCCCAGGGGCTGCATAATCCTTATGCTAGAGCGTTAGGCCCCTTCTGCGAAAGGCAGCTGAAAACTTGGCACTTGGCAGCCCGTGGCCGCGGGAATTGTGTCTCAATCCCACTCCTGGCTTTAGGCAGCCGGCTTCAGTACGGAGTATAAAACACCCAATTTGGGTTCTGACACTATTGATTGTTTGTGTCCGATCGCATGTGGATCTAGAGATATGTCAGGCCATGGCCAAGGGACCTAGAATCTCTATTATTAGTGGTTCGTCTGGATCAGACCTGAAGAAGCCTCGGAACATCATGGCCCACTTCATTTAATTAGAGTGTTTATGCATGGCACAACAAAACGGCCGAATACATAAATTCAAAACAGGTTATGACCTGATTATCCCGGTCCTGGTGTCGGTTGCCGTCATTTGTTTGGATCAATCATCCGGGCAATTGCTCCCTCAAAAATCACAAGCAAAGCCTGACGTTTCACCCCGGAATTCTCGATGCAAACATGTGTTTGCACCAAATGCCTGAGGCACCACATGCTGCCCAATCTCTCAGGCGCCGAAACAAAAGCTTAGCCTCCGATTTGATTGCCGCACGTGGCGACCTTCCAGATATGTATGCATGTACTCCGTATACGGACACCGTCCAGTTTTCCTCCGAGGAAAACCCAATCGGCTGCCCAGGTTGCTCCTCGGGCAGATTAAACCAAGCCCTGGATCTCCATAAAAACAAACAAAATGATTTGTTCTTCGGCGCGATCACGGCGAAGAAGAAAAAGTGAGTCAATCGCCTCCCATAAAGTGGAGAGAAGCCGAATTCCGAGCGAGATAACCCAAGGAACCTCTTCGCTGTGGAGAAAAAAAATCGGCGAGGACGGAAGTCTCAATGTTGTCCTGGGGCGCGATTTCATATTTCTGCTTTTTAGAAAAACCAAGCAGCTGCCATCCCCAACGCTGTCATTTCCTTTCGATCTCCGGGGTATATTTTATGGGCCAGACTAGGGCATGATCGGCACGATCCGCGACAAAATGGCCAAATGGGGCTTTAACGACGACAAAGTCCAGCCCGCTGCTGGTGCAGACATTGAAGCATACGATGTGAACCCCAAGGCGGAGTTTGAGCTCAATGTCGGTGGCCGTGCAGCTTTGCAGCGACGCCTGCGCAATTACCAGGTCACCATGATTGGTTTCTGCAGTGGTATTGGTACCGGTCTGTTCGTCGGAACGGGCTCTGCTTATGCCAAAGCTGGTCCTGCCGGTTTGCTCCTCGCGTATATCATCGTGGGAGGCGTTTTATGGTGTGTTATGCAGAGTATCGCCGAACTCGCAACCCTCTTCCCAACTGCTGGATCTTTCCCTCATTGGGCAACTCGGTTTATCGATCCGGCTGTCGGTTTCTCGCTCGCAATTTCATACGGATACTGTTACACCATCGCTATCGCCTCGGAAGTATCGGCAGCCGCAGTCATTGTTTCATACTGGACGGATTTAACGCCTGCTGTGGTGATCAGTGTGGGGTTGGTGCTTATTCTGGCCATCAACCTGATGAGTGTGCGATTCTATGGTGAAACCGAGGTCTTTGGAGGTGCCGTCAAGGTTCTCTGCTTCCTTGGCCTTGTTGTTGTCTCCATCGTCATTACTGCAGGAGGCGCACCACGCGGCGACGCTATCGGCTTCCGTTACTGGAATAATCCTGGACCATGGACGAACTATAACGGCATCACAGGTCCAACGGGCCACTTCCTCGGCTTTCTGTCATCCTTCGTCAACGCCTCATTCAGCTTCATTGGAGTTGAGACTGTCGTCATCACGGCATCTGAGTCCGTTGACCCGCATCGTGCTATTCCCAAGGCCGCGCGCCGGGTGACCTACCGCATTGGCTTCTTCTACGTTCTCGGTGCCATTCTCATTGGCATCATCGTGGATCCAAGATCCCCAGGCCTCGTTTCCGGCGACAACAACGCCAACAGCTCACCATTCGTCATTGCGATTACCAACGCTGGCATCAACGCTCTGCCGTCCATTGTTAATGCATGCATTCTAATCGCCGCCTGGTCTGCGGGTAACTCATACTGCTGGGTCGGATCGCGCATGATTGTCGCCATGACCACAGACCACCAGCTGCCACAGATCTTCGGACGCGTGAACAAGCATGGTGTGCCATACGTGGCTGTCGTTACCGCCTGGCTGTTTGGACCCCTGGCATACCTGAGTCTCGGTAGCGGCGGTGCATCGCAGGCTTTCAGCTGGCTTCTGAACCTGAGCACTGTCGCTGGTTTGATTGCTTGGGCAACCCTCTGTTTCTGCTATATTCGCTTCCATGCCGCAATGAAGAAGCAAAATGTTAGCCGAGACACCCTCCCATGGAAGGCACCTTTTCAACCTTATGCCGCATGGGTGGGCTTTGTCGGCTCGACTATCATTACTCTAGTTGCAGGTTTCCCCGTCTTCTTGAAGGGCAACTGGAATACGTCCGACTTTGTCGCGTCGTATATCGGTATCCCCATCTTCATCTTCCCCATAATTTGCTGGAAACTCTGGCATCGTACCAAGGTTAGTTTTCACTATCCTTTTCTTTCCACGCGCAGATTCACTAACGTTTTTAATATTTGCAGTTTGAGCGTGCCGCCAATATCGACCTTTGGTCAGGCCGTCTTCAAGACGGGGAAATTATGCCCGTTACAAACCCGCATAACAACGCGTGGACAAAGTTCACCGACTGGCTTTTCTGAATGATTTCTTGATTTTTACACATTTGCATGCCATGCTGGCTATTCAACATTAGCGATCCACAATATCCCACACAGTTTTGATCTCAAGTACAAACATTATTCTATAATCAATTTACTCAACTTTTTTTGAACTTTAGTCCAAGTTTCTTGATATCATGATAGGAAGCCTTGCAACATCCACCCACAAGGAATGAAGTGAAGGGCCCTTTTGCGTAGGCTTCATCAACCACTTGTGCCAATTGGTCCTCCCAAGGACGCTAGATCGCATGTTAGCATAACCATCGCTTCCAAGCTTCCCACCTACGTAGTTAACCATCCGACACTGTACTCACATCGTCACTCAACCCGCCATCCACTTTCTCCCAAATCTGAGTCGTAGTATTGTAAACCTCCCCATTCGTCCCATCAGGATACAAAACCAAGTTCGGAACCAAAGATATCTGCCCGGCCTCAACAGCCCCATCAACAGCCCGACCAAACAAATCCACCAGCCCAGCAAGTTTATGCATCTTAGTGCAATTAATCCCAATCCCCCAAGGAATCTCACCCCCCTCCAACGGCCCAACAGCAGCCTCCACAGCCCGCTCCACAGAACTCCCATCCGGCAGCTCATCCCCCTCCGGAAAAACACAAGCAATCCAAAACGGCACCCCAAACCCGGAATCCCGAATCGCCCTCCGAACAGCCCTCACCTCATCAACCCTCGGCACCGTCTCAAACGCCACATACCGCAACCGCGAAACAAGCCCCTCCGCAGCAAACATCCGCAATCGATCCAAATGCCAAGCATACAACGCCTCCTCAGAATCATGCTCGGCATCATACGCCCCGCTATACTCCTGCCCGGGGATCATACACGCCCCGTACGGACCAAGACTGAGCGCAATGCCCGCGCTATTCGCTTTAGCTTGCTCGGCGATGTCGACTGCGCGCCGGAGATAAGGCCCCATTGCGCTGCGCGGAATCCCGTCAGGGAAAGAGGCGGTTTTTGTCCGCGCGAACCCTTCGGCGGAGACTTGGTAGGTGGCTGTTAGGAGGATGTCGACTCCTGCGTTGCCGAAGTCTTGTTGGCATGCTTGCAGCGTTGTTGGGTCGCTGACTAGCAGGTGGGAGGCCCAGAGTGGGGTTGTTTTTGAGTCGAATTTTATGTTGTACAGATCGTCCAGGGAGGTGCCGAGGCCTCCATCCAGGATCTGGACTTTTGCCATTATGTGTATTTGGGGGGGTTGGGGGGTGTTATGGAGGGGAAGTGGGGAGTTTGTTGTTCAGGTCGTTGACACAGTTCTCTATGCGTATCCGTATGGGGGCGGACGCTTTTTGGGCAGTTACATAATCGGGCTTTATTTTGGCCGGCATCGGGGCATCAAAGTTCATTTGGTCGGAGGTTGAAAGGAGAAGTTAAGATACGTCGTTTTGTAGGTTTGTGCCGCGTGAAGCGATTTTCGGAGTGTTCATAAGACACCGATATCAGGTCTACGAGGTATCGTTTCTTGTTTCCTACATGCAGGTATATAATTTGTTTAGTTATGAAAAGAGAAGTGTTCATTTTAAACACCATGGTGCAGACATCATCAATATAGATCCGAAATATTATATATAGACAATGCGAGGGTGGTAAAATTTTATACATGCATCCATCCATATCGATGGAGGATTTGCATCTCATTGATAATGCAAAGCTCCCCACGTTCTTCATTCACAGTACTCAGAGCTCTCCACTTATCTACTCGTCTTCGAACCACTGTTTCTTTCAACCAGGAAGTAATCCCCAAGCGGCGCAGTCGATTGACCCATAGACCTTGCAGGATCCGTCTCGCAGACAGCCAATTCACCATTGGATGAACTGCAGAGTACGCGACCCCATTATATCCAACCCGAACCAAAGGGTTCAGGTAGGCACCCTTTTCCGCTGACATTGGATTGTCCACATGTATCAGACAGCACTCAGAGCCTTCGAGATGATATTTTGCTAGTGAATCGGAGATACCTCGGAAGAGGAGCGGTTCATTGGCGATGAATGGGCTTGCAGGCATTGCCACTAGAGAAAGTCAGATTTTGCAACGCTGATACAGAACAGATAGCCATACCCATGCCGTTCCAACAGCTAGTTACTGGGACGGGTGCCATGTTCTTCATTGCGTGTCGAGATACCGCAGAACTAAAATACGGCCATGTCTGCATGATAGGTTCGTGGCCCTGAATATCCCGCAGAGCGAATGTGTCATAGTAATCCGGAGGCTTGGAGAAATCCAATGAACAAGCAGCACCGTATTCGCCGTGATTAGTATCCAAAAGCTCGAAGACATCACTTGGCTAATCAAGAAAATAATGCGTTAAAATTCCGATCAAGCTCAACATAGGCTTGCAACGAACCGTAAAGACAACATCATTTAGAAACAAGATCTTATCAAAAGTAATCCCCTTCCGAGCAAGATCACGAAGAGGCAGCAAGCTCAAATTCCGTATTCGAGCTAGATAAGGCACCCGCCTGAGTTCTTTGTTTCCACTGGGGGTCTGAATCCAACCATCGCCTTGAGCCGGCGCAGCAATCTCATCTTCATGTGTCACCGGCGAAAGTGTGATATTCCGCGGCACCTGCATCCGCTCAAGCTCCCAATCCAGTTCCGTCAATGCGCCTTTTGTATTATCGTAGCTCCCGCTCTCGAAAATGCTGATAAACACATTGTCGGGACCAAGCTTCGAGACCAGCTCGAGAACCGCTTTATTCCAGTGACTGCGCAGGATAAGCTCGTTGTTCCAATGTACACTTGCGATGTATATCCGTTCCTGCTTTTGTGGTCGGTCTTTGGGTATCGAGTGTTCTACCTCATACACCCGACGCTGAATGAGGTGCAGTTCGGCTAAAGTCCATATAATACTTAGTATGATGAGGGCTCGAGCGATGCGGTACCGGAGGCCTCGTCGAGAAGTGGATAATAGCGTCATGGGAGGTGGCGGTGCAGGCGGGTTTGGTGTCAATTTGAGGCCGATCCAGAGGCGCGCAGTGGGATCTTCCGAACATGATGCAACATAGGTCTGGGAAAACCCCCGGTTAGAGGAGATTACTCCGTAGACATTGCTAGGAAAGACATCTAGGCAATCAAGGGAGCGATATACACCCAAGGTTGCATACTTCTCGATGGGGAAATACCAATGATCATCGGTTAACGGAGAGTAAAAATTATCGGCCCGATCGGCCATCAAGTGACTACTTTGAGACTTGATTTTGCATATGCGATTGGTCGCATACGGGAGAGTATAGAAGTAGGTAAGTGTCTATAAGTTCATGCACAGTAAGAAGACAACAAGGGCAAAAATAATATACAAGGGATGAGACCCGCAGTATCCAGGACCAAGTCCCCTTAACCCAAGAAATGCAAAAGTGCCGTCGCGGCAATCGCAATGCCGGCTATTCTGCTAAACCCGGCATGACTCCGACTAGCTGCGCCCGTCTCAGTCGCAGCGGGACTTGATACCGTGGTAGTAACTCCATCCCCCACCCACGGCTGCCCAGGAAGCGTATCCGAGCTCTTGCCGATCTCCGCCGCACTAAGAAGCTTGTTCTCCAACAGAGCGCAGTCGATCCGGTCATCGCTCTCGGGTATACTGTTCGTGACAGAGATCGGTAGATCGAAAACTGTGTAATAGTCCGTATCATTCCAGCGGAAGGATTGGTGCATGGAGATGTTGTATGCTCCCCGTGCGGAGTCTTTTGAACCCGCGCCGTCTCCCACGAGGCAGTCAGGCCAGATCCAATTCACATGTTTGACAGTGGATGAGGGTTCCAAGTCCAAGACGGGGCCGACATAGCTTGTGTTGGATGAGGGTTTTGTGCCGTTTGAGATGGTGAAGTTGTGGGACAGCGAGTCAGAGGTTAGGAAGAGTGTGATGCTGTGGAAGCGGGTGTCTGCGTCGGGTTCAGTCGATGCCGGCCATGGTAGTTTGCCATTGCCAGACACGTCAATTGCGACTTGTAGGTTGTCTGCGTAAAAGGGATTAGTGAGGAGGTCGTTGGAGCTTGGCGCATTGACTTGCCTCCTCCGAGGGGCGTGTTGGGCTGCGGGGCATCGACAATTGCCAGTCCCGGCGTGAAGATTTGGCCGTTAACGAGAGTGAAGTTGACCATTTCTGCTTAATTTGTTACTTATGATTTGAACCGGTATTTGTTTCACAAAAAATGTCAATTGTGCAGCCATGTCCTTTTTATTGTTCGATGCCAAGGGGGCTCATTTCCGGAAACTCCGCCGTTGTCCTTAGCGCATTGGGACTAATCTTATTTCTTGGGATTATTGGTCTATCCATAAGCCTTAGTGCTCCTTTTGTGCCAAATGTCTGATTATTCGAAATTGGTGTTGTGCAGGGTCAATAGGGGCACAGGGGACATTTAGGCTGTAGCAATCTACTCCGTACTCCGTGATTCCATGTTCGATTGAACGAAGCAATTCCGTGCTAATCTCTTCTGACGTTGGATTACGGTTCCAAGGTTGGTCCCTATTTCATTTTTAACTTGCCGCGGGTGCATCGCCACAATGTCAAGTTTGTCAATCATTGGTTCGTCCAGGGAAGTGAATCTCTTATGCGGGGGGAGCTCGATGTGGGTGGGCAGGGAGAATTCTCCGATTCCCTGAAGCATTCGATGTTCCACGAGTGTTATTCGTTGATCTGAAGACTCTCGAAGAGCATCGCGCAAGAAAGTCGCATTTCCACGGGGTACTTGCGTGGAGTAGTGTCCTCATTGGGACCCGTGCAATTTTCAGCTTGGGAGCTGTTGCTTGCCGATTCTGCGCATGGGCCTTTGTCAGAAACCTCACTGGGATTTCAGACTCAGATCTCATCGAAGTTTCAGAGGAATCCATGGATGACTCGAGCTTATCATTAAGACTCCCTCCGTTTTCACGTTTTTTGACTCGGTCTATAATGTCTAGAAAGGATGAGTTGGCCATCGCCAATCTCCGACTGTCCAAAAGACCGCATCAAGAGGAATCGAAGAGGTTTTTACTTGGTTTCCGTTTTTGTGCCAACAGTTGCATGAGAATTGCAACACATCAAGTTTTTCACCCGTGGAGGAACTGCGCAGCGGTCAGGGGAGTCACCAGGTGATCATCACCGAACAAAACATAGCATCATGTTTTGGGTAATTTGATAGAAGGGCTTCATCGGGGAAGTCTAGTGCCCGTGAGGACCTGCGGATATTCGCTCAAAATAGATAGATCTATCGTTGAGTTGGCGAGATCATCAAGGAAGGGGTTCGAGTGTAGTGTCGACATTTTCAGAGAGTTTCACGCTTAATGGGTATGTGTGACTTTATTCGCTTGTAGCAAGTAAATAGAAAAGAACACCCTTGCTTGAGAAACCCAGTGTGCACCGCGCAAACTTTCGCAGAACCTCAATTGTACCAGGAGCACTAGAAGTGATTGGGGCAAGCTCAACAGGATCATTTTGGACGTACAGCTAGCGGGTGACGGAGATGCTTTTCGATTGGCAGTGTAGCGTGGTTTTGTTGGGGTGACCGGAGCAGAGGGCCCGGTGGTTGAAGTATCCGGGCCTAGATATGTGGACGGGGAATGGTAACCGAAAGAGATTCAGGCTCTCAGCAGGGTCGAGTGTTGACAAAATGTGTGGTGGGCTGTATCCTTGGACTCCTGTCAATTTGAAGAGGAAGGAAGGAGGTAGATAGTGAATAGGGGAAGAGAATAAGAAAGAACCAAGCAACCATGTAGGGCTCTAGGTACATGTAGACACTATAGGTACACCTACAAGATTAGTTCCTTCTATGCAAGATGTTAGAAAGATTCCTCTGCACTATATTTGTAGGAATTTTGGTGGACTAGGAGTTTCCATGGCTTCTCTTGGACTCTCGCTTTTCGCATATTTCCCTATATACTGTTTAGGACTATAAAAAGTCGCCATTGCTGCATCCTCCTCCTCCTTGGCTTCTTTCTTCACCGTAAAACTGCATCTTCCTTTCACTCGCCTAAAAATGGAGAACCCACATAGCTAAGCGCTTTGGAGTTGGTTTTCGATGACTTTACTTCACTTCCTGCTTCTTTGACGGGCACTCGCCTTTTCCTTCGCACCTTGGTAACTTATCTACCAGCATCTAGCTAGCTACCTGTCAATCTACGCCCGCTACTTCTCATTTCAGTTCGCTGCGTTCAATAAGTTTATGCATTCTACCATTGTTCAGGCGACAATGGTGCCAATCTCTTTATAAAAGGCCATGTTGACCAGAATACCAGCGAGATCAAGTTTGCAAAGCCTTTGAGACTAACGGTTCGGTCGTCCAGAGCCCTCTTAAGAGATAACTCTCGCTCTTACGTTCGGATTCGAAATGCCTGGTCCGATTGACCCCCCAAGGTCCCGCATTTGAGCTCATTTATGAAGAATGATCTCTTCAGTCTTAGATTACATTGAAATGACCCGATGCAAACCCCCCTCTCTTGATCATATGAGTTCATCGCCGCAATTTTGGAAGTTCCACAGATACCTGGCTATAAATGATTTCTTCTTGCTCACTTTCCCTTTACCCTCCATCTACAACTTGATCGACCCTCCGGTTGCCTGACGCCAAAGGGTATATGCGCTACTCTTGTGAGTTTTCTTTCAAGTGACATCTGAGTTTTCCTTCACATCTTGTCAACAAACATGCTAGGTTGCAGTCCTATCGACTGACCTCACTCTTCTTCTCATACATGCTAATTAAGATCAGTGTACAAAGTACTGACCAACAAACTCACGGATACCGAATCGGCGCTTACTCGACAAGGAATCGAGAACGAACGCACCCGCTCCTAGCCAGCGGTTCTTCAGGCCAAATTGGCCGACGCCGACCAGCAGAGGAACCCGATCCGCTCTATTGATCTGCACGAAGTTGCAGCGATCAATCGGGTCAATCACCGCCGAGGCACCCAGATCGAACAGCAATTCGAGATCCTCGAGATGCGCTTGCAGGAACTTGCTGATGATCTGGACAATGCCAAAGGCAAGTCTACCGCCCTCGAGAGTCTGAAGAAGAGACTCTCTGAGGAATGCAATGACTGGTTCCAACTGCGCCAAGCAGTGAATGCTTCCGAGTTCAACAGGCGCCAACAGCAAGTGCGCTTCGCCGATGGCCAGAGCTTCCTTCAAGAGCTCATGCGCAAATTGCCAAAGATGCACAGCAACACTATGCAGGGCACAACAGGATGCCAGGTTTCTACTGCTAGTGCACTAATCAATAACCCAGTCAGCAACTCCCTCTATGGCGCCTACAGGTTGCGACCTTGCGCCTCAGAAACTCGACAACCGCGTGAGAACCAGCAACGCCCCGAACCCGTACAATTCCAAGAACAGCAGACTCGTTCGCTTTGACATGTTCAAAGCTGTTTTGCAATCATAGCTTCACTCATCATCAAATTCCTATGTACTCAGTCTCTTTGGGTGATCAGGGTATCTAGCATACATAGTATATCCTTTTCTCGACAAGTCTATCAATTCGGGCTTCTCTGTCCCAAGGTGTCTTTTGTAAGAGTAAACTTAAGTTTGAATCCTAATTTTGATACCCAGATTCATTTCTGAATACCATTTGGCATTGGCCGGGATCGCAAGCCCAAACATACTTATCGTAAAAGGTTCAATATGCATGGTTATGCAGCTACTACGCAGATCCCTCTCGGGAAGGTCAATTGAGAGTTCACATACGACTCCATTCCTAGATTGTTTTCCTTAAGGTATGCAGGAAAATATGCGCAGGAGACAAGAGCAGAACAAAAAGGTATCAAGGACTCAAAACATTAGGCGCATTCTTCAAAGACTTAGTAGCCTAGAGGCATTTGGTAGAAAATAGGCATGGAGAGACAACCGGTGTCATGACCACGCAAAAAAGAGGGACAGGCATTATCTCTTATCCCCCCAAAGGCCAACAATGCCAATAGAAAGCGCAATACCGGACAACCAAGTGCGTGCTCGGTGGAGCCGGCGCTCCCGGTCCATCTCGCGCTGGAAGATCTCGCCGTTCAAATCATCCTCGGCCTCGACAACGACAACATCTTCATCCTTCTTTGCGTTGGAGTCCCGGGTCAGACACATGGGGGAAACGTCGCGGATCATAGAGCATGCCCAGTTCTTGAAGCCGAGGTGACGATTGAACAAGAAGTCCACACCGTGGGCACCGACGATGGAGAACGCGCAGAGCCAGACCATGTATGGGTGTCTACGGCGCGGGGATGAGAGGCACCATGCGAAACAGAAGCAAGTGTTGGTCAGGAAAGTTAGGCGCAGGGCATATCGGCGCGATAGGCGCTTCACCTCGTTAAGGGATCGAGCGGCGGTAGTAGCTGTTGGGAGGAGCTGGAGAGCTGGAATTGTGATCGCGGATGTAGAGTAGGAGAGGCCCTTTAGAGTTAAGAACGCTTGTTAGCATCAACTGATTTGATTGCGCGCGGTTGACCTACTGTAAGCAGACCGAGAGAGACAGTGCCAACAAACTTGCTGACGCTGATTGGGCAGGCCATATTGTCGCACAAAACGCTGGTCACTTGTTTCAGGATTGTGTTGGTACAAGACAGAGAGTCTGAGATTTGTCTGAGCCGAGGGTTCGAATAACAAACTTGAAAGCAAACAGACGATGGTTATTTTTGGTGACGTCGCGGGCCCGCCCGCGGACTAGCCAATCAGCGGGCGGGTGTTCTTCATCGTGTTGACGGGCTTCCAACGCTGTTCCTTTTATAAATGATGATGTCCGTTTAAATAGAAAATCGTGGACAATTTATTTTAGTGCGATTGTGGATTCCTTTTTTCTTCATGCCATCGTCGATGCTAACAACTCCCTCAGCTGCCTTTGCATGAGCTGAGTATGTGCAATTATGGGGGTTACATGTAGAACTTGGGCGTTATTTAGAGCCATGGACAGTGTATGGGTCATATTCTTACTGCTTTTCATCAAATGGGACTATATTGGAGTAAATTTCCATGCTCAACCTTGTTAGGCGCTTCAGACTCCCAACTATATATAGTTATACTCATGATCACCACATACAGGTTGCCCATGATCTAGAGGCTCTTTAGACATCCAATATGTTATAATGATACATGTATTATGTGCTAGCTAGGTGTTGAGATATGAGATTACGACATTCTCATAGCCTCAACATATACACCTAACACTTTGGTATGTATAGACCTGAAGATGGCGCGGTGGTAGCTAACCTGTCAAACAGCTATGACGAAATTTAGAGTGGCAGAAATGACCTTGAAAATTAAGTATAGACAGTGGTAGATATACCCAAATCTGTATTTAAATGCATCTGTTTACTGATCTAGATAGAGTGGCCATCAGTTAACCCCGAAGCAATTCCACAATTGTGCAGGGCTGTGTACTGGATCAGTAATCAAAAATGCATAAATTCACCCGTTGGAACATTTGAAGCCGAGGTCCGCCTGTGGGGAAACAGTCGTTATCAACCTCCTGAACTCCCCCAATTTCCCCACAATCTTCACTTTGTTCACTTAAGAAAAAAAAGATAAAGTAATCATGCCGCTGCCGAAGAGTGAATACTTGAGTGATACCTGGAAGGATGGGATCTTCGGTGAGCTTTTGCCGCGTCAGACGGTACGATCTAGTACCACTAACTTCTCCATTCTAGCAAACAAAGTGGTCTTCTGCACCGGTGGCGCGGGTACCATTTGCAGTGCACAGGTTAGGGCTTTGGTCCACCTAGGTGCTAACGCATGCATCATCGGCCGCAATGTAGAGAAGACCGAGCGTGTTGCTCAAGACATCGCGACGGCCCGACCGGGTGCCAAGGTGATTGGAATTGGTGCTGTGGACGTGCGCAAGCTCGATAGCTTGCAGAAAGCAGTCGATCGCTGTGTCAAGGAACTTGGCGCTATTGATTTTGTCATGTAAGTTGACAGATCAACGTGATTCCAGTGTTGGGCTCCCATGCTGATAGTATTTGACAGCGCCGGAGCGGCAGGTAACTTCCTTGCCTCGATCGAGCAACTCTCGGCAAATGCCTTCAAGTCTGTTATGGACATTGATGTATTGGGGTCCTATAACACCCTCAAGGCTACTCTTCCGTATTTGCGGGAGTCTGGCAAAAAGCACAGGATGGACTCGGGATCCCGTGAGTTCGCCAGTTGGCAGACCTGAACCTTGCATATCATGATCACTGACAACCATTTAGTCCAACCATCACCACTTGGAACCGGCGGAAGAATTATCTTCGTTAGCGCCACCCTCCACTACCGAGGTATGCCCTTCCAGTCCCATGTGGCCGTTGCCAAAGCCGGCATCGACGCCTTGTCGAACAGTGTCGCCATCGAGTATGGTCCACGCGGCATAACTTCCAACATCATTGCACCGGGACCTATTGCCCAGACTGAAGTTAGTACAAAAATATCCTATAACTGTGTCAAAGAATGAATTGCTCATAATCATTTAGGGCCTGGAGCGTCTGCTGCCATCAGATGTCATGGAAGCCTACACCAAGTCCCAGCCACTCGGCCGCTTTGGCCATGTGCGCGACATTGCCGATGCCACTGTATACCTCTTTGCGGATACTGGTAGCTACGTCACAGGCCAGACCCTTGTTGGTGAGTAATCAGACATCTGAAGATCATTGTGAACGTCTAAAACTTACACAAAAAACAGTCGATGGTGCGAACTGGCGCATGTCAGCCGGCGGTGCTTCAGGTGGAAATCTGTCTTATCCGGAATTTTTGCTTTCTGGTGATGAGGTTCCCAACGTAACTGGCAAGAAGTCTAAGCTTTGAGTAGAGAGAAGAATGGACGACACCGATCGTACACCAGCACCTTTCGGGCGTTCTTATCTTAGATATTCAGTATTCTTCTAATTATTATCGATGTAATGGATTTGATAGGATTTGTTATTTTTTAACCAAGGAGGCCTCTACCCAAATAATGTAGTCTCATTTTTGGGATCAAATTGCAGTGTCCTCTAGCATCAAGAATCCCTCATCATTCTTCACTAAAAGACTGCAGTTTCGGTATCGCCAAAAATGCCTACCCAGCGAGTCACGCCCATGGAATTGAGTATCAGCGACCGTATAGTGTAGACCTGGAGACCCAGGAATTGCACAACAAACGAGGGAACAATCCCCCAAACATCCGTGTCGTAGGTCCATCACTTTATGTGAGCTTGCTCCCGAGGTATTGGCCCTCAAATGCGTCTTCTCGTATGGCTTTGGCGGATTTCGGTACGATGAATCTGCGGAGGGGAGTGAGCTGAACCTTGCGTCACAACTGGTCTGTAGTCCGTCCGATCCTATTGCCTGTCGCAGTGTAGTATGTCAGTCACCAAAAGAAGTGTCATGATTCAATGATTGATTCTTGAACCGCGCACGACTAGTTTGAGCGCCAGCTTCTTCTTCATCCGAGAAGATATTTCCAGCCCGTCGATAACTGCCTTTTTGGGATCCTGGATCCTTTGAATGAGCCGAAAGTTCAGATTTCCAAAACGCTTGCAGGGAAGCCAGCTCAAAGCGTGTCGACTCGGGCCTGAATCGATTAGTGTCTCTCCTCGGTACTATGAGAACCCCATTATGTGTAGTAACCGCTGAAGCTCCAGCATTTGCAAGGACAGATAGCCATTTCTGTATCACCCACCATAAGATCTGATCGATTGTGAGAGTCCGATCCCAGTCAATGAATCAAACCATTGAATAGTCTCTTCCTGGCAATTCGGATGAATCGTAGTGTTGCGAAGACACGTGACCTCCTAGCACTTTAGTCTAGTCTAGCTAGCTTTCCTTCTTCTTCCTTTTCTCTTAGCACGCACAATAAAAGATTTTCCAGTCCACTCCTTTTCATGAGTAGTCGTACAGGATTATCTCTCTATCACGTAGGTCGTAGAATCGGGTGTAGGAAGTATTTGGTAGATCGAGGCACTGTTAACATCTAGCGACAAGCTCTTAAGCCATAACCAATGAGTCTCCAGCCAGTGAATGCCTTGTATATCTCAACGGCAAGCGAGTGCAGACTTACCGTGGTACCCGGAGCCATGAGATCAATGGCCGAAGTATCAAAAATCGTAGAACCATTCAGATGGGATGAATAGGTATGAATGCACACGCTCGACACCCGATTTGCAGTCGTTTTCCCTAGTAAGTCAGCAGTCTGTTCCATCTCCGTAGATACATTCGCAAATAACTGTTCGCTGTCCCTCTCGGTTCTCGTTTGGTCTCTATTGCCGTCTTCCATGTAGTGTACTTTTCGTCCCGATTTTGGTCGGATGTTTGTCCCATCGCAACCTGGATAGAAATTAGCCCTCAGACTGCTGCCCTTTTGCCAATAGAGGTCTCAAAGTCGAAGGCTAGCTGACCTGCTTGTAGTCTTCTCATCTTGCGCTTTGCGGATCTGGCTAGTGTCGCACTCGGGTTTGGCGTCTTTGGGCGTTTTTGCGAGACACAAGAACGGCTTCGATCGAGGCCTATATAGTCAATATGAATCTCTTGTCAGCCTTTGCAGTCAATGTAGGGATACCTGATATCCACCACACCTGTTTTCCAATAAGAATCTGTAAGAATGGGCACTGAACAGGGTGTCTTCGTCTCGAAGAAGACAGCACCGTTGACTAGACATACCCGGACTGTCTCAACCAGGATGCTATCTCGTTTCGAGCGGCATAGACTGGGAGACCAGTAGCTTGATGAAGCTCTTGATGTCCCAATATTCATTGATACGATTCCATGTCTTGAATCAACGTACTACATGTCTGTCCCAGGATGTCTACTATTCGGCAAGCCGAATACACAATACATAAATGTAGGCTACAGCACATCTCCATACTGCTATTCTGGCTATTTACAGGGCTTGTACTACAAAATCTAGTTCTATAAAGTCCAATACAACCCGAATAAGAGCCAGTCTTCCTAGAAAAGGACAATTGAGGGTACCAAAGACAGTCCGCATTGTTTCCGCCCTCATGGTCACCATTGTTAAACAAAGAAATAGTCGTAAACAAAGAAAAGACAAGCCCTTATTGGTTGAGCTAGGAGCTCCAACCCAGAGAGGAAGGAACTCGACCAGTGAGATGCTAAGGCCTCACCAATGCGTCGCGCTCCAGGACTATATAACCCCCTCAATACCCCCAAGATCTCTTTCCCTTTCTCTCTCTCTCCTTTCTTCCTCATCATCGGTTCCATTTGTTTCTTGTCTTCAGTTTCCACTGCTCCTCATCAAGTTTCATCCCAGAACTTGGTGATCAAGTGCTTTTCTGAATCTGTTGTCAGCATTGTCTCTTGCAAGTCCCACCCACCCTTTTGAGTATCTCCCCCCGGTGTCTAACATCCTGCCATGTAGATTGACCCGTGTCTCAATTGACATCTTTTATCTGAAGACCAGCTTTCATCCCAACCGTGTCTTGTAAGTCCCGTCTTCCCTTATGAGCAACCTCGCACACCATCTAACATCTTGTCATGTAGTCGACAGGTCCCCATTGACACCTGTTGTCTGAAGACCAGCTTTCATCCCAACCGTGTCTTGTAAGTCCCGTCTTCCCTCATGAGTAGCCTCGCACCCCGTCTAACATCTTGTCATGTAGTCGACAGGTTGCCATTGACACCTTTTGTCTGAAGACAACCCTTCCATCCCAACCGTGTCTTGTAAGTCCTGTCTTCCCTTTTGACTAGCCTCGCACACCGTCTAACATCTTGTCATGTAGTCGACAGGTTGCCATTGGCACATTTGTCCAAAGACCCTTTCATCCCAGTCGTGTCTTCTCTTTTTCTCCGAACTTCTTCTTTTCATCGTAAGTTTGTCCAGTCAGTCCAATCATTCCTCAACAAGCATGAGCTCTGACATATCTCCAAGTTCGCAATGGCAAGCAACCGGGGACCCCCTCGCCGCAACGGCGTCATTGGCTTCTCGATGAGCGGTGTGTCTGCTCCCATCATGCCTTCGACCACCGAGCCGCGCCGCAATGGACCAAGTGGAGCTACCAACAGAGCTGCTCCTGAGCCTGTTATGCCCCTGACCACTGGCCCTCGCCGCAACGGCGTCATTGGCTTCTCGATGAGCGGTGTCTCTGCTCCCATCATGCCTTCGACCACCGAGCCACGCCGCAATGGACCAAGTGGAGCTACCAACAGAGCTGCTCCTGAGCCTGTTATGCCCCTGACCACTGGCCCTCGCCGCAACGGCGTCATTGGCTTCTCGATGAGTGGTGCTTCTGCCCCCGTCATGCCTTCGACCACCAACCCTCGCCGCAATGGACCAATTGGTTTCCAGATGGCCGCTCCTCCTGCTACCATGAGTGGTGCTTCTGCCCCTGTCATGCCTTTGACCACCAACCCTCGCCGAAATGGACCAATTGGTTTCCAGATGGCCCCTTCCCCCGCTACCATTGCTTCGACCAACCCCACCAACACGACAAATAGCCAGGCTCCTCCGCACAGGAACTTCCCCCTGGCGGGCCCCGACACAGCCCAATCTTCCTTCGGATACACTGACGTCCGAATGACCGACATCGAGCTGGATCGATCTGAGACAGCCGTTTCCCAGGCAGTCTCCCAGAGCAACGCCGTAGCCAACTCGGCCCGCAAGTCACAGCGCGAGATCAACACGCTGACCAGCCAACTCGCGGATACCGAATCGGCGCTTGCTCGGCAAGAGATCGAGAACGACCGCACCCGTTCCCAGGTGGCGGCTCTTCAGGCCAAACTGGCCAACCAGCAGAAGAAAACGACCCGCTTTATTGATGTGCACGAAGTTGCAGCAATCAATCGGGTCAATCACCGCCGAGGCACCCAGATCGAACAGCAATTCGAGATCCTCGAGATGCGTTTGCAGGAACTTGCTGATGATCTGGACAATGCCAAAGGCAAGTCTACCGCCCTCGAGAGTCTGAAGAAGAGACTCTCCGAGGAATGCAATGACTGGTTCCAACTGCGCCAAGCAGTGAATGCTTCCGAGTTTAACAGGCGCCAACAGCAAGTGCGCTTCGCCGATGGCCAGAGCTTCCTTCAAGAGCTCATGCGCAAACGGGCGAAGATGCACAGCAACACTATGCGGGACACAAGAGGACGCCAGGTTCCCACTGCCGGTCAATCAAGGACCCAGTCAGCAACCCCCTCTGTGGCTCCCGCAGGTTGCAAAGTTGCGCCCCAAAAACTCGACAACCGCGTTAGAACCAGCAATGCCCCGACCCCGTACATTCCCAGTGACCAGCGAATTCGTTCTCAGTTTGACCTGTCCAACCCCTTCCTGAAGGAGATGCGAACCCAACAGCCTGAGGTCCGCGGACAACAACAACAGAGCAACGAATGCCCGCAGCGATCTGCCAATGCTAGGGAGAATGATTCGGAATCGAGCCTCTCCGACCTTGATAGTGAGCTTGAGTCTTCTGACATCCCCATGAGATCTAAGTCTGAATCTCCCAGTGAGGATTCTGACGATGGTCCATGGGAAGCTCCGGAATCGGCCCCTTCCGAACTCAGTACTGAGCTTGACGAATCTGTGGAGTCTTCTGACACTTCCATGAGATCTCAGTCCGAACCTCCCAGTGAGGTTTCTGACGAAGGCCCATGGGAAGCTCCAGAATCGCCAAGCAACAGCTCCCAAGCTGAAAGTCGTACGGGTCCCAATGAGGACACAACCCCACGCAATCACCCCGTGGAAATGCAACTTTCTTGCGCGGTGTTCTTCGAAGGTGTTCGTCACATCAATGAGGAACACCAACGGAACATCGAATGCGGCAACCTGACGAATCACTCCCGCAAACATCCTATTGAGATGGATTGGGAGTCTGATCTCGAGTCCCGCTTCCCCCCACGCAAGACAAGCACTTCCGAGGACGTAATCATGATTGACGCTCCCGCTGTGAACATGAACAAGATGCTGGTTACGGATGAGATGATGGCAGATGCACGATTGGTCACACGATCGTGCGACATCATTCATCGAATTACGCGCAACCGTATCGAGCGCAACCGTATCCGCTCTTTTGTGCATGCTCGCAGGGCAGCTCTCATGATCATGCCAGTCCCGAAAATGCAGACACCGAGTGCGCCCGCTGTTCCCCAGCCGACTCAATCTGCATATCCTGTGACAGAAGAAGTGTCATTCCAGCCAGATATGAGCGTGCCAGCTGTTCCCCAGCCAGCTCAAACTGTCCAGGAGTACACTGAAACTGTTCACCCATGGATGACAACCCAGGCAGCTATGAGCGTGCCAGCTGTTCCTCAGCCAGCTCAAGCCGCTATGGAGTCTTTCGCGACTGTGCCGATCGGTGTGACCACCTACGAAGCCATGAGTGCGCCAGCTGTTCCCCAGCCAACTCAAGCTATGTGGGAGTCCACCGAGCCCGTCCTGACCCAAGGGGTGCCTTACCACGCAGGTATGAGTGTGCCAGCTGTTTCGCAGCCAGCTCAAACTGCGTGGGGGTCCATTGATACCGTTCTGCCCGAGGAACTGACTACCGAGGCAACAATGAGTGTGCCAGCTGTTTCTCAGCCAACTCTTGTTCTTTGTGAGCCCGTTGAGACAGTCCCAACCAAGCCGTTGTCCATCCGAAAGGCCGTGAGTGTGCGAGCTGTTTCTCAGCCAACTCTGGCTCTTTTGAGGCGCGTGAAGACTGTCCCGACCAAGCCAACGCGTATCCAGAAGGCTTCGAATGTGCCGGCTGTTTCCAAGCCAATTCGAGCCAAGATGGAGTCGCTCGTGCAGGTCCCTCGCAAGTCAGCTATGAGTGCGCCAGCTGTTGCTCAGCCGACTCAAGCTGAAGAACGGTACGACGCCGTTGAGAGAATGTCGACCAAGGAAATGCCAAGCCAGACAGTTTTGAGTGTGCCAGCTGTTTCTAAGCCAACTCGAACTGTTTTGAAGAAGATGAGCAAGACGGAGTCAGTTTCATCTGACAAGGTTGTGGGTGCGCCAGCTCCTCGTGAGCCAGTCCCAAACCAGTCTGGTCTCACTTCATCAAAGGCAAGTGAGAAGTTTTGGAGGGTGCCTGCTGTTTCTGAGCCACCTCCGAACGGATCATTTAAGCTCTGGCCGCGCGAGAAGCGCACTGAAAGCCTGCGAGCCCCTGGCGGTTCGCACCTCGATGTGTTCCCTTCTCAGCACGGGGCAATGACATGGTCTCGTTCCAACGACGTGTCCTCTCTCGAGAAGTTGCAAGTCACAGCAACTTCTCATATCGAAAATGCCTCTTCCATGGTGGCCACCGATTCCTGTGCGGGGGTTTCGCAAGGTACCAAGAAGGTTGAGGTCGCCAATGACCCTTCTTGCAGCGCTCAACAGTCTGCAGGAGAACGACAGGGAGAATTGGGCGGAGAAGAGTCAGCAACTGGTCTTCAAATGCCAGGAGCTTGGCCTGCCGACCCACCCGTCGTCACTGTGTCTGCTGGGTCAGACATGCAGAGGGGATTGGCCGTGTCAAAGGAGTTGATCTCCACGATCCGTTCGGTCACCATCGGTGTCTCACTGCTGGTGCTACTTCTTGTGGTTACCTTTCTCTTCTGGGGAGACCACACTGGACACCTGGTGATTCCCGAGGGTTCCGATCGGTTCTTGGAGGTGCTTCGCTCGGAGCATGGTTTTGAAGTTCCGCTCTTTGAGCGCTTCATCTATGTCTTCATGCGTTGCATTGCTGGAGACCGGGTTCTGCACGGTTGAAAGCAGTCGACTCCAGACACAACCCATCAAGGGGAGGGACGAATGGGCCGCCTCTTGATGGTTTTGAATTTATGCACATCTTGCAAGGCAGGAAGTTGGCAAGTCCGATGATTGCCTCTTCCCCTGCAAAAATCCACAGAACGGCTGGCCAAGAGGAGGGACGAATGAGCCACCTCTTGCGACCAACGCAACGACAAGGCAGCGACCTGGCAAGTCCGATGATTGCCACCTCACCTGCACGACGGACTGCGGCCGAGGGGAGGGACGAATGAGCCACCTCTTGAGACCGTAACGACAACGCAGCAAGCCGGCGAGTCCGATGATTGCCGCTGCATCTGCGCAAGTACGACGCCAAGTGTCTGTCCCCGAAGACACTTCGCTCATCCTTCGGGATGATGTACGATTTCTTGTCGGTTGTCGAAAGACACCGTGTCCGAGTTGTTTGTTCTGCACCCTTCGGGGTGATGTGCGAGTTTCATGTTGGCGCGCCAAAACATGGCATTTGCCTGTTTTGAGCTTTGTTTGATTTTTCTTGTCGGTCCCCCCAAGGGGGTTGTATGATTTGTTGTTTGTGTTGCTTGTCGGTGTCGACAGAAAAAAAAAAAAAACACAAAAAACACAAAAAACAAAAAATCCAAAAAATCCAAAAAAAAAACATACAAAAAAACAGACAAAAAATCACAAAAACAAAAAAAAAAAAAAAAAAAAAAAACCCAAGTCGCCAAAAGACAGAAGTCACCGGCTCCCGGGGGAATCATCAGGGATCACTATATAATCCCCTGGGAGCCGGAGACCTTATATCGCCGCCTGCGTGTTCGGAGGGCCACACCAAAAACAAAAAAAAAACGACGCTCAACACCCAGCTCCTGGGGGATTCGTACCATACATGATTTGCTAAACACTATACGCCTATCACTGTACGATCCCCTGGGAGCTGGAAATCCAAACACAACAGAGCAGCCTCTGAACATGCGGGCGGCAAGTCGGCTCCCGGGGGACTCGTATCATTCATGATACAAAATCCAATATACTCATTTCGCTATACGATCCCCTGGGAGCCGCAAATACAAGTTCGACGCGCCCTCTGGGCATGCAGGCGACAAGCCCGCTCCTGGACCACTGGGACCTTCATTATACGATCCCCCGGGAGCCGCAAATACAACCACAGCTTTCGCTTCGGCATCAAAAACAAAAACACAACCACAAAACCACAATGACGCCGAGGACACCTGCATGCCCAGCAGGCCAACAATTTCCACTTCGCCGACGGGCAGCGTCGACACACCCGGCTCCTGGGGAACTGGGAACACTATATGAATCCCTGGGAGCTGGAAACAAAACACGGCACACGCTTCGGCGTCGAAAAACAACAGTTCAATTTCGATGCCACCTGCATCTTCAGCAGGTTTCATGCCGACTTCGCTATGGAAAGCGATGACACCCGGCTCCCGGGGACTGGGAACACTATATGATCCCTGGGAGCTGGAAACAAAAACGGCACACGCTTCGGCGTCGAAAAACAACAGTTCAATTTCGATGCCACCTGCATCTTCAGCAGGTTTCATGCCGACTTCGCTATGGAAAGCGATGACACCCGGCTCCCGGGGACTGGGAACACTATATGAACCCTGGGAGCTGGAAACAAAAACGGCACACGCTTCGGCGTCGAAAAACAACAGTTCAATATCGACGCCGCCTGCATCTTCAGCAGGTTCCATGCCAACTTCGTCACGGGCAGCGACACCACACCCGCCTCCCAGGGGACTGGGAACATCATATGATTCCCTGGGAGCCGGAAGCAAAAACACGGTGTATGCTTCTGCGTCGAAAACACACACATACACACACACAAACACAGATTCGACACCGCCTGCGTCTTCAGCAGGCCCCGTGCCATCTTCGCGACGGGCAGCAACACACCCGGCTCCCGGGAACTGGGAACAATATATGATCCCTGGGAGCTGGAAGCAACCACGCGGCGTACGCTATGGCGTCGAAAATACAACAAATCAGTATCGACGCCGCCTGCATATTCAGCAGGCTCATGCCAGCTTTGCCACGGACAGCAACACCACACCCGGCTCCTGGGGAACTGGGAACACTATATGATTCCCTGGGAGCTGGAAATAAGAATCGGCACACACATTTCGGCGTCAACAATGAAACCACAAACCCAAATCTGACGCAGCCTGCTCTCAGCAGGTTCATGCCAATTCCGCTGTCCAGCGACTACACACCGGCTCCTGGGGACTGGGAACATCAAGTGATCCCTGGAGACCTGGTCAAACAACGTCGCGCAAAGACATCTCCGGTCCGGCCTACACTTCAACAGGCTGACCATGCCCACTTCGCTGCCCAGCGACAACACACCGGCTCCTGGGGGACTGGGAACATCAAATGATCCCTGGAGACCTGGTCAAACAACGTCGCGCGAAGACAACTCTGGTCTTGCCTATACTTCAACAGGCTGACCATGCCAACTTCGCTGCCCAGCGACAACACACCGGCTCCTGGGGGACTGGGAACATCAAATGATCACCCGGGAGCTGGAAACAAAAGATATTTGATAGTGAGGTATACGTCTCGGTATGGTGCAAACACAGATCTGATGGCGTCTGCGTGTTCAGTGGGTTGATTATGCCAATTTCGTCGTCCATCGATGACAAGCCGGCTCCTGGAGAATCATATCATGTTCCCAGTTCTCCTTGAGCTTTGGTGCGTCGTTCTTTGGGCTTCGAAAATGGTGTGGACAATCTGTTGGATGCGTAGGTGACATCGGGTTTGGGTTTGTATCATACTGAGGAGTATACCGTGCTATCATACATCTTACATCTTCAATTTCCAGAAATCACACATCGGCATCTCCTTGGAGATCAAAAACCACGACGCTTCGGCGTCACACAAACACAAACCTGACAACGCCTGCACGCCATGCAAGCTGCCATGGCCATTTCCACCACTTCAGCTTCTCGCAGTCGGGAACGATATGTGCACGCCACCATGAACAAGTCTTTGAGCGCATTCATACGAGTGTTCCCTCAAGATTTTCATTTCAAAACACGCTCAATATGAAACACAAAGTACGAGCATTTACATTCCCGACCTCGGGACCTCAGGTGCGCTTGCACAGTCAGCAGGCTAACTCCGGGGCTTCCTCCACCAATGACATCACGCGCCACGCAGCAGCTGGCGTCACCCACTCCACTTGCCGTCGACAGAAGATCATGCTATACACTTATCTCCATACCCCTTGAGATAACTTGATCGGCTCTACTTCTTTCGACCACACAGAAGCATCGCTTTCGAACATTCTTGTGTTGAGCCTCGCTCCTTTACGCTATGTTTATACGCTCCGTCCTGCTGGGTGGCGCCGCTGCTCTCGGCGCCAGTGCAATGCTGGTCGTCCCCGAGATGGAACCCAAAGTCGATAACATCGAAGATGGCTATATGAATATTCAACCGGTGATTCTAGAAGACGTTCACCATGCAGTCGTTGATCTGCCCTGCACCGAATGCCCCCTGCGTGAGACCAGCAAGGAAGGGGTTGTCAGTTGGACAGAAGGCAAAGCTTCATCATTGGTAAGGATGACAGAACTCATTCAGGTGTAGGAACTAGCTAACAAATCTTCATAGAATCTCGATTTTTCGATCCAAGATAACCTTTTGCTGGCCAACGGCCGTCAAATTTTCCCGCCGGCTCCGCTTATCCCCGTCCTTGCAGTCCAACAAAACGAAGATGGGGAGGACTCCACACCTGTGCCTGTTGGCTATGCGCTCGAGATCATGCCCATGCCCGCACCATCTGACGAACCGGGATATGAGATACTGGATATTCGATTCACTGTCCTCGACCTGGAGGCCCACCCGGTCCCTGTCGATACTGTTGCGATCACCGTTCTTCAAGATCCCAACGGCGAGCTCTTCATCGCCCGGACTGAAATCGAAAAGACATCCGCCTCTTCCGACCGCTTGTCCTGGAAAGAGTGCAATGGCAAGGCCAAATGTCTCCAGGAACTTCTGGTCGCTCGCATTCGAAACCTGTTGACCGGCGCAAAGACCCGCGTGATGGGCATGGCCAAGCCTGGCCGCAAGGGCTGTCACGGCAAACACAAAGACACTACAATGGCCCAATCTGGGTCTGGACACCATCCCCACGGTCATGGTTTCGGGTCTGCTCATCCTCACCATGGTCACCGATACCACGGCGCTTTCGCCCGCACTTTCTCTCGCATTGTACACTTCGTTCTCATCCCAGCCGTTCTGGGTGTTCTGGCTGGATTGACTGCTAGTGCTGTTGGTATGCTGGTTGGTAAGGCTGTGGTCTTCATCTGGAAACGTTACCGCGGCGCCAATTCTGCGGAGCCCAGAGCGGCCTGGGAGGATGGCGAGGCTTGTGAGAAGCAAGGCCTTATGTCCGTCTCTACTTCCTCCGAGGATGTCCTTCCCGAGTATACTGAAGATTCTCAGGCTCGAGGATCCCTTGACAAGAATTAAACCCGACACATAAAAAACAACCACAAACCACCATACCAAAAAAAAGAAAAAAAAAGGAAAAAAGGAAAAAAGGAACACTGAAAAAACTGAAAAAAAAAAAAAAAAAAAAAAAAAAAAAAAAAAAAAACTTGTTGAACTTGTTGAACTTGTCTTCGGACCACTGTCTGTCTTTTGATCAAGAGCCATTGTCAACTCCCCTGGACGGTACTAGGACGGTACTACAAACCTTCATCAACTTCACACTTTGAAGACCTTCCGTCGTGGCTCATTGATCACCCGAAAAGAAAAAAGAAACAAAACAACAAAAAAGAAACAAAACAACAAAAAAGAAACAAAACAACAAAAAACAAAAGGCAGAGACAGAATGCAGTCGTCTTCCATCAAACACTTTCATCGGCTACTCAGAATGGCCTTCCCGTCCCTTTTCTCGGCCAATGCACCAGAAAAATGAAGAGCATCCTGGCCCAATGGTCACTCAAACAAACAGGTATCCCTGACCAAGGCTTTTACCAAACAGCCGAGGATTGCTACATTCAATCTTCATGGACATACCGAGCTCTCTGGTGCTTGAGTAGCACTGAATGAAGCAAGAAAAGGACAAGGACAAGTGCAAGGACAAGGATACGAATAAGAATAAGAACAGGAACAAGGACAAGGACAAGAACTCTAACATAGACAAGAACAAGCACACAACAAGCACAGGCACAAACACGAGAACAAGCACGAGAAGAAAAATGGTCCACTACCATTGACTCACGGCCATCGCCAATCAGACTGGGCTCCTCACTACCATTCCACATTCCACGGCCAGTCCACATAAATCGAATTGGCCTTCTGGAGCCCAGTCGTCACTTGACAGCAACGAACGTTAAAAACAAAAAAAAAAGAAATCGTTTCTGCTGATGGACACGGCATCGTCATTGTCAGCCTGGTTGGTTCTACAATTCTTTGGTCAATCCAGATGAATGCAATGAGCCCCCTGGAGCTCAATCGCGACTTTGTGAGAACGGAAGAAAAAAGGAAAAGAAAGAACCGTTCTCTAGTCATTCCTACCACGACCATCACCAGCCAGGCTAGCCTCTCCAGACTCTTTCTACAATCTGCGACAATGAGCCCTCTGGATTCCCTCAGTCATCCGACAGCAGCAAACAGAAAAAAGAAAAAAACATATCCTGCTGTCGTGCAGACCTCGGGACCATCAACCACGCTGACTCTTCAATTATTCGGCCAATCCAGATGAATGACATGAGCCCCCTGGAGCCCAAGGGTCACTCGACAAGGTCTAACAAAAAAAAAAGAAGAAAAAAAAAAGATCCCTCTGTCGCCCACACCACAACCATCACGAGTCAATTCTTCAATTAATCCAGATGAACACAATGAGCCCCCTGGAGCTCAACAACAACTCACGAAGAACAGCGAGGCAAAAGAAAACCCCCCTCCCTCCGCTGTCTTTTGACCTGTGACCATCTTCTGTGTATTTCGCACGGTGCTTATTCACTTGTGCTTGATTTTTCTATATTTCATGCCTGCTTCTTTGTTCTGTCAGTATGCAGTTCATGTTCCGAATATTGTTCTTTTGAGAATTCATGTTCTATTTTTGTCTTGTCTTGTCTGATTCCTATTCGATTGCAACGTCTTTATTAGTCTCATATGAAGTTTATCTGGCGTGTCTGATTCCTAATTTTTGCTTGAGTTTGATATGTTATTGTACTCCTGTGTCAGAGCTGTAAGGTGCTTTGCATGTTGATCAAATCGTTTCAAGAAAGAATCTTTTCTTCTCGAGGTCTTTCGTAATGTAGACTCGTACCTAGTCGGACATTGAGTAACATGATGTATATGCAGATGGATAACTTGGCATGAGACCGTAGCGAAGCGATCAAATACATGCAGTCAAGCCCATAATTCCTTCTTTCTAGATATTTAAGATCCATTATACTTGAATTTCATGTTGGTTAGCAACACTTTGGCAAGTATGTATATCAAGAGTGCCCTTAGGGACTGCCAAGCTATGGATAAGGCTGAAGATAGTCACGTGAAGCCATCGGCATCATCACGCCCCCTCTTATCAATCCGACAACAACACCCGACCCGACTCTCTTGTTCTGTAGGCCTAGTCCTCGGCCAAGGATGATTTGGCTTGTACGATGACCTTGAAGCTCCAATTTCCATTACGCACGGGCTTTTTTTCCTACTCTTAGCCCGGATCTACTGGACTCGAGTCCTCAGCTGTAGCTCCGATCCCTACATCATCGGTTATCAGCTTCAGGACATTATTACAAGCTCCTCATTCACCTATCCATTATGATACCGTGGTCATCCTTCGTCCAGAAGGCTCAAAGCCTGATTGACCCTGCCAATTTCACCATCCCCGCCCTGTCCTCCTCCGATCATAATCCCTCTAAGGCATCACTGTTCCGCCAACAATTCCGCCTCCCTGATTCCCAGAACCCGCTTCAGGAGATTACCGCTGATCTTATTCTCCCACTTCCGAACTCGTCAGCAAATCAAGGAGATGGTTCTCGCAAGCTTGACCGACCAGGAAACACCTATGCCGGTCGTCTGCATTTGAGTGAGCGTTTCATTTGCTTTTCAACCCAGCCGACTAGCTTTATTCCATCTGCCACAGCAAGCTCTTCAACCACCTGGACTGGCCAGACACACGGCACTGGCCCTTCAGGCAATGGATTTATTTTGCCGCTATCCTGTATACGACGTGTTGAACGCCTTCATAGCGCCAGCCATGTTTTCTCCCTAGCACTCACAACATGGAACGGTCTACTCACTAAGCAACAAGATCCTAACTTCGCTCCTCAACGCCTCATTCTGCAGCTTGTCGGTAGCAGGCAGGCCTGCGAGCGATTCTGCGACACACTTAAAAAGGGCCTGCGGGAAGCAATGAAGGAGGTTGACAACTTGCGGAGCGTCGTTTCAGATTGTTATTCGGAATATTTGCTTTCAGGCGCAAAAGGAAAAGGACAAGAGGGAAATGAAGCTGATACTCGTCAACCCCCGGATGCGGGGCTGGGTCTAATTTTCCGCTACCCTGGTGATGCGCGCAAGCTTCGTGATCGGAGCAAGATGAGGCTTTGGGGTGAATATTTCAGAGGTAAACAGAAACTTGTCTTTTTTATTAGATGAGCGAACAGCCGACTGATATCGCCTAGAAAATGGCCGCAATGCTACCTTGGTCCGCCAACCAACTTTCCACAAGCTCATCAGAGTTGGTTTGCCCAACCGGTTACGCGGAGAAATATGGGAGCTTACATCCGGCTCTCTATTCCTTCGTCTGAGGTCTCCAAAATTGTATCAGGAGACTTTGGCCAAGTTCGAAGGACAAGAGTCCCTTGCTATCGATGAGATCGAAAAAGATTTGAATCGCAGTCTACCAGAGTATCCTGGGTTCCAGAGCGAAGAAGGCATTGGACGATTGCGACGAGTTCTCACTGCCTACAGTTGGATTGACCCAGAGATTGGGTACTGCCAAGCCATGAATATCGTGGTTGCGGCATTGTTGATGTATGTTTAGAAGTTCCATGCGCCGAGGGCGGCAGCTAACTTGACCAGATATATGTCAGAGGCTCAGGCCTTCTCCATTCTTTCGGTGCTCTGCGACCGTCTCTTGCCCGGTTACTATTCAACAACCATGTACGGCACACTACTTGATCAGAAAGTGTTCGAGTCGCTTGTTGAGAAGACAATGCCAGTACTCTGGGATCACCTCACCAAATCAGATGTTCAACTTTCTGTGGTCTCGCTACCATGGTTCCTCTCCCTCTATATTAACTCTATGCCGCTCGTCTTTGCTTTCCGCGTCTTAGATGTGTTCTTCTTGGAAGGACCAAAGGTTCTTTTCCAAGTCGGTCTTGCCATTCTTCGGGTCAATGGCGAAGAACTTCTCGAAACCCAGGATGATGGGTCGTTCATCTCTGTCTTGAAGTCATATTTCTCACGATTGGATGAATCTGCCCACCCGAGATCAGAGAACCCCAAGCTGCGGGCCATCACGAGATTCCAGGAGTTGATGGTGGTTGCTTTCAAAGAGTTTTCTGGCATCACTCACAGCACAATCACCGAGACCCGCGAGAAGCATAAAGGTGCTGTACTGGAGAATATCGAGACTTTTGCAAAGCGTACCTCCATCCGCAATCTTGGACCTGAAAGCAAGCGTCTGAGCGTGGATGATCTTGGAACGATCTATGACCGTTTCTACGAAACATTATACCAATGGGAACAGCACCAGAGGGTTGTTGAGGAAGAGATGCGGCGACAAGAGAGAAAGAAATCCGAGCGCCTATCTATGCTAGCCCCTCCTTCCGATACCCAGGTTGGCCGTGTTGGCCTTGGTCCTAGCCCTACACATATGGATTATGATGCTTTCCGGGAATTTTTAGCAGCTACATCTAAATGGGCGGTCGCTGATTCCCCTGGACCATCAAGAAAAGATTCACCGCCAGGAAAATCAGCACTGTGGGCAAACCGCCGACAGCCAGCAGATCATGAGTTCATGCAACGCCTCTACCGTAAGTGGGCTACAGATCCCGAGGAGGGATTGAACCTCCAAAGTGTGGTAAACGGCCTCGCACGCCTCAAAGGATCCCCTGATATCATGAACAACATCAACTATTTCTTCAATCTATACGATGACAGTGGAAATGGGCAAGTTGATCGTGAGGGCATTCTCAAGATCTCCGAGGCACTCCTGTTCCTCTCCCGGCGTGGATTTGAGGGCACAATCACTGCCACAACCTCCGTGGAGAATTTGAACTCATTAGGAGACCGCGACCACGCTGAAAACATGCTCACCACAGATGAGAAGTTCCTCGGCAGTGTTAGCGCATTCATCCGCCGCTGTTTCGAATATGCCGACCCCAGCCACTCAGAGAATCAAAACACAACGCAGCAAGATGCAACAGAAGAGACAACTGAGAAATTAGACTCGTTTGCCATTGGCGATGATGAAGACGAAGAAGAAGAGGATTTGATTGATATTGGTGACGATGCCAAATCCACCAAGTCTGCAGCACCGGATGCAACCCCCCGATCAACCAACTCCGCCAAATCAAATAGTCACGACCACAGCCACTCAGCGTCTGAGTCTGCCAACCCTGCTCTCGACCCCAATAACCCCCTGCATATCACTCTCCCCACTTTCCGAATGGTTATCTTGGCGGACGAACTCCTAGAGCAGTTCTTCGAATCCTACTTCCCCCAATCCTTCCATCTCTCCGATCACCCCCACCCAGCAGCTCTAGCCGCATCTTCCTCACTCTCGTCCAACCTCACAACCTTCTCCAACCTCGGCAGCATCCGCTCCTCTGGACTCACCGCAGGCTCAACCGCTCCCATCGCCGGTGCCTCGGGCGGCATTGTACCACCAGGAAAGGGTCTACGCGGCGTTCTCGACAACATCGTCACCGATGGCATCCGAATGGCCGCAGAAGTCAAAAAGCGAATGGACGAGGCGCAGCGCGAACTCGAGCGCAACGCGCTCGGCCGCGATGAAGAAGAAGACGATGACGACGAAGACGACTACCCCCGTCGCGACAACAACACTACTAACATCGCAGGCGGTATTTCTAGCCGGGCCGCTGGCGGATACGGCGGTGATAGGGAACGGCGTAGCGTCGTGCGAGATGCTGACCGTGATCTTCTTGAAGGCGCCGAGGTCCTTGGCGATGGAAAGGAAGAGAGAACATCTCTTTTGGACGGAAAGGAAGAAGCAGAACACGCTCCTCGCAAGGTTTCCTCCGGCTTTACGACTTCTGCTAAGGGCAATGGTTCACCCACGGCCCGTGACAACGAGGTCATTAGCAAAGTCGTTGAGTTTGAATCTTGATTCTTTTTGCATACTGTATCATGTCATATATGGCTGGCTGTCTTCTCTGGTTTCTTATCAGTTCCTTGGTTGGGATTGTCATGCACTTTTTGTACTACAACCCTCGGTTTGGATGTTTTAACTCTTCTCATTGTTTCCGTAGGATTGGAAACTCGGTATTTAGATCACTTAGAAAGAACCCATCATAGGATTTCTTGATCTTCGGACGTGTGGATTAAACCTAGAGCATCGTATACGTGATGACGTATGTCTCTACTGGGTGTTTTTCGTATAAAAATATGTGGGATCCAAAATATAGATTGAGACCTATAAACTCCCAAATGAAATATTCGTAGGACAAAAAAGGAGTATTCCGAATTCAGAGAATCGTCAAATCATAAAATGCGATGACGTTTTCTATGTACAGCATGGTCATCAAGAAAGTTGAAACAACTTGCAGGCGTGAAAGTAATCAATCATAGCCGATTCTTTGAAAAGGGAGGAGAAGAGGGTGACATGATGACGACGCAAGGGAAGGGAATAAAAACAGGGTATAAAACAAACACAGGCATTGAGAAACGGGGTCAATGTCCACGGGATGCAAAGATGCAAACCACAGACTCAAAATAGAGAGAAAGATGGGAAAACAAGGTGGGGGAGGGGGGGGGGAGACGGGGCCAAAAAAAAGTGCGAGAAAATATCATCTCAGCAGGAGTATAAAGTCTCAGAAGTAAAGAGGAAAAAATGGAATGCGAAGAGGAGGGAAAGAATATTCCTTGTCTCAGTCTTTTTGTCCCTCGTTCTCGATGAGTTCCAACACGATTTGTCGGCGCTCGTCTTCAGGGTGCTGCATGCAGATCTTGACTGTGTTGCCCATGCCGGCATGACTCGAGCCGTTGGTAGCACCCGAGAAGCCGCTGGCAAAGCTTGAGCCACCGACGTGGGGTTGTGTGCCGTGCAGCGCACCAGGGGTCTTGCTACCGTCGTCGATACAGACGACGTTGTGGCCGGGGATGACCTGGCGCAAGCGGCCGTTCATTGCATTGCGGACTTCGACGAAGTCTTCATTGAAGAGCATGAGGAACTTGCCGTAGAGACATGCTGTGTGTGCATTGCCGACGAACTCCATGACTACGCTGCGAGAGACGTCGCCGTGCTTGTTGACGTATACAGCGCACTGTTGGTAGGCTACTATGAACTCGCTCTCGCTGAGACGGAACATTCCTAGTGGTCTGAGGTTGGCGATTCGGTTGGCGATGCTGTGGAGGGTGTCCTGTGCATCTGAGGTTTCGTTGGTGCTGAAGTCTGGGACGGACCAGGAATGTTTCTTGTCGAGAGTGAGGACTTCGATGCCCTTGTGGGTTGAGATGGCAAGAGAGGAGTGGAACATGTTGATTCGGTAGGTCTCTGCGGGAATGTAGAACTCATCGTACTCACGGAAGAACTCCGTTTGGGAGCGACGTGAGGTAAATAGGCGTGTTTTGTTGGTGGACGACTTTTGTAGGACGGGCTCGAGAACCTAGATTTTGCATGTGAGTTTGCTGTTGTTGAATATGTTGGGTTGAGAGTGTTAGCAACATACCTTGAAAGTGGATGACAGTCCTTCACGCTTCTTGTACATAACCAAGTATCGATCTTTCAGACGGCCTGCGGCAAAGAAGCCCACTTCGCGGTTTCCGGACAGCTTCTGCGGGGCTCGTCGGGAAGAATCCTGAGATGACTGAGAGGCTTTTCCATTGGCAGGGCAAACCACATCGAGGTGGTATGCAATCAAAGACCGATCTGCGATCAGTAATAACAGATTGAAGTCCTCAAACACAGCAACCTGCGAGACACGGGTGATGGGAATAGCTTTATACCAACCGCGCGGGTTGTTAAGCTCAGACATGAAAAGTCCGTAATCTGTGCCAATGGCACACATAATGCGTCCAGCCGGCTGCTGGAACACCGTAGCACAATTGACTGCGAGTCTGCAAATTGGCGGGGGTCGAGACTTGGAATTTTCATATTGCTTCTCGACTTCTTGGATTGCACGATGGAGAGGGGTACCCTTGATGGTGACACTTTTAGAACCGGGTGTATGATCAGAATATCCGAATGCAGTATCTGCAAGCACACGCAGTCGGAATGGTTCGGCATTCTGCGAGAAGAGAGCCGCGGCATGTTTCGTCTTCGCTTCGATGATCTTGTGGCACCATTCGATTCGGCTCTGTGCAGAGAAAGCGTATAGAGTATATGTCCCAGTTTTACCAAGATGTTTGATCTTGAAAGGATAGAACATCTTGTCATCTCCATTTCCTCCGGAGGCGCTAGATCCGTTATGTGTCAGAGGGCTTGCAGCGCCCGCTTGGGAGGGCGTGACAGTCGCAACACCTCTGACAGATGACTTGACCACAGGATCGTCATCTGTGCTTTCCAGACACAAAAGATCCATGGGGATGGGCAGTTTCGAGATATCGTATCGCTCATACTTCACTGCCCCGTCTCGTACCGTGAATGCCTTGGCAAGAACAAGATAATGATCGAACAAAATGGCGTGCGTCTCGACGAGGAATCTGGTGCGCGTTCCAGGACGTTGCAGCTCTCCTCGGTGGATGATTCGTCGACCCAAATGCTCGAGATTGAGTTCGACTTCCTTCTTCATGTCGGGTCGCAATTGCAACTTAGCTGCCAACTCCATCAAGTCGGCCTTTTTGTTCATCTCTCCGACCTTGTTATCACACTCCGACGCCACTATTCTGATCTCTGCTATGGCCTGTGCCACATTGGTCTTTTCTTCGGAATCCTTAACCATATTATCGTGGATAGTTTTCAGCAGCAGGCCATACCGCTGGATTCTAGTGATCGGGGCTTTGAGGAAAGTATCCCAGCTGAGACGGTTCGACAATTTATGATCCCGCGCTTGATCCAAAAACAGCTTGAAGCGAGGATTGCGCTCAGATTCCTTGCGCATAAGGTAATTTGCTGTTGGGAAGGTTGCCGCGTAAGCGATGTAGACATATTTAGCCTTGCGAATCCATTCCCGGAAGATATCACTGAACCCAGAGATGAAAGGACCTTGTTCCTTTTGGCGATACTTAAGCTGTGCCAACAGGAAATCCTCGTTGACCTTTTTCACGGCATCGACCTTACCAAACACATCAGCCAGGAACTTGGGCAACCGCTTCGGTGGAATGATTGAAGGGTTCATTTTAGCCAATTGATCACGATAAAGTTCTCGTAGAACATCCAGTTGCGAGATGTAATAATCTTCGGTGGTGACAATCTCGTGCAAATTGTTTTGGCGATCAATTTCCTTCTTCGGACGAGCTTCTATAACCTCCTTGGTCACCTTGTAGAAAGTAACCCAGTCCTCGGCTTTCTTCTGCGGAGCCATCATCTGTGCTTTGAGATTGACCTTCTTCAACGTCCGCATACAGTGATGTGAGTAACATCGAGCGAAGCTATCAGTATGCTCAATATGCATCTCATGCAAGTGCAGCCTGGGCGAGTAACATCCAGTGCCGGTAATCTGGAACAGAACACCAGAAATAGTCCCTGAACCGAACTTGACCCATTCTTCTTCTTTAACCAGGGCTCCTTGATCAAGCATACCACTGACAACGCGAGCAGCCAATGTCTCAGCATCAGCAATGTTCATGGTGGGGACTTTGTGGGTGAACAGGGCAACCATGGCATCGGCAATGGCATGCTCCCGGAGATCTGTTTCGTCCTCACTCAGATCTCGAATCCAGGACAAGAGTGAACTCAAAGCCCACGGCTCACTGCATTTCTTGAATTGCTCTGATGACAATTTCGCGGGATTGAACTTCTTACGCCGGCCGGCCGGGATGCTTGGCAGGTCCAGGGTCATAGCAGCTGCAGCCGCGGCAGTCGGATCCACGGGAGGAAGATGCTTCCTCTGGAGTTGCATGAGAAGCTCTTGTTGCTGCTGTTTGTATCTGACCCGGTCCGCATCGGTCTTTGATCTGATAGGTGCATCAGTACGAGGCCCAATGGGAGTCGACAAAGATGACGACCGCGGAACTGGGGATGGGCTCAGCAAAGCTTCGCCATAAGCGTCCGCAGAGGTCGGCAAGGAGGGGTTGTTATACTGTGAATAACTATCAAAGCCATCCTGCTGCTCCAAATGGCGGTTATATGTGCCTGCAGGCATCAGATGAGACACAAGATCCTCATTTCCAGCAGGTTCGGCCGGTGCCGGTGGCAATGGGCGCATCCCGGGGTGGAAGAACAGGTCTTCGGGCACGCCTTGGTAAGGACCATCGTCGTCAGATTGCTCACCAGAACGGGTCTGGGCATATGGTGTTTCTCCCTCATCGCCATAGTCGAAGCTCATGCGCCGAGTGAACGCATCGGGGGCAGAGAGTCCACCTGTTCCACCAGCATCGACCCTAGCATCGGGTGGCATATGATGGAAGCGATTTGCATATTCATACGCGATAGGTGGGTGTTCGTATCCCGCATAATAATCGCCGCGTTCATCGGGTGACACGTCAGCGCTCCTGAATGAACCAGATGTGCCTGGGAATCTGCCACCCGTGGCAGGGTCCGAATGCTCCCCGGAACTGTAAGCAATGTCGTCACCATAATGCAGGTTCGCTTGATAACCCCCTTCGTACAATGCTAGGTCGTGACCAATGAAATCGTTATCACGAGGATCAGGATTTGGGGTTTGTCCTCTTGGAGATATGTTGGATCCACGTGAGCTTAGAATTGAAGCGTTGGTCTCACGTCGCATGCGCCCTTCGAGACGCTCACGCTCACGATCTTCACGCGCGTTGTCTTCTTGCAACATAGCTAAGCCAGCAGCAGCCTCGGCTTCACTGTCGTCGCTATACGCATCGTAGTTGACGACATGGCCCGTGCCTGTCTCCATATTCCCGTTGGTGTGAGCGTGTTCCTCGTCGGGTGAAAAGTGCATGCGTGAAGCAGAACTAGCATGGGATGCCCTGGAGCTGTGACGTCGAGCAAAGTTCTGAGATTCATATGCCACCTCGTCTTGCCTTAGCACATCTTCATATGCCATTGGAACTTCCGCTGGAAAGCGGCTACCATTTGTCCCGGTTTCGTCGACCGGAGGACCAGGAAGAGGTCGTGACTGAGGATGTCGAGTCAAAGTGTCAGTCCGTCTCGGTGGTGGTTCGGGGTACTCTGACTGTCCTGGAGGTATTGGTAGGGATCTTCTTGACCCGGAATGGGATATACTTGGCCGCTTGCCATAAAATCCGTTCGCTTGAGTCTGGTGCACTGGCGGTATTGGGGGCTGGTCTTCAAAGGAAGGGCTTGGAATTGCCGGGGTATATTGGGACGGTATTTCATACGCAGCCCCTTGCGGCGAACTGTAATATGAGTATGACGTAGGAAGGGTGACATTCATTGTATTCGGGGGGCTTGATGGCACATAAGATGGGGAAGAGTTTGGCAACATGGACTGATACGGACGTCCTCCATATGGATGCTCAGGGCTCCTCGGCGGCGGAAGCGGGGGTTGGTGGGAAAAGCCGTAAGTTTGTGGGGTCGCAGATGTCTGTCCATACTGCGAAGCCGCACTCTGCCTTCTATGTAGAACCGGAGAGCTCATCCCCGACACAGCGGTGGACTGGTATGCTGCAGGGTTATATGGCTGGTGGCCTGAGTTTGGAGTAGGGTAAGAGGTATTATTGGAGCCACTGTAAGTCTGCGGGTTATAAGAGAGGACTGGTTGGGACTGTGTCTGTGGGAGACCATATTGCTGCGGGTTGTAGGCCGGCTGTGACGAGGTCGCTCCGGAGTATGGGTACTGATAGGACATGGCGGATGTTTGCGAAGAGGCGCGACTCGGAGCCATGGGCGACATGGCGTCTGAGGAAGCCCGTGAATATCTCGACCCTCTATCGTCGTCGAAGCTTCCTTGCGCGGCGTTGTAGGCCCCCTGGCTCGAATGGCCGCCATAACCACCACCTTGTACCGAGTACTGTGCGTTTACTTCGGTCGCTCTCGCGTTCTGAGTCTGGGCCGGGTTGAAGTATCCAGAGTCATCCCCAGCATTGTAACTCGGCATCCTTCGAGGGAGGTGTTGGTCTGGCGCGGGGTTGTGGGATGAATAATTGTCATAGCGGCTGGTGGAGGGCTGCACAGAGGCTTGAGGGTTTGCGGGTTGGCCATAGTAGCCCTGCTGACCGTTTGGATATTGCGACATGGTCGTGGAGGGGATATTGGGTCCTAAATTTTGACTCGCCTTGACCCACGACGGCGCGAAAGATGTGTTGGGCCCTTAAAGACGTAGGCAATGCGGAGGGCGTCCAAATGGCAAAATGAGAGGAAATCAAACTGGGTTGAGTGAGGGGAACGACCTCGCGGGTCAGTGACGCGCTGCCCGGAAGATGGCTCTGGGCATCCCCAATGGAAGCGCGCAATATGTAATTCCAGATGTAGAAGCCAACGCCAAAAGCAAAAGAGCAGTTATTGTGGGGGGTAAGATGAGAGGAGAGTTGTCCATCAGCTGCGCTCACGCTAGTCGAGGTACCGGCGACCTGCGTGCCGCTTAGCCCCCACCGCCAACCGGGGGTCACCACTACAATGCGTTGTACAAGAGGCTGAAATGATATCACAACCCTTGACGTGGACCTAAAGATCGAGCTTCTTGGGGCTTATTTGGGCCCATGTACGTTATACGAGGTGGTTTCTTCTGGCTTTCAGCTGGCGACTACAGAGGTAAATTCCCCGGAGTCCGGGGCACACGTGCCTTGTTTTGTTTGCGGCTTTGTTTATAGTGCTTGCTGGTCATGCCGCGGCAACCAAGTATGTCATTTCAAACTTGCCTTCATGCTTCTCCCTGAGTTCAGTCAAAAGGGGCCATCGTACGAGAGACTTCTGGCCCCCCGTTCCAAGTCTGATGTGGGCAAGGCTGGGGCTGAGTGGTTTGGCCCCCACAACATGATCGTTGCATGCACAACCACAACATATGCAGTGGACGGAGAAACAATGTTATTTTTGCTTAAAATAACTTTTAATATTGTGGGGCCGATGGGCATCTGAAACAAATAGAGATCTAGAAGCAATAGTTGGGGTTTCTACATCAAATGCACCCCACGCCTAACATAGGGAACGCATGTAGCAGAACAAAAAGAAGCACCCATTCAACAAAGAAGGAAGATGCCCAGAAAAGCGCTCAGAACAACCAGGCAATGTCTCTGATATGCATCCCTAGTAGGAATACAGGTTAGACTCAAACCACTCGAGCGAAAGCTGGCTGTTGAAGAGTTGCCACATCAGCTGATCATCTGGAGGATAGCTGCCATCACTGGGAGTTAGCAATTGCTGTGGATTAGATTCCATGCATGGATCCATATAATAAGAAGCATTTGCCAAGGGATGCCCAGGCTCATTGGCATGAGCCGGGCAGCCTTGCTGTGTGCTAGTCATTGAAGGGTACAAATTGGCAACTTTGACCTGCGGACCAATGCGCTGCTTAGCTTGAATCAAGGGTACGCAGAAATTCTGCAGGGTGTCCAGAAGCTTGTGCAGCTTGGAAATGTATGGGCTTGCTGCAAATTGGGACAGATTTTGGGTGATGTCCTGGATCAAACTGTAATCGTCCATGTCCAATTCTCCAATGATGTTGCAAAACAGGACAAAGAAGGGACTCAAGGGATATAGGAGAACAGTCCTAAGAAATTGCAACCAGAGATATTAGTGTCAGAATAGCCCATTTTCGAAAGAAGCCAACCAACCATGTAAGAAATGAGGGATATGGATCCACAAAGCCGGGACTATCCGTAAGATTCCTTTGAAGGTGATTCAATGCTTTAAGAGACTTGCGAGAATATGACAAGCATTCCTTGTGTGTCAAAGGGGAGAAAGAGTATTTCAGCCGTGAGCGAAGAATATCGACCAGGATGGCATAGTAACAGAAATCTCCTGCAATCCAATCCGAGGAGATGAACTCGGGCGCCGAGGCTCGACTCTAGGAGATGAAGTCAGCTCGGAAACAATATCAAGCAAAGTAATAGACCCTACTCACAGATTGCAATCTCGAATATATGACTCCCATTCTGTCCTGGAGTTTTGAATGATTGGCAAGTGTTTGGAGAGTCGTATCTTCCTTTCCGCAATTCAGAAGTTCCCCTTGGATTTGGGCCAAGTCCAATAGGATGCGTATTAACGGAATATATGCCAGAGACTGATCTGCACTAATTAGGTTCGTAGGGGAGATGCGAGGCTCTGGTAGCGACAACGGTCGGTAAAGAAGTGTGCTCAGAGTTCGGTCAAGGTAAAAGCACCAGTATACAGCGCTATGAATCTCTTCATCGAGGTCTGAATTGCCAAGTGGATTGCAAACTTCATGGTAATCAAGAGCGGTAATCAGACGAGCAGCATATGAGTTCAAGATCCAGGCTTGACTCATGTTGCCACGATGCTGCATGAACAATGCCTGTTTGGTATGTGTCAACAAAGTTGTACGCTGGGAGAAAGCATGTCGACATACCGCGGATATCAAGGACTGGATAAAAGGAAGATTGGGAGGATTGAGAAAATTGAGACTTTCGAGTGCGCGAAATGTACGTCTTTCATACAATTTCTTCGACTTCAAAAACTGTGCGTTGATACGGGGATCTTTATAAGCTCTCGGTTTTTGGAACAAATGAAAGATGGCCTTGACATAAATGCATATACAATACTGATAGAATATTTGCCCGTGTTCATGGTCATTGTCATCATCACCGAGAACGGTTGAAGCCATCTTCTCAAGCGTTTTGTCCGAGATGTGATCCGGCCATTCTATACAGCTAGAACGCCCGACGGCGGCCGTTGGTTCTATATTGCTATTAGTGCACCCCCTTAGAGAACAGCCTGACTTGTAATACCTGGAAGAAGCATGTAAAACAACTCTGGAGAGGGAGTAATGGAAGAATGAATATCTTGGGCATATTCACAGGGCATTTCGAACGGTGAAAATTTGTCGGTATTGGTGGCTTTGCCTTGCGCCATCACATCCACAAATTGCAAGGCAGACCTGAGAATTGATTTTCTTTCACGATCCATGTGCTCGTTTCCATCGAGCTCTCCTTGAATGACCACTCTCGCCTGTTCAGCATGGTGTGTAGTTGAGCCGATGGCACACTCGTCGCGGGCAGATGGTGAAGTGTGCTCTCCACGAGAAACCTGATCTAGCTTTCTCTTCTTTGACGTAGGTTCAGCGTCAAGATGACTTGACACATTCGACGGACTAGTGTTTTCAATGCTTCTAAATAAAAGGTCAATTAATGGAACGATGGGAATGACACGAAAGGTGGCGAACATACTCTGAAAGAGCTCTTTCCAAGGTCAACACCCTCTCCCCGAGAGCAGATATCCTAGTAAGTTTGATAAGCATCTGTCAAGAGAGGACTCCAGTCAGGTGAAGACATACACCGATGATGATTTTGGGCGAGATCGTCGTGCTCTTGTGCGTTTACACTCAACACCTGTATCGGTACAGTTCGCACATTGCAGCTGTCTATCGCAGCGTACCTATTCTAGCACATCAGCCTCTATGCATAAAAAAGAGACTCAATCAACACCTCGAACCTTTCTCGAGTGGCAAACATCACACTTCAAATAATTAGTACATCAATGCCGAGATTGCTTGGTGACACTTACCGCACGCAGTGCGTCATCACTCATTTGGTAGATCAAGTCACAATCGCGTCTCGTCCAAATTTATTAGGGAAAGCCACAATGAACCTATAGGAATTCAACTGCATAAGTAGGTTCTTGAGACAAGAAAAAAAAGCCTCCGTAGGTAGATCAGGGCTTGCGGATTCTGCGCCGAGCAACGCTGAGCCGAGTCTGCAGACCCGAACCGATTTTTTCCCTTTTCGGTCGGAGTGCCGACCGAATCGGGAAAGTATACTTTTAGTCCATTTCATAGCATTTCACTTCAGTTCAAATGTCATCTCGAGTTTTTATCTCTTTCCTATTGAACTCACTATGCTGACAATCAAGATGCGTCTTCTCGCAATTCCCGCGAGCGGGCTGCTTGCAACCGGATCATTTTTCTATTACACCCGTCACGTCGAAGCTGTTCATCTCTCTCCATCCGACTCGATCTTTCAATCCAAGTACCACCAAAGATTCAATCCAAACAATAACCCCACGGTTCACGACTTGCACGTCCGAGTGGTCCCAATCTCGCAGATTGACCCTGCCCTACTAGAGCGGCAAGATGCCCTTATTGAAAGATACAGCGCCGGAGTGTGGGCAGGTGCAGGTACGTTACACTATCAACACAGTGCAGTCTATCAAGCGAAGATAATGATGGGGAAACTGATGCTCGTGGTCCCTTTGGATAGGATTTGCAATCCAGCGTATGCTCGCCCACCTCGGCAAGCAAGAATCCGCATCGCACCAACTCTGGACTCGTTCCGAACTGCTTGAATCAAAATACAATCCAGGAACTGTGATAACCGACGAGTTTATTGTCCTGGACAAGGCAAAGCACTCTATTCTGATCCGTGGTGGGGACAAAGTGTCGAAGACTGGTCCGCGTCCATTGGATGGGTTGATCGAATTGTCCGTCCAGCTCAAGCCCGAAGACGATTGCGTCCAATTTAGGTTCAAGTCCCTCTTTTTTCAAGGAGACGTAAGAACTGACAAGATGCCTATGCCGGCTCCTGTGATATGGCTTCATGAGCAGTATGCAAAGGCACTGTTGGAGTCGGGTGTGCGTCATGTCATTCAAAGTGAAAATAAAGGGGCTTTCACAGAAATGGATCAGAGTTGATTGAATACGAAGACGAATAGCCTCATTTCTAGACCCCCCTGCATAAATCGAACTACTTCCCGTTGTCCATTTGCTTTATGGGTGTCTGACTTGGTCTATGTTGGCGAAAATACTGATAAGATAGATAATTAGGCATTAATTCCATAGTATATCTTAAGAATAGAATATGGCATTCGCTGGCACAGTAGTGCGTGAGATCATCTCGCTGCCTAACATGAATAGCAAACCTTGGACACCGACACAATAAGAATATAGCAGTAGGGTATATAGCGAAAAAAAAAGCAAAGTCAATCCCAGGCACCTCACCGAGATAACATGATAAACAACTCACAAAAGCAGTCCAGTAAATCAGTGCCATGAGGTAAAGTATGACCGCGGTCCTCAAATCTTCGAAATCAGCTAACAAAATTGCTCAAATTGCAACAAAACAGACATAGAAAGATAAACAAAACAGAGTACGAAAAGAACATCGGAAATCCCGTCAATCGTGAAACGTAACATCATTGTCCATCGTAGATTTGGTCAGGTGTAAGCGTGAACTGACCTTTCTGGATCTCCTTAGCATTCAGGTCATCAGGCTTGACGTAACGCGCAGTCAAAGCAAAGCGCAGCTTGTTCTCGGGGATTACAGAATGCTATATCAGTTAGGTCTGATGTTCAGTTGTGATGAAATTGAAGACGACCACAAACCTCATAATACTTTTGGAGATTTTCGCCATGCATGACAACCAGGTCGCCATGATGAAGATCCATTTTGATTATAGGAGGAGCTTCTTTCCCCTTGTGACCCTTCGAGAGATCCCGACGAGACTGATCATATTGATGTTGCGAGATCTCACCAGCATCGAATTGCATCTTGAGTACTCGACGCTCATCCTCAAACATACAACCCTTCAGGACAGGATCATCTTGCAGAAGATTTCCGAGTTGCTTGGGCTCGGCTCGTCTGGTAGAGCCGTTAAAATATTTATACTTCATGCGGACATACATGGTGGCTTTCCCACCGAGCGAAAGAGTGGCGATGGTAGGACCCAGTGAAGATTCGCCGTCATCGTGGTACTGAGAAATAATCTGTTAGCTGAGACAAGGGTAAACATCACATATCTAGCTTACCCCAATCTTCATATTCTCGAAGTATCCCAGTGTTAATAGCTCATTCGGAGGCAGATACGTATCTCCAGTAGAGCGGACAGCTTGTTCAGTTGCCCAGGACAAACGACCCAGAGCTCGGAGCATGTCATTGGGAGCTTCGTCAAAGCCCTTGGAATCGACAGACACTACATACTTGTAGGGCATACCCTATTTTTACCTTGTTAGCTGGGGGGTAGATGAGAACTGGAAGTGGCATTTTTTCAACTTACGTAGTTGACGGCGAAATGAGAAGTCAGTGTGCCCGCAACTATTCCAAGGTGAGAAAGTACATAACCAAAACTTTGTATCAAAACCCACTTACCAAGACTGGCCTGGAGTTGGAATCGTTTGAGACCATGATCGATACGTTGAAGATTGATGAAAAGGTCATCGGGTCCATTCGGGCGGCCGTTGATTGCTCTGTTGGACACAAAGTGAGTGATGCAACCGACCCCATCAAGGTTGTAAGTCAACTGCCGATAGGAAGAACCGGTAGTGTTATCAATATCCGGAGTTCTGAACTTCTTATCAAAGAGAATTGCTCGCTTGATCGGAGCCAGCTCGAAATGATCGACGGCCACCCGGAGGGAGACAGGGCGCATATCCATAAACTTCTGAAACGTGCAGCTATTGCCACGCCCTTTGCCATCAGTTGAGTCATCATCGCATTTCCAGCCTCGCCAGAAAGTGCGTCTGATACATTTGAGGCACTTGGGGCACACAATTCCCTTCCATGCGATACGAGATGTGGTAACATCTGCCGCGTTCTCATCCAGAGTTGCCAAGAGATCAGGAACAAGACTGTAATGAGGCTGAATCTCTGGGTCCGGACGATTGCGAAAGCTCAGGAAATCAGGATTAAAAGTGAGCTCAGCAGGAGGAAAATTGTCATCGATCATCCAGAAATCCATGCAATCAGGGTTGAGACACATCCAGCCATCCTCGTACACGCGAATACTCTCTGTATAGCAAGCCTCACATTTGAGTATTTGAGGCTTCGTTTCAAAATCTCGTTGCTCGAGGGGCATTGGAGGAGGGGAGCCTTTGGCCGCCCACCAGCTCTTTTCTGCGAGGTTCAATTTCTCGAAGCGAACTTTGACACCATGTTTCTGGCCAATCTTCTCAAACCAGACATTGGTAACCCGAAACCAGTCCATGATGTTGTACCGATGCGGAAGATCGCGGTTAAGAATCTTGTTCTTGTTTCCTGGGATAAAGTCAGCGCGGAAATAGATTATGATCCCTTCAACAACTAACCGATAACCAAACCAACAGCGAGCTTCGACTCCTTGGTATTGATAATACTTTGGACCAATGCATTGTCGGGGTCTTGGTTTTTTTCGAGGGTCAAGTTTCCCGCCGAGTCTTTACTGCAACATCCACCACTAAGGGGAATTAATCAATGCAGTAAGTTATCTGAAAAATAAAATACTTACATTCGCGTAATAATGACCTCTTCGTCGATGTGAGTGCGAGTACCACCGTCAGCATCGACGAGGAAGCCATAGCAAAAGCCCTCATTGTGATACATTGCACCCTGGGTGCAGCGAAACCAGGGAATTGCATCACATAGTTGCTGACGGCCCTAAGACAGAATTTAGCATTCAATTTATTTGGTCAATATAGTAGCTGCATACCTCTGCCCAGGCTGGGGGTTTTCCATAAACTGGCTCAAGCTCTTGCTCACTGACAACAGCTTCAACCTGGTCCGGTAGAACTATCTTGCGTTAACATGCAGGATGTAAACAAGGAAAATAAGATAATACAAAAGGTGCTTACTTTTGATGGGTGTCTCTCTCTTTGTTTTGGCGATGCGGCCTGTTTGTACTGGCCTTCCAGCCGCCAGGCGCCGATTAACAGCAGGGCGGGGTGCCATTTTGAACAGTCCGTTCAAAGACTAAGCTAAATTGTCATTGAAGAGTGAGAAGCATGTTCAGATATACTCTCGAGGAGCCCTAATCCAAAAACAGCTCTTGTTCGATAGGGCAAGTTGATGGCCAAACTCACACTATAGAGCACTCAATGCTACCACGAAACGGAGATTGGGATTTCAATTGTGCTCAATATAACTTTTAGGACAGCACTTGACCTTTAAGAACGGAACAATGATAAAACAAGATAAGTTGTGTCGAAGGGTGATGACACGAGGCAGAGAGGGTAGGTGGATCAATATGATGGGAGGGTAGCCGATATATATTGCCAAGGCGGCATCAAGGTCAGGGCGGCAGCGAGTGATCACGTTACAAGATGTGCTAATCTAGATAGCCCATTGACTACATGCCAGTATTTAAGAAATGATACTGGATTTCAAATTACAAAGATAATGGCATTATATTGGGTTGGCATGGGATGGTTCGAGGAGGAAGTATTAAAGCCCTCCATGCACGAGTCTCGGGCATGTCCCGACTACCCAATTGAGTTCAGCCAGGCCAAAATCTAGAAGACGATAGCTGCTTAATTATCCTTGGCTTTTATACGAGCAGACATAAATCGCATAAGAACAGGAGCCCGATGAGCGGCCCTGTGTAAGCAGGTTATTGGTTGTCTTCGAAAATAATATGCCATTACTTCGTTCCGCTTTTCAGTCCAGGGCATGGCTGAGGTTTCATGACTTGGGCAAACGTGATCTGGGCCCATTTGATCGAAATGTACGAAATGTTGGGACCTGGTATCACATCACCCACTGTTTGAGCCCTGTGTTGCAATGATTTTCTCTTCTCCAGAGATGTAGTCGGAGGTAATCCGGGGTAATCCGGGCAAATGGGGAAGCCAGCGATCTGCACGCCAAGCCCACTTTAAATCCGGCCCGGGGCACAACTCAGCTCCAAGGGGAGTTCCTCCGGTCCTTTTCTGTTGCATTGCGAATTTCCGCAAAGCCCAGATCCGGATTTGGAATCAATAGTCGTGTGCATAAGCTGGGAAGGAGCATACATCCAAGTGCGAAGAATCGCCATGGCAATCTATTTAGTACATACGGGTGTCATACTCCGTGGACTCCGTACGTAACATTGCAATAAAACTCGGATACACTAGAGCACCAATTAACTGGGTCTTGCAATATCCAGCTGAAGTGAGCCTATTACCTAGGCTTCAACTATAATCATGTCGGAAGTACCCTCGGATATCCAGAGACCGAGGCATTTCTAGTCTTGGCATAAGCTCCGCCAGCTGAGCACATACCCACCGAGCCCCGGCCAAACGAAGATGTAAGACCCAAGGTTATTGGCTACCTAGTTTCGGGTATAGCCAAATAGTCAGCGGTATGATTCTCGCTCAGAATAACAGACTAAACTAGGGAGAGTCTCGCGCGGTTTGCCGAGTTCCCCGCACCCACCTTATTAACGTTCCAGCTCCCCTCGGTCTTCTTTTTTTCTTGCGAACAGACATTGTCCCCTTGTTCTTTGGGTGTGTGTCGTGAGACCTGTCAATACGTGGGTTGACTCCATGATCCTGGTTTACCTGTAGCTAACCGCATACTAGAAATCGCCGAAATCCCTTAAATACTCATACCTTGGAGATTTGGGCCCCTAGAATTATACCGACACTTGGATTCTTGCGACTCTGGGAATTCTGAAAGATGGTGTTTTTACCCGCGAAAGACGCCGGCCAGTTGGCCCCGATCCCCGACAATATCTCGATCAGCGAGTTTATGCTCAATGAGAAACACGGACGACGGCCCCACGCGAACTCCCAGGATCCATACACATGTGGCTTCACTGGGAAATCATACTCGTCGCAAGAAGTAGCCACTCGCGTTGACTTCTTGGCCCGTAGTCTTTCGAAAGAGTTCGGTTGGGCGCCGAACGAAGGATCTGAATGGGATAAGACGCTAGCTGTGTTCACAGTCAACACTGTGAGTCAATTCCTGGATCAAGAAGGAAAGCAAAAGAGACTTATGATCCCGTCTCTACATTAGATCGATTCTCTGCCCCTATTCTGGGCCGTCCACAGACTCGGTGGTGTTCTCTCACCCGCCAATGCATCTTATTCCGCCGCCGAGTTGACGCACCAGTTGCTTGATTCCAAAGCTAAGGCTCTGGTCACATGTGCTCCTCTCCTTTCAATCTCACTGGAAGCTGCGGCCAAGGCCGGCCTCCCCAAAAGCAAGATTTACCTGATCGATGTGCCCAAGGTAATTCTTGGCGGCGCGAAGCCTCCAACAGGTCACAAGTCCGTTTCTGAACTTCTCGAGGCTGGTAAGTCTTTGCCGCCAGTAGAGGAACTTAAGTGGAGCGCAGGCGAGGGAACTCGACGAACAGCATTTTTGTGCTATTCCAGTGGAACATCTGGCTTACCGGTAAGCAATATCCCACCTATTTTAAGGATTTTGCTGATGACGTGCTGCAATATAGAAAGGAGTGATGATTTCACACCGCAACGTGATTGCCAATGTCCTCCAGATCAAGGCACATGAGGAAAGCTACCGAACTGCCGGGGGAACAAAGCCCCCGAGTACAGAGGTCGCTCTCGGGCTCCTTCCGCAGAGCCATATCTATGCTCTTGTGGTCATTGCCCATGCTGGTGCATACCGTGGCGACCAAACTATCGTTCTGCCCAAGTTCGAATTGAAATCTTACTTGAACGCCATCCAAAGCTTCAAGATCACTGGGCTCTTTTTGGTAAGCGCTTTGTCATTGATCAAAAAAACTGCGGTTGGTAGCTAACAACCGATTAGGTACCTCCGATCATCATCCACATGCTGAGCACTCAAGATGTGTGCTCCAAGTATGATCTGGGCTCCGTGAAAACTTTGTTCACAGGAGCTGCACCTCTGGGCGTGGAAACAGCAGCGGATTTCCTCAAACTGTACCCGAATGTTGTGATTCGCCAAGGATACGGTATGTCGTTATTAGATTTGAAAATATGGAGCACGAACTGACATTTCGGTGCACAGGTCTGACAGAGACAAGCACGGTCGTAAGCTCGACCCATCCTCACGATGTCTTCCTAGGCTCCTCTGGCGCCTTGGTGCCTGGATTCGAGGCACGCATTGTAACACCAGAGAATGAAGAGATCACAACGTATGACACACCCGGGGAATTGGTTGTCAGAGGTCCCAGCGTCGTCCTGGGCTATTTGAACAACGAAAAGGCCACCAAAGAAACATTCGTGGACGGATGGATGCGTACCGGAGACGAGGCGGTTATTCGCGTCAGCCCGAAGGGCATAGAGCATGTGTTCATCGTCGACCGGATCAAGGAGTTGATCAAGGTCAAGGTTTGTGACCCCATCAATTGATTTAAAAACAAATGAAAATCTGACATGTCATTTCTAGGGTCACCAAGTAGCACCTGCTGAGCTTGAAGCCCATCTCCTTGCCCATCCCGATGTCGCGGACTGTGCTGTGGTTGCCATCCCGGATGATCGAGCAGGAGAAGTGCCCAAGGCTATTGTCGTCAAGTCACCCACGGCAGGATCGGATGAATCAGTTTCACAGGCTCTTGTGAAGTATGTAGAAGAGCACAAGGCTCGTCATAAATGGTTGAAGGGGGGCATCAGATTTGTGGATGCAATCCCCAAGAGCCCAAGCGGTAAGATTCTTCGTCGCTTGATCCGTGACCAGGAGAAGGAGGCACGGAGAAAGGCAGGCAGCAAGATTTAGGGAGTTCGAGTGCGAAGCAATATTGGAAGGAGCCGGAAGTCGGCGCCTAACAAACAAGGCATCCAGGGTACCCACCGGGGCTCTGCGACATGTATGAAGGGAAAATGCCATGAACACAAATCCATGTTTACATAGACAGCCCAATTTGCAGATATATCATGTGTCATAGCGGTTAATCAAGGCCACTTTGTTTCATATATCAAGATCTGGGTAGCATATGAAGAACAGATACGGTTGATATCATCGATAGTGGGAATTTTCATTAGCTCGCCAGCGCGAGGCGCTTGGATTTAAAGATCTCGAGAGCCTTATGGTGGGAAGAATCACTAGTGAAGTTGGGTCCATATAGCACAAGCGAAAGACTTCAGTGGTATATATAGCCGATGGTACCGTTAAAGTAGATATGAATGAATAATGTGACTGTTCAGTGGATGACAAAACGTTCAAGACTGTGGATTGTTGTTGTCTTCTGGGGCAGCTTCATTAGGGAACTTCTGTTTCTGTAGAAGCTGATCAACTGCAGACGCCAGGCCTCGACAAAGAACCGGCCAAGACTTCTTTTTTGAGAAGATCAAGCAAACCTCCGTTAGCAGACGGAACGAGCTTGCTTTGCCGTTCAGAATACCGACCCCAACTAGATTAAGTTGGGTGTTAGGGCCTTCGGCGATCCAAATTGAAATCTCTCGGGTGTCCAACAACCGAATCTCCTTAGTCGAAGCATCCGGCTTTTCGATTTCAGGAGCGACCACAAATGTATCGAACGCCCATATATAGAAGAAAGCCATCAAGAAACATAGCGGATCGTGACAAGCAAACTTCTGCTTAGATTTCAATGTGCTGAAAACACATATAGCATGCCACAAACATTTTCTGGCATTGGATGCATTGTTTTCCATCCAATGTTTCAGGCTGCGTATTGACGCGTCGTCTTGGGCATCATTGCCTTGCCACCCTGAGAATGACTCCAGTGTCTGAAGCGACACTTGCCGTAGCAGGCATAACACGTGGTGGATGACATCTCTAGCGGCAATGTAGTCTGGTTTAGCTGATGTGGGGATGATCGCAAATATCTCATCCATCGAACGAAACATCGTTGCACGCAGACCCGAGGGAGTCAACGATGGATGCGCCCATTGCTCCTGAGCTGGTGCACCAGTGGCTGGATAGCCTAGACTTGATTTCCAAATTGAAGAATATGACATATTGTCAAGAAACAATCTCTCCTCGCTGTAAAGCGACAACATGAAGAGATTTCGACGAAAAGCATCCAACGCTGCCATGGTTTCATTGGCTTTCCTTACATCGATTTGGGTGGATGGAGAGTTTGGAGTATCTATCAGATTTAGTCAATCGGAGTAAAAGGATGTAGATAACAAATAATGTCAACTTACTTTGGCTATTCTGGTGCATGTGGACAAAATTGTCGGCATTCCTGCGGCACCATAGCGATTGCCGACAGGGGAGCTCCTCGGGAAGTTCATGCTGCGCAAATATTGGCTGACGATCGAATAGAATGAGCTGGAAACACTCAAGTTCTTGTCCATATTAGTGGGGCTTTCATAACTAGTCTCGAGGGGTCACGCACGAAATATGCAATGAATTAGACGAATGCGCGATTCCCTGGCAAGCCAGGATTTCCACTGTCTTGGAACTTGCGACGTCCTGGTTCTAATGCATGGGTCGGCCTTCAAAACACGAGCCAATGTGACCAGTACATTTCGCTCATACTGCAGCTTCAACTGCGCTTTTTGAGACCCGCCAAACATCAAGAACACATCATTGAGAAATACGCTTTGCACATAGGACAATGTTGTTGATTCGGGCGATTGGGGTTGCTAATTTAATTAATCGCGGTACGGATCCTCACCAGGAGAGAAACTTACGTTTTGTGCTATTGCTTGAGACAATATCTCCCCAAAGTGTGTTGAAAATTGACTCGCATTGCTGAAAGCGCTATATTGACTTCCAACAGTGATCACTGCCAGTAGCACCATCCACGAGGCTTTGTCGTGTCCGAATTCTAGAGCATAAGGATGGATCACAGGATAGTCATGATCAAAGTGTTCAAAGTATAAGTGGACGAAGTCGTTGATGACTCTCAGCCATGGAAAAGTTGCATCTTCTGTATGTCCCAAGGCCACAAGATATGATTTCAATGACTCATATATCGAGGCATTGATCATAATATTGTAACAGTGCGTAGGAAGCAAGAATCGCTCGTCTACGCGCCGGAATTTCGGTAGCGCAGACTTCGCCTGGCGGGCTGGCTTGGAAGGGGTGGCCCCCGCAGGCACAGCAAGGGCAGTGGGGGCAAGGGCACGAGAACGAGCTCCGGAAGTTGAAACTCGCGCACGCGAATTTGTAGCACGATCAGCTGCAGGTGATCTTATTTGCGATGGCGGGCGGTTCTCATCGTTTTCAGAGTCGTCTGATATTACCATAATATCAGGCGAGGCATTAGTCTGATCTTGTGCGGTGTGATCTGCGGTAGGCAGTCCCGCGCTTTCAGTAGTGTGGCTTGTCTCATTTCGATCCAATAAGAAAGGTGATGTACGTGTGTCCGGTGAGGTTGAACTTGGACCTTGGATATTTTGTGGTGATGAAGGGCTCATTTGATCTGATGGCTCTGTTTTTATTTCCTTTCCTTGGTGGTGTTTCCTCATATGAGCCGCAAGCCTATGTCTTTTTAGGAAATGAGAATTGGAATTGCTCATGAATAGCGATGGTCTGCAGAGCAGAAACTATAGCATACCTGCGAGTATAGGACCTTGGACAAAACCGGCATTTAAACTCTTTAGAACCCGAGTGCCCCCGGTCATAGCATTTCTGTGTCAATGCCGTGCCGCATTGGTCACAAGTAAGATGTAGTTGTGGGCGAGAATGAGTTAGGACATGACGCTTCAGATGGTGTTTACGCCCGAATATCTTGTCGCATTGCTCGCAAGGATAAGACTCCCGTGGGGTATCCATGGTGTTTTCCCCGCTTTGAAGCACCTATCTGGGCCCAAAGAATCAATGCGCCCTCCGATCAGGACTATGACCATGTGTTAATATAAAACCAACGAGTCCCGCAAACACCCACTAAGTACAATGATGTGGATGTCGCGTCTCGCGCTGACGCTAAGGCGGTAATCAAGGCGGTGAGATATGGAGCACAATCTGCCGCGGGGTGGTGGATTTCTAAGCGGGGAGTTGAGAAAAAAAGACTAGGGGCATTTCAAGTTGTCTGAACAATCTGCTTTCTGTTTCTTGTTCTGATATTGTCCAAGAACGGGTCAAAAGGTGATTCTTGATATTCCATTGCTTTGAGCAACTTCTCCAGATCTCACATATCTACCAACCGAAAACAAAAATGTCTTCCAACGACCAGCAACACGATCATGAGGAGGACGCTTATATGCAGGCCGATGATGCTGAAGAGATCTTCGATCGTGATGAGGATCACCATATGTCAGACGGAGAATACGATGACCAGAATATGACCATCCAAGATGAGATCACCTTCCAAAACGACTCAGCGGCACACTTCGACTCGCACTCAGACTCTGTGTTTTGTGTTGCGCAGCACCCAGTTCACAACAATATCATCATTACTGGGTCTGGTGATGACACAGCTTACATATTTGATTCGACACCCGCACCACGTCCCGTTCTCCCCTCCAGCTATGAATCCAATCCTCAACCCAGGGAGCGGGAGGCGCTATCGCCTCTGGCCAAGCTTGATGGACATACTGACACTGTGAATGCGGTGGTCTTCACCGAACCGGCGGGAGCTTATGCCATCACGGCTGGTCTGGATGGCAAGCTACGAGCTTATCGTGATACCACACCTCAGAAGACCGGACTGGCATGGGAGTTCTTTGGTGAGGCCCAGGAAGTGGAGGAAATCAACTGGATGGCCGTGTGCCCCTACCAGCAGGGCAATGAAGCGACCCAAAATGTCGTTGCCATTGGTTCCAATGACGGCAGCGCATGGGTCTTCCGTATCGATCATACTGATTCCGCCCAACCTATCTCCATCATCCAGACCTTCTTCTCTCATACCGAATCTTGCACTGCGGGTGCATGGACGCCTGACGGAAATCTGCTGGTGACTGTTTCTGAGGATGGAAGCTTCTATGTTTACGATGTCTTTGGAGCCGCCGCCGCCGCCGGCATCGAATACTCCCCTGGTACCAATGCTGTGCTTGGATTGACCGCAGAGGATCAGCGCTTTGCTGTCGAGGGTGGTCTTTACACTATTGCCATTTCTCCTAGCGGAGGCATTGCTGCTGTCGGTGGTGCAGAGGGTAATATTCGCGTTGTCGGCCTCCCTCGAGTCACAGCATCTGTCCCGGCAGCCAAGGGCAAAGGCAAAGGCCAAGCTTCTCAAGCAGCTGGTGCGACCGCTGCAGGCACCATCATGGCCGCGCTGCAGACTCAAACCGACGGTATTGAGTCGCTTTCCTTCTCCCAGGCTCCATTCACCCTTCTGGCTGCTGGATCCGTTGATGGTTCAATTGTGATGTACGATGCAGCTCATCGGTTTGCAGTCCGTCGGCACATTAGGGATGCCCACGATGGTAGTGCCGTTGTTAAGGTTGAGTTCCTGCCAAGCCGTAAACAACTCGGAGCAGCTGTCTCGGGACCACTTGCCTCTGCTTCCGCAGCCCAGCAGAGCCGCTCTTGGATGCTCACCTCTGTTGGCCTGGATGGCGTGGTCCGCCGTTGGGACGCACGTGGTGGTACCACCGCGGCTGCTCAGGGTTTGATGCAGGAGTGGAAGGGACACATGGGTGCCACGGAAAATGACGAAGGCGAGCAAGCCGGTGGTATCATGGGATTCGTGCAGACCTTTGATGGAAAGCGCATTGTCACTGCTGGTGACGATGGTATCTCGCTGGTGTTTGAGGAATAGACCAGAACACAGAAATTCGGATATTCAAAACATGCATAGTGGGTTTTTATGTCAATAATGATATTACGTGTTTATAGAAGCTCAAAGCCAAATCAATCTTGACACACAGCTCATAATGGAAAAAGTCAAAACTCATTTTAGCATCAAGAATCGAACAGAAAAGAAACATCTTGTTGTAGTGGTGGAACAGAAGCTATGTACATTCGACAAATCAAACCCAAAGCGCCATCTGGAAGTTACGCTCCTCATGAGCCATGAGAAGCTTCATCTCCGCCCTGGCACGACGAAAGCTCCAGTACCCGAAAAGGCCGCAGAGTCTATCATCCGAAACCTGACTGTGGTTTTCGTGGAGGCGAGACGACTCCTTGTCGCCTGGGGTATACGTCCTCCGTTTGATGATCCGTCGGCCGGCGGCATTCTCAATTGATATCCAGAGACAACCTTTTAGTGGTGACCGTCACCGTGGTGAGCATCGCCGTGGTGGTGATCGTCCTTCAGGAAGAAGTGCTCGTATGTGCAGTAGGCAGCGAAAGCGACAGTTGCGATACCGAAGCCGGGGAAGAGACCCTTGAAGCGGTTGAATCGGCTGAAGGGGCCGTAGTAGCGCCAAGCCTCACTGCAAGTTATTAATATCTACTACCATTGGCTTCATATCGGGATCACTTGACGTACTTGCGAGCCCATGGATCCCGCTTGGCCCAGACGGAAGATGGGGAGGCCGCGGCCTTGAATTGGGCCATGTCGAAGCCGGTGGGGTTGCGGGCGGGCATTGTGGGAATAGTTTGCTGGTCAATATGACTCAAAAACGGATATGAAGAACAATGAAATGTAAAGGGCAGTAGCTTGGTCCCTTAGTCCGCAATCAACCGCAAAGTGACACAGTGAGGAGCCCGAAGATGAGGAAAAGAGGTGTGCTTGGCAACTACCCGCGCTAACCGAATACGGTCGACCAAGTAGCTCTCCCGCCTTCGAGGGACGAAACTGTCACTTCATCCATGCGCATCCTCGAAACAACAAAATGCCTCCTCCCGTTGGCAGATATGGGCCATCTGGCCTGAGTGCCCCATACAACATACAGCAAGCTCACCTTCAATCCCAACACCCCGCACACACACAGTCTGCCAACACACTACCGCCCCCTTCGCTTGGTCATCCTGGCTTTGCGGGCAATCCGAATACCAACATCAACCCTTTCACATTATCTGGCGGAATTGCAAACGGCATGGCAGTAGCTGGCTTTCCGGGAGCTGGTGCAGGGGATGGTGGTGGTACCGGTCTGGCGAGTCATGCAGCACAGATGGGATTCGCGCGCGGTGCGCAAATGCAACAGCAGCAATTACATCAGGGCCATGACGGCCGATTATCACTCGAGGCAAAGGCTGGTGCAGTTAAATCAAGAATCAGAGATGTCTGGAAGCACAATCTGGCCCACGAAATGGCGGTGTTGAGACAGTTGGTTGACAAGTACCCTTATATCAGCATGGTAAGCACCAGCTACACGGGGCTTGTGTCCGAAACACCAGCCGATTTTGAAGAATGGTCTATTGACTGAGATCTAGGATACTGAGTTTCCTGGTATTGTTGCACGGCCTATTGGATCATTCTCGAACAAAGCAGACTACCATTATCAAACTCTCCGATGCAATGTCGACCTTCTAAAGATGATTCAACTAGGCATCACTTTATTCAATGATGAAGGAGAAGTTCCCCCAGCATCAGGTACAGATGCCAATGGTCAGGCGTATGGCGTACCCGCACCCTGCACATGGCAGTTCAACTTCCGGTTTTCACTCGAGGGAGACATGTACGCCCAGGAGTCAACAACCATGCTCGCCAAATCCGGGATCGACTTCGCTATGCACGAGAAGAACGGTATCGATCCTTTCGAGTTCGGTGCTCTATTGATTAGCTCCGGTTTAGTGCTGTTGGATGATGTCCACTGGGTTTCTTTCCACTCTGGTTACGACTTTGGTTATTTGATGAAGATCATGCTTTGCTCTCAGCTTCCAGAGAACGAGGAAGAGTTCCACAAGCTTCTTACCATTTTCTTCCCTTCTCTCTACGATATCAAGTACTTGATGAAGCACGCTGGGCGCAATCAAGCCGTTAACGGTTCTCCCCTCACCCCGGCCGCAGCACAGATTCTGACCAACTTGGGCCAAAAATCCGGTTTGCAAGACATTGCCGACGAGCTCGGTGTCAAACGCGTTGGAATTGCCCATCAGGCCGGTTCGGACTCCCTAGTAACAGGCGAGATTTACTGGAAGACGCGCCAGCTCATCTTCGGGGGCGCAATCGATGATAGCAAATATTCTGGCCAAATCTGGGGTCTCAACGGACAAATGCCCGCGGTGGCGTATAACATGGCCCAGCAAACGCCGAATCTCAATGGCGCCACTATTTACTCAAGCGGCACTCCCAGTACCCCCAATACAGGGTCTCAAGGGGCTGGTGCCCACACCCCTCAGCACCATGGACCTGGCTACAATGCCCCGACCCCCGGAGCCTATCAAATGGGCCGGGCATAAGGCATAGTCCCTAAAGCACCTACCTGTGCTTGATATGATATGATGTATGTACATAGACACGAGAATATCGCGTTCTTTTCCTTCGATCTTCGGCATTGCTCTCGCGCCTGCGACTTTGCACGGAATTGTTGTCTGTGCCGAGCTTATTGCGTCTGGACGACGGGGTTGGGCAGAAAGGTGCCTGGCGTTTGATATGGTTGGTTTGAATCCATTTGCAAGGCGTTGACATGCTCTCTCACGGCCTCATGCTTTTCGTTCTTGTCATCTAGGTCTCGTTTTCTTTGCTTTCTTCTTGTAACTAGATCGGACCTGTGTCCTATGCATAGGAATTATGGTTTCTGTTCGCTCAACTTAGCCTGAATGTGTAGACACGTGAGCTCTATTCGACTTGTGTCGTCGTACTTGGTGTCCTCTGTAAGATCTACTCGAAATATCCTTTTTTTTTTTGGTTGACAATACATACATGTATCAGCACCCGCAGACCTCCATTTCAGACCAAGCACACATATCCCCATCAAGGATTCGCATGCGATATTCCGACTTCTACCCCGCGATGTGACAAACCTCATGAATAAGACAGACATGATATCAATATCAAGCTGCAGACAAGCATCTCTTTGCCCTTTCGGGATGGGAGACACCGCGCTAGCCCTAATCAGGACATCGGATCCCGCCTCCGCAAATGTGCTTTATCTAATCGGATGGAAGTATAGCAGCAGCTGGAGGTCGTTTGACTCGTTAAATACCCTGCAGGCCCAGGTCCGATGGATAACCAAGCGAGTCTCTATCGCCTTTACCTCTATCGCAATTGCTCAACTCGGATTGCTGCTTTAGCCCTTGGCTATATCTATCGCATTCCTCATCTACATCATCATTTCGTTCCATATACCTCTCACACAACATGGTTCTCGACCGACTACAGCAATTGACCTACCAGGTCAGCGCTACTGCACCTCCGCCTCATCCTCTCGATCCTCTCTCTACCGTGGAGATTGATACCGCTGTTGGCATTATTCGCAAAGAACATGGCGCGCTCAACTTCAATGCAGTCACATTATACGAACCCCGCAAGGCTCAGATGATGGCTTGGGTTGCGGATCCAGAGAATGCTCCTCGCCCTGTCCGAGCCGCTGATGTGGTAGCAATTGCGCCTGGCGGCAAGATCTACGATGGTGTGGTTGACCTCGTCGACAAGAAGATTATCAAGTGGCAGCACACACCGAATGTTCAGCCTTTGATCACAATGGAGGATCTGCAGGAGGTTGAGCACATAGTGCGCAAGGATCCTAAGGTCATCGAACAATGTGGTATTGTCGGAATTCCCAAGGAAGACATGCATAAAGTATACTGTGACCGTAAGTGGACTTTGCTCATTTCATCGAAGGTTGATATGATACTGATGAAAGGGCATTGCAGCATGGACAATTGGATATGATGAGCGTTTTGGGGTTGGTGTCCGCCTCCAACAAGCTCTGATGTACTACCGCCCTCATCCCGATGACTCCCAATACACTTATCCCTTGGACTTCTGCCCCATCTATAACGCCGAGACCAAGCAGATCATCCACATTGATGTTCCCCCTGTACGGAGGCCGATCAGCAAGGCCCTGCCCAACAACTATTATCCAGCCGCAATTGAGAAAGAAGGCGGATACCGGACTGACGTGAAGCCAATTCACATCACCCAGCCCGAGGGCGTGTCCTTCGAAGTCAAGGGTCGAACAATCGAGTGGCAAAACTGGAGCGTCCACGTCGGATTCAACTACCGCGAGGGCATTGTCCTGAACAACATCACATTCAACGACAAGGGCAATGTCCGACCTGTCTTCTGGCGTCTTTCGCTCGCGGAGATGGTCGTGCCATACGGCAACCCCGAGCATCCCCACCAGCGCAAGCACGCATTCGATCTGGGCGAGTACGGCGGTGGATACATGACCAACAGTCTGGCACTAGGATGCGACTGCAAGGGCGCAATCCACTACATGGACGCGGCATTCGTCAACCGGGCCGGCGCCAGCACAATCATCAAGAACGCCATCTGCATCCACGAAGAAGATGCCGGCATCCTGTTCAAGCACACCGATTTCCGCGACGAATCAATGGTCGTGACCCGTGGCCGAAAGCTCATCATCTCGCAGATCTTCACCGCAGCAAACTACGAGTACTGCGTGTACTGGATCTTCCACCAAGACGGCACCGTCCAGCTCGAGATCAAGCTGACCGGAATCCTCAACACCTACGCCATGACCCCCGGCGAGGACACCAAGGGCTGGGGAACCGAAGTCTACCCCGGAGTCAACGCTCACAACCACCAGCACCTATTCTGTCTCCGTGTAGACCCAAACATCGACGGACCCAGCAACACCGTCTTCCAAGTCGATGCCGTTCAAGGACCCGGCGAGGTCGGCAGTGCAGAGAACAAATACGGAAACGCCTTCTACGCCAAAAAGACCAAATTCTCCACCCCGCTCGAAGCCATGTCCGACTATGACGGCTCCACCAGCCGAACTTGGGACATGGCCAATACCAACAAACTCAATCCATACAGCAAGAAACCCGTCAGTTACAAGCTAGTCAGCCGCGACGTCCCTCCCCTTCTCCCCAAGGCAGGCGGACTAGTCTGGAAGCGAGCAGGATTCGCACGCCACGCAGTCCACGTCACTAAATGTGAGTTTATCTCCTCCTAAGTATACCAGTTCATCTCTAATAACCCTCCCAGACGATGACGACCAAGTCCACCCAGCCGGCCGCCACGTCCCCCAAACCTCCGGCGAGCCCTCAGAGGGTCTGCCCGCATGGATTGAAGCTGCCGGCCCAAGCTGTTCAATCGATAACACAGACGTCGTGCTGTGGCACACTTTCGGTCTGACGCACTTCCCTGCGCCGGAGGATTACCCGATCATGCCTGCTGAGCCAATGACGCTTCTTCTTCGTCCGCGTAACTTCTTTGACCGTAGCCCGGTCCTTGATGTTCCTCCTAGCTTTGCGCGCACTCCCACGCAAGTAGCAGCTGGTGGGAATGCATGTGCCTGCAAGAAGAGTGATGGATCGAGTGTGTTGGTTTGATCTGATGAGATTTCGATTGATATTGCTTTGGGTCTGGGGCTCTATTAAGTGTGCCTTGCTTGTATATAAAAGCTTCTTTGAGAATCATACGAGTTTCTGTTTCTATATTTTGTCTGCACCATGTTGTTCACGATACATGCATTTATTGTAAAAAGCAATTTGTTAACAAGAAGTGTAATTCGATATTTCTGGCAATTCCAATAATTACCTATAAAGAGTGAGTGTTTTCAGGTATTTTAGTTCATGTATAGGTAGTTTATAGACCGTGTGGATTTTCCCAAATATATTTCCGTATTTCATACTTCTCAATCCTGCCCACGCAAAGCAACAGCAAAGAAGTATATACGTAGTAACATCTTTTGATAAGTCAGATCCAGAGATATACACATCAAAGTAAAAACGCATAAACGCCCAAAAGACCCCAACAGAGAGAGAATCATATAGTCAGAACCAAGTAAACCGTAAAAGGCGAGAACACAATGCTTCGCCAACATGCAGAAAACAAAAACACAAGACAACAAATCATGCAGAAGCACCCCGCAAAAGAGCCCTATCAACCTCCCCCAACAACCCAAACAACTCCTTCCCACCCTCAGAGTCCTTCCCCTCCATATCCAGCGCCTTATGCAAGAACTTGCGCGCCTCCTCATACCGACTCATCTCCGCAAGACACTTCGCAATGCGCCACCACGCCTTGACATTCCCAACAGGCTTCGAGTCAACACTAGACTTGGCATCAACCAAGCCCTCCGGCCACGCCTGCTTTGCCATATGCGCCTGCGCGCGGTTCGCATACAGACCCGCCAACTCTTCCCGCACGACGCCGACGCCCTCCCAGCTCGGCCGGCTGAATCCCATGTCGATGGCGTATGTGTACAGCTTGATTGCCTCGTCGTAGTTGGATTTGCGGTGGGCGGCGTTAGCGCTGTCGCGGAGTTTGGCGATCTGCGCGCTGCGCTTGGGGCTTGTGAGCAGTGGGGCTGGGGGTGTGCCTGGTGGGTCGAGGCTGAGGAGGGAGCGGTGCAGTTGGTTTAGTTCTTCGAGTTCTGTGGCGATGGCGGCGTTTTGGGTGGGTGTTTGGGCGGATGATTGGATCAGTGAGAGGGCTTTGGAGCTTGGGTCCATGTGCAATGGATATTGGTTGTAGATATCAATTTCGCTGGCCATTTTGGGCAGTTTGGGGAGACTTTGGGTCTCGGGTTTGGGTTGGAAGGTTGGGTGTTGCTGTTTGGAGCTGTTAGTATATGCGCTGCGGTGTGGCTCGATAGGTGTTTGAAGGGTGAAATGAGAATATGGGGATTGGAGGGAGGTTGTTCCATACAAGGTAAAGTTCTGAAAGTGCCTGCTAGCTGCTCAACAAAGCACGGATCAATTCAAGCTCAGACTTTGGGGTTGTACTTGTCAAGAGATGATGATGGCAAGAGGGCTAGCTGTCCAGAAACCCATTGATATGAAGGGCGGTGGCAGAATTTCAGGACTGTTATCTATACGGAGTACACATCTCCCTTTCATATGAACATGAGATGGCAACTGGAGTGATAGGATCATAATGATTTGAGTGTAGCACGGTCCCATACGTTTCAGTTAACACTCGTTTTAGGTAGAGATTTTGGTGATATATCCGGTTCTAGCGAAACATCACTTACCTAGACATATAGAGGTCTAACCTAGCCTATAGTTTTGATATCACAACGAGGGAAGGAATGCCCATTACTTACATAGGTACAATACAAACATCTATATTTTGCTAGATTCAATCAGGCCAAAGCAGGACATACAATCATAATCCTAGGGCTGAAGGAGCCCCAAGAGACATGGTAACAAACAAGGGCGTCAACCCCGAGTAAACAACGATGCGCCCAACACCGCTCCACGGTCATATTCAAGACGCAAAAAAAAGCAAGAAGACCCATCAATCCGGGTATTTCACTGAGCTATGCCTCGTACACTGACACCCTCCACTCAACTCGGCCGCCGTCCGTACCCACTCACTGATGACCCGTTAAACCCAGTGGGAGCGGTGTACTCAGACGGGGTATATTCCGACGGGTTGAACTGTGTAGAGGTATCGGCATAGTGCTGGCCATGCGCGCCACCGTAGCCGGTGCTGTTATAATCATGAAGAACACCTCCGGGAGCGGGGGCGGTAGGATCGTAGGAGCCTTGCATCGCGGTCCGGCCGTGTGCGTTGCCTATGTCATCCACCTCGTTCTGCTGCAGTAGAGCATAGTCCTCATCCTGGTCACCGCGGGATGATGCGGGTCTTCCACCGCCTCGGCCAGATCGGAAGTCGTCCTCATCCTCCTCGAAATCGTGAGCGGGGTTTGACGAAAAAGCGGCTTTACTCTGCGCGGCAAAGGTGGGATCGGAGACGGCGTCGGGGAGAGTACCCGTGCGGCGGAAGTGCATCACGTTGCGGAAGGACATCCAGGCCGTGATGGCAAAGAGGATACTATGAGTCTGTTAGCTTTGTTCGCAAGTAACCGCCCGGCGCTTGTTCCAGCATTGGAAGGAGTCCCACGTACAAGATAAAGACGCCAATAATCGTAGTAGCTTCGCTCAGCTTGCATTTTCCAGCGCTTCCGTATGCCCAATTATCGCATCCAGTCTTTTCTTTGGTGTCGGCATCGGCATCGTCGGCCCTGCGAGTGCGGCTGGATTTGGAGTCGGCATCGGACTTATTATCATCTTCACTGCCGGCGCCCTTGGATTTTCCTTGAGCAACATAAGAGGCGAGACAGATCCAGGCACTGAGCCAGAGGATCGAATAGAGAATGTCGACGCTGGCGAAGGCATAAACGTTACCGAAGCGCCGGGCTCGCGGCCACATCGGCACTGCCACTAGGTAGATCAAGCCGGGGATACTCAGCCAGCACTGTTGTTCGGACTTTCATCAGAATCGCGCGTTTTTGCGATAAGATCAAAATCGCTGAAGGAAAAAACTCACCAGACCCCAGTACCAGCCTGTGCGTCCATCGATGCCATCTCCTTTGGTCCAGATAGCAATAGTCAAGGCCCATGCGATGAAGATACACAATCCTTGTAGGAAATGTAAGATGTTTTTTGTTCGTCCGAGGCTCCCGCCTGATGGTCGTGGGACTTGAAACTTCATTTTAGGTAAAAGCGCTGCAAGGGTGATGCGTCCCGTTCGTATTCGCCCGAAAGGGAAATGGGGTATTGTCGTTAGGGGTGGTCTATCGTTCAGTCATACGGGACACAAAAGATGAGAGATGTAACAGGAACAAGGTCGGGACCTGAGGAATGGGACCTGGGGGGGGGGGTTGTGGTCTTGGCCCAGGCTGTGTGAGGCTCCGACAAAAAAGGTGTTTGTTTTGTTTCTCTGGCTGTTCGTCGCAACGGCGCAACTATGTAAGAGTCGTATGTTCTAAGGTAGAGAATTCAAGTCGGAGAATTCGAGATTCCAATTATGAATTGGTTATTTGTTTTGCGATGCTCCGTATTTGGTGGCCTGCTCTTCAAATCACCGGGTCTACGTATGACCTCCACATCCGCTGATCGCCCAGGCGACAGGCCGTACTATTTCGGGAACTCCGCCACTGGGCTTGGCGTATGCCTGCTTTACATCATAATTTCATTTCTCATACACTCATCTACATAAAACATAAAGCATCAAACAGCAAACATCAAACAGCAAACATAAGAATCACTTGCTCAGTCCGGCTTCTCGGGCCTGTTTCATCCACACCCATATCTCTCGCAATGGCTGATAGACATGTACCTGCCACCACCAGGGAAGTGGATCAAGAACCGAGAACAGAGGGTCTTTCCAGAACAGAACTTTCAATAGTTCTGCCTGAATAACGTCTAGGGCCGCAAGTAGGAAGCGGACCACTGGAAACTGCAAGAAAGCAGCTGGGAGAATATCACCGCGGGTGGATATTGGCACTGGACGGATTGGTGACATTGTTGCTGTGATGCTGGCTGTATCCACTGGATGGGATGGGAATATAGATAGATAGCCGGCTATAGGACAAGGTGCATTACGCAGCATGTTATTCACGGCTCTTGCGCCGGATGTACAGCCGGCGATGTAGATTGTGTGTCGGACAGAGTGGGAGTCAAACTCTTCGTCCACCATGAGTCTCACAGAGAGATGACCAGTGAAGCGAATACCGCCCTTGCCTGCGAATTTCTGCATGAGTCTATGAACGGCAGTGGCCAGAGCCTCGTCCAGACGCGAGGCACCCCATGCAGACGAGCAGGAATCCGAAAGCCGAACCTGAACGGCTTGCACGTCGCCATGCACAACCAGTAGGTCAGCAAATAGCTCTCCGAGACGGAATTGTTGCTGCAAGACCCAGGGCCGATTCTGGGAGATCTGGATCTCGCTGACCATGTTGTATGTTTTGCTCATGGTACGCCTCGGCAAGAACATGGCCTTCTCATTTGCAGATGACGTCGCTCGAGACATCTGGTAGGTTTTGGAGGGCGACCGATGTAAGATTTTATGCACCGAGTCGCGAGACTGGACATTGTGTTTCTCAAGCACAGGAAGACTCCGCTCCGTCACATAGTGCCTGAAAGAATCAGGATTGGCGAAACAAGCCGCCAACTCGGAATCAAAAGTAATGCATTTGCAATTGGTGCGACTTTCAATGACTTGCCGAGCCGTCGCATCTTCAATAGACGTTGCCTTGGGCGAGCATGGGATCCACAGATCGACCTTCTCACGGTGGATAGTGTCGAGCAGCCGAGAGATGTAATGGTCCTTGCGAATACGATAGAATGCGACTAGAGCCTTGGACATGCTCCCGCCGGAGCGCACGGGCAGGTCAAGGTCCGTGACATCCGCACCGACCACGCGGTGGCCCTCTGTAGCCCACGACCTCGCTAAAGCCAATCCGTGGGCCGTGCCTATACCTGTGATAAGGACCGTCTTGGGGTAAAATCGAACATTGCGTGGTGTCGCTCGCCATCGGGTGGTCACTGAGCGGAGATACGATAGGAATACCGCGACCGCGAGAATGGTGTTATTGACAGGCAAAAGCGAGAAGGAAAGGCATAAGCGAAGAATATGCCAAAATATTGGGAACAAGATGCCCGATGTGATTGGGCCTTTGGCGGACTGGATAGACATCCTGAGTCTGTCTCTCACCGCGATCAGATGGTAAAGGTATTTGCGCATTTCTCCCTTGGAGTTTTAGATAGTTACAAAGAACCTCGAAAGGTAATGAGCTAGAAATGAACATTGTGGAATGCTCATAAAGAGGACAATGTGAAGTGAGGTGGCTGGACAACAATGAGCGGGGCTTGGCCTGCAGATCTAGTTCGGTGTGACGATGCATCGGCCAAGTTAGGGCCAGACGATTGTTGTCAGGTACCGACATATACGTGGTCTGTCTTCATCAATATGTGTTGGCTCCTCGATCAGAAATCACCATCTCTGGAGTAAACGTCAGAGACCAGACATGTCCGGACTCCGGATCTGACCGAGGAAGGCTGTCACGACATGGGATCAGGTCTCCAGTATTAGACCAGCGCATTCGGCCCTGTTTACCCGAATAGGCGTTTGCGACGTACTATGAGCCAGTCGGGGATCGGAGATCGCGCCATTCCATCATCCAAAGGCCGCACCGACGCTGCTTCAGCCTTGTGAGTGATCTGACTCAGATTTACGAGCATTAGCCCTTATCCCCGACACGAGAGGCCTACGATGGTATATGTATAAGCATGAAGTGATTCCAAGTTACAATTCTTGTATACGATTATTCTTCTGTCGCGTACTGCTCAATAATCTGCACCTCATGTCCACGCACGATCCCTCGGTAGACATCCCAAACATGATCCCGGTTGTTAAGAAGGGACGTTGAAGTTAATTCATACTCCAGAGCGACGCAAGCAAGGAGCTCAAGCTCCTGCATTACATCTATGGGCAGCCGAACCTAGATGAAATCCGTGGCCATCCTCAGAAAGTAATCGATTTGATTCATGAGTTTGAGAAACAATACTATTTCATGAATGTCGGCCCCGAAAAGGGCGAGGTCGTCACCAGCCTCATCGATGAGCTCAAACCAAAGACCATGATTGAGCTCGGCTGCTACGTGGGCTATTCCGCAATCTTGTTTGGCGATGCAGTCCGTCGAAATGGGGGTGAACGCTATCTGAGTCTCGAGTTGAACCCCGAATTCGCTGCAATTGCTAATATGCTCATCGAGTTGGCTGGACTGCGTGACTTCGTGCGTATCATCGTCGGCCGAAGCGATGTCTCGTTATACAAGGCCCTTACTTCAGGCGACGTGAAGAATGTGGAGCTTATCTTCATCGATCATTACAAGCCAGCTTACACCACCGACCTGAAAATGTGTGAGCAACTCGGGGCTATTGTCCCGGGCTCGGTACTCGTTGCGGACAATGTTCTTCGCCCGGGCAACCCGCCATATCTGGAATATGTCCGCAGCACGGTGGAACAGAAGCGTGAATTGGCTAAGGTTGGACCTTCCAAGACATATGACACCAATGGCATTCCCGAGAACTCCGTGAAGAGCTTTGTGGGTAAAGAGGATGTGCCCACTTTTAATTTTGTCGGGAACCCGAACTTGGTGTATCAGAGCCAACTACACCAGCCCGAGGGACTTCGCGTGAGTTTGCCTCCATTTCCGCAGTGGCTCTTATGTTAACGGGATTCGACTTGACAGGATGCTGTTGAAATTACAAGATGTGTGGGAGTGCAGGAATAAGTGGCAAACGCGAATGACACAAGTGGGACTATTGAGCGGCACAAGCCGAGATGTCTACTCCGTACATAGGACGATATAGCAATATGAAACCAGAAAAGCACCTCGCAACTTGCCTGGTTACATTGGATTATCAATCACAGAACACTCCGTCCCTAAATGGCCACTTCGGGAACCCGACAAATTCGGCTTTTAGGGCGACCCCACCAGAGCCCACGTTGCCGTCGCCAGGACCTTCCCATGTTCCCCCGCACCCCTGTTTTGTAGTATCTGGGGACTTATAAAAGGAGCATCGTCCCTGCGGGTTTTTTTCTCTCAGTTAAACGTCAAATATCTATTCCAATCATGGCTAGCAAGGTTTACAATGTCGGAATTGTCGGCTACGGCTTCAGTGCAAAGATCTTCCACATTCCCTTCGTGAAGGAAGTCCCAGAGCTCAACATTTACGCAATTGTCCAGCGCACCCCGAAGCAGGATGATGATGCTGAGAAGGATCTCCCCGGTGTGAAGTCTTTCCGTACCACTGAGGAGATGGTCCAGGACCCCGCGATTGATGTGGTGATCATCACTACTGCCCCCGATTCTCACTTCGCTTTGACCAAGCTGGCACTGGAGGCCGGCAAGCACGGTAGGTGTCGAGTAATTCAGAACATCAATCGAGATGGATATACTAACATGAGATATATCAGTCGTTTGCGAGAAGCCCTTCACCCCCACCACACAGGAGGCCGATGACCTCGTCGCCATTGCGAAGAAGAACAACAAGCAACTCGCTGTATTCCAAAGTATGTTCCATCTCCCAATGTTGAGAAAATCCTATACTAAGACTGCAATCAACAGACCGCCGCTGGGATGCCGATTTTGTGACCCTCTCCAAGCTTATCAAGAACGGCTCGCTCGGCCGCATCTCTGAGTTCGAGACTCACTTCGACCGCCACCGTCCTGAGGAGCCCGCTGCGGACTCTCACAAGTGGAAGAACAAGGTCATGCCCGGTGGATCTGCGATCTACGATCTTGGAACCCACCTTTTGGACCAGGCCGTGCACCTGTTCGGTCTCCCGAAGCGGGTAACTGGAATCGTTGGCTCCGCTCGCGAGGTCAACTCCTCCGGATATGAGAACGCCTTCACCGTTCTCCTGCACTATGCCAACGGCACTATGGTCACTGCCAAGTCGACCGTGGTCAGCCCCGAGGATGAGCAGCTGCGCTTCTGGGTGCGTGGTGACAAGGGTAGCTTCAAGAAGGTAAGATCATTCAATCGTGCACATTATTCTTTTCTCAAAACCTATACTGACACAATCGGTTAGTATCACCTTGATATCCAGGAAGACCAGCTCAAGGAAGGCATTATGCCTCAGGATAAGGGTTACGGTTGCGAGCCCAGCGAGCGCTACGGCACTCTCACTACCATCCAAAACGGCAAAGCCGTCAAGGAGGTCGTTCCCACCGTGGAGCCCCCCACCTACACCGAGTACTACCGCAAGCTTGTCCGTGCTCTCAATGGCGAGGGCGATCTTCCTGCGAGCGGCGAAGAGGCTCGCGAGGTCATTCGTTTGGTCGAGCTGGCTCGTGAGAGTTCCCAGACTGGACGTACTTTGGATGTTTAAGGTCGAGGTTTGTAAGATGCAACGATGATTATGATATACCAGATAAAAGCCTACATACATATTTCGAAGTTTTTGAATATGAGCTTTTGCATTCTCTAATAACTAAGAAATGAGACAAATGAACACCAACACGGAATTAGGTTGGAACGACGGTGCCAAGGTGCTGTGCGAACTTCGAAGGTGCATAACTAATGCTTAGACCGGTGTTGTGGCCTGAATCGTATGGTATCAGTGATCGCAATATCTGATGTTTGGGTCTGAGGTTTGACATTTGATCTCTTAAAGGTAAGAATTGAATCAGATTTTTCGTTGCTCTTTGGCGTTAGTCTACCTGGTTAGCTAACGCCTGAGGGCATACTCTTTCTTTTTTTCTGACTTCGAGGTCTGTTCGTCGTTCCCGGGCATTGTCATTTTTCCTCCTTTTTTTTTCGGAGGAGAGGATTATCATTGTGTGTTCTACTGTCATTCTATCCCTCTAAGGAAAGTGTAATGGGATCGGATGAAACTCGGCTTGACTACCTGAATACCCTTATGTACCTGGCATGCCTGGATTTAAGCGGAACCCTATGAACCTGAATTACTAGTCGGCCGTGTTTATGGCCTTGCGATATCTGTTTAGTAGTCTATTTAGTAGTCTTCTTTACCGTTTTCTTCGATGTCTTTTTTAACATTCATTTTGAGAGATATCTTCTTCCCTTATCGTATTTGTATGGTGGGAATAGCATGCATTCTGGGAATAGCATCGATTCAGGGCTATGATCTACAGAATCATAAGCGATAGAATTAGGCAGCAAAATGGATTAGAATAGAAACCGATGATGCTGCCTAACCCCAACGGGGCAAAGGACCCTGTTAAGGCTGCAAGTGGCCCCAAACACCAAATCTCCGCAGTCAAAGCTTTAGGCCATTATGTATCTACTCCGTACTTACTCCGTATTGCTCCTCAAGTCTCACTGTCGGCCGCTAGTGCACGAGCTAGCGGTCTGAGCATTCTTTGTGCACTCCGAACTCCGGGAGCTTTCAAATCGTTCCACAGCCCCTGAAGGAATAATCAGCTGAAGTTCTACGCATAGCAAAGCGCTATGGACGTCAAGTCGTTACCAGATTTCGGGTTTTTTCCATATGCCGATTCATCCATCGAGCCTAAAGAAGTACTGCCATCAGATGATCCACTCACCGTCAACAATTCATCCTCATGGACATACTGCGGACCTCTCTTGACCCTCGAAGCATGTAACCTGCCATCCTCCTTTAATACCTGGGCCCAAGCCACAATCAGCGGCTCAATACTGCCCTCCTTATTCGCCTTCCTGGCATACGCCCACAACTTCCTGACCCAAAACAACCAATCTCACTACTGGCTCACCATCCGCGCAAGCAAAGGCTCCGACGAATTCGATACTCCTCGCTGGCACACAGATGATCTATTCTTCTCACCTCGCCAACCAGCAAAACATCCATACCGCGTATCCCTCCTTTCACCGCTAACTAGTATACTCAAACCCCATCGGACAGGACCAAGCGAAACAAAGCCGCACCCGGTCTCCAAATCACACGCACAGAAACATGAGTGTCGCCCCCAAACTACCGTCCAGATCCAATCTACAAGCCCTCACCCAACAAACTGGAAACTTACAACTACCCTCCTAGGCCCCGGAACCCTGTTCATCCCGCAGAAGACGAATCGCCTAGCGCGCGCCACACAACACGCCGCCAAAGCCGCCGCTCGTGCCACAAACCCGGGCCACATATGTCTCTCAGTGCGGTGTGTCGGATGCGCTATGGCGGCGGAGTCAGTGCGCGCGAAGCTAGCCGTTGAGCTGGGCGGATATGGGACTGTCCAGGCGGGGCCTGGGGAGTGTGTTTTCTTCCGGGTTGGTGAGGACGAGGGGGCGGTGCATTCTGAGCCGCAGTCGCATGGAGATCGGATTTTCGTTAATCTTGTTCCTGGCCATGAGGCGGATCTTAGGGCTCTCATGGCGAAGTGGGGGATGGAGTATCCGCGGGCTTGGTGTGTGGGATTGCCGTTAATGCTTGGGGAGGCGGAGGAGAGTTTGAGGGATGTTGAGGGCGAGATTTGAGGTTTGCTTTTTCCACGCTATATGGGTATATACTCATCTCAGAATGTATACTAGGGTAATATCCTCTAGTATGGAAGATGCTTTTATTTGATTAGCCGTATTGCATGTTCCGAGCAAGGATGTGTGGAGATGGACCCCTTGCCTGGTTTCGATATCATACTAAGCGGATCCATTGTCAGACCATGAAACAGAACCATCGAAGTATATAAGATGATCTACTGTATATATCTCACCCGTTGTCAACATCGTCATGTGTGATCTCCGACGATGACGCCAAATGCCAAGCCACTAGTCCAAAACAAGAGTTTCTGTTACCAAATGCAAATCCACTGAGTGGAAGACCGTTGACAGAAGAAACCCGGCCTGAGATCGAGACATCCGAGAGTTACGATCCGCGGAGAAAGAGAATAGAGTTGCGTGATAAAACGGAAGAAATGAGAATGTCATTATTGAGAGGTGCGGATCTACGGCAGATGGCGGTTCCTCCTTTGTATTATCCCTTCCTAGAGAACCGAACCTCCGTGAGATGTATTCGTGGGACTTGCCGTAATACCTTGAAGAGACGTGCGGGCAGTTGCTAGAATATTGTCTCTGATACACTCGTACTGCAGTAGGTGTCTGGCAGCATGGCACCGTCCCCGCATAGGCCGGTGACGCTGTCCCGCCCGTCAACCTGGAATTTCGATATCGATCGGTATCTGAATCCATTCGTACCTGCGCCACCATGGAATCTTGTACCGCGACCTATCGCCCACTTGCTGGGCTATCGAGGCGATGGCCCGAAACCGATGGGCAACATTCTGATGGCTCTGTGGTCGTTGCTTGGAGCATTTTGTGGCGTGGCCTTAGTGGCATCAGTTTCCAAACGCGTGCCATCTTTCGAAGCCCGTGATGCACCAGCGATTGTTGGCAGTTTTGTGAGTGGTCTGATGGGTTTAGTATAATGAACCGAACCAAGCAAAGGCTGACTTTTATTCTGTGGCATTAGGGTGCCGCGGCAGTTCTTGAATTCGGTACGATTGAGTCGCCTTTCGCACAACCACGCAATGCCATCCTGAGCCAGATTATCGCTTGTTTCTTCGGCGTCGGGATATCGAAATTGTTCGCCTTGAATCCTCATGCTGAAGCGTACACTGAGCTTGGGGGTGCTCTTGCTTGCGCTCTCACCACCGCCGTCATGATCATTACCAACACGACGCATCCGCCAGCGGGTGCGACTGCTCTGCTCGCAGTGACAAATGCTGAGATGGTTTCTCTGGGTTGGTTTTTGTTCCCAGTGATATTGCTCGGAGTCGCGCTCATGCAGGCTGCCGCCGTGGTGATCAACAATGTTCAGCGTCGGTATCCGTTGTACTGGTGGACGTCGCATCCCCTGTCGACCCCTCAAGCCGATGTTGAAATGGCTCCTCGAAAAGCGTCATCTCGTATTTCTAGTCATTATGAGGACAGTTTAAACGACGTTCCTCGACAGTTAGTAATAGAGCGCGGTGAGGTTTCAGTGCCCGATGGGATATATCTTTCTCCCGAGGAGAAAGAAGTCTTAGAAAAGATCAGTGAGAGAATCTAAGGGGGGCCTGTACATATTAAATATTTGCTTTATCCTGCATACGAGCTGCACCGGAGTACCAAGTACACGTTTATAGGCTCCCTTATCGGGCCAGTCGCGTATCACACAAATCAAAGTGGCAAATTGACACCTCAGGCACGGACTGCGGTGACGTCTCTCCCAATCAGCATCCTCTTATGTACACGGCCCACTGAGGATTTTTTTTTTTTTTTTTTTGTTGTCTTAAAACTCTCGACTTGTCCACATCTTTACAAGTTTCTCAGGAAGAAAGAATCTTTAGTGAAAAAGGTATGTTCGCTTGTACTTTTTTTTTTCTTTCACCTAACTGACATCGACTAGGATTTCTATCGATAAGGGCAAACCACACTCCACCTGCTTCGCGCCCCTCCATTTCTGCCCGCCCCGCCAGGCGATCCACTCAGTCTTTTTGCATTTCTCTTCAATCTCTGTTTGCGTTGTCATCCTTTCTCCTCTCCCTTTGCCTCCCGTCTTTCTCCCCTGCGACCTTATTTTTTTCTTCTTTACATATTTTTTTTATACCCTCACATCGCAATCATGGTTTCCGCCTCTAAGGCTGCCCGCCTGGCCAAGCGTGCCGAGGAGAAGAAGCCCAAGAAGACCAAGGAGGTCGAACTCGATGCCCACGGAAAGCCCATCGTCGAGGACGCCCCTGCCACCAAGGATCAGTCCGCCGTTGATAAGCTCACAGCCCAGATGGATAAGCACGGTCTGTCCGATCGTGTCACCACCGGTGTGCTGTCATCTCTGCCTGCCTCTCGCGATGTTAAGATTACCTCTTGCTCCCTTGTGTTCCACGGAAAGGTCCTTGTCACCGATTCCACTATGGAGTTGACCTTCGGTCGTCGCTACGGTCTCCTCGGTGAGAACGGTTGCGGAAAGTCCACTATCCTCAAGTCTATTGCTGCCCGCGAGTACCCCGTTCCCGAGCACATCGATATCTACCTTCTGAACGAGGGTGCCCCTCCCTCCGACCTCGGTGCCCTTGAGTGGGTTGTCCGTGAGGCTGAGCGCCAGTTGGAGGATATGGAGAAGAAGGCCGAGGAGGTTCTCGAGGAGGAAGGCCCTGACAGCCCTATTCTCGAAGATCTGTATGACGTATGTATCTCTGGTTTCAAATTTTCACCCTCATCAGTGCTACAACAGAAGCTAACGATTCTCTACAGCGTATGGACAAGATGGATCCTTCCACTTTCCACGTTCGTGCCTCGCTCATTTTGACCGGTCTCGGTTTCAACAAGCACACCATCAACAAGAAGACCAAGGACATGTCCGGTGGTTGGCGTATGCGTGTGGCCCTTGCCAAGGCCCTGTTCGTCAAGCCCTCTTTGCTCTTGCTTGATGACCCCACTGCCCACTTGGATTTGGAGGCTTGTGTGTGGTTGGAGGAGTACCTCAAGAAGTGGGATCGTACTTTGATCCTGGTCTCTCACTCTATGGATTTCCTGAACGGTGTTTGCACCACCATGATCGATATGCGTGGCCAGAAGCTCCTTTACTATGGTGGTAACTACGATTCTTACCACAAGACCCGTAGCGAGCAGGAGACCAACCAGATGAAGGCCTACACCAAGCAACAGGAAGAAATTCAGCACATCAAGAAGTTCATTGCCTCCGCTGGTACCTACGCCAACTTGGTGCGTCAGGCCAAGTCTCGCCAGAAGATTCTCGACAAGATGGAGGCCGATGGTTTCATTCAGCCCGTCGTTGCCGACCGTGTCTTCACCTTCCGCTTCGCCGATGTTGAGAAGCTCCCTCCCCCAGTTCTCTCCTTCGACGATGTCAGCTTCTCTTACTCCGGTAACTGGGATGACACCCTGTACGAGCACCTCGACCTCGGTGTCGACATGGACTCCCGTACCGCCCTGGTCGGCCCCAACGGTGTCGGCAAGTCTACTTTGCTCCGTCTCATGACCGGCAAGCTCAGCCCTATCGGTGGCCGTGTCTCTCGTCACACTCACTTGAAGCTCGGTGTGTACAGCCAGCACTCCGCTGAGCAGCTCGATCTCACCAAGTCTTCCTTGGAGTTCGTCCGTGACCGCTTCCCCGAGAAGTCCCAGGATTACCAGTACTGGCGCCAGCAGCTCGGCCGCTACGGTCTGAGCGGTGAGGGCCAGACTGCCCTCATGGGTACCCTGTCCGAGGGTCAGAAGTCTCGTATCGTCTTCGCCCTGCTCGCCATCGAGTCCCCCAACATGATTCTGCTGGACGAGCCTACCAACGGTCTCGATATCCCCACCATTGACTCCCTCGCCGATGCCATCAACGCCTACAGCGGTGGTGTCGTCGTCGTGTCCCACGATTTCCGTCTCCTCGACAAGATCGCCAAGGACATCATGGTCTGCGAGGACAAGACCATCCGCCGCTGGGACGGCTCCATCGGCGAGTACAAGAACCACCTCCGTAACAAGATGGTGTCTTCCGGTGCTGTCTAAGCGCTTTCTCGTTTTCATTGATTCCCTTTTCCCTTTTTTTCCTTTTTTTTCCATTGATGACGACGAAATGCTAGACGAGAACTGAAGGAATACAAATTGCCCCCGGGGCACTAAAAGTTCGGTTCCCGCAGGGACTAACAAAAAGGTCCCTTGGGTTGGGATGGTTTTCATTTATTTTTATTTTGTTAGATCGTTTTGTCCTTTTCTCTCCGAATAGATTTTGGGAGAGCCTTGGACTTCTGCGTTTGCTGTCATGAACTCATTACCCCCTTTCGATTGGACCAGACGTGATCCGTCTGTTTTCTTCGCTTTCTTCTCTGTCTTACCATGCATCCTTGATAGAGTATCTAGTCCTCTCTTCCGAGGTGAATATAAGGGATGCCAGTTACGCCAAATTCTCATTGTACGGTCTTTTTCTCGTATATACTCCGTAGAGAGCCTTGAAAAGGACGGTGGTCCTTTACGTTCGTCTGTTATAGCATCCTTCGATATCTCCTTTCAGATAATGCTATGGCCGGAACCCATCTCATAGTCCTCCCCCTTGTACTCTTTGTGTTCTCATGATACAAATATAACACTCTACGGCAATGCGCCCAAAGACAAAGAATCGCCAACAATAGCCCTGATCCCTCTCGTTGTCCTCCAACCCCAACAAAGACCTAACCAAGTCAAACCCAACTTGACAATACATAAGTAGCCCCGAACCCTATCCCATCCCATCCAACCCACAACCTCATCCCTCGATCCCAATCCCCCCAATCCCAACCCCATACCTATCCAGGTAAGCCCTCTACCACACATTCCCAATCAAACCTCACAAGCCCACAATGGACGGCTCACGAGTCCACCCAGAAAACTTCCACTCAATCTACACCAAGGCCTGCGAAGCCTTTACTCACAAACTAGAATGCCAAATCTTCGCCCTCGTGACCACAGCCCCCAACCCCGATATGCAGGACATCCCGACCCGCCTCGACGAGCTCGGCGAGCGGGCCATGCAGATCGGATTCCTGGGTGAAGTGGGCGAGGTGGCGATCCGGGATGATCCCCGTGTTTGGTCCCGTTGGGGCAGTCTGCCCATGAAGGAGATTTGCTTTTTGATAAAGTACGAATTGAGGGTTTTGAAGGATGAACTTGCTTGTAGTGCGCCGGCGCCGATGATTGTGGCGGATCTTTTGGTGGAGATTATGGAGGGATTGCCTTTTTGAGAGAGCTGGTATACCTAGTTTTGGGATTTGTGTATGTAATTTAAGGGGCTTCTCTGCTGGTTTGGAGAAGAATCTTTACTGTCTAGGTGGAACTGGTGGTAGGTTACGTTAAAGATAACTAATAATGAGAGCGAAAGTAATGATTGTTACAGGCTTTGATATTGGCGTTCATGTAGAGTGGTTAGATTTGATTTGCTTTTGCTCGATTGGGCAAGGACGAGACAAACTTGACGGTCTATTTCCACCGTTACCCTGTGCCCTTTGTTTGATTCAATCTGATACGGTCTTTGTTGAGTTCTGTCGTGGATTGGGGTTTCTCATAACTCTACCTACAAAGAGTGAAGAAAGAAAAGTAGAATCTGCATCGTCAAGTCCGACGTTATTGATATTATTGGTATTATTTATTTTCAATTCTGGGCCAATCATTACTGCTTGGTGCGCTGGGTGACCAGCTCAGGACCGAAGACATCATCACTCTGACGGGCCTGCTGCTCCTGTTCTAACTTGCGCTTCTTCGCTAGACGTTCAGTTTCGCTCTCAGAGGTGGCCACTCCCGCATCGCTTTGGACGGCAGTCGACGGCTGTGTGGAGTCCCTTTTCTGGGCCAGGTTCACCTTCTCGGGGTTCTGGCAGTGATATAATTTCTTTGCAATGCGCTTGAGGTTCTTCATTTGCGCGGGGTCAGAGGAGAGGGGTGTGTAGGATTGGAGTAGGGCAGAACATTCAGTCAACACGCGGTGCAGTTTGGAGCGAATTTCATATAGAGGATTCACAAGGCCGTTTGCGTCGAGCTCCGGAGGAGGAATTGTCGCTGTGACAGGTCCACCAAGTTTGACATCAAGAAGGAATTCAGCCAGGGGACGATCCGCTATTAAAAAGGCAGAAAGCCAGATTTGGGAGGGAGTGTACAAGAAGTAAGCGTCTGTCATTTGTGCGGCAGACTTGAGCAGTTCGCGAGTTGTGCCGTGAGCACGAGCAATCCGATCTGACATCGAGGACGATGGGACGGGAGGGGGTGCAATGGACAACAATCCTTGTTGAAGATCTTCAGCGGTCTCGTGTGGTAGATGGGGGGCTGGCTGGCCTTGGCCTTGTGCGATGGCTTGGAGTTCCATGACGCCGCCTTCGAGTCCCCGGAATGGATGCCGTACATCAAAGGTGAAACGGAGTCCCTGCATAAGAAGGAACTCAGGTGCGATGACGTCCTCTGTCGTTGTATCGCCGGGAATTCCATCTGCAAATTGGCGAAGAGACATATAGTAGTTATCGGTTTTGGTCGCGACAAAGAGCGCACACGCCATGATCGACTTGGGGTGGTATGTCATGGGTGAATTGGTTAAGTAGAAACGACGAAGGTATTGAATCGCAGTGGCCTGTATACGTAAGACAACAAAGTTAGCACGTCAAGGTTCTTGTTTGTTCCAGCATAATTCTGAAGTAGAGTATAACGTACCCGGACCATTGTTGGCATTGGAGGCTTGTAGGTTTCTCCCAACTCTAGCGTCTTCTCACAGTAATACCGCACGAGGACGAGTTCCTCTTCCGGAGTCAAGCATTCAATATTCTTCTCAATTTTGTTCTTGTTGTCTACGTTGCTTTCTGGCTGCGGTGTTCCAGCCGCAGATGATGTAGCTGACTGATGGGTTTCGCGCGATCTGCGCAAAGCCGCGCGCACACGCTCGCTGGCAACAGCATTTGTCGTGGCTCTGAGAGTCTGAAGAGATGTCTCGGTGTAAGACCACAGGCGGTATTGAGATGAGGCACGGTAGATGTCGTCTTCAATCATGGTGTTGGTGCCTTTGACTTTTTGGAGTCGAATGCTAGAAACTCGGGTTTTTTTTCGCCTGAGATAGTGCCAGACTGGTGGCAGGCTCGCAAGGGAACAATTATGAGTAGGAAGGGATAGAAAGACACAATCTGTTCCAATTGTCAGTACTTTCAAAGTTGAATGACAAGTGATAATGAGCTCAGAACAAGTGAAGTCCATCGAGTGAGAGACATCGGAGCTGTGGTGTCTTATCGATAACGCCCTCAACCCTTCGTCGCAGTTCCGCCTACAATCTACAGGCTTTGTATACATTTGTAGGTAAACAACTCATTGTATTCTGAATTGAGCTTCAATTGTGCTCCTTGGTCAATATTTAACCCCTTTGAAAAAACGATCAAACGCTATTGCAATGCAAAAGCCACCCAATGCAATCCACCCATAACGCGTGTGTGCTTGTTGTCGCATTCTTGTCCCGAGTTCACTAAATAAACTTGAATATACAATACTATGATTCACCAAGAAGTCGGGCAGCAATATCGCCCATAAGGCCTTCTTCTAATTCATAGTCCTGACCCCCATGCTGTTCAGCGCCAACAAACCGGAAAGCGGCTACAACACGCTCAACATCGAAGCCCATGCTGCCGAAACGGTCAACCAAGTTTTTGTTGTATCCCCCATACCTATAAACAGTGATTAGCAAATATAAGATATGTAGAGTACATGGCTGGATTACCTTGCCAGACTATCCTCGGCAGTTGCTTGCTGAACGTCATCCGCGCTAGATCCGTTCCCGTTGTCACTACTCACGGGAGCCCCGGCATAGATGACTGCCCATTCACGGGCAACACGCTCAAACTCCTTGGGTGTCTTCAGGAGCATGTTGGCCACTTCAGCATCTTGGGGATCTTTGGGTTCGGGGGTGCTGAGCAAAGATTGCAGTGAAAGTAAAGCGGATTTGATGGTCAGAACTGGCGACCAGGCACTCGAAAGTGTGTCGAGACAGATTGCTCCCTGCATTGGCTGTCAGTTTCCAATGAATCTAATTTATATACTGCGTAAAAGCCACTGACCGTTTGACTGCTAACATTCGGGTGCCACACTTTCGTCTCGAATTTCATGGTAGGTGGTCGGAAAGGATAGTCGGTGGGGATTTTTATATCGATATTGTACGTGCCACCTTCATATGGTGTTCCAGGTGGTCCTGGGAATGATCCTCGTAGGTGTGTCACATCGTCTTGGTTGCCAAATGGCTCGGCTTTGATCTGAGAGTGGATGTCCGCATGGATGTCCGCAATTTCTTTTCCAATGCGACGGATGCGGTTACTGGCCATGGTGATTTAGGCACTGATTTCAAGGACAGGACCAACAAACAGATATTTGACGATGATCCCAAGGCTTTCTGTGTACAGTGTGGGGACGGAGAGATCTAGTTCCGTGTTGACAATAACTGCACAAGGGCGTGGGGCACTTCCGCGGAGAGAAAGGCCGGTAGAAGCTGAGACCACAAAGGTATGGTTAGCAAGGCTTTGAATTAACGAAGGAAATCTGGTGATTAAGTATAAAATGTTCTTTCGCCGAAGGGAATTAACATGACTCGAAATAGACGGGAATCTCACCAATAGAGGGGAACTATAAAGAGAATCGGCACGAGTGAGGACCCCACACACAGTTAATATCCTCTAGGTTCGGATCTCCAGGGAAGGAAGTATTATCAATCCTCGATCGCGTTAAGGTCAGCTCCAGCAAAGAGCTCCGGTGAGATATAAAACCGTCTGATCGTCCTCGAGAATGTCCGAGGCACAAGCAAGATGCCGATAAGACAGGCGTTAAGGCAACAAGGCGAGGATGACGCAGTGGTGGCCTCAGGCCTATAAGGTCACGTGGGTGAACAACAGCTTCCAGCTCGATGAGCATCTGAGCCCGGGCGATACCCCATCTGCATCGACAATCATCCCTTTCAAGTCGTACTTACCATCATTTACCCTCCTCTCAAGCTCAGTGTCTTCGCTACTTTGATTCAGCTTGAGTCTTTATATCTGGGACTCTGATTGTCTCCCTCTCGGTGGCTGACAAACATGGTGAGTGTCCCAGTGTTCTGCGGCCAGTGGTCATTTCGATTTACATCGCCTAACTTCAAAAATAGGGTCAACAGCAGTCTAATCTGGGCGGCGGCCCTGGCGGTGATGGACGTGATGACAAGGATAAGAAGGTACGTTGCCACTTTGTTCTGCTGAGCAACCAGCGCTGAGACCATCTTTCATCAGAAGGACAAGCCGAGATATGAACCACCTCCTCCACCTACCACTCGGATCGGAAAGAAGAAGCGCAAGGCTGCCGGCCCCAGCACTGCCTCTAAGCTTCCCGATATCTACCCTACCTCGCGATGCAAGCTACGATACCTTCGCATGCAGCGGGTTCACGACCACCTGTTGCTAGAAGAAGAGTACGTTGAGAACATGGAACGGATGCGCAAGGCCAAGGCCCAGGCTTCACAAGATCCCGCTAGCCGAGGTGGTGACTTGGATGTAATGGACCGCAACGCCGATGAGCGGAGTCGCGTCGATGACATGCGAGGCAGCCCGATGGGCGTCGGCAACTTGGAAGAGTTGATCGATGATGATCATGCTATTGTCTCGAGTGCTACCGGCCCTGAGTACTACGTTTCGATCATGTCTTTCGTTGATAAAGATCTCCTTGAGCCGGGTGCTAGTATTCTTCTTCACCACAAGTCAGTATCCGTGGTGGGTGTGCTGACGGAGGAGTCTGATCCCCTGGTCTCGGTAATGAAGCTGGACAAGGCACCAACAGAATCCTACGCCGATATTGGTGGTCTGGAACAGCAAATCCAAGAAGTCCGAGAATCTGTGGAGCTGCCCTTGCTACACCCCGAGCTGTATGAAGAGATGGGCATTAAGCCTCCCAAGGGTGTGATTCTTTACGGTGCCCCCGGTACTGGAAAGACCCTCCTCGCCAAGGCCGTTGCCAACCAAACCAGCGCAACCTTCCTCCGCATTGTTGGCAGTGAGCTGATCCAGAAGTACCTGGGTGATGGCCCTCGTCTGGTTCGCCAGATCTTCTCAGTTGCTGCTGATCATGCTCCTTCAATTGTGTTCATTGACGAGATTGATGCCATTGGTACGAAGCGATATGAATCACAATCTGGCGGTGAACGAGAAATTCAACGAACAATGCTGGAGCTTCTGAATCAACTGGATGGATTCGATGATCGCGGTGACGTCAAGGTCATCATGGCTACCAACAAAATTGAGACATTGGACCCTGCTTTGATCCGACCTGGTCGTATTGACCGTAAAATTCTCTTCGAGAACCCGGACCGTAAGTGCTTCCTTGATATGTTCCACCGATTTGCGTCATTGCTCACTAACAGCTTTTAGAAAACACCAAGAAGAAGATCTTTACCTTGCATACATCGAAGATGTCTCTCGGTGACGACGTTGATCTTGAGGAGTTCATCAACCAGAAGGATGACCTTTCCGGTGCCGACATTCGTGCCATTTGTACTGAAGCTGGTTTGATGGCCTTGAGAGAACGCCGGATGAGGGTGCAGATGGACGATTTCCGAGCTGCTCGTGAACGCATCATGAAGACCAAGCAGGACGGCGGTCCCGTGGAAGGTCTTTACTTGTAAACGCTAGGAATCTTTCGAGGATATACGGACTGCTTGCGCTAGAGGCCTGCACCCAACTAGGTCCCTTGTGTATTGTAATAATCGAGTGATGAGAGAAATTAAAGGGCATACTGCCCACGAATTACCCTAAATTCTCCTGCATGAGAATGCCTCCATAAGTAATGTGTGGGTGATCCATGGATGTGTGGTGCCAAGCAGCTCGCCTTATCGCCCAGGTTGCAAACTATACAAACAAGCTTGCTATCAGGTCGAAGCGTATCTCGATCTGTCGCAAAGTTCCTCACACACCGCAATCATGGACGAGTTTGACGAAGAAGCGTTCAACAAGTTCTTTCCCTCAAGCTTTGGGAAGCAGTCAAAATCGGTTGACGTGGGCTCTCAGGTCGATCGTTCCAAGCGCGCTGCTGTTTCGGCGCCGAAGCCCGTGGGCATTGAACCAAGCGCCGCCACCATAATCCCTAGCGCAAAAGCAGCAGGCAGTGAAAATGATAAAAAAGACAGTGATGATGATAGCGATGATGACTCTGATGATTCGGACGATGACGAGGATGAGTTTCCCGTATCGCATGAGCTCGTTCTAAAGACGCATGAGCGTGCCGTGACTACCATGACCGTGGATCCTTCGGGGGCCCGACTAATCACAGGTTCTACCGATTGCACGTTGAAAATCCATGATTTTGCTTCAATGACCCCGTCCACACTCCGTGCCTTCAAGTCCGTCGATCCTTCGGCCAAGAAAACGGCGGCCGCCCAGGACACTCACGCCGTGCACTACGTCGCGTTCAATCCGCTCTCCCCGAGTTATGTTCTAGCCGTACCTGCCAATTCACAGCCACGGATTCTCAGCCGTGATGGTGAAACTATCACCGAGTTCGTGAAGGGAGATATGTATCTGCGTGATTTGCACAACACTAAAGGACATGTATCGGAAGTTACGTGTGGTGCTTGGAACCCGTCTGATCTGAATCTGTGTGCCACTGCTGGAACTGATGGTACAATTCGCATCTGGGATGCCAGAATAGGCCGCTCCCAGAGGGATGTGATTGTTCACAAGTCACGGGTAGCTGGCTCCGCTGGCCGGACGAAGATGACTGCTATCGCATGGGGCTCTCCAAAGCAAGGAGGGGCGAACATCCTGGTGGGCGCCGCCCTTGATGGTAGTCTTTGCATGTGGAGTGGAAATGGCCCATACACAAGACCCAGCGCGGAGATTCGGGATGCTCATGTCCGGGATACTTGGACAAGCGGACTAGATATAAGCTCTGACGGAAGGCTCGTTATCACCAGAGGTGGCGATGATACGATCAAACTTTGGGATACCCGAAAGTTCAAGACTCCAGTCACAACTGTCACGCATGCTTCAACGTCCTCTCGCTATCCGACATCCAACATTCAGTTCTCTCCTTCGTCTGCAAATGTCATTACAGGCTCTGAAACTGGCCACTTGCATATTCTCAACCCTGCTACCCTCAGACCAGATCTCGTCACTCCCGTGACACCAGGCTCACCGCTGATTACTGTTTTGTGGCACGAGAAGCTTAACCAGATTCTGACAGGCTCTGCGAATGCAGAGACCCACGTCCTCTACAATCCAAGTATGTCCACAAAGGGCGCAGCGACAGTCATGGCCAAGGCGCCAAAACTCCGCCATGTCGACGATATTCCTGTCACTGCGGACATGAACCTGGCGCGGTCTGGCGATTCAGTAGTCGTTGGTTCCAATGGAGTCCCTCATTACAGCTCAGCAACCATGTCGGCTCGTCATCCTACAGTTGGATTTACGGCCTCTGGTCGCTCCCGTGATCCTCGTCGACCACACATGCCGGCGCAGACACAGTACTCTAATATTACGCCTGATGAAAAGCACATCCGTGAGCATATCCCTCTCAGCTCCATGCGAAATGAGGATCCACGTGAAGCACTCTTGAAGTACGCCGACAAGGCGGAGAAAGATCCCATATTCACGAAGGCATACCGGGAAACACAACCCAATGCTATTTACGCGGAATTGAGTGACGGCGAAGAGAAAGAACCACAGAAGAAGAAAGCAAGGCGGTAATTATTTTGGGGGATGTATGATAATCAGCATGATCCCGATATGTATACAATCATTCTGTGAAATCTGATCGAAGAAGATTTATCATCGAACACTCACCTACTCCATTATTTTCCTTTCTCTCTCTCTTTACACCGATGGTCCTCTGAGCTTTCCGGTGTAAAAGTCTCTATGTAAATACGAAAAGCGTTGACTCACACAGTGTCATTATTTCGGTGAACGTGTTAAACAATGACCCGTTTACACCCGCGGCATCTTTGGCCTATATATCCATATCGTTTACTCCGTACAGGAATGTAGATACAACCATCCCATTCTTTATAACATATCTAAAACTACCCATCCATAGAAAGCCCTGCAGATATTTTTGTCAAAATGCCCGACAAAAGGCGCTAATTCATCTCTATGGACTGTCGTCGCCAAGGAATACTCGATCGGCTTTTTCGAATATAGTTCATGGTATATAAGGGAGTAGAAAGAGACTCCAGAATCCCCACTAAGAGATAAATGTAGGAGGATCTGGTAAAGGATAGTTTATAAGAACACTTGTTTCTCTCCCAAGTTGAATTCTTTGTGTTCGATCCCAAGACATTAATCTAGTTCCTCGGTTTTGACTAAACCTTTCATAGATAGCCTTGGCCCTACATCGGTTTGCATACTCCTGACATGGCAGAAGACATAAATGGGATGCTAGTTACGGAGTAGAGTCCATCATGATAAGTTTCCCGAGGCATTTTAAAATCCTCATGGGTGGATGGAGATATGGATATGGGGTATACGTTGACTCGATCCGTCTTTATATTCATACCCTACCTAAGCACTTGGTAATCCTGGATGGATTCTTCTGTGTTATGTGGTCACTGTTCATGCTTGTGTACATTAAAGCAATAGTCTCGTATGATTCCTCAAGTCAATTAAAACTTAGCTCCTTGCGTTGATTTGGAGTGTCCCCTCTCTTGCTGCTTTATGACGTCCCTCAAGAGACCGACGATCGTCAACTGCCCACAGATGCCGCCAATCATAGCTACGAGTGCAGGCGCATGAGCTTTGACCTCGCGCAAGTGACGCCTTTTCCTTCTAATTTGTATCTGATGTGCTGTCGAACACTAAACTGTCGCGTAAGCCCCGGTGGTAGCAGGAGAGCTTAGAAAAGGCGCCGAGCCCTGGGGGCTATCTAGTGCTGACTTATCAATTTTCTCCGCAGCGCCTCCGAGCATTTCCGCCTACCCAACACCCAGACTTCTCTATACTCCCCGCGTCTGTGGTGATATCCCTCGCAAGAGAAAGTCGGGTTGTCCGGACCAGAATGCCGTCTTTTGCGACTTGAGATCAAATGCTCACCGTCAAATCTGGGGGCTCGTTTTAATCGGCCGTGTCCGCCGGAGAGCTGGTGTACCCAGGTGTATCAGGGGTGCCTCACACATACAACGCCTCTCCGCCAAATCGTACGATAACCCGTATTTGAGGATTGAGATTCTCTCATTTAAGACGATCAAATGGCATCTTTACAGGCGTCGCTGGTAGCAAATCTGCTGCCTCCTCTGCTCTCTTCGATCGTCCCTCCGTCAGGATCAAACACATTCCGCCAGCTTGTCGCGCCATCGACTTACGGCTTTGAAACTCTGCACAATAATGATGGGAGTGATGAAGGGACCGAGCATGAATGGTCATCGCTGATTGGCATTATTACGGCTTTGTGCGGGAATGTTCTCATTTCATTGGCCCTCAATATCCAACGCTACGCGCATATTCGGATAGCAAGAGAATGGGAGCAGGGCAAAGTTCAAAATGGACAAAATGGAACACATATTGGTCTGAGAGGAAGATCCCGGGATCAATACCAAGACTCCGAGGATGAATTTGAACCTTATCACGACGATGACGGCGAGAACACCGTGGGACGGAACAGCGGTTCAAGCTCGCGGGACCCTAGCGCAGGAAGCAAAGACGGATCTGATGGACACCGTAAATCCTACCTTAAGTCTCCTTACTGGTGGGTTGGAATTGTGCTCATGGTCGTGGGAGAAATGGGCAATTTCATGGCCTACGGTTTTGCGCCGGCGTCAATTGTCTCACCATTGGGAGTTGTGGCCTTGATATCCAATTGCATCATTGCGCCATGCTTGCTGAAAGAGCAATTCCGCAAGCGGGATCTTTGGGGCGTGCTTGTCTCTATCGCTGGTGCTGTCGTTGTGGTTCTCAGTGCTAAATCGTCCGAGGAACAAATTGGGCCTCATGAGATTTGGGAGAATATCACACGCTGGGAATTCGAGGTTTATCTCGGTTTGACCACATCCTTGATCGTCGGGCTCATGTGGGCAAGTCACCAGTACGGCTCAAGATCAATTCTTATTGATGTCGGGCTCGTTGCATTATTTGGTAAGGATTCATCTAATATATCCAAGTCACCAGTACTGTTCTTCCTTGTATCTATTCGCTTACTAGTATAAACAGGTGGATACACAGCACTTTCTACAAAGGGTGTCTCTTCACTCCTATCTGGCACATTGTGGCACGTCATCACATTTCCCATCACCTACCTTCTCGTCTTCGTTCTTGTATTCAGTGCGTTGATGCAAATCCGTTACATCAATCGTGCGCTGCAACGCTTCGATTCAACACAAGTGATTCCAACGCAGTTTGTTCTCTTCACTATCGCCGTTATTGTCGGAAGTGCGGTCCTTTACCGTGATTTCGAATCGATAACAGCTGGGCGCGCGACAAAATTTGTTGGCGGATGTCTTTTGACTTTCCTTGGTGTTTACTTTATCACAAGTGGAAGAGTTCGGGCTGACAATGAGTCGTCGTTTTCCTCTGGAGATGAGGAGGGCTCTATTGGCTTACTCAATGGCGAAAGATATCATGACAGACTTGATCTGTCTCCGCCTGGCCATCAATTGCCTAAGCCATCACACATTTCTGCAGAAGCACAAGATGATGATCCACAGTCACCAAGGGGCTCTTTATTGAGTCAAGGCATTGAAGGAGTTGATGATGATCAGCCTACTCTCAGAGGGATCCTTTCTGCCGCGCCCTCTTCACCTCGTGGATCTCTAACCGACGAATTCCCTCTTTCTGCTCCATCGTTTGACTATACTTCTCCATTGCGACCTCCATCCCGAATGTCCAATCCATGGGCAGACATTCATGATCAACACACGATCACCGAGCCTGAGATCCGTCCTGTTACTCCACCCGGAGAAGAAAACAATGCCGCTCACGCCTCCACAGTCCTCCTACGTTTCCCGCCTGCGCCTGGACTTGAAGAAACGCCAGTGGCCGACAGCAACGCAGAAACATCGCGACGCGCTTCGACCCCAGCGCTTTTAAATCAAGCCAATCGGTCCGGTCGCAATGATGCTCCTCTCGAGACACCGTCGCGGCGTGCTTTGCGCAACTCTATCTCACATCGTTTCTCCCCTGGGCCTCTTGTTCCTGCACTCTCCGGTGGCTTCTCTGCGGTAGTTGCCGAGTCTATCCGCCGTGGCGATATCAGTCCTCTCAAGGACCGCACTAGGAGAAGATTGGGACGTCGACGTCCACTTGACGGCTCTTTCGCAGACCCATCTCTTGTTGAAGAAAATGGCGACACATCGCTTTCACTCGCAACCGCTCGACTCCAATCCGCCACCAACCTAGGTGGCAGACCCACAGAAGCTGGTCGCTCGACGTCCGCTCTCGCGACAGAAATAGATAGCAATCCAACGCAACTTGTTAACGAAAATGTGCACCGTCTTCGCAGTTTGAGTGACTCGTGGAATGGTGGGCTTGCGTGGCTAGGAGGTGCTCTCCGCAAAGCCCAGAACACGAAAACTGCCGACAGTGTTGCTGCCACTGGAACACCGACACCAGACAATGAAAGGCAAACCGAGCCAGGCAGCAACTCAGGCGGTGATGTTGACACTGAGACTGAAACTCGGGGGTAATCATCCCGAGACCCCTCAGCCCTCATACATAAGGGCAGTACATTACAGTGGCTGTGTCACTTGCACTCTACATACTTCCAACCTTTTCTTCGAACTTTCTTGAGGCGTTTTTCCCTCCGGGACATTTCTATTGGCTGTACATTCTTGTCTTGTATTGGCATTGCATTCTATGGGCATTATCTTAGGCATTTAATAAAGTATCTTCTCATTCAGGTCCTTTTCAGGCTGTATACTTCACTAAAACAGTGGGGAGATTCAACGTTTTAAGCCACCAATTTCACATTTAGGCTCTAATCAGCGCAGTTTATCCATTTCGATCCTTTCCACGCAAGATCCTTCAACCCCAGCCCTTGGAAGTCTGGCATGACGAGAATCTCACCAGCCTGCTGGGTCAAACACGTAGCCCTAATAGGCGGAGAAGCTCAGAATACGTCCCACCAGCCAGAAGATGCGGTCAGCTACGCCAACCTCTTGATAACCTCCACTTTGTCATTCATTTTAGCCGGACAGCCGGTATCCTCTTCCCCTCAACCCCAGTGTGGAGGCGGGGGCGTTACTCCGTCTCACGAAGGTGCTAGCTTGGCTCAGACGACGCCAAGCAGGGGCCTAATGCAGCCACTAAGGCCGGCCTGGTCTCTTCTAGTGCTAATGACGGCCTCGTTTCCGATCAACTACCCCGTATGGCGTGTACAGCTACCTGCCTTTTTCAATCTCCCATTGCTAGCGGGGCCAAGCGACTCCTGTCATGCAACGCAATTATCCTCGAGCTGAGTTGCCTGTCCCCACACAATGCAGGGGGCTTAATTGCAGCTCTCGATAAACTTATATGCAACATGCTTCCCCGGATTTTTATTTTTCTTCGTTCCAGTCTCACGCTAGTCTGTTGACACATCGATTCTTCTCCGTTGGAAAAGAGTTGGTTGTCTTTTCGAAATGGTGGCCAATCTACTTTCCAATGGGCTGCTGCTGGTGCAGCTCTTTGCTGCCCTGGCTCTGGGAAAGCCGAGCCCTATTCCCCTCTACAAGGATGCTCATGCCCCCGTGGACAAGCGAGTGAAGGACTTGCTGAAACGGATGACTATTGAGGATAAGATGTCTCAATTGATCCAAGGTATGTTTCTATGGCAATCCTAGGCGTTGTTTAAGCGTTGTTTACTAATGTGTTCTTGTATAGGTGATGTTACCAATTGGATGAATCAGACCTCGGGCGAGTTCAACTACACTGGCCTGGTGACCAACATGGAGCTGAAGGCAGGCATGTTCTATGGTATGAGCCCCTCTGTCCTCACCGGTCATCAAGGCAATACGTACTAATTTCGTGTAGTTGGATATCCTGTTGCTTGGGACTGGATCTCGGACAACATCAAGAGGGCCCAGGACTACCTCGTTCACAACACTACTCTGGGAATTCCAGCAATTGTTCAGACTGAGGGTATGTATTCTAGGGGTTCAATATTCCTCTATGGTGAATCCCAAGCTAATGTTTATTTTCTAGGTATCCACGGATTCTTGATTGGCAATGCTACAATTTTCAACTCGCCCATTGCGTATGGATGCTCCTGGAATATGGATGTAGGTATTTACCATATTTGGGTTGTTACAAACACTATACTCCGACACTAACACATTCATGCAGCTCATCGAAAAGATGGCAGAAATCATCGGACAAGAGGCCAAAACTTTGGGTGTCAACCAGCTCTTCGCGCCTGTTGTTGATCTTGCCCGCGAGCTTCGATTTGGTCGGGTGAGTTATGTCTATATGCAAAAACATTAAAACACAAAAGAGCTAACAGCGTATCCAACAGGTCGAGGAAAGCTTCTCCGAAGACCCCTACCTCACTGGCGAGATTGGTTACCGCTACGTCAAGGGAGTCCAGAGCAAGAAAGTCTCGTCCATGGTCAAGCACTTTACAGGCTTCAGCGCTCCCGAGCAGGGACTCAACACTGGCCCGGTTCACGGTGGCGAGCGAGAGCTACGCACAACGTATGTAGGCCCGGGCTTTACGGAGTTGACCGAATCACTGACCGTTGCGCAGGTGGCTGCCCCCCTTCCACCGCGCTATCATCGATGGCGGTGCCTGGTCCATTATGGCTGCGTACAACTCGTGAGTCCAGCTCAGTTAAGATGATATTAATACTGGTTTTCTAACATTGGATCCAGCTACGACGGCATTCCCGCAGTCTCCGATTACCACACTCTCACTGAGATCCTAAGGGAAGAGTGGGGATATGACTACTTTGTCATGACAGATGCAGGTGGTAGTGACCGAATCTGCGCCTACTTCAAGCTGTGCGAGAGCGACCCTATCGACAAGGAAGCAGTTACCACGCAGCTGCTGAATGCCGGAACCGATGTTGAGATGGGTGGCGGTTCATTGTAAGTTTCACTTGCATTTTCCAAGCTTCAAATAGAGATACTGACACTGGATAGCAACTTCGAGAAGATTCCCGAGCTTGTCAAGGCTGGCAAGCTTGATATCTCGGTCGTGGACACTGCTGTCTCCAGACTCCTCCGTGCTAAGTTTGAGATGGGTCTCTTCGAGAACCCGTACCCTGCTGCACCTGAGGACCAATGGCACAAGCTCATCAACAGCCCCGAGGCTGTGAAGATTGCACGCGATCTGGATAAGGAGTCCATCGTTCTGCTGGAGAACCACGATGATGTTCTGCCTCTGAAGAAGTCCGGTGATATTGCTGTCATCGGACCTATGGCTGGGGGCCTCATGAACGTAAGTCTCTTCTTCTTCTCTCACTGCCAGTACGCATATTAACAAGGCCCACAGTACGGTGATTATGTTGTCTACAGGAGTCAATACCGTGGTGTCACTCCCCTCGAGGGAATCAAGGCTGCAGTCGGCGACAAGGCTCAGGTCCACTATGCCCAAGGATGTGAGCGCTGGAGCACTGATCAGTCAGGTTTTGATGAGGCAATTGAGGCTGCAAAGAAGTCCGACGTCGCTGTCGTTGTTGTTGGAACCTGGTCGCGTGATCAGGGCGAGCTCTGGACCGGACTGAACGCAACGTGAGTAAACCGCGATTTGTCCAAATGAAATCAAAGAACCACAAGTACTAACAATCAAAAAGAACCGGCGAGCACGTTGATGTTGACGATCTGTCTCTTGTCGGTGCCCAAGGACCTCTGATCAAGGCTATTGCCGACACTGGAGTGCCAACAATTGTCGTCCTGTCCAGCGGCAAGCCCGTTACCGACACTTGGATCTCCAACTCGACCGCCGCTCTCGTTCAGCAGTTCTACCCCTCCGAGCAAGGTGGTAACGCCCTTGCTGACGTTCTGTTTGGTGACTACAACCCCTCCGGCAAGCTGTCCGTCAGCTTCCCTCGCTACGTGGGCGATCTCCCCATCTTCTACGATTATCTCAACTCCGGACGCTCCATCGGCGACAGTGGCAAGAAGTACGACAATGGTACTCTTGTCTACGGTCACCAGTACGTTCTCGGTGATCCCAGCCCGTGGTATCCCTTCGGTTACGGCAAGAGTTACTCGAACTTCAAGTATGGAGCTGTCAAGGTCGACAAGAGCACTATCTCTGCATCTGAGCAGACTGTTACTGTGAGCGTCGATGTGACCAACACTCATGCTACCCGTGAGGGTACCGAGGTTGTGCAGGTCTACATCCAGGATGACATTGCTTCCGTGGTTGTTCCCAATCGTCAGCTCAAGGGCTTCAACAAGGTTGTTATTCCTGCTGGAAAAACCAAGACTGTCCAGATTCCTATCAAGGTCAAGGAGATTGGCGTTTGGAACACCCGCATGAAGTATGTTGTTGAGCCTGGTCAGTTCACTGTTCTGGTGGGTAGCAGCTCTGAAGATATTCGGGGTAATACTACTTTCACTGTTCGGTGATCATCCTAAAGTTTGTATTGAAGATGAATGATTGGAGATATTCAATTTGTTATGTGTGTTATATTACTTATTAAATATAAACCGTGTCATATCAGTAGTGCTCTAGGACATGCAACATCGGGACTTCCAAGGTCTCTATCGAAGATGATAGGGTCAATCTAGATGCTTCTGCAGTATATAATTTCGATTCATTTCGCCCAATCTTTCGCTAAAGCGATATGCAGGGTACAGCTATTGTATAGATGAATGTTCCAAACTTCCTCAAACGTGGCCCATGAGCCTTACCTAGCAAGGCCTGTCGTGGCCTGTCGCTTTTGATATTATGCTGCTCTCATAGTACCGCTGTGATAAGCTCTTTACAAAACCAGAGCCGCGGAAGCATCAAAAGCAAAGAACCAAAAACCTTATATTCCATACATCGAGTAGAGCCATTTCTCAAGTAGTAGAGAATGTTCATCCGTCAGACAGCGCAGAGATGGGCTCCGACAGAAGAAATCGTGGCCCAGCGGCCATGTTCATCTGGACCAGCAGGTATAGTGATGAGCACGGAGATTGCAATTCCTCGATCAATCTGCGGAGAATTTGGGACTTCAAAATCCACCGTAGTCTCCTTGTCGTTGGAGAAGCCAAAATCGCTTTTATTCAGTATCTCCTGTTGTCCCATATATACTTTGATGGCATCAAAGATGGTTTTCCACCCTGTAGCATACGAGACCTCGACTTTGGTGAGTTTGAGTTTTCGACCAGTTTCCGATTGAATTATGATTGGGATATTTACCCAGCCTTGGGCGTCGCTGGTAACTTTCGATCTTATATGCGAACCCCATACTGGATGGGTGATGGTGAAGTTAGAATTGGCATCGAGAACTGCTGTATTTCCATGGGCTTTGTACAATACCATCGTGGCTCATACCTAAAATGTGAAAGAAACGAAAGGACGAAACGGAATGTAGTACTACTTATATGTGATCTACTTGGTTAGAATCTCGCAAAGGTGAGAGGAATGTCAGTATTACATCTTAACTTCGTTTCGCTTGCGTCATTCGCGAGTGAATCCCGGACATACTGGTAAGCTATGTACATGTGTAGACAGAAAGCTAGTAGTGGAAGACCTAAATCACTGTTCATCTTTACTAGCAGAATATCTTTGAATGGTTGATCCTCGGCGAATACCCATAGTACCCAAATGGACATGGCTATATCACCGCTTTCTTGCATCGGATATATCTCGGGCCCTGGAGTCCGCTCTGTCGGCATCTTTATCTACGTACATGTAGATGTGTAGTTGGTAGTTAAGATGAATACTATTCGAGTAACCAGAGAGAATTAATTGACAATAGACTTCATATGAAGGCTAAAAATACTGCATAATGTCGTTGGAATACCTCTCAAGTTCAGAAAAATCAAGTTGATGCGCATCAAAGTCCAGTTTCTGACTGCTGAGAATGAAAGTTGCCCAGTCATGCCCCATTATCACTTGCAATCTGAGATCCTGGCTGACCGTGAGAGGGGCTTTGACTTGGGTCTGGGGATCCTGAGACCTCGGGCTGCTTGGTTATGGCACTAGATGGTTGATTGCTTTGATTCTCTCCAGAGCGAGCTTCCGCTCTCCGAGTTTTGGCTCCTTCTTTCAATTTCTCCCAGCGGTCGCGATACCGTCCCAGAACATTCTTGAGCTTTTCGTTCTCGTGAGAAGCAGTTTCAAGTCTCTGCTCACTACGCCGAATTTGCTCCTCTAGTTCTTTGATTCGCGCATCATTCTCAGCGGCCGGCGGGGCGGTCAGAGTAGCGACAGGAGAAGTGATTGCTGTTGGGGGTTGGAAGTCATCAGGAGTACCAGCGGTTTGGCGATGCATCATCCTGATTGATTGCTGCAAAGCCATTGACGACGATTGTGCGCTCACCTCCCACATATGCAATCGAGTTGCGAGCGAATCAGTCAGACCCCTCAAAGTATCATTTTCCATCTGCATTTCTTCCATTGTCTTTTGCATCTGCGGGGAGGCAAGCGTATCTGATGCTCCCCGACGTCCCGCCCATATGCGTGAACCATTGGCACTATGGCGCATTTCGGGAGATGAAGGAGTCTCTCGCGCATCCACAAAGTCATCATCGCCGTCCTCCAGGCTATTCCGGCGCGCCTGCTTTTCAGCCCGTGTGAGGATCCCTGCGTACGACATCGTCCCACCCGTAGTTGGGACTACATAGAATGACTCTGCCGGGTTCCCAGGACTGGCGTTAGAACCGTCGCGAACCGATCGCAATGCAGCTCGAGAGAAAATGCGGTTCACGTCTGGCTCTCCGGCGATCATAGACCGGTCTAGAGTAGCATGATCACGGTCTAGTTTCACCTCAGCTGACGACTTGCGGCTCTGTTCTGCTCGGGTTGGATCTGTCGATCCCACATGGATACCTGCGAATGCCAAAGGTCCCGACACTTTGGAGACTAAACCCCCAAAAGCTGAATAGAAGCGATTGAATGCTTCGTCGGTGATAGCGGGTGTATCTTTGGAGGTTCCGGATCCCGCTGCGCTGGGAGGTGCAGTTTGCTGGGCAGTCACCTCAGTGGAACTGGGTATCGGGGGAGACCATGGCTGTCTAGATGCAGAAACAAGATGGGATCTATTTCTGGCTGAGCCTTCGCGAAGCCTCGCTTCGCTAGTCCCCACCCTCTGTGGCGTGTCGGTCATCTTTGCTGCAGCATATTGTGAAGTAAGCGTTGGCGACGCCGGGGACCCACGGCGGGGATGAGATGGGATTCCTCGTGCGGAAGCAAGATTACTGGCGATAGAAGACGTGTCCCGACTCGACAAGCGAGCATTTCCTCCCAACCGTGGAGGTAAATTGTATGCATCCAGGATCGTAGCAGAGCCTTTTGCGCCCCCAAATTCTCCTGCGGTCTGCTGGGTCGCTATAGGCGAGGAATGAGTAGCGGATGCTGTTTCAGCAAGAGTACTGGCTGGGTGTTCATGCTGGAATCTGAGGATTTCGGCGAGCTTCTTGTGGTGAGTTTCGAGCAACCGTAGTGTCCGTAAGGCCTATGACGCGTTAGCGTAGAGCGGGGCGGGGATGAAACAATCCAATATGCCAATATCTCGGTACTTACCTCAGGGTCAGAGCTGCTCTGTGACGCTGTTGCAAATTCGCCAGCAGCTAGATCGTGTTCCTCACTGGCAGCAACGGGATTGGCCTTGCGAGTCTCGAGGACTGCGTTGCGTGCATGGGTGTGGGCCTGGTAGTAACGTGGTCAGATTAGCTGGATTGGACCGGTAGTGAGAGACTGAAGATCTACCAGGGCCAAAGGAGCAACCTCCATGGCGAGATTCAAGAGATTCAATCACGATGCGCCAAAGGGTAAAACCAGGTGCATTCCTTTGTGGGATGCTATCCGGGGGAATGTTGGAGAAGTGACGTTATGCGCCCGCTTAAGATGGGTCCTTTGACAGTCACAGGAGGTGACAACTATAAAGAGGCTATTCTCTCGGGGTCAAGTGGTCTAGTCACTGAAAGAACTAGAACATAAACGTAATTGAAGAGACCGGAAGCAGCGAGACCTGACAGGCGTCACATCCACATTCTAGACAGTGGAGACGAGGAGCTAAAGCACTAGATGCTGCTTTATATAGCTACACTGCCATTCGACTCGACCACCATGATTCAGCAGGAATAATAGAATGGGCAAAAAAAAAAGAGAATAGACAAAAGATTTGAACAAGTAATGAGAACTGAAGCAAATAAAAAAGAAAAACGACCGTGGATGTAACGCAGTCTCCAGATTGAGGTCTACTTGGCGGGTGACTAAGTTTGCGGAGCTCCAGGGGATGGGGTCCATCGGTAGACGTACTCCGTACACCTTTCTTACTCTCGGTTTCTACTCTCAACTAAGACACATCGAGAGAGCAAACCTTCGTACATACGCCGCATGCCCGGAAACCTCCCGAGCTGAGTTTCCACCGGTCTGCCCGCACCATTTCCAGCCGTTCCCTCTACGCTCCTTCGATCATGGCCGACTCTTCGTCTTCGAGCTTGAAAGGCGAGAACAGGTCACGCCGCTCCTGGACAATCTCGGCCGAATCAAGTGCGATGGAGAGCAATGGTCGGTCATCTCCAGACCCCATGCTCGAGAGGCCAAAAACCCAGGGCGGAGATATGGCGGATCCCAACAGGGCTGGTCCCAGTGGATTCTCAAAGCTACTCGAGGCGCGTCGGAGGCGGAAGCAGAATAAAAAGAATCAACAGCAAGCCAATGAACCTCCAGTGCCGAGTGTTATTCTGGAAAACGACCTACATAAAAGCCGGTCCAACGAGTCTCGGGATGGAACCTCCGTGGGCACGTCGTCTATTGGTGATAGTTTTCCGCCACTGGAGAGTGAAGGTGTTAATTTGTTGACCGATGATTCTGAGCTGGATGGGTTAGTTGAGCAATTGAGTTGCTGGTTTTCTTGGCTTTAGTTTACTAACTCGCTTTGGTTTGGTTTAGGACTCCACCTCTCACGTCACATAACTCTCATACTGGATTTTATACCTCGTCCTCACCATTGATCAAGACCACATCGGTAGATGCATCAGAACTGGATGGCTCTCATGCGGATACCGAGTCAGTTGTCAGCGGCTCAAGCGCCGCTGGATTGGAATCGAACCACGATAGAATGCCCAGACGCCCAACGATATCGAGTATGACATTGGACGTACCAACGGACTCGAATGGGAAGAAACGCAGTCCATCCCCCGGAAGACGCCTCAAAGGTGCATTTACAGCAGACAAAAAAGCCGCCAATGATGATGTCGAGACCGCATCAGTCAAGTCCGGGAGCAACAAGAGCGGGCGGAATCTGTTTGGAGGCAATCGACGAGGCAGTATTTCATTGAAGCGGGCTCAAACGAGTTTCGAGAATATCTCTCCTTTGCCTGCGCCCATTCGTACCGATCTCACAGAGAACAAGCCTCGTTCGCTTGAAGCTAGCCCCATGCCGAACACCCCACCTCATACCGCTATTCCTGCGCCGGCAACAACCGTCACACCACCCACTCCAACCGAGTACCGCCCGCTTAGTGCGCAGATATTGTCCGATAAGGTAACCGACTCACCCGAGTCTATACAATCTAAAAATTCTGTATCCCCTGGAGTCACCACCGTGAGCCCCTCGGGAAACATGATCTCACACCGCCGAGTGCGGTCCGCCTCTGCAGCTCATGGGCCAAGCAAATTGTCCAACTCAGTCTCCGCACTGACACCACTCGACGAAAAAGCTTCAGGGGCAAAGAATCCGACTTCGAACCAGCAAACTGGCTTTTTCTCCTCCGTGTTTTCGGTTGCGCAGAACGCGGCCACTTCTTTCAGCAACAGTCTCAACGCACAACAAAGGAATCGTCAAAATTCCCATAACATTACTGCTGAGGTAGATAAATCCATTAACGAGTCTACAGAGGAAGGCGAAAGAACATCAGATAGTGGCAGCAAGATTGCAGAAGGGAGGCCATCTGCTCTGGAGACCCTTGGAGCAGGAGATCTGAGTTTCAGCCATCTAGATATTGATGCTCGACCCGGCGAGTCAGTCACGACTGCTGACGGTGTGGTAATTACGAAGCCGGGAGTTCCCGCTGACAAGCGTAAGAACGCCGCTGTTTACCGACGAGATGAGGAGGCTGCCAAACTTGAAGACCAACGAGCAGCACGTGCTGTTCAAGTAGCTTATGAAAGACCCTCGGAGGTTTCAATGGTAGGCACTCCTGCAGAGGACGCCCTGGAGATCCAGTCTACCACCTCTCTTCCAAAGGACGGCCCAATCCTTGGTGATCAGACTCCCCCAAGCGGCAGTGTCCTTGATGGTGACCTGAGCGGGGGCCCTCGGCGGACTGGCAGTGTGCGTAGCAGACTTGCTCGGCGCCATCGGGGTTCCTCTGGGGCCACAACCTCGACAGTTGGAGCGATTGGCGTGAATGCCGTTGGACTGGGTGTCCCTGGCGTCAACTCTAGTATTCCTCGATTGACTGGCTTTGCGGTTGCAAGTAAAAAGCGCAACAGGGACTTCCACCAGTTGTTCCGGAGTGTACCGGAGGATGATTATCTTATTGAGGATTATAGCTGTGCCTTGCAACGTGAGATCATCCTTGCCGGCCGCATCTATATCTCTGAAGGGCATATCTGTTTCTCCAGTAATATTTTGGGCTGGGTCACTACGCTAGTGATTAGCTTCGATGAAGTCGTTGCCATTGAAAAGGAAAGCACTGCCGTGGTGTTCCCCAATGCTATTGCTATTCAGACGCTCCACGCGCGTCATACTTTCCGAAGTTTGCTCAGTCGTGAGTCCACATATGATCTAATGGTCAATATCTGGAAAATCAATCACCCCACCATCAAAAGCTCTGTGAATGGAACACGTGTGACCGATGGTACGGGTGATAAGACAGAGAAGATTGGGGAGGACGAGAGTGAATGCGAGAGCGACGTCTCCGATGAAGATGAGATATACGATGAGGACGAGGAAGAGGACGCCGATAGCTTCTTTGAGGCTGGTGGCAGTGCTAATGCCAGTGTCACCTCGTTGCCAGTACGCGGAGGATTAAACCGCAAGGCTTCAAATTTATCTGCAAATGCAGCCGCACCTGCAGCCGGCACAGCTGCCGATAGTGACAAAAAGAACGGCGACAAGGGTGCTTCCAAGGATGCACCTTCCGACTTCCCTGGCCCGGCTACGCATGGGCCTACCGAATACACCGACGCCAACGGACAGTACGAAAGACTCATCAAAGATGAAACCATCCCGGCACCACTTGGCAAGGTCTACTCTTTGGTTTTTGGTCCAGAGTCTGGCGATTTCATGACAAAGTTCCTTGTCGATAGCCAGAAATGCGGCGAGCTACAATTCGAGGGAACAGCGAAAGGCTTGACAACTGAAAGTCCAACCAGGAAGTACTCATATATCAAGCCTCTCAATGCGCCCATTGGCCCCAAGCAGACCAAATGTATCAGTACCGAGACCATGGACATTTTGGATCTTGAAAAGGCCGTCCTTGTTACGCTGAGCACCCAAACACCTGATGTTCCCAGTGGTAATGTTTTCGCGACCAAGACAAAATATCTTTTCACATGGGCTGCTGGTAACCAGACGCGCTTCCTGATGACCTGTACAATTGAATGGTCGGGCAAGAGTTGGCTGAAGGGTCCCATTGAGAAGGGCGCGATTGATGGGCAAACGACCTTTGGTAATGATCTTGTCAAGGCCCTTCAGGTTGGAGTTGTCCCGCGTGGGCGTGCTAATGGCGCCGGACGAGGCAAAGGCAAGCGCAAGAAGGGCGATGCCGTAGCGCGGGAATCAACTGCAGCTGCCTCATTGAAGGTTGCTGTAGAAGCCAACACGTCAAAAGGAGAATCATGGGGACTATTTGAACCGGCCCGCCCCTTCCTGGAACCCTTCACCAGCATGCTCACTCCTCTTTGGAGTGGCAACTTCGCCATCTTGGTTATTTGCATCTTATTCTACCTCGCATTCTTCCGTTCCTCGTCATCTCCGTCGATGCATGCCCATGAATTTGGCTGCCCCGGACACGGTTTGCCTCAGAGGCTAGCTGCTTACGAGGAAATGTGGCGACGGGAGGAAACCGAGCTCTGGAACTGGCTGGAGGATCGAGTCGGTATGGACGGCATGGTCTTTCCAAATGTTTACCGATCACCCGAGCTACATCCAAGTCACAGGTCGTTTCGAGCTAGTGCCGCAGACGAGCGTGAGCTCGCTGCACGGCTCCGGGAAGAGAAGGTCTCAAATCGTGAGATGGACCATGCCATCCGTACCACACGCGAACGTCTCGAGGTTCTCGAAGAGATGATGGGCAAACGCAAAGCCCAATGGGCAACTGAGGACGCAGCCAAAACTGAATTGTGATGAGCATCGATGGCTGTTCCTCCCTGCACATAGTATCAAGCAAGCTCTTCCTTTATTCTCTCCCAATTTTCTTTTCCTACCCATCCCTTTCTTCCTGGAGAGAATCCCTGAACTTTGTCTCCGAACACCCACACTACACTAAATCTATTTCTTTGTCTGTATACTTGTCTTAACTGTCAACCATTTGTTGGGGCGTTATCCTGGAGCCACGGGCACAAGCAGAGCTATTCTCTGGCTGTTGATATTCGTCCCTCCCCACAATCATTATCCCACCTTCATGTCTTTCGATACATGGGTATTTTTTTTCGTTTCTGTACATGAGCGCCAACTATCTTCTCTCTACTGGCTTCGATCTCCTTGCACTTCTTTTCTCTTCTTGTTTATCTGAGCGTGTCGCTTATTTCTTTCTTGGTGCATGGTTAGCACTCCATCTTCGAAAAGCCTCTCATTCAGCGTGTTCGTGGTTCTCCTTGAGATTTCTGTGGAGTGTCCCTGTTTGCTCTTTTTTTCTTTGCCCAATGAGGCTTCATTGTGAATATCTCTAGTAAATGCCAAGTGATTCACATATTGGGATTGATGCATCTATTATGAGCTACATTTAGGCTTCTCTTAAGATACAGCATCGTCTACTGGCTTTCCATGGAAAACGCTGACTCGATCGATGTATTGAAAGAGAATGACGGATTTGTGCAATGTAGGTAAAACATAGAAACACTCTAAATCAGACCAATGTTTTAACGACCGAACAGACGAACCCCTTTGACTTCGAATAGGAAAGCTCCATCCTATCACGAGCATTCAGTTGTTCGTAGTCATTATGGTCTTCGAGATCCACCTCAGATCCCCCCATTCATTGGCTATGTCGATATCGTCCGCTAGACCCTCGGCTGGGTCTTAGCATTGGTCTTCGTCTCAACCTTGATTATTATCGTCGTCTCAGGGTTGTCCTTTGTCGCCGGTTTAGCCCTTCTGTCCGTAGGCTGCTTGATCCTCGCCCTCGGATTCTTCAGAATCGACTCGGGCCTTTTTGCCATGATAGCAGGCTTCTTGCGTTTCGTCTCCGGTCCCTTGAATCTGACTTCGGACTCCTTCGCCTTGGTGTCGGATTTCGTGGTGGTCTGGAATCTTGTCGTCTTCGTCATGACCTTCGTCGTCTTCGTCTCGAGTTTCGTCGTCTTTGTGTCAGAGCTCTTCGTCTTGATCTCAGGTCTCGCCGTCTTGGTCTCAGGCTTGGTCGCTCTGACCTCAGGTCTTCTCGCCTTCGTCTTCGTCTCCGTCTCCGGTTTGACTAGTACTACCATCATCGTTGGCTTCGATGGCTTGGTCCGGTGTATCTCGATCATCTTCTTGTTCTTGGGCGCTTGTTGGTGAAGAATAGAGGATCTATAGCCAGTATTTAAGATGAAGATTTCTGGCCAGGTCAGCACGAGCATGTCCGTCAGCCGGTCGTCAGCCTCAAAGTGATCAGCAGACGTGTTCGTGTCAGCGGATCCAGTGCCAACAGGGTCTTCCCTGTTGGCGATCCCGCCAGTGTTGCTAGCATCCCTACATCGACAAGGTGTTCATTGCTTTCCGTGCACATTATCCCCATTGCCACAGTTGCCAGGGTCTTCGTTATTGCTATTGTCCCTGCTAATGCTCATCTACTTGGGCAAAGTTGTCATCAATACCCCCATGATCCTGTATAGACTGGTATACCGCTGTGTTACCGACAACGTTGTGCAGTAGAAATAGAAATCAGGCGAGATAGAGCCGCACTGGCATAATCTCTCAAAATGGCTCAGCGATACATAATTCGGGAAATCTAATGCTAGTTCAGATCTTATGCTCCATGGTGTCATAAACAAATTGTATGTTCTTCCTAGATACATGGAGTCACTTATGAATACATGTAAACACTCGCAATATGTACTCTACCTACCTTGGTATGTATCCGTGTAGAGAAAGACTTATCGTGCGAGTTTTTGCTCTGATTCTCTCATCATAACACTCCGGCTGTTTCGTCGTTTGAGGCAACCTGTATCCGTCGGAATATTCTCCATGTCATTGGGTGTTTCTTAGTATCCAGAACGAGCATTCTTGTTTGGCTCCTGAGCACCACTCTCATCTTTTGGGACAATTGCTGTGGGCAAACACTGGTTTATGTACTGTAATTTAGGGAGGTTCGACGTGAATATAAAATGAACGTCATATCAATCCGAAAATTTCCATCCAACCTGTGCGAGGAATATTCCCAATGGATGGCCTGGCGTTTGCTTTTGTGCTCTAGAAGCCCAAGTTGGGATGGATTCTTTATGATGGCTACGAGCTACAGTCTCGGAGAAGTAAATTCGAAGTGACGCGAAACTCAGCATTTCCACGTTTGGCTAATATTTTTTTCGTTTTCCTTTTCCTAAGGTTCGAAAGACGCAGCGAGATGCACAAACTCCTGCAATTCACATGCTCCTGTCAATCGCTCATTCAGCGGAGATTCCCAGCAAACATACTAGCCAGCTAATCCCATCTTGCGCCTTTGCCCTTGGTACTAGCCCTCCAGCCGCGGTACGAGATATCAGTGACCAATCTTCGGCCGCTCGAAGCTCCAGAGCTGCTTGGCGGGGCGTCTCCAGGAACGGGGTTGCGAGATTCATTGATCAAGACCCTGCAGTAATATGTGAAAAGCTGGTAGTCGGCAGGTCTTCCCAAGTCTCTCACTTCCTCCCGAATGAATGGGACGGGCATGATCTCTCCCTCCAGTGCTGCGAAAAGTCTAGCTAGGGCGAAATCACAGGCGGGCTCATGATTTTCTGCCTTCAAACGATTGAACTGGTTCTGGTAGGCAAGGATGAAGCTAGCCGCTGTAGAATAGTCGCCCCGGTTCAGATCCTCCCATTTCTGCCACTCCCTGGCAACATATGCAGCGTGATTGTACAAGCTCACTTCTTTGATATTTCTGAAAATATCATCAGCGTAGACAATCTCGTTTGAGTGTTGTTTCACTCGAAGTTTAACCGAGTCATCTACCTGGCGGAATAGCCAAGCAGCAACAATGTGAGTCCAGTACTTCCATTTAGGGTAGTTGATGTCTGCTGGGAGGGGCTTGGGGAGCTCGGAGCTCACAATAGACTCAAGCTTGAAGGGACGCAAGACGTGGAGGACCTCAGTGCACCAAATTGTGGTGCTGGATTGGGGAGTGAGCTTTGCAATATCTAGAAGGGTCGCGGGGGATTCTTTTGGCAGGCTAGTAGCCTGAGTGACTGGTGGCAGTATTTGTTTCGAAGTAGAAGAGCTTGAAGATTCGGCAGCATGTCTGCCAGCGCCAGGGAGGTTGGGATTGAAAGGCATCATGTTTGCCAAAGAAGCAGCCTTGGAGATGGATCTGTTGGATTGAATTGGAGGTCTGACTTATATCAGATGAATCAATTATTAATGAGCCGTGCATATCTTGCTAGAAGAAGACTTACCAATGAATGTTGGATATCGCTTCTTTCTCACAGCTGGCTGTTGGATGTTGTTGGCAAGTGAGCAGATGATTGAAGAAGAAAGAGAAAGAAGATGAGGAAGGGGGATACTTATATTGTAAAATCCTATTGTAAACGCGGAAGGAGCATTCAAATCGACAAGTATGAATAGAATCAACCGGAAATAATGTATTGCTTATGTCGCGGGTTATGAAGCTTCACGGACTCTCGTGGTTACCTGGTAAGATTATGTCGCCGAACAACAAAAGGCGCCTTCCGCATTGGGGGCTCTGTGATTCTAATACTACGAGATTCTCTATGCGCATTAAGGATTCATTATTCTCACTGTGACTGAGAGTCGTCATACCATACGACACCAACGATGCCAGCTTTTGGCCGGGAACTGGGGTACTGGGCTCCGTCAAGAATCTGGCAGGAACGGTCAAATTCTTATTCAATGGGGTGCATTATATACTAGCATCAAAATAATCTTTGTTTGTCATGTTCATATAGTAACTGTTACAAAAGGTTGAGCCTGCCTTAGGGCCTGGCAGTCACGTGGCTGTGAAGGTGTAGAGTGTTTAGGGGTCTGTTATGTTGAATACCAAATTTGCCGCCCCAATATGCCTGAGTTTGAATGAGTAGGATCTTGGAATACATGAGTTATTATGACGCAGGCTTTAATAGGCGACAAAAGCCCCTGGAGGCAGGCTAACCGAAGCTTTTTATATCGTCAGGCGAGTTCCTAGCCTTGTGACGTCTTTTCAATAGTGCCCTCGCTTTTGCTAGTGAGGGAAATTGTCAGAAAAAGCTGATTGTCATATAAAGTTATGCGGAACTTATCCTAGGTCTACTCTTGATTACCCACGTCTGTGCAGATGCATTGTAGTAAATGGAATTTTTGTACATTGAACTGACGTATCCGGTAGATGTGTCACGATTTCGAAATTTCTTAAGGTCAACTGCTGCAGTAATTGTGCTGAATTATGTACAATAGAAAAGGTACACAGTATGGGTATATGGCATTTAGTAGGTCTGAATCATGATTCCGATTCATGCATTAGGCTTCATTTCTTCTGCTCGCCAAGTTTCGCCCGGTTAAAGCAATGGCTTTATTCTTAGCCCTTGATGTTTTCCATGCTTTGGTGCCTGAGTTGAAAACTTCATCAATCTGTTCCAGCGTGAGCCCAGCAGTCTCGGGAACAAGGAAGAATATCAGAACCGCAATGGCAGCGGTGACCCCGGCATAGAAATAGCCCACATTGGCGCCCATATTTCCATAATCCGAGCTTAACATGTATGGGGTCCAGAAGATTGCAGCAAATGAGAATATCCCAAAGAATAGTGTTGTGTTGGCATGTCCAAATGTGCGAAGTGAGACGCTGTGCATCTCTACTGCAGCCAAGCTGGCACTCGGAGCGATGGTCCCTCCAAAAACAAAAGCCCATAGACACAGCAGGACTACCGTCACTATTTGTGCTGTTTCATCCATTCCCAAGGACGAGCTAACAGAGGAAAGAATGAGCATGCAAAGACCCATGACAATATAGCCATACAGAATGGCAACTCTCCTTCCTCCGTATTCCACAATGAACGGACCGAGGAATGATCCTCCAAGAATGCACAATCCGATTATAAGGTTGATCAGATACGGGTCTTTGACACCGACTCCTTTGAGAAACAAGGCAGCGTATGGCTGCACAAATTGGATGCCCGTAATGGCAAGACCAATCATAATCAATGCAGATGCCAATGTGCGAACGATGTGCTTCCTGCGGTAAATATCAAACCAGGAAACAGATTTGGCACCTGCGCGCTCTTTTGCAAGATGTGCTCGGATATCGTCAATCTGCGCGGTGATGTCTGGCGAATAGGGACTCTGGCAGTACAGCATGCTGAATGATTTCCGCGCCTCCTCTTCTCGCCCATGTCCCATGAGCCAGCGCGGCGACTCAGGAAGCATTAAGATCCCCGCACCAAGAAGAATCCCCAACGGGATCTGGCAAAGGATAGGCGTTTTCCACTGCCAATCATTCGTTGATTCGAGCCGGGCAGATCCTGCACAGACTGCGGCTGATGCGACATTTCCCATGGCAAGGCCAACGTTGTAGAATCCCAGCGATAGGCCCCGCTGACTGGCGATGATGCACTCGGAGCCGTACGTGACACTGGCCGCAATCAGCTGCCCAATGCCTACAGCACTGATCGATCGACACACCATGTATTTCAAAAAACTTCCACTGGTGCCAAGCATTCCAGCTGCACCGATGATGGCCAATGCGCATCCAATCTGGACTGACCCCCTGCGTCCGATGTACTGGCCACTCAGACCCGCAACCCCGCCCCCAATTCCAACGAACAGGTAGCTTAAACTGATGAGGGATTGTTTCAGTGGCGTCAACGAACAATGCTCGATACTTTGATAGGTATTCGGGTCCAGGATTTGGTCGCAGCTGCCGAATGCTTTATTGTAAGAAGGCATAATTAGCACTGTCCCGGCGTAACCATTGTCGAAATTTGAAATCCATGCTGCACACGCAACCCATAATGAGAGTCGTAACATCGGTCCGGTAGTACTTGGGGCATCTTGTTTGTTCTCTTGCGAGATGGAGTCCGTGAGCGTGATGTGACAGCTGGTCTGCGGCTCTGGTTTGGGGCTTGATTGTCGTATATCCATGGTGGGCTGGGTCCTTGTCTAGGAAACTAGAGATGGGTATGTATATGCTGGATGCAAGAGCCTTGGCTCATGGCATGACAATAGAAGTAGATGCAGTTTTACACGCAGGATAGACGGCAGCCTTGCTGCTTTATGAAATTGCCATCTGGATCTTGTGATACCAGCATTCCAGACGCGACATACGTACACCACTCATCACGGAGAATGCCAGATACATGTGGCGCCAAATTAGGGGTGTTTCGGGCACCCATTTTTTGAAACAAACTGCTCCCCTAGCAGAATTTGAAGGTCCACTTTTCTAGTTGCATCTCGGGAGAAAGCACAGGTATCACATACGCCGATTGGATATCCATGGGGTATATTGAGAGTTGGCTATCGATGTCAAGGTCTACCGAGCTGATAGGGGATTTGCAGGCAGTCTTTTACAACATACAAGGAACACGGCCGTATAATACAACCTTGAAAACATACAATGTCATTTTGTTTTCATATCTGGCGTACATTGCACAATTTGCTCCAATATGGAAGCATACATGCCCATCCCGAATTTGGATACCTCCTGTCTCACTGTGACTTGAATGTTTCATGTGCACATTACCTGCAACTGAGTTGCAGTCAGGCGGGTGATCTACAAAAACGATTACCTCGAGATGAAAGCCTTCAAGTTGAATATACCTCTGATCCTAGACAAGGGCTACCAAAAGCAATGATCAACAGTGGGCCCTATTAAATTCAAATGCGATTAGGGTTGTTCCGGAAGGCGAACAGGACTCCACATGTAAAGCACCAGGCAAATTCAATTTGAAGCTTAGGACATGTCTTGGCTACTGAGCTCTATTGGAAGTCTTGGGCTTTCCTAAATCGCCCTTTGTCTAGCGGATTCTGTTTCGAACCAGCAATGAGCTTATCCTCTACAACATATAGTGAAGAAGGAATCTGTTGAGAACCATGCCTGAGGCAGGATTCTCTCATCCGCAGGATTATCAACGCTACGCCCTTTTTGTCTTTTCTGCCGAAAAGCTCACCTTTGGGGGCCAAATTGAGGACTCCGATCCTCGGCACACAAAGGGGCATAAATAGCAGGAAAAGACAGATATTATCTAGATCTTTAGACAATTCAATACTTCCATGAGAGATCCTATTCCTAGTATCATTTGAACCCATTGTTGAAACCCTACATGCTGTATCATACCTCTGTATCTTCAACAGGTTATAAGCCCGGCTGTCTCTAATAGCCGGAATACCTAAATTACGCAGTATAGTCTATTTGCTATATTTGCTAGCAAATATTTGCTTACCCCTATACACCTTTTCATCTGATCTTTGCCTAGACCTATATATATAGGTCCTCACCCTAGGATCTCTCTCTCCTTCTTATATATATCTCACCTCTTATTTTATACCTTACCTTTTATACCTATACCTCTCGATCTCTCGTAGATCTACCTATTTTTTTATTAATTTTATTATAACCCCTATTACCCGACGGTCCTAGCGAGATAGGGGGGTATCTAGTGCACCTAGTGCACCCTATATACCCCACGAACCCTCCGACTCCGACGCCGACCGACTAGACGAATTAGGGTCCGATAATAACTATAGTAGCGCCTTAGGCGAGGGTAGCGATAACGAAGGAGGAAATGATAGTCCTATAGCTCCCGCTAGCACTAGAAATATAGACCCCGGCTAGGGCCTATAACGTCTAAACCCCGCGGATTAACTAGCTAGAGAACTCGAGTCGACCGAGTATCTCTATACCTAGTAGCCCTAAGGATTAACTAGGTAGCTCGTAGCGGGTAGACCCCCCGCTAAAGTCTCCGAGTCTATCGAGACTAATATATAAGTCCTATTAATATAGATTAATAACCTAAACCGATTTAATCGAGATAGCTTTATATTCTCGCTACGTAACCGCTACGCTATCCTAAAGAATAACACCCGAGAAAAGGAGGAAAACGCCCTTCGATACCTTAGTTTCACTAAGGACCTCGGAAAAATATTTAAAAGAAAAGAAGAATATAAAGGACTAAAACTTATAGGATTAAATAATTACCGTACCTAGGCCGCTAATATATAGTAAGTACTAAACTAAAACCTTCTCGAATAAGTTATCGACGGTAAAGTAGGATTATTACCCCCTTTATATAAGAAGTACTATACACTAAATATATAGAAGGGAGTAGCCTAGCTTACTATCCTAAATACTATATACCTAGACTTAGCGAAAAATATTATACCGCCGAGCCCTCTAGAACCCGAGCGTATCTAGTAGGAATTATAAAATTAATACGATATAAAGGATACTTTTACCGCCGAATAAGGCGCTATTATAATAAAAGTACTATATATATCCCGCGTCTATAACGTCGGAACCCTAATCGAAGTATTTAAGACTATATAGACTAATAAGACTATTATATATCCCCCGATCGAGAGTCTATTAATTAAGTTATAAGAAATAGATAAACTTAAAAAATATACGGAACTTATAGTATACCTAGATAGCCTAGAATAGCACCTATAGAAGCTTAACTACGATAAAATAGTTAGTAGGTTAACTAACTAGCTAGACTAATACCTCTTTAATCGCCTATACGGCGAACTATAAAGAGAAGAAAATAACCTTACCGCCGGTAAAAAGGTAGCTATAAGGACCTTATCTACGGAAACTAGTAAACCTATAAAACCGCGAGGACCCCGTATATAATAAGGACCCCTAGGATTAGTATATATCTTCTATAAAAAGAAGGGATACCCCGCCGAGAAATACTAGCTAAAAAACCCTAATTTAGTACCTAAACGGACTACGGAAACCCTAATTATATAGGTCGAATATAGTTACGAGGTATAAAACTTCTTAACTAGTATCTCGATTAATAATTAGATCTACGATATAGCCTACGACGAATATATAATTAGCTCGCTAGATTATTTTATACTAGGTACTACGAAACTATTAACCACTACGATTAAAATAGCCCTAATAAACTAGCCGGTCTAAGGTATAATCGGGGATATTAAGATTATAGTCGACGATAGGACTAAGTAAGGGAGAGATCTTATTCTCACTAGGACTATATATCTCCCTAAACTCCGTAGTAACCTTATCTCGTAGCCTAGGCTCGCTAACTATAGGATTATAGCGATATATAGAGACGAGGTTATTTTCCGGAAACTAGACGGTAGTATTCTCGTAAAAGGACTATAAAAGGGTAAAAATTAGATACTAAACGTTCGCTACGTATACCGATACTAGACCCTAGATCTAGAAACGTTAGTTTTAACGACGGTATAGAAAGTAGGGGGCGTCGGATACCTAAAAACTTAGGCCGATACTCCTATTTCCGCCGAAAAAACTACCTACGGATACCTAATTTCTTAGGCTAATAATATAGAGGTTATCCTAAGAGACCCCTACCCCTAGCTAGGGGACCTAAGCACGTAAAAACTAGAAAACGCCGTAAGTTTACCTAGCTAACTAGTGAAAGACGCTATTCCGCCGCGAAAGGTAATATCTCTTCTACTAAAAAAGGGACCCTTTTCTTAGGTAGAAAAGGTAGAAATACTCGCTACTTATAGAGTAATAAAGATATAGAAGATAAACTCGTCTAGTGGCTTAAAATAATAGTCCTCGGAGACTACCTCGACTTCTCCTAGCGAGCTACCTACTAAGCTTAAAAAGGATAGGGTTAATATCGATACCTAGTACTGTAGACTATACTATATAGGGATTAAACTCCTATAGGAAACGGTAAAAATTATAGAAAGTATTAATATTATAGGCCTACCTACCCCTAAAAGACTCTATAGCTACTACTAAATTAGAAAGGCTTAGCTTATACCCTATAGAACCCTAGTTTTATATAGATCTAGTAAAATAGGAGATCTCGTATATCTCGATCTAGGGGGCGGGGGCAAAATATCTAGAGGTTAGGGAGGTAGCTACCGATACTAGATAATTAGTATCGACGACTTCGACGGATAGGGAGAAATATAGTTTACCTCCTATAAAGACTTCGTCTTAGACCTTATAATTAAAATAGTAAAACTATATTCCGCTAAAAAGGAAATAATAATTAAGACCTTTATAACCCCCGATCTCCCCCCGCTACTAGTAATAGGAAGTAAAACACTACCGCCTAGTAGACTAGAGATTAGAGCCTTCTAATTAGATTATAGAGGAGAGTTTAATAACTTCCGCCTATAAAAATAGGCTAAGGACACTAACACCCGTCTATATTTCTTAGCACTATACGTATACGGGTAAAATAGTAAAGTCGAAAGAATAATACGAATAGTATAAGAACGCACTAGAGCTATCCTCGACGATACTAGACTCCTAGATATACTATAGCCCGAACTAATAAAAATAGTAATAATAACCTATAATCTTACTATCTATTTCGGTAGAAAAAGAGACGGTCTCCTAAACTAGATACTATATAAAATACGATTCGGTAGAAAACCTAATATCTTATTCCTACGGATACCCGGTAGTAAGGCTTACGTTATAAGAAGCCCCGAAGAGATTAGGGCTATAGTTAGCGTATTAATAAGTAGATATTTATAGCCCCGCGCCTAGATAGGTAGACTCGTCGGATATAGTAGCTACTATAGTATATAATACTATATCTAGCGTCTAAACGTAGATAGAAATAGGGGAGAGATTATAACTTAGAGAGACGTTATTTTCGACGAAGGAGACGACTAGACCCTATATAATAATCCTAATCTCTTAGTCCTACTAGAAACCCTACGGTTAGTAAAATAGTCTAGGTTCCTATTCCTAGACTTTAGGGACCTTATAGACCCTAAGAACCTTATAGACCCTAAGAACCCTATAAATAATATAAACTTTATAATTTCTTCCGCCGAAAAGACCTTTATAACTTCTTCCGCCGAAGAAAGTATCCCCTTTTCGGACTCTAAGGGAGATCTTAGACTTATTAATAAGAGTTCTAGTAACGAATCGGTCCTATTAGCTAACCTACCGAGACTAT